ATACGTACAAATTGTATGGACTGTTTGGATAGAACCAATGTGGTGCAATCGACCTTGGGTCGCTGGGTGCTTCAGAACCCAATTGACTAACTCCCAATTATCTTTCTGATCTGAACACAAACTCCATGAGGAGCTACTCGACCGGCCACTTCAATCTTTTTCTTTATGAACTTTTGGGCAGACAATGCCAATGCAGTTTCGTGTGCCTATTCTGGAACTGGTGCCCTCAAAACAGATTTCACAAGAACTGGTAACCGGACCAAGAAAGGAGCTTTCAATGATCTCTTGAACTCGATTACGCGATACTATAAGAACAATTGCAGCGATGGAACCCGCCAGGATTCCTACGATTTGATTTTGGGTAAGTACAAGCCTTACCAAGATTCGGTAAATTCTCCCTTCATCGATCGTCGCCCTGCCTACGTACAATTGTTGCCGTACTTTCTCGGTACCTCAATTTTGGTTATGCTCGCTGTATTCTGGTTCCCTCGCGGCTCCATCGCAGACTGGAAGAATTTGTTGGTTATTGGTGGTTGCATGTACATCAATGCCCGGGTGTTGCTTTACTACAATAGAAACGGGTACCAATTTGTCAATTGGCCCAAACTTGTTGCTCTTGATTTCTTGAAAAAAGTGGAAGTTTTCGACGGAGACGGTAAGCTCACTGGTATCAGATATGAGGAACATTCAGACTTCAGACCCGTAGGTAAAAAACGGTCTTAATATACCTTGTTCTTCGATTTTGTGTAACGTAATCTCAGATAAAATCGCGAAAATTATCATTACATTTTTAGAGCATGTCTGGATTGGAGAAGTCATTAGATAGCATCATAGGTGATACTCCGCAACCAAGACGTGAAGGACGAGGTCCTAGAGCCCCAAGGGGTCCCAGAGGTCCAAAATCGTTAACCTCTCGCATTGGAAAAGTATGTATGGTCAGCAAAATGTCTTCCATAAAATAGTGTCACACTAACACTAGAATCGCGAGTCTCGGCCACCAAGGCATGATGCTGGCATCCCAAGACAAATCGTAGCTGCTGCAGGGTCGAGACAGCTTCTCAGAGTCAAAAACATTCATCCAGATCTCGATGGTCAAGATCTTTCAAAGTTGTTCGAAGCAGTTGCCCCGGTTGACTTTGTCAAGTTTGATCCTAGAAACGAGTCAATTGCCTATGTTTGTTTCCAGAGCAATAATGCCCGTAATAATGGCTTGGCTGTATCAAAGTATGACGGCAGAAAGGCTATGGGAGAAACTTTGGTGGTGGAAAATGCTGTGTCTTTGGCGGACCGAATTACGGCGGCTGCTAGACCTCTTCCAAGGTCTTCCAATAACGGAGATATAAGACCAAGCAAGGGTCAGAGACAACAAAAGCCACAAAAGCAACGTACGGCTGCAAAGCCCAAGCCCCAAAAGAAGTCGGTTGATGACTTGGACTCTGAGCTTGAAGCCTATATGAGTGGAAAGTCTACAGAAGCTGCCAAGACTGAAGCAAAGCTTGACAATGAAATGGACGAATACTGGAAATCCAAGGACCAGGACCAACCAAAAGGTGACGATGTTGCCATGGAGTAGAGTTAAAAATGTATTAGTATCAATTATATTAACCCATACCTTGGGTGAGTTCGACCAACTCGACGTAGAGTTTCTTAGTATTTCTTCTCCAGGACTTTCCCCAGATCAACGTAGGAACAATAAACGCAATCGACACGAAATCAATCACAGCTAGAACAATGTATGTGTTTGCAGTTCCAGCACCATCTAACCAATATGAACAAACGAACGTGAACACACATGCGAGTGTGTTGTTAATGATGGAAACCCCAACCATGCCTTGGATGACAATTTCAGGATAAGCGTCCATGAGATATGACATAGCAGTGTCACCAATTGAACCCCAACCAACACCGATGAATCCAAGGCCAACGTAGACCGCTTGCCAAGGCCAAGTCTTGTCTGCTCCAACACCAAACATAATTAATCCAAGTGGAGAAATGACGAGGGTTATAAATAAAAGGTATAATCTGAACTCAGGCTCCATTCTTCCGTTGTTTCTCCTTGCTAGCCACAAAACGTGATAGTCGGACAAGATACCTGACATTATGCATCCTATTATAGCCCCGATTAAGGTGGCTACGTTCATGATTGCAACACCTGTCTCACTCTTGTTCCACGGAGCGTCATAAAAGTAGGTGTCTTGAGTTGTCAAGAAAAACGTCATGTATGCGTCCTGTAAACCCCAGAGAATACCAGAGATCCAAACGGCAGGTAGGGTAAATACTTTGAAGTAAACGACAAATCTTCTACAGGAATGCCTGGAACCCGTATTCCTTTGAATGTAAGGGGATGGTGTGATAATGCAAATCTTCTTCCCAGTAGGATGCTAGAAGGATCTGGAACTACTTCAGGATTCAACATTGGGCCCTTTCCACCATCGTGGTGGGTAGTTTGCGTTTGAGATGGAGGGGTGTTTCTCGCCCTTTTCATCATCAAGAACCAAATCTTTGTCGTCGGTGCTAGAGGCTTCATAAACTGGAAAGTACTTTGACCTGTCGAAGACGGTTTCCTCGCAGCCAAATATCACCACAAGAAGTGCTGCGGCGGATATGATGGCACCCCACCAACCGACCCATCTAAAAGTCTGTGATTGAGCAATCAAGTGAGCGATAAGTGGACCGAGGAATGTTCCCACGGAAGTTGCAAGAATGTAAACCGTCAAGACAGATCCTAACTGGTGCTGGAAAAAGATGTCTGAAAGCGACTGTTGAACCTGTGCTTCTGCACATGCCTCCGACATTCCCACGAATGCTTGGGACCAGATCGTGTCGGCGGTTTTCTTAGACAATGCAAACCAAACGGAGCCTAAACAGCCAGCCAATAAACAGATGATGTACGTGATCCGACGCCCGTACAATGATGAGGCGGGGGCAAAGAAAATACAAGACCAACCAATGAAAAGAAACAACACACCGGCTCCGGTATTCATTGCGTCATAAGTGATGCCATAGAAAGAATTGAGTGACTCCTGAGCGGCACCAGCATCGTTAGAGGTGGCAGCTGTGAGCGCCGTGATGAATGAAAGCACAGCAAAATGCCAGGTTTTTCTGGAAAAAGACCAATTTAAAGGATCATTGGGCGAATCAGATGGCTGGGGAAGTAAGACAACTCCATTCTTGCTTCTTTTGATCTTTCTGGTTGAGTTTGAATCGACAGAACTTGTCTCTTTCGATACGTATATGTTGCTTGTTCCAGGAACAAAGTCTTCGTCAAAGTAGTTGGCGCTAGACATGGAGAAAATCTCTCTTAAATGCAATTATTAACAAGTAGTGGAGAACGTCAGCAAGCCATTGTAATTTATATATTAGTATGAGTCAAGTATAATTCCTTAAAGTGAAGAATTATTACTTGAACGGTGTATCTGTCACGGAAGCACTCTAGATTGGAGCCAGTTAGACTTGATTAATGGGGGTCTTTGAAGGACAAAAGGTTGCTGAAGAAAAGATTAAAAAAAAACTTCGCGAGAGAAATTTGCAGCCGTGCGGAAAAAGAAATTAGTGACAGCTTTTGCGGCGGAAAATGACATGTCAATTTACTGATTTCTGTAGGGTCTGCTAAACAACCTTGGGCGTCAAATAGCCCCCGAATTGACTCATTTACGTTGCTCTGACCAAATTGAACCTAGTTGACAATAGTCGCTTGTATGCAGTACCGGGATTCACGAAATTTTGAGGTTCATTCTCTCGACAAAACCCGTCTTTAACCCATCTCTCTTTCTTTTTTCTGATTCATTTTGTTGGACCATACTCCTAATGAGTAAGGACCTTCTTGCCTGGTGTGAGGATTTATATCCTCTCAAGGGCAATGTTTCACAACTTCAGGCCACACTTGGACTGATTCTTGCTCGGGCCCCAACTGTAGAAGAGTATAACCAGCTTCAAGCGGCACTTGACGAGCCATTGGACCACGACCACAGGCCCATGGAGTCTCGCTTGCGAACACTTATTACCCTGCCGCAACTCAAAGTAGCAGTCAGGCTCCGCACATTGTATGCCAACGGCAATTTACCGTTCTTATTGATGCTACTGAAAATCAATTTTAAGGCACCAAAAGCCGACAGGTTTGTGGGATATTTGCTTGATTATGTTCCGAAATCGACAGTCGAGGGGTTGCCGGATGCGGTGAAGAAGGGTGTCTTGAAGAAAAAGGTAAAGAGTGTTGCAAAATTCATTGCAACCTATCCTCCAACACTTCCAGTGATCATGAATACTAATCTCAGAAAACGAGTGTTTACTCACAAATCCTACCGTCAAATTTCCGACTTTTTAGAGGCCGATAGTGCTGAAGAGTTTGCCCAAGCACATAATGAAAAGCTCGTGCTTCATGGACGAAGTTTGTTGAATGTCGCCCTTTTACATTTGTTGGACAAGAAGTTCCCTAAAGCACAGGCTGAGGACATTGAGCTGATGAAGGTAAGGCTCTCTTCGTCTGTGGTTTTGACCAAAATGGCCATGGGGTACAACTTGTCACAGCATTTGAAGCATAATATCTCGAAAGAGCTCAGTAACGAGGGAAAGGTGTTAGTGTTGCTGACAGTATTTTTAGCATACTTGGGAGCCCTTTTCTCGGAGGGCTACTCTATGGACGAAATTTGTCTCTGGATCGAAAAACTTTACGACCCAATTGTCGCTGAATTTGATTCGGAGCATATGCATTCGGCCAGACCACTTGCATATTCAGAACTCAAGTTTCTCCTCGATCCTCATCTCAAGTTCAAGCAGAGTGGTCACGACCCTTTTACATTCAAAGCGTATTACAGAGACACCGTGATTGGAATTGGATCTCACTCGGACAAAATGATGGCGAGGATTGTGACGCTGGAAAATGCGCTTGCCGATAAGGCACTTCTTGACGCCCTTTTGGAGCCTGAGCTAGAGTGCAAACCTAGCGATGAAAAGCATCACAAGGAGCAAAAGGAACCAACTTCTCCAGAACAGGAGCCGCCATACTCGCCGCTGCTTGAGCCCGAAACCATGGAAAGTGTTCTTAATATTCCGGCGATAGATCAAGCACCAAGATTGCAGTCAAAGCCGCAATCGCCTCATTCACACGCTGTGCCGGAGGTGAACGCTGCGCTGAATCTAACGCGGCGTCAGGATGCTTATGAATCGCAGCCACTTAATCCAATGAATCTGCTGGTTAATTCTCAGGTCAATTCTTTGGTCAATTCCTTGGCTTATTCACAAGCCAGTCCGCATTTCCAGGCTGGTCAGACACAACTGCAAGGACTTTTTCATCAAGGACATCCTACGATTCCATCGTCGCTTCCAGCCATTCCTCTGGTTGCACCCAATTCTTATCGGTCTCCCACTATCCCCAATCAACCATTATCCTTGCCAGGGGTTCCCAACATGACACCAAACCAATCCGGACAGGAAGCTCAAAACTCAGACTTGGTTTTAAAGAACAGTCTTCAAACAACTCTAGCTGCAAATAATCTCACACCGGAATATAACTACGAAGAAATTGGGTCACAGTTCAAAGTTACCATTACGGTGAACGGTATAGTTCTAGCACAGTGCCAAGACTCCAACAAATCCAGAGCGACAAGAAGAGCAATACGGGGTGCGTTGAATGCATTGAATCAAGTGACATCAAATACCTAATCAAGATGTTGCAAAAATCGGTGCACGTGAGCGAGCACGGGGGCCGACGTTATCTCCGTGTGTTGTCGTCCGCTGCACCGAGATCCTGCATGGGTCTTGGCGTCGGCCAATCACAGCTCCGGTAAGTTCCGGGGCCAAAAAAGAAATGCCCCGATCGGTGAAAATCTTTTGAATAAATACTGCGAACTTCGCATTTCTAATTAGTTTACTCGCATAATGGCCACTCAATCATCTTCCCCATTGCCTGCATTCAGCGTCAAGGACTACGCTTCATTCGCCGCCGCTGGTGCCGTCGGTTGTGGTGTCACCCATGGTGCCATGACTCCAATTGATGTCGTCAAAACCAGAATTCAATTGGAACCAACCGTGTACAACAAGGGTATGCTTGGATCGTTCAGACAAGTTGTGAGCACAGAGGGTGCTGGCGCCTTATTGACTGGTTTGGGACCAACCATTCTTGGTTACTCGATGCAAGGTGCTTTCAAGTTTGGAGGTTACGAATTATTTAAGAAGCAATTCATTGAATTTTTGGGTTACGAAAAGGCCAAGAACTACAAGAACTCCATTTACATTGGATCTGCTGCTCTTGCTGAGTTCTTCGCTGACATTGCTTTGTGTCCATTGGAGGCTACCCGTATCAGATTGGTGTCTCAACCAACCTTTGCTAACGGATTGGTTTCTGGTTTCTCCAGAATCTTGAAGGAAGAAGGTGCTGGATCGTTCTACAACGGTTTCACTCCAATCTTGTTCAAGCAAATTCCTTACAACATTGCCAAGTTTTTGGTTTTCGAAAGAGCTGCTGAGGCTATTTTCGGATTCGTCAAGACTCCTAAATCGGAATTGTCTCAATCCACTTTGACCACCATCAACTTGGGTGCCGGTGTTATTGCCGGATGTGCTGCTGCTATTGTTTCTCAACCTGCTGACACTTTGTTGTCCAAGGTTAACAAGACCAAGAAGGCTCCAGGTCAATCTACTGTCGGTTTGTTGGTTCAATTGGCCAAGCAATTGGGTTTCACCGGTTCTTTCGCCGGTTTGCCAACCAGATTGGTCATGGTCGGTACTTTGACTTCTTTGCAATTCACCATCTACGGCTCCTTGAAGCAAGCTTTGGGTTGTCCAAAGGCCATTGAATTGTAAACCCAGTAGGTTCTACACATTAGATATGGTCATTACTTATAGATAGGCTTCCAATGTTTTATATATTAATGTCATAGACATCACACCCATACATCGAGTCTAGAAATCGAATCTCGACAAGCAATGAATAGATCGAACCGCTAGGGTTTGGTCACGTGCAGTATGACGTCACACTGCTGATGGCAGGGGCTATGGAATCAAATGCAAAAGCTTTTTTTCGCTTGATTAGTCTATTGCATCTGTATTCGTGTATGCAACGGCTATGTACGTATGTTGCTGCTGTCATACATTCCATAGCTGTGCCTTGTAATACACAGGTATTTTCGGCCCGAACAATAAAACCGTAGAACCGCAGAAAGCGCAATCATCGCGCATGGAACCTCAAATGGAAACCCTAATGATCCAGTGATCTAAAACGAATCGGATATATGAACGGCCATAATCACTCTATTGAAAGAATGACATTTACTCTTTAGCTTCTCCAACTTCATACAGCCACTTAGACGGCAGACTACTATAATACCATAGTGGTCCTTGTCTTTTGAGTATAAGGCTAGGCACCCCTGGCGCAGTTGCTATTAAAATTTTGAGCACATACTCATTTAGGAATAAAAATGTCCCGATCTCTGGTGTCTATTTTTAACGTTAGGCCATTCGAACGCAACCATTGCCGCATTAGGCAAATTACGTGCAGCAAGGTGCGTCCAAATGCGGCAATCATCACTCTTTGGCCGTCATTGACGGATGGCCGCTCCGGTTTTGCAGACGATATATAAATTGTAAACCGGCACCAAACCATCCCAAATATGAAATTTGCAGCATTATTCTTTTTCATATTTGTAGGCCATGTGTGTGCGTTAGCACTTCCAAAGAGGTTCTATCAACCTACTTCGCCCATGTTCTCGATGATTGCACTCCATAATGGATCAGTTTTTCAGTACAATTTGGTTAAATATGATGGCACAGATTTGCTCCTCCATGCGGACGACAAAGCCTTTTTCGGCAGAATCAAGGCTAACAACGGATATGTGTTGAACATCCCCGGCGCTACCGGAAATTCCAATAACACAAATTCCACCTCTTCAGTTCCACCTTCGAACGTGAATGTTCGCGTCGATAAAAACAACAAGTTGACCACCACCACCAGAGCCAACCAGTCGACTACACACTTTGGAGTCAGAAGATCGCTTCTTACCTACAAAAACTCCACTCACTTTAAGGCTTGCCCATTAACAAATTACCGGGGAGAATACGAAATCTACGCTAATAATCTTAACAAAACCAGATGTCCAAGGAATGCTACTGGCTACGACATTTCTCTCTTGGTGCAAATCGACGCTACGCTTAATTATGATAGCTCCACCAATACTCGCAACAGCACATTGCCTTTCAAAAAAAGAAAAAGAAGTCTTCCATTCTTCATGAAGTGATCAGTTGATCTCTAGCAAGTTCTTTCCACGTTTTTATCTTTCGTACGCCTCTATAGAAGGAAATATTGAATATCCGTTAATTTTGCAACTTTGTAGTCGTCACTTTGTGTGGGTGCATGGGTGTGAGTTCTGCTCATCACCAAAAAAATTCGATATCTGGAGATGTCAATGTCGGCTACAAAGTCAGATAAGTACGTCAATGACTCGGGTTCAGACCTGGAGGGTGAAGAAGAGACTTATGTAGCACCCAAGAATTACCACAAATACGATTTAAGGTCCAAGTTCGAGCCTCGGGACAATCGAGAAATATGGTTGATAAAGACCCCAAAGGGCTTTCCCATTGAAAAATTGCAGACTTTACCGGTATCGTTTGGTTTGACATCTAAAAATGGACTCAATACCTCTGCTGCCACATTCAAGGTTGAGAACCGGTCTTTTCAACTTTATGAAGAATCATTTGCAGCAGAAAGCGAGGCACACAAGTACTCTATATTGGGCCATAAAGGGGAGAACCAATTGGAGCCTGTGGAAAAAACAATAGACAGATTCTACAACATTAGTGAGAAGATTGCTATTCCTGATATTAACTATGAAAAAGTTGTCATTCCAAGAAAAGATGTGGAGAAGATTGACGGTTTGGTGATGAAGCATTATCCTACTGGTTACGGAGCCAGCGACTTTGAGGAGGCACGGGCTCCGAAACGGACAGCATCTCACTCTGAGAACGGGACCCATAAAAAGAGAAAGACTGAAAGTGAAAGCGGCGAAAAGGAGAAGAAGGAAAAGAAAGACAAGAAAGAGAAGAAGGAAAAGAAAGAAAAGAAGGAAAAGAAGGAAAAGAAAGATAAAAAGGATAAGAAGGAGAAGAAAGAGAAGAATTAAAGCTCTTTTCTTGTCATATCCTTTGGCATCGATGTCTAGATTCAGCATCTCTATAGCATATATGTACATTACATGAGATGAAATATAAGTGTGTAGGCAACTAGATGAGTAGAGAGCCAATGGTCCAAATACTATATATTTGACATCAGTTTTTTGGTATACGACGATAATGTTGGGTTTCAAATGTTAAATAGTACTTTCAAATCTTGAATCATCTCATCTTTGCTTCAGCGCGATAACGAAAAAATCTAATACATAGGACTTATTTTCGATACTCAGCTACATTCACATTATGGGTTCCAGAGTATCTACGAGAAGGTTGCCTGAAACCGCCTCTAAGGCAGTGAATGCGAAGAAATCTTCAATAGTTAATCAACTTCCAACTCAATCATTAAAAAACAGCTATGAAAAGCACTCGCAAGAGGAAATGCAAAGACAAGCATTTTTGGATCCCAAGCAAGAAGGACACCTGAAGAATGATGAAACTTCAAAGAAAGAGACGTCAGAAGGCGGAAGCACACAGCTGCATAGTCAATTATCGCAAAATAACACTCAAAGTTTCGGAAGTTCGGGTCGTCGAACAGACATTGCAACAAGTTCGAATAACGTTCCGGAAGGCAAAGATGGGTATGACCCTCAAGTGTCACCAGAGCAGGAGAAGTATTTCATTGATTCTATAACCCAGCTTGGAAAGCAAGTTCATTCTACGTCGCAAACAGCAAGGTCCAGACCAGATTCAATGGCATTAAAGCAACTCCAATTCCGCAAAAGTCTCTTTCAAAAGGGCCAAAAAGAGCTCGAACAGCAAAAAGATCCACAAGGACCCATGATGAGCGGCGGAGCCAACGGTGGTGGTTCGGTCGAACGTACCATGATTCATCCAAGAACATTGGGAGCAATATTGAAAGATCTCGAAGATCCCCGGACGACCAAATCCATGATTTTGGAGGACTATCAGCTTGCTCCTGGCTTTCTCAGTGGTTTAGAACGGTTTAGAGTTGCATCTACTGTTTATATTGAACCAAAGGAAGATAAAGAGGGTGAAATTGCTCCGGCCGTAGGTGAACCAGAAAGGACTTTATTAGACTACGACGGAGCTGGAGAGGTGGGCGAAAAAATGGACCAACAGAGAGTCGAAAAACTCAAGAGCAGGCTCGGTATGGATGAGTAAGAGGTCGGTGATTGGTGTTTTCTTGTATATAGTGCGGTTTTCTGGTGCCGATGCGGCGCCGTTTGCGGAGACTCTTTTCACGTTGGTTCATTGATTCACAAGTATGAAAGCGGCTAAGGACATTATATCAATTCTTTCAAAGTATACCCCATGTGACGTTTCAGACGCATTGGTTCAATTTGGGGTCAAGAATGGAGGCTACATTCCTAATCTTATTCAGAGATCACCTGCGTTGGCTACTGATCAAACCCACTCAGCAGCAGGAACTGCCTATACTGTTCTCTATGCTCCACTTTCTGATCCGAGACCAGCAGTGAAAACGCTGTATATCGATGAAATTCCTGAGGGAAGCATGTTGGTAATGGGACTTCCTCTCAGTTGCCAGACGACAAACTCACCGTTCGTCAAGGTGAACAATGCACTCTATGGCGGGCTCATGTCGACCAGGGCAAAGTACAGAGGTGCTAGCGGCTCGGTAGTACTTGGAAGAATCAGAGATTTGGATGAACATAATGAATTGGGTTATCCAGTGTGGTCCTATGGCGTAGGAAGTACGGCGCCAGGACCTGTGGTGAAGGTGGTTGGAATTAATGTGCCCATAGAAATTAAGGTTTCAAGTATTGAAGAAGAGCATTCGGTCTTAGTTGTCCAGCCAAACGACTACATTATTGCTGATAAAAATGGTGTGGTTCGTCTTCCAGTCAACCATGAAACGGAACACATTGATGTGGAAAAAGTACTTGAGTATATTCCCAAGAGAGTCGCCGCCGACCAGAAGGTCAGTGAGGACATCAAGAATGGCCGTCCAGCAGCAGAGGCCCAGAAATTCTGGCGAAGTAAAATATAAGTGTACCGCAAGGTAGTTGCAAAAGATAGTTGCAAATCTGAATGTATGGACCAGTATTTAGAATTATAGGAGATTGAGTATTTTGCAGGGTCAAGGACCCCTTTATTCTCTGTTTCGTCCTTCTGGCTATAGTCTTCAGCCATTGTGCCGTTATCGGCTTCCGACTGCATGTACGCTATCACCACCCCGGATTGCGCACAGAACATCTCAATCCACATTCAGTCACCATGTCAACGCCACAAACTACATCGATGCCAATAGATTTAGCGTCGAAAGATGTGTCGGCTATGGACTTGCGAAGCTCGTTGATAGGAAATAGGGATCTAAAGTTTCGCGTATTGAGCGATACTAGACTTACTCTGCAACTAGTAGACACATTTCGGGAGTCAGTTCACAGCCTAACCACCAGCACCAGGGCTATTGGCGGTGAGGGAAACTTTGAAATACTACAGCAGGTAGAGGAGAATGTGGTTGTCATTCAAATTTTGGTATCTTTTATTCTGGAATTAAAACAACTTCAAATGCTTCCCTTGGAATTCTCACCAGATGTGGTAAAACCACTTAGCTCGTCATTGATGGAATTCCTCAATTTCCACATCAAGGCGCTCGCCAGCTCCAATAACATGATCAATGATGCACACATGAAAACCATAGAAACATGTGCAATCAGCTCCCTTGAAATTCTAATGATACTTGCCAACTTAACAGGCGCAGGCCCTCATGAATATTCCCAACCATTATGGAGGTACATTCTCTCTTCTGCATTGACTGCCATGGACTCTTGGACTGACACGTCCAGCTATTTCGATAGCATCCTTCAACTAGTACCCCTGTGCTTGGCCACCTTCACGATATCCTCCACCGATTTCCACTTAGTAGCAGTTCTACTAAATACTTTGTTGGTTCGCTTGGGCAAACAATGTTCGGTTGATTCCGAAAAGGCTCGGGATTCCACGTCGCTTTCGTCTATCACGACTTGCGCTGCTCAAATATTCGGTTTCTTTGAGTCCAAAAGCTTTCTGCCCGGTGGGCTAGATATGGTCTTTCCTCTTTTGCCCAATATCTTCAAATTCTTGCTGGTATGCATCAAATCCAGTGATCATGCCTCGGTTCTTGCATCATTAAACTTGTATTTCTTCTTGGTGAAGGCTCAGGAAGCACACCAATCTAGCGGAGAACTTCATGGCCGGGTTGAATCTTTTGAGTTAATCGTTCCCAAGGCCACAGAAATGCTGATTCATGAATCTGTCAGTTCTAATATCAAGCGCCTCTATTTGTTGTCCCCGACAAGAATATTGTCCAACATATGCCTCCAGTACCCGCGTGTAACTGACGATATTCGAAAGACCAGCTTGGATATTGAAATCATGAAAAAGCTTGAGGCAAATTATGTCAGTAATCAAACGTTCAAGCTCTTCTCTAGCCTTAAAAAGAAGTCTAATGGCGGAACAAAGATAGTGGATTTTTCGCCATTTTTGGAGCTTGATTCAACCAACGTTCAAGAGATTTCAGACTTTTTACTTTTTTTGAGTGTTTTCACTAGTGAAAAAGAAGAACACAGAGAAAGAGTTCTCAGTTATGGTAATGATGAGAAGCAGAAGAGCCAGATCCTTCCAAAGCTCTTATTCGAGACAGTGGACAACTTTAGGTTTCTTTTGCTTCAGTTCCATCTAGTACACTCAGTCATGAACTCACAAGACAGCAACAATTGCATCCAGGGTCCTGATCTTCCATTTTTCGGAAACAATATGGGTATAATAACCAGGTTGTTAGCTAGTTCATGCTTCACTAACAATTTTTACCTTATCAGGTCCTTATCTAGATCGGTTTCGCTCCTCAGGACTTTCTTCGTCGAATGCAACGCTCTCATCAGCCTTATAGGTTCCAAGCCCCAAAGGAACTCCGATCCTTTCATTGATAGATTCGACACTCCCCATCATTCAGGGGGCTTAATTTCGAACATTTTGTTTTCTCTTCGTGACACAGAAGCTGGCGGCGATTTGATGGAGCTGTATTCTCGTATGAGTTCACCTGTGAGTTTCATGCGCTCTTGTCGAAAGATTCAAATGCTAAACAAGTCTATTGTCTTGGGCATCATTGCAAACTTTGTGCTCGATTTCAGCTCTTTCAGATATGATATTGTTAACGACCAAGAATTTATTGAGCACCTAGAGTACATTTACACTCGAGCCACTCTGCACAGTGTTGAGTCTCTGTCTGGAGATGACTTGGAGGGCGAAGAGAACATTTTGCAAATGGAAACAATTCAGTTGAACGTTTTGCAGATCATCAAGAACTACATGTACAACGAAAATCAAGAAAACAAGATTGAGATGTTGTCTTATTTTAAGCTTTCCACCATCTTTGATAAAACACTCATTGGAGTAACCAACGAATGGAAGAACAAGAAAATATCTGCAGAAGTGAGACAATTGTTATTAAAGCAAAAGATTGTGGCCTTTGACATCTTGAGAAATTTGACCGCTGGCTCTCCCCATTTCAGTGAGCACCTAACAGAGGTATTTGAGAGAGATTACTTGACCTCGATTCCTTCACTGTCTGGAGCTCCTCGTGATTGGACCGAATACTTAATACGAAATATTGTGAACTACGACCTTTTCGATCCTAATGCTGGAGATGGAGACGATTTTAAGAACGACGAGGTATTATTGAGCCGGATGAACGATGGAGATTATGTCTCCCTTCTTTTAGCTGTCAATTACATTGAAGACCATCGCTTCACTAATATGGAAAGCTTCGTTGGCTATGATCTTCCTCGTGATGAGTTGTTGCACATATGGTTGCGGTTCTTGAAACTATATGTCAATACCGACGCTGAAGGTGATCTTGATTTGAACACAAGGGTAGCCATAAGTAATGGTTTGAATTCTATCAAGCTCCTGATAGTATGGATCATAATCAATTTGACCTGGAAAGATGATATGGTGGGCTATCAATACCCTTCGGAAACTTCTTACAGGCTATACGATACAGTTCAAGGTGGAAGACATGGAGGCGGAGCGGCAGCCCCAATCGACACAATAGAGATAGATGTCGATGATACAGAAGAGGGTAAACCGAAGGATAGCAACAGCAATCAGCATGTCATGAGTTCTCCGCTTCAGCGAGCTCGCTATCTCAGACGATTTGGATTTGCTAAGGCACTTGAAATGCTAAACGACAGTTTGACTCGCGGGACTAAGAAGGCAAAAGATGCTAATGGTGGAAATTCAGCAGGCCGATCTGTTTCTCCTGGGCAGAGATTTGACGATTTTGTCAGCAATGATTTGCTTGAAAAGGTCAAGACTGCTCAATTTCAGCTCCAGCTGGTAAAAGTCAACAACGGCACCAAGCTGGCCTCTGAAAAAAGTTCCTACAAGAGTTTACCGGCGGCTACCTCAGGACATACTCATCGGCCAGATGTAAATAGAGGAGGCGAAGGTTTTGGCTACGGATCGGATGAAGAGTATGCTGATGCCTACGAGCACTCTCGTGGCAGCGACCATGACGTCAGTGACAATCAAAGCGATGAAGTACGCATGGAAAGTGCTGCTGAAGATTCCGAGGACGAGCCGTGGATTCGTTAGTGTCGAAGCAGGATAACAACAATGCATTGAGATTCATCATGATGGGGCTATGCATCTTGTTTCGGACTGTATGGACCCGCCACTGTTGACGCAGGTTACTTGCCATTAGCAAAATAAAAATAAAATAATCGAAAACGCCGCAAGATTTTGCAGAAATTTGAGTTTAATTAGCAAGTTTAACCTATACGCGACTGTGAAAGCAACATAATAACAAGGAAAATACGGGCTAGTCCTGCGTAGTACATCTCATCGCCATTTTTTAGTGCCTCAGCATTGACATCATTGGTGTATAGTTGCAGCCAAAGATCTCTGACGTAAATGTCGAGATTGTTCGCGGTAGTCGTGGCGTATGCAGTACATGTTGGGACGTATTTTAACAATTCTCAAATATCCGCTAAGGTCTTGAAAAGGGTAGTCGTCAACGAAAATACTTAACGCGGAGTAGCACGACCCTTTACGCCTCGTACATATCTCGCATAACCACGAGGTTTAGTTTTGTTGATTGATCTTATTCGCAATTAGAAATTACTTACAAACTTGCCCCTTGAAGCAAGGAAACGTCAAAAACTAGACCACGTTGAAATTTATTTAAACGACCATATTAGACACAAAAGCGATTTAATAACGCAAGCTTTTTCACTTAACTCCAATATGACGTCGATGGAATACTCAGAGACTAGCAAACATTCGTTAAACGATATCTCGCTCGAGGAGATGGCCCAGAGCCAACAACAACATAATATTTATGTTGGTGGACAGGAGACACACGGAGCGCCTGATCAACCTAGTATTGATGCTAAAAATCTGTCTACGTCGTTAACTAAAAGTACATCTCGCCATCTTCACAAAGACACCACCACGAAGGGCAAGTATACCTTGAATGACTTTCAAATTCTAAGAACATTGGGAACCGGATCATTCGGGCGAGTGCATTTGGCCAGGTCAATACATAACGGTCGATTTTACGCTATGAAAACCCTCAAGAAGGAGAGAGTAGTCAACATGAAGCAAGTGGAACATACTAACGATGAAAGAAGAATGTTGAAGCTTGCACAGCATCCATTCATTATTCGAATGTGGGGAACATTCCAAGATTGCCACAATCTCTTCATGATAATGGACTACATAGAAGGTGGTGAGTTGTTCTCTTTGCTACGCAAGTCTCAGCGATTTCCGACACCAGTAGCAAAGTTCTACGCAGCTGAAGTATTTCTCGCCATAGAATATTTGCACAAGCTCGACATAATCTACCGTGATTTGAAACCAGAAAACATTCTTTTGGATAAAAATGGCCACATAAAGTTAACCGATTTTGGTTTCGCCAAAGAAGTGGCTGATGTAACATACACTTTATGTGGTACTCCAGATTATATTGCTCCAGAGGTGGTTGCTACAAAGCCGTATAATAAATCCGTTGATTGGTGGTCGTTCGGAATATTGATCTTTGAGATGCTAACTGGATACACCCCGTTTTATGATCCAACGCCAATGAAAACATATGAGAATATTTTAAACGGTACAATCACTTACCCTGACTACTTACCTCCTGACATTCTAGATTTGTTGCAAAAGTTGATCGTCAAGGACTTGTCCCAACGATTGGGAAATTTGCAAAATGGCTCGGACGACATCAAGAATCATCCATGGTTCAAGGAAGTGATATGGGAACGTCTATTGTCGAGAGATATCGAAAACCCCTTATGAGCCTCCAATCACTTCTGGTGTAGGCGACACATCTCAATTTGACAGGTATCCCGAAGACAAAGATTTAGATTATGGTATCAGTGGTGTTAAACGATCCATTCGGGGAACTGTTCCCTGATTTCTAGACGCATGCTAGTCATATGGCTACGATAATGAACATTATTCTCATTCTTCTCTGCTTCAAGAGATGCTCTTACAGTAAAATTTTCAATTATTGATATAATGAACCTAATAATACATAATTTGATGTTCTAAATGCAAGTGTCTATAGACTTCATCCAATCGCTTTTTAGGAATTTGTCGACGGTGAGTCTTGTCGATGGGTTGATATCGAGTAGCGAGTATAGGAGCATTTTTCTTAACTCGCAAAACTCTTTTTCATCTTCATCATCAGAAGAGTCGTCGTCTTCTTCGCTCAGATAACCGAAAAGAGTTTCAACAGGAGGAAAGGTTCCTTTTCGGTGAACGAGCCACTCTTTCGTATTATGGTCATAGTCGGCAATCATACGCTGCTTGACGTATTCATCAAAAACCTTGTCCTTGTATCTCACTTCTCCTTTAAGTTTACCTTTTGACTCTGTGCTATGCCAAACGTAGCCGTTTCCAAACTGTTCAAGAACTGATGCCCCAGGGGTGTCAGCGCTCATGTACAAGCTCTTTTGAATATTGAAAAGTGTCAAGATTAGCACTCCAAGCGCCCAGTTATCCTTCTTCTTGGCAGAATAACCAGAACTTTCTTTATTTCCGCTCCCATATTCTTCAGGAGCAATGTATGGTTCGGATCCTATTGGTCCAGTACTGTAAGGAATAAGTTGCTCGGCCTTATCCCACTTAGTTTGCACTACATTTGACTTGCCAAAGTCTGACAACTTCAATGTGATACTCGTATGTGTTGGAGAATCTTTTGGAGCCGGCTCGTAACTCACGAGAACATTTTCAAGCTTCAAATCGCAATGTGCCACTCCATGTTGATGCATGTACCATAAGCCGCGTGATATTTGTTTCACGAAACAGTCGTTCTCGTCGACTGAGACGTGCCTTATGCTTTGATTATTGATGTCTGTTTTTGTCGTAACGTACGTGAATAGATCGCCTCCTGGTGTGCATTCCATGATTTGACTAATTTTGGAGTACTCTCCTACTTCAGCCCAGTATTTCTTCACGTTCTCCACTGGAGGTAGAGTATACATCAAGTCTATGGTCTTGACAATATGACGACTGTTCAATGTGGACGATATGATAAACTCTGAAAGAATTCTCTCAATGAACTTTTCCTTGGTTTCCCTATCCCTCGAATCGTTATTCGGTCTTTTTTGTAACTCCTTTACAGCATAAAGCCGGTGGCTTGGTGGGAACTGAGGTAATTCGTTTTTACGGTCCGGGTCTATGATCTTTATGAGACCGTAGGCGCCTCGTCCAATAACTTTGCTCACAGTGCCGTATTTATCATAGAGAGTCCTGCTTTTGGAAAGGATCTCTTCCTGATCCTTGATGCTTTCCTTGTGTTCTAGGATTTTGGACAATTTGCTTGTCAAATGGTTGAGCTGTGCCACTTGATCGTCACCAATTGCGGAGACAAAGAGACGAGGGTCGTCCTTTTTAGTAGTGCATGATAATGGGTGAATTTTCAGTTCATTGTCAAGCAAGGAGAATGTCCTTTTGGATTCCTCATTGGCTGCTTGTGTCAAGGATGCTTGATTCACCGTTCCCAAACCACAATAGCCCATCAAAGTCGAAAGCTGAGACTTTTGCTCCAAACCTTTGCCGTGCTTTTTTATTGCATGAGTGTGTATCTCCTCCAACTCGCTATCATCCGTATCAGAAACCAGTCCGTCCCCATCCAGCAGATCTGACTCAAAGTCTGACTCAAACTCACCGTCGTCGTCATCATCAATGTTCTCCACGATCGTACTTACTGGACGGCTACTCGGTTTGCGTCGAGAATCTACTGGCTCATCGATAGAGAGACCCTTTGTATGCTTCGTTAATTTCTCTACATCGTCGTTTCCATGGCCCTTGCCCGCTTTGTTGCTTTTGAAAAGGGTCTTGAATTTACTATGGGATCCAGCAGACTGAATTGATGCCGCCGATTCCACCCTGTGTAAAGAATCTCTTCTGTCGCTTCCTTCCCCGGACGAGTCGTGAGTTGGCGACAACTCTTTCTTCCGGGAAAGCTTTATTAATGCCATTGGTAGTTGGAGGAACCCTCAGGCAGATCTCAAATCTAAATTGAAGCCGTGAGGGGTCTGCATACGAGTTTGGCCGATATTCTGTTATGTAAGCGGAATATGATGTAGAGTTCACCGAAGTTCTAGGCACGTGTGGATTCGCGTGATTGTGTGGCAGATGTAAGGCGGAATGTGACACAAAACGCGTGGTTCCATTTCAGGACACTCGGTACCTCGCCTAGGTTTTTATCGTGTCGCAGAAAAATTGCGAGGAACAACTAATTAGGGGAAGCTCAAAAACTTGATTTTGCAAATTCTACATCGCAGCTGTGGTTGGCAATGACGAGTATCTACACTGCAGACATTAGAAACCATCGTCGTGCACCTCCTCCGCCTACTCAGGCGTCGGCTAACGATTTGGCGGCAGGTGGTCTGACGCAGTTCAACGGCTCTCACGTAGCATCGAATAGTAATGGAAGCTCGGGGTCCAATAAGAGTATCCAATTGAACATCAACTCGAAGAAGCGCCAGTTTGGCTGGGTTCATCTCAAGGATGATGGAATATTTACTTCATTTCGTTGGAATAGACGGTTCATGGTGATCAACGACAAGACGCTCAATTTCTACAAGAATGAACCTCCGGCGCCATCTAACCTGTACTCGGCTGATCAGGCTACTATGGCATCAAATACGCCAGATATGTCATTTCCCTTGAATTTGGTGAGTGCCATAAACTTGAAACCAAACTCGGGTTATAGCAAAACGTCTCACACGTTTGAAATTGTGCCCAAGAACAATGGACGGTCGATGTTTATTTCGGTCAAATCTAACAACGACTATATGGATTGGCTTGATGCATTCACCACTAAATGTCCTCTTATCAACATCGGCAATGCAAACGCAACAAACATGTTGAGCGGCAACGCGGGTGTTTCAAACCCTATCAATTTCACTCACAAGGTTCATGTTGGGTTCGATCCAGCAAGTGGTAACTTCACCGGACTTCCTGATACATGGAAAAACTTGTTACAACATTCCAAAATTACCAACGAAGATTGGAAGAAAGACCCGGTTGCAGTTATCGAGGTGTTGGAATTCTACTCTGACATCAATGGCGGAAACTCCTCCACGTCCACCCCCGTTGGTCTGCCAGCGGTCAACAATATGGCCAACGAACTGAAAATGAACGCTAACTTGCAAGAGTGGACAAAGCATCCCACTAAAAATCAACATGAACATCAGTTCAATCCTACGAGGGCCGCCCCAAGACCACCACCCTCGACCACCCAGAAGTCGAGCTCAAATATATCTCCTTTGAATAATTTGTTGAACAACTCGCATCTGGCCGCTAACACACAGGTAACTGGCGATTTGGTACCTGCAAGAAGGGCTCCACCTCCACCCCTGGCAAATAATGAATCCACCCATGCTCCAACCCAGCGTCTGAAACCATTTAATTCAAATCAGCCTACTGGATTAGGCTTATCATCGGCGAACACCACCACCATCCCCAAACAAAGTCCTCCTTCATTGCCCAAGCATCAAACAGTAGACTCAAAGCCTGCTCAATTACCTTACCCCAAAAAATACCCAGAAAATGATGATGGTCATGAATATGTTAAGCCCTTTGCAACAACGAGCAAGTTACAATTGGGTACGCGCAATGAAGAGCCGAAGGAAATCAAGAAACCTGTGGCTCAAGATGCCATTAAGCCGTTACGTATTGCACCAAAGGCTCAACAAGCTACCAGCGGCAAAACGTCGTCGCCAGCCATTGGCCCTGCGCCTGTGAAAACAGCTAAACAGCTCAAACGTGAAAGAGAAAAACTTAACGAGATGCAAATTATTGCCAAGCTTAAGACTGTTGTCAACAACAATGACCCTACCCCATTATTTAAAATCATAGAGAAGGCTGGTCAAGGTGCATCCGGAGCAGTCTACTTGGCTGAATCTTTGGCCAAAGGTGGAAGTAAAGTTGCGATCAAGCAAATGGACTTGAACCTTCAACCAAGAAAAGAACTCATCATAAATGAGATCTTAGTCATGAAGGATTCCCAACATAAAAACATTGTGAATTTCTTAGATTCTTACTTACGCGGAACATCCGACTTATGGGTGATTATGGAGTACATGGAAGGTGGATCGCTAACTGAAGTCATCGAAAATAACGATTGTCGCTTATCAGAAAAGCAAATCTCCATTATATGTTTCGAGACATTGAAAGGTCTACAACATTTGCACAAAAAGCACATTATTCACAGGGATATTAAGTCGGACAATGTATTGTTGGATGCCAAAGGTAATGTCAAAATTACAGATTTTGGTTTCTGTGCCAAATTGACGGATCAGAGGAATAAGCGTGCAACAATGGTAGGCACTCCGTACTGGATGGCGCCAGAGGTTGTCAAGCAGAAAGAATACGATGAAAAAGTTGACGTATGGTCTCTTGGTATCATGACGATTGAGATGATTGAGGGAGAACCTCCATACTTGAACGAAGAGCCTTTGAAAGCTTTGTACTTGATTGCTACCAATGGTACGCCCAAGTTAAAGAAGCCTGAGCTTCTTTCCAACTCGATCAAGAAGTTTTTGTCAATTTGTTTGTGCGTTGATGTTAAATACAGAGCGCTGACGGACGAGTTGATTCAGCATTCGTTTATTCAACACAAAGCAGGCAAAGTCGACGAACTTGCACCATTGCTCGAATGGAAGAGGAATATCTCTCGCGAATGAGTATGTATGTACGTATATTATAGCATGATTCTTAGAAAGTTTTGTAGTGGTTCGCTTAAACTTTTCGTGTGCGTTTACAACCGACGTACAAAAGGATGGAAAAATTAAATTAATTGATATAAATACACGAGAAAGAGAGACCAACTTTTGCAACACTCTGAACTCTAAACGAAAGGAGCGATTAAACAACCCATTATTTGCCGCTAGTTCGAACTAGCATAGTTAGATGGGTTGAACGAGCTGGTGATTTGTTCTTCACCAGGAAGGTTAGGTACCGCCTGTGGGCCAATCGACGGCTGTGCGGTTTGTGGGCTGTTGTGCAGCTGTCCACCTCCATGTGTTAAGTGACCAGGGACTGGGAATGTTGGGTAATTCCCTAACAGATGGCCATTACCAGCACCTTGGGTCCTTGATTTATTTGTTAAATTTTTTTGCGACTGGTTATAGTTCGATGAAATACTATTCATCGTAGGAAGAGAGCCCGATTCAGTTGAAGGAACCACATAGTTATAAGAAGGGTGCAGCAGCAGAGTTTGAGGCGCCAGAAATTGTTGCTGTGGTCCTTGGTAATAACTCTCCAACGGTTGTGGATATAAATACAACGGATGGTTCAAACCTTGCAATGAAGACCCGCTGTCGTACAGGTATGACTTTACCTGTGGAGGAATCATGTAACTGTTATAATAGGAGCCAGGTTGGCCCGAATTGTTGGTTGTGGATCCGCCGTGGATAGCTCCATATGGACCACCAAAATTAACGTCAGATATGGCTGAGCCCACGATAGGTGGACCAGACCCATGATTGCCTTCTGAGCTTTCCTTCCGTGGAACCCGGTACGGTTGATACGGGATATTTTCGTCTTTATGATTGTTGTACATGAAGGAAGGGGTCTGGATTGGAATGGGCAACATATGAAGTCCTTGTGGGCCACTCGAACCTTGTGGAATAAATTTTTGTTGCTGAGGTACATTATAGTGCAGCTGAGGGGACTGATCTTGCCTTTCGCTATGGGAAGACTTTGCATGGTCGATGTCCTCAAGGGCCGACATGTTTTGCAACTGGTAATTTGTGTCCAAGAAATAGTAAGCTTCGTCTTCAATAGGAATTTTTCCTACTAATTGAGTGTCCTTTACTGCATTCCAGAGGCCTTCTGAGATGGTCAAGTCTTTCAAATCATCCTCCGAGGGTCTCGTTAAAAAGCCATTTAAAACGTCATCGACGTTATAATAGCAAATCAAGTGAATGGTCATCTTTTGATTCTTGGTTTCGAGGTTTAAGTCATTCGAATTTGTTGCAATACTCATGGTTTTCTTGATGAGTCCCAGATCTCTTGACATATATGGCTTTGGTTCGGTCGCATTGGAACTCCAGGTACCGGAGATATTGTACGGTGAGTTGGTTTTAGGGTCAGAAACGTCTATGCTGACCTTCCTTTTCTTCTTCTTCTTGTCGTCCTTTTCATTCAAACTGTGTTTGTCCAACTCTCGGTAAACTAAGAATCGGCCTAGAATGCGCAGTGGTGACCATGCAATTCCATCTGTCCATCTTTTAATGCCAGAGTATTCTTCTATGAATACAAACACGTTTCCAGATTTTATAAACTGGGGTCGTTCTTTTTCGAGCGGACGCCGTGGTATCAAGCTTAGTTGCTGATTTAGGACAGCTTGTGTGACGAGTAAAGCATCCTTCGTGGACCCGACATACCCACGATACGTTTCACTGATCTTTTCTGTCGACATAGATCAAATCGTATCAAGGAACGAATCTTGAAACAAAGCTTCAAAAATAATATATGTACACCGTGATCTACCAGGGTATTCTTGATCGATTAAATATTGTCTTGGAAAACAATTGCGCACTTTTGTGCTCGTAAGCGTTACCTAGGTAGGGAATATTGTTCCAGAAATACGAAACAATGAACGAAATCCTCGGCAGTAACAATCCAAAAACCACTTCGGTGTTAAATGAATATCTTAAATCAGGAGACAAAGAAGCAACTTTAAATCAACAGTATAACACTAAACGAAAATAGAGCAAAAAATGAAAATTGCACTGTCGCTCGGTATGTAGGTACGGTGACGCAAATGTCTATGCATATGCACGTCTACGTCGAATATGCAAGGAAAATCGATTCGAAATCCGAGAACATCACTATAGTGGTGCTAATAACACTCAGAATCTTAAAGAAACTATCGGAATGCCTGTGTATTTCGAAATTTATACATTGTACAAAATTGCTCTCTTTTATCTTTAAGAAATCACACATTAGCGAGAATACGCGATTTCCTAATTAAGTAAGCGAGCCTTCCACGCCCTGCAAGACATGGATCCCTGCATTTGTTTCAAAAATTTAACTTTGGTCAGTTGCTCAATACATACTAGATTACGATTGCTAAAAGCATAGACCTGCTTGTAGGTTAAACGGACGGTTTTCATGTTAATATTGCCGGCCGTTCGCTGAATTGGGGAGAAGTGAAACGCGAGTGACCAATTGAAATTGTGAATTCTGTCCGGAGGATAACGTGCGACCCGCACCGTATGAGGCAAATTTCCGCATACAATTGCTCACCTGCATTCGCCTTGCGAATTATTAGGCAATGGTTTGCGCCGGGTGAGAAGGACCCTTGCTGCAAGATCTCTGCAAAGTATAAACAGTTAGGGTGTCAATACCAGTGGGTTCGGCAGGTCTACGACAATTTCAAGGAAGGGCTATCGTATCCTGATGGCTACACATCTCCAAAGATAGTCGTTTGTTATCAATTTTGCGACAAAATCTTCATTAGCACACTCACAGCGCGAAAATTTGGTGAAAGGTATGAACTAAAAAATGCAAAAATACAAAATTCTGCATTTTGAAAAAAATCACAACCACACTAACAAGACTTGGCATATGAGCAATATGAATTTACGTACTATGGCTGCAAATCTCCTTCACTACCCCTTGTTTATGACCTTGCCTTTTCATCACGTATGTCGGCCTTCGTAAGTCGAGTACCAAAGCAAGCTCACTCACGTCCCCGCCAATTCGCTTATTCTTGCAAACAAAGTGAGTGCTGATCCTTCCTAATCAAGCTACCATAAAATATTTGATTACGTTAAAAGTCAGACGCAGCTCACCGTCCCGCCCCGCAAAACAACGTCAATTAGGTAAGCACCCAAGTTTTGCTCGCGATTCCGCCCCACACGATACGATAAGACGTTTGTCTGAAAATTGCAAATTGCTAATTCTGCACACAAAAAATCAATCATCGAAGACGGCGTTCATGCTAAAAAGTGAATCAATCGACTTCCATTCACACTTGCCTCCATATAGATCGCTCTTGTCCCCTAATGCCCGCTATGATTACAAAACGCATTCGCTTATCCCCATTTCCGAAACTGAGCTTAATGCAATCCACATCGGTAGGGGCAATAGCGTGAAGGCAACAAGCAAGATCAAGATGAAGTACAAGTCTCTATTGAGTGACGTTAGCCGGAAAACTTCTATCTTGTCTATGCGTATTGGAAGTACCTCAACTATCCCCAGATCACTTCCTCCCTGTACTTTCTCGTCATTACCAGTGGAGGTGATTGACCGCATATTGCTGCTACTAGACTTTGACGATCATAAGTCTTGTATGCTTGTCAACAAGCAGCTATACCGCTTGACTAAGCCACATCTTTATCGGCGTATCAGATTTACATCCCCTTATCGGTTAGCTCAATTTGTGACCTATTTGAGATATAATCCTCAAGTAGGTACTTACGTTCAGGGAATAGACTTATCGGGTCTCAAACCTGGAGTTGGTGACAGCAATACCGAAGACGTGTTTGCATTTTTTGATCTCAGTGATCATGAAATAACTGCTGCAGAAGTTCTTGCAGGTTGGAGAGACTGGAAATTTCTCAAGAACCCACTCTATTCTCTTCATTCGCATTCAAACCTCTGGAAGGTGTCATCTAATTCGGTTCTTCTGAATTCGACCAAAACAGTTAACTCCCGAAGAACATCTTCATCTTCCTCCAGCAACCCCGGCAAATTCCGCAAGCTTTCACACAGCTTGAAATACTTCAAACCCAAGAAGAGCTCTGAGTCCAGCACGAGAAAGAGAAAAATTCCTCCTGTGAGCGAAGTGTTGGAGTTAAAGGGTCAAGGTAGTCATCGCCAACAGCATCCCAGAATTAACAAGTTTCTCCTAGAGTATGCCACACTGCGAGACATCCCCGTGGGGTATATTTTACACATTGTTAACTTGTGTCCTAATTTGATATCACTCAATTTGGCCAACATTTCATTATCGGCTGATTATGAGATTACATCGCCCATGGTATATAAATACCGCACAGTTGATTTGATGAGTAATTATCCCAAAGATTTATTGTCAAGGGTTAACGACTTGATGACGATGCCAGAAACCATTCTCGCTAAGTTTGATTCTGAAAGGCCAAGTGACCCTGAATCAACATTCTCACTCTTTTCCAGTGCGTCTGGCGCTGCAAACATCGTGAAGGGTCCTATGGACCTCGTAAGCCATACATTGACATCGCCACCGAACAGGAAATACAACAGCCTTCTTCCACCTTTGCCACAAAATATCTTTGATGTGTCATATGTCAAGAGTGGAGACGGGAAAGTGTTTTTGAGCGACCTAAATCTCAAATCAATCAACAGCAACTACCTAACTCGAATTAATGAGCAGGAGATTCTACTGGCAATATCCTCCCGGTATGCAACTAATTGCCACAGAAAGAGTTGTCGCCAATATCTAAACATATCGTCCATGGTATGGCTTGATCTCGCAAAGGTTCGAGGGTTCTTGATTGCCCTTCTAGGATCTGAAGTAGAATTGCTCAAGTCAAGTTGTGAGGACTCAGAAAATCATATACTGGGATCTAAAAAGGAACGCTATAAGCGGAATTTAGTGATTGATTTATCGAACTCTGGCATGTATAAGGTACTACACTGGGCAAAAGTAATAGATTTTTCTGAGCCTAGTGGAGTAAACCTTGCCAAGAAAATTGTCAAGGGCGAGTCGCTTGATAGTCTCGAGGAGTACATTGAGAGAGATAGGATAAGGAGAGGTAGGATAGCAGAGAACTACTTAGTATGAATATTATGAATGTACCAGACTTCAGGTCATCACCATTTCATGGGTCAGCCTGACCTACAAGTAGCGGCGACCTCCAACAGCGATGGTTTTAAAGCTGGGTAATATTAATATGACGCAGTGTGAACGTAGCATGAATTCAGGCTCTGAATGTTAATGCCTATTTGCATCCATGGACGTTCACCAGCGATTGTAAAGAAGAAATTTCCCATCTCACCTCTCAATAGTCTGCGTGCGGGTAACACTTTTTGGTGCCTTTGAGGAAATTTGTAGCGTCATCTGCTGTAGCATGTCTGAGTTATCGGCACAGCTTTCAGCTTTCAAAAACAAGATCAGAAGCGGGCCTTCTGTTCCTGTTGCTAGAAGGACTGTGCCTCAGAAACCAGCACCGGCTGACAACTCAAATTCCGTAAAGAGGGTCGCTGATCCTTATGATGAAGCGGCAAAGAGGCAACGGACTACGGGACCTGCAGGTTCAAGATGGTCTACACAACTACATCTTGCAGTAGAATACATCAAGGAACAGAATGCGCCTGTGCCCGTACCTAAACTTCAAAGCTACTTGTCATTTGACATTACACCGACTCTTCTACCTCTCCTTAAAGAAGTCAATCGAATTAAATATAATCCAAACAACAATACCTTGGAATACACTTCGCTTCATAATATAAACACTCCAGAGGCACTTCTTGAATTCTTAAGGACCCAGCCAACTTTTAAGGGTACTCCGGTGAAAGATTTGAAAGATGGATGGCCCGGATACCTACAGGCTATTTTGGACCTCGAGGAAGAGGGGAAAGTCATAGTCTTACGCACGAAAAAAGAAAATATGCCACGGCTCGTCTGGGCAAATTTGGGTGGAATCATAGGGGCCATAGACGAAGACTTTAAAGAACGTTGGGGAAAGATCAAGTTACCTCATCCGGATGATATGTATCAGTCCTTGATCGATCAAAGTATCAAGCCTACTGGTGCCGATCCTCTGCTGCTCAACAAGAAACCACAGCAGCAAGAGAAGAAAAAGAAAAAGACTAGAAAGGGTAAGATTACTAACACCCATATGAAGGGCAAGTTAAAGGATTACTCTCAAATGGTTTAGACTGCATTTATAGAATACATTGCGCGTAAATTTGAGTACACCACACTCTCGCCTCTGCGAGCACGATATTAGATTCACGAAGGAACGAATACTACACGATGTCTGGTATGTACTTTGATAAATCAATGGCATTTCATGTCCCGTTGTAGACGTGCTTCTTTTCCTAGATGAATCGTTTATGAACAGAGCATTATTTACCATTATGAATACGCCTAAATGAATGGTGATTCTTGAAAGGAACAAAAATCATTGCTAACAACAGTGGACTTTAACACCGTTGCAACTGAATTCTGTAACTTTTACTACCAACAGTTCGATTCTGACAGAACTCAATTGGGAAACTTGTACAGGGAACAATCTATGTTGACGTTCGAGACCTCGCAATTACAAGGAGCGAAGGATATCGTTGAAAAGTTGGTTTCTTTACCTTTCCAAAAAGTGGCGCACAGAATTTCAACATTGGATGCCCAACCAGCTTCCCCAAGCGGTGACATTTTGGTTATGGTCACTGGTGAGTTATTGATTGATGAAGAGCAAAATGCTCAGAGATACTCCCAAGTATTCCATTTGATCCCAGATGGCAACTCATACTACGTTTTCAATGATATCTTCAGATTAAATTATTCTTGAGCTAAACGTTGAGCTGCATTTTTCCTTTCACGTATAGATAATGGGTTTCGTCCCAGTCATGGTATTTTAGTAATTATGCAGGAATAAATATCGTCTATCTGCTTTGACGTGGGAAAGTCTTTCCAGCAATGAATACTCAAACGCCCGAAATTCCCCAACGACCAAACAAACAATCAACTGAAACTGCTGATGCAGAGCTGACTCCATTGGTTATCTTCGAGGATTCCAACTCGATCCAGGAAGATGAACAAAGTAAATCCCTCCCCGTGTTGTCAGCTGCAGAACTTCCGACTATTCCACCCAGACCCTCTATTTCCAAACGACCTTCGAAGACCAAATCGCAAACAAGCCTGCCACTGATGGAGAGACTACCATCAATTCCAAAACGGCCGACCTCCAAGAAGCATCCGTCACAATCCATAGACGAGACGAGTATGAACGAGCCAGAGCTAAATAAGACCGTTGATCTTAATTCACATAATTCTGGCTTCGATTTACCACTCTTTGTGAACAGTGACTTAAAACCTTCCGATGAACTACTCATTTCAGAGCTAAATGATTCGGACGGAGAGGATATCAACAAGACTCCATCTAATAGCCGTACTAAGGTGAGTCTCAAAGATGATCTGGATAATTTTGGTAGTGGTGCAAGTGACACCGATTCTCTGGTTTTCAATGACGATGCGGAGACAATGCTTCAAGAAGTCGAGGATTCTGGTACGTCAACGCAGGTTTTGGAGAGTACGATCAAAGAGCAGCCCTCTTCTCTGACCTCTGGGGTAATGAATAATGACGAGGATGAACAGGAACCAGCCATAGTACGAGATACCAATCCCGGACTAACGAGTACCAGCGGAGCAAAGAGCTCGGTCATTCTGGAGACTAAGGTAGATCCTGTGTTGAGTGATCTCGACCATCAAATCAATAAAAAGGAAGAAGAAAAAGAAGACGAAGAAGAAGAAGGAGAAGTGAAGTTACAAACTAAAGGCAGCAAGTCCGAGCAGAGCATGCTTAAAGAAGAGTCAGGGCATATAACGCACGTAAAACCTACGATACCAAAGCGGCCATCTAGACCCCTGAGTGAAGGACAGGCGGATGAACCGAATAAGTCAGGTCACAAACCCTTGCGTGATGAAACGAAGAAACCCCCACCAAGGCCCAAGCCTCTCTCATCAAAAATAGCTGCTTTTCAGACTATGTTCGAGAGCGGAGACCTGTCACTCCTGGGCACGAAGGCAATCCCACCTCGCCCTGTAAGGAAATCTGTGGTGACAGATCCCAACCACTCCGAAGAACCAGTTGACTCTAATCAAAATCGAGCAAAGCTATCTGAGAAGCATAAAGCTTTCGCTCAAAATTTGAAAGGAATGGTTGGCCACGGTATCCCATTACCAGGATTAGCTACGCCTCTGGCTCTTGCTGCTGCATCAAAAGAGAAGAATGAAGATAACAGCGATCCACCTACGAAAGAGTTGGAACCATTGGCACGTCCTGGAAAGGGAGCCAGAAATAGAATATCAAAAAGCAGAAAACTACCTGCTAATTTGAAATCCGCTGCGCTTGTCGAACCAGACGAAAGTAACACACTCTCCATTCTGAATCCCTGGGTGATTGATTTAGCCCTGCATTGAGCCAAGAAGTTGGATACCATCACTCTACTGTTGTTGCAAATCTTATCTATATTTTCCATTGATTTCAATATTTTACATATTCACCGTCTCTTGATTCTACCTTCGGTATGGCGAGGAACATAATTAGTAGATGCAATGTCCCTCGGTTCTGGTACCTCCTCTCGTTCAGTGCTGGACGTAACTTCGACTTCGCAGCTTCGCTGAGGAATGGAATATTGCTCACTGAGCAATACTCGGTAGGAGTCGACCTGCTCGTCGATTTCCTTTTCATTAAGACCCGCATCCTCCAATTCTATTCGCCGCTCAGCGCACTTAACTTCGACCGCCCGTTTATTCTTATGGTCCTTAAGAGATTCCTTGGCCATCTGTTGACGGTATTTGCTGACATTGGTGGTTTCCTGTTCATGATTCTTTTTTCCATGTGCTCTAGAATGGCGGTCAGAATTTCTGTTTTTGACGGTTGAGTCCAGTGTAGAGAGGTTCTTTTCGACTCGTCCAGAGGTGGAAGAACCCTTGGCGCTCAGAAGTCCTATGCCGTTGTACAGCATATCAAGGTCATCAAGTCGCGTTAATAAATATGCGTTCGCGAATCTTTTCGCATATTAGGTTTCACTCAATAAATGGTTCTCCGATCAGGGAGATTTAAGCTTCGGGTCTTAGCCACGGCGGGCATAATAGCTCTAGTGATATTAACATTTCACAACATTGAAACCTTATCGCTGTATTCTCTGTCACAGTATGATTCTCTTAGGGCTGGGTGGAAAGACTACATGAGAATTGCCGATTCAATCGAGTCGCCTTTATCCACTGAAGACTTACGACTGAGGCACCTTTACTGGTCAAATGTGTTCCAGATATTCTCTCAAAACCAACCCAACATTACTGGATACGACAATGGGGAGATAGTCCGGTATATCGATAAATCACAACAAAAAGGTGGCCCTAACAGCAAAGACACGTTATTATCTAAAGCCTTTGTGTCAGATGAAGTTATCGAAGAATTCAGAGGTAAGCATATGAGCTTGATCAAGGCTCTACCCCATAAGTCTTTTTCCAAGACGTATAAGAAAAACTCCAGAGGAATAGTAATGGTAGGCGGTGGAAGGTTTTCATGGCTATCATATCTCTCCATTCGTACCCTCAGAAACACGGGACTGAGCCTACCAGTTGAGGTCATGATACCAAAGTTCGAAGATTTTGAGAAGGAGATTGAATTTTGCTCCATAATTTTACCTAAAGTGAACGCTCGATGCTTGATCATGCCTCAGATTCTTGGCCTATCAGTCATGAGGGACTGGTCTTCGAAGTTATCTTCATATCAACTAAAAGCCTTAGCTTTAATGACTTCTCTGTTCCAGCACGTTTTGCTATTGGATTCAGATAATGTCGTGATCCTGGATCCAGATACGGTATTTGAAAGTGACTTATACAAGAAAAACGGAATGATTACTTGGCCCGACTATTGGGAAAGAACGATATCCCCAGTATACTACAAAATATCAGGTATTAAGGTAGATGAGAGGCGCCGCGTGCGATATAATCGATTACCGCTTCGGGTTGATCCAGGTGCCAACATTGGTGCAGATGAGGTTGAATCCGTGCCGTACCATGATCTTGATGGAGCTGTTCCTAATTTATCCACCGAGTCGGGACAAATGTTCGTAGATAAGGGCCTGCACGGCAAGACACTTCTCCTTTCCCTTTACTATAATGTTTTTGGTCCCAACCTTTACTATAAGTTGTTTTCGTTGGGTGAACAAGGTGAAGGCGACAAAGATACTTTTGTATCGGCTGCCACTGCGGTAGGAGAATCATACTATCAAGTGAAATCATTCATAAAGACGCTTGGTTATTTTGACTCGAACAACAAGTTCCAGGGGGTTGCCATGGGCCAGAAGAATCCAATATTAGATGCTGCATTATTTGATAAGTATTTCTCTATGAAGACTCCTTTGCCGAAAGAATTACCCAAACAAATTGAGCATATTGAGAAGCTAATCAAGTCCGATTTTGATGCTCACAATGAGATTCCGGTGATGTTCTTGCATTGTAATTACCCAAAGTGGGATCCCACAGATTTGCAAGAACGCGAAGAGATTTATGACAGCAAAGAAAACAAACTTAAATATCGACTTTACAATGACTACAAGTACGAGAAAGTCGTGTATTTGAATGGCATGAAGAGTATCACCGAAAAGGATTTTGAATTTGATCAGTGGCTGCTCGTTCAGCAGATTTTGTGCACTGAAAAGCTCTCTTTCACGCATTTTCAAGATAAGGATATTGGATTGATTTGCAGATTCATCGGCAATCAAGTCAACTGGCTACGTAAAACATAGAACTTTTTCAACAAATATTCGGAATGGGTATATAATACAAATGAAGCCTATGAAATAATACACAGCTATTAATTGAACCCTAGAGCGTATGGTTCTTCATCGAGTATTCTGTGATATAGATTCGAACGACATACTCGATGTACTAGAAATGTAAACTACAGAGGGTACAAAATCGAGCGGTAATTGTACTCCTATATGTTACTACCGAGCAGTCGCTTTCATAAGCTCTGGTGGTTAACGCTCAACATTAAACCATACACTTCGGAGCCATAATAGCGAAAGCTTGCTCATAAAACTAGGTCATTTGCACCGCGGTAAGTACATCTGCAGAGCATGTAGCAAACTTCCCGAAGAGTGGTCGAGTAAATTTCGTCCGGGTCTTGAAAAAGGGAAATAATTGCATGAGTACACAGCTGGAGTCTAAGTCATCAATAGCAAATCACAGATAAGGGCGATCTCGGCGAAGATCTCGCGAGGATTATCAGATTTCAGACCAAATAGAAGAACTTTTTACCTCAAACCAAGGCTACGACATACCACATAGAGAAAAAATGATACGCAACTTTGCTTTAAGTTGTAATACTCCGATACTTTAGTAATAGACCAAACTCGTTACCAGCATTAGAAACATGATGAAAATAATCGTTGAACGTCTGTGAAATATATCCATTGAGATTTCCCCTCATAAAGTTGAATATCAAGTCTGGCACAATACATTATCTCTAGCATCAACCATTTCAAACCAAGCCACCAGTAATTATATAGAGAACTGCAATCCATAGACAATAGATCAACTTTGTATGATGCATATGGATTTCGTTCCCCTAGCATGAAACTAGTAGCGTTTATAATACAAATGCTCTGAGTTTAATGGTACGTCTTAGAAATTTCATTCATCCTCGCTATATAACCTCAAGATGACTTCTGTAATATTACACTCTCCATGGAATGTTAAGTTTCTCAAAAGCTATAGAAGTAATCTATAAAACAAGTTCGTATATAGGGCTTTTATATTACACGCTATATTAAACGCTACACGAACGATTCCCAGAGTGACTTTCCATAATAAGTCTCGTTCCTAGCTGGTAGTATACTACTACCAACTTCAGTCACATAGCTTTCCAGACGGGATCAAAGTCACAAAACTTGAAAATTATGAGTAACACTGTTCTCCAGAGTGAGTCTTAGTTCCTGGCAAAGTAGATCGGTACTACCTAATCGAGATCGTATGTTACACTAATAAAAACCCAAGAACATGTATTTGAATCGATTAACATAATCGTAGCACTAAGTTAACGCATGTAAAATTGTTTCTTCTTTACTCCAGTGTGAGCACATAACTTGTTATAAAACTTTTAACTAAACCAGTTATGTATAACACAGAAAAGTATATATAATAGTTCATACATACTTCTAATTCCTCGCGGGAGGATATAAGCTCATTGATGGTGGGAGTAGTCATATATATGGATAATATTATAAGGTCCTCGCTACGTCGAATGATATTTTTATCATTATATGAGACGTGTGAACTATCGTGCAATCTGCTACCGCGTATGTACATATATTCTGTCCTTGCGTCATCCCAACGGTAGAAGGTCATAAGGGGTTCATCTTTAGGCATTGATTTGGTTTACATTCATCGCAATATTTTACCACTTCTGTTGCAAGTTCTAAAGAAACAATTGGTTACTGCTGACGAAATATGACTGAAAGTGTTCAACAAGCTTCTTTCCATACCTATTGAGACCCAGCAGAGAGTTATCAAAATAATATGGAGAAAATTGAAAATGAATAGTATTCGGCCTCATTAGTATGATATGTACAATTCATAACATTACACGGTTGTGGTCATGAACAATGTCCCAGCTTAGCTACTCTTGAAAACTTCAATTTATCATACCGTATCATCGAACATACGATTTACCTCTGATCGTATATTTTTTTTAGTTGACCTAAGGCACAACCTTCTAGCAACGTTGACCATAATTGAATACAGTGCCCTTGAAACACACTCTAATAAAGCACCCCCTAATCATTTTGAGTGATCAAAATGCGAGGCTGATGTTTTGGGTTCGAAGTTTTGCTATCAAGCTACTTGAAAAGCTTAGTATGATTGGGGAGGTTTTCTCGTAAGCGTGCAATTCTCTCGGAATGAATGCGACGACTATACTCTCAACTTCAAGGCCATTTGTCTGAACAGAAAGGTCTATTCATGCTCAACCTCGCATTCAAGTCTTAGCTCTATAAATTCTGCATTTGCCATCTTCTGGTATGCTTCGAGTTGCTTCTTTATATGTATTTGAAAGGCTGACTATCACCTACGTGGCATCCAATTCATGATCTAAAACGGGGATACTATTTGCAACCTGCTAGAGAAAAGGGCGGATTTATAGCAATACTTTGTTGTCTACGAATTTGTATCCCGGAATTAATATATACAATGCTAGTAATTATCAAGCTCTGTAAGTATCGTCGATTTGGTGGCAATGCTGTGTATTGAGTATCGTCATTAACATGATCTCTCGTTCTGTGTTTTGAAGAGCTCATGTGAAGTTACTTCAAAAACAAGGTTGTGCAGTTTGCTGTGAATAAGCATGTGGGAACATATAACGATGTAACAATTATACTTCAAAAGTGTATTCGCTATACATACTTAGTTCAATCTTCGATCTTGCTGAGAGTGTCACCCTTCCACCACTTGAATCCGATTCCGTAACCCCATGGATCGTTAACATACCTAACAGGGTGGCCCTCCCCAATTTTATAAAGGGCGCTTAATTCCTCCTTATTCAATTTTGGCAATCTGACCATATTCTTAATCCTATCGTAATTGGACGATCTGGGAATAGCAATCCTACCCTCGCATATGTGATATGCATTGACGATTTCATTGACTGTAACTCCATATTTGTCGGCCAACTCTTTAACGTATGGAATCTTCAAAACAGGAGCACCAGTGCCTCCAACAGGACTATAAGCCTCGATAAGAATTTTGTGTTCAGCGCAGAAATCAACCAAATCCTGTTGAGGCAATTGAGGGTGATACTCAATTTGATTAACAACAGGCACGAAATGCTTAACCTTGGGAAGAAGTTGCTTAAGTTTGGTAATTGAGTAATTTGACACGCCAACTGATCTCACCTTATTCGTATTCGCTTTAATGTCTTCAATGGCATTGTATACGTCGATGAACTTGGTCCCTGTAACGGGGTCGTCATCGTATTTCACATTTTCATCATCGGCCATAGGTTTCGAAGGAGTTCCGTCAGGTCCACCCTTCAGACAAATGGGCCAATGCTGCAAAAATAAGTCAACGTAATCAATTCCTAAATCGGAAAGGGACGTATCTAACGACTTCTCAGGACTATGCCAAAATGAATGCCAAACTTTAGTTGTGATGAAGAGGTCCTCTCTCTTAACAACACCTTCATCAAACAATTCCTTGAGAGCTTCACCGATATACTTCTCCGTACCATAATACCACGCAGTGTCAATCAAACGAAAGCCAGCTTTCACAGCGGTAATAATAATATCCTTGACTTGACTTGGATCATCAGGGGGTACAGTTCCAATACCGAGAGCTGGAATTTTTGATCCGTCATTCAAGTCAAACGTAATTTCCGTTGCGAATTTGTTCTGCGCCATTATCGGTTGATTGAAAAATGTGTCTTGACTACTTTATATACTCCGAAAGATGCTCCGGTATACTATAGTCCGTTGCTTGCTTTACCCCGCTTGCTTGCTTTCGTTTTGTATGATTGAATTTGACTCAATGGGTTCTAAATAGTTGTCAATTAGGTTAAATCATACAACTCCCGATGAGCTATACTTCCACTTCTAATAGTCTTTAATTCCGTATGAAATCTCTACTTTCTAGTCGTTCAACATCCACGTTCAGTAGCTTAGTCATCCACAGTTTAGTTAAGAGAGAACTTGGTGGGAAGAGAGTCAAGAATATCTTGATGTAGGCAACCTCTCTTTTGGGTGTGGTTCGTGTTAGAACGGTTTCCGACGACTTACTGAGCCATTTGGTATGGTTCTTGCTACTGCAGGTTTCTTACAATAAGGTGAAACATCCTCTCGACAGTGAATTGCAACCGATTAAGTAAGCTTACTCTGGGAAGCTGGATAACGTAGTCCCGATAGCAATATAGACGCTGTTAGTATTTCCTGTGTTCAATACATGATAAGCATCGCTACCCTTATTACCAATAGATTATAACCATATCACCTGAAGAATAAGGTGTCAACTATTTGGAATCAACAATTAGTAGGACACCTACGCCGAAACGAATACGAAACAACGATAAAGATAAAAGATGAGCTTTTGACTGCCCGGCACGAGACACTTCGATGTATTATCCTTTTCAACTTATTTTTTTGTGAAACCAAAATGTCCGGTCAGGATAGATTCTCACATATACTCCATACATAGTTTTATCCCTTTCTACGCAAACCTCTATTGTAATTGAACTGCTAGTTCGAGTGCGGCAGCAAATGATTATATGAGAACAAAGACTTTCTTGGTACAATCTTTGCATTCTCCCTGTATAAGCTTTTCTAACTTCCTAAAGTTCAATATCTCCAATGACGTCGTCATTATCTGACTCGATCATGTCATCGTTTGCATATTCATTCATGTATAGATCTTCATCTTCATCTTCGTCAATTTCGTCATCTTTGATCCCATTAGAATTATCATAATCAGGTCCTTCTTTTTGTCCGTTGTTTCCGCTATTTTCTGATTTTATTTTCGAATAATGAATCTTATTTATAGCTTTCAAGTATATGAAAGCGACTCTCTTTTTCTTTTTGTTGTAAATGAACCAGTAATAGGACCACATAGTTTGAAAAGGGTATGATAAGTCCTCAAGTATGGCTTGATCAGAAGGTTGGAACTCGTAGATTTGACAATTTTCATAATTGTAGGATTGAGACTCATTGCCCACTTGCGCTCCACTTTTGGGAACTGACTGGCTCAAACTATTATTTCTCGAACTATCCTTGCCGTTGTGACTGCCGGGAATGGCTACCAGCGTCGTTCGAGGGGAGATGAAATCCATGTATACATTGATTGTGTCCCATATCCAATTTAGCAATTCTTCTTTCTTTCCGAGTGAGATCATTAAATTGTTGAACTTGTGAACGAGGTCTTCTGCTGAATTAATTTTGTGGAAGTTCTCTGTGGTCGGTTGTAAGTCTGAGAAGTCATGATCAGGGTAGGTGCTGTTGAGTATGGCAATCAAGTATGCAAAGGTCTTTCTTGTGTGAGCGTTTTTTAGTGGCCCAAAAGGTGACTCGTCAAAAATGGCTGAATCCATTGGCTCAAGTCCTGCTGATATACCAGTCGCTTGGTTACCGCTTAAGGTCGTCAAGGACCGAAGGGATTGATTGTCAAAACTAGTCAGACTGGAACTACCTCGATGAGCCATTGCAGAAGTGTCGAATTGTGGCGGTGAACCACTACTTCCGAATAAACTGACTATCGAATTATGTCGGTCTCGTTCCATTGACTGAGACAATTGATTGTCCTCCACCAACTGGTCCAAATGTTTATCGATAGTCTTAAAAAGCTTTCTGTCGGAGCCAATTGGCTTTGTCGTGAATAAGTCACACCCTCCATTTATCACCAAGTTGTTATCTTGACTGTGGAAGTTGAGCTCTTGGTTAACTAGTTCAATATCAACCTCATCTATAAACTGTGTTAGACATGAAGAGCATTAGGCTAGGGAAATACCATTCGATTATTGGTGATTATTTATGGTAATTCCTGGTATTCGGTTATTGGCCATTAGTACTTACCTTCATGATCAAAGAATTCTTATAAGTTTAGTTCTGGGGTGGTGCTTCGTTGATTGTAGGCTATCTGTGACCGACACGACCGGGTAATTTGAGCAGCTTATCTGCGAACTTCGTGGAGTCCTGCCAGATCCAATTCAATCTCTATTTTCTCCCGCTCGTCGTTGGCGTTTGCTGTGGAGAAACAATCGTTCGATACTATTTTGGCAAATCTTTCGACCATCCAACTCTTGTTAGATGAACCCAGCAGAGTTTTTGCGCTTTCAAGGAACATATAATCATCACGTGTATCCTTCATATCAGTTCCCGCAACGTGTATCTCACCTCTATTAACACTTTCGCTGCTATCCATTTCACTAGTGATGACCTTTGCCTCCTTATACGACTTCATTAATAGTATCCGAACTTGAATGCTTTTAATCCACTGATAACCCAATGCAGGTACTTGCCGCTTGGTCCTGACCTGCGGCTCGGTATGTCTGGTTGTAATAGGTTTCTGAACATGAGGTGATGAAAATAGTCCACCATCAACTTTCTGCCTCTTATTACTAGAATACCCATGTTTGGTGACGCTATAGTCGGTGGTCTGATCACTTGGCACTTCATCAACCTGATAATTGAGAACCACATTGTTGTCCCACCCCGCAAGAATTCCTACTTGGTGGTCCAAATCTAAGCAGCTTTTGTCGGCCGTAAAGTCCATTTGTGGGATAAAGTCTGGTTGATCGCTCACTTGATTTGCAATTACAATCGCAATTGAGTACTTTTGAGCAACTTGTAACAAATGATGGTGTAACAATGAGATATAGGTAGCACGCAATAAAGAAGTCTTATAACGAGGGCTGAATCTGAAAAATCGACCTAGCTGGTTGTCGTGTTTCCTTTTTAAATCTGCGCCGTAGCCTAGTTCAGATAGTTTCGCTTCTTGTTCTCGTATTCGAGTTTCGAGATAAGATGTGATTGATATATGGTCATCTCGGCGTAAATGATGAGATATACTATCGATTACCACTAGGTGAACATTCTTTTCAAGGTCTAGAAGTGCTGGGAGTTGTGTGTAAAGAATATGATCTTGGTGTTCAAGATCGGAACAATAAACACTCATAATGTTTTCCATAATATGCGGTGCTGCATTCCTCCCAGCCATTTCTTCAAGCCTACTTGTTGCAATCACCGACTCGGTAGATATATAGACGCTTTTCGAACTTTCATGAAGTTTCACGCTGTTAATCGACATTTGTAATAGCAATTGGGACTTCCCTGTCCCACTTGCCCCGAATATTTCTGTGATGTCTCCAACCTTGGCGCCCCCATTCAATCGCTGATCCAATGATTCTATACCAGTGCTTACATGCAGTGTTGTGGTTTCAGGCTCAAGAACAGGGGTCTCAATGATACCTCTCGTTGTTTCCGATTTCAAGCGATTCGTGAACTCAGAGACTTCGTTCGGGGATCTTCCAATTTTTCTAGCTAGGCGTGAAATTCCATCGTCCAATAGCGAGGCCGTTAACAAGTCTACAGTCGTGATACCATACCTTTCAAGAGTGGTTACTAGTACGGTGAAGTCGTCTTCCAAACTCGTCTCCAGCAGGATTCCCTGCTTTAATATATCCATGTTATCACATCGCACGAGATCAAGTGCGCGTTAAGTTATCAATGCGAATACAAACAAATTTATTAATGACTTAAAAGTTCTCTTGAGCTTTGCTAAGCATGAAGTCCTTTGCCTTAAGCATCCTTACCAAGAAATTTGGAACTCCGCAACCAAATAAAATTCCGATTCCTCCCTCGCGAGAAATAGGCACGAATTGAGTTGTTTTGATTGGCTTCATTGGCTTCCTCCGATCCTGCGACTTATCAAATAAGTAGTCCAAAGTTTTCAGAAGAGTGCCCCACTGTACATAGTTAAAAGTTACAAGGTCACTTGCAGTTCCAGATACGATATCTCCCCCAGCAACAACCTCGGGAAAGTCCTTGAGCTGAAGATAATCGTTAGTGAGAACAAAACCAGACTCATCAAGAACATCAGCTGGCAAAAAATCCGAATTGGGCTGCAATCCGTTCGCCTCAATCACAACATCGTACTCTTCTGATGTTCCGTCTTCAAATGTAAGAACTTTACCTTCTTTTACATGTGGCCTCACTGAGTTAGCCACTTTCACTCCCAATTTTTGCAATTTTAGTTCAGCCTGTTTAGATCTGTGATCACCTAAGTAAGAAAGCGGCCCCTTTGAGCCCGTGTACAACGTAATCGTCTTTGTTTTGCCGTATTCATAGCCAATCTCACCAGCTGTTTCCACACCAGTAGGTCCTCCCCCGATGACTGCAATTTTAGTAGCCGCTTTAAGCTCTTTGTTAACCTTCTCAATACTTTCGATTGTCAAAGAATAGTCACCAAGAAGCTTGAATGTGGGAGTTGCATATCTCGTACCACTGGCTATCACCAAAACGTCATACGTCAATAATTGAGTCTGTCCATTTGGAGTTAACATCAATAGAACGGTCTTTCAAATTTAAAGACTCGACCGATCCGTGAATAAATTTGACATGACTGTTCTTATTGTTTTTCTTGAGCGTTTCCTCGACCTTAGCAACGGCTTTGTCTAATTTAGAGGGTTCCAAAAGCAATCTTGGTGCTGCAACGGTATAGAAAGCATGTGTCGATTTGGACACGACAGTAACACTAATCTCGCTATCGCCCTTCGCTAAAATGTGCTTTGCAGCTTTGAGGCCCGCAAAAGAACCTCCAATAATGACGACTTCTTTGACCATTTTCGATTAATGTCAAGAGCTCAGGGAAATGGTCTTTATTTATACGCAAGCCTTTTCACTCTTAGCAGCCTCCAAGCAGTGAACTTGGACTATTACTAAACTTTTAGTAATTTTAAGGCTCACGTGGTATTGTTCAAAAAATTATTTATCCAACGCCACACTGAAACAATCTTAATTTCTTCGACGTAGTTGCTAGACTGTAGCTCTATATACTGCAATCATACGTTGTCAGTGGGATTCATTAAGCAAGTTTCGCTTTAGTTGGCCGTTTTTTGTTTTCCTGCACAATGCTCAGAACTGCTTGCTCCATGCGAATTTGCAGCCGTCCTTCGCCTAAATGAAGCTTTGCTTGCTTAAAGTCGTATTACGAGGTTATAATAACACTCAAGTTCGGCTCATTCTCAGAGCTATCTAAAATTCACAGGCTTGGTGCCATTTTAATTCGTTCGCCGCAGTCTTCCATGTCAACCTTTTCATACACATAGTGGTGATAATGAAGATAAGCCGCACAAGTAATGCAAGCCAGTACTTGAATAGCTACACGTTTATTGCTTATTCAGCTAACTAGTGTGCACCGGCAATAAAAAACCACTTGTCAATCGACTTATCGATGGGTGCTGGTGGCAATGGAGAGGCGGCAGGAATCTCAGAGGCCACTGCGGGTGAGTAGGAAGCACTGTTCAGGATTGTGGTGTTCTCCAAAGAGATGCCCTTGGAATCAGCAGCTTCGCCCTTGATCAACTTATCCCAAGCCTCAGCGCACTCGGAGATGATCTCTTCGGCGTATTTTTTGTTCTTACATTCACCGGAAAAGGCGAATTGGTTTTCTGGCTTACCATCTGGGATCTTGTAGATTCTGAACCACTCGTTGGTGGCGCGCAACAAACCGGGCAAGTGGGTCTCCACGTCCTCAATGTCGTTCAACTTGCTGGCCAATGGGTCATTGACGTCAATGACAATGATTTTCCAATCGGTCTCACCCTCATCCAAGAGAGCCATGACACCCAAAACTTTCACCTGCTTCACTTCACCTACAGTGGCAACAGCCTCACCAATTTCACAAACGTCCAAAGGATCGTTGTCACCCTTGGCCTTGGTCTCTGGGTGGGTCACGTTAGGGTCTTCCCAAGTCTGGGGGAATGCACCGTAGTTGTGAATGTAGCCATGGTGAGGGAAACAGTTACGAACGAATCTCAATTTACCCTTTTTGGTGTCTTGAATAATTGGGTTGAGCTTCTGTTCTTTTGAAATCTCCAACTTGGCATTGGTCCATCTTGGTACCTCAACGATCATGTTCAAGATGGTTTTCTCTTCGTTGGCGTACAATGGAATGTCATGGAAAGGAGACACAGGTTGGCCATTCTTCTCAATGTAAACCTTGTAATCGAAGGTGTTAGCGGCACCAATTTGGCGGGGAGCGTAAGACATAGCAACTAATTGACTAGTGACGTGGAGAAAAAATCACTCTCGAGGTATTGGTTCGTCGGCCAGGTTGGTGCGCGCACGAGGGGTTGCGTAATTTTTAAGTCCGGGCTGATTGATCCACACATCGGCCTTAGATAGGATATAGTCGATGGCACTTTTACTATCGCCTGGGTCCACCAAGTTCATCTCTGATTTCTTGTACAACGTCATACTTCGACAGAGCTCACGCTGCCACTTTGCAAGTTCTTCGAAGGACTGTTTATCACTCTGATTTTTTTGTATGTACAACAAAAAGTTCTGTGCCAAGTGGATCTCGTAAGCTGTTATATCAAGATGCCCCTGGCTATATTCGTGAAGAAATACGCCAGCAAGTGTTAGATTTCGTAGGCTCTTAGTGTGATATTGGCTACCGAATTTGTAGGCGCGGAATATACTGAGTCCGAAGACGTCAGAGTCCACAAAGCCTAGGAATGGAGTAGTGGGCCACGACTTCGAGAGTAACTCGACAAATTTCTTGGTAAGGATGTCAGGGTTTCCTTTTCCCGTTATGACTAGCAAGTCTTTAGGGTTGCTGATTGTACGTAAATGATCACACAAGGTAGAAAACACTGCATCTTTCTCTACTAAAATGACCACTTTGGGGGCTGCACTCATGACGGTAGACCTCTCGCTGTCGAAATTTGGTATTAGACATGGGACCTTGGTGCTGTTACACTCAAACACTTGATCTCCTGTATGCGTCTTCAAAGAGCCGTAAATGAGCCCTTTTCTGGATGGAAAGATACGCAAATCTACTTCCAAGCACATACCGAGTGAAGTTGCAATTGAATCTATAATGGTGTCACAGTACCTTTGCGATTTTTTGTAGGTGGAGACATCCTTATAGTATATGTCTCTCTTTGATGTGAAACGAGCCAGTTGCAAATTATCTATCATGGCCTTGATTACTTTCAAGTAAGCCGCAAACTTCCTAGCATCATACATGCTAGTTGCACACAGTGTAATGTACTGACTCGGAAGCCCATGAGTGTTTCGGGGCCTCTTCTTTGAGCCCGATTCCGTCTCGAATATGATCTCAGCTACAAACTCATTGATGATTGCCCCTCTAAGCTCTTCCCATATCTGAAGTAGTATATTCAAGGGATCATTACTATGTTAGACTTATCCACAAATTTCTTCTTGATACGTACTCTCGATATTTCACATTGATGGAATGAAGCTTGATGCTTTTGACCTCTAATTCCTTTGCCACTTTAGTACACATTGCAATTTTGCACAATTTTGCAACCGCGCGTATTTAATTTAACTATTTCATAATACAGCAATATTTACAAATTAAAAAGCCAAAGTAATAAAGCAATAGAACAATAAGAACCTGAGTACATTCTAGTCAATTGCAAACATAGCCAAATTCACTACAGCAAATTATACACTTGGGTGAGACGTGATGCAGAATCTTACCGAAGTTGGTGTTTTCTTAACTGGGGTCAAAAAGAGATAAGTGACGTATAAGCCATACTTGGACAGTTAAGCCCATCTCCTAGACTCCTCAGCCCATAGATAAGCGACGTAAAGTCATGAATCCGTCTCGTCGTTTATAATCTCAGCCTCAAATTGGTAAGCACACGAAACCTTATATAGTGATCATCATCTGGGGAATTAGAGGCAAGTATTGAGAACATTTACCACACTCTTCTTGTTGAGATAATTTTGAAATGCCTTCGTTGAGTGCCTACGATTTGAACAAAAGATACGTATACGGCTCCAGTAGCTGGGGTGGGGGAGCACGATGGGCCTTTTTTGCCATTTTTATTGCAGTGGTAATCATTGTGATATTAGGAACTTTTCGTGCCAATAAGAAAAGGACTGCTCGAGGAATAGAACCGATCTATGGTACTCGGTGGATGACACCTCCATCATATTTCCAATCGCAACATCAGTACAATCAACCTCAAGGTAGAGACGCTGATATGCCTAGTGCTTATGTCCCAGCATATTCTGCTAGAGCCAATGAGTATGATATGGGATATTATGACCAGGACGGAGTATTCCACGCAAATCCAAACGCTAAGGCGTCGATGCCACAAGGAAGCGGGGATGCAAATATCGCACCTCCGGAGCAAACTCATCAACGTACTACTAGCACGGCCACTGACGGAGTTCCTTTGAGCAGTACAGTTCCCGCCAGCGGTGGCGTGACGTTTACAGATGAAGCCCGTCAAGCGCAAAGAACCTCGGAGGACTCGCTCGACATGTACAGGCGTCCAGCAGGTGTTCCCGGCGCTTTTCCATCACAAAGCATGAATAATGGTACTCGTGAATCCTCGCCTGAGTATGGGCCACCTGCTAGCCCTCCACCCGATTTGGGGTCTTCATCGAGAGATTCAGCCTTACCAAGCTTCAGCGAGAGCCCTCATGCCTCCTCCAAATTTGGAACCAAAGAGAAATGATGTACGACTATTACTGTATTACCTACGAGCATGATTCTTTTCGAGCAAGCATCTACATACAATATTGAAAGACCAGCCATACCCAATATGCATAAAACAAAAACGCTGCAAGACATCAGTTGATCTTTGAGTTGCCTTTTGGCATACTGCTTACACACCTTCGACGCTTATTCAAGCTTCATCTACACCATGCGTCCTACTTTCTACACACTCTTAAACCATCAAGAACAATTTTTCCTGCACTTGCATACGCATGAAACAACCGAGATGTCAATTTATGACTGGGCTCACAACTTGACATCCATCCTCGAGAAAAGCTAATAGTTCGATGTTATGCACCTGATCGGGTGCTACTAATAAAATTTTTGTTGATTCATGATAAAGCTTTTTTTTATTCTAGCAGTAGCGATGGGAACCTACTATAATGTTTTCAAATAATTGACATTTATGCAAAAGTTCTAGTAGCGGAGTAGGCTGATATAACCACCAAAATGATTAGTCTCTCGAGGAAGAACTTAAGTACAGAAACATCCTTCGGGTATTTCAGTAGCTACGTACAAGAAAACACTGGAAAGATAAATTGAGTAGATTAAGTCAATTTTTCAGTTAATTCTTTAGTTGACAATCACTTGAAGATTTCTTGGTTTGAGCAAATAAGAAGCATTCTTCTGTTACTCTGCCCCATTCTCATACTTTGATCTCCTTCGCGCCAAGCATCTAAAGCATAGAATTATGCGAATACAATCTAGTCGGCACTCCAGACACTACAAAGGGAAATCTACTTGAATTGGCTTGTCTGATCCATATTAACAAAACGCAATTATGCTACACTCAAATAGCTTCTTCCACGTGGGAACGGGCAGTATCTTTAGCTACAGCTGTGTTTACAGGTAACTTTACGCACTCATTTTTGCAACTTACAGATATACTTTCTCAACAAAGCAATTCAATTTTGACTTTCCACCCTCGGTTTCAATTAACCGGCAATAGTTGGCTGTAAGGTCCTGCATTGTTTTCTCGCAGCTTCCTAATTCAGACGATCTGAGGCTCACAATACTGCTACAGAATCCACACAATACTTGCCTGCTATCAAACAATTTCAAAGATGCGTGACGTTAGACTTAGCCTTCTGCACTACACTATGTAGACTAATGCGGAACGGCGTATCTTTAACTCACGTCCTCCTACGTCATTGCAAGCCACCCCGCTCTCCCTTGCTACGAATTCCAGTTGCGCCTAGCTGATTGTTCTCCGCCGCACGCTCAGAACCGACCTGACCAATTCCGGCCTGGCTTGTGCATAAAGATCACGTGCGCCAATAGTTTTTCACCCCCGGTAATGCCCCCGGTTTCTTCGGATGAAATACCATGTGCCAGCCGCGCAGCCTTGCTCACTCGTGACGGCGAAGATCAAAACAGTGTATAAAATTATTCTGAGATCCAGCATTTTTGAGGTTTATTGACGTTTTCAAAGATGGCGCTGAGTAGTAATAACAAAGCGGACACATCCGTGTCACAGCTTTTGGCTTCGTTCATCCCTACCTTTGTGCTCTTTGTGATTTTTGTTGCATTGTTTATAATTTTGAGGAAGAAGCAAAGAAGAGTTTATGAACCACGTTACATCGTTGAGACCCAGCCTAAGGATATTAGACCAGACGAAAGTCCCAGTGGTCCTTTTGGTTGGATCACTCACTTGCTCAAGAAACCAGAAGCTTTCATCGTCCAGTGCTGCGGTCCCGATGGCTACTTTTTCTTGCGGTATACTTTTAATTTCGCTGTCGTTTCGTTATTAGGTTGTATCATCACCTGGCCAATTCTTTTCCCCATCAACATTGCTAATGGTAAGTCTGACCCTGGAGTTCAAGGACTCAATATGTTGTCATTTGCTCACGTCAAGGATAAATGGAGATATTTTGCTCATGTATTCCTTTCATGGGTCTTCTTTGGATTAGTTATCTTCTTGATTTACCGTGAATTGGTTTATTACACTACATTCAGACATGTGGTGCAAACAACTCCATTGTACGACTCCTTACTTTCTTCGAGAACGTTGTTGTTGACTGAGGTACCAGAAGCTTTGTTAAAAGAAGGAGAGTTAAGGGATCACTTTCCAACTTCTACTAACATTTGGTACGCACGGGATTACACTGAGTTGGAAAAGAAGGTCATTGAAAGAAGGAAACTATCTGGAAAGTACGAAGGCGCTTTAAATAAAGTTTTGGCCAAAGCCACAAAGTTGAGAGCCAAGGCTGTGAAGAAAAACAAGCCAGTACCCGAGCCCGCTGATGATTTGAACAAGTACCTCAAGGATGGCAAGAAGAGACCAACTCACAAGTTGAAATTCTTGATTGGAAAGAAAGTTGACACTTTGGATTATGGTGTTGAAAGATTGGGTGAATTGAACAAAGAAATCAAAAAGGATCAATTGCAACACACTACGAACGACCAGCTTCCTGCAGTTTTCATGGAGTTCCCTACTCAACTTGAATTGCAAAAGGCCTATCAAGCCATTCCTTACCACGCTGATTTTAAAAAATCGAGAAGATACACTGGACTTACCCCGGATGACATTATTTGGGAGAATTTGAGTTTGACAAAGACCAAAAGACGTACCAAAAAGCTTATTGCCACAACCGTTTTGACGTTGATGATCATTTTCTGGTGTATTCCAGTGGCTGTGGTTGGTGCTATCTCTAACATTAACAATCTTACAGAGAAGGTTCACTTTTTGAGATTCATTAACAACATGCCAGAGAAAATCATGGGTATTATTACCGGACTTCTTCCAGTTGTTGCATTGGCGATTTTGATGTCATTAGTACCACCATTCATCAAGAAGATGGGTAAGGTGAGCGGCTGTATTACAATTCAAGAGGTTGAATCATACTGTCAAAGTTGGTTTTTTGCTTTCCAGGTTGTGAATGCGTTCTTGGTCGTTACGTTGACTTCGGCTGCCGCAAGCTCGGTCATCACTGTCATCAACAACCCATCATCAGCATTGACCCTTTTGGGCACTAAATTGCCTGCTGCTTCCAACTTCTACTTATCCTACTACTGTTTACAAGGTCTTACTGTCCCAGCTGGATTATTATTGCAGATTGTGGCTTTGATTCTTGCACAATTCTTAGGAAAACTTTTGGATGGTACTCCAAGAGCTAAATGGAACAGATGGAATACACTTGGACAGCCTTTCTGGTCGACCATGTATCCTGCTCAACAGTATATGGTTGTGATTTTGCTTGCTTATGCCATGATCGCCCCACTCATTCTTGGATTTGCTGCTATCGCTCTTTTCCTCATTTACATTGCTTACAACTACATGTTGACTTATGTGATGCAACCAAACAAGACTGATGCTCGTGGTAGAAACTATCCAAGCGGATTGTTACAGACTTTTGTTGCCGTGTACTTGGCCGAAGTGGTATTGACCGCTATGTTCGTTTTCACCAAGAACTGGGCTTGTGTTGCATTGGAAGGTGTCTTTATTTTATTCACTGCGCTTTGCCATATCTACTTCAAGAGAAAGTTCATCCCATTATGGTCAACTGTTCCAATTTCGGCCCTCAAGTATGCAAGCGGTGACCACACTTATCAATATCCTATGCACGATCAAGGTTTGAAGGAAATTAGGAGCGAAGGTGAAAACTACTGGCAAGGAGGAAATCAATTGGGTATTTCTGGTTCCCACAAAGATCAAGTGAGACAAAATTTGAAACCTCCAGGAACTCTTGGCGAAGGTGCCGACTCGACTGTTTTGGGTTCAGGCGACTCTAAGTACACCTCTGACTCCAAGCAGCCAATCAATGACAAGAGCCAAAGTGACATCGATGAGAAGGTTCCAGCTGATGCTCACGACAGTGTGGCGGCTGAACACCCAGGTAACACTGGCGTGGCTACCAAGCCCACGTCGTGGTTGACCAGATTCTTCAAGCCAAAGACCCAGACATTTGACTCCATTAGAAAGAGCATGCCAGCGAGCTACTTCAACTACATTGAGTACAACCCAGATTTCATTAGAACAGCATACGAAGACCCTTGTGTCAAAGACGAAGAACCACATATCTGGATTGTTCGTGATGAGATGGGATTGTCTGAAATCGAAAAGAACAAAGCTTTAGAGAATGGTGTCGATGTTACTGATGAAGCTGCCAAGTTTGACGAGAAGAACAATATCGTTTACACTGGTCCACCTCCTTCATACGAAGAAGCGTTGAAGCTTTAAGGCTTTGAACACTCTGTTTTATAATTTAATTGTATTTTAGTGTTTTGTAATCGCTTATCAAAATTGGTTGCGAAAAGTTGCTGTCAATCACTCATACAGGAGAGCAACTAATGTAACCTATACATATATAAGGATCACGCACTAAGTAGGCTCCAGCATAAAATGTATAGAATCGCCAGAAACACAACAAAAATAACTTCAATTACTCGCCCATATGCTACCGGACGTCGTCAGTTGATGGATGAGACTGTTCGCAAGCCAGAAGTGAAACAAGTTGTTCACACTTCACATGACAGACCAGCTCCCGGAGCAGCGTCTAGTGTTAAAAATGGCACAATGGGTACGCATCCTCTCGAGCCAGCAGCAACAGCCCGCACGTTCAGAAAGCAGCTTCCAAAGGCACTTGGTGCTCTTGCCGCAGCTCTAGGATTATTCGTTGTTTTGCCATTTGGAACAATTGAAGGTAGCGATCTAGTAGAATCTGTGCCTAGACAGGACACGGCCGCTGCAAAAATAACGAAGGACGGAAAAGTGGAGGTGGACATTCCACAGACGTACGCTCATTTGGATAAACCAAGTGATGATGATGAATAACCACAATAGCATAGGAAATACATGTCTTTAACATAAATGTCTTTTACTGTCTTGTTTTACTTACACGTACTTAATTTGATTGAGATTTTCTCAAACCATTCAACATCGAAGAGAGAGATAAGAGTGAGGCTTGGGCAACATCCTGGTGAATACCAACTCCCCACCTTGTTGAGCCATCGGCAAGAGTGACTTCAATATAAGTAGCGGCTTGAGAATTGGATTTGTCACCAAGCGAATGCTCGTGATAATGCAAGACCTCGGCTTGAATACCTAAATCCTTACTGATAGCGTCCGTGAATGCGGAGATAGGACCATTGCCAGTGCCTTTAATTGTCTTCTTTTCGTTCCCGATTTCAAGGTCTGCAGTAATAGTTCTCTCTCCGCCTTTGTTTCCAGAGAGCGCGTAATCGATGATCTTGTAATAAGGATCGATCTTGATACCAGCTTCGTATTCGATAAAGTATTCTCTTTGGAACAATTCACACAATTCTTGGTTCGACAATTCACGTCCCTTGAGTTCGGCTTGCTCCTGGACAACCTTGGAGAAGGCAACTTGTAAACCTCTAGGTAAATCAAGCTCCATGTTCCGCAAAATAACCCAAGCGGAACCACCCTTTCCGGATTGGGAATTGACCCGAATGATAGCTTCATACGTTCTTCCAATATCTGCTGGGTCCAAAGGCAAATAAGGCACTTGCCAATGAATATCTTTTCCACCCTCTTTTTGCCTTTTGTCGTTGTGAACTTTGAATCCCTTCTTAATAGCATCTTGATGCGAACCAGAGAATGCACAAACAACTAAAGAGCCACCATAAGGAGCTCTGGCATGCACAGGTATCTTATTGCTTCTTTCCACGATGTCCACAACCGAATTTATGTCAGAAAAGTCTAACAATGGTGAAATACCCTGAGTATACAAGTTGAGAGCCAAAGTCACCAAGTCGACATTTCCGGTTCTTTCACCGTTTCCAAAAAGACAACCTTCAACCCTATCAGCACCAGCCATTTGTCCTAATTCAGCTGCTGCAACTGCGCAACCACGATCATTGTGAGGATGTAATGAAATGCATACGGTCTCACGCTCGGAGATATGAGTTGAAAAGTATTCAATTTGATCAGCGTAGACGTTCGGGGTTGCCATTTCGACTGTTGCTGGAAGATTGAAAATTATAGGTTTCTCTGAGGTGGGTCCCCATGCTTTCTTGACAGCTTCACATACTTCGATAACGTACTCTGGATCCGAGTCCGAGAATGTTTCTGGGGAAAATTCATAATCCCATATGGTCCCCTTTTGTTCAGGGTCATCTTTGGTTAAAGATCTTACCAATTTAGTACATTCAACAGCAAGATCCAACGATTGTTGCTTGGTCAAGCCAAAGACAACATTACGGAAACAATCTGAGGTAGCCAAATAAAGATGCACTGTGGCACGCTTGGCTCCATGAAGCGACTCTACCGTACGCTTAATCAAATCAGGTCTGCAAGGTGACAAAACTTGAATTGAGACATCATCAGGAGCTGTTTCAATAGCAAAACGTGTGAAGTCAAAATCAATCTGAGAGGCAGAGGGAAAAGCAACCTCTATTTCTTTGAAACCAAGAGCCACTAGTTTATTGAAGTATGCCTTTTTCTCTGCAATCGACATGGGGTCAGGAAGCGATTGATTTCCATCTCTTAAATCAGTCGATAACCATCTTGGTGGCTTCTCAATGACTTTAGACGGGCCACTGACGGTTGTCCAATTTGATTGGTGGAAATGCTTTGTACTTGACCGACGGGTCTTTTAACATAGGCATGGTGAAAAGTTGCTATAAATTTTCGAGACGAGACTTTTCAAGTTAAATAGTGATTCGATTTCTATGAGTAATACCTGCAATGCGATTTTCCAGAAGGATAAAATTATATAATCTCTTACAAAAGGTACATTTTGTGCCGAACTGCACTGTGGAGTACCCCAGATTTCGAATCGTCGCAGCGGTGCTCGGCTACTGGCGGAGCGGTAACGGCCCGCTATTTCAACTTCGGGAATCGGACGAACGGCACGAAATCCATACACCAGTAAGTCACGCCAATGTCACGCGCCGACTTCATGCTGCTGTTGCAACCAATTCGTACTTGTTTGCCTTTTTTAAGTGCCTTTTTTTTCAAATGCTTTATACTTCCAATCTCAAAGAAGAATGATTGATTTTTTTGGTTAGCACCCCAAAGACAATCACCTCTGATGCCTTAATCCGTTTTGAATGTAAGTGAGAAACTAGGCAAGATTTTATTTCCAACAGAAATACTCAATTGAGACTTCTTCAATTCAGTTCTGTGATTGTGGAAAGCTTGAAGCTACGGCTTGATGACATAGAACAGTCTAAGCTTTATGCATTTCAAGGTGTTCTTCATGTTCACTATTCCTAATCCATTGCGGCCAATTGCATATTGTGACACTAGCCACATCTGAATTTGCAGCCACTATTACGAAGCCTCTGCTCGAAGTTTATGGCATTTGTACCTTGTTTTGTAACTCTTGAAGTCGGGTCTGTAGGTCTTTAGTGCTTTCGGACTCTGGAATTCACCTTTCAACTCAAAATGCCACCAGAGTGTGACTGAAGATGTGAAGCTTAAAATTTATATGTGGGTTACAGTAAGTCACACACTAAAATTACAACAGAGTTAAGAAAATTCTAAGCTCAACGATTTGGTCTTGTGATAATACGTCCAATGATTTGAAAGCAGTATCCCAGTTTTATGACTGAGAAGAGTCAGTCCGAAACTGAAAATATTATACTCAACTTGTCAATATAGTGAGGAGCACTTTAACCACAACCGCCACAGTTACTGAAAAACTAAGAACCTGAACAGCCAGATTACCTGTGGTGAGATGGTAACATCCTAAAGTACTAACATCTTGGCACATGATGGGAAACAATATGTTAGTAATTGACTGAGACGCAGCCATTGTGGTGCTAGCAAACATTCCCACAATGGCGTACCTTCGGGTATACCTCCAGAAAGACAAGATAAAGGAAAAGAACTATTCCCAAAGTTCCAACAGCCACTGGCACTGTAGATGCCATTTACTTTTCGGATATAAAGGTCATCGAAGTTTTATATTGCGGTCTGAAATTTCAACCCGACCTCTCAAAAAATAATGATTGGACTCCAAGCCTTATCACCCAGACTCCGAAGATTCTACTGCTACAAGGTTTGGTAACGGTGCCTTTTTGAAGTGTTATAGAGGTGGTTCAAAGTGGTGAAGATCACATCACCTTGTTATCCTTTTGGTGACTTCTTTTAAAGGAAGAATCACGAATTCTTACACGAACTGACGAAATTGCTAATTTGATATAAAGAAATCATAGACTGGGCTACTTCACTCAACCCTATACGAGAATTGAGTGTCGCAGCATAATCTTATTAATGGAGGTGCAAATTCTTTTTGGTTTTAACTGTACCACGTTTGCTGTAAGAAAAAGCCATCATATAATTAACGATCATGCAGAGCGTTTCCACCTTCCTCGAGGAAACTTTGAATGAGGTAGCCGAAAAGTAGCCGATTCGAGGTTGCAAATCTATGCCTTAGCTCTCGAGTCACTACAGCCAGGCAAGTAGAACATTAGAATTGTTAATCTTAGCTTGACGGAATCAAAGTCATACGATCCACGTTTATTGTCTTATCAAATACCTATCAGACGTAAGCCCTCGTGCGCATAAGGCTTTATGCATGTATATCTGGTTCGTAAATTATAGTGGCTACATTAGCGGACATTAGTTCCCGTTGACCGTTGGCTAAAATTGTAATTTTCCATTGTTTTAGCGCGGATCAACCTAGGTAGTCCGTGTAGGTATATTGGTATGCATGTACCGACTCCGAATTAAATTTCATGCGCCGATATTATTCGCTTCCCTTTCTGGTAATCGCGGGGCTGAGAACTAAGCAGGAAATGCTAAATGCAGTGATGGGGTCCAATGTCAATGTGCGGGGTTGCGGGATCCCGGGAAATTGTTCGCATCTCGAGACATCGATTCGCAGTGTGAGCATAGAAACACCTCTATCTTCTTGAATCAATGTAGACCACCTGTAGCAAAAAAAAATAAAGGCATGCACAAAATATGTCACTATGCAAGGTTCCACGTGGTGCTGCAGCCGACACCCAGATCGCCGCTTCTAGAGAAATTCCAGCCGGTTGATAAAGATAATTAAGCGGCGCTAGTAGAGAATTATAGTAGCCCCGAGAGGCTTATCACCCCATTGGGCCAATTATAAGGATATAGCCCTTAGACCACGTTTTTCAACTAGCATACACCCGCCAAGAAGCTAATTAGATTCATGCACGGCGTGCTGCGCGGCCTGTCAAGGTAAGGCAGTTGCAGGTTTGCAGGGCGTGGGTAATTTTGAAATAGAGCGGGGTGCCTTCGCATATATAAGAAGGGTATCTCAGCTTCAAATATCTGCACTCACGGGCTACAAGTTCAATAATACATTGTCTTCTCTAAAAGACATACTTAACAAGACCTCGTATATACGCCAAGAATTCCAAAAAGGGGTGACGTGAACCTTGACAGCCTAGTGCATAACTTTGATAATGTCACACGAACTCGAAGACAAAAACAATAATATCACCCAGGAAGTGTCCCTCCGCTCTTCTGACGATGAAGTGAACAACGGACCCTTCAAATATGATGAAACAGAAAGAAAGAACAGACTTGCTGGAGGTGCCAGAACCAAGGACATCTTGATGGTTCTTTGTGCTGGTTTCGCTTTGATTTCTGATGGTTACCAAAATAATGTTATGAGTATGTTGAATGCCGTGTTCCCTTTGGCATTGAATACTCCTAATAAGGTTTACTATACTGCTGACATGAAGACTGCTGTTTCAAATGCCTCTTTAGTTGGAACTATTTTTGGTCAGGTTGCTATCGGTATGACTTGTGACTACTTGGGAAGAAAATGGTCTATCGTCACTGCAACTGTATTTTTGATCGTGGGATCAATTATGTGTGCAGCTTCTCATGGAGTGACTCCCGAAGGTTTACTTTGGATGTTGATTATTTCGAGAGGTGTTACCGGTTTCGGTATCGGAGCAGAATATCCTTCTTCTTCCATTTCTGCCTCCGAAGCAGCAAATGAATCCATCAAGAGACGTGGACGTGCCTTCGTTTTGTGTACCAACTTGCCCTTGTCATTTGGTGGACCATTCGCTCTTATCGTCTTCCTCATTGTTCACCAGATCACAAAAAAGCATTACGAAGCATTATGGAGAACCATGTTCGCCATTGGTTGTTTCTGGCCATTATCTGTGTTCTACTTCCGTCTTAAGATTGCCACTTCTACCTTGTACAAGAAAAATGCCATCAAGAGACAAGTTCCATACTGGTTGGCTCTCAAATACCACTGGAGAAGATTGTTCGGTACTTGCGTCTGTTGGTTCTTGTACGATTTCGTTACCTTCCCCAACGGTATTTTCGCAGCCACCGTCATCTCTGGTGTAATGTCTCCATCTGAAGCTAAGGACTTGGACAGAGTTGCGGAATGGAACCTTCTTCTTGGTGTAATTGCTATCCCTGGTGTGATCGTTGGTGCATTCCTCTGCGACAGACTCGGACGTAAGTACACTTTGATCCTTGGATTTATGGGATACATCATCTTTGGTTTGATTGTTGGTTGCGCTTACGATAAGATCAAAAACATTACTGCCTTATTTATTGTCTTTTACGGATTGATGATGAGTTCCGGAAACTTGGGACCTGGTGATATGATGGGATTGACTTCGTCTGAGTCTTTCGCTACTCCAATTCGTGGTACCGCTTACGGTCTTTCTGCTGCCATTGGTAAGGTGGGCGCAGTTGTTGGTACCAAGACTTTCACTCCTCTCAGAGCTAGAGGTGACAAGTGGACTTTTATTGTTGCTGCTATCTGTGGACTTGCTGGTGTGCTTGTAGCATACTTCTTCATTCCTCATTTGAAGGATGACGACTTGTTGAAGGAGGACATCAAATTCAAGAACTACTTGAGAGCCAATGGCTGGACTGGTCAATTCGGTGAAGAGAAGGAGGAAGAGGAGGACTTGGAGTACCTGAAATCCCTGATTTCCACCACCGAAGAACTGACCAAGCGTCCCCTTTAGTTCTAAGACTTAATTTTGTCTCTAATTAATGTATAGGTATCTGCGTGTGTATGCAGTATATACCGTGAATTCTTAACAAATTGTTTTACAGTAGCGATTCGCATCCTCCAACGACAAATGACACAGGACGAGCTGGGCTCTGTTGCTGAAGCATACAAGCAAATTCAGGAAGCAGAGAAACAGGCGGATCAGCTCGAAAAGATGCTCGATAACCTCGATGCTAAAATGGATTCCATTTTGAACGATGCTGAACGCCTACAAAAGGATGCCAGTTTGGACACGGAGAAGATTCCAGAGAACGAAGAATAACTCTGAGTAAATGTGCTCTATTCATAATTCTATTGTGCAAGTTGTGATCGTAATATGAACTCTGGCTCCTCAGTTTCCAGAAAGGGATTGTGAGGATACTTTGGATTGAATACAAATTGGTCGGCATTAGGTCCACTGAGCTCAGGAATGGTAATCTTTGCCAGCATCCCATTGGACAACCACCATTTAGTGGTATCACTGCTAGGAGGTGGTAGCACTTTGTCGTCCGCTTCCGAGATCAAGAATGATAAATTTGTGTTTGTAACAATCATATCATTAATATCACCGTAGTTTTTGCGGTAATTCTCGTAGAGTTCATGAGTCAAGTTCTTCTTCACTGTCTCGTTGACCACACTTATTGATACAGTGAGAGTAGCGTACACTGGCCTATGGTCGGAAAACTTTATCTCATCACTGCAATCGTACAAGTGCTGCTTGATAATTTTTTTTCTCGAGAGACTCAAGATACGGTCAGTCCAGGCAGGAATACGCTGCTTTTCAGAAGTGTCGTAGGTGCTGGTTCCGTTGTCGAATTTGTAGGTCGGTTTGAACCGCAACTCCATCTCGTCAAAGTAGGGGAAACTCTCACCACTCGCCATTTGTTGGTTCAACTGATCATACTCAAAGAGCCTTGGGAAGTCTTTCTTTTCGACCAAAGCATGAACTTGCTCTAGTGGTAAGTTAATCCGGTAGTTAAAGTCGCCTAGCCAGATGACAGCATCGTGATCTTTGATTCTTCTATTTTTGGAAAACTTGATTCCCTTTCCAATCGTTTTGAAGTTCTGATGTCGTTCGATTGTATTTCCGTGTCCAGCTGCAAAGTGAGATGCAACCAAACAAAGACCAGTATTGGAATAGTTGAATCTCACTGCCACAGCACCTTTGTTAGCACTAACACCACCAAAGCCGGTTTTTTTAAACGATCCTTCTACATCGTGTATCTCTTTGAGTTCCAGTTGCTTGACAAAGAGAAACAAAGCAATACCTCCCAACTGGCCACTCCATAGAAGAATGTATCTTGATTGAGTCGTATTGTTAGCTTCGAGGCAAACCCTCAAGTGCATTTCCCACATTTGCCTTCTGAGTGAATCCGTATCAACCATCTGTGACGCTGTCAACTCAACGATTTCCTGCAACCCAATGAACACAAGATCATAGTCACCAGAGCTCCCAGGAGGAAACAACCAGCTTTTGAACTTATCTTGATCTTCACATGAGGCATTGACATTGAAAGTACTTGCAAACACCAGTATATCTCGTTGAGATGTAAATTCCTTTTCTCGACGATCAAGTTCCTTAGTAACATAATCATGCAAAGGGTTATGAAGGGAGACACTGACCTGATCCTGCAACGCTCCCAAGAGCTTCAAGATAGCCATTTCTCCTGGTTTGTGGTCCAGTACAGTGTGCAAATATCTCTTCTTCAATTGGGATGGAACGATTCCTTTTGAGGCTGCACTGGAAGAGTGAAGCTTATCGGTATAAGAAACAAAGTTGATAGTAATATTCCGAAGATACTCATCAGTCTCAGCCCACAACCTGGCGTGCTTAGAGAGTAAATCATGGCCAGCATCAATTCCCAAATCTCGCATTGCAAGTTCAATAACTTCTTGACTTATGATCTTGCATAAAAAGCTTGCTTTGCTCAAACTATCGAAAGAATTGACCCTAAAGACCCCGAGCTGCTTTCCGACGTAGGTTCGTGAGTCAATGTCGTAAAAAAGTGCACCGAAATTCAACACCAACTTGGCTATGGACTGCGAATATTCATGAGGATTGACAGCGGTATAGTCTGCTTTCTTCATTGATGAGGTAGCAACAGGAATATCGGTATAGCCTAGCTTATAGTTCGTTGCAGTTTGTGGGTCATTACCTCTATGTTCCAAAAAGTAGTTGATATGTTCTTTGAAGGTGATGTTGAGTTTTCCTTTGTAGGTCTTTGTATCTTGGGAGAGGGAGTTTAAAATGTGGATGTCACCATACTGGTTAGACAACAAGTCGAGGTGTTTGGTAAACGCAACCTGAGACGCTTCGAAAGATCGTGGAAAGACCACTTTCTTGTTCTTTTTAGCTGCTAGAGTTCTCTTTGAAATATGAGTCTCGAGCGACCAAAGGATTGGCACATTTCCACGGACCATTATATATGTTAAACAGAATTTGGATCCGAAAAGAACCAATTCTGACTCAACGAAATTCGATACATGTCCGTTATCATCGCTACCCCAATCACCAAATAGAGGCCCATTCTTTGCGCAAGCTTGTTTTGATATCAACGTGAGCAAGACCTCTTCACCGTTGCCCAAAGTAGAGTTGACAGTCTTAGCATAACCTCTGGTGATAGTAACGAGAAAGCCACTGGAATCGAAGCATATCTGTTCATATGGTGTCAACCGTCCCCTGAATTCTATAAGTTCTGATACAAGGAATGAGTTCCACATGAACTGTCTTTGGTATGGCAGATCTCCCATTAGAGAGAATTTTGGCAGCTGCATATCTCGAAATCCTCTCTCTTGTATAGTAGACGTTACATCGAACTGATGCGAGAAAAAGAACGATCCCAGGGATAATAGTTTACGCACAGAAGGCACCGGACCCTCTGCCAGCAGCAGTTTCTCATCGGTAGATTGCAGCTCAAAGTAATCATCCTCCAAGCCTGAAGACACCGGAGTATGAAACAGTTTCAGAAATTGCCAGTCAAATTCGTCACTATTAAGACAGAATATTTCAACACCTGTGATCTTTTGCACATCTTCATCGACTCGAGGCGTGGCTACTGTCACGGCACTGCTGACGAACACAAGATACAACTTGTCCTTTACGTTCAAGAGGCCCAAAAACCCACTCAAGTTCTGTGCTCTGCCCTTGGCGATAGTCAAGTCCACATATTTTGACAAATTGAGCGAATCTTTTCTCACAAACTCAACAATGACTTTGCTAGATTTGCTCTTGGCCGAGTCCGAGGTGGGTTCTTGGTGATGGTGGTGATGCAAATGATGATGATGATATTTGTAGCGAGGATATGGGTGTCGCACTATTAGTGCATACTGGTCACTGACGAGTATAAAAGCTCGCGGGTACTCGTTGAGGTATAGTTTCATGCAAAAAGCTGGGTTTGTATTGCTGGAGGTTGCAGCGAGCTGCGCCAGACATGGTGAGAGTTCGCAACTGATTGCACTGTGCAGGAACAAACATATGGCAAGGTAAGAAGTACTTAACTATGTATTTTGGACTAATTAGCTTTCTTGGTCTTCTTTTGTCTCAAGTGGCCCTCAGGAAGCCAATCAGAGTCGACAGACTTGGCTGTGGCAACTGGGGGAGAAGCGCCTCTTTTAGGTTTGTTAACTAAGGCGGTGCCCTCGAAGTAACGTTTACCCCAGATATTATAGGCAACGTACCCAAGACCCGCAAAGGTGGCCAATAAGATGGCTTCCAAGAGAAGAAGTTGAGGGTCAAAGACGGAAATTGGCACATCTTTCACCTCCGTTCTTTGACCTCTGGCTTGCACCAATTTCAAGTCATTGTCAAAAGCAATGAAGAGCTGAGGCACCAAAATGTACTCCTCAGGAACGAGATTCAAGCTGACCTTGTGACTGAAAGATCCAGACTCACCTGGCGTCACTGTCACGGCTTCAATTGGCGACGCAGTCAAGTTCGATTTGATAGCACCAGTCTTGACATCATGGAATGCTCCACCCACTCCGACGATGCTAATGTCCTTGTCTTCGTTGTTCGTGAAGCTGTACGCGATGGTAAATTCTTCTCCGTTGTAAACCTCCGCTAAGTCACGAGGACCTACGTTGGGAAGGTGTGGAATCGAATAATCTACAGCAAATTGAAGAGTCACTGTTTGACTAGTGGTATCTTTGGACGCTTCAGGGTCTGCAGCAAACGCTCCAGCAACAAAAGCGCCGAGAAATGTGGCCACATATGGCAAGGAAAACTTCATGCTGGGTACTAATTGAGTGAAGGATACGTCCACGTCGGTGAGAATCGACACACATCACGCGCGCACACACACGTGATCCAGCACGCGATCCATCGCGCCAGTTCTGTGCTGTATCGAACCACAGCGTTCATGATACGACGATTGGGCAATGGGTTCATACCACATCTGCGTGCCTATGCGACATACAGACGAAGCAACACGTATGTGAAAAATGGTCTGGTTGAAAAGCAAGACCACACTGACGATTTCCGTCTCTTACGACCAAATACAAACGACCACATCCACCAGTTGGATCCGAAACAAGTACGACGGCTCGAGAATAAAGTGAAAGCCGATGCTCAGAAGCTCAGTACTAGTATAAGTTTGCTGAAAAGCTATCTCAAGCAACGGGAGGCACTTGTGGACCACTTTTTGCTGGTTGAATCTGTGGATGGGTTTCTTGAAAATCTATTGCATCGCAATGATGAAAGTATACTGCCAGAATTGGGTCAAGTGCTCACTGATATCGCTGACCCGCAATATGATTCGGAAATTGCAAATTCCATCACGCTACTTTCTGCACTTTTTATAAACACTTTCTTGGTGGAACTCAATGCCGCTTATGCATTGAGCGGAAAGACTCCCGCAAATTTCGAGCTGGATTCTTTTCTCTTGCGTCCACAACTATTCAACTGTATCAAAGACGAACCTAAAAGGCTTGAAATAATGAAGATCTTGGCACTGATGTATCTTGGCGACGAAAAAAACCCATCGTTTCTTCTGTTCATTTCCCAACTTGACGAGCCGACTATTTCCAGCATTTGTTCTTCCATGCCATCTTCCGATGACTTTTTCTCGCTCGAACACTACCGATATCATTTCTTGCACTACAAATCCAGCCAAAGTTTGAACTACGATCATTCGGACACTATAAGAGCGATCCAGTCCATATCGAGACCTCGCTTCACTACGCCCAACACAGACAGCAGCAGATACATGATAGGCTTCTCCAACGCATTCGACACATATTACAACTCCTCAGAATCTTACGCAGGCCGAATGAATCTTGTTTTGAGCATTACCAAAGTACTCCTTTCAACGGCTGGACCCGCTCCAAACCATAGTATCTTTCGGTATTTGATAGATGAGCTTGGAAATGCTAATCTACTTAATTACCAATCGTTGGTATTCAACTCCATACCAGGGTATGAACACAAGAAAACCATGTTGGGCTCAAGCACCGAATCCATCATAGCGCCAAGAGCAGCTCTTCATTACAAAAGAGCAATAGAGGATGATCCTGATATACTTGGTTCCCTCATGCTCTATCTTTCAAGGCGGGCATCTAACAATTCGCTTGAGCAATTTCTATCGTTTTATCGACTTAATGAGGTTGTCAAGCATGAGCGAGTGCTCGACAATTCCAACTTTTCGAGCCTAGTCAGCAAATCACGGTTCACGAGAAATCGTGACATAGATCTTCACTCCGTTGTGTTTGATACAGACATGCCAATCATTGCGTCCGTGGACCTGGTATACAATGCCATTGCTTGTTGCATTGAACTCGGGCAATTCCAGTACATCGATCCATTATTCAACAAAATGATCGTCCACACAGTTGATTTGGGTGGTGAGGTGCATGTAGCGCTCAGCTTGGGGAATCAAAAAGACTTAACAAATAGTGAGTTCTCTCTCTTGTTGGCTCAAAACTTGACGTTTGCAGAAATGGCAGACAAGCTTTTCACCAAAAAGTTATTAATTCTTCTTTTGAAAGCAAGCAGGCTTTCGGACGACGTGGGACGAATGATGTGGCTTACTCCTCATTTGGACGCTTACCTCACCAAGCACTTTGAGTCTAGTAGTCAACATATTGACGAGATCAAGAAATTTGCGTCTGAAGATTCTGTATCAGAAGCATACGCTGCTGAATTCTGGGAACAGGACTCGCAGGCTTTAATCGATACCTCTCTCATAACAGAAATTGAATTAGCACTCACAGCGCTTAGTCTAGATGGCAAGAAACTCGCATACAGCAAGTTTCTTGACTTTTCTCGAACGGCTGGACTCACCCCAAAAAGCAAGAAAAGAGAGAGCTAATCTTATTTCTTCTTGAGCTTAAGAGGACTTGACGTTATGACTAACAAAACCTTGTATATAGTTTAATATAGCAGCAAATGGCTATTTGAAAACTTAGAGGTATAATCTGGTAAAATTGGCTGCAAATTTAAGCGATAGACTTTTATGATGAAACACCGGGAATCCCCAAGTGGTAACGAGGCAGGTTATTCTACTTATACGGAGAAGATAGTGAAGTATAAAAGAATAGAATCTTATGTGGCAATCCAAACTTTTACGCATGAAACGAAATCAAACAGTTTGTATGCCGAGAGCATTTTCTTCAGTCGCAAAGTCACGACGACCAATTACATTTTTTTTTTCAAAAACCACGCAATTTCTCGCAAAATCACATTGCAGACTCATAATTCATCGAGATAGACGCTGGTTCCTTTCAGTTACATGAAGTTGGCACAAATCAAATTAGGTCTTCGGTGTCCTAGGTAAACGCCTGTATACAACCAGGAAAGTTTGTCACGTGCAGGCATCGCATCAACCAAAGACTTCTGAACCACCGCCAACTAGATAATATCTCCATAGCATAGCATGAAGTTCATTACAACCAACTTTGTCAAGTGCGCTATCAAAAGCTGTGACTCTTCAGATAAATCATTTCCCTTACAATACAGCGAGTGTCAGCTAGTGCAAGAAGAGCAGGATTTCAATGGAGAGTTCATAGCATCAATGTTGGAACGACTTGACTGGCCAGCGGTTCTCAAGGTTGCTAGTGACTTGGGTAACACCTCCTTGCCTCAAAATAAGCCCGAGGGTATAGACCCAATCATGGAAGATGACCAGGCCATATTGAAAGACTTGCATACCTTGTTAGTGGAGACACAAATAGTCGAAGGAAAAATGACATGTGGAAACTGTGGACACATATACTATATCAAGAACTCCATTCCCAACTTTTTACTTCCCCCACACCTTTGCCAGTAACTGTAATATAGCATGAATGTACGCCATTGAGCACAACACCTTAAATTGAGATCGAAACAAAACTAAATTGAGATTGAAGTTTAATTTCAAATAATTGCAATTGCAGGGTTTACAATGATAAAGTACCAGATTACAAGACCCTATTTGAACATACCATTTTGCAAAGACTTTGATATCTGCTATTATTTTTATTATTCTTTCCTGCTATTTTGTTGGTTCAATCCGCATAATACGAGAAGGTGCGGCGTCGAGGCGGAGGGTCCATTTTTGCAATCATCTTATAATATGAAACCATCAAAGTAATCTCATCTTAAATCACTAGATTAGATAAACATCACATAGAATTATCACTATTTTCCCCCACTTTGCATTTTCAATTCAACTTCGATGTTCCCCCACCTGGCCAGGGCCGCATTGCGCTGCCTGCAGGCCCAAATTGTTGACTTTCGCAACTAGGCAGCAGCTAACTGCGACTCCAACGAAACTGCTTCTTGTTGCTTTTCCAAAACCATTCCACACTTTGGCTTCGAAACCCACAACTACACTTTTATTGCATCAACAGATCGTTTGGTAAGCTTGGAGCTCTTAAATCAAGGCACAAGATCCCGTGCTAAACTTCGTCGGCACCCTCCGAATACCTGTTCTTATTTCTAGCTGAATTCATAGCTACGGCATATCCACTTTTTGCATCGAGTTCCATGTATTCATACCTGGCTCACAAAGATTGATATTGGTTCAAAAGTTTAAAAGCATCCTTGCAAATTTCTGACCTCCTTATTATCCAACATGGTCAATTTACCTACCTCACTTTTCGCCAACGAAGACTCACCTAAAGCCAACGGCGAGCTGAGGTTTCACTCTTCCAGCGCCACAAACTCATCGGCGCTGACCCCAAGAACTCGTTCAATCAGTATTTCGAAGATGTTCTTCAATAAAGATCAAAATTCCGACCATGAGCAAATGAACCACGAGGACCCACAGGGAAGGTCTAAACTAAAGATGTTTTTCAGAATCCCTCCGGCCTCAACTTCAAACTCTTCTGGACGCTCAGATGAATCCGGCTCCTCCAAAACTGGCCACAATGGCAATAGTCCTCGAATGTCGCCGTCTCCACAACTGTCGTCTTCTCAACATCGTCAAGAAGCGACTTCCGATATGATGAAACGATTTGCACTAGGAAGAAAGAGATCTGTTTCGCACCCACCATCTCTGGCAGACCCAGGTAGTGACCAAGACCTCTCCAACGCCTCTCCATCACAACCCCGGATCATCATTAACGAAGGACGAACAAATGACCAGTCTGCGGGAGAATCCGGTAGTCCTATTGTATCGTCAAATCCGTACTTTACGCACCAAGGACTTCCCCCACATTTAAAGGTCAATAACGACTATAACAACTTGAATGCATTAGATGAAAAACAAGACGATGTTTCTGTATCGTTGAGACACAACGACTCGGTCATCGACCTTGGAGACAATAAAATACTTCCTCCGCCACAGACACATCATTCTACCGCTCATACAAAGTCTCATTTCAACTACGAAGACTCCAATGATTCTCAATATACCGACGAAGTATTTCAATCGCCTGAAAAGAAGTCTTCAAAAAATGATGGAAATAGGTCCAGATCAAGCACCAAAGTCAGGGACTCGCTCGTTCCTCCAGTTTCTCCGTTTCAAAGAACTTTGCGGCGGGTTGCATCTGCTCCTTTGGTGAATCGACTTTTGAACGAACCGTCCACTAGAGCTCCAAATTCGGAAGCACTTCCCAATAAGGAGAAGCAATTCGATATCAATGACCATATCGGTGAACTCAATATCCTGGGACGGCCCAGAACATTGACCCAAGGACGGGTATATTCTCACGCGGCAACTAAGGTCTTGGATGTGACTGTAGACCAGAGTTGTTTTGAAAAAATTCGATTACTTGGAAAAGGAGATGTTGGTAAAGTATTTTTGGTGAAGGAGAAAGCATCAAAAAGACTTTATGCAATGAAGGTTCTTTCTAAGAAGGAAATGATTGAGCGCAATAAGATCAAGCGAGCACTAGCAGAGCAGGAGATTCTCGCTACCAGCAATCATCCATTCATTGTTACTTTATACCATTCTTTCCAATCCAAGGACCACTTGTTCTTGTGTATGGAATATTGTATGGGAGGAGAATTTTTCAGAGCCCTTCAAACGAGAGAGTCCAAGTGTATTTCCGAGCATGATGCCAAGTTTTATGCTGCCGAAGTAACTGCAGCATTGGAATATCTCCATCTTATGGGCTTCATTTATCGAGACCTTAAACCGGAAAACATCCTTCTTCATCAATCGGGTCACATTATGTTAAGTGATTTTGATTTGTCAAAGCAATCCGAGAGTACAAAAAACCCCGAGATATTTTTCTCCAAAGCAGCTCTCAACAGCAGTAATGGGCCAACATTGGATACAAAAGCCTGTATTGATGGATTTCGAACTAATTCTTTCGTTGGTACTGAAGAGTATATTGCTCCTGAAGTCATTAGAGGTAAGGGACACACAGGTGCAGTGGACTGGTGGACACTTGGTATCTTCATGTATGAAATGCTCTTTGGTACGACGCCATTTAAAGGTAGAGACAGGAAGAAAACCTTTGCCAATGTACTTAAGAAAGATGTCAAGTTTTTGGACACACAACCAATTTCCTCTAATTGCAAAAGCTTGATTAAGAAACTTTTGATCAAAGATGAAGCGAAACGGTTGGGCTCTAAAACAGGGGCATCAGATATTAAGAACCATTCATTTTTCAAAAACACTCAATGGGCGCTTTTGAGACACCAACAACCACCAATGATTCCCGTTTTGACAAGATCAAAGAAAGCGGAGGCATTGGATAGTAGTGATCTAGATGACGAGAGTACATCGTCCCCACCTCTCAAGAAAAATCATTTGGGAGAAGAAGATCCCTTTGCCCATTTCAGTTCAGTTACTCTTCATTATAATGATGTTGGAGATAGTGACGACCAACTTTATACTGACGACAGTACCTACACGGGCATCTCTTACACGATCACAAACAGTGAGTCCAAGCCCAAGCGGAAGCGGTAAAAAGCTACGTGAAAGTTATAGACCATTGATGCTTCTATTGGAGCAACTATATAAACTCATAAAATGAAATGCACTGATTTTCGAAAGAACCCAAAACGCTAATATACAAGGATGACGGAAGACGCTTAGCACGAGACCAAGTCAATCACGCTCAAGTGAACTGCAGAGCACTGAGCAGCGACGTTCTGATCGTACAAGTTGTAGAAGTCACCCGACAAACATTGGTAGAAAACGTCTTGATCACCCAAGGCAAGGTTACCGTCGGAAGTGATAGACCATCCAGCAGCGTAAATAGAACCAGCTTGAGGTGGAGGACCATCAAATTGGAATTGTCTGTTAGCAACGATAGCACCAATTCTTCCCTTGGAGTCAGTCAAAATAGAACCGTTCAAGTTCATGGACAAGGAGTTGTCAGTAAGACAAGCCGTTGGGACACCTTCGTCGTCGTCACCAGATGGAGTAGCAGTACCAGTAGGAGCTTGAACTTGACCATCACCGATTTGAGAAGCACCAGAAACAGTTTGGTGTTGAATTTGACCATCACCGATTTGGTTAACGACAGAAGCAGTTTGGTGTTGAATTTGTCCGTCTCCAATCTGGTTGACAACGGAAGCAGTTTGGTGTTGAATTTGACCATCTCCAATTTGGTTAATCACTTTAGCAGTGGTAGCAGTTTGGTGTTGGATTTGGCCGTCTCCGATTTGATTGATAACCTTAGCAGTGGTGGTTGGAGTAGGAGTAGACAAGGTGACGCTGGTTTGCTTTTGGATTTGACCATCACCAATCTGGTTAACGGCATCTCTCTTGGCAGCAGTGGTGGTGGCTGGAGCAGAAGAAGCAGCACTAGAAGCTCCAGAAACTGTAACGATTTGAATTCCAAATTTGTGAGTGTGGTCAGTCGAGGCACCAGTTGGAGCAGGAGCTGAAGGAGTCAAGTCGGTCCATGGGTCAGATGGGACGTAGGCGGCATAGGCAGTGCCGGCCAAGGCAATGGAAGCAAAGGTAGAGTACTTCATTTTTTCTTGATTTGTTCAGTTAGTTTGAATCAATTACAGTTCCTGATCTGGAATAATGTTCCTGGGGAGATCAACCACCTTTTATAGCCTGAAGATTCCATGCAAGGTACACAGCCATTATGTCAAATCATGACTTGATGCTGGCTGAATCAGGTATAAGAATGCGGAGTAGATGTAAAAGTTGCGCAACAATGCACGTCATGTCAACAAAAGGGGTTCCTATCCCCATACATTAATTATGACAGTTGCTGGCACATTGACGGCATCGCTGGCTCAATGCATGTTTGTGCATATATGCTGGCTGCGAATCGGCACAATGCTGGTCGGACTGCATACAATCCGATGGCTGGTAGCTGCCATCACACCAACCAGCCGCGTATTTACCTCCAGACACCATCTCATCCAAATCAATTCCGATCTTTGTTCTGGAGATGTTATGAGCCCCTTCATGCTTTGGATAAGATCGTACCGCAATGCACAAAGCGGCCGTACTTAAATTTTTCCTAACCTTGTCCCAATTTGGCAATATACTGTATATAACCAGTACCTCATGCAACCTCGCAAAATTAAACTAACGGCCAAATTAGGTTATGCCGGTGCGAAGTAGACACCTCTACTGAGAACACTAAGCCACTCTGCTACTCGAAAATTTTCTAGTAAAGTTGACAATATCATAACTTTTATGTGTGACACATCCTTGGCAAAGTTAAACTTTTGTCAAACATATTTATGAAAAATACTGTTTAGCTGCATGAAGGAATGCAGGGCTCTAGTCGCTTTCTTGAGGCGGGCTAACTAGCATGAGGAGCACAAAGTAAGCGAAATTGAAAGATTGTTTGATTTTGGTTCCCTATGACGTATGCGTCGATCACGCGCAGCATGGTGCATGATACTTGCAGCCCCACCTGCGTGGGGGACCGGCAATAGATACTAGAGAAGTGAACGTTTTCCCCACAAGAACAAAATCAACCAGTTTGAGATACTGAGCCGTATATTAAAAGCAACAACTTACTGTCGTAGCATATTTTTTGGCACGGAAACACCTACACCATGACCCTAGTATATGGCCGGTTGTGAGCCCGGACCCCCAATCATGCATCTACGGCGAGATCGAGTGGTTTTGAGTGACAACTTCAATTCGTGCAGCACGGAATGCATATAGTCCGCCATTATGCATATCGGCCACTCTGGCTATGCCAGGGTCTAGCTTCTGTGGTTGCAAAATAGACCAAGTGGAGACGTGGCACCTCTTGCATGCTACATATAAATAGCCACCGTTGTCTGCCGTTAGCTGTTTACTTCTACTTCTTTCAGTGGTTTCGCAACGTTGCTGCCTTCGTATATATTATTTGCGGTGTGGTGTCAGGCGGCCACGACGGCGAGCGTAACTTATTTTGTTAGCTACTCGAACTAGTTTGCTGCCAACTCTGTGACGTAACTGACTCTCGTGTGTCATCCCTAACCAAGGGTACTTTTCGCAGCGACCGTTTTGCACGGGCTCACATTAGTTTTAAACTATTCTTCCTTGCGGCTTATGCCACCTCTTTGCGCGATATAAGTGATCTGCAGTATTCCCCGTTTCTGGCAGCACTTACACACAAAGTTTCGTCGTTGAGTATTTTCTCGTGATAACAAGTTTCATAGACGCTTGATAACGGTTTAATTTGTCAAATAACTCGCATAGTCAAATATGGAGATTCATACTTCCTGCTGCCATGTCCTCAAATCCTCATGAAACTTTTGTATTATCTTTCCATGAAAAAGTCAAAAATGAGCCAAACACAATGTCCGACAATATAGCCCCCGAGGCCAACGATGACCACACCTATCCATCTTCTGGAGATCCTCAGTTTCAACGCCCAGGTTTCCAGTCTGAGTTTAGTCCTCATTTTCATCTGTCACCGACATCTCCGAAACATTCGATCCCCTCGGATCCACCGCAGTTCGACAACTTTTCATTTCTGATTGACCAAAGACCTCCACATCCTCACCTGAGCCATGGTCAACCCATCCATACTTCCTTTCCTATCCAGGACCACTATTCTAGCCACATTCATGGTCCACCACTTCCGGCCGATCCTCAACATGACCCTAATTCTTCCAGGACTGGCTCTCATTCCTCTGCACCGTCTCTGCGCCAGCAGCACGTTCTACCAATGGTGCCCCCAAGACAGATGCTTGGTTATCCGCAGCATTTCTCCCTGACGAGTTCACTTCCTCATTCACAAGAAAGCCTTTTGCAAGCACCAATAATACCACCTCAAGTTTACATGCCTCAGCCCATACCCTCGGACGTGCATCCTCTAGGGGAACTTGGCCCAGATCACTTCTATGAATGCCCTTCGTCCGATATGTACCCGCCCCATGCCTACCCTGCAGAACTCACTCCCGTTGATCATAATAGAGGGGTTCCACTACTGGAAGATGACCACTTTCTGCCACCTAAATTCAATTTTGGCCGTGCTTTGCTGCTCGACAACGAATTCACCTCAACATACAGCTCTAATGATCCGTCACCATATGCCATGGCCTCCGATGACGCCGATTTCTCAGCTACCGCTCCTGTCCCATCCGAGAAAGAACCAGAACTGTCCAAGGTCTCCAACCAAACTTCTCCGCTGCCACTGGCTCTGCCACAACTGAATCTGCCAGTACTAACTGGACCTCTGGGAAGAAGAGCTCCAGAACGAAAAAAACGAAATTCGGTTCCTACCGGGGAAGCCGCGGCTCGAAGCCGATGTCCCATATGTAAAAAACAATTCAAGCGGCCTTCCTCGATGCAAACTCACATTTATTCACATACTGGGCAAAAATGCTTTAAATGTCCATGGGAAGGTTGTGGACGAGAATTCAACGTCAAGTCCAATATGACACGCCACTATAAACTCCATGAGAGGGACGAGAGACGAAGCACTTGATCATGTGCTGGTTTACAACCATACTAAAAGATGTACATTGTCCCATTCACCTTGTCACACCAGTGGTCTGCTTCGAGGTACTGCACACAATTCAAATCGCAGCGAACAGTTGTATCGGCAATGGGTCCTCATTTCCACCTGCTTATACATACATTACATAACCAACAACCAATCAATTTTCATCTAACGAACCGCTCACATACCTCTCATCAACACCATGGCTGCACATCCAGCCAAGTACCTCCGCCACGCACCCGTAAGCGCGCCACACGTCGACCCTCGTTTGAGATGGGGGGCCAAGTTGTTGGGAGCCACCATGTGGTTTTACATTTTCTACAGAGTCAAGGAAGACGGCCCAGTGATGTTTGGCCAGAAATTACCATTTGAGCACCACTAATGGTTGTGCCTTACTGTCGCCAGTATATAAGCTACCGCATTCGTATACATTAGTATACATTTGAGTACAATACTATAGTGTATTGTTGTCGGTACTATTGAGTAGAATTATTTAGTTAGTACAAGACATTGAAAGTTATTGTAGATTTAATCCATTCAAATCAGTGGTGAGGCGAACCCCACTTTGATTTTGCACTCAATATGCTAGTCTTTTACGTCTCTGCAACTATAATGCATCCACCGCTTACTTGCATATTCTTACGCATTAGTGCGCACAATCTCCTGCCGTTTGGCTGCCATAGGTAAACTTAACTATTCAGCCGCCAATTGTGCATAATTGTGCATCGTGGTATCTATAAAAGCAGACCCACCTGCTCAATATTTACTACCAACTTTAAATCTATTCCCAAATATCCGCTTTCGTTCCCATGCTCCCCCCAAGTGAACGTCTCCGCCTGGCAGTTAAGGACGGTAATGTGGCCGTGGTGACGCGCCTTCTTACCCGCTTTCCTCACCTATGGCTTAATGCAGACAGTGAAGGCAAAAGCAATCTCCATCATGCTCTGTATAATGGAAAGTATCTCGTTTGCTTCCATCTCATTTCTCACAAACCAGGCGATTTCTCCAATAACTCGATTGATCTACTCACATTCCAACTGGAATCAGTGCTACACATGCCTATTGCCCTACACCACTCGCAAACACTTCACTATCTACTCCAGGAGTTTCCAGGTAAATTGTGGCTCAACCATAAAGGAGGCCCTGATTTGCAAACTCCTCTTCATTACTGCTGCCGCTATGGGTTCGTATATGGAATGCAGCTCCTTCTAGAGTTTGGTGCTAGCTATTGGGATACAGATACCAACGGCAATACCTGCTTGCACCTCTGCTTTGCTCATGGTCAATTGCGGTGCATACAGATTCTAATGGAACATATAATGGGTCACAAGGGCATTGAAGCGTTCGAAATGCTAGAGAATTCAAGAAACAAAAAAGGTTGGCTCGCAAGTGAGTTTGCTATTTCCACTGATTTCTCACACAGCTACTCCAAGATAAAAAGTATGGTGGCTTCGCGACTGGTTTCTATACCACAATACCCTGAAGCCTCGTTCCCTCTCAGCTCACCCATCGTATTGGACCTGTCGCCATTCATGAGCTCGGCTTCGAATTCCAAAACTAACTCAAACACCTCTTTACCGTCGACTGCAGTTCCACGCGGCCGACCTCACGCACAGTCGCTTTCCATCAATACCTCGCCCACGTCTCCTATCATACGCAAGGCAAGGTCTTCCTCAACAATACAACTGCTGCCCGACTGGAGTCCGACGGTGTCCTCTATTTCTTTCCGAAGAGCACGGCCACAATAACCACACACATTAGTCGGACTGCCTTATCTATGGGTGTCGCGGATGCATTTGATCTCACTCTGACACTGAAAATCATTAGCAGAGGTTCACTTGGTGGAGGCAATTAGATGAAGCGAGGCATTGACATCGTCCAAGCTCTCAAAAACTCAAAAAGATCAAAGTCGCTGGATGATAGCGTCGAAAGCAAACTCTCCAAAGCCAGCCCTGACCTATCTCAATATGCGGCAGTCCAAATCAGTAAAGAAGATGTCACGGTGAATCCTGAGGTAAAGAGCACGATAGACAATCATAAAAAAGAACCGCCATCTATTGCATCAAGCATCAAAAAGTCACCAAAGACGGTAATCGGCAAACACGCAAACTCAACCAAAAAACCAAAGAAGCGAACTCCGTTAGACCAGCAATTCATAGACTTGAAAAACGAGTACCCAGATTGTGTCCTTGCCATACAAGTAGGGTACAAGTACAAGTTTTTCGGTGTCGATGCTGTTCCAGTTTCTCGCATCTTGAACATCATGTTCATACCAGGAAATTTGACTGAGCGAGATGCCACCCACGATAAGTTTGCATACTGTTCTGTTCCCGATAACAGGCTCCATATACATCTCCAGAGGCTTCTTACAAATGGCTTGAAAGTTGCCGTTGTATCACAAACAGAGTCAGCCGTGTTGCGTGAAGCCGAATCTTCAAAAGGTCTCTTTTTGAGAGAAGTGACAGCAATATACACCAAAGCAACCTACATTGAAGAAGGATCTGGCGATTTCATCTCTTGCATTACATGGAACGGTACATCTGCTGGTGCAGTCACCGTACAGCCTTGCACTGGTGAAATAATTGTTGAAGATTTCAGTGAAAAAGAACCTGAAGCGTTATCCGAGCTCCAAACCTACCTCCACCACTTACGACCATCAGAGATTATTGTCACCGACAATGAAGCTACAAAGGAGAACGATAAATTATCGAGATTGTTGAAAAGTTTCGGTGGAGCTCGTATATCTTACAAGCCATTTGATGAAGTTTCACCAATTGAGGAGCTACTCCCAGCGAGTATTGCAAATTACTATGTGACCAACCACAGCACTACAACCACACAATGCATTTCTCAGCTCATCACCTACCTAAAGGACTTTAGTCTTGATCAAATATTCACTGTGCCAAGCAATGTCTCCAAGTTTTCCACTAAGATGTACATGAATTTGCCAGGAAACACACTAAAGGCTCTTGAAATATTCCAAAATTCTTCAGGGACCGAGAAGGGTACCCTTTTTTGGCATCTCGACCATACACATACAAAAATGGGGAGGCGAATGTTGCAGAAATGGGTTAGTAAACCACTAATAGACAATGCAAGCATTCAAGAGAGGTTGGATGCAATAGAATCACTTATGAATTACAATTACGCCGTGGAAGTCTTCGAAGGCATTATCAAAAAAATCGGCCGCGACGAGTCAGATTGGGAAAAGTCGATGATTAAGATTCATTACACGGCCAATGGCTCACAGAACCGTGTTACCCGTAAGGAAGTTGTTCAGCTTCTCCTTCAATTCCGATCTGTGATCGATACTGTTTACAAGTTCAAAAGCTCATTCAAAGATTCGAGTATATCAAAGTTGCTTCAAAGCATGTTTCTGGAATTAGCTGAACTAGCTTCGACTCCGATCGTTAATGACTTGCTATCCAGGGTAAAGATCGAAGCAGTTTATCGTGAAGAAGTTGAAGACCAAAAGAAGGAGTTTTTCGATTTGGATTCCCACCCACACGAGGGAATAAAGTCTGAGCTAAATGCTATTTCCGAACTCGAGCAAGCATTACAAGACGAATTAGTGGAAATCAAAAAAATAATCAAAAAGCCAGTCGACTATATGACCGTCTCTCGTGAGCCCTATCTTATTGCGCTAAGAGGTGATTCGGGCCCTCAGGACTGGCTTAAAATCAGTGCTACAAAAACCGTAACTCGATATCGTCCACCCAAGGTATCTAAATTGTACAAAGAATTGCTTTATCACCAGGAAAAGTTGATCCAACAGTGTGATGAAGCGTTTGCTACCTTCTTGAAAGATATTGACTCCCACTACACTTACTTCAGTCGTCTTATCAAGATTGTCGCAGAAATAGACTGCTTATTATCTTTGAAGGCTACTAGCTCAAGCAACTCTGGATATTCCAAGCCAATTTTGTCTGACAAGCAGATGATTAAAGCAAAAAGAAGCAGGAATCCTGTCATCGAGAATCTCACATCCACGCTGCAATACGTTGCCAATGATATCGAAATCTCATACGATGAAAATAGGGTCTTGATTATAACGGGCCCGAATATGGGCGGAAAGTCATCATATGTCAAGCAGGTTGCCTTGATTGCGTTGATGACGCAAATAGGCTGCTATTTACCATGTGAATCTGCCATTGTCGGCATTTTTGATACTATTCTCGTTCGTATGGGAGCAGAAGATAATATCCTCAAGGGCGAGTCTACCTTTATGGTGGAAATGCTGGAATGCAGCACCATCATCAAGAGCCTTACAAATAAGTCTTTGGTGATTCTCGACGAAATTGGCCGAGGTACTGGTACAGAAGATGGTATTGCAATTGCATACTCCATCATCAGCTACTTAATCGAGGAACCTCGTCTTCCACTCACCCTTTTCATAACACATTATCCTTCATTGAAAGTGTTGGAAGACACACATCCAAAAAATGTTGCAAATTACCACATGGGTTTTATGGAAGTGGCTAAAGCTGATCAAGAGTGGCCGGATGTGACCTTCTTGTATACTTTAAAGCGTGGAGTGGTTAGCAATCTGTACGGTTTGAATGTTGCAAGGCTAGCTGGTATTCCCTCTGAGATTATCACAAAGGCATTCAAAGTTGCGGAAGCTTTAAAACAAGACATAGAAGATTCGGAACTTTCTTCTATGGGACAAATCTTGAAAAGTGAGCAAAGTAGTGCCAGCAAGTTGGTAGAGATCGACAGAATCGTCTCTTATATATAGCGTCAGAGTCATATATTAGTCGGTTGAATTGAAAAAAAAGTTTATACATGTGCGATTGAATTCTGGAGGATTGTCCAAATAGATGTGATGTCCCGCTTCTTTTACCGTATGATGAAAAGCTAAACCTTTATCCATTTTCTCAAACTTTTCACAAATATAACGACCTCCTTTAGAATTCATCCAATCTTTATCGCCATAAAGCCACAAGGTCTTGACTTTTGACTCTACTAGATGTTCCACGAGACCTCGGTCACAAAGGGGAAGTCTGGCCAATACTTCATGGTTGACCAATTTGGTGATGGCAAGCTCACCAGAACCCTGATATTGATTGAATATGCTGTACGAGTAACGATGAAGGGTCAAAATAAGGTCTACGTTGACACCTTGTTCACCGCCGTCGTTTGATTTTAAGTTGCGAAATCGCTGAAATGACCAGAAGGAAAGAAGTTTGGAGTAGAATGGCCCGAAAGTTTGCAAAAGCTGGAAGGGAGATTTGTTCCATTCCCAAAGTTTTCGCAATACAATGCTTCCTGGAATTCGAGGTCGTCCTAGGTGTTCCCATAATTTCTCCAAATCTTCGTTTGCCTGTACTTCAACCAGGTTATCTCTCTGAGAAGTGACAAGCTCCTTTAAGGGATCACCGCCCTTTTGGTGATGATTATACTGATATTTTTTATCATTGATCAATGAGACATAGCTCGATTCCGTGCCCATTGGACTGGCCACAATGAACTCTGAAACGAGTTTTGATCCATCCTCTTGGTTATTATACTTCATCAAGTAGCAAGAAGACAAGTAGGCACCCATAGAATGTCCAATAAGCTTGAATGCAGATATGTTTCTTTTGAGCCTCCAAGCCTCGATTTTATCGATAAACCAATTTTCAACTTGCAAGATCTGAGAAATTTGTTCCTCCAATGAGGGAAGCGATGCTAACAACTCTCGAGGGAAAGGAGGACGTGAGGAATTGCCGAATCCTGGCAAATCGATGACATGAAGGCGAACACCAGGCTGCGCCTTGAGTATGTCTTCAACGTTTTTCACAAAGTATCCCAGTGCCGCCATGTATCCATGGATTATAACGATATCGGATTTTTCAGCGTCTGGCTCCACATTGTTCTCTAGGTACACCTCATGAATAAATAAGTCTGGGGCGATCTCAACATCGATCATTTGGCACGCGAGTGGAAACGTGCTCATCTCAACTATCGTAGTGGAATCGCTTACAGGTTCCATTATATGTACCTCCTCCGAGAGAATTGAACGGTACAAGTCGTACTCGATCTTCCGGTTCCTTAACTTGGCTTCAAGATACTTGGCACCTTGTTTAGCACCAATATCAGCACTCATTAATTGTGTGGACGAGTTCCACCAATCTTTAATCGAAGCAGATAGAGCAATGGATGTTGGAGTTTTGATATCGCCCGAGGCCCCTGTTTGGTCAGCCAGCTTCTCAGGAGCCCCCATCGTCTTTATTGCATCTTGAATAAGTGTGGTCATTAACAAACCAGATCTGAAAAGGGCGATAAGAAGTGGGAGGTGTGCAGGTGTACTGATGCACAGATAAAGATGTGCGGCGGAACGAGGGACCATTGTAAATGGGCGATACTAGGTTCTGGGGGAATGAAAATGACTGAATGCTTCATGATTTGATAGGTATGAAAAGAGCTTCTTGAGAAAATTTCGTGCTTGGCGGTGAACCAATTTGTAACATTTTATGGGGAAAGAGAGGTGTTTCCTATTTAGGATGAATGTTGCAAATGTCTTACATTCAGTCGATCATCTAATGAGCCCTAATGGTGAGTTTCCAACACAAAACCATGTTTTGGCAAGTGTTTTTCATAAACACGTGAAAGCCAAATTAAAGTTTCCATCTGTAACCAAGATGCTCGGCTGTAATTCGGCAGTATACAGCATACCATTAATTCATTATAAAGACTCCACAACCCAGAGAAGATGCCAATGTCACAACAAAATAATCACACACCGACACGGTTGTACCCTCTTAGTCTTGGGCAAAATTCTAACCAACCAGCGCCCTACTCCATGCACACCATTGAGGATATAAGTCTGCCACGACCCCGTTTCTTGTATCCCGAAATAGACACGGTTCTTGAAACAGCCAATTTACTTGATTTGAGCGACACCGATACCGACAGCATTACTTCGTCACAGGAGATTCAGACTGTTAGAGTCAGGGGCGTATTGGGTACACTCCGTCACACATTTTGGGGAAAAGTTCGTTTCTTGCGTTTCAAAAACAACCTGAGAAACACAGTGAGACCCAATAGGGACCGCATTAGACGTGCTGACCCAAGACTAAAGAACCAGGAAAACGAGTTGCAGTCTCCGTTTGAAACCCCAATTTCGACTGGAACTGTATCTGAGAGTGAGTCTGCCATGTCTCTTCAGCGGTACGATACAGCACCGTCCAACTTTGCAGCGCAGATATACAACGACCCCGCACGCAACAACGGTACTGAAAACCTCGTCCGCATTAATGGCCAGCCCAACTAGCACGATAAGTCAGAGTATGTATCAAAATAAATCACCCTGTAGATTATGACTACTTCTTTCCCTTGGGTCTATCCAACTCAGTATAAGCAGGAGGTGCTGGTTCTTCTTGGTTTATTGCTCCATATGAAGTCGAAGGAGGTGCCAAAGGAGTCGGTTCTGTAGCAACAACAGGTCCATTATGGTGGTGATGGTGATGGTGACAGTTATTTTGTGGGGGTAACTGGTTTTCTAAATCTGGATTTCCACGGTAGATATAGTATACTTTAGATTCTTGGGTGATGGTGTATGGAGGATACTTGGCTATAATGTACCATGAGTGGATCAAACCGGGAAAGTAACCCAAAATAAATAATAGAATATTGATTAACGAATCCTGCGAACAAAATCCCCTTCTGATCCAGACAGGAAGTGGAGGGAAAAGAACCGATAATACGATAAGACAGAGATCTGTCATGCACTCGCAACAACAAAAACACATTGTAAATGTAAAAAACGTCGATTTATAGGTGTACTAATTTCCGCAAATTGCCCCCCTTTATATATGGTCATCACCGGCGGACCGGTAGTTAAGTTAAGTCAAGCCTCGGTCACGTGATACAGCTCGTGATGAGGCCGCACCTCAAGTTTGCCGCTTTCTCCAATCCTTGCAACATGTCTGCATCATTCAATGTTGTGTACGGCAACATAACCAAGCGAGTTGAAGCCCGCAAAAGCGATACTGTACACCAGCTTACCAACATATGCATGCAAAAGTACAAAATAGATTCAAACATGCGTGGAGAACTTCACTACAATGGCAAACGACTCGACAGTCTGCTTCCAATTCGTCTAGCCAATTTGGCCAATAATTCGAGATTGACGTTACTGGTGCAAAGTGTGGGGGATTCCAAGGATAAAAATGTAAATGTGAAGCTTATGGTTGTATTTCCAGACAATAAAACTCATACGTTCATACTGACGGTACCGGCAAACATCATGCTAGTAAAGCTAGTTGAAAGCATGGAAAAATCGAACAATGTTGATCTCATGGAGGTTCCTGGCTACTATATGAAACTTTCTGTTGTCAACACACAGTTGAGTAGCTTGGATGAGAGGTTTACTACGGTTCGTCTCAACTCGATTATTGGTTTGGATGTTTCCAGCTTGGTGATACGTTTGAGTTACTCAAGGGTGGATAACCATGAAACAGTCTTGAAGCAGAAGGAGATTGTCAAGAAGCAACTTGAAGAGCAACAAAAGTGGAACGAACGTCGTGAGTTGGAAAGAGTGGAGAGGGAGAGACAAAGTGCACAAGAAAGAGAGCTTTCAGAAACAAGACAAGAACCAGTAGATGAAGCTAACTCCAACGAAAATGAAACTATTTCCAAACAAGCGCCACTGAACCGGTTCGTTGATCAACCACCCCAACCAAGCATTTCCAGCGTTTCGAGTCGAGTAGACCATACGACCCATGTCGAGCCAAATCCAGTGGCGCAGCCTACATCCCAAAATAACCTGCAAAAACCAGAAAGCGCCGAGTATTTCATACCCTCGGATAAACGCTACATTTATGAAAATTCTGACGATGACTACGACATGACGGTGACCCAAGCACAAAAGTACCACAAGCTAATTCAGGATTCCGCAGCTAGAAAGGCTCCCAAACAAGCTCGCAAACCACAATCGTACTCTGTTCGTATCAAGTTTCCCGACAGATCATTGCTTCAATTGGCATTTGCAGCCGATTCTAAGTTTGGACAAATTCTCAAGGAACTCGACCACTACATCTTGCCAGCATACAAAGAAAATTACCACCTTAAGGTGGCCTACCCTCCTTTCAAAAAGCTCGAATTTTCATTTCTGGCCAACAACACTAGGTTAGACGAACATGGAGAGTTTGGGAGTAACGAAAATATTGTTCTACTTTGGGAAGTTACCGACGGTGATGCATCTGGTCCCTTTATCGACACCAAATTGGTCAATGCGAAAGAAACTACAGAATTGCCTGAAATCCAATTAGAATCGAACCGGGGGCAGCTTCCAGATGATACTCAAAAACCACAGGGTAAGAAGTCAACATGGTTGCAAAAGACGTTCAAGAAGTAATCGGGCCGTGCGGCTGACAAAAAAAACTCCGGTTGCGGCTTGGTTATCTTTCCGGTAACGGCATGCACAAATTGCGCAAATACGCATGGGCTCCAGCCCTAAGTGCAACGCATTTGCAATCAATTTCAAGCTTTGGAAACTGTAGTTATCTCTAAACCCCTCTATCACTCCAACGAACACATGCTGTGAGGCTGAATACGAAATCAACCCTATCTATGACTCACGTCGCGAATTATTAATATACCATATTTTACGCAGGCAATGTACGTGTGCGGCTGGCATCGGTAAATCTCAGTCCTGCCCGATTAGGTTTGTGCGCATTTTAGTGAGGGGGAGGCAGGAGCGAAAAAATTTTCACGATACATAAAAGGAGATCGTTCGCACTTGTCTCTCATCTTTATCAACAACAACAGCTGTTTCAGATTTTATTTTATTTTTTACTTGATTGCCCAAATATAGACGAAAGAGTAAAAATGTGTGCTTAAATTTGTAATCGAAAGGTTTACGAAGGAAAAAGTTATTAAAGTTGTATTTCTCCAAAGAAATTAGAACATTTAATTACATCCCCGTGTTGTTGTTAATAAATTATTTGAAAATGTTGATATGAAAGAAAACGGCTAAGTCCGCAATGGCGTCCCTATTAGAGAAACTAAGAAAGTTTTGAATTTTACCACTACTACTGAAACTATTATTACATTGTCACCTGTTTTTACAATGTCTGCTGCTAACCCTATGATTTTAACCGGAGATTCATTCGAATCTGCCGATGTTTTCAATTCTGCGTCTGCTACTTCTGATCGTACTTTGGGCAGCCAAATGCTTGCCATGAAAGCGTCAGAAAATAGCGAAGAGTTAAACTCCCACCTCCCTCCTGTAATCGAAGCCATGGGAGGCATTGGTGGTGATTTTGACGCTTCACCACTTCACGTCCAGTCCTCGGTATTAGACTCCGTGTTTAGTACCACCTTAGAGGGCAATGACGTCCAAGATCACACTCCTATGTTTGATGAGCTTGACCTCATTATGGACGGTGCTAAGGTGAACCTGCTGGATGATTGGGTTGCCTTGTTTGGTGATGAATCCGAAGAGACTTCGGTTCCTGAACTGAGCTTGGTAACTCATGAAGACATCAATCTTTCTGAGCTAAAAGATTTTGCGCAGCCAAGCCGCAAGAGAATGTTCTCAGAGGTTGAATCGTCTACTGTATCTTCTATGAATGTGCAGGACCAGCTATTCACCCCAAAGACATCGTCCTCATTGCCAACACCCGTTTTGGACAATGAAACTTTGAAACCCTCGAGGTCATCGACTAAGGTTGATCACTTGGGATGTGTTACGTACTCCAAGAAGCAAAGATCCCAGCCTTTACCTCCAGTTGCTACTGAATCCACAGACCCTATTCTGTTGAAGAGAGCCAAGAACACTGAAGCCGCTCGTCGGTCTCGTGCTCGTAAAATGGAACGTATGTCTCAGTTGGAAGACAAGGTGGAGAAGTTGATGGGAGAAAAGTCAGATTTAGAGCTGGAAGTCAATCGCTTAAGAGAAATACTAAGAGCGAAAAACATCAGTTTCTAAACAAAAAATGAAAAAAAAAAATATGATTTAGCTTAAATGTAATAGTACGAACACATTGAAAGTTGTAGAGCTGCAAGATAAAAGGTACTGCTTCGTGTTATCTATTTCACTATTCATTATCGTCTGCGTCTCGTCATTATCATTTCTTGGCGTAGGTCAATACAGCCTCTGGACCAAGTTTCAGAATATCTTCTTTGGTAGTGCCCTGTAAGCATTTTGTTGAAAGCTCTTCTGACTCAAACTCAATGAAGGACAAGTTAAGAGCTTTGACAAACCTTGTGTTGATAAAGCCAGGAAAAGATCCGAAAAATGCTTGAAGTACATCGTTCAGGTCGACTGTAGTGTTCTGGAGCAAAAGCACATTATTTGGTGGAAGCAGCTTCCAATCTTCTATCTTTATCTTCTTCTTGATCGGTTCTGGAGCAGCAGCAAAATCTGGCTCATCATTTTGAACTTTTCGTTTATTTGCCAGTGTCAGTTCCCTCTTAGCCTTCTCATTCTTACGTTTTTCTACAGTTTCGGTATCTTTCTTGACAGCAATAAAATACTGGTCTGAGTTTTTTTTGGCATAGGATATCTCAATTGGTTTCTGGAAGAGCTCGTACAGTTGTAGTTTCTCCATAGCTGCTGCTGATTGCAGTTTATTGGCAAAGGTGACGAATGCTTGTCCTTTCATTTTGATATTTTTATTGGCGGTGATTTGAAGCACCTCACCAAACTTGGCGAAGATGCTCTCAAGCAGTCGTCGAAGCGTGTTGACCGATACTTTTTCGTTCAAATTGCGTATGTAGAGCGTTTCCATGGGGAGAGTAATGGAGAAGAGAAATGCACCGATGATTTACGATGGCATGTCTGCAGGAAACAAGAAGGTTTACCTGCCGGAAAGAAAACGGTTCCAAGCCTGTATACTATACAAGAAATCACATGACTTACATATTGAATCCACTTCTCAATCAAGTGTATTTAGTCCCCATATCCAATGTTCCGTCTCCGCGTCATCTCTCCATTGACGGCTGTGGCTCTTTCTTATTGTCTTTTGGCGCTCTGCTCCCCGCTCTGCCCAGCCAAGCAGAGCCCGCGCATCTGTCAGCAGAGTGCGAGTCCGGCATACGCGCGCAGAGATAAACCTGGGCGATGCAGTCCACGCCGCTCGGTTTTTTGCATCAGGACCATCGCCAAACAATCAACTTTTCCATGTCTGTGGTGGCCATAAAGAACCAGGTAGCTAGCTACTTTCAAAAATCACGTCTGGATGACGAGTTGGAGCGCGTAAATGGACTTTTGGAGTCGGGCCAGTCTCCTTACGGATCAATAGAAGGCCAAGATCGGGCTTCAGCTAGAGCTAATGAAGAGAGAGCGATTGAAACAGCCAAAAGTAATGTGGAAAACAATGACTACGATTCAGAAGATGAAGGATTTTTCAACAAATTTGACCCACGGGTGATGTCAGATATTATAATTGGGTTATCGGACGGGTTGACAGTTCCGTTTGCATTGACAGCAGGATTGTCATCGCTTGGAGACACCAAGCTTGTTATCACTGGTGGATTGGCCGAGTTGGTGTCGGGAGCCATTTCTATGGGTCTTGGTGGATACTTGGCCGCGAGGTCCGAATCGGAATACTACCATGCGCAGGTCAAAAAAGAGAAACTTGGGTTTTTCAAGAAACCTGAGCTGATCAACCAGGAAGCGGCTGAAATCATGTTTGAGGTGGGTGCCTCGGAACAAACTATTGCATCATTTCTTAAGGACTTGGATTCCAAACCTAAGAATCTCATCGACTTTATCATCAGGTTCGGTAAAGGTTTGGATGAACCAGCCGATGGACGTGAGCTCACTTCGGCATTGACCATTGGTCTGGGTTACTTCTTGGGAGGTTTCGTTCCCCTTATTCCATATTTCTTCTGTTCGGTGGTACGTACAGGATTGCTTGTGTCGGTGATAGTTATGTTGATCACATTGTTCATTTTTGGTTACGTTAAAACGTCAATATCATTGGGTGATGACTGTGGTACCAGCAAGAAGGTGTTGGAAGGGTTTCAGATGGTAATTATAGGATCGGTAGCGGCAGGAGCCGCCTGGACCCTTGTCTATTTTATTGACAATTAGCATGTATAATATAGAGTTTAAGAGTTTGCACAAACTAATTAACCTTGGTCTAAAGAAACCGGTGCTTCTACAGCAAGTATCTACAGTAATTTCCCAATTTTATACTGCCCAGTCTCCACATCTTCCCGTTCCTGCTTCTAGTCTCCTGTGCACTCCTTCTCAATAAATCTCCTCGTTTCTTTGCCACTACACCATGTCCAAGTTTGCTGAAAGATTATCCCGAATTGCCATTCCTGTAGGTGTTGCCGTCACCCTCGGCCAGTCTGCCATCTATGATGTGGAGGGAGGAAAAAGAGCCGTGATTTTTGATCGTCTTAGTGGTGTTCAACAACAGGTGATTGGAGAGGGAACTCACTTTTTGATACCATGGCTCCAAAAAGCCATTGTTTACGATGTCAGAACGAAACCCAAGACCATTGCAACCACCACCGGATCAAAAGATCTTCAAAACGTTTCGTTGACGTTGCGTGTTTTGCACCGTCCCGAGGTGATGAACTTGCCCAAAATCTACCAATCGCTTGGTTTGGATTATGATGAAAGAGTGCTTCCAGCCATTGGAAATGAAATATTAAAGTCGATTGTAGCCCAGTTTGACGCTGCTGAGTTAATCACACAGCGTGAAGTGGTATCGGCCCGAATTCGTCAGGAGTTATCTCGCAGAGCAAACGAGTTCAACATTAGGCTTGAGGATGTTTCGATCACCCACATGACGTTCGGAAAGGAGTTTACCAAGGCGGTGGAGCAGAAGCAAATTGCTCAGCAGGACGCTGAAAGAGCCAAATACTTGGTGGAGAAGGCAGAACAAGAACGTAATGCCAATATCATTCGTGCTGAAGGTGAAGCCGAAAGTGCCGAGACGGTTTCCAAGGCATTGGCGAAGGCCGGAGATGGTCTCTTGATGATCAGACGTTTGGAGGCCTCCAAAGAGATCGCAGCCACGTTAGCCGGTCTGCCTAATGTGCTGTACTTGCCAGGAGGAGGCAAAGATGAAGACCAAAAGAACTCGTTGTTGTTGAATGTGGGTCGCTAAGTATGGTCCGTGTATATATTAACTATTACCTGTGAGGCGCTCTATGTCTTTGATCTCTTTAGCTGCGTTGGTCAATACTTGGTGACCATTGCTTGTAATCGCAACATTATCTTCCACACGAACCCCGATGCCATGGTACCATTTGGGCCATTGAGAACTCTCTGGTATATACAAGCCTGGTTCCACGGTTACAACGTTTCCAGGTACGAGTCCTTGATGGCGGGATATGGTTGGAACATCGTGTAGATCCAATCCCAAATGGTGGCCTATATAATGAGGGTAAAGTTTGTTTGCAATTTGGCTGTGGGAAACACCACTAAAGCCAGGAAGATTCTTCAATTCCTGACTCAAATGTTCCACTGACACATTATGAAGTTCCTGGAGAGAAATTCCAGGCGAACATTTTGCTATGACGGATTTGTTCACAGCTAGAACTGCACTGTAGATATCTTTCTGAGGTTGGGTGAATTTGCCCACAGGCCAGCCACGAGAAATGTCCGCACAGTATCCTCCGAGTTTCCCTCCAGCGTCAATGAACACTAGTTGGTCTTTTTTAAGAACATCGTCATTTCTAGTGTAATGGATGGTGAGCGCATTATTGCCCGAGGCCACCACCGGAATATAGGCATGTTTTTCACAGCCATGGCGAACAAACTGGTACTCCAAGAGTTTAGCAAGCTCGTTTTCTGTCTGGAGCTCGTTGGTCATAGCCATACACTTATCTATGGCAGAACTGGAGGCAGCACCTGCCTTGGCCATAACTGCGATTTCGCTCGCAGACTTGACGGCTCTCTGTCGAGCCACAAGATTTGTTAAGGATCTCACTGATTTCAGGTGCTGGTCTAGTATTCTCTGCATGGGGTACTTGGGCTGGGGAGCACTGAAGTACAGAGCAAACATGGACTTGGAACTTTTGTTGGGATCATCGTAATAAACGTAATCATTGCGTGCGATGAGCTTGGAAACGTACATTTCAAAATCGTCAATTGGGGCAGTTTCATCCGCATTGAACACCTCATACGCTCCAGCGGTACCACTACGTGCACCCTCCCAGAGCTCTTGTGCTGGAGCAGACTCGGGCACCAACATATGCAAAACCACATCATCGTCGTTGCCGTTATCGCGGACTTTTTCAATGATAGCCACAGAGTTTGGCTCGAGCCACCCTGTTAGATAGTACAAATCATTGTTTTGCTGAAAGTCGTAGAACACAGCACCGGAAGCATACTTGACGTTGTTCCCCACCAAAACTGCAATGGATTTTTTGGGAAGCTTACTGGCAAGCACCATCCGTCTTTGGTAATATTCCAATGCTGATATTCCTGGGGTGATTTCTCCTGCTCCTACGGAGTGTGAGCGTGTTTCGTGGGTAGGCTGACCGTACCGACATGCCCTTCGACCCGCCGATAGTGGCCGAATAAACTGTTTCCACATAAAACTTGAGAGTTCGCAGAGTGAAAATTTCCAAACTGGTGGTGATAACAAAAAAAAATGAAAACGACCGGGTTCGACTTTCTCGAGCAGTTACCCACAGTAGAAGATCCTCCACAACTGAGACAGACGAAAAAAGGCAAGAAGAAACAAAAAAAGGCCCACATTGGGTTCAAGTCAATTAGAGACGACATCGTTTCCCAAAGTGTGGGGTCGAAAATTCTTCACTATCACTCGATAGCTTTATTTAAAGACGACTTGGGACTCTTGCTTCCGGGGAATTGGCTCAATGACAACAATATAGCCTTCATTTTCGAGTGGCTCACCCATACCCATCTTGCTCCTCGAACGAGTTTGGTGTTTCCATCGATCGTTCAGCTTCTTGTTCACTTCCCACTGCTGGACGATTTATCATCGTTAATCCCCACAAAAGACACCGACTATGTTTTCTTGCCTCTCAATGATATCGAAGACTTCCAAGAAACCGACTTGGAAGCGGTCAATACGGGAGACCACTGGCTCTTGTGTGTATATTCGTATAGAAGCAGCCGGCTTTATGTCTACGATTCGGCCGACGATACCAATGATGAATTGTTGGAAGCGCTTGCCAAGCGCATCGAAATAGGAACCAAGACCCGTAAAGTGGAAATCACAAAGATGGTATGTGACCAACAGCCCAATGAAGACGATTGTGGGGTATATGTGTTGATGATCACTTGTGCGTTGATGAAAAAGATAACCGACCACATTGAAAACAACGAAACCCAGCTTTTGGACATTCTGAGTCTCAAGTTCGATGCCACTTCGGCTCGAATGTTCATGATGAATCTTGTTCGAACCCTCCAAAATTAAGTACGATGGATCTTTTCCAAAAGTGCTGCATTGACCACAGCAGACATCGCCTCACCTTCGAGGCTCTGGGCCAACCTGTCGACCTCTTGCTCCAACGGAACTTGGGTTTGCCTTGTATTATAGAAATAGTCACCCGATGTATTATAACCCACCCCAAAGTGAGCCAGTCCTAAGATGGTGAGCATCAGAAGCAAAAGCTTGGTTGTTCCAGCATTGTCTTCATGGCCCATGATAGCTAGCATTTTGGTCCTGGGTATTCTTTTGACGGTTTGGATAACTAGAATGAACACTTTGAAAGTAATTGAGTGCTGTAAACGTGTAAGAAATGAATCTGGAAGGGCAAATCCGCCATGCAATTCAATAGTGTGTTTGAACGACTCAGAACGAAGAAGCTTGTGTACCTCCGCAAACTGTGAGTCTTTGAGTAGCACAAGATATGTCATAATTTGGTTTGTGGAGCTGGTGTTGCTATAGAGATCGGCAAGTTTATCATCCAAATGTAAGGCAACCGAGAATGGTCTCATCATCGAAACGCTCAATCCATGAGCAAGAAGAAGTGGTTCTTTCAATGAGAAACCATCAAGTTCCATACAATTATAAGGATGGATTATGCTGGACGACTCTGACACCAGGGTGAATTCTTCAAGAAACTTTTCCACCATTCCCTGGCTGAAAGAAACTAAAGTTGACATCCACCGCAATAACCAATAGCACCGTATTTCCCGTTCAGCATCTTCCGTTAAAAGCAGACGTTTCTTGTTGTAAAAATAGTTAGCCCGCTTGAGATACGTCTCGAGATTCTTATGTGGAGAGATGGTTATAGGGACATCATTTGAAACTTCGTCCTCCACGTCTTCAAACCATACGTGCTTGTACACAGATATCACATACGAAAATAAAAGATATTGAAGATACTTGTGATTTGTGATCTGTTCTGTGGTTGTGGGATCAGTAGAAAACCCAGCAGAGGATCCGTAGCTTTGCAAAAGCGTAAGGGCTTGGCCGAAACGGTTCTGAATCGTGTAAATCGAGAGTAATTCCATTGTGCAATTATAGGTTTCTGAGGGCGATTGACTATTGAGAAGTACACCATAGAGTGAATCTGAGCGAGTTTCCGCTTTGGAAGCCGTATGATCGAGCCAATGTGTGGAATATTTGGTGGTGATTTGATTTTGTTTCAAGTAGTCCACCAACATATGAGCTTGTGGGTTCACCAGATGATAGTGATCCATGATATCTAGGGCTTGTGTGGCCAAGGAGATCCGTGCGGACTTGCAGGAGTCATCGCTACCTATCGTAGAAACGAATTGGTGGCACAATATGGGACAGGCTAGGAATGACATTGATTGTAAAAAATGAGAATTTCGCAGATAAATAACGTAAAGTGCCAAAATTGTGAATTATGCATTATCGTATCTTCGTAAATTATATAGAATGATGGTCCAGCCTATAGTATTATGGAACTCGTCAGATATCCCATACATACGAGAAACACAGTTCCCACTGCGCTCCAAGTAAAGGGAATCCAAGTACTCATGGTAAGTGAACCAGCATGATAAATAGCCTGTAGAAGCAATCCTATGACGGCTCCGCTAGCAAGGCCCTGCACCAAACCTATCACTAGGTATGTGACAAATATCAGCACGGCCCAAAAAACATTGAGCTTATAGGCGGAAATTTTGTGTCGATACAAGCTGAAATTTTGATTGAAGATTGCCATGGTTGCAGCTATCGCATGTATTCCTCCAAACAAAATCAAGAACCAGAACACGGTGAACTTCCATACATCATACAGGTAGTACAAGAACAGTCGTTGGTACTGAGCGGTTTGTGAGCCTAAGGGCCAATATAGTGATGGGAATTTAGGTGTTGTGTATCCCACAGGAGCATCGAGGGAACTAACGAATATTTTCATGGCAGAAAGCTGAACTTTTCAAGCTTTACTGAGACCAACGGGAGACAACAAAGACAATTGGTTGTTTCTAAAAATGTTGAAAAGTCTCAAAGACGATGTTCAATTCACTTCAGGTGAAAGCAGTTCAACCCAAATCAGACCAAAAGCTGTGAAAATAACAGACAGCACTCGCAGACCACTCCTAAACACAAAATACTTGTAAAAATGGAACAAACGACTTTTCCCGTGCTCCTTCTAGAATGAATATATTTCCAAACCTGCGGTTCAAAATCCAAACTTGCAACCGCACTTGGTCCTGGCGGTACGCGCACGCCTACTATAGGGAAGTCGCACCGAGTCGTCGCCACCACTGTCTTTACTACCGTTACCAAATAGCTGCCCAAGTATGTCTAGAAGGTACGACTCCAGAACGACCATCTTCTCACCCGAGGGAAGACTCTACCAGGTCGAATATGCTCAGGAAGCCATTTCCTTGGCGGGAACTGCCATTGGTATTTTGGCAAAAGACGGCGTTGTGTTAGCTTGTGAGAAGAAATTCACGTCCAAATTGTTAGATGACGATGGATCCGCAGAGAAATTGTACGCACTTAACGATAACATGATTGCTGCTGTCGCAGGAATGACCGCCGATGCTTCTATCTTGGTCAACCATGCGCGGTACGCTGCCCAGAAATACCTCAAGACCTACAATGAACAGATGCCATGTGAGATGTTGATCAAACGAGTATGTGACATCAAGCAGGGATACACTCAACATGGAGGATTGCGTCCGTTCGGTGTAAGTTTCCTTTACGCTGGTTATGATGACAAGTACCAATTCCAGCTCTTCACTTCCAACCCATCCGGTAACTATTCTGGATGGAGAGCCACCAGTATTGGAGCCAACAACTCTGCAGCGCAAACGTTGTTGAAGAAGGACTACAAGGACGATTTGTCGTTGGAAGAGGCATGTCAGCTAGCAGTGAAGGTGTTACTGAAGACCATGGATAGCCAGAACTTGAACGGTGAGAAGTTGGAATTTGCAACTTTGTCGTTGAATAAAGCTGAGAGTGCACCCGAGTCTACGGGAAATGAAGCTACTCGAGGACCTGCCACCGATGAAGTGACGCATAGAATCTGGAGAGAACAAGAAATCGACGAGCTCATCAAGAAGCTGGGGGTTTTAGACGAGAAGAAGGAGGAGGAGTAGAAGAGTGATCTGAGCATGAAATGACGGAGAAAGATACATACTGTAATGGTAGCATATTTGATAATTGTAGTGCGGCGACAAAGTTGCGAATTCGCAAATCTTGATTGCGAACTCTACTTCGCTCAGATTAACACAGGGATCATTATAGATTTGGACATCACATTCAACTCCATACACTTCACTTGTTATGTCGGACCCTTTATCGGCTCGAATTGCTGAACTCTTTAGCCAGTTGCATTCCTTGACAAATGAGTTTGTATCGGCCGATGTCGAATCGTCCCAATTGGATGCAACGTCTCGTTCAGTACTTCAAAAGCTATACAGCCTTCTAGGCATTGAGCTGGGAAGCGTTGCATTGTCAAATATCGACATTGCTAAACTATTGGAGATTTCTGATACTGTGGCTAATGAACAAGGATTCTTACAAAATGACACTGTCACGTCCCTCGTAAACTATTACCTGCTTCTTTTGGTTTACAGCCATTTATCTCGGACATTTATTTCACGGACACTAGATTCGCTGAATCAATTGAGTTATTGGGACGGACTCCATTATTCCACATCCAGTAAAATGTTGTATTTTTTGCAAACTTCTCCAGCACGACTCATGACTACTTGGTCGACTTTTGACCCCAAACCTTTGCGTGTGGAAACACAGGCTCGTTCTTCTGTGGAGGAAGACAATAGTGTTTACCATGCCTACGAAGAGATGAGAGATTTTGTTCTCAAAGCCGTTAACAGTATAAAAGCGGCAATCCACAAGGTATCGCCTTCTATGATGCTTGAGAAGCAACTGGGACCTATAAACATGATTTCAGCTGTCTACCACATTCCATACAGCGTAGCGGCTAAGGATGTTAGAAGGAACCGTCGTGATATTCGTCATCGTATGGATCGTTACGCACGAACCATAGGCGAGTTGTTGAATACAGTTCCACAAGAAAATCCCCAGTCAATCACAGAGATCAATATTGACAAGTTACTTGGAGCCGCCGAGTCGATATTGGATATCACCAAAAAAGACGAAAGTGCCTCAAAACGAATTAATAATGTACTTCGTCAATTGGTTGAATTCGAGAAAGAAAGCGACACCAAGAACACAGCACCTCCCGGATTCTACACTCGTTGGTGGCCCGGGTTGGCATTGGCTATCAACTTTGGACCAGCAGCTGCTTTCAAAGCGTACCATAACTGGCGGGACATCTTACAGTGGTTTCAGCTCAATTTTGTGGAAACAGTGGTTGGGTTCTGGAACAACTGGGTGATCAAACCTATTTCCAATATGATGAGTGTATTGCGCCATGATGACGGAAGCGACCTTAGTATCACCACAAAAGAGTCGTTACAATCTGACCTTGATCTGTTGGAAAGAATGGTGGTCGACTATGTGGTGGACTACGAAAAGAAAGACGGAGCTCAGGTTCAGCAAGAAATTCATCATGCCATCACCAATGGAAATCTCACCATGTTAATGCTGAGATACGAGCAAGATTTACGCAGTCCATTCAAAGCGGTGATCAAAGGATCGTTAGTACGGGCTCTCCTCATCCAGATCCAGAAAACCAAGGTTGATGGCGCCGTTGCTATTAGTGGCATTGACAAGCTTCTCAAATCGCAGCAATTGGTGTTCGGAGTGGTATCGATTTCTCCGTCGTTGGTGATCTTGTATCAAGCTTACCAAGCCTTGAGGAGAATGCGTAGCCGTCCAGTGAGACTTCATGGCAAGCAGGTGAACATACTCTGTCTCAAGCTGTTAAACAGTATCGAAAAATGGTTGCGATCCACCAAGGACTCCGAGCTCATCAACGGCCATGTCTTTCTCGAAGTAATTAGACTTCTTCTGTGGACAGACAATGTTATCCCTCACCAGCTACAAGAAGAGTGGAGAAGAGACCTACACGAACTCGCCCTGGGCGGGGGAAGAGATACTATGGACAGGGTATGGCGGATGTACGAGCCCTACTTTCGCTAGGTTTGGATGCAAAGCCGCAGTGGGCCAAAAATAAGCGGTTACCGCCGCACGGCAATTTTGCCGAGGAGGGGAACGCCTCAGCCTAGAACTTGAAGTTGGTCACCAATGTAGAATGCGGCATTGAAATAGCAAAGTAATCGAGCGCACTGAAAAGCCACCTTTAGTCTCAGTGCTCTACCCCTCATTACACCCACTGCACCGGCAACTAAGATGAGTGTCCGCTCCCCCGCAATTGTGTCCCCCACGCTTGCAGTTGCGACCGGGGTTAGACATTAGGCGGGTCCAACTATGAAGGCAGTCCCCACCCACCTTTGAAGAAATTTTAGCTTTATCAAAGGTACGGTCGCAATTGACAACGGATGACCAACCACAAAAATCCAGCCTTGAAATCCAGTTTTTGCGGGGAAGAAGGTGACACAAAGGTTCCGCGCATCGCAGAGGAGGGGAGCGGCGGCGGGGGAGGTCCGAATATAATATGGAACTTGGCCAATTGTCGTCCCCGCGAAATCCAAAAATTTCTTCCTATTGATGAACGAACCCCCTTCTATCGTCGACATAGCTGCCCATAGAGTCAGCCACTCATCGATACGGTCTCACAAAACAAGTGATCTTCCTATGCCCGAAAAGAGCCCCAGAACAGGGTTCCATCATATTCAGCCGCTTGTTCCAAGTGCAATTGGACCAGTTTCAGCGGTCGACGACAACAAATTTACACCCCGAGAGAACGTTTCTGGCAAGTCCTCAATAGTACGCAACAGATCTGCTTCAGAAACTGCCATTCGAGCCAAAAATGACTCCATTCTGGAAACCTCCACCGGCTCCGAGGCGCCTCCAACTCCAACTGTCGGGTCCATAAGCGACGAAGAAGAGTATCTGGCCAAATATGGCACGAAAACAGCGTCGGGAAACTCCCGGATCTATAATTGCAAACAGTGCAATCGAGCGTTTACTCGCGAAGAACATCTCACTCGTCATACACTTTCTACACATAACAAACTCAAACCATTTGTGTGCGGGATCTGCTCACGCCCGTTCTCTCGACGAGACTTGCTTCTTCGGCACGCCAAGAATCTCCATCAGGGATCGGAGTTGGCAGTGAATAGAATTCGCAAGCTGTACAAGCGGTCCAAGAGAGGTGAAGATAGTGACGAAGATGACGAAGATGACGAAGAAACCGAGGAAAATACTACCGCCACTGAAGACCAGTTCGAATACAAAAAGACCTCTGTGGAACCCGGTGAAGACGAAGGGCTGGCTTCTTTCGCATCACCGCTTCCAATCGATGCAAAACCTTATAATACCCCAGACAAGAAACGGATGAAGATGTCCGTGAATATGTTGGTAAGTTAATGATTCATGAGTAGACAAGTCAAATATCTATTGTAGACAAGTAAAAGTCTAAACAAGTCAAAATTAAAACAAGTCTGGAAATATCTCGCTCATTTCTCACTATTTCTCTCATTATTTTATTGATTCTCAAATTTCACTGTCTCACTTTCAGGCTCACCAGTCTCACCCTGCTATGGAACCATGGCTTCTCCATCCTATACCCTACGGACAATGGTTTCTCGTGGTCACAGACAACGCCAAACACTTCTACTACAACCAGGAAACAAATAAATCGTATTGGCAGCTCAGCGATGTGTTTGAAGATACTACCATCAGCAAAGACGAGTTCTTGAAATGTTTGAATTTTGATCAAGTGGCAGTCCTTATGGCCAAGATTCGGGGATTGAAGGTGGATGATGGACCCAAGGCAAATAAATCAAGAGCAGTTAACAAAAGTCCAGAAACGAATCTCCCCAGCCAAGGTGAAAATCACAACGAAAGTGTCAACGAAGAAGTCATTACTCAAAGCAACAAGGAAAGTGACAACGAGAGCAACGAGGACTGGGAATCTGGGTCTTCAAGCTCTCAAAATGACCAAGAATCCACAGAAGCATTGGTACGTGGTTTTCTTCAAGAAGAAGGAATAGCTGCAAAACCAAGCTTATTGGAGGGTTACGGTTCTGAAGACGACTCTGACTCTGACTCTGAAGAGCTGGATACACTAGATCTTGACCTCAATTTGCCCGTGGCTGACCGTGAACAGTTCCTTGAAATGCTCTCTTCGCTTGGTGATAAAATCGATAAGATGGACCCGTGGTTTCTTGTCAAAGAGGAACTTGCTGGAGACTTTGCTCAAGACAGTCGTTACTTTTCAGTTACGGATGAGAACCAAAGAGAACAACTTTATAATGAATGGGTACAAGAAAATGTATCTGAGAATGAACCTACTGAGGATAGTTCATATCCTTCACAAGCCCAGTCTTTTTTCAGCCTTCTACTGCAGCACAAGAAGGCAATCAAGAAACTACATTACCAGGAGTTTCTACTGGAACATCCCGAGTTGACAGATTTGCACCTACCGTCCAAATTAATGGAGTCACTTTTCCGCCAATTCAAAGTCATGTTACTGGACCAAGAAGAGTACGAAAGAACCACAAAAAAGAAGCCAGAATATGACCCAGCAACTAATCTCAAGCGGGAAAGGTTACTACGCTTTTTGCAGGATTCCAAATTCGAACCAGCGGCCATCAATCTACAAGATATTACTGGCACCACTGATTTTGAAAAATGGATATCGCTATGCAAACTTGCAAATATACCAGAACGAATCTACGACAGCCCATACAACTTTGTGGTGGGCGACGAAAAGAGGTGGGAGGTGTATCAACTGTGGATATTGGAGCAATAGTATCTCTATGCACTTACCCCATACATCCTATCACCCGCGATGAGGTTCAGCGACAACCCAATTTACTCTTCTTCTACCAATGACCAGAGTTGTCATCACCGGCTTGGGGATGGTGTCGCCCCTCGGAGTAGGCACCAAGCACTGTTGGACCCGTCTTATGGCCAATGAAAGTGGATTGGTTTCGACTCGAATATTTCCAGATTACGATGAATCCTGGAGCAAAATACCATCTCAAGTGGTAGGAAAAGTGCCTAGTGGTCTGCTTAAGGACGGATGCTGGGACCCAGCCGATCATCCTCTGGTTTCTGATGCTCGAAGAGTGGCACTTTTTACTCAGTATGCATTGGCAGCTACACAAGAAGCACTCGACGACGCCAAATGGACATCCAATGGAAACGCCGATAATGTGGGAGTTGCCATTGGCAGCGGAATTGGTTCATTTCACGATATTTATGATAACTCAATTGCATTTTCCAACGGAGGTTACCGAAAGGTGCAACCGTTGTTCATTCCAAAATTACTCACCAATATGGCAGCTGGAAATGTTTCCATGAAATTTGGCTTACGAGGTCCTAATCATACCGTATCCACGGCCTGTGCTACGGGACTAAATGCCATTGGTGATGCCTACAATTTCATAAGAAACGGTTACGCCGACGCAATGGTGGCTGGTGCTACAGAATCTCTGGTCCACCCTCTCGCTCTCGCCGGCTTTGCTCGTGCTCGATCTGTGGTTACAAACTACAACGATGAGCCAGAAAAAGCTAGTCGTCCATTTGATGGCGCCAGAAATGGATTTGTGCTCGGAGAGGGCTGCGGAATCTTGATGATAGAATCGCTTGAACATGCTCTTAATCGTGGAGTAGACCCTTCCTCGATATATGCCGAGATCTTGGGCTATGGCCTTGCTGGTGATGCCCATCACATTACTGCTCCGCCTGAGGATGGAAATGGTGCCTATCGAGCCATGAAAATGGCACTAAAAATGGCGGATACCCAACCAGAAGAAATAAACTATGTTAATGCTCACGCAACTTCCACCGTTATAGGTGACCGTTCAGAGATCCGAGCAATCCAAAAAGCACTTCACGAAACTCCTGGAGTTGCTGTGTCATCTACCAAGTCGTCCACTGGCCATCTTCTTGGAGCAGCTGGAGCCGTGGAGCTGATATTCACGATTTTATCGGTCAAAAATAATGCTGTACCTGCTACACTTAACCTAGATAATGCGGGACACCATGCTGATGACGACGCTCAAGACTTTAGCCTAGATCTTGTCCCCAACATATCGAAAGAAATGCCCGTCAACAAGGCTTTATGCAACTCATTTGGATTTGGAGGTGTGAATACGAGTATCTGCTATGGTAAATTTAAATAATTTTACATATACATAAACTAGCACCCATGAAGTAACTTATTCTTCGGAAACGAGTATCCGGCATCTTCCCAAGATGTCAAATTGACGTTTTCGTATGCATTGAGATGATCCTGAATGTACTGGTAGGTTGGATGGTCTTCAGGGTCGCATGTTACACTGATTTGATCTTCCGGCTGGTAAACTCGCACATGGTCGATTCTCATCGTCACTGGGAAGTTGAGCGAGGGCCAATCGATGTATGCCCAATTATTGGAAATACCCAAATTCATGATGACAGACATAGGCTCCTTTGAGATACGGCGGAAATCAATATTACCATTGGGTCCCAATGCATATGCTTTGACCGTTAACGTTGGCTCACCAACATACCAAGTACAATAACCATCGTCATCGTCATTGAGATACTCGTATCCATACATTTGAAATTTGGGATCTTCGTATTTTTCGTACCACGCATTGTTGAGTGTAGTAACACCAGAAACAGCTTGTTGGAAGGGACCTCCGGCATACGAGTTGATTGAAGTGACCGTATCGTCGTTAATGGAAGCAAAATTGTAATCAGGAATGTACCAAATGTCAAAAGGAGCAATTTGCATAGATTGGGAAGCCAAACCGAGTTTCAAGTTTGAAGCATACTCAGCTTCAAGAGCATCGATTTCGGGAGCTCCACGACCAGTTCCAACGTTGGGATGGTCCAGTCCACTACAAGCACACAGAGGCAACCGTTGACCAGGAAGGTACGAAATTCCATCAGGAGAGGATTGGTTAGCAGTAATACCAGCATCACAGGCTTCATAGGTGTAAGGCCACACACCGTCTGTAGTTGCCATATATCCTGGTCTACCCAAGTTACCCATTGTCCACAAACCAGGCCACAAACCTGAAACATTTCCGTAATTGGGAAGTTGAGCAGAAAATTCAATCATACCTTGGGTGAAACACATTTTGTTCCAACTTTGAACCATTCCTGATCTATAGAATAAATCATGATTCTTGAAAGCGTCCATACGAAGGTTCAAAGTACCATTTTCAGTCCAGACAGCATCTGGATCGTACCATTCCAAATCATGAGTAGCAGCATAATGGAAGTTTGGAGCGGTGAAAAATTGATCATCACCATCGTAAAATGTACGACCATCTTTATTAAATTCATCCGAGAACACTAATTTCCAAGTACCCGTAGTGACTTTTCTGGTGAGGTACTCATCAGGAGTATCAGGATCCACCAAACTCGTTCTTATAGCACTCAATATGGGATATTTATAGTGTGTTAATATCTCATATGATTCTGGAGTATAATGGTCGGCGACACCGGAGTATGTGAGAACTGGGAAAAGAATAAACACACAAATCACAGCGATGACGAGAAAAATGATACCGAAAAGGCCACCCATAGAACGACGGTCCATGTTCTTCAAATCATACATGAATCTGTTTTTGTCATACAGAGCATCGGCAATGGGGTCTGGGTTATGAAGGTAATCATCTGGTTCCTTTTCGTCGATATGAAGCGGGAATGACGATGCAGGGTATCCACCAAAGGGACTAAAGTCTGTGGCCGCAATGAACGGATTTGTGCTCTTGTTCGAGCTCAGCGAAGTATCATCACTCTTTGGTGTCTGTTTGTTTTGATACAAGTGTGACGAAAGAGACGTGGAAGAGACTACCCTGGAACCTGCCATCAGAGGATACCTATCATATTCCGATGGTACTTGTATGTTATTGTCACTGTTCTGGGCATTGTTTCCCTCCAACGATGTCTCATGAGAAAGAAGATTCGATGAGGTGCCATTCTTCAGGTAATAACCATTGTATGAACTGAACGGTTTTCCATAATGAAAGTTGGTATCGTCCAGCTGAGATGACGAGATATGGTTGGAGCCGAACGACGACGACAGATCCTCATCTTGAGGAGAGGCAAACGGGTTCTGTTCGCCGTCCTGCGGCACGTTGGGACTGTTATATGTGAGATCACGTTGAGCCATGATCAAAGAGGGGTGCGACAGGCAAATGGAAACGACTGCTTTTTAGTAGTGGTTCGAGGATTAAGCTATGTCTGGATCAAAAACGAGCGATATTCCAGACTTGTTGATTTTTTTTGTCACCAATATATCAGGATGGGTGAACGTAAAAACGGATAGTATTGATTTCAAGGTTATGCAAAAAAACAAGAACCAAAGAAAAGTAGATTATATAGCTCTTTTGCTGTTCTTGTATGAAACACAGATCAGTTAAACACTAGAAAATCTATCGATCTTGATCAATATTTTGTCGTCAGCCCGTTAGTCTTGGCTATTTTTTTTGTTATTCAGGCTGTGCAAAGTTGCGCACTCGTGTTTTTGTGTAACAACGAGCCTTCTGGTTATGGGCGTGGTAGGTGCTACAAAGATACTAAAAATGGAAGCTGGGAAAAGGGGGTTTGAGTGTATACGAGGCTGTGGGAGGTTTAGCTGCCCTGAAAATAAGATGGAGTTTTAGATGGCTGAGAAGAGAGATTTTTTCAAGGAATGTTAGTGCACCCAGTGCACCCAGCGAAAGGCTAAAAATAAGAGCAGATGAAATAGGAAGGTACAATTCTCAAAAGTGCACGAGGGAGAAGCCACGGGATCACCTAGGGTCTACGATGCAATTTTAGTAATTCAAGGACTATTTCCAGCTGTGCTTTCTTTTCACCTGTTGAGGAGGGAACGTCAAAAAAGAAATTGACACAAGAGATGAATTACGTAACGAGCGGCTTAAACTATAAAGCCACATGTTTCCATCACGAAAGCCAGTTTTAAAAAAAATGACACATACATTGTAAGCGAGAATGCTCGAGTGTTTCGGCGAAAACTGCTTTGGAGATTCATTAACCACAAAAGAGGAGAATGGTGAAGCGAATCAAATTTGCAGATTCTTTTTAAGGGTCAGAACAATGGGCATTTCCCAGGCATATGCAGGGGTGAGACAGGGCACCCAACGACAGACTACAGCCACGAGTAAAGCCTAAACGAGCGGGCGAAAATAAGCGTTAGTAAACAGAGGTCACATGAGGCCAGCTACCTCTCAAATTTACTATATAGAGCTTTTCATTTTCTTCTAATGATTCTATAATGGTTCTATAATGGTTCTATTATAATTCTATTATGATTCGACCATTCTTTGCTTTGCTCTCATCTGTTATTTCCCCTCTTTTCTACTTTTTCTTTTTCTCGTTCCTCTTTCTTGGCTTCCTCTCTCTTGGCCGTTCTCTTCTTTGGCTCTCACTAGATAGCTGACCAGCCACACGCAGGAGAGCCACACGCAGGACCCCACCTGCAGTACAATCATCACTTTAACATCCACTCCACCTTATCAAAGCGCCACTACTTCATGCCTGATGTTCATTTGAGCTCCAGTTTTGCTGAGGGCAACACTAGCGAGCAAAACGAGAACGATACGTTTCTCTCACGTATATTTGGTTTCCATTCCATCTACAATCAGCTCGATAATTACCAGTATTATGACCCAGAATCTCAAGTAGGCGACTCTATGATCCGCCGCGATGGTGGTCTGAACCACTTATTAGACCTGGAGTCCGATTCAGACCTTTCCTCCATAGAAAGCAGCTCTCTGCTGCAAGACCAACCACCGTCAATTCATGCCAATGACATACAAATGCAACCATACGAGCCTCCTACTCAGCCGTATGGAGAGATAGATCCCCAACCACAAAATGCTCCAATTATGACAGAATCTGCTCCAAGCCACGGAATCTTGAACAATGGTGCAGTCTCGACAGATGAAGCTCAGGTTCAGTTCAGAAAAACTAAAACACTTCCTTCGTTCCATACCATGTACCAGCGGCAGGCCCGTGGACGTGTGTTCATTCCTTCTAGAGAAAGAGCGTTGTACTTGTGGGCCAATATTGTTAATATGGACGAATTTCTCTCCGATTTATATTACTACTACCGTGGTCGAGGCGTTATGAACATCGTTTTAGGGCGCATCGTGGACTTGGCTACTCTTGTATTTGTCATTGGTTTCGCATCCTTTCTAGCCTGGGGTGTAGACTACGACAAATTTTTGTCTAGAGGACAAAAAAGCTTGACATTGTCAGACCTCATCATTCCACATTACATTTCCAAAGCTCCGGCAATGGCAAAGCTACTACTTTTTGGATTTGCTATTTACATCACACTTCGCATTGTGCAATTATACTTTGATTTCCGCTATAAACTATCTGAAATCCGCAATTTTTACCGTCAATTGCTCGATATCCCTCACGATGATGAGCTTATGACGATCTCATGGGCTACAATTGTTGAAAGGCTTATGGAACTTAAAGATTTCAATACCCTCACCAGCCTGCTGCATTATGTGAACGACTTGAAATCCAAAGTCAGACTCAACGCCCATGATATTGCAAACAGAATAATGCGCAAGGAGAATTATATCATAGCGTTGATCAACAAGGATACGTTAAACTTGGGGTTTGAGATTCCATTGTTGTCTGTGCTAAATCCAATTCTTAATACTCGGGCTGTATTGACACGCACCTTGGAGTGGAATTTAAAGCTCTGTATTTACAACTTTGTCTTCAATAACCAGGGCCAAGTCAACCCCAATGTCCTTAAAGACTACAACAGAAATATGTTGGCAAAGGAGTTGAGCTCCCGGTTCAAAATGGCAGCAATCATCAACCTTTTGTTGTGTCCATTTATTGTGGTATATTTCGTTTTGTTGTACTTTTTCCGATACTTTAACGAATACAAGACGAATCCATCGTCGTTGATCGGTCTTCGCCAGTATACTCCTTGGGCAGAATGGAAGTTACGAGAGTTTAATGAGCTACCTCATTTTTTTGTCAAGCGACTTCAGCTCTCCATAGGACCAGCCAATACCTATATTAACCAGTTTCCTCGAGGATTTTTGGTTGTTAATATCATGACCCTCGTCAACTTTGTTGCTGGTGCAATCACGGCTGTTCTCGTCGTGATGGGATTATGGTTTGAAGACGAGGAACACAGTTTTTGGGCATTCGAGCTCACAGAAAACAAATCTGCATTATTTTACATCAGTATTTTCGGAACAATATGGGCAGTCACTGCTGGCTCGTTGGCTACCGATACATCGTCGACGGAAAGTGCCAATTCCAGCTCACCGTTTTATTATGATCCAGAAGCTAGTCTTCGCTATGTGACCCAATTCACACATTACATGCCGTCAACGTGGAGTAAAAAGCTACACACGGCCGAGGTTAAGGGCGAATTTTGTGAATTATTCAGCCTAAAGATCGTTGTCATCATTAACGAGTTGTTAAGTCTCGTGCTTACCCCATTCATTCTTTGGTTCAAATTGCTGAGTCAATCGGGTGCCATTATAGATTTTGTACGAGAATACTCCGTTTATGTTGATGGGCTAGGATATGTGTGCTACTTTGCCATGTTCAACTTTGAAAAGAAGGATAAGAACATGATGCACGATCTCAACAAGAAGAAGAAAAAGTCTCCCTCCCACCGCACTAAGCGAGACGACATTGAAGAGGAAGAAGAAAGTGACAATGGGGTACCCAATGGCGACGATAAAATGATCAAATCTTACATGTATTTCCTTGAAAGTTATGACGATCGAGAGCGTGCAGCTCGACCAACCCCAAAGCTGCGTCAACTTCCGCGCACCAGATTACCGCCTGGAAGCATATCCGAATCCACCTACAACGTCGACCATATACTAGAGGAAGAGGAACTACCACAGGGCAAGAGTGCTGGGGTTTTTGGGATGATCAACCAGTTCTACAAGCAAGACCTTGGAAGGTGAAAAATATAAGCACAGCACATATATTACATAATCCAAAGACTGAAAGACAAAAGTTGGAACCGATGCTCATCGCACACTAGTGATGGCGGGATCCCAACTCAAGCAGCTACGTGCGTCGCTCAAGGAGAAAGGCCTCGTTGGCCAAACGAATGTCAAACGAAAAAACAAAAACGCAAAGACTCCCTCGGAAACGAGGCGTCAGGATCATAACAAGATCATAAGTGAGATTCGTAACGATTTTAACCAGTTTGACAATCGGTACAATAGAACCAAGCATGATGTGACTACGATTCTGAAGGGCAAGTTTGTGAAAGTAGGTTCGAAACAGCATAACGAAGCAAGTAGAAACAACCAGTCGGTAGAACAGGCATTGAAAAGTGAGCATGAAGCCAAGAAGAAATTCCGAGGACGAACGGGAGGTTTGGTAGACCGAAGATTCGGAGAGGGCAATGCAAACATGACGGCAGAAGAGAAAATGCTCATTCGTTTTGCCAGGGAACGGGAGTCCGGTAACAAAAAGAAGCATGCATTTTCATTGGGAAGCGATGATGAAGAAGACGGTGCTGAAGACGACGATGACGGATTCGTTCTCACACATGGAGGTAAGGCGATAGCTGACGAAGAGTCGTTGGGAGACCAAGTTACTTATGCAGATGAAAATTCGGCACAACCATTGCGCCGAAAATCCAAGGCTGAGGTGATGAAAGAAGTGATAGCAAAGTCCAAGTTCTACAAACAGCAAAGACAGAAAGAGTTTGCCAAGACCCAAGATGAGATTATGGACCTTGATGAAGACTTTGGTGATGTTATGCAAGTGATGAATGAACAACCCGTTCCAAAACAACCCATTAAATCGAAAACGGCTGAAGAAATAGAATACGATAGTCGGGTACGTGAACTTACCTACGATCGTCGTGCTGTTCCTGCTGACAGAACGAAAACTGACGAGGAGCTTCGCAAGGAGCATGCTGAGAAAATGCGCAAGCTTGAAGAGGAGCGTGAGAAGCGTATGCTGGGCTTTGCATCTGAAGGTGGTGATAATATTGACGACGATTTCTGGGAGAATGACCAGGACGAGGACGAAATGGAAGGAGTCAGCATTGAGAATGGCGCCTCATCGGACTCAGATGAAGAACTGGAAACTGAGGTGACTTCAAAGAGCAGTAAACCAAAAGCTGCAAAGCATGCCATTCCTTCAACACAAACCGAATTCATCTCTATAGTAGAAGGCGTTGAACCTTCTCAACAGCCTCGTTTGGTGAACTCTATAGTTGAGTCACATCATCCTCGGTTGGCAGCTGGAAACAAAGAGAAGATGGATGTCTTTGTTGGCATTCTTTTTCAGCATGTTCTTTACTTGGCCGACAAGGATAAAGAGTTAACGGAAACATACATTTCTATTCTTGTTCCTCTCGCTGAAAATTACAACCAGGCACTTGTGGAAAACGTTAGAACCGAATTGCAACAAGTCCAGAACCATATATTGGACCAGAAATTGAGGACAAGGGACTTGGTTTTATTCGCGGTGATCGGAGTGCTTTTTTCTACATCGGACCACTATCACCTTGTGGTGACACCAGCATTAATTTTGATGAACGAAGCGATTTCAAGCACGCAATTCAGACAAGTTTCTTTGAAACAATTAGCTGAGGCAGTCTACCTCAGTGATATGGTACTTCATTATCAGAGAATCGCGAAGCGGTATGTTCCCGAAGTGGCGTGTTTCTTGCAAAGGGCATTGATGGCACTTGTACCGCAAGTTGAAAAATTGGGAGGAAAGCCAGAATTCAATTTGAAACCCAATGACAAACGTAAGAATAAGGTGCAAATTTCAATCAGTGGATTGAGTGAAGATTCTCCAGATTTCAAATTTAGTCTTTTGGACCGAATTTTGGAGTTATGTGACCGGTCAGTTAGCATGTGGAGAGATAATAGCGGCATTGTGGAAATAACCGCACCTCTCATACCGATATTGACCCATTTGGCGAGGTATTTCAACAATGAGTTGACGAATCTTGCAGCCATTTTGACGAAAATTGTCAAGTTGCACGAAAATGCCGTTAAGGAACGGGTGCCATTAGCATTACAAACACACAAGGCGTTGGCAATACCTACTTATGCTCCCAAATTTGAAGAGAATTTCAATCCTGATAAAAAATCTTATGATGCTAATCGTGAGAGGCAGGAAATTAACAAGATGAAGCATCAATTGAAGAAGGAAAAGAAGCTGACGATGAAAGATATTCGGAAGCAAGGACGGTTTAGTGCCAGGGAACAAATTCGGGACAAAAAGCAAATGTATGAGGAGTATCATAAAAAGATGGCTAATATTGTTAGCAGCATTTCTACCACTGAGGGAGCTGAAAAAAATGCCTACGAACGTGAAAAGAAAAAACGAGCCAAAAAATAGCTTTTGGGTAACAGTATATATAATATTATACAGTCGACACTTTATGTACGTCAACCGTTTTAAAACAACACGGTATCAATCTTATACTTGCGACATGGCTGGAACACCAACTCTTGGAGCCGACTTACGAGAACCGCCAAACATACCACCTCTAGCAGCACCAATGGATGAAAACACAAGCGATGCCAAAAAGATAAACACGGAAAAGTAAAGGAAGGCAACCGAGGCTTGGGCCTTTCTACAACGACCAGACTTACCTTGAGTGATGTTGTTGTCCTTGAGGTACAGTTCATTAGAACATGAGTGACAACGAATACCAGCAGCAATTGCAGTAGCAGCGGCAAAAGTGAAAACAAAGTTCAAAAAGTCAAAGATGGCTAATACCAATGGCCATGCAAATCCGTCAAAGAGGTAAGCTAAAACACCATAGAATGAGGAAGTAAGGATAGCAAAAGCAGCGGCAAACACACCAAAATTAATTTGAGGATTAGATTGGAAAACAGTGGTTGCGGCAAGGGAGCCGGTCAATCCTAATGCAATCACAAGGAAGACAAAGTTGATAATTCTCAAAATTGAGTCACCGATGGCTAACATTATAAAGTTGGAGATATGCGACAAGTACTCCTGACCTCCGGCCTTTATAAGCAAGCTTCATCCGACTTTCCGCATTGGGCCGGGTCATGTTTATCGCGGCTGAAATAGCAAAGTATTTGCAGTTCGGCTCGTTCGGGAAGGTGACGAAGGGGTCACCTGGCCACTTCCGAGGGTAAAACCGAGGGGTAAAGAAAAAAACCACGACAGTGTGCAGGAAACAGCCCAATGTGGTATTTGCAGCAACAGCAAGGAAAGGATTGCAAACAATTGCAGCCGAACTTACAGCCTAATTTGCAGCACAACTAAAGTTTAACTTTCAGCCTACTGTGCTAAATTTCATGTAGCCCTTCATTTCATTTCTTTCTTCTTACTTTACTCGCTAAAATACTTCCTCACATTATCATCCACCGCAACTTGCACTGGCAGTTGCCCGTCGTTGTTGCGGATCTCGGGATCCCCTCCGCACTCCCGAAGTAGTTTAGCCACGTCTCCGTGGCCCTCGGCAAGTGCGTGGTGCATAGGAGTCCATCCATCTGAATCTTTAGCGTTGATATTGGCTCGCGCATCTACCAACGTTCGCACTATGGGTTGCGATCCAATTGCCGCCGCTCGATGCATCGCTGTTCTTCCCAACTTATCCTTGGTTCGAGTCGAACAATGGTATTTTTGAATCAATTGCTTCACTACATCATAATGATTTTTGCTGACAGCCAAATGGAGTGCGGTGGTTCCGCTACCTGTGGCTAGGTCGATATCCGGTACAGGGTCATGGGTCAATAATACGTCAAGAATGTCACTACGACCGATTGCGGCAGCAATATGGACAGGAGTCCATCCCGAATTATCAACCATATCGTCAATTTCCGCTTGAGTCATGTTTGCAGCCAAAAACGCCACCATGTCGACATCGCCTCCAGATACCGCCCAATGAAGTGGTAAACGTCCATCTTCATCCTGCTCGTTCACCAATTTGGGATGCTCTCTAATCAACTCTTTTGCAAGCAAGAACTTGTCATCGCGAATGGCTTGGTGTACCGTCGCCTTATCCATCGTTGTTGCAGTCGATGCCAGAATTTGGATAGGTCGCTGGGCTGGTGTGCGGATGTCCATCCCATGCACCTCCGATGTCGCACCACATTTGTTGGCCATTTCCGAGGGCATTGTGCATTAGACGACTAGGGGGCTTTCCGAGGGTTCCTTATGGTGCAATTGAAATTTTGTGACCTCAATTGATGACACTCCATAAGGATGTAGCGGAAGCAATTCCTTGGCTTCCGGCGGTGTCACAGGATGTCATAGACGCCCCATAATAATATTGGGACAGATTTCACGTATTATTTCGGTCCGAAACGGTGTTTCCATTCGGGGTTCCATGACGCCTAATTGGGAATAATGACAAACATTTTGGGAAGGTGCGACGCACGGCCGAGGGCTCACTTTCTTTATTTCAATGCGGCTGGGACCCTTGCCTATGTACAGTACGAAAATTCAATTGCATTCATTCAATTCATGAAGAGTATGTAGTATTTGAGCTTCCTGATTCGTCATTTTCTGCTCCAATGCTGGCATGACTAGATCCTTCACTGTCACTATCACTTTCACTTGGTGGCGCTTCGAAAAATTGCCGTGCAATGATGGGATTTAAATCATGTTCATGCTCCACACTTGGAGGATGAATAGGCTCAGGAACTTTATCTTCCATTGCACCCAAGGATGAAAGGTATCGTTGGTAGTCTGTGAGGTTGTTGTTGTAGGGTGGATCGTCCGAGGATTCAGAATCGGATGATGAATGGACTGAATTGTTGTCCAGCCTTGAACTGGCTGATCCATTAGAGACCGGCTCTTGTGGATCATTGTTGGATTTTTCGTTCATTAAAACGTCATTTTGGAGTAGTGGAGTATTGTAGTCTATCTTTTGCGACTTGAATTTCGTGGATACCCGAGCATTGTCGCAATTGAGGTACATGTAATCGATTTCTTCCAACTTTAACCCCTTGGTTTCGTACACCATAAAATAGGTAAACACCACTCCAGCGGCATTGAATCCACCCCAGATAAAGAAGATTTTATTCTTTAACGCTGCCGTGTGTGCTCCAGTGTCAATGAGATATGGGGTGATATAAGCACAAATAAAATTGACAAGCCAATTGGTTGCCGCAGTTATGGAAATAGCCTTTTGACGAATGGAAATACCATAGATATCGGAAACTAATGCCCAAGTACATCCACCCCATGACGCAGCAAAAAATGCAATGAACAGGCACGAAAAAGATACCGAGATGATGGAACTAATATGGTTATCAGAGATGCACACTCCAACGATAGCAATGATGAAATTGGAAATTGACATACCTGTTCCACCCCAAAGCAATAAGCTTCTTCTTCCAATGACTTCGATAAGAATTATACCGGGAATGGTGAAAAGGGTGTTCACCGCATAGGTGATAAATGACATGAGGTAATAATTTCCCATACCTGTTGATGAGAAAAAATTCACACCATAATAAAAGATGAAATTAATTCCCAGGCATTGTTGAAACGCATGGATTCCAATTCCGGTGACCATACGAAGTACCTGTTTGTGGCGTCCACCACCATTGCGAAAACAATCGAGAATTGAGGTTTTCCCAAACAGCATTTCATAATCGTAATTTGCCTTGATTTCCACCAATTCTTCAATTAAATCGGCATCGTCTGTAGGCAAGCGTCGAAGTTTACTTAAGCTTTCGAGGCCCTTTTGGATTTTGTTCTTTTGCACGTAGAATCGAGGCGATTCTGGCAAGAACAACATACCGATGCAAAGAATGGTGGCCCAGAGAAACTGAAGAGCAATGGGAATTCTGTAAGAACCTGAATTGTTAAATTTCCGAGTCCCTTGACACACCGCCAGGGCGATCAACAAGCCCCATGTGATGGCCCATTGATAGGTATACACGATGGAACCACGCACCCATTTGGGAGAAGCTTCGGCTTGATATAATGGTACCGAAGCAGATAAAATTCCCACTGATATCCCACAAACCACCCTACCGATACAGAGCAAGGCGATATCCGATGCAGCCACCTGGATGATGTTTCCGGCATTACACAATAGTCCAGACAGCACCACTATGGCAAACTTTCTGCCGTATGTATCAGATATTAATGGCGCTAAAACTGCACCGACGAACGTTCCAAGTGACAAAATGGCGGTGACAAGAGCTCTTTCATGGGTGTTGAACGCGTAGCCATTAGAAGGAAAATGGGTGGAAACATATCGCATTTCGAGGATATCATTAATTAATCCAGTATCGTAACCATAAAGGAATCCTCCCATAGCAGCCACCAAACCCACAACGATAGCACTCAGAGACGAAGACTTTTGTCGAATTTTCCTGTAGTATTCTTCCTCAATTGTACTGTCATACATGAGGCGATCTAGAAAGCTCCACATCGTCGCATGAGGGGGCTTTTAGCTTAAAAGATGAGATCTGTTGAAACGGCCAACCTAGCCAAAACCATAAAAAAGTGGAGAAATTCGTTGCAAAGAGATAGCAACTATGTCAGGTGTATTAGCAGAGTACACAGCAAGCCCAAGAGTCTTCAGTTATGCCCAGCACACGGAAAACGATCAGCAGTAGATGGTGTCTTCAAATGATCTCAAGGCGAAAACCTTGGCGCGAAAATGTGTGGGGCTGGTGTTGGGTGCAATTAATGGCGCTGTCGGCCCACCCGCCAGCGAGCGGTTCAACCGCCTTGTTAAGTGCAGGAAGAAAACGATTGACAAGTCGCATTTTGTGCCAGCCAAGAACATATGGCATCTACTGGGGCGTCGATCTCTGAGCAACGCGACTTGCGGAGGCGTCTAGCCAAGCGGGCATCCACGGTGGTGCCCAAGGTGACAACAAGTCTACACAAACAGCGCCAAACTTTGACTGGTTTTTTCACATATTATTTTTACTATCTGGTACTTTTATGGGTATTCTTTTTGACCTCCATTTACAAGAATATCCAATATGTGTATCGCAGGATGCGCCTAAAAGTCCTTAATCTTACATACCACCCGAGCCGCAGCCCGCAGATCATTCGTGACGACGTGACCAAGCTCGATAAATTGCCACGTCGAGTGGCTGCCATTTTGGATCTACGTGATGACGACGATGAAAATGGAGGAGTCGATGGACTTATTAGTGATATCAGCGAATTAGCGGCGTGGCTGGTGCTGGCAGGAGTTCCACACCTCACGATTTACGAGCATGATGGAGTAGTGAAGCTGCACATAAGTGAATTGGTGCGGTATGTATCGAAAAATCTCCGATTGTATTTTGGTACCGATTCCATCCCCACTTTTGCGGTGCGAGTCCCTCACACCAATGCCACCGCGTATTCGCACCCAGCATTGGGTACTAATGTGGATCTCACCATTAGCGTACTTTCGCGCGTGGATGGTAAGCCTACCATTTTGGAACTCACCAAAACCATGAGTGAGCTCGCCGCCAATAAGGAACTTTCCATCAAGGATATCTCGGTGGAATTAGTCGATGAAGAGCTTGTGGAGCTTGTGGGCCCGGAGCCCGATCTCCTCATTTGTTTTGGGCCATCATTGGACCTCCAAAACTTTCCTCCCTGGCATATAAGGTTAACGGAAATATACTGGGAGCCCGGAAACACGGATGTCAATTACGCCGTATTCATTGCGGCGTTGCAGCAGTATTCCCAATGCGAAATGAAGGTTGGAAAATAGATCTCTTGGCATCAGCAAGGATAAAGAAATGAAAAGTCGACAAGGGAAATAAGACTGTCAGTGCAACGATAGCTCACAAGGAGCTAATCTCAGTTTCAAACTCATTCGATATGAATGAAAAGCATGAAAACAACTAAAAACACCAAAACCTTCCCTATGCCGCACGTTACCGATTTGCAGCCAATTAGAGCAGGCTACAGCTAATGCATCACTTGCTTATGCACATCTCCAAAGTTTTATCCTAGCAATCACATTCATACCAACCCACGATCAATTCGATACAACACATCCTACATAGCTAATTTAACATTCAGCTTTACCAGTGCCGTGCCGGTGGAGGTGCGCCGGAGTGGAGGCCGGAGTTGAGGCCAAAATGAGGTTTACGCGGGGTCACCGTGAGTCTAGACCGCTTGCACGTGCAAGGCATGTGCGACACCAGTACACCACAACAATCCTGTGTATAACCGGCGGCGATGGTCTAGACCGTCGTATATACGCATGTCACATGCATGACGTGCAGGAGCGCATACCATTTCCGATCTCGACTATGCGAGCCGAGTTCTTGACAGAAAACCCCCATTACTCAAATATTTCATCAATTGTAATCTAAATCCAAAAATGGGCGTGTCTGCTTACCGGGGACCGGACTACTCCGCCCCGATGGCTTCGCAAATCACCCCCCTAAAGCACGGCGATAAGCATTACCGACGCCATCTCCCCACAACCACATCTGCATCTTGGCTACCGTTCGCGCTATACATTCCCTTTATTGCTATCTGAGCTGCAGATGAGCCGCGATACACGCGGCTTCGCTGCATGCGCGATGCGGGACCTCCTGTCCAACGACAAAAAAATACCTCGTGCATGAACCATTTCCTCCTAAGGCATCTGCGGCCACAATTTTTCATCCTCCGTCTTAGTCGCCAAAAACTATAGATAGGGGTGAAGTGGCGCTAAACGGGCAATCTTTTTTTTGTTTTATTGTTCCTTTTGTTAATTTGTTTAGTGGGCTCCTCATATAAATTCTTTTCACCTATAAAGTTTTCTCAAAAGTTATGAACGGCTTAGGAATCGTGTTGGAAGAACGAGAACCTTCTATAGACGACAAGAGTCAATCGCCCCGATCCATCCTGAACCTTCGTCCACCGAAGAAGAATCTTTATTGCCTCCCCTTCCGGATTCGTCTACATCTTCCATAGATCCTCAAGCACCAAATGCTATTGTTGATTGGATACATACCAACTCCTATTCTCCCGTGTCAACCCTCGATTCCCACACCAGTGGTGCTGCTAGCAGAGCCGGAAGTCGATCAGATAGTTTGGGATCAGACCATGATTCTCGACGCGAGTCCAACTACTCCGATTTTTTGCAATCGCTGACTTTTGAGGCTTATCGTCTCGATTCGCCAACCGATTCCGTGCAACCATTTCCTTCGGAAACGTCACTCACGAGCCATATGATCGCTCCAACATCAACCCCGGGAACCACCGTGTCGACAAATGGTACTAATAACAACTCGTCGCCACTTAAACGACTCAAAAGTATTCGAAATACCATTCGTAAACTTTCGTTGTCAAGCAACGGTTCTTCCGTCTCAAAGCCAGGATCATCCACCAACTCACCAAATATCCCCACTGGATCATTTTCCAGTAATGCTTTGAAAAACAGAACTGCTTCTTTACTGGTTGATACCTCCGCCACTGACAACAACGATCTGGGGGCTTTCCACTTGCGATAGTATGAACTCGGGAAGTTATCCATTTCCGTCGATTTCCGCCATCAAGGAACTCCGTGGTCTTGATACCCCATCAACGCCACCTTTTGCATCGCCAGTGGTGACTCTTTCTGACAATTTACTTGCCTCAAAGAGAACCCTCTCCAACGTGGAGCAAAGTTATTTCGACAGCGTTTCCACGTCACGCACTCAGCCTACTAGTGTGGCCTCGTCAGTGCTGTCTGGGATGCTCAGTACTATGGAAACTTCACATCAACGCATCAAATCCATTTCTGAACTCACCACGTTGGATGAACTTTTGGATTACTCCTCGTTTCTTCACCAGCAGCGTGATACGGTGGTGCATGCATTCGAGGTAGCACACAAGAGGCTTCAGGAATCAGGATGGTGTTCGACTCATGATCTTCAGAATTTGCAACTTCAACAAGACACCTCGCTATGCCAGCTTGACACGAAACTTTTGCAGGTTGAAGAAAAGTTGAACGCCGAGTTTGATACTTCCATCTTCAACAATAAACCACAACAAGAAAAGAAAGGAAAAGAAAAGGAACTTCCAAGAAGTCCCAGTTTAAAAGTCTTGGAAAGCAGATGCTTTTCATTTGCTGATTTATGATTTTACGACCTACACGACAGGGCTTTTGCCCACGCTATTATAGAAAACCCATAACGGTTTACCAATTTGCTTTTAAGGGAGTTATTGACTTTATAGAAAATTTTTTAGTCAATACAGGTGCTGAACAAGAGACATTTGTAAGAGGGTTGTACCGAGAACGTAGGATCCAAGAATGCGTGAAAAGTTCGCAAAACTTAGTATGAGGACGTAATTCGAGTTGTTCTCGCTTCTCTTTCCCCTCCAATCACTCAATGGTTAGAATGGTGCAGTGAATGAGAAGCTTCGTATCATAAAGTTCTTTCTCACACTGTGAGGAATTTTTCACTTGCGGCGTGCCCCTACCGATGCACAAGCGTATATGCAGGTTTCAAGTCAAAGTGGGTGCCGCACTATGGTGGGACTCAAGGATGTGGCTTATCACAATCGCCTAATTCAGTTGCAAAATAATCGAAAAATAGAGGAAGGTGGACCAAAATTCTACAATTGTGTATAGATGACATATGTAAATCGTTCACCACATGGGTTAGTGGGCTGATATTCGGATATGCACAATTGCATATTCGGAAGTTAACCTGCTAAAACCAAACATGCAAGAATCCGCATGATGAGAACGATGGCGCATATTTCCTTATTTACTCTCCTCATTAGGTCGTTTATATCTCATTTTGAGCTCCTCGTGCTTTATCTTGCGCAATTCGTATCCTACCTGTTTCTTGTGTCTGCGGCTCTTGGTATGAATTTCCCACTGTTCCTTTCCAACACTAACCAATGGCTTACCCGATTTATCCTTACACACAGAACATTCGTAATGCTTCCAATTTGACTCTGATCCCAAAGTCTTGTTACTCCTTGTAAGACCTGTATTCAAATCAAACTGCGATTGCAACCGCTCGGGAATTTGTGCATCAGTAACTGAAATGGGACCGCTTTCAAGAAATTGATTTGCAATTGATACTCCACGGTTCTTTACCAGTTGATCCCATACTTGCAAATCTGTGGCGTCGAGCATGTACAATTTACCTCCGTATTTGTATCCAAACCGAGCTTCTTTTTGAAGTTCCACACCCAAAAGCTTTCGGATCCACTTTACTTTGATATTTGGCATACTGTCGAGTTCGTATCTGCATTCTCTCTACTCCATCCAAAAACAGAGAATGCTGGCCATCGGATAACCACGGTAAGAATTCCTTGAATCCAATAACTTGCCACACGCCAGACGTGCAGTCAGGGCGAGGTTCCATTTCATTATAAACCTCGTACAAGCTCTTTATTTCATCAATTGCACTCCCCTGCATCATATTATCGACTCGTTTGTCTAGACGTGGTTTGAGCACCTCAGGATCACTATAAACCCAAAATAAAAGGGTATTGAATCGAAGAGACGAATCCTCTAATTCTTCCAACTTTTGGTCTCTATAAATTTCAGATGGATTCTGTCCCGTGGTATATATGATCTCGAGAGCCCTCCTAAGCTTACGCCCATCTTGTGGATGGAACTTGCCAGCAATTACCGGGTCCAATTGCTGTAAGGTACTGAAAAGTGTCTCCACTGGGCCATCAAGAATCTGTGACTGTTCTTCGGTGAGATCAGATTTTTCTGCTGTGATGGTCTTGTTATCAAAAAGCAAGCTCTGCAAGTAGTAGTGAGTACCTCCAATTATTATGGGAACCTTTCCTCGGGAATGAATATCATCTATGGCTGTATTCGCTTCTTTGGTAAACCGATGAATGTAGTATTCTTCTTTCCAGTCTACATGATCCATAACATGATGGGGGATTCCTCGTCGTTCCGCAATGGGATGCTTATTTGTTATGGCCTCCAACCCACGATACACCTGCATCGAATCGGCATTGATGATTTCGCCATTAATAGCTTGAGCCAAGTCAATGCTGAACTGCGTTAGTTTTGACTCTTAAAAAACTATTTTTGGATACATACTTGTGACTTGCCAACGCCGGTAGTACCGACAATGGTTATAATGTTCTTCTTTGGTCTGGTTGTCATCAAGTTTTTCCAGTACCTAAACCATCGTAGCATAGAAGAGCTGCGACAGTTTTGTGTCTCGCGAAAGATGGGGCCAACATGCAGGAGAGTCAACTAGGCTGCAAAGACCATGAAATGTAACTCTCCACGAACAGGTTTATTGTTTTATTGCTAATCAAACACGATACCATGGTTTGGGTTCCAAGCCCCAGGCTTTGCCTGTGGAGAAACCACCAGACTAAGAGGATCATGTTCATCGTAGGATTTGCTGGTAGACTTGTCGTTCTCTTCTGAAAGCAGTAGTTCGAGTTCCCGACCTTCTGCTCTTCGCTGTAACAAAAACTCATCACATTCTTTGAGGATGACACTTCCGCGACCTAGAAAATCATTGTAGAATTTGGATCCTTCGTTCAAGTTGGACACTAGTTCAAGATACTTCGTGTAAGTTGTTTCCAAAGTTTCAAGCATCTCTTGTCGAGGAGATTTTGGATTAGCCTCCACCAATTGAAGTTTACTGACAAATTCATTATTAAACTTGTCGATTTTAGATTCAATTTGGATTTGTTGCTGCTTCAAATCCTCAAAATGATTACTGTCGTCGTTGAAAATTTGCAAATGCTTTCTGTATAACATCTCCATGCTTTGAGTATCGACCTGCTGGCTTTTGTTCTTCTTATACTCTTCTATTATTCGTGGAAGAATGTTATTGTCTCTTGCCTTCACTTCAAGACGATGAAGAAAATTCTTTCTACGCTTTGTCAATTCTGATGCCTCATTAACAGCCTCTCGAAGTTGTAGCAAAACTTCACTCACTCGAGGGTCAATGTCCTCAATACGAGCAGGGGGAATAAGATCCTTTAATGCACGAAACCCTCCACAATATGCTTCGAGGTATGGTCGTATGGTTTCGTACAGATCCCAGATGTGGTCGTCACCTTGTTCAGCCTGTTCCAAATATGTCTTCATGCTCGTTACTTTCTTCTGAAGTTCTGCACTAGCTTCCTTGGACGAAAGACGACTCCACCTATTTCCTTTGAGTTTTCGCAATATGTCATCTTCATCTGCTTCTATTCTAAGACGCTCTTGGCATCCATTGACGAGATTTTCACATTCCCATGCTAGCTTTTTGATTGCGTCAAATGATGTTTCGATGATTCGTAGACCTCCGAGTGAGCAGATCTCTTGCGAGTGTTCTATAATGGAGTCGGGCATGGTCTCGGGTCGCTGTAAGGTGTCGATAGAAGCAGGGAGATTTCTCTCAGCAAGAAATTGTGCCATCATCTTGAGTGATGCATTCAGAGGATCCACAAATTTGGAAACAATATAGCTGTCCTGTCTTTCCCGGAAGGCTTGGGCAACTTTAATTATTGTGAATGGGAGAAGGTCCGTAAAATATTGCTTTTTGTTCTCAAAGACAGGCTCAATAGCTTGCACCATGGGAGCACCAACAATAGGCTTCAAATCTTTTGGTACTGGTTTCAAGTAGACCAAATCGTTATCGAACTCTGCCACTTTCAATGCTTCATTAACTGTAGAAGTTAGACCACCAAGATCCTCTAGAACTAGCTTGTCCACATATCGCAGATACTTCGATGCCGTTTTACAATGTTGGCTTGCTGCCTGCAAATGTGCAACTTGTTCTCCATACTGGAACTCATCCAATTTCACCGTAGCAACACGCAAATGAGAAGCTGCTGCAAAATGGTACCGCTTCACTTGCATAAAATTAATCCATTCTAATCGAATAAGGTCCGAGGCATCACCATGAGAAATTGCCAAGGTATAGTAATCCGACGTTTGTTTTGCAAGACGAGCTATCACACTATCCTTGGTTCCTGAACTTATAGCCTTGTTATAAAAACTTTCTTGAGCTTCCGCTTGCATGAGAAATGAAAGACATTGTAGAGTATTTCTGTCAAAGATTTGACTTCCTTCCAACGAATTTATACAGCCTGCTGCACGTTGCAAGTAAGCACACGAGCGCTTTAAACCCTCGTCACTGTACCTAGACTCTTTATGGGCCATCTGGGAGTACACAGCAGCTAGCTGGAACATGACATTCTCTCTTTCAACTTTTACAGATCGAACTCGATCTGGTCCTGTCAAGCTATATAAAGTCAGGTACCAGCTAAACTCGGCAACTTCGTCGGGAAACTTTGCGATAATACTCTCGAGTGCTACTAGATAAGCTTTGATATCTTTTTCGGAGGCAGGGGTCAATTCTAAATCTTTTAAGGTTCCTAAAGCTTGGCGAAGTTTTGTGATTTCGGCGAGTTCTCGATCGAACATTGATGGCGACTGGAAATAGTGTTTCTGGATACAGTTTCTTAGCTCATTGCCCAAATCAAGTGGCAATGTTTGTCGTAGCGGAATATAGAGACTCATAGCTTATACTTGTTGTGGTGACGGTTGCAAGTGCGACAGTATATATGATTTGGGCTTCTCTGCAGTCGCACACAGAGAGATCTAAATAGATTATGTAGTTTTCAATCGGTCAGCAATGGAATGTTCTGAACGGACTATAGAGTCCACCATTTCATGTAATCGAGCCGATCGGGCTTCTATGGCCAATTTCTCTTTTTCAAGAATATTTTCGTAGCACTTGACATCGATGGTCTGTTGAGCGTATCGAGCAGCAGCATCAAGAATTGACTCGGCTAGTTTTTTGGCACTTTCGTTGTCGGTGGTGTACTGAGCGTCTAGCAGCAGTTTTAGTGCCGCATTTTCTGATTTAAGGTCTTTATGTGCCTCCATCATACTCTTTGAAAATGCCGGAAGCTCGGTGAGACTGGGTACTTTTGGGTGCAATTTTGAAGGAACCTCCTTATCAATTTGACTATGGATACGTTCGAAAACATCTTCAGCCAAATCTTCCACCATAACCGCATTGAAGCGCGGATCTTCGTACCTTTTGTAGTCGGATCTAACCAAAATTAAAAGTTCGTCCGCAATCAACTTATCCAAACCTTCCAACTTTTTGTCAACTAACAGGTTAGGATGAGGCACAGAAAGGCCCTTCTGGATCGCCTGCGATCTTCGAAGTTTGGCCCTTTCCTCATCAACCAAGCGCAAGGTTTCCAACATACGCATGTGCTCTCCAGCATCGGTATCGACTGCCATAGTAGGAATGGTAATGGACTCTTGATCGTCCTCAAATTTGGGTAAAACCAAGTCAGAATGGTGGCGTGGAGGAGGAAGTCGAGACAAGGACTCGGTAATGTAATGGCGTAACATTTTGCGTTCCTTCTTAACATCCTTTCGTATCTCGGAACTAGACTTAGGCTGCACCAAAGCTTGATCTTCATTCTTCGCCGAGGCCAAAGCGCTTGTTTCAGCCATACGAGACTTTATCGCAGCAACGTTGCTCGAAATACGATCGTCAATTGCTTCTGCATTGGTCTCCTGTCCCGGCATTGGAAGGTTTAATTTGCGTCGTTTGAGCTGCTCTGTTTCCAAAGTATTAACAGCTTCTGCCGCCACTTCCAAATCATGCTTTTGTTGGTTCTTTTCTTTGTCATCGTCTTTGTTCTTTCTCTTTTTCCCAGCGTTTTCAACCCCGGCTCTAGCAACCTTCTTGTCAAACTCTGACAATTGTGTTTCATTTGTAGTTATTTCGTCGGTTGTATCGTATATTCCCGCTCTTGGAGCTCGCTCGTGAGGGATATGGTTCAACTCGGCTGCAGAATAACGCAGTTTCACCGAAACACCTGCCTGCTTGAGCTCATGGCGCTTTTGAAGCTGAGATACCCGTAATGTCTCCCGAAGCATCCGTTCTCGTGCTTTCCGCTGAGCCTTTTTTCCCTGTGTATTCGCCAACCGAGCTTTGGCTTCTGCCAAAAGTTCCATCTCCTCATCATCAGCTTCATCTGGCCTGGCCGGTTGCAGCTCTGCGTTCAAATTCACATCTCCAGCCTGTGCCACGGCTACAGATCCTTCGATGAGCTCATTATACCGGTCTGAGCAGCTTGCCGCGGTGCGTCCCATTACAGGAGCAATACTTTGCCACTGATTGGGCATAATTTTGGCCAACAGAAGAAGCTTATCATCTTCTTCTCGAGTCCAAGTAGACTTATTTATGGTAGGACTTAACCACTCATTCCAACGAGCTTTTGCTTGTTTTGCTGACTTTTTTGTTAACAACGAAGACACTCGAGCCCATTGATTTAGACCATATTTGGAAACCGCTGCTTTGAGAATCTCATCTTCAACATTGGTCCAGGCTCCACCCTTAACATAAAGCGGCATCGTCGGCACTTACTCTATGCACTAGTTGAGGCTCTGCGATCAGCTGCTGGAGGGGAACAAATTACACCAAAACTAGAAAAATAGCACAAAAGCACTACAAGTAGAACAATGATGTACGCAGCCGATTTCTCATGTCTTCGCACCCGATCGCATCCAATGCACCGCAAAACCATAGCCGTATTTGGCGCGCGGGGGAAGCCTGTGAAAAGCGTCGGTTAAAACCCAACTAGAAACAACTCATTAAAAGTGTTGTTAATATTCTTAACCTGGTTTTTTGGCGGCCGAGTCATGAGGGTCTTTCACTCCAAACATCAAAAGTTGATCCTTCAATGCTATCCCGCTGGTAAAGCTCCCGACAAAAAACCAAACTCATCAGAGCTCAGTTATTTATTATACTATGCTCTGACCCGTCGAATTAAATTGGAAAAAGTTTCGGTTTTCTTGGACCGCAAAACCGCCTCTGACTCCCACCATAATCGCACGGGAAATGTTCTCGTTAGTCTTTCCATTGTTGCTGCTCTTATTGAACGTTGTGCTGACAATCTTAATGTCTTTGCTCCATATGTTTGCTCAATTCTCCTGCTGGCGCTCAAAATCCAAGATATTGCCGTGGCTCGTGAAGTAGTACTGACCTATGGTACTTTTTGTACTCATTTGGACCTGGCTCTTTTCTCTGGTGACAAAGATTTTGTGGGTAAGTTCTCCGATTTGTCACAGGAATTGGTCAATATAGGTGAAAACAAACAGGGTCCTAATAAGTTGGAATGGAAGCTATTGTCGCTCACCTCGTGTAGATACGTTTTCTCGTGTCTGGGCTATTCCAAACTTAGCAAAAAGTTCATCCGTTCTTGCATGCCAATTTTGGTTGATTTTGTCCGCGAGCATGTCACCGAGGAGGAGTTGAAATCTCGTGTCAGTTCACAGATTAAGGTGGAAAACGACGCACACGTCTCCAGAGTGATCCTGAACAGGCTCAGTACCTACAAAAATGGATCCGAACAGTCTATTCTGGAAGAAACTCTTGTGGAAGAAGCATTTTCTGCCCTCCGTACTCTCTTCAACACCTCATCTCTGTCGCAAATTGTCGAGGCAACATTTGAATTGGTGAAACATTGCTATACTGTTCGTGCCCCCAACTCGTGGGGCACTTCTTTCCTTGCGTTGTGTACAACCTGGATCCCGGTGCAACTTCGGTTCACTGCGTTATCGCTCTTGCAAAAACTTGATTCCCTGGACTTGGATTTCGAACTCCAAAAACACTATGCCAGCTACGTATTGGCATTGGTGTCCCTGGATGTCAATATGATTGGACTTTCGATATCAGATATCATGCAACAATTATTGACATTGCAAAGCAAATTGTTTTTGACCCAAGCTGAAAAGTTTGAATCTGATGAAGTACGACAACTTTCTTCCTTGTACTCTCAATGTATCTGCAACTTGAGTACCCATATCTACTATTTTGACCAGGTTCCAGATTCAGTCCAAGAGATCTTGTTTAAAATTGATACCGTTTTTCTTCTGGCTCCACTGTCACCTTCACAATCAAAGCAGGTGTATGATTTGGTAATGACTCTTTTGGGTGACATTGCCAATATACTCACCACCCTTCGCAAGAAGTCGAGCATCATTACTCGTAACCAAGTGACTCTTGAGCACTGGGAGATAAGTTTGCCGTTGTTAGCACCTCCACTGGAAGATGCTTCCAACAGTGAGTTACCTAAAAACCTACTTTCAAAAATCCAAATACGCTACTTGGAGGTTTTCCAAGATTTCTTGAAGCATGAACTTGTTCTGGGAGATGATAAGAAAACCCAGGTAAGCAACCTTAGTTCCGAAAGTATCCAAGATATCAATGAGTTTACCAAGCCCGATTTCAACGATTATATCACCGAACTGGAGAACTTTATTTGTCAATTTTTCATTTATTTGGACAGGTATTTACTGCGTGAGGTAGACGCCAAAGTGTTGTCTGTGTTGATTGACGTGCTTGTGGATTTATTACTGACGTTGGGTATCAACTTTGTTGCCAACTTTGTTCCTTACTACTTCCATTGGCAATTAGCTCTCAACCAAAGTTCAATCGAACACCAAGACAAAGTCAAGGATACAGTGGCACATATCGTGATGTACTACTCACTCCGGTCGTTGGATGCCATGTACCCTACGGAACTTCAAGGTTACGTTTCCAAATCTTCATTCTATGCCAACTTTTTGGTGGACATCGAGTACCGTAAGTTGAATGGATTATGGGTGGAACAGTTGCTGGCACATCCCACCAACTTTGAAGTAATGAAGAATCTGAACCCCAAGAGTCACCAAGACCGCAATGGAGTCCTTCGTTTCAATACGTCTCGCAAAGCAATACAAGACTTTGTGAATGGAAACGGGTTTACGGCAACTTGGATCAACGTGAACAGATTACTTCGTCTTGAAATTCAAAAACATTCCCACAATGAACTGCCCTCAAATATTCCAGTGTTTTCTGAAGCGTCAAGCTTTAGTGAAAGTGGTTCGAGTTCATCGTACCGTCGTGCTGGTTTGGGACTCGGCAATGCCAATGATATTACATCAATTCATTCCGAGCTCGTCCACAATTATCAGAATAATGGTCGCAACCATTATGACTACAGTAATGGGTCAGTCCTCACGTCAGAGCAGCCCCGTTTCTTCAACTCTCCACGGGTGGCTGACTTGAAGGAGCTGATTTTTGAACACAAGGGCGGCAACAAAATCCTGAACGATTTCGTATTCAACTCCACTTCGTCGATCGCCAGTGCCAAAATCAAACCAAATGCCGGATCTATATTGTCTAAGCTGATGATGACTGCGAACGTCAATGACATCGTCAAAGATTTCGACAGCGACGACGAGATTGTCGTCTAGTTACAGATTATTTATTGCCTAAATGTACACTTATTCGTCATCGTCATCACTGTCATCTCCCAATGCTTCAAAAGCATTGAAACTGATGGTGTTCTTGTCAGCAATTGCATCACGAGGATCCACTGCTTTGGACGATCCAAGGTTCTTGTTGTTGGGCCGTGCCTTCACCGAACCATCCTTTAAACTGTCCCGGAACTTGGTCCGTTCTTCGCCTGCTTCCTCGGCTCCAAATGATTTTTTTGGCTTAGCTAAAGTAGCCCATCCATCATCATCTACCGTCACCGATTCCGCACCTTTTCTCTTCAAATTTGGCTTGGCGCCAGAACGCGATCCCCGGCGACGATTCAAGTGATGATAAGGTCTTTCATTACCATTTTCATCGATATACGTGTCGCCATTGCTCCACTTCAAATGCTTCTGACGTTCTATTTCAGCATTTGCATGTTCGCGTACCTCATCTACCATCTGGTTGAACGCGTCCAACACCTGTGGCTGGGGATTGTAGGCGATTTCCTGAAACTCAAGCAATTCGTCTTCCGTGTACTTTACCATGGCTCTCTCTTTGACGTTCATGCGACAAGAAAAAATGAGAACAAAACCCCGCACGTGACATCCATTGCCCCAGCCTCATTCCCCAGTTTCTGGCGCACCTCATCGCTGATTTGAGATTTTGGTTTTTCGATTTTCGCATTTCATCACTACCGATGCCCATCGCTCACAGTCTTAAAAAAGTCGCCAAAAATGTGTCCAAGCACTCGGGACAGATGCATATAAAGGGCCGCAAGTTCAAGCAGTTGAACCGTGCCACTTTGCGAGACCAAAAATTGACAGAAAGAAAGAGAAATTCCCAGGAACACAAGATGAAAGAACTTGAAAGTTTGAGATTCTTCCAAGCAGCGATCCAAAACAGAGGAAACTCTTCGTTTCTGATGGAGGAGATCAAGATTTTCATAGAAAGCTACCTTTCTCGTTTTGACGAGGAATTGAGCACTTTGAGGCTTGATAGAAGACCTGGTCGTCCTCCCACTACTCGCCAGCAAAAATTGGAACAGCAACTTGAAACAGATAAACAACTTTACCAAACCGGATTCCGAGTGCCGGACATTCGCGACAAGAAGACGGTGGAGAACTTGCGCAACTGGAATGGTTCGCCCGGTGGAACCACTATCTTAAAGTTCATTCGTGTGACTAAAGACCTGTCGGATGCCACCGAAATGGAAGATTAATGAAGAGATGAATAACAAATTCTTTAAACATAACTACATTCAGTCTTTTGACTTCCACAACAAGCTCTTCCATACCAGTGGCTGTTGTTGTGGCGTGCTTTCCTTAATCGTGGACTCCCTCACCACCGGTGGTTCAACTTGAATCACTTGTGGGACGGGCTCTGGCCTTCTTTTAACACTCGAAACGGAATTGGGACGAGTCCAGTACCAGTCTAGACCAAAAAGAAGGACAAACAAGGCACCAGCAGTCGCCAATACCGACTTGAGCCGTACGAGCCATTTTCCTCCTTTTCTGCGAATCTCACGTTCGAAAACCATCATTTTTTCTCCCTTTTCACCACCACCGATCAACCTCCAGTGCTTTCTTTGAAGCCGATTCACACTCTTGATGAACTTTTCCGCGTCCTTTTCGCCAAAGCGACTCAAAATGGTATACATATCTTCGGTAACATGACGAGGGCCAAGTGGGTTTTCGCGCGATACCACTTGTTGACCATCCTGGGTCAAAAGTAAGTACTGCTTGTTCTTGCCAGCATCCTTTTTCACTTCCAAGGGATTGAAAAAGTTGTGCGACTCCAACGATCTATTCGAATGACACATACTTTTACTCCATTCATAAGCCTTGTTCGCTCTAAACTCTTGCTCTTGACCCAAATGCTGCTTTTCCTTGGCATCCTTCAAAAACTGTTCGACTTTCGACTTGTGTACTGAGCGACGGTTATAGTTGTCTCTGATATCATCGGCGGTCATCCCACTAAGGTACTTTGCTTCCTCGGGATCCTCTTCAGCGAGTCGATTCTTCGCATCAGCTTTTGCCTTTTGAACTGATGGCGGTTCTCCAAACATTTGCTCACTAAACGAGTCAGGTTCCGAACGTGATTTCGAAACCGAAGACATGAGATCATCAATGTTCGAATACTTGGGTTTCGTTGTAGCCGAGGACTCTCCACCGATGAATTCCTGTAAGTTGTACTTGTTTAGCTTTGGCTCTTTGTCAAGGTTAGAAGCCACAATGCGGGCACCACTTTCGTCAAACATATCGACCGATGAAGTGTCTCTGATGTTCGCAATAGATGTCAAATGGTTGTCAAAAATCTTTTGTGCTTCGTCCACCGACTTAACCTGAGCATTCACCAGCTTGGTTAGAAGGAGCGGGTAGTGCTTTATTTGCAGATTTAGTGCAGAAAGCTCACGAATCAAATCGTTGATAAGAGGACGTTCATACTTGCTTCTTCCCTTCGAGAACTCTTGAAGCTTTTCGTTAAAGTTGACCTTTATAGGATCTCCTAATGCTGCACAAATGTCTCTCAACAAGTATTCATAGTTGCGAACTAATTGAAAGTGACGAGCAACAAGGTCTGAAACATTCGTGGGCCCTTTTTTGCGGCCCTCAAATTGCCCAAACACCTCTCCGTTCAAAATGACGTTATCCAAGATGAATGTTTGGTTTCCGTTATGTTTGAAAAGTACCGATAAAACACGGTAAAGTTTGCGCAAGATCAACCTTTTCTCGAGATTGAACTTCTTTTCCATGGTCGCCATCAGAGCCAATTTGGCAAGAATAGAGCTTGCATCAGAATCTTTGAAGCTGCTTCCAATCTCCGTTCGTAATTGCATCAAATCAACGATATAGTCCTCCAATAGAAAGTCATCTGGAATTTGCTTGTAATCCATTGCTTTTGTCTTGTCACTAACAGTCTTGTCAAGGTTTTCAAAAACAGATTGACTATGCAAAAGGGTATCCAAAATAGCAACATAGCCACCATTAATAGCAAATAGCTTTCTCAAACGCCCTTCTAACCGCATGAAATTGAACAATTTATCTTGAATCTCTACAAGCAGCTCATCAGCTAGAGCGTTCAGTAAAGATTGCAACAATTCAATCAGAGTCACTGACTTGAAATCTTGACCCTTCAATAATACGTTTTTCACAATGCAGAGTTCATTGGTGAACTTATAGAGTTCCAACTCATCGGGAATTTGAACGTAGTTAGATTTGGCTTTGATAGATTTTTCAACCTCAGCGAACACCTTGTGGCTATTGATAATGGAGTCAAGAACAAAGGTGTACCCACCATTATTTCTTAGTAACGCTTCGAGACTGCGTTGTAATCTTAGGTGTGGGATAGAATCGCTATGCCTGTGATTGACCCAAGAGGCATATAGGTCAAGCAAATCGTTCCGTGAATACCCTGAAAAGTTGTTACCTCCTAAAACATCTTCCTTAAAGGCAGAAAGTTCCGTAACAAACTCATGAATATTTGAATCGTCAGGAATCTGCAAGTATGCTCCACCGACAGGTTGACCGCAATACTTATCAAGATTGGCACAATCACTTTGCGACAATCCTTCAAACGCAGCCAACAATTCCTTATACTTCAGTATAGTTTCATCATTTATAGCCGATGATGAATCATATGAGTCCATTTGGAATTCAAGGATTTGGGAGTCCAAAATGGCACACAATTGACCCGGCAGAAATAACGAGTAGGGAAAATTGCAAAGATCATGTGCCTTGAACTCGGCCAACTCTGTGGTGAACTTACTCATATCGACCGCTGGTTTTGTCTCTTCAGATTCGTTAGCTTTGATGTGCCGCAAATCGATATCCCCTAAGCTCCTATCCGACTCAAACCACTCGTAAGCTGTGTCAAGCTTTGCGCAAATGGTTGGGTCATCAAGTAGTTTATCTATAACAGCACTATTCCATGGACAAGCCTGCTCGTAATGACAAATGGCCATAATTGCATCCTCGACAGCCGCGACTAAATGGGCGTTCACAGAGAGTGAATTCAACAATTTATTGACATCTTCACCCAGAAAGCTAGCTTGTTCGAATTTCTCTCCGAAATGATACCGCAAAATCTGTAACCCAAGCCTCTTTCTATACAACCCACTTTCGAACACGGCATTCAATTCATAGTTGCTCTGGAATGAATCATCAAATAGAAACCAATCAGATGGGGCCAGGTAGTCGAACATGTCTTTAAACTCGTGGTCTTTCACTGTGCCATTGCAAAACTGGGGCATGAGAGAGATAAGAATTCGCTTCGAAAATGTGTAAACCAAATCATCAGTACTTTCCGCCAAGTTTGAGCACAATAATGAAGCAAAGGAAGAGAAGTTTTCCCAGTGAGACTCGTTCGACGACGGACTAGCCGCAAAGATGTAGCTGACGTATGGATTGAAACGCAGTTTCAAAGAGTCCAATTTTTCTTGTGCTCCTGATAATTGAAACACCTTATAAGTAATCGAGCTCAACGAAGGGTCCTCCAACACTCTGGCAATAGTGACAGGTTTGATATTGCATGACTTCAAGATATCACGAAGCCGTTTGTACCTATGAACCTGGATGAAGCAGCTCCAAAATGATTCTGTGAAGAAAGCATCACGATCGCTCTCCAGCAATATGGCATCGAACTCATGAGCAGTTGCATCAATAGAGCGACAAACCTCTGCAGTGGATACCGCAGAAAAGTCCAATTCGTTGGAGAGGCATGAAAGCTCACCAATAAAGGAGCCAGCTCCACTTCTGAAAAAATCAATTGTCGATGCCAGCACCTTTGCTTGATTAAAAACTTGAGGGGTTAGATAGGAAGGGAATTCAGGGTACTTCGACACGATTTTCAAGACGCCATCAAACATTTTGTAAAACCGATCCTTTTCAATATTGGTATCGATTTTACCCTTGGAATACATGTCCTTGAAGATGTACAATGAGTTCAAAAATTCTGTGGTAGTAAATTGGTCAAAGGACCGGATTTTACTGTCGTACGAATTGACGACAAACTTGAGAAATTGGGTCAACTCATAAAAGTACGTGACTGCAAAATCAAAGCGTGGGTTATCAGTTTGTAAGTTTAAAGACTTCTTCACCACATCATAGCTGAGAGGAGTGGAAGCAGGCGGCTCATAGTCAGTGAGAAACGCAAGATCAGGAAACTCCCGTAAACCGGTGCCTTTTGGAGTTCTTCTCAATGTGATAAGATCAATATCGTAATCTTGATAGGTAGCCAAAGTACGCACAAAATTGATTGCTAAGCTCCTGGAAACAGACCCACGTTGAACAAACACGTAGGGTAGCCTTGAGCTACAGATCAATCTCCTAAGCATGCTGGAAGCGTATTTTTGACGTGATCAGATTTGGTTTGCAGCAATAGTAGATTAGGGGATGAAGGTTAAGATGCCAAGACGAGACTTGAAATGTCAAGTACTAATTGGGGAATATATGGAGTTTGTGCAATACCGGTTTCGATCTCAAGATTCCTAAAAAAGAATAGAGTTAACGTTTTGGTAACTGATCACACCAGGGGTTATCGGCTTATCAATAAATTGTGGAGTCGCGCGCCGATCGGACTTGTGGTGTCTGGGTGTAAGAGCCTCAATTGAAGCATCGGATATATTTGAGAAAGAAAGATGTAGCGAAAAAAACAATAGGAGAAAGATGTTGCATTTAATTTACGAAAAGACGAAAATAGCTTTTCATGTAGATTGATCGTAACCTACAATAAGCCAAGAAAAATAATTAACCAAAACTTGAAAATTTATACTACGTTGCTGGTTTGTTTTGCCATTTGATCTGCCAATTGATTTACCAATTGATCTACCTACAGCCCTACTAAATGTGTTTCGTGAACGCAATCTTCGCGCGGTCACGCGCAGAGTCCAGACGAGTCAAAACAATTTCGAAACTAAGGGTGCATAAATTTGATGCATGATGAACTCCGATTCCGGGCAGGGGTAACCGGACAATATTGGGGGATCAAGGCGGGCGCAATTGAACAATGTAACATTGAAAAATATTTTCGCCAATGATATAGTTTGGGTCACTTCGATCGAACCAAATAAGGAAGTCACTCACAGATGTAAGAACTCGCCATCAACGTTATTTAGATGCAATGCCAGGAACGATGATGCCGGTTAAACCTGCAATTTTCAACCAGAGACGCGCAATGCATCCAAGAATGCTGTGGGTGTTTGGAGGTCGCTTACCCAACCGCAACGTTTTTATTTCTTTTTCCAATTCGCTTGCGTCAGCTGTTGCGCATCAAAAGCGCATTAGGACAAATGAGACAATAACAAAAGTTGGCATGGATAGCTGGAACTCGTTGGATCTTCCATATTTCCTTTCGACTACATGTTTTCCACTTCTTTCTCTAATTCTTCGTATCTTCTAGAACATTGATCGTACAGATAGATGAGCATGGGCGGCTGCCATGCATATTCAAGGGTGCAGATTCATGCACCTTCGCTGGTTAGTAGTCCTCATCCCGCAGGGTGAGGAGTTGTGATTCTTTCTTTTTCATAAAACTTTTTTTTCATAAAACCGTGAAGCCGTACACTTTTTTCCGCTTGAACGCTTTTCATCTTTCGTTGATACCTACATTTGGCGTCCGGCTGTATTATTATTTCAGCTGAGGAACCCTTTTGGTTTCTTTTTCTGCGCCACGAAATATTTGAAGTTGTACCTTTTTTCTTTACTTAATTACAAGAGAGATACAAGAATAGGTAATCTTCAAGCTCTCCAGACTACCTGGATACAACTGCATCCCTCATACAGATAGTTGGCTTGAATTTCATAAACACCACGTTTTCAAGGCCATCGCAACCGTTGAGCATAACACGGTCACGCCATTTGCTGTTTGTAACGCTTACGCATCATAGCAGGTAAATTCACTCATTTATCAATCGCCAAGCTTACTTGCATTTCTTCAGCGTTGAAACTATTCCCGTATTTAAAATACCCCGCTTCCCAAACTTAAAATTATGGTTCTTTCAGGCACCGATCATGTCATGTCTCCAGTGCCTTATAAGGCGGTACCGTTGGCAGAAAGATTTAGGCTTGAAGACGACACCGAAAATTTGGGTACGTGCAAACTAGAAAATAGCCCTAAGGAGTGCACAGTGTCCAATTGCTGTAAAGTACCGTCACTCGATCAGTTGATCGATGACTGTTTTCGGTACTCTATAGGAGAGCTTCATGACCAGAAAAAGATAGATCGAGTGGAATCTTTCAAGAAGATAGTTGTACAGCTCCACTGTGAAGAGAATCTTGCATTCATGATCGACATCTACAAATACGAATATTTTTATGCCAAGATCTACCCGCAAACCATCCAAGATTACATCGAGAGCACCAGTTCCAACAAACTTTCACCAAAACCTGCATTTCTCAACCGGTCTCTAAGTACCTCTATTGATGACTTACCGCATCCATCCAAAATCGACAAGAATTTGTTCCACAAAAGAGTACCATCATCTACCGTCATGTCCGTCCAGTCGGACGAACTTGTTCCAACCTCGGTATTCGTATCCAGCATCGATGATTTACATCCGGCTAAAGATCTTCATAGCACTTGGGACACATTGCGTGACAAGAGCACTGAGGAGGAGTCGCTCGATGATGGTATTGATCAGGACTCAACCTCCGAAAATGAGGATGCTAGGTTATTAACCAACCAGTGGAACCACATCATATTCACATACGTCCATCACGATGCTCCCCTCCAGATCAACCTTTCTAACATGTCGTATCAGGAGATAATTGACGCCGATAAAGCCGACTCCGGGCCCGTGAGCCCTTCCGCTCTTCTTAGAGCCCAGCATGAAATCCTTCAACTTATCAAGGAAAACGCATACATCCCATTCATTAATCTTAACCGAGAATCAAAGAGTGTTGAAGAGTCACCTCCCAGTTGCCCTTCAAGTGCTCCACTGTGTTTTTTGTCTACGGATTCGACCAACCCACGCTCTCCACAAATCTCAGCTCGTGGATTGGACTCTCCAGTTCTCTCGCCAACACCTTCGAATTCAAGATATAAGCAGAAGAAGAATAGATTCATCCCATTTTCCTCGCCGCAGCTCGAGTCCAGCTCGACTTCCTCCTCAGCATCGTCGATCACCAACTTTTTCAACCATTTGAAGTTGCACTCGCCCACATCGAGCAGATCACACACTCCTGCGATGGGATCTCCTCCATCCACTGCCTCGAGTCCGGTTTCTGTTCCACACCTGGCGAATAGCGTCACGCGAAAAGTAGCCGCTCAGGACGTGGGTAGGACGCAGTCGCTCAAGCTCAACAAACTTTGGAAGAAAAAGCCATAATTGCATTATATATTTGTATACTTAATTTATAGACTTACACACATTAACTTTGGCTGCGAAAATCTCACCTGCACCGAACCCTGCAAGCCATCGTTCCATGCAGGTAGAAACATGGAGAAGAGCACATCCCTAAAGCAGAACAAACTTCAAGGTAAGGGTGGGCGTTGTTACGGCATACCACGAGGTGCCTCCGTATAAATAGACATCCTTCAACTTCTAAGGTTTGACTCTTAGCATATAAAGGTTTATTTAAACTCATTATTTGCTAGATAAGGAGTGATAAAGATTGTCTCAAACTTATCATGACCAGCTCTAGTGCCAATGAGTCTGCCCATGATATCCCGCTGAGTGGCTCGGCCACAGAAGTTTCCGATACTTCCACCGAGAAATTGAAGCCTTTTGTTGTTCCGGAGCGAATTCGAAGATGTTTAACTCCGTCCAGATGCCGTTCTAAAAGTAAGTTTTCTGGACACCTTGAACGCCGAAGGAGAATCATTCAGCAATGCCAATTGAAAGCTCAGAAAACCATGAGCGAAATTCGAACTAAATTAATCAATCGTAAGCAACAGTTTCATCTTCAACGATGCCGATTGTCGTTACAAATGAACCGCAAAATGAATGCTGCGAGAGAAAGAAGGCGGCGAATACTTGGAGAAAGAAAGACTCGAGCCCAGAATATTGCCCTTTTGGTAAACGAACCGATTATAACCAACAACTTGAAAAATGAGCCAAAAGAAAGTCGTCGCAAAGTGTCCGATGCCTTTGAAAAACTGGTGAAATTTATCCAATTCCACATCCGTCGGTACCTCTTAAGGAACTATTTGGACTACCTTCATCAAAATTCAGTTTTCGACAAACTTGACACTTTATCTTATTCTGAGTCACTTTTATTCGTTCGAGAAAATAGCAGAGAAGCATGCATTCTTCGCTCGGTATTGTCTCAGTTAGTGCCTGGGGTAACCTACCAGTCGGTTTTGCTCTATGGAATTGTCCTAGTGGCGGATATAAAGGACTCTATCATATCACATTCGCACTCTGGAACCAACACTAATACCGACACTTCTCACCATGATTTGGTATCCAACTCAATTACCCTCTTGCTATACAAAGTTACTTTGTCAATTCTTCAAGCTCTAAAAGCTATTGCCTTACCTGGGGCAGATTTAAGGTGGTTCAGCGATTGTCGGTTGACATTGTCAAGATTGTGTCGACAGTACTGTGAGCTTTTCTTCACATACAAAAATCGTCACCTTGAAGATTGCAAAATCATCGCTAACCAAGCTTCCAAAATCATGGACCTCGCTGTGAAAAGTGGAGGAATATCTCATGGAGATTATGTGAAACAAAAGGTGGAACTTGCCAAGCAAATGAACTTTCTAGCCAAAGTCGAGACAGTTCCAACCACTTCCAAAATCACTAATGATATCGAAGCCATCACCAGTACGGCTCTTATTCGCAAATTTCCAGATATAAATTGCGATCGACTGGTTATAGTGGAACTCAAACATGACCGACCGTTCTTGGAAGAAGTGAGTCGTCGAGTAAAAATTGACAAAATTGTCTATGTCCTCCCACCATGTTTTCCTTCTCTTTTTTGGCGAAAATTCTGGGTCAAGAAGCTCCAAGAACCTGAAAAACTGGTGAAAATGAACACTGGACGAATCAGAATTCACCCAGAAACCAATAAAGTACTACACTATGAACAATTATGCCTCAATTTTCATGTCCCCACGCTATACGACCATTACAGCCATTTCGAAGGCTCGAGCCAACCGCAATTGGTGAAACAATGCTCGCATGCCCTTACAAGAATCTTTACACTTGTTGTGGATTTTGTTCAGCTGTTCGCTGCCTTGGATGAAGGACAAGTATATGGTATTCAGCAGATGGGGTATTGGATTGCTAGTACCAAGACTCACACTTTGGAGAGCTTTGCCAACATTTATGCACCGCTGATTTTGAAAGTGTCTTCATACTCTACAATTCTCGCTGATATTCTGGAAAAAATTGAAAACTTTTTATCAAAGGTGCAACCAAGTGCACAAGACATTCTCCATCTTTGTCATCAAGTGGAACTTCAAGTGATGAACTTGTGGGTACGCCATTGTCAGTTTGTTAATTTGACCCATTTCAGACACTTTGAAAATTGTCTTCTCTTGATGACTTTAAACAGATACCTGGTCAAAATGGGCACCAATTCTCCTGAGCTAAGATTTCCAAAGTACTGTCGGTTTCTTCGGTCATACAGCTTGAAATGGAAAGTGATAAATTATGGAGCTTCAATTCGAGCTTCATTTGCGGTACCTGATCTTCAAAAGTCCGTGCCACGGTCCAAAGTGTATCACGAGTTTTATGGTTGCTGGACTCTGTTCTTTATATCAGGGATTCATAAGGACCCTGTTGCGAAACTAGAATCTTCTGGTGGTGCTAATGAGTTTAGTGTTCTCTTTGGTGACGAAATATTGGATATCCAGAAAAATGTTAATAACACCATACAGACCACCATCCTCACCTACCTTTGTTGTCACTATTTGAATAAGTGGCACAAGGTCAAATCTCTCTTACCAATAGTATCATCGACTTTGGACTCGCAGATGTACGACCCATTAATGGTAACCAGCCTAATTCCTGAAAAATTGAGCAGAGAAGTCCACATTAAAAAACCACTAGAGATGTCCCATTATCTCCAGAAGGAGGTTGCCAAGATTAAGGCTGGAAACTCCCAAGTATACCTGGTTATTGCAGCCAAATTTCGCCAGCTTTCAGTTGCGAAGTCTGCAGAACATCAAGATTTATTGAACAGAGTCTTTGACCCAGTAAGACACGAGGTACAGGATCTGCTCTCCCAGATCCAACATTTGGCAACTACCATGTATGATGTCTACCATCCATTGTTGAATTGGATCCATAATGATTTATAGGTTGCAATAGATCTTAGACCGCGCTTAAGCAACGAGTTACCCGATGCAGGTGATAATGAGTCAGTTACACAAAACCGAAACCATACGAAAAAAACTTGTAAAAATCATTGAGAGTATTCTTTGCACAATGTTGTCCAGAAATGTGCTGGGGCTCAAAAGAGCTTGCAGACATGGTTTGTATAGCCTTGCTTACTGTAGAACAGCTTCTCAAAGCAAGTACATGAAATATGGGCTTTCTGAATCATTTTCGAAAACCAGACCATATTCTACCAGGTCAACCGTGGTACAATTACTCAACAATATTGGGTCTAAAAGGGAGGTGGAACAGTATCTCAAGTACTTTACCTCTGTATCGCAACAGCAGTTTGCTGTGATCAAAGTGGGCGGTGCAATCATCACGCAACAGCTCAATGAATTGGCTTCATGCTTGGCGTTTTTGTACCATGTTGGATTGTATCCTATCGTTTTGCATGGAACTGGACCCCAGATCAATGAGCTTCTCGAAAACGAGGGTGTTGAGCCTGAGTATATTGATGGAATTAGGATCACAAATGCTAAGACCATGGAAGTGGTTAGAAAATGTTTCTTGGAACAAAATCTTCGTTTGGTTACTGCCCTTGAAAAAATGGGTGTTCGTGCTAGACCAATTACCGCTGGTGTCTTTGGTGCCGAATACTTGGATCAAGACAAGTACCAACTCGTTGGTAAGGTCAATTCCGTGAACAAAACCCCAATTGAAGCTGCCATTGAGGCGGGCTATTTGCCAATTTTGACCTCGTTAGCCGAGACACCTTCCGGACAACTTTTGAACGTCAATGCTGATGTGGCTGCTGGAGAACTTGCTCGTGAATTTGAACCATTGAAGATTGTGTACTTGAACGAAAAGGGAGGTATTATCAACGGAGAGACCGGTGAGAAAGTCAGCGTTATCAATCTTGATGAAGAATATGAAGACTTGTTGAAACAAAGTTGGGTCAAGTACGGAACCAAGTTGAAGATCAAGGAGATCCACGATCTTCTTCAACACTTGCCTCGTTCGTCGTCTGTGGCTATCATTGATGTTGATGATCTTCAGAAAGAATTGTTCACCGATTCTGGTGCCGGTACTTTGATTAGAAGAGGATACAAGTTGATCAACAGAAACTCTTTGCTGGAGTTTGGTAACCCTGATTTGCTCAGAAGTGCATTGTCAAGAGACCCACAAATCAAATCTGGCAAGCTTTCGGTAGCATCCTACTTGAAGCACTTGGAATCAGTTGACTTTAAACTGTATGGAGATGAACCATTAGAGGTTTTGGCCATTGTTACCAATGAAAAACTTCCCAAGCTCGACAAGTTCTTATCGTCCAAAACTGGCTGGCTCAATAACGTTACTGACAACATCTTCAGTGCTGTTAAGAAGGACTTTAGTTCTCTCTACTGGGTGGTGAATGAAAACGATGCCAACTTGGCTTGGTACTTTTCAAAATCGGATGGTTCGTTCGCCAAGAATAACGAGATTTTGTTCTGGTACGGATTGAACACAGAACAGGTTTCGCAGTTGATCAAAGAGTTTGACAGTTCCAGCATTTCGTCGTTGTCTTCGAAAAATGACTCGGGTGTATTTTCCACATCTGCTCAGAAACGTGGATACCACACCTCCAGAAACTCCTTCCGTGCTTACTCCACTACCAACCCCAACCCTCCTGTTCGTGAGGGAACCAACACCCTGCGTGCCAAAGTGGCATTGATTGGTGCTCGTGGATACACTGGACAAGCCTTGATTAACATGATTGACAAGCATCCTTACTTGGAGCTTTCTCATGTGTCTTCTCGTGAGTTGGCAGGCCAAAAGTTGAAGGGCTACAACAAAGCCAACATTGTGTATTCCAATCTTCAAGCTGAAGACATCAAGAAGTTGGAGGACAATGGAGAAGTTGATATGTGGGTGATGGCATTACCTAACGGTGTCTGTAAACCGTTTGTCGATGTTATCGAGAGCGCCAAGGGAAAGTCTAAAATTATTGATTTGTCTGCTGATTATAGATTTGATACTACTGGTACTTGGGTCTATGGTCTTCCAGAATTGAACGATAGAACCAAGATTGCCTCGGCCACAAGAGTGTCTAATCCAGGTTGTTATGCCACGGCAGCACAATGTGCCATTGCACCATTGGTCGACTACATTTCTGGTACACCAAGTATTTTCGGAGTATCTGGATACTCTGGAGCTGGAACGAAACCTTCTCCCAAGAATGATGTCAAGTATTTAACCAACAACTTGATTCCTTATTCTTTGACTGACCATGTCCACGAGCGTGAAATCAGCACCCAGTTGGGTTTGGAAGTTGCGTTCATGCCTCACGTTGCCCAATGGTTTCAGGGAATCTCACACACCATCTCCATACCAATCAAACCAAAATCGTTAACGTCACGCGAGATTAGAAACATTTACCAGGACAGATACCAAGGAGAACAGCTTATCACTGTCAGTGGAGAAGCTCCAGTTGTTAAGGACATTAGTGGAAAGCATGGAGTTGTAGTTGGAGCTTTTGCTGTGAATTCTGCTGAGAATAGAGTGGTGGTGGTTGCAACCATTGACAACTTGTTGAAAGGTGCTGCGACCCAATGTTTGCAGAACATCAACTTGATGATGGGCTACGGAGAGTACGAGGCCATTCCAGACGATTTGATCATTAGAGGATGAAGTACAATAAACTGACTTTAGAGTATGTCTGTAGGTTTTCGCATCCTCACACCCAATTTTGGTGAACCTTCTTTCATAGGTACAATCGGGCTCAACCACACCACACTTTAACATGCTTGTACCCCCGGAAAATTGTGGACTTGTAGAGCCAGGTATCTATAGGTGCTCCAAGCTCGACCAGGATAACTTCCCGTTTCTAGAAACTCTCAATTTGAAATCAATTGTTATAGTTGATGCAGAAAAGCCTCCTGGTCCATTAAAGCGATTTATTGAAGCGAATAACGTCGAGCTATTTAACCTAGGTGCACTCAAAATCTCGAACCATCATCATACTGGAGTCAATTCTAGCTCTGGGAAGTTAGAAGAGGAAGGTTCCAGCAATGGTTCGACTTCGAGCTCGGGAAATGCCGATGTTAATGATCTCGAGCCTATCAATGTCAATACCACAAAGGACAAAAATGATCTGTGGATGCTTATAGAGAAGAACTTGATACTACGTGCTTTTGAGTTGCTATTAAACAAGACGAAGCACAACCTACTTTTGGTGGATTCGTCGCTGACTCTCGTGGGCATTCTTCGCAAGATTCAAAAGTGGAATTTTAACTCCATAGTCAATGAGTACCGTACGTTTGCTGGTACCTCGACGAAAAACAACTATTTTGCGGAAACTTTTCTCGAATTGGTGGAACCTGAACTAATAGCATATGAGATTCACCGATTCAATAGCGAGTCAAAGCAGCCAGAAAAAACTCTTTACAAGAGCCCCGAGTTTAGGAGAGAATCCCGAAACGCTTCGAGGACGTCAGTTGACGATGAGGCAAGTTTTGATGATCGTAACAGCGATACCCAGAGTATAGACGATGATGAGATGGACGACGAATTACTTTCAGCCTCGCCTCAAATTCCAACCAATTTGTTGAAACTCGTAGAGCTGAGGAAGAATGATACTTCACGAGATTCTGAGCCAGATGTGGATTCAGTAACACCAGGATCTTCTCCAAGGTATACTCGTGGAAGTCGTAATAATAGCTTTACCAGCGACATGATTTTCTCCGCAACTCGATCTAATTTTGAGAGAAGAAGGTCTTCCATAGACAGCTTGGTGCGGCCAAGTCCAAGTAATATCAAATTCAGACAAGGTGCACGAGCTCCAGATCGACGAGCAGCCCGTGACTCGTTCAGCAAGGGAAGTTTCAGCGAATCGTTGAAAGAATTCAAAGACTCATTCAAAAGACCCGACGACAACGAACTACAACAAAAATACGGATTTTACTACTACAAAAGCTTCAAAGAAAATCCTTATACCTTTGAGGAAGTTAATGCAATAAAAATCAAGCTACCACAAGATACTAAACTACCAGCATGGTTTCGAAGCCAGCGAGATTATTGGGAAGCAAACTTTCGAAAATTAAATGGTCTCATAGAATGAGTGTTGCCAGCAACTTTTGCATCATTTTCTTCCCCAGGTTGCCCTTGTTGGTGGAGCAGATTGTGATCCCGATGTAGGTGGTGGGGTGTGGTTGCTGAACATTTTGTCACGGAGTCTGGAACTGGACCCGTTTCCAGATGCACTGTTAGTCCGGGCTGGTTGGTACGATTGGCTGGAGTAGCCAGCTCCCGGTACCGACTGTTCTCGAGACCGATTGTACATGTCTTGTAATCTACTTGACGATCTGGTATAGGTCCTTGCCGGTGCAGATTGTGTTTCCTGGTGTTGTGACCGGTCCTGACTCCAGCTATTTCCCCTTTGGAATGTTGGCTGTTGGCTGGTTGAATAATCGTCTTCAACACGAACTGGTTGTAATTGTTCTTGGTACAGTCTGGGACGAGAGTTCATTTGCGCCTGTTGCTGCTGGCCCTGATAAGTACGGCTCTGGTACGAATTTGTCAGTGGTCTCAGTCTTTTTTCGCCCAACCATTCTGGATATGGCTGGTGGACGCTGTCAAAGTACTTGACGAACGCTCGATGGATCAACGTATCATCCTCACTATCACCATCTACTTCCCTTTGAATGACCGAGGTAGCACTTGAGAACCTTGCGGCATAACTGTCTTTCAATTTAGCGAAAAAGTTTCGTGTTTCCTGCTCTGTTCGTTCCTGAATATGAGACATTGATAATACTTGTGGTCGAGTGAAATCAAAATGGTGAGGATCGCATGATTTATCTGCAGGAGATGGCCCGCCATCGCGGAAAATTTAGTTTCGCACAAGTTTGTAGGTACTTTTCAAATGTCTTGGGTACGATCAGTAGCCATTAGGACGGCGCTTTGCCGTCAGGTTCGGTCGAGATACCAATCATATGGAAGCACCAGGCTCTTCTCCTCCTCTTTGCGAAGCTGGGAGGAACCAGAAGTTGTCACAAAAACTCCCAAGGCTGATATTGACCATGAGGCTGTCAAAGCTCATCAAGAATCTTCCCCATTGAAAAGCATTGAGGTGCCGTTTACTTCGCTCGAAGCATCGAGAAAGTTTGACAAATCGATCTTTAGAGGACTCTACAACAGCAAAATGAAGAATATGACCGTGGTGCAACAACGTGCCATCATGCCTATGATGGATACCAAGACCGGAGTTGTTGTCCGTGCCAAGACCGGTACTGGTAAAACATTAGCGTTCGCTCTTCCATGTATACAGGCGGCGCTTGAGAACCCACAGCAGACCCAAAAGGGACGAATTCAAGCACTTGTGGTGGCACCAACCAGAGATTTAGCACTTCAAATCGAGGCAGAATTCAAGAAAGTTTTACAACACCAGACCCGTAATGTTCATCGCAAGACAGATACGTTTGTATTGATCGGTGGACGTAAGAACGATCTTCACCCAAAAGCCAAGGCTGCTATTGTCATTGCTACTCCTGGTCGTTTGGAAGCAATTCTCCGTGATCCTAGAATGTTGCCCATGTTTTCAGATTTGAAATACCGGGTTTATGATGAGGCAGATAGACTCTTGGACCAAGGGTTTGCTCCTACCTTGGAGGTGATTGAGGAAAGATTGCGCGATGCCAAGGCGGAAGCACTTGAACCAGACAACCACTTTAAGACAGCTCTCTTTAGTGCAACTGTGGATGATGCCGTAACCAACTTTGCCCATGAAACCATTGGAAAGGAGTATGAATACATCAATTGTGTCGACAAAGACGCAGAAGAAAGTCACGAGAACATTCATCAAGGTATAGTGAGAACACAGTCTATCAAAGATTCCTTTGAAGCTTCGTTTTCTTACATTCTCAACCATATCAACGACAAATATTTCAAAGCAATTGTGTTTTTGCCCACAATTACAGGTACTGAGTACTACTACCGGGTGTTACAACGTGCTAAGAGAGAAGAGTTATATGATAGTGAAACGGCCACCAAAAAGTATGGCTCAAGAATTTTACGTCTTCATGGAAAGATGTCTCAATCTGCAAGAGACCGTACCGTGAAAGAGTTCAGACGGACATCACATGGTGTTTTGGTTTGTACAGACGTAGCTGCCAGAGGATTGGATTTCAACGATGTCAGTCATGTTATTCAAATGTGTCCAAGTTCTTCTGTTGCTGATTATATTCACAAGATTGGACGTACCGCTAGAGCTGGTGCTCGTGGTAAAGCCAGAATTTTCATTTCTGAACCTGAAATGAAATTTATTGAAACGTTACAACGTGAGAGAGGAATTGTATTCAAGGAAGACACCGAATATGTCAAAGATGAAACATCACCAGACCATTTCCAGAGATTAGGTTCTTACGAGCAAGACGCCCTTGAGGAGTTCTTGCGTACCTTCTTAGGTTTTGCTGCTTCAGTTTCAGGTGTGTACCGATTCAACAAGCAACGAATTGTTGAGGAATCGTTTGCGTTATACAGACACATTTTGAACGATCCTTCTGCGAAGCTTAGTGTTGGGCGCCGATTTGTCTCTGAAGTCTTGCGTATGCCAGGACGTGATGCTGCCGAATTCTTTGATGTTCCAGGTGGTTTCGACATGAGACTGTCCAACGATCGCAAGAGCAAGAGAACATTTATGGGTGATGGTGGCTCCAGATCTGACCGTGGATTCAGCAATGACAGATATGGTAATAGCGGTCGCCTGTACAATAAGAGTCGTCTGTTCGATCGTAATGATCGTTCGTACGGCAATGATCGCTCTTACAGTAATGACAGAAAGTCGTATGGAAACAAGTCGTATGGAGACAAATCTTATGGTAACAAAGCCTATGGGGACAAATCATATGGAGACAAATCCTATGGAGACAAATCTTATGGTAAATCCTATGGCAACAGATCTAACGACAGAAGCTTCAGTCGCGGCAATGACAGAGGTGGCTACGAAAAGAGAAACTATGGATCTCAGTCAAGAAACACATATGGCCGCAGAGACGATAGCGACGAGTAGGAGGTATAATAGCAACGAATACTTGTAAATAGAGAAAATTACTCACGTACATTCATGGATCAAAGGCAATCGAGTCTCATCAAATAGTTAAGAAAGTGCAGCATCACGTACTACCTGAATATTTGGCATCATATTCCTTTGCCGTCTTGTTCACCTCGGTTCCCAGCACTATGACCACTTCTGGTTCAGTGGACTTGAGCGGCTCAAGTGCCGTAAAAATAGCAGCTTTTGCAACCTCCTCGTCGTAAGCTGGGTACAATGGAAAAGCAAACACGCTATTCTTCACCAACAGCGCCACCTTCACCAAAGAGCTTTCAAAGAATCCGTGAGAGGCTTCACGTTCGCCCAACAAAACTCCAGGTCTGATAATAATTGTTCTGGGAAACTTCAATGCTACAATATCGTCCTCTAGCTTACCTTTCGTCTTGAGGTAAAAGAAGGGGGACAGAGAAGAGGCTGCTCCAGAGGAAACTAGAACAAATGTCTTGACACCAGCATCTTTCGCAGCCTTAGCTGCGTCGTAGTTAATGCCATAATCGATCTTCAAAAAGCCCTCGTTTCCCCCAGCAAGTTTCTTGGTAGTTCCAAACGCACTGATGAAGACATCATTATCCTTTTGCTTTCGAATTATGTCACCCCAAACGTCACTATCTTTTTCAATTACACTGTCAATTTTGCTTCCTTCAACCTTTGGAGCCCTTCTGCTTACTGTGAATATAGAGTCGATTTCCTTACATTCGTTCAAGATCTTCAATGCCAGGGACCCAACAAGCCCTGTACTTCCTAATAAAATGGCCCGCATTGTATTGGTGGCGCTTGATAATTTAGGTGAGTTCGCAGAGGGACTGCACACCAGACTGAAAGACTAGGGTATACTCGCGGTAATTAGCCAGTAGCTCATTAGATTTAGTTCGCTCTCTTTCTGGATTTTCTCTTCAAAGCACTCTTCTTACTCACCGTAAACTGTCCCCACCGTTGGGACCGTTTTTCCTTGGTAATGTAATCGCCAATTGCAGTGTCTCTCGTCAAAACCACATATACAAGAAGACAAATAATTATCAACGTATTGAAGATGATTATTCTCTTGTGGAACCGGAGATCATTAGCCAACATTCCTAGCTTATAATTGGCGTCGCTTAAGCCTCCCCGATACCGGTTTTCTTGGTTTTGAAGGAGCATGGTTGCTTCTTTCTGTATTCGCTCATAAGCTTCCTTCATGATTTTCACCTGAGATAACATGGTGATATTAAAAGATTGTACTAGGTCATTGAAAGTCGAGGTTTGTCTTCTCTCCAAATTAGTAAATGCGGTAGATAGGAGCTTGCTTTGTTCCTCAATGTACAATAATGATAGGGTAGCATTCGACTCAAGCAATGATAATCGCTTCATGATATTCTTGTAGATTGACTCTTGCGTGGTAGCTGTTGTTTCAATAGTTTTCACTTCTCGATCAACAGCGACAGCTGCACAGTATTGGTCGGTGCCATTGATATCTTGAAGGAATTCGTGCAACAATAAATGAGGAAGTATTACTCTGCACTCATCATCTCGTGTGCTATAATTGTTCAGATTTTGAGTGGTGATGTTAGCCACATCAGTAGCAATAGTAATATTCATTGAGGGTACTTGGTCAACACCCTTTTGTTCTTCCTTGAATTCCTCCATCATGGTTTTTCCGTGAACTCTCACCACGGAAATGGGACAGTAGAATTCGTTACCATAATGAGAAACAATTTCAAGTTTCAAGTAACGGGCCCAAATAAGCGGATTTCTCACGGTGAAAACCTGAAGGTCTCGTACGTTTTCTGCCTCAAACTCACCCAACACTTCCCACTTTGTGGCAGGAAACTGGTCGGAAACAGAAATTCGGATGTCTTTGAACATTGAACTGAAAAATTCAAAATTACCCATCACTACTTCACTGACAAGAATGTCCTGACACAATTCGATAATGACATACTTGTTGGAAGACGAGCACTGGTTGAGCAAATATGAGTCCTTATTTTCGTGGAGAATGGCCAGTGCACCCTTTGCTTCGCTATTTGCTTTCATGATAGTGGCAGCGCAGTCCGAGGAAGCATAATTGAATTTTTTTTTGTAAACTCGGCCCTGATCTTCTTCCTGAGCAATATTGGAAGGGCTTGAATAAGTGGTATCCACGGTTGACGTATTAACTTTTGCAAGTGTATGTGAACTAAGCAGATCAGCGCTTGAAGCGGCACTGGCAGAAGAAGCACTTACCGATTCGGCGGCTGCTTCTTCCTGCTTCTGGCGCTTCCACTCTTCAAAAGACATGAATCGGCATTCGTCTATGTCTTCGTTTGTAATATTAGACGAATTTTTGGAGACGGAAATGTTGGTGGGAACCTGGTGGTCGATCGATATTGAAGTATGTGAGTTTTGGGTTTCCAACTCAAGAAAGGTCGATGCCACCTCATCGGTTACACGCATCTCTACACCACTCGTGGGACTTGTGGACGACGGTCGTTGGAAAACATTACAGCCAGGGCCCGTGGTGCAAAATGGATATGAAGGAGTAGGTATTAAACTATCAGGAAAACCAGTAGAAATTTGTGATGAAGCAATGGAGGTGATCTTCTCTATGAGATTAGTTGTTTTGGGTCGTATTTCTTTCGTTTCGATGTTTTTCAGATGAGATAGATGAGTATTAGAAACCAGGCCTGCTGTATTTGTTAAAGAATTAATGGTGGATTCATCCGTTTGGTTCAATATTTGGCTCTCCAGGAGCAGTGTATCACCGCTTACGCACGTTAGACTCACGGCTGCCACGAGTAGAAACCACGCGCCTTTGCACCCCATGTCGTTGGTGAGGAAGTAGTGGAGCTTCTCGGTGATCTTTCCTGCACAACTTGAGTATTCGCGCAGAGCGAGGAAAAGCCGTGCCATATCACCATCTACCCACAATGATCAAGACATTCCCGCTCAGTTCCCGGGCTAAAACCACCGCTTTGAAACAGCCCAAGGAGCTCTTTTGCTACTCGAGAGACATAAATGGTGCCTACGAGTACGACACTGATAAGGCAGTTACCCAATTGAGCCACTACTATTTTCCAGATGCTGAAATAGATAAAGGTGTGGATTTAGGAGCAGGCTATAAAGACTTCAAGAAGATCCCAGAAGCTGAGAACTTGGGAGATTTTGAATCGCTTTTGAAAAGTATCTTACAACATGAAAAGAAAACTGGTGAAAAAGTGTCGGCAGACATCGTTACGTTTCGAGGACTTATGACAAAGCTTTTGGCACTTCCTTACAATTTGAAAGATCCAATAAACTTGTATGCCGCCGTCTTTGATGGGCAAATCTTCATCAAGAACGACGACGAATTGGAGTTGAAAAGACGTCAGTCACAACCATCGGATCCTACAAAGAAAGACTATATGGACCGATGTGAATATTCCGGCTACAAGTTCGAGGCGGTAACAACATTACCCAAACCATGGGCAGAGTGCTCAAGGCTGGAAATTGAAAAGAGAAATATTCGGGTTGTCAATAATTATGAACAGTTTATATCGGTGGTGCGAACCGGTATCGGCAAAGTCAAGCTTTTATTGGCAGGTGAAGTCGATTGTTTATGGGACTACCGTCCACAAGATGGCAAAAAGGATCCTCTTCCTCATTACGTGGAGCTCAAGACTTCAAGAGTCATAGAAACTCCTGGTAACATTGTCACTTTTGAGCGAAAATTGTTTAAAACTTGGGCACAAAGTTTTTTAATAGGGATCCGCAAGATTGTTTATGGGTTCCGAGACGACAATCTTATTTTGAGGTGTGTGGAAATGTACTCAACAGAGGAGATACCGATTTTGCTCAAAAAAAATCAGGTTACTGAACCCAGTAAGAAAATAGTATGCATGAATGCTCTCAAATGGTACGGAGCCGTTGTCGAATGGCTCACAGAAGTGATACCCACAAACGAAAATGGGGCGTATCGTATAAGTTATGACCCGGGATCACGTTCTTTTTCAGTCGCTGAATTGATTGGAGATGAAAAATCAAAGGCACAAGCTATGATTACTAGCGAGTTTAAAGACTGGCGAAAAGAGCTTTCAGAAAAAGAGAAGGAAGTGAATGACGAGAAGGAAGAATAAGTAATAGAAGTGTATCGAGAATTAGAGGAGTAAGTGAGGTTTCTGAAGAGAAAGCACGGCTGCAAATTGCAAAAAATGCAAAAAATGCAATTAATTATATTCCGGCCATTTCACTTCCTGCCTATGAAACACCATGCATCACCATGCCTTTCTGGCCATCACCCAATTATCAGGTACCACATGGCCAATCACCAAATAAATGTCTCACATATGTCTCACCACTTAAACGCAACGGGTGCGGGAGGAGCCGTCACGTGACACGGGGATATCGCGCTCCCCCACACGAAAGCACCGAGGTGCGAAAAAGAGATATGACATTCACCAATAATTGATTGATTATTTAAAGAGCTACACAATTCAATTGACCTCGACACATCCATTCTTCATCTCGTGTCCTTGTATATTTACTTCATCTTTCAAAACTTAAAGTTAATTTCAAATTTTCACACTCCCCTCACCCCGATAATCCGCTGATACATCCGCGGTCTGGCCAGAACCAGCCAATCATTCGCAGTGGTTATTAATCAAGTGCAGGTCTGGACCCCATGAATTTGCTTACATTACACAAAACCCCGTATTTGACAGCCGATTCTCCAACCCCGCTCGTGGTATATAAGAGGGGGCCCGATTCTAATTTAGCCACTAATAATCTCATAAAATGGCTCCAACCTTTACGAATTCTAATGGATGTCCCATCCCAGAACCTTTTGCTACCCAACGTGTGGGTAAGCATGGTCCATTATTGCTCCAAGACTTCAACTTGATTGACTCCTTGGCTCATTTTGACAGAGAAAGAATTCCTGAAAGAGTTGTTCACGCCAAAGGATCTGGTGCTTACGGATACTTTGAGGTGACCGATGACATCACCGATATCTGTGGAGCCAAGTTCTTGGACACAGTTGGTAAGAAAACCAAGATTTTCACCAGATTCTCCACCGTTGGTGGTGAGATGGGTTCGGCTGATACCGCCAGAGATCCAAGAGGTTTTGCCACCAAATTTTACACCGAAGAGGGTAATTTGGACTTGGTTTACAACAACACTCCTGTGTTTTTCATCAGAGATCCTTCCAAGTTCCCCCACTTTATTCACACCCAAAAGAGAAACCCAGAAACCCACTTGAAGGATGCTAACATGTTCTGGGATTACTTGACCACCAACTACGAGGCAATTCATCAGGTAATGGTCTTGTTCTCTGACCGTGGTACCCCAGCTTCTTATCGTGAAATGAACGGTTACTCGGGTCACACTTACAAATGGTCTAACAAAAAGGGTGAATGGTTCTACGTTCAAGTCCACTTCATATCTGACCAAGGTATCAAGACCTTGACCAACGAGGAAGCGGGTGAATTGGCAGGCTCCAACCCAGACTATGCTCAAGAGGATTTGTTCAAGAACATTGCTGCTGGTAACCACCCATCGTGGACTTGTTACGTTCAAACCATGACCGCTGAGCAGGCCAAGAAAGCACCATTCTCGGTGTTTGACTTGACTAAGGTTTGGCCTCACAAGGACTACCCTATGAGAAGATTCGGTAAATTTGTGTTGAACGAAAACCCAAAGAACTACTTTGCCGAGGTTGAACAAGCTGCTTTCTCTCCAGCTCACACCGTTCCTTACATGGAGGCATCTGCCGACCCAGTGTTGCAATCTAGATTGTTCTCTTACGCTGACACTCACAGACACAGATTGGGTACTAACTACACTCAAATCCCTGTTAACTGTCCTGTTACCGGTGCTGTATTCAACCCTCACATGAGAGATGGTGGAATGAACGTTAATGGTAACTTGGGAGCTCACCCCAACTACTTGGCTACTTCTCACCCAGTGGAATTCAAGCAATTCTCTTTGCAAGAAGAACAAGAAGTTTGGGAAGGTGCTGCTTGTCCATTCCACTGGAAGGCTACTGACGATGAGTACAAGCAGGCATCTGATTTGTACAAGGTTATGGAAAGATATCCTAATGCTCAAGCTCACTTGGCTCACAATGTTGCTGTCCATGTTCAAGCTGCTGACCCTCACATTCAAGACAGAGTGTTTGAAATGTTCTCCAAGGTGAATGGTGAGTTGGGAGCTGCCATCAAGAAGGAGACTTTACAATTAAGTCCAAGAAAGTGATTTCGATAATAAAATGAATATTTATTGAGTATATGTTTTTCAAAATGAAATGTAGTTACAACTTTGTGGTGTTACAAGATGCACACAGGCAGCTGCTACCGCATTTGCATGACGCACCACAACAACTGTTTCCGCTGCCAGAGCTGGTAGATGTTGAATTTGGACCGCACATTAAAGATGATGAGGCATATCACCACTTTTATACATTTGTAGATAGCGCCGGATCAGCATACCTAATCCGGAAGTCGCACGCGACGGGATTCGGGCAAGCGACTGTATCTCTGGACCGACTTCGAGGACTGTACATAGGGTACGGCACACAGCAAAGTCAGCGGATGCAACCAAACACCACGGCAGAGTCAAATTTTCACTTTTTGAAAATAGAGAAGCCATAAGCAGCGTGACGCATCTTACTGTACTATTCTAAGCCTGCAACTCATTTTCACAGGTCATTCCGATTCTAAGCCTTGTTTGTTGTAGTTCCTGCATAAGCCCGAATCGCGAAATCGGAATCGCAATTTTCCAAAACGAGTAATTCTAGGGCAGTCTGAAACGAGGTATCAAAAGTTATCAACAACACAGAAGAGTCAGCGTTTGGCTACCAGGTCTTCGGGATAACATAAACTCCACCGAAAGCATTGTATTCCTCGATCAAACCTTATTTTGCTGGTAGTAAATACCAGCGATCTGTTTCGTTGAGTCACGTGACCTACACAATGCTATTTCAGGGCAGTGACAGATTGTGAACGTTGGTGCGAAACAATCAGGTGTAGCTACTCAGCCATGAACAAGCGGGGATGTGCAGGATATTACGTAGTTAATCTCATGTAGGTACGGTAAACACGCTGCTTGCAGCGGCAGGTTCCAGCAAGTTATTGACACATATGATTGCGAACCCTTGCATATGGTCGATTTTCTCGAGGTATATAAGAAAGAGGATATTTTCAATTTAATCATTATCAAAAAATATCGAAATGGGTTTGAACGCAATTAACTACGCTGTATCTGATGTCGTTGGAGGCGCTAATTCTCTTGCTGCGGGCGCTGGGTCTATTGCTGGTGCCGCTCAAAGTGCAATTGGTGGAGCTGGAGGAGATGCTGCAAGCGCTGTGAAAAGTGTTGGTGCAGAAGCAACTGGCCTTGCTAATTCTGCCAAATCTGGTGCTGCTTCTGCCACCAGTGGTGCTATGACTGCCATGAGCGAGGCTTCTGGTGCGAAATCTGCCCTTGAATCAAAGACTTCTATGATGCCTGAGTCTGCGATGTCTGGAATGTCTTCTATGATGCCAGACTCTAGTTCCGATATGATGTCAGACGAGTCTGGTTCGTCCGCACTGGAAGGTTCCGGATCTGAATCTTCCGGATCTGGATCTGGATCTGATTCATCTGCATCATCTGGATCTTCTGGTTCATCTGGTTCTTCTTCTGAATCTTCTGGATCATCTTCTTCCGGATCTTCCTCTGGTGGTAATGCTCTCTACCAAGGTGGTTCGTGGAAGAAAGCTGCAGCTGTTGCCGGAGTCGTTGGTTTCAGTTTCATCTTCAATGTTATGTAGTAATGCTTGTATGTTAGGTAAAAGTTAGGGAAAATAAAAATAAAGGAAAGAAATGAATGAAAAATAGTTCTTGGTTGCAGCCATTTCGCAGCTTCGCAGCTTTCTCAGCTTTTTCGCATCTCACTTTACAATCAACCATGCTAAAACGACCTGCTAGGCTCCAAGTGGACCCCGAAACCATTACAGATGACGATAAACCGCCTCAAACTGGTACAGTGTTCAATATCTGGTATCTCAAATGGTCTGGAGGCGATAACACTAGAAATCTCATCAAACTGAAATTTCGAGTCAACATCAAAAATGACACTGGATACACCAAGGCTGGTACCAATAGCCCAATATGCTTATTTTTCGCTCGTGGTTGCTGTTACCAGGGCCGCAAGTGCAATTATGCCCATAGAATACCGACAGACTTGGACTACTATCCTCCCACTCAAGACTGTTTTGGCCGCGATAAAACCGCCGATTACAAAGACGATATGACTGGAGTGGGTTCATTCAACAAAATCAACCGAACATTGTATGTAGCCGGCATCCATACTACCAAAAATGTCGAGCTGGTACTCACAAGACATTTTGAAGAATTTGGAGCCATTGAAAAAATTAATGTTCTTCACGGCAAGGCATGTGCTTTCATCACATACAAATTGGAATCAGCAGCGCAGTTTGCAAAAGAAGCAATGCTCAACCAGTCGCTTGATCATGAAGAGATCTTAGATGTAAGGTGGGCTCGACCAGATCCTAATCCAGATGCTCAAAAGAAAGAGAAAAGACGATTAGAAGAATTAGCAGTTAATACGGTCCAAAACTTGTTGAAGGAAACGACACACAAGAGACAGAAACCTAGCGAGCCGGAAATCATAGAACCAGAGGAACCAGAGGAACCAACTAATGAACCTGAACCACAGCAACGACTCTTAGAATCAAAACCTTCATCTTTTTTTGGAAGTTCTATAATTGTCCCTACAAAAAAATCCACAAATCTACTTAGTGGATATTCCAGCGATGATGACGACTAGTCTTTGAGAGTTAGTGATTGAACAGCTGGGTGCCGTAACAACCAATCTGGGAGTCGCTTAGTTCCCTTGCTCAAAAAAGACTTCAAGTTCACCAAGATCTCCGAATCTCCATCATCAACAAATGACAAGCTAGCACCGGATTTCCCTGCTCGTCCGGTACGACCGATTCTATGTATATACTCATCAAATCGCTTGGGCATATGGTAGTTGACCACCAAGCTGACATTGGGAATGTCGATTCCTCGTGCTGCAACATCGGTAGCTATCAAGACATTGACCTTGTGTTCCCTGAAAGAAGCAATTGCCGACTCTCGAGCTTCTTGCGATTTAGAGCCATGGATAACAATGTTAGAACCAACATTCTGGTTGCTTAACTCTACCGAGAGTAGCTCACAAGTTCGCTTAAAGTTGGCAAAGATAATGATTAGTGGCTGTTCAGTTTCACGTATATGTTGTCGCAACGCCAGTATCATCTTGTTGGTTCTAGGTGCATTCAATTCTTCCTGGCTATCCACATTATCACCAAGGTATTCGAACTTTTGGTTAATATTATCAACAATTTCTCCTGCGTCGCCAATGTAAAGGTAGGCAGGTGTTTGGAGATAATCTTTGGTGATTTTTTCGATTGGCGGTGATATCGTGGCCGTGAACATCAAGGTGATCCTGCTCTTTACCTTGAAGATGGTGCTATCCAAACCAAATCCAGAACTTGATGTCGAAGGTAAAAAGGAAAGAATTGATTGTAACGCTTTCTCAAATCCCATGTCGATCATTCTATCAGCTTCATCCATAGTTAAGTGGTAGCATTGACTGAGATCAATAAGTCCCTTTTCAGCCGAGTCTATAAGACGACCAGGAGTAGCTACTACAATATGAGCCCCATCTTGAACGGACTTTACCGTTTCTTCATATTGATGTCCTCCAATAATGGTGACAACGTTATAGCCCAAAACAGATGCAAATTTCTTGGCTTCTTTACTGATTTGAAGTGCCAATTCACGAGTCGGTGCTAGTACCAACCCCAATACTTTGTTCAAGTTGGACTCTTGCTTATGTTCCACCTCCATGTAGTCTTTGTCGATAGCTGACAAGTATGATAATAAGGGAATTAAGAACGCCAAAGTCTTTCCTGATCCTGTTTCAGCTATACCAACCACATCTCTATGCCCCAAAGCCGTGGGAATCGCAGCTCGTTGAATAGGAGTTGGTTCTTTGTATCCAAGTTGATCAATAGTATTTAGTAAAGTAGTTGGAATTCCAGATTCTTTCCACGAACGAAGCGGATTGGGGATATTGTTCCCTTTGCACGTAATGCTAAAGTCCTCCTTGAAAATACGCCAATCCCTGCTTGTCATATCTTCAAGTTTTTTGTCCAGCCAGTGTTCTTCTGCGGGTAGAAAGTCGTTGTTCGATGTAGGGTAAGCCATCATTGGCTCCAATTGAGAGGAGGTATCTTCTTCGTCGTCCCACTCAAAATTGAACCTTTTCTTTCGCTTTTTGTTGGCTGTTGAAGTGTCTTTTTGGTCCAAGATAGTTTCTGGTTCTGATGGCAGACTTCGTTTGAGTGTATTGGTTTTACGCTTTAGTTCAGTTTTTTCTCGTTCTTCATCTTCTTTGGCTCTCTGGAGCTCAAGGCGCTTCTTTTTCGAAAGAAATTGAGGTTTTGCAAGTTTATGGTCTTGAGACCGTGATTTCAAGAGCTCAGCTGCATTTAATGGTCTCATGAAGAAAGATGCGAACAAAATTGAAAGATGTCCTTACATAACACAAATTGTTAATATGCTCTATATCGCTCTAGAGTACCGTATATACCCAAGCATCAACACAATAACCAAAACACATAACCCTGACGTGATTTCAAACGTCAATCGGTAACATCCAGAACCTTTAGCACAGACATATTTGCCTAAATCTGCATCCCAATCATTACTTTGCCAATCATAAACAGCTCCGAAAAGCTTCGTCATCAGAGTAAGACCAAACGTAGTACTGGTATACATGACTCCCCAAATGAAACTGTAGTTTTTCATGTTAAACAAGTCTGCTACGATGGCAGGGAAGCTTGCAAACGAAAAGCCATAGGCATAGCCAATAAGACAAGAAACAGCCAGTAGTATAATATTGGCCTTGTGAAGGTTGTGTGTGATTTGTAGCAACGGCATTGTGTTTAACAAGTGTCCAGCAAGCATTAGTGATGTACCAAGAATTACAATCCAGTGACGTTGAGACCTCAATACTCGCACCAAGTAGTCAGACTGAGGGCCCGACAGAAGACGTCCCACGAAAGAAAAGATTGCAATCAATGATACATGCAAAACTTGAAGATTCTGCAAAGAAGGAACGCTAGTAGCGTCTTCATCCTTGCTGTAAGCATAATGGACAGCTTTCAACACATATCCGACAGAGTAGATATACATTTGTCCAAGGCCCTGCATTATAGCGAACATTGCATAATGATACCAAAAGATTGGACTTTCAAGGGTCTCCTTTATTCCTAGAGCCTTTAACCGGGTTACCGAAGGTCGGAGGGTTATTGATGTGGGAGTTTCCTCAGCAGTTAAGAGGGGTTCTGTTTCCTCCAGCGGGATCTTATCATGATGACCTTCCACTCTTATAAATAAAAATCCAACGAACAACATGAGTCCACAGGACACATGCAAAAAGTAAAGAAACTGACCGGTGTCTCCCTTGAATAACTTGGAAGATATTGTCAGGTAGAGCAAACTAGAGATAGCAAATGACGCGATGGTGACGCTTTGAGCTGAGCTGCGAAAGTTGGGAAACTCAAGTACAATGGCTTTTAAGCAGCTGAAATACCCGGATACTGAACCAAGACCAACCAAGAACATAGCCACCAACAACTGGATCAAGATGTACGGTGCTCCAGGCATCATATACAACATATAGACCCATCGGTAACCCAAGGATATGGTTAAGCAGCTGAATAATATCGGCATCTGAGTACCATATTTGTCGGTAATGACTCCACTAAGCAACCCTCCAAGAGCAGTACCTAGCGTAGCACTGATATTGAGATTGGCTGTTTGCGATGCATCCCAAATTACACTTATCGGCAAGTTGTGTGTTGTAAACGGAATAGACAAATAATGTACCGGTTGCAAGAGCCACAGGTACTGATGCTGCCAACATTATCCAAGAGTTAGTGTATGGCAAGTACACATTGATGCGTTTCAACGCATTGTGGATCAAAAGCATCTAGATTTGCTGATCGGAGATGGTGATACGAATGCGAATGTATGCAAGGAACCGGTGCCTTATCAAGTTAATATTTCCGTTTGACAGCGCGAACGTGCATATACCGCTGATTGGAGCCACAGTCAGGGAAGCTGCAAATCAAGCGGGAACACATGTATCGAAGCGTTTTACACTAAATTGAGCTACCGGAACCCATATCCAACCAGAACTTAATGATCCTATTGTTAAATGTTTGTGATAAGATCCAAGCCAAGCAGCCGGAACCGCACCCGCTTTAGGCAATAAGCGCTGCGTGTTTGTACTCTGCTGATAAGAAGTGGTCAATTTGCAGTTAAATAGCAGCTAAGACTCCAATCTTAATCTAAAGTAAACTTATGACAGTTACAAAGCAATCCCACATTTTTCAAGGTACTGTTGCAGCCAGAGTTCCTCTGGTAGTTAGCGGTGATGGTATCTACATTACCGTTGAAGATCCCGAAACTGGAGAAAGAACCCAACTTTTAGATGCTATGACTGGTGCTGCCGTTGGTGCTTTGGGGTGGGGGGACCCTGAAGTGCACAAGATTATGGCCGAAGCCGCTAAAGAAACCCAATACTCTTATCCTGCGTATCTTGGAAACGACTATGCCGAAGACTTGGCTGAGTTTTATATCAATAATTCTCCCTCGGGTGCGTTTGCTTCTGCTCTCTGGACTGGTTCTGGATCAGAAGCAAATGAAAATGCTCTCAAGATTATTCGGCAATATTTCTTGGAGAGAAATATGCCCAAGAAGACCAAATTTGTTTCGAGAAACAGCTCTTATCATGGATACACAATTGGTTCCTTGTCAATTGGAAGTTCAGCACGAGCCAAGATGTTTGAGGACATTCTCTTGCCTTCTTCTCAGTGTATCAAGGTTGACCCATGCTACACTTATCGAAACAAGCTCGAAGGTGAAACCGATGAGGAATATGGAACCAGATTAATTGACCAGTTTGAACAGGTCATTTTGCGTGAAGGTGCCGATACGGTGGCAGCGATTATTGTCGAGACTCTTCCTGGCTCTTCATTAGGAACCACACCTCCCCCAAAAAATTATCTACCAGGAATTAGGGCATTGTGCAACAAATACGACGTTGTATTCATGTTGGATGAGGTGATGTGTGGAACTGGTCGCGCCAATCCCAATGGAGGATTGAACTGCTGGGAAAACTGGTTGGGCGAAGGTGAAGGCCCCGATATCCAGCTGGTGGGCAAAACTTTGGGTTCGGGATATGTGACCATTGCCGGGGTTCTTGTGAGCCCAAAGATCCATGCTGCTTATGTAAATGGATCAGGCACAATCATGGGAGCCCATACTTATTCTGGGCATGCTTTCAACTGCCGAGTTGCTCTTAAGATCCAAGAGAGAGTCAAAGAGTTGAAGTTGACGGAAAACATTTTCAAAGTTGGTAATTATTTGGGCAAACAACTCAAAGAAAAGTTATCGTCCAGTTCAATAGTGGGCAATGTTCGTGGTATTGGAGGGTTTTGGTCTGCTGAACTTGTCAAAGACAAGGTGACCAAAGAATGTTTTGACGTTGATTTGAAGGTGGGACCCAATCTTCAAAAAATTTGTTTTTCAAATGGTGTCACTGTGATGGGAATGCAAGGTTGCAATAAGGGAGTCGGAGACCATATCATGTTTGCCCCAGCATTTACCCTCACTCACGACCAAGCCGACGAGATTGTGGAGATTGTTGTCAAGTCGGTGGCTCAACTTGAGCAAAGTCTTGATATTATATAATATATGCTTATTCACTTTTTCTGCTCATTCACTTTATATGCTTCACTTTTCGCAGCCGTCACCCGCCGCATTATTTGGTCGTGCGCGCATCGTTTGTCGACGAGACAATTTTTTCAGACCCCAGACAGTTTTGCCAACGAAGGAAGTAAAGTTAACATGCCTGTAGACCCCGAAAAATTGGCTAAATTGCAACAAGGAGCCGCCAAGAAGGTTGGTGGACAAAGAGTCAAGGCCAAGAAGGTCAAGAGTGAGCAAGATGACACCAAGTTGATGGAAGCTTTGGGCAAGTTGAAAGCCACAAAAGTGAATGCCGTTGAAGAAGCCAACTTTTTCAAGGAAGATGGTAAGGTATTGCACTTCAAGCGTGTTGGTGTTCAAAGCGCTGCTCAGCACAATGTATGTGCGTTCACTGGGTACCCTCAAGAGAAGGATGTGACTCAGTTGATCCCACAAATCTTGCCTCAATTGGGAGCTGAAAACTTGGAAATCTTGAGACAATTGGCTGAACAGATCCAGGCTGGTAAGACCCCATCGATGGGCGGAGAGAACGCTGGTGCTGACGAGGACATTCCCGATCTTATTGAGGGCCAAAAGTTCGACGAAGTCGAGTAATTGTACAGAGCATTGGCCAGCAGGGCCGTCAATCCGTGAGGGCCCGTCAGGGCGTTACACCGATAGCATTGTATATAGAGTGCTAATCAACATGGTGTCTATAATGTAGCCAAGAAGAATACAACTTATCCAAGAATACACCGAAGAAAAGCTAAAGCTGAAGTGTATTCACTACACTCATCGGTATTCAGATTTTCATTCATCAGCGTTCAGATTATCATTCATAAGATAATTGTCTTTCATCGTATCCACCACAGTAATCTGCCAAGACTTCGTATTTGTCTGCGGCTTACTGCACAATATGGTTCGATGGCTGCAAGGATCTGCAGCGAAGTGGAGAAATGCCAGAATTTTGTCACGTCTTCTCCTATTTGGTCTTGGCTTGACTTTTGGTTTTCGCCGTAATTGCCGATTCCGCAACTTGGAAAATTCGCAGCCATTAATGGCGCGGTTAGCAATCGTTCTCTATTGCAATTGACTATCATTTACGGCTCAATGCCTGGGCATGTATCTTTCCTTACTTCTCCTTAGGAAGATTCTGCATTCCAAGCCCCGGCACGATGTCGGTTCGGCGTATATACCGGCTGGAATTTGGCAGCAAGCATCGGCTCAAAGCCACTTTTGCGACCACATATAAAATGCCGGAGCATCCACCCATCCCTTAAATATTTACAATTGCAACCCAATTACAAAATGACACTTTCTAAACACTTTGACGTGGAGGAAATCACCCATAAACTCCTCAATAGAACCCCAAAGACTACTCTATCCAAGGATCAACATTTCTTGTCGGCCTACGATTCCAACCAGGTGATTCCCAAATTTCTGATTCCGGAAAACTCCACCGATGCCGAACTCGTGTACAAGTATCTCCTGGAGGAATTGACATTGGATGGAATTCCCACGCTTAACTTGGCTTCGTTTGTGACCACCACCATCAATGATTTTCCTAAGCGGTTGGCGGTGGAGAATCTCACGAAAAACTTGGCAGATAACGATGAATATCCTTCATTGATCGAGTTCCAAAACAGATGTATTTCCATCTTATCCAACTTGTGGCACGCTCCTACAACCCCACATCCAGAAACTGGGGTTAGCGTTCCTACCACCATTGGTGCCGCTACCACCGGTTCATCCGAAGCCATCATGTTGGGTGGATTGGCGTTGAAAAAAAGCTGGCAATTGCGTCAGAAGGCTGCTGGAAAGTCCACCGAGAACCCCAACATTATCATGGCTTCTTGTGCTCAGGTTGCGTTGGAGAAGTTTGCTCGTTACTTTGATGTCGAAGACCGGATTGTGCCCATCAGTAAAGAGTCCCGCCATGTGATCGACGTTTCCAAAATCAAGGAGAATATTGACGAGAACACCATTGGTATTTTTGTGATTTTGGGATCTACATTTAACGGTGCTTTTGAACCAGTGGAGCAAATTGCCAAGTTGTTGGATGAGGTTGAAAAGGAAAAAGGTCTTGATATCAAGATCCATGTTGATGGGGCCCTGGGAGCGTTTGTGGCTCCATTCTTGTTCCCCAATCTCAAGTGGGATTTCGCAGTTGACCGGGTGGTTTCCATCAATACTTCGGGCCACAAGTTTGGATTGACATCTGCCGGATTGGGATGGGTGATTTGGAGAGACGCCAAGCAATTGCCCGAGAACCTTCGGTTCAAATTGGACTATTTGGGAGGAGTGGAAGAAACGTTTGGACTCAATTTCTCTCGTCCTGGGTTTCAAGTGGTACACCAATACTACAACCTTTTACACTTGGGTCGTGACGGATACACCAAAATTTTTGAAAGTTGTCAACAAAATGCCCGTTTGTTGGCAAATGTTTTAGAAAAGAGTGAGTACTACGATGTGGTCTCCGAGATTCACAAGAAAGTTGACACAAAGAGACAAGATGAGTTGTATACCTTGAAAGGAACCCGTAGTGAAAATGAAGGCTACGAACCTGGTTTACCAGTGATTGCCTTTAAGCTCAAAGACGAGATTCGGAAAAAGTATCCCGAATTGCCACAACTGATCATTTCATTGTTGTTGAGAAACAAGGGATTTATTGTTCCAAATTACCATTTCCCAGCCAACGAACAAAATGTTGAAATCTTGAGAGTTGTTGTTAAGGAATCTTTGAGTTTGAATCTTCTCGACAAATTAATGACAGACATCATTGAGTCTACGGAATTACTTTTGAACGCCTGTACCACTGCCAGGGAAATTGTTAAGCACCATGGATCAGAGAAAGAGCAACACGCGCTCATTTACGAAATTTTACTTTCAATCGCCTCAGGTGGGGTTGAGGACGTTAAGGCTGCTCAGCATGCCGCGTATGACAAGGAAGGCACCGGTCACAGAAAACACAAGAAATCGTACCGTGGAGCGTGTTAAATATGTATATGGTATTTTTATGGAAATGGGTAGCAACCTTATGTAAGTGATCACCCGTACTCCGCAATATATAAGGAGATGCGGCACCGAAAAATATATTCCTTCCAATTGCTATGGCACATTCTGATTTAAACAGTCACAAGGTTTTCACCATTGTTTCCTGGGTGTTATCGGTTTATGGTACCCTCAGATACCTCGTGGGACGTTCTCCTGCTGACAAGCATAATGGATTCCATGTAAATGATACTCCATTCACCGCCAACATTCTTGTTACTTTTATCTACTGGGTGGTTTTGTTCTTGATGCAATTGCTGTTTGTGAGCCAGGTATTTGTTCCTGCTGCCAACAATGAGGGCGATGCTCGGTTGGACTACTCGAGAAAGGTGGGATGGCATTTCACTCTTTTCAACGTGGGCCACTTTTTGTGGTCAATTTTGTTTGCTCGCAAGCATTTTGTGTGGAGTGAAATCGTATTGATCCTCAACTTTTTCAACATCTTGTCATTGTATGCCACTCACAAAACTTATTCGATCAAGCCATTGAAGGTTTGGGCATTGATCCATCTTCCAACCGCAGCACTCCCCTTCTCGTGGTTGTTGCTCGCAATCTTCTGGAACGGAGCAGTTATGTTCCACGTCCACAAGTTTGTGGGCCGTGTGGTGAGCAATGTGCTTATTTGGGACTTTTTGCTTGCTCCCGGCTTGTTGTTGGTGGCCTATAACGATTGGGGTGTCGGATTCAGTTCTGCCGCACTCATGTTTGGGTTGGGTTTGGGCCAATTTTTCACCAAGGTTTTCGCTTTGCAATGGATTTTCGCCTTTGTGATTGCCGGCGTGTTGTTTGTGTTGAGTGCAATTGCTGCCATCACCGGCTCATTGGGCACCTCCAGAGCCGTTGTTGACGAAGAAGCCCCCTTGTTGACATGATATGATCCTCAGTTTTATTTACATAGTTAGTTTTATGTACCTTTAGGCTGAACCATTTTTTTGATCATTTGTTGCCTCACCACTTCTGGTGACCGGTTCATGGCTACTGCGGTATACGTCAAAAGACTGTCGTGTTGTCCAAGCGACGCATATGTGTCCCTATGAATATTGGTTACAAACTCTTCGCGGGGAGTGTCCGGGTCGCCGAGGCCAATATATCGGGCTTTATTGGCCGAGTAAAGCCTGGCGTCTTTAACCTTGTCAGCCATGAAAAAAGAATCCGCGCCCAGCCGAATTCAGCGCGATGGCGTGGGGTAAGGCGGTGTGCAGGAGCGGCGATCCGGGGCAGGAATCAAAGAAGTAGGTACTATACGACACATTAAGTTCTACGTTCAAAAAGGGGAACATAAAAAGACGGAGTGAACGAGAAGTATGCAAAAAACTAGACAAAAATCTGTTTTTGTGGTTGCTTTTAACCTTTGTACCTTTCTCAGCCCCCCCTCACCGGTGTCCGGGCGTGGACGGCATTCGTTCCAAAGGTGGGGTTGAATGAGGAGGTAAATGTTGGCCGGGCTCCACACGTCACGCTGCGTGAATTCTGGGGTACAAACTTTTGATTCTTTTTGAGGTCCATCAGTTGAATTTTTAAACACCCACCATCCCATTGGTGCCCGCCGTATCTCTAGTTATCAAGTCGTGCCTTCACCACAGATAGCCGCTGCAATTTGATAAACTATCTGCCTGCCCAATTTGAAATTCAATTTCGATTTTACATTTCCGATTTACTTTTTTCATTTTACATTTTTAAGGGCTTCCTTTTTCATTCACCACGACTCCGATAAACTACACTGTGATGTCCGTACAGCGGAGATCTTCTGGATTATTCGCCAAACCTTGTGGTAAGCCACCGGGGCGCAAAAAGTCAATGGGAAACCGGTCACAATCTTCGACTCTTCCCTTCGATGTCAAACTGCTAGTCAACGATAACGACGACGCGTCGTTGGAGGTGTTCAAAATGTACCATCACAAGCATTATTTACCACATAATCAGCGTATCGCCAATATCGCTTGGCGAATCCAGAACAAAAAATTATTGGAACGCTTACAAACCGCACCTCCAACGGTCCCCACACAAGCTGATATCTTCTCAGACCCGTTCTCGTCATCGCTGACCGCTCAAGAACCATCGCTTCAGTTCTTCAACGATCCCAATTTTGACGAATTTGATTATGTCGCCCATATCCGCCGCATCAGCCAAGAAGTATACGGTCAACCGGGACTGGAAAAAGTGGTACCAGTAGAGGACCCGGGCCTCTGCTCTCCCGACTCCAATCCAAACTCTCTTGCATCGCAAACCTCATCGCTTTTTTCCAGCTCGGTGCCCAAGTCCGCTCATTCTAACACCCAGGCCGATTTGGCCCCACGCAACGACGACGGCAACATTCTTGCATCGTACATCGATTCACTCGAGTCTTCCATCAAAAAATCGGAAAATAGCCCCAAAAAATCGTTCCAGTGTAACAACTGTCAAACCCGCACCACCCCGCTTTGGAGAAGGGCCAATAATGGAGATCTCTTGTGTAATGCATGTGGTTTGTTCTACAAGCTCCACGGTGTATTACGACCGGTGCAGAACAAATTTACACCCAAGGATCAAAACCAACCAGTAATTCGTGATGATTCAATACTGCACAACAACATGAGTCTTTTCAATAATCTCAAGCATGAACATATAAGTCCCGATATTGTATCCCATCACCATCACTATGATACCGAACCACAACCTCCTCCACAACAATCCTACGAAAATGGTGAAATCGACAACATGCTCAATATGAACATGTTTGAGTCGGAAAATGTCCACAAGGCTAATAATGAATGGAACTGGCTTGATTTTGATCCAGTACAGTAATAGATGCGTATAGAACTAATTGGATTCGTATTTAACTATTCCCTTTTTGCCCGACTTGATCACTTGAAGGTACAAATCAAGAAGATTACCGTCTTTAAACTCCAATAATGTAGCAGGTGGAACCTGTAATTTACCCAGCTTATACAACTTGATAACGGCATTCAAAGTATCGATCTTCAGTTGTGGATTCCTCTTTGTGTTTCCAGTAAGAAAGTAACCATGAGTGGTCAAGTTGTTATACTGCTGCCATCTCAGTGGATAAGTAATGGGATCATTAGTCAATGCTCCGTAGGTTACCATGGCTCCATCAGGACTCAACATGAGAAAAAGAGCCGTAGCCAGTGCTCCACCAAGACAATTGATAGCGAGTCTGACGTTTCCACCATTGAAAATTGATTTGAGTTCATTGTTGCGAAATTGTTCAGATTGAGCTTGTTCCTCGGTGATGACCGCGGTAGCTCCAAGCAGTTTGAGTTCACTAACAATCTCGTCGTGGTTTGGTTTTCCTCCACGAATAACCGACAAGACATTGACATTCAACAAGCGAGCAAATTGAGTCAAAAACTGGGCTACATGTGAACCTCCGGCATTTTGAACGATCCAATCTTTTCCATCAGAATTCCAGTCTTTGACGTAATTGTGCACCAATTGGTACGCAGTAGGTGGATTCACCGATAACGTGGCACCCTCAATTTTTTTCAAACCACCTTCTCCGGCACTTTTCACCTTGAAAAGAGGTTCAGGTCCTCCCTCTGGATAATCTACAAGAACATGGGTTCTCCAGGTTCCCAATCTACCAGAAGTCAAAATAACCCAATCGCCTTCAGAATAACCCTTAATGTTCTTCCCTACCTTGGTAACCTCGAAAACACCCTCGTTTCCAGCCACGTGAACAACCGGGTCAGTTTCGGACAACTTTACTTTGGGTGGAAATGCTCCATAGACCCCTCTAATCAAGAGCAAATCTGAAGGATTGATGGGGGTTGCAAGTGTTTTTAAGAGGATTTGATTCAGTTCCACGGCACTTGGAACCGTGAATTTAGTCACTTCCAAATCCTCCACATCTTTGGTGTGGTCTCCATATGTAATTGCAGACATGTAAATTAGTGGAGATAAAGTTAGTAAGCACCTAGTACATGCAGTCCGGAGCTCGGAGAAGCCTGTTTTTAGCCGATTATCGATTCTGTCTTGGCCTGTATACACCGATGCTCGTCTCGCAAAACGATGCTCATTTTGCCTGCATACCTAGGTTCCCGTGGAACCCATTAGTCATAAAGCACGACTAAAAATATGCAGTGGTTCCTAACTTTATTTCATTGTGAAATTTAGTGCCCTTGAACGCACAGCCTTGATGACCAACAAGATCAAGAAAAATCGCCATAAAAAAACCTTCCGAATCCCAACCGGTCACCTTTATACTCATATCATCTTCTCTTCTCTTCCTCCTCTTCCTTTTCCTTCTCTCTCTGCCCCCTGGCTCGCTTCGCTCGGGTTTAGTCCCTTCGCACATGCGGGTGTTTGGCTGTCGCGTGTTTACCATATACCCGCATCGGGAACTTTTAACTTACGAAGAACAGCCACCATCCTTTGTCTATGGCCAAAAACCACCACCCAGCAATTCTAGGGCCCTGCCTAAACTAAAAAATAGGATTTCAACCCTGGATTTCTCACCAACATACCTCAAACATCCTGCGTCCCGCCCGTAACGACAAATCTAATTATAGCGCCGCATCGCCGCCGCAAAGAAAAAACATTCTTTCCCACGTTACCAATTATATCTTAAGGATATGGGACTCTTTTCGAAGCTCAAGGAACAACCCCGTCCTTTCTCCCATAACCGCAACAACACACTTTCCTCGGTTGGTGACTTTCTGCTGACAACTTCCAACTCGTCGTACTCTTCAACCGACTTGCATACCACCAAACAGCCTATTGACTCCGTCAATAAGGTACCTCTCGCTCTCCAACCGGCCTCAGATATTCCGGTGGTGACTCAATTGCTGCCTGACCCTCGGGGTACTCATAGAACGTCTCCACAACCATCCCCATACCGGGGCACTTCGCCTCAAGCTTCGCCTCAAAGTCGAAGAGGACCGGCCTACCAGGCGCAGCCATATAACGGTCCTGTCAATCTGCATTTCCAGCTGGGAAACCAGCCGGTTCCGGTATCTGAACTGGTCCATCAACCGACTCAAGTTCCACAAGTTCCTCTGGCCTCTCAAGTCTCGCAGGTTCTTCAGGTTCCTCAGGTTCCGGCTCCTCAGGTATCTCAAGCTCACCATGTACAGAGCCCAGCCTACATTCCTGCCGTAGTGGAAGCACCGGCATTGGCATCTGCCTCTGGCTCGGTAGACTCCAATGAAGTATCGGCAACCGGGTCGGAAGAATCGGACGATTCCGACGAGGATGCAACGTCAGAAATAGCTTCTGAGTCTGGATCTGGTTCTGAATATGAAAGCGAATCGGAAACCGATTTGGCTCAGGAAAATGGTATTCCCAGAGACCACCCATACTACGAACAATGGAAACAATACTATGCCCAATTGGCTCAAAGACAGTCACAAAACTATCCAGCTATGGGATACGCCAACCCAATGATGAAACCACAAATGACGCAAATGAACCAAATGACGCAAATGAACCAAATGAACCAAATGAACCAAATGAATCAAATGAACCAAATGAACCCGCAAATGTATCATCTTATGAACCAGATGCAGATGAATCCTCAGATGAATCAGATGCAAATGAACCCGCAGATGCAAATGCAATTCAGCTACTTTATGCAACAATTTATGATGCAACAACCACAAATGATGCAAATGATGCAACAGCAACAGTACCCCATGACGGCTCCAAGACCACCTTATTCGTCTTCTGGCTCACTGTCTCCTAAGGTTCCACATTCAAGACTGATGCTGCTGCTTCAATCTGCATCCAAAAAACGCAACTCCATAGCTTCAATGAAGCCCGATACAGACAGCTCGTTGCTACGTAATTCTCGCATGTCGAGTATCAAGTCCAACCGTTACCCTTCTGTCCCACTGAGTGTACATCAATCTGCCCTGATTGCTGGTGAATCTAGAAACAGAGTGTCTTCCTTAGACCTCAACTTCAAGCCCAAGGAGTTTACCCCATACAAGGATGAGAACGATGCATTGGCGGAAGAGACAGAGGACTCTGCAGATCCAGGAAATGAACAATTGAAACGTTACATTTCTGACTACAGCAAATATCTTTTCGATGAAGATAAGGAAAATGCTGATAAGCTGGATCTTTCACCGCCTAAAGTCGGAGTTGAAAGACAGGAATCTAATGCATCTACTGCTTCTTACAATTCAATTCAAAGTGGTGCCTCATCAAAATTCAGAGTGGGTTCAATCTCGGAAAGGTCAAGCAAAATTGCCAAAGATCTCAGTAACATGCACATTGCTTCGATGGAGAACGAGAAGAAAACTAAGAAAAAGCACAATTACGATAATAGAAGAAAAAGAGAGCTGATAATAGACCAGACGAGATCATCTAACCCAAACTTGTCAGATATCATGACTCCTCCTATGAAGCCAATTTCGGTCCCTGGGTCAATTAGTAACTCTCCGGTAAGCCCCATGCAGCCTATGCCAGTAGGTCAATACCCAATGGCTGAATATCCGTACCCAGATTACGACAGGCGCCATACCATGCCTGACTTCAATAGAATGTCAATGATGATGCCACCAATGACACAAATGCCACCAATGGGTAGCATGAGTCCTGGAAATCGAATGAGTATGACTCCGGGTACCACAGGTCGCAGAAGAGAAATGCTGCCCAAGGTCAAGACCGGAGACGAGATCATACACAAAAAGATTGAAGAGTTCATCGAGTTACGTCAATTAATTGCTTCAGGCAAAAAGTCCTCCGAGTTCAGGGTTAAATGGCTCAAAATGTTGATTCGTGCTACGAATTATCGAGTTTATGCTTACATTAATATCAAGGGCGATCCTGTTCTGGCAGACCAGGTGAGTTACAACAAAAAACAGTTTATCAAGTCCAGCATTACTCATTTGGAAAAGTTGGTGAAAGAGCTTGATAATAAACACAAGATGGAGGATTTGGAGTCTGAAGTATATTACATTCAGGGTTGTCTCTTGATGGGTGATTATCACTACACATACGGCCAAGATTACAATATGACAAAAGACATTTCCCAGGCCCTCGAATCTTTTGAGAGAAGCCTTTCTCAAAATGCTAACAATTTCAAAACGTTGTACAAATTGGGAGAGCTTTATGAACGGGAGTTTCCTGACCGGTTCGACACTGCTGTGAATTATTTTAAGAGTTCTGCCAAGCTCGGATACAATCGTGCTATTTACAAGATGGCTATGTTGTACCTCGAAGTTCCAGAGCTTCGATCTGTCAAGTATTTCAAATTGTTGCGCCAACTTGCCGACATTGATTTGGAATCGAAGGACATCAATTTGACCGCAGAAGATCGCGACGAGCTCGAAGAAGTTGTTGGCATGGCTGCGTATCAGGTTGGTAAACTTTATGAGGGCATTTACCCTGGCGACTTGACGGAAGATGAACCTTTTGTCGTTCAGTCGCTAGAGCGTGCTCCCATCAGCTATACCAAGAGTCTCATGTTCTACAACCGCAGTGCCAAGCTCAACTGTATTCTTGCCCAAGTAAAGCTCGGAACTGTTTATGAAAATGGAGATTTAGGTCGCCAGGTCAATCCCCACAAATCAGTGCAGTGGTACATGCTGGCGGCTTCATCGCCTCTTTCGTTCCGTCGTCATCAAGACGCCATGTTGGGACTCAGTAGATGGTGTTTGCACGGCACCGATGGTCTCAGCAAGCACATACCAAGTCCAAATCCAGATAAAGCAGTATGGTGGTGCGAGCAGGCTCTTGATGAGTTCCAACTGGCTGATGCTTATTTCTTTATGGGCCACTTGTGTGACATTGGTTTAACTGGAAGAGATCCTCGAGTCTTTTATAAGCGAGCTCTCGATTTGGGACATCCCATGGCCGCTTCAATGCTCCAACAAGAGCAAGAATCATAGCAAATCATTGCAAACTATAGCAAACTATAGCATTATTAGCTACTAATCTACATTTAGTTCACCTACTAACATTTCGCTTTAACTCACTAACTTGCATCTAACCTTTCTCTAAATCTATTCTTCTATCTTCGTTCCTGTATACTGCTCGAGATAACTTATCAGTAGCCCCGCTGCGAACGGCCCCAACAACTTCTTCGTCGCTATAGATGTCTCTGCCGAGAAATATAGCTCCGTCTACGACAGAAGCCGACCCAGATAGGCGGCGGTCGCTTGCTAAACTCACGAGATCACCTCTCTCGATATCTCCTAATTATAACTCGGGAAGCCGTGCAGGTTCGTTTTCCAATTCTTTCAAAAACAATCAATTTCTCCACAACAAATCACCTCTAGGCGATGGTATGCCTCGTGAGGGTTCTCCTGGATCAAATGAAGTTGCAATTGAAGATATTGGACCCGAAGAACCAAATCCTGAGGATTTCTCTTATGGTCTACAAGATCCAAAGTTGATGGGAACAGCGTATAGACACGTGGGTTCGGACCCGCTTAAGCACGAAGGCGGTGATATCAGCCATGGAATCTATAAATTTGCAAAGGATAAGCCTCGTCGCTCACATAGCTTTCTGTCGTTGCAATCTTACGAGAGACGGGGCTCATCAGCGAGCTCGCTAAATGTTCCGGGAGGGTTTCGAAGAAACTATGTATTGAGCCATCAACACGGCACAATTGCTAGACAGACTCCTTCTGTTTTCACGAGAAATTTCATCGAATTCTTGTCGATTTACGGCCATTTCGCAGGTGAAGATTTGGAGGACGATGATGCGGTGATCTGCCATTATGAGTATAACAAAACCACGATGGATGAAGAGTCGGCGCTACTATTGGACACAGCCGAGTTTAATCCTCGAGGAACAGCCACCGACCGCAAAGCATACTTTCTCCTCCTCAAAGCTTTCGTAGGAACTGGGGTCTTGTTCTTACCAAAGGCATTTTCCAATGGTGGTCTTCTCTTTTCAATTGTGGTCTTATCTACGTTTGGATTTTTATCCTACTGGTGCTACTTGATCCTAGTACTTGCTAAGAGAGCAGTTCGTGTTTCCAGTTTTGCTGATATTGGCCTTAAACTATACGGTCCATGGCTCCAGAACTTGATTTTAACCTCGATTGTGATTTCGCAAATTGGGTTTGTTGCCGCCTACATTGTCTTCACGGCTGAAAACCTCCGTGCCTTCTTGACTAATGTTTTTGGCTACCAAAATTTGGATATAAAATGGATCATCATTCTGCAACTTGTTTTCCTCATGCCGGTGTCTCTTGTTCGAGACATCACCAAGCTCTCACTTCTGTCGGTTTTGGCAAATGTTTTCATATTCACCGGCCTCATTGTCATAGTATACTTTACACTCTTCTCACTAGTTTTTGAGAACCAGTTGACTCCTGGCGAAGGTATTTATTACCTTGTTAATAAAGACGAATTCTCTCTCTTTATTGGAGTCGCAATATTTGCGTTCGAAGGAATTGGTTTGATCATTCCAATTGAAGAGTCGATGATACAACCTAGCCACTTCCCTGCTGTTCTTGCAAAAGTCTTGGCAACAGTCTCCGTCATTATGGTTTGTATTGCATCGTTGGGATACATGACTTTTGGAGCTCACACTCGGACAGTCATTCTCCTCAACCTTCCACAATCTTCCATCTTCATAATCGCAACCCAATTGTTATACTCAATTGCCATTTTGTTATCAACTCCACTCCAGCTTTTCCCGGCCATTCGGTTAATCGAGCTGAAGATATTCATAAGAAAGGGCAAGTATTCCCTGTCGATCAAATGGGGGAAAAATATGTTTAGATGGGCGTTCATACTTATCGTTGCATTAATAGCGTTGTTTGGAGGGAAAAACTTGGACAAGTTTGTATCTTTCGTTGGGTGTTTCGCATGTATTCCTTTGGTTTATATGTACCCACCAATTTTGCATTTAAAAAGTTGTTGTGACTACAAGAATGCCACCGATCCTCAGGATAAGAACCGCAAGTTCTGGATGAGCATTGTAAACTATATCTTGACGATACTAGGGGGGCTTTTATTTTTGTACACAACCTATGACATTCTTACTTAACTTAATAACATGCTTCATTAATGACTAAATTACTTTTCGGAGAAGAAGTTGATGAGAAACTCACGCATGTTATGGATGGAGTTTTGCAACTGTACTTTGGCTTCCTCAGTCTGACCGTTAATATTCTTACGTTCACTTTGTACCTTATTTGTGAGCTCAATGTGTTTTTCATACAACTGGGGGAAATGCAGTTGTTCATAAGCAGTTATCTTATCAGCGGTTGCAATATATGAATGTGGCATAAAATACTTGTAAGCCACACCTCCAAACACAATTGGGGTGAAGAACCTTATGGGGAGCATTCGTCTATTGACGAGAATGGAACCGGTCAATGCTGAAGTCAACACAAAAATACCCGCTGGTAATACCGGCTCTTTTATTACGGATTTGACTTCATCTGAGAGATTCCTGAGTTCATTGGAAACTGAGGAAAACTGAGTAGATAATTCTGCTCCGTAGTATGACAAATTGTCGTGCAAAACAACTCTGGCTTTATGGGCATACTTCTCCAATATAGGGAAAGTCCGCACTTCCATTCCATTGACGAAGCCTACAATTCCGTGTGATCCTTCTTGCTCCTTCAACTGTTCGTTGATCTCGGCATTGTAGCCTGGTTTCGTTACAATTCGCTCGTCGTTTTCATAAAATGATCGTGCCATACTAAAGCTTAAAATCGCTATTCTCACCAAAATGTTGATCACTGATTGGAGTGCGACTGCACGTGACAGGTTTTACAGTTACCAAAATCATAGGTACTATTTCTAATTACTTTTTCTTACCAAACAAGCCCTTCTTCTTCTTTGGCGAACTGTCCCAAGTATCCTTGTTTGCACTAGAAAGACCTCCAAGAGGTTTGGCGTTGGCATCTGCCACAGGTACCTGCAAGCGCACACCATTGGACGCTTCATCGCTTGTCTTTGGAGTGTCACCAGTATTCATTGAAGATGTGCTGGAAACATTGGAGTTGGGTAGTTGAAGAAATTGCTGTGAAGAGGCAGCTCGTGGAGGCTGCTGATGTGTATGTTGAGGTGCCAACCCAGTAGGTCCAGCAGGTGCTCCAGAAGCTCCTACAGAAGCTCCTCCAGGCATTCCTCCAGCAATTCCATAACCACCATAAGATGCGCGGCCCAGATGTTGTGGAGCCATAGGTTGCATAGACCTGTGTTTGTTCACAGGTTGAGGATTTGCACCAGGCATTCCTCCACGGCCACCTACCTCCAAGCCAGCAGTTCCCATTTGTGGAAGAGCGGAACGGCGATTGGGACGTCTCAGTTGAGTTTTGAATCTAGATTCCACTCCTGGGTCTATAGGTGCAGCATACTGAAAGCTGGGCTCATTGTAAGAAGGAAAACCTGGAGGAGGTTGATTATACTGGAAATTGGGTGGAGGTCCTTGATAATGGGACTGATACTGACCATGATATTGGCCCGAGTTCTGTGGAGGGAATGCCTTTTGCTGGTCGTAGTATGAATAGCTGTTGGGAATGGACTGCTGCCTTTGCTTGACGTACCCTTGTGGTGGTCCTTGTGGAGGTCCAGTATACTGTTTGGGCATTCCTCCAATGGAATTAACTCGTAGATTTGGTGGAAGTGCGTTCGGAGGCATTCCATTGGCAGGTAATCCATGAGGTGGATGTTGGTCCATTGGTGATTGTTGGTAGCCATTTGGTAAGTTTGGTACATGGCCATTCATACCATGCTGCTGGTTTAAACGAGTATCAACACCCAAGCTTTGAGCTCTGTCAATGCGTTGTTCTTGTCCTCTTTGCCCTTGGTACCTGAATTCTTGATACCTGGGATCGTTTTGGTAGCCTGAAAATTGAGGTTGAACTGGCTGTTCGTCATGGGGAAAACTACCAGGAATAGAATTGTTATGCGCTGGTTGAGACTGGTCTTGTTCCCGAGCAGTTCCATTATTATAGTTTCCCACCTCTTCGGCAGACATAAATGTATCCTGTGATCTTGGTTGCAGTTCTCCGTTCAAGGCAGCTCCGTATAATGCTATATCTGCCAAATCACGAAGGTTTTCGTTGGGGACAGTCATAGTAGAGTCCCTTGGATTACTCTTCCTAGGACTCTTTCCATTAGCCACTTTGCTATGGGGCAGTTTATGTGGCAGTTCTGGGACTTTCGGACCAGTCGATTGGGCAGCAAGCTTTTGGTTCTGCTTTTGAAGCTCTTCTTCCTTGGCAATCAATTCAGAAACACGGCGCTGATGATTAACGTTATATTCTTCAAGTTCACGTTTTTTAGTTTCATAGCTCTTTTGCTGTTGATGTACATCGACCTTGAGACTTTCGAGTCGATGATTCAAGTCTGAAAGTTCGGACTCAAGAACGTTCTTCCTGTGATCTTTTTCAGAAATATAGGACGTTATGCTCGCTTTTTTCAGTTCCAATTGTTGTACTTGTTCGTTTAAGGCATTGAACTCGCTCAATTTCGCATCAAAGTCCGCATCAAGTTGATTCATTCTTGCGTTGTTGAATCCAGGAGTCTTTCTGACGAAAAAAATCGACTCTGAGTTTTCGGAATTGAGTCGGTTCAATTGACACATTGTTGAGTAGAGGTTCTCCAAATAAGGAGTTTTGACACCGTGATCATCCCCGAGGAGGATAGGCTGCAACAAAAGCAAATCGAGCTCCATGTCTAGACGATGGTAAAATTTATAAAACAAACTGGGTGATTGAATTAAATCGGCATTGTCAGGAACACTGGGGTAGCACCTGGACCAGTTTTTCATCAAGTTCTGTTCATTTTCAAAACCCTTGACTAATTTACAGTCCATCTTTTTGATGATTTTAAAACACTCGTTGATAATACCTGTGATCAAAGGTTTACAAAGTATCTGAGCCGCCAATCCTTGAGGAAACTCAGTTTCAAATATGATAGATAAGGGACTGAAAACGATGCGAGGAAGGGCAAGTTTCCATTGGTAGGTCATGAACTCGTTAGGATTGGTAGATTTTAGCAACGCGAGAGCTCCATTGGAGTCTTCTTGCGCTAATTGGAACAATTTGAAACATCTTTTAAAACTTGGTGCAGATGCAAGCAGCTTATTGGTGGCCGTTCCCAAATAGATTCTATTGTCCTCTGCTCTCACCTGATGAACAAAATGATTGGGAGACAACTGCTTGACATCAGACTCATTCATGATCGATCCCACGCGGATGTTCAGGCGTGAAGGTAAGGCACTAGATACAAACGGTTCTAGATTTACATACCCTGTACTCTCCACAAGAACTATAGCTTCGTCCGAAAGGTAAGGGAGGAGACTGGCGCATGAACTTTGAAAGTCTTGTAGCGACGAGCAACAAATAATGGCGATATCAAACTTGATGGAACCTTTCACGATTTGCGTCAACGTCTGCGAGCATCTGTAGGGATGGTACTGGTTTGCCTTACCAAAAGCTGACGAGCTCCAGTTAATGGACCCGGCATCTATGGATGGGTTCACTATGGAGACGCTACAAGCGCCGGTATTCTGTAACCTCCAGGCATAGAAAGCAAGGTTAGGGTTTGATCCGAGAGTAAGTACCTGCAAACTCGACATTTCTAGCACAGTATAAGAGAGCCAACTTTAGTATTGGGATCAAGATGGAAAAAAAATTGGATGAAATCTGCAAAGAATCACTGGTGATTCAACAATAGATATTTATGGAGCTGGCAACACAGTATAAGCGAAGGAATATGTAGGCTTGCCTCGGTAGCTATGGGAATCTAAATCAAAATGGGACAATATGTAGCAAACGCAGGCAACAAATATTCCGTATTTGCAAAGTCACACGCTCAACGTACTAGTTGTAAAAATTGCAGAGGGGACACCGGTGCAAGGTTGCGATCCCCATATTGGGGGCAGTGTTTTGTGCGTACAGGAGCGGTTGGCGAAAAAAAGAGGCTGAAAATTGGGTTTCTACGAGGTGGGCAGGGTGCAGATTTAAAGATTATATTATAGTTGAATATCATTGTGATCCATTCCTTAGTATCTATTCCAACGAATAGTATCATGCTATTTATAGCCCCAGTAACGGAAAGCGCGGCCGCGATCAAAGGTGGCAGTAGTGTATGTGAACCCATAATTGCTGTTTTTGTGCCCGCGAAAAATAGAAAATCGCGGGTCTAATGATTTGGCGGTACAGGAACGGGTAGTTAGGCTAGCAGTGAAGCTAAGAATGCGCGGGCACCTTATATTGATCGAGGGCCTAGATAGGTCTGGAAAGACGACGCAAACTCAGATTCTTCACAATGCGATACCGTCTTCATCGCTCATCAAGTTTCCCGACCGGTCGACAAACATCGGCACAATAATTAACCAGTACTTGACGGACCATAATTTTTCACTTTCTGACCAAGCGGCCCATCTCCTCTTCAGTGCTAATCGATGGGAGCTAGCGGCGTCAATTGAGGACCAATTGCAAGCGGGCCACACCGTAATCATGGATCGGTACATATACTCGGGCATAGCGTACTCTCTTGCCAAGCTGGAAACGTCGTCACTGCCCGAAATGGCCAGTGTGGAGTGGTTATACGCGCCAGATCGGGGCTTGCCCAAACCAGACGTGACGATATTTTTGACCCTTGATATAGCGGAAATGGCGGCTCGAAAAAGTTGGGGAGAAGAACGGTACGAGCAAACTAAATTTCAAGAGGTGGTGAAACGGTGCTTTCTCAAGGTCTTGGATCCGCACGCAGACCCCTCGGTGGTCATTGTCGACGTCAACAAGTTGGGTATAGACGAAGTTGCTCTGAAAATTTGGACTGTTGTCGAGGAGCGCCAGCTTCATCAGCAGACTGAGGTGCCGTTGGCTCGGCTCTCGTAAATTAAGCAAGACCATCAATATATTGCAACCGATCCAAAATCCGCTGCTTCAGGATCTCCTGGATCTCGCCGCCCAAATAGATCTCATCTAGAATAGTGTAAAGTTTGTGGAAATTGAACACCAAATCAAGTTCGCAAACACTGTCGAAATAAGTATCCAATATTTCCACCATAAAGTGTAGCGATTCAAGGTAACTCAACTCGCTGTCGTCGAGGTCGATTCCAGCAACAAAGTAGAGTCCAGCATACCTTCTATAAACAAGTTTGATGTTTTGGAACTCAACAAAGTTGGACTGGTGCCGCAGATCCCGTGTCGATATAAGCCTATGAACCTCGGAAACTATTCTTTGCTTGTCTTGGTTGTGGTATCTACAGTCGAACCACTTGATAAGTCTGGACTTCCCTTGGCGATTTAACACCACTATGAACCGAATTGACATTGAAAAGAGTGCGATTCGCAGTCGATAAAGTCGCGGAGTCGCATTCATTTCGCATTCATTTCGAATTCGCAATCGTTACTATCTAGAAAGTAGACGTCATGAACGACGAAGAAGACTACACCGCACAATATGAGATCCGCGAAGGGATAATCTTTCTCATTGAGCTTTCCCCAGCGATATTTCGTCCATTAGTAGAACTTGGTGGTCGGTCTCAATTTTTGGAAATACTCTCCAGCATCAACGATTTAATGTCTGAGCTTTTAATCACGGTTCCAAGCACCGGAGTTGGTATCTACTTGTACAATTGCAGTGTTACCGGCCGCAAGTTTCCCCGAGATTCAGGAATGGAACGTATTTTTACATTGAATGATATCAACTCCACCAATATGAAAAACTTGAACGACATGATTCAGGACCATATTGATAATGTAAAGATATTGGATGAGCGATTTCCTCCAGCTGAGGGAAGTCTAAAACTCTCTTCAGTTCTAAACACTATTTTGGACGAGTTCCATGGAAGGTCTCATTATAATGTCAAACGAATGGTATGGATAAGCAATAATGACAAGCCGTTCAATGATGATGGATCACCAGAGGGCGAGAAAATCAAACAAAATTTGTGGAAAATGATCAACAACTACGAAGAGTACAAGATAAATATTAGCCCCATATTCATGGACCCTCCTAGCGACACCGAACCAAAGCCATTTGATATCTCGATCTACCAACAAATCTTCCTCAACACAAACTACCTCAACCGCCAAAAACAATCAAGAGAAACCGAAACTTACTACGACACATTTTTCGATGGTCTTTCTGAAGAAGCAAATCAGACTACTGTAGCTTCGCAAATACGAAGTGCCATTTTGAGACTCAAGGAAATCAAACGTATATTATTTTCATGCGACTTGATTCTTGGTGATAGTAATACTGATATTGCCGGAAGACTTGCTTGCTCAATTAAGGGCTATGCACTATATGGACATGAAAAACTAAAGAAATTCAAGCATTTACATCATGAGGGAGAGAATTTACGAGTGGTTCAACTTGACTCCAAAACGGTGGATGATGCAACTGGACAGGAAATTCAGTATAATGATGATAAGCCTACCTTAGCAGAAAAGCAAGATGAGGCAGGGGTTAGAAGAGGTTTTGATATCGGCGATAGTGAAGTCCTTTTCTTGAATTCGAAACAACTCGATTTCTTAAAGAATTATACCTTTGATCATGATCCTGAAAATCATGAAGTAGTTACCAAAGATATTGGTGATATGGCTGGGGAGGAGGAGAAAGAGTCAGCACCCACCTACTCGTCTCCACCTTACCTAAAGTTGCTAGGATTCAGGGCAACTGAAAACTTTGAACCATACTACACCTCATCTGCCCCAGCACTTGTAATGCCAGACTTTGACAATGGGTTAAAAGCTGCCTCATCCAAGGGTGGGTTCAGCAACTCCTATTTAACTCTCGCCTCGCTTTATCGTTCTTGTGTTAAGCTAGGCCAGTTTGCTGTTGTATTTGGTTGTATAAAACGCAATTCGCTGCCTTCGTTATTTGCTCTTTATCCAACAGGAATTTCAATGTCAAAAAGAAGTATTCCACACGATAAAGATTTCCCAGAGGGCTTTCTACTTGCTCGTATGCCATGGCTCGATGACATACGGCTGTTGCCTGACTACTTATTGAACGATTCCACATTTCATCACGAAAAAGAAGAACTGTCCATCCCGCCAGAACTTGTAACAAAGTTCAAAAATGTCGTTGGGCTGTTTTATTTGAACCACTATAATCCAGGAGAGTTTGCCAATCCCTCAGTCAATTACTTCTACAAAGTCATTAAACACGAGCTTCTTCAAATTGCTTTAAGCGACGAATCTCGCTCTCCGCTCAACAACGATCAAACCTTACTGAGACTAGATGATTTACGGGAAGCTATTCAGCTGACACCCAAACTTTTGAATGTTATTAGTGAACTAAGACAACATTTACTCAACTTAGGACCTGTATCAAGGAAAAGAACTAGTCAAGAACCCCATAATGCTGCAAACAAAGCACAGAGACCTGCTCTTACAGAAGAGTCTGTGCTCACTGCGTGGAAAACTAACGATTGGACCAATTTCAATGTTCCTCAGCTTCGCGAATTCGCAAAGAAATATCCGGGTCAAATAAAGTCCGGTACCAAGCGTCAAGACATCATCGATAATATTTCCGAGTTTATAGCTAGTAAAAGTAAGTGATACGGCTATACTACTGTTGTACTTTATAGGCGCTAATATTGGCTTCCTCACCTAAAAATGTCCCAGTGGCCGAGTGGTTAAGGCGACGCCCTGCTATCAGCAGTTTAGGCGTTGGGTTTTACCTGCGCAGGTTCGAATCCTGTCTGTGACGTGATTTTTTTTCTCGAAAGACAAATTGAATTAAGAAAAAAAATGATATGATTTATATGTATTTAATCATCAAGAGCCTCTAACTTGTACATATGAACTTCCACAAGAAAATTGTATCTTGCCTGCAATTTCTCACTGATTGGTATAATGAGGCCCCGTTCTTGTATGTTAGGACTCCCCACAATGTCGTATGCACACCACAACGGATGGTCATTATCATGTCCAAAATTGCTTTGCTTGTACCATGATTGGCGTGGTTCTCTATAATCTTCCTCAATGATCGGTTTCAATAGATCAATGGGTCTAAAAATTTCCTCCATGAATAGAGGATTTCGATCTAACTTTTCAACAGTATTGGTGTTCTCTTCTTCCACTTCAACTCGAGTACCATCTTCCTGCTCTTTCAAAACCTTCTCTTTACTGGTGTATTTCAGTGCAATGTCTTGCCTGAACGTAATTCTGCCCAGATAATAATTTTCAAGTTGGTGGCTAGTCACATACATGAGCTGTGATTCATCTTGTGGATCCAATTGAGCCCAAGAAGAAGAACACATTTCGTGGCTTGCTGTGACCAACTTGAAGTCACGATTTTGTAATGGTGTCTGTATTCCAGCAACCACTGCGGAGGGCTGGTTGAAATTGACTTTTGCATTCGTTCCAGCAATTTCTTGTCCAAGCCAGAAATACTCCGGATTGACTTCTTCTTTCGCAACAGGAAAGCGACCATGGAGGAGTGGATATAGCTGAAGATTCGCTGACAAAAGAAGCCCGCTAAGTACTTTCGATTTGTTGATCACCATCACCGTGGGATCTTGAAGCAGCTGAAAGTCATGGTCGAAAATTCGGGACGATGGTGAGTCACCTGAACGTTCATGAAGGCCAAAAATCTTGCAATCCTCCTTAGAGGGCATCAAGTATCCCCTAATGAGGCTTGATAATTCACGAAAACCTGGTGGTGATTTTCTTTGTTTAGAGTCATAGTCGGATCTCGACTTGAAGAACCGAAGACCATATTTCAAATACTCAGGATCATTGAAAGTTGATTGTATGTCCTGCTTTAATAGTATGAATGAGGAAAGAAGTAGTATGTACTCCTCAAACGAATTGAAGATTGCGGCCAAAGTTATGGCAAAGGTATGAGTTACGAATAAGGGGGACCTTCGTATGTGAGGATGCTGTTTTTCGTTGAGTATTCCTGACGTATCGACAAACCACAAGTCTTGCTTTGGATAATCACGAGAGCTCATAAATTTGACTTCGACGTCTTCTCCGTATTCTGTTTTGTGAAACCATTCATACGAGTATGGAAAACGCCTGATTTCTGTCCTTGCTGAACTGATCAACAAATTCATCTCATCTTGATTCAAATCCTCTTTTCGATACACAATTTGAATTGGAAGGGTGTTTTTGTTGGCTCTGAGGACTCTTATGAGACCTTGAATTTCCTCTATTTGCTGTTTTCTGAATTGAGAGGGTAATATCGGAATAACTATTCCCTTACCATTACTCATTTTCTTCAATCTTTGAATTGCGGTACCACTCTCGTCAAAAACCTTTCTAGCGTCGACCACTGGAACTTTTCCCTCCTCCAAGATTTTACCGTTCCACAGCTTGAAAGTTGGTAAGGCGTTGTTGATCCATGGGTAAAGTTTCTTCTCAATCAAGTCTCCGCGGTTGCTACCTGAGGTTCTGTCGACGAAGCATCGGTTGTAAATGCGCATATGGTTTATCAGACGTATAATCTGCTTCTCATGATTGATAAGCTGCATGCTGTCATCCAAGAACTTTTGTCGAATTATTGCATCATGCTTTGGCCCCCAGCGCTCTCTCTTACCCTCCTCTTTCATTTGATGACGCAATGCTCTTTCTTGTTCTCTCACCCATCTACTTCGTTTGTATAATGCAATATTGTAAGTGTGGCTGTGTATAGCCTCCAAGTCGAGTATATCCCCATCGGATGATAATGAAGCTAGCTTGTCGAAATAGGCGATACATGGATCTGCTTCCAGGTTTTCAAATGCCGACATATCATTATAAATAGGATTATTCACCGACCTTCTCGCTTGAATAATGTCAACATTAAAAAGCCGACGAGCCCTAGGAACGTGGTGGTGACCCCAGTGCAAGCACAAGAGTACACCTAGAGCCACCACTGCCATGACTAGTAGGCGGTTTTGCCGCCTGGTTGGTCTGAACCACGAGCGATCAAGGCGCATAATGTGGGGTCGAAAGCTCGAATCAAATTCGTCAACCTTAGGATGCAGGAAATTGCAAGCGTTAAGGACCCTGATGGCATACAAGTGTAATCATCAAGACTTGTATATCACGTCCAAAACCACCTAATAAACCAGAAACAACACGAAACTACCAAAATTTGAGTTTATTTAGACGACTCAATTGAGATGCGTAGCTCCGAATACCTGGTCCAATTCATTGATCTGAGACAGACCTATTTCCAGTTTTGATTTAGAAGGTGGCGATGCTACTCTTGGTTGCATTACTTGCGATGACTCTCCTAGACCGGGTGCCACCTTTGTAGCTTGTTGGTGAACCCACAGTTCGAACTTTGCGGTCTCAGTGCCATCATTATCCTTATCCAAACGTTGATTAAGGTTGTCGACATCTTGTTTCCACATTTCTATGTCTTGTACGCCCACATTGAGTTTTGGGGGCTTCACAGTCAGGAATAACGTGGGAATCAATTTGGTGTAATTGACATTCAACGTGACTGGTTTGGGTGTTTGAAACGCTGGATTCTTTACGAGCGGAATTTGAGCTAGATAACGATTCGCTGTGTTAGTACGAACAAACTTAAAGCCAAAAGCAAAAGACATACGTTGGTCTGGATCCTCCATTTTAATTGGCAAAAGTTGCAACAGCAAATTGGCCTTGCGACTTGATTTATATATGGGAGTGTTACGTAAGGATGCGCTCTATTTGGCAGCCACTTCCTAACTAACCAGAGATATAGTCAGCATTGCGCTTCCGCCAGCAGCAGGTAAATTGCAGCCGTATCATTACTTTTCTACAATTCTTCGTGTAATATACATTAGTTGTCACGATAATGACGAATGAGAATATAAGCATTTTCCTGCTTCAAGTTCGATAACGAGCGGTAGTTACCCTCAAGGCACATCAATAATCCTCCAAATGATATGTATACCGACATTTTATCGCTACCGGCATTTTCCTCAAATTTGTATACGGTACCATACATAACATAATCGTAGTCATCAGCCAAGGATCTCTCGCCGGCTTTGGGTGGTCTCCACGAACCACTGGAGGTAACCTGTGACTGCTCGTTACCCAAGGAGGATGCGAGTGTGATTGTGAGTGAATCATGGTCCCTCACTGGGAACAACTCACTGTTGATGTCCAAGGTGATTTTTATATCCTGCGAAGTTGAGGACTGTGCTATTATACGGGAGACCTTGTTGTAACGCGCCGAGTCCACGGACTCGACATTGAACATGTCCTCAAAAAGAATGCCCGACATGATTATGAGATGCGGTTTGCGACTGGTTGATGAGATGGAAATTTTCAATTTGGCTGTTCCTGCAGACTCCGCGCACACTCGCGACACCCGCTGCACCACTGTTCCATGTCTATTTGCATTCGATTGATAAACAAAAATTCGCTGCTTATGTCATGCGAACCATTTTCGCAGGCATTGAAATCAACTTAAAGATAGATCAGAGTTTGAGGCTGTGAGGATCTCAAAAAGTATCATGGTTTTGTCTGAAAAACGCAACAGTGAGAGTCTGCGCTGGGGCTTTCGTGCGCTATTTATTGTCTTGGTTGTCGTTTTAACCCAATGTTTTCTCGTTTATGAATTGACTTCTACAAAAAGCTTGCACTCTTTGAGTTTTTTTTCAACTTCCACCGGCACTAATACGGTGCCAGATTTGGCTACAGAGTTTCAGCCACAAGATGATACTTCCTCGCAATTCATTCAAGTACAACCCAGAGATAGCAAGTCGTTATTGAACAGTCCTGGAATACGAGTAGTATTGGTTATTGCTGCCATTATTGTTCTCAACATGGCGGCTATCTGCATACATCATATCTACTTGAAAATTGCTAGGTCTGGTGTCTCTTACAAGAGTATCGAACTGAACATCGGACCTTTTTAACTTTAATTCTGCTCAAAAAATAAACCACATGTTGATGCTGACAATTTGCTGACACTGTTGACACTTGCTGATTTGTGGCTTGCTGATTACAAAACAGCTTCCATCTACCAAACTAGTTGAACCATTGCTAATTAATGTCATTTGCTAATTCTTCTCATTTTCTCTCACCAAACTCAATGTTCATTTTTCATACGTTTCCCATATCTTTCCAACTCAACTCTCAAATATTGTGCTTATGGACCAACTCCAACAGTTGGCTATCTTTCTTTAATCTTCCCGGTCGTCTTCACCTAATTCAGCTACTCATCCAAACACCGTTTTTTGGCCTGCAGCATCCGCATACACATCTGCCTTATCTACGCGGAAATGACCGAGTTGCCAATCCCGTACTTTTCTTTGCAAATTTTCACCAACTTGCTGCAACAACAACTAAATATACAATGAAAAGTTACCCTCCACTTTCAAAGCGTTTGCTCCAAGTCTCATGCGCTATTGTATGGTGTTTACTTGCAGCTGGACCAGTATTTGGTTTTGCAGCTCTCAAACCAATCCTTATTAAAGAAGGAATTTACCATGAAAAATGTCCACCTTCGTCTAATAAAGGTTCTGGTGAACCATGTGTGGCACAAGATCTTCTGTTGAACAAGATGTTTACACTTGCGGCTGTTTTCACTAATGTTGCTGCCCTTCCTGTTGGTTACATTTTGGATGAATATGGACCAAAAATTAGTGGTATCATTGGTTCTGGCTTAATATTTTTGGGTTCTCTTCTACTTCGTCTTGGGTCGCAAGTTGGTAGCTCCTGGTTTGATCCTTACTTGGTTGGCTACACATTTCTTGCCTTAGGAGGACCGTTCGTGTTTATCTCATGCTTCCAATTGGCCAACAGTTTCCCCAAAAACTCGGGTCTTATCTTGGCATTGTTAACCGGTGCCTTTGACTCTTCTCTGGCCCTCTTTCTTATCTACCGTTTGATATACACCAATATCCACAAGGTTACTCTCAACCAATTTTTCACCTACTACATGGTGGTGCCTTTGTTCATATTGGGATGTCAGCTTACAATTATGCCCTCGGATTCTTACAAGACAATGGGTACACTTGCAAAAATCGGCACTACTGGTATCGATGAAACAGGTAGACCCATTGATGAAGACCTACTTAGTGTGGAAGATAGAGAGACCGATGATGAAATTGTGCATCCTCAACCAACTGTCACTGAATCTACTGCGTTGCTTATGAGAAGAGCTTCGTTTTCTAGAAGAGAATCTACTGTTTCCAGAGCTTCGTTTGCTTCGAGAAATTCGATCAAATCAGTATACGAACAAGATGCTGAAACCAAGTTGGTTCATTCCACAGGTGGTATTTTTGGTATCATGCATGGTTATGACATATCTGATCAGCTCAAATCACCCTGGTTCGTTTTGATGACTCTCTTTACCACCATTCAAATGTTGAGAATCAACTATTTTGTAGCTACCATCAAGTCCCAGGAATTGTACTTGTATCACGGTGATGAGGAATTAGCAACCAAAATCAACCATTTCTTCGACTTGGCATTACCATTGGGTGGTTTGGCATCAATTCCATTCATTGGAGTTTTATTGGACAATTTCACCACTCTTACCATCTTGTGTATCTTGACAGTGGTGTCGTTGTTCATTGGTGTTATGGGACTATTGTCATGGATTCCTGCTACTTACGCCGGTATCCTCATGCTTGTCGTTTACAGGCCATTTTACTACACTTCTGTATCAGACTTTTGCGCTAAAGTGTTTGGCTTCGAGACGTTTGGAACCGTTTACGGTGCCATTATTTGCTTTTCTGGAATCTGTAATCTCTTGCAGCTGGCGATGGACCATGCTACCCATGAGACGTTTGGCATGAATCCCACGCCCATCAATGCCATTCTCACTGGGTTGACGGCAGTATTTGGATTGATCTTGATACAGTATGTGCGCTCCAGTGAATTGGCATTAAGGAGAAATAACTTGGAGCTCGAGGCGCAAAAGGCATCTACCAGAAGTATTCCCACGCAGATTCAAAACTGAGAAACATTACGAGTAAAAAGTGGAAAATTGGCATGGTTATATACCGCTATTAATATACATTTCGCGCTCATTAATTAGGCTTCTTTTCTTCGTTTCGAACTTGCAGGAGCCGTCTCAAGCCCAGTAAGAACTGGAATGCACTTTACCTCCACGGACTCCGGAAAGTTTGATTGGCTTCTCTCGCTTAAAAGGCTGATCTCTAACGAGATCACGTTGTGGAAAATCTCCTAGTAAAGACTCCATACTTTCAAATAATTACTTTGACTTCTTCTTTTCCTGCTTTTCGTTTTTCTCAATCTCCCTTCTGGATCCTTTGACAAGCTCAAGATGACCCACTCGAGCAGCAATTAACTTCTCAGTCGATGCAGCTAATTGTCCTTGCTGAACTTTAGAAAGCTTAGCGGCGTGTTTTGCAGTAGCTTTCTTTGGCTTGATAATCTTAGGAGCCGCTGGTTTCGGATTTTGCCGTTTTTTGGTGACCCTAGCGCTTCCCTTGGCCCTGAGCTTGGTTACACCTTGAGCCATTATCGCTACTAAAGTTAAATTCGCGATGAGATGGCATGTCCCCCATCCCAACACCCACACTTATCTTGAGGCCGTGGGCCGCGCCCCCGTGCACCCGTAGTCAGAGTCATCAGCGACTCCGAATAATTTATTCATCTCATCGCGACTCCCTTGGGGAACCATCACAAACTAACAGGTGCACCTTGACTTTCAAGGGCTGAGACCAATCGAAAACTACTAGTGACATGAGTCTGCATCTAGTTTTGGCCGGACCCTCGGCTCTCTCTTCTTTCAGAGTGTCGAACTTGGTTCTGGAGATCGATAAGAAACTTGGCGAATCAGTCATTGAAGATGTAACTTCTTGTTACACCCACTATGTCTCAATCAAGAAGGAGTTGTCGCAGCAACAGCAAAAGCTTGTGGATGTTTTGTTGCAGTATGACTCTCCTGTAGGTACCGACGACTTGACGAAATCCTTAGTTGCACTTACCACCGATAAGACGTCATCAATTCCTTCAAACTGTTACTTGGTTCGGATTCTTCCTCGTCCAGGAACCATCTCTCCATGGTCGTCCAAGGCTACGGATATCGCCCATATTTGTGGGTTGAAAGACCATGTTGAAAGAATTGAAAGAGGTTTGAGTTTGCTCATCAAAGTAAAGCCTGGCTATGATTTCGAATCCAAGTTGGACTCTGAGGGCTCAATCTTGACATGTGTGTTTGATAGAATGACCCAGAAACTTTACTTGGGCACCAACTCGCCAAAACATGACGATTTGTTTGCTCACCACTACCCCAAACCTCTCGTGGATGTGGATATCATGAGCGACTCCAACAACTTGTTGAAGGCTAACAAGGAGATGGGATTGGCTTTGGACAAGGGAGAAATCGACTACTTGATTGACGCTTTTGTCAACATCATTGGAAGAAACCCAACTGACGTGGAGTTGTTCATGTTTGCCCAAGTCAACTCAGAACATTGTCGTCACAAGATTTTCAATGCCGACTGGACTATCGATGGACAAAAGAAGGACTTGTCCTTGTTCAAGATGATCAGAAACACCCACTCTGTTACTCCCCAACATACAATTTCTGCGTATTCCGATAACGCTGCCGTTTTTGAGGGCCCTGAAGGTTACCATTTCACACCAGACTTCCTCACAAAAGAATGGAAATCGATCAAAGAACAAGTACACACCTTGGTTAAGGTTGAGACTCACAACCACCCCACGGCGGTATCTCCATTTGCCGGTGCTGCTACTGGTTCTGGTGGTGAAATCAGAGACGAAGGTGCGGTTGGACGTGGGTCCAAATCTAAAGCTGGATTGTCTGGATTTTCCGTTTCTGATTTGAACATTCCTGGCTTTCAACAGCCATGGGAATTGCAACTCGGAAAACCTCACCACATTGCTGCCAGTTTGGACATTATGATCGAAGCACCTATCGGTTCGGCAGCTTTCAACAACGAGTTTGGACGTCCTGCTATCAACGGTTATTTCAGAACGTTGACCACGCAAGTTAAAAACCACGAAGGTAAAAGCGAGTACAGAGGCTTCCACAAACCAATTATGTTGGCTGGTGGTATGGGCTCAATTCGTCCTGATTTGGCATTGAAAAATAAAAAGATAACTCCTGGTGCCAAATTGATTGTTTTGGGAGGTCCATCTATGCTTATTGGTCTTGGTGGAGGAGCCGCTTCTTCTGTCTCTTCTGGTGAAGGATCTGCTGATTTGGATTTCGCATCGGTTCAAAGAGGTAACCCAGAGATCCAGCGTAGAGCTCAACAAGTTATCGACTCATGTACCTCTTTGGGTGCTGAATCGAATCCTATTCAGTCGATCCATGATGTTGGCGCCGGTGGTCTTTCGAATGCTTTGCCAGAACTTGTGCACGATAATGATCTCGGAGCTATTTTCGAGTTGAGATCAATCTTATCTCTTGAGCCTGGTATGTCACCAATGGAGATTTGGTGTAACGAATCTCAGGAAAGATATGTGATGGGTGTTGCACCAGAAGACTTGGAAACGTTTGAGCAAATTTGTAAGAGAGAACGTGCGCCATATGCTGTTGTTGGTGACGCTACGGTGGAAAAAAGATTGGTTCTCAAGGATTCCTTACTCAACTCCACCCCTATCGACTTATCCATGTCTGTTTTGTTTGGTAAACCTCCTAAAATGTCGAGGACCTGTGTTACTCAGAATTTAAATTTGGATGCTTTCACCACTTCGGGAATTGAAGTTGACGAAGCTGTAAAGAGAATTTTGCACCTTCCATCAGTTGCTTCCAAAAACTTCTTGATCACCATTGGTGACAGATTCATCACTGGTTTGGTTGATAGAGAACAAATGGTGGGTCCATGGCAAGTGCCAGTGGCAGATGTTGGTGTCACTGCTACTTCCTTGGGAGAGACCAACTTGTCTACTGGAGATGCAATGGCTATGGGTGAAAAGCCAACATTGGCGTTGATTTCTGCTGCTGCTTCTGCCAAAATGTGCGTTGCTGAAGCCTTACTCAACGTTTTTGCAGCCGATATTCCTGCTTTGGAGCGGGTGAAATTGTCTGCCAACTGGATGTCTGCTGCTTCTCACGATGGTGAAGGTGCAAAGTTATACGAAGCTGTTCAAGCTATTGGCTTGGACTTGTGTCCTGATCTTGGAATTTCTATCCCAGTCGGAAAGGACTCCATGTCCATGAAGATGAAGTGGGATGATAAAGAAGTTACCGCACCATTGGCATTGACAATCACTGCCTTTGCTCCTTCTCAGAATACCTCAAACACATGGACCCCAGTGTTACAGCACGAAGACGATACCGTATTGGTGTTAGTGGACTTGTCCGCGGGACATGAAAAGGCTTTAGGAGGTTCGGCGTTGGCTCAAGTGTACAAACAAGTTGGAAACACTTGTCCAACTGTGCACTCTAATAGTGAATTGAAGAGCTTTTTGACTTCTTTAATTGCTTTGCATGCGTCTGAAAAGGTGTTGGCATACCATGATGTTTCTGAAGGTGGATTACTCACGACCGTTTTGGAAATGTGTTTTGCAGGTCGTTGTGGTGTTTCTCTCGACATAACCAGTCAAGCAGACGCCTTGACGGCATTGTTTAACGAGGAACTTGGAGCAGTTTTCCAAATACGCTCTAACGACTATGATGATTTTGTGTCTATCTTTGAGAAGTCCGGCTTGTCAAAGAGCTTTATCTCCAAAATTGGTGTCCCATCATTTTCCAGTCAGGAAGTAAAGGTTGTCGTCAATGAGTCCAAGGTGTACGAGAGCACTAGAGGTGAACTTCAAAGTATGTGGGCAGAAACTTCTTATCAAATCCAAAAGTTGAGAGACAACCCTGCAACTACAGAACAAGAATTCCAAGCCATCGGTGATGATAAAGACCCTGGATTGAGTTACCAATTGACTTATAGTCCTGGAGACGATCTTGCCATTTCCACCTTAACTTCTAAGCACAAGGTTGCCATTTTGAGAGACCAAGGTGTTAACTCACAACAGGAAATGGCATGGTGTTTCCAACAAGCTGGATTCACTGTGGTGGATGTTCACATGTCGGATATTTTGACTGGCAAGGTCACGTTGAAAGACTTTGTAGGTCTTGCCGCTTGTGGTGGATTCTCATACGGTGATGTCTTGGGAGCTGGTGCTGGATGGGCCAAATCTGTTCTTTTCAACGACAGAGCTCGTAAGGAATTCGAACACTTTTTCAAAGAAAGAAACGATACCTTTGCCTTTGGTGCATGTAATGGATGTCAATTCTTTAGCAGAGTTGCCGAATTGATACCAGGAACTGAAGAATGGCCAACGTTCGAGCGCAATTTGTCCGAGCAATATGAGGCAAGATTTGTCATGGTTGAAGTTACTGATGACTCCAGCGACTCTATCTTTTTGAAGGGCATGAAGGGCTCCAAGATGCCTATTGCCGTGGCTCATGGTGAAGGGCGTGCTACTTTTAAGACTCAAGAGACGAAACAACAATTCACTAAAGATGGTCTTACTGCCGTCAGATATGTTGATAACTATGGTCATGCCACCGAGACGTATCCATTCAACCCTAATGGATCACCAGATGGTATTGCCGGAATCAGTTCGAAAAATGGTAGGGTTTTGGCCATGATGCCTCACCCAGAAAGAGTTTGTAGATTAGAGTCAAACTCTTGGTACCCTACCGAAAAGCGTGAAGAATGGAACAACTATGGACCATGGATCAGGCTATTCAGAAACGCCAGAAAATGGGTGGAATCCCAATAGATGCATTAATAGTAATAAATTACAATTGTATACTGGTTGCAAAAAGCAGAACCTTCAGACCTGCACCTAATCGCGGGAATTCTCGCGCGCACGACTGAAAATTTATTGAAAATTTTTGAAAAACTTCTACATCCTCTCATAAACTAAAAAATGGTTAACGCAATTTTGTCCAAGAAAAGAAAGTTGGTAGCTGATGGTGTCTTCTACGCCGAGTTGAACGAATTCTTCACCAGAGAATTGGCTGAACAAGGTTACGCCGGTGTTGAGGTCAGAAAGACCCCATCCAAGTTGGAGGTTATTGTCAAGGCTTCCAACACCCAAGGTGTTTTGGGAGAACAAGGACGTAGAATCCACGAGTTGACCTCCTTGATTGTCAAGAGATTCAAGTTGTCTCCTGAAGGAATTGTCATCTACGCCGAGAGAATCGAGGAGAGAGGTTTGTCCGCTGCTGTCCAAGCCGAAGCCTTGAAATCCAAGTTGTTGAACGGTTTGCCAATGAGAAGAGCCGCCTACGGTGTGTTGAGATTTGCCATGGCTGCTGGTGCTAAGGGTGTGGAGGTTGTCATCTCCGGTAAATTGAGAGCTGCTAGAGCCAAGTCTCAAAAGTACTCTGACGGTTTCATGATCCACTCTGGTCAACCAACCAACGACTTTATTGACATTGCCATCAGACACGTGTTGATGAGACAAGGTGTTTTGGGTATCAGAGTCAAGATTATGAAGGACCCAGCTACCGCCAGAGTTGGCCCTAAGGCTTTGCCCGATGCTGTCTTGATCTCCGAGGCCAAGGATGAGGACGAGGTTGTCCCAGCCCCTACTGTCAAGTCTTACAAGGCTGTTCCAGAGAAGGTTGAGGAGACTGCTTAAGTATAATGTTGGTAGTATAATAATATCACTGTCACAAGTCACGTGCAGTTCCAGGGTTTTTTGTGCGCGCTTTTTTGGAAAGCTGTGAGCCTGCATGAACAAATTGTCCTTCGGGCCGAGCTCGTTATCGCTCGGTTGGCCGGATTAGTGAGATTGCATCATGCAGCGGCGATTCGGAGTTACCCCGGATGTACATCTCCACTGCCATATAAAAACACAGGACAAAAACTTTGGACGCCAGTAATTATGCCATCTACTCCTTTGCCACAAGCTACATTTTTGTCTTTATCTTCTGAGGTTTGCGACCCATTTGTGATTCCAAACATGTCTCCCACAACTCCACAATCATCTCCTGTACTTGCTAGCGAGAATAAACCACGTCAGTTATCTGAAATTCAATTACGTTAAGCAATAAGGAACATCAATTGCAGTAAGCAATAAAGGAACATTTAAATGCAGTAAGCAACAAATGATACCCAAGCGACGAATGCTTTACGAGATTGATTGCAGATATTTGTGCAAGTTTGGCTTACTTGAATTGCAGCCCACGTTGCAGAGATTATCAATCGGCTTAACGACAATAACGGCATAAATTTGTAAACACAGCAGGAATGTGAATATGTACATTTTTATATACAATGAATGATTATGAGACTCAGAAGATTGGGTAGAACTCGTTGTACTTACGAGCATAGTATGTGGAGGAGACACCACCGAGCACAAGCAATACCAAAGGAACCGGCTTTTTAAATCTGGAAGGAATGGCTCTACCAATTCCAGCAGCGAGTAAAGTGGTGGAGGCACCAAGAGCCAATTCCAATCCGTAGTCGGCATTCTGTTTCAACAAGTAACCGGCAACTCCATAAATGATGGAAAAAGTAGTGCCTGCGACCAAAGAAGGCATGGATCCCTTACGAGCATAGCCCATGACACCACCGACTGCGCATAATCCTGAGAGGGTAAAAGCTGGATGTTCCATTTGAGTGATAATTGCTTAGAAATAGCACCCTCGTTAAATTGGGGGTTGTCGTGGTGTACGGGTGTCGTCATGTGCAAGGACGAGTGAAGGACTGAAGAAATGATAAGGTAGGATCGAGTCAAGGTTATATCGAGTATAAAGCTACTAATATTCAATAGGCTTTGTCATCAGGCTGCAATTGCATGCAAAATTCAAAATTGCAAAATTGCAAATTCTTACGATGTTGACTACCCCCAAAACCTACATTATTTATTTCTACGCATTACTGCATTTCCATCTGCTTTCCCACACCCTCCTATCCCTCCTATCTTACACTACCTTCCACTTTCTTCCACGATCTACACTATCTTACTTTACACTCCTTGCTTCGAACGCGTGGCCGACCACACCCATTACACCAAACGTCCGCTATGCCGTATACCCTCCGAAATCACCCCAGTTGGCGTCTAGTTTACAATACTCTTCCGTAAACGTAACTGTATCTCGTCGTATCCTCTCGCTGTCAATCTACCTCCAAATTTTTTTATTTAAGGTGGTATTCCCTCCGCAACATATTTTTCGCTCTTGGTAAGCACCGGGGTGCAAAGGTTTTCATTGGATCGCTTGATGGCTGAGGGCAACCTAGAATCTAGTTTTCGCACAAAGCCACATATTCACTTGTCGTAACTCAATTTCCTGGAAGTTTACTTCGATATCATCGTGGAATTTTCTCCTTAGTCGTACTGGCTGGCGTCACTCTTGAAACTTTCCACCGTGATGAATATCTCGTCAATTCTATCGGACGACAAACCCGACACCGTGTCGACGAACACCCCTGGTTCTCCTAATGGTCAACCTGCAACTAATGGATACCAACAGGCCCGAAATATGAACGGAATGGTCCATGGTGATGGTTCTATTGGTGTTCCCAATGGTCAAAATGATCAACATTTACCTCTAGTTGGTGAACAAATTGAACTGCCTCATAATCCCATCGCCGACGACAAAGCATACCTCGGAACCATACAAGACCGGCTCTCTCGTCTCAGCAACATCGATTCCAGCATTATCCATCGCAGCCATGGTGCCGTGCTCTCTCAAGATCACCGCCTTGCCACAGCTTTACGGGACGCCCGACCCCAGTCGTTGGCGGAAAATTATCTAGACCGGGTGGTGGCCGAAGATGGCGTTGTGGCTGGCGCTGGAAATCATCCTACCGTGCTTGAAGGTGCACCCAGTAACCACCATGAGTCTTGGGGTCCCACCAGAGAACCTTCTCATGAATACATTTCTCCAGAACAGGTGGATGCTCGTTTCGACGGCGCCTTCCACCTGAGGAAACCGGGAAATTTCCATTGATAAATTGAAGCCAAAGACAAAGAGAAAAGGTGAAAATGATGAGAGTACAGCATCAAAGAGAAGACGGGCCAAAGACTCTTCGTTTTCGTATGCAGCTACAGATTTCGATGAAGATACCGGAATCGAAGATCAAGATGACGAAGACTCAACCCATCCTGACTCGCTTGGTCAACCCTCATCGGCAGCACCCGAATCTGCTACCGATAAAAAGCTCGCGGTCAAAGAGCAAAAGAGCATTGCCAAACAATATGACAATACCTATGTGGCCATCTGGAAAGATCTTGCTCGTAAGGATGGTCCTAAGGCCAGCAGGCTCTTGCTGCTGCTGCTGCAAACCAAAGCTATAAACTTGAAGAAAACCGCCATTTTGGCTGCTCGCGAGGCCAAGAGATGGCAGCTCAAAAATAACAAAAATCAAAAGGATCTTACTACAAAGGCCAGAAGAGCTATGAGGGAGATGTTCAATTTCTGGAAGAGGAACGAGCGCATGGAAAGAGAACTCAAAAAGAAATACGAGAAGGAACTCATCGATAAAGCAAAGCGTGAAGAAGAAGAAAGAGAAGCTAAGCGTCAACTGCGGAAACTCAATTTTCTTATCACCCAAACTGAGTTATACTCTCATTTCATTGGTAAGAAGATCAAGACAGACGAAATCGAAGGCGCCGATCGAGATCCTACGCTTTCGAGTCCACCTGCCTCCACTGGTAATTATGATCTTGATACTGGAAATAATGTTAAAACTGACTTCCATGCCATTGATTTCGACAATGAAGATGAGGATGCATTGAGAAGAACCGCAGCTGCAAATGCCCAAAGCGCACTCGAAGCTACCAGATCGAAAGCTAAGGCGTTTGATGATCCAGATACCAACCATGATGAGATGAACTTTCAAAATCCTACCCTTATGGGCGATATAAACATCGAACAACCAAAACTTCTCAAATGTCAATTGAAGGAGTATCAATTGAAAGGACTAAATTGGCTCGCTAATCTTTATGACCAGGGTATCAATGGTATTCTTGCCGACGAAATGGGGTTGGGAAAAACAGTGCAGAGTATATCTGTGCTTGCATATTTGGCCGAGCACCACAATATTTGGGGTCCCTTCTTTGTGGTAACTCCATCGTCTACTCTTCACAATTGGCAACAGGAGATTGCTAGGTTTGTACCTGAGTTCAAAGTATTGCCTTACTGGGGTAATGCAAAAGATAGAAAGATCTTGAGAAAATTCTGGGACAGAAAGCTGTTGAGATATGGAAAGGATGCTCCATTCCATGTGTTGGTGACATCTTACCAATTGGTTGTTGCCGATGCTGCCTACTTCCAAAAGATGAAATGGCAATACATGATCCTTGATGAAGCCCAAGCAATTAAATCTTCACAGTCATCAAGGTGGAAAACGTTACTTTCGTTCTCATGTCGTAACCGTCTTCTCTTGACGGGTACTCCAATCCAGAACTCTATGCAAGAATTATGGGCGTTATTGCACTTTATCATGCCTTCTCTTTTCGATTCGCATGATGAGTTTTCGGAATGGTTCTCCAAGGACATAGAAAGCCATGCACAATCGAACACACAACTCAACGAGCAGCAGTTACGCCGTCTTCATGTTATCTTGAAACCGTTTATGTTGCGTCGTATCAAGAAGAATGTGCAAAGTGAACTTGGTGACAAGGTCGAAATTGACATCTTCTGTGACTTGACCAACAGACAGAAGAAGTATTATCAAATGCTCAAATCTCAAATTTCCATTAGGGATATTCTCGAATCCGCTAGCTCCTCCAACGACGACTCGCAATCTTTGATGAACTTGGTTATGCAATTTAGAAAAGTGTGTAACCATCCAGATCTTTTTGAGCGAGCGGACGTGAAGTCGCCATTCTTGTTTGGTCGGTTTGCTGAGACGGGGTCTTTCTTGCGGGAATCAGACCTTGAGCTTCAGTATTCCACAGAGAGCGATCTTCAGTTTTCGATCCCTAAAATTGTGGCAGAGGAACTTTTAGTTCCTGGAGAGAATAATTTTGTGGGCTCAAAGAAAAAATTGTTAAGCATGTTCAACATATACGACCCTGCCAACAGTAGCGAAGAAAATTACAATTGGCTTCGTTTTGTCAACACCTCACCATCTGACTTGAACAAGATGGCGAAGAAGGGAATAATAGAGCGGGCAGCTGATTTCAAAGAGTACACTGACATAAATTATGAAAAAGAGAACCGTTTGGAATACGTCTACGGAAAGGATTTCGAACCTCGACAACTGAAGCTTTTGATATCGAACCGGTATAACAATCATGCACTTATTGATAACTCTCAGAACCTCAAGGAATTATACTCCATCAAGTCCAAAGTCTACGAGGATATTTATGCCAACGTTATGCATCGTGCTGCTTCTCCAATTGCAATTAGTAGTCCAGTGTCCATCACTTGCAACAGCAATTCCTACTTGAACCAGCTCCAGACTAACTTATTTGACTCGAACATGAAGTCAAAAATCATGCCTTTGTCGTTGAATCAAGAGCTTACATTGCGCAAAGATGAAGTCCCCGTTCCACAGTACCCCAAGTCCAATCTCCTTCCACCCACCTTGAACAAATTCTTTGACTATTCTAGCATTCAAATGCCCTCAATGGACCGATTCATCACAGAGTCTGGAAAATTAGCTCGTCTCGATCAACTCTTGGTGGATTTGAAAGGTGACGATCATAGAGTATTGATCTATTTTCAAATGACGAAAATGATGGATTTGATGGAAGAGTACTTGACGTACCGTCAACACAGGTACATCAGATTGGACGGATCCTCCAAGCTCGAAGACCGTCGTGATCTCGTCCATGACTGGCAAACAAAACCTGAGATTTTTGTGTTTCTTCTTTCCACTCGTGCTGGTGGTTTGGGTATCAATTTGACTGCCGCCGACACGGTTATTTTCTACGATTCTGACTGGAATCCAACCATTGACTCCCAAGCCATGGATCGTGCTCATAGACTAGGACAAACCAAACAGGTAACTGTGTATCGTTTGCTTGCACGAGGAACGATCGAAGAGCGGATGAGAAACCGTGCAAAACAAAAAGAGCAAGTGCAACAGGTTGTCATGGAAGGTAAAGCTTCCAAAAAGGAAGATTCTGCTAAGGATAAGAAGAAGGATGTTGCATTCTTGTTATTGGGTGAAGGTGACGAACTACCATCTACTGGGAACACCACCGATGCAGAGACAGATAGACCTAAGAGTTCCATCAAGAACCTTGAAGATTTGTATCATGAAGGCGAAGGTGAGTTTTCCGGCGCGGGAACACCGGCATTGTGAGAATATAGTTTCATCTACAGAATACACAATTGTGATTTCTCAGCCTTGTTTCCTATCACTTGTATTTGTAAGAATTAAGGTTGCGATCGCAAGAAAAAGCTCTTACGGCCGAAATGAAACGATCATGCTTGCAGACGCCAGTGATGATTTGAAATCAAATTAAGATATAAAAAGCATCCAGTGGTGTCAATTGGGCATCAAGAGATTGAAACAACCACAAAACAAATGACTAAAACTTATTTTCTTACTGGCGCTAATCGTGGTATCGGACTTTCTATGGCCAAGCAATTGGCTGAAGATCCCAATGTGGAGCTCATTTTAACCGCCAGAAACCCTACTGGTGCCGCAGAATTGCAAGACTTGGCCAAAACCAACACTCGTGTTAAGCTCGTTCAATTGGACGTGAGTGATGAGAACAGTATCAAGAAAGCTGTCGCAGAAGCTGCAAAATTGACCGATTCGATTGATGTCTTCATCAACAATGGAGCCATTGGTCAAGCTTTTACTCCTGTCTTGAAGACACCAAAGGGGCAATGGGTTAACCATTACAACACCAATGTTGTGGGACCAATTCTTTTGCTCCAGCACATCATCCCGCTCATCGAGAAGGGAAGTGATAAAAGAATTATTTTCATTTCTTCTTTGGTTGCCTCGTTAGGAACGACTCTTCCAATCAACTTCTCTGCTTATGGTCAATCGAAGGCTGCTCTCAATTACACCATCAAGGACTTGGCTAAGGAAATTGGAAAGGACGGTTTCACTGTTGTCGCTGTCCACCCTGGTGTGGTTGGAACCGATATGGGCCACGATGCTGGTAGACTTCTTGCTGAGGAGGACCCATCTTCTAGTGAATTCTTCAAGCTGGCTGAAATTATTACTCCTGACAAGAGTGCTGAAAGTTTGATTGACTTGTTCAAGGGTTTAACCACTGAGTCCAATGGAAAGTTTCTCAGTTATGACAAGTCTGAACTTCCATGGTAGATTTAACTGGCCAATATTTTAATGTAGGGCTGTATTGTCTTTGTCCCACAAGTAAGTGCCAATTTGATTTTCCAACCATCAAATATAAGTCTGAACATTTGATAGAATCTAGCTTTTCAAATCAATCAACGATTTGTATTAAACAGCAAATAAATAAATCACAAGAGTCAAACCAGCTGATCTTCGGTCGATATCTTTTGAGTGATTGTGTTTTCAAGTTCTCCCAAAAAAGATGGGGAAAATGACTGAGCGGTGACTTCCGCAGCATCAAGCTTGTCTGAGTCATTCGATTGACTAGTCTCCTTAAGTGTCTTGTTTTCGTTCTCGAGATTGTAGATTCGGGCAAAACTCTCTTCGAGTTTGTTTCGTAGATCTTCCTTCGATAAGCCAGTTGATTTCTTATTGTCATCATCGTCGGCAAAGCTGGTGATTTGAGTCGAAGAAACCAAATCAGACAAGCTGCTAACATTTGATGCTAACGAATTGAGAGAGAACCGATTTATTGACAGCCTGGAGTTCCTAACTCGCAGGTTTGATAATGACTCCAATGCAGCTTGGTTGTAGCCTTCATAGTAATTGTTTGAAGGTAAGATATTGATATAATTGTCGTCGTATGCAGCTCTATTGTTTCTGTTTACAGAAAAACTTGAAGCCTTATTGGGCTCTTCGAAAACGGTGAGTAATCCCAACTGTAACCCTGTTGATAATCTTTTGTACTTTTTATCAAGCTTATCGCCCACCTTACTCTTGAGAGAAGATGACTGCGAATCGATTGTTGGTGATTGATTAGGCTTTCCCGTGGCTTGGCTTGGAAGAGAAAATCGCTTCTTCAAAGAGCTGCTGGTTGTGTGGAATGTCTTGGGGCTAAACTCTTCACAATTTCGAGAGCTTCGCCTGGAAGTTGAAGTTGAAGACGAGGGTGTCTTTTCAATATCACCATAGCCTGTTTTCATGTATAGATCATGATTTAAGTCGCTAAGAGTCAATTGGTATAGCTGCATACTTTGCTGAAGTTCTTCTCCAAGTTGCTGAAAGATCATTATTTTTTCATTTAGCTCATCGATGTTATCTATCGTAGACACAGATTGGTTGTACTTTTTAAAGAATCCGAAATTTGTTGTCAAATTGGTGAGTTTTTGTATCAAACTGTCCATATTAGTTTCAGGTATGCCAGTTTGATGATTATCAACTTGAAGTACGTCACTGTTCTCTAGTTCTCTAGTTTTTGTTGCACTTGGGTTTAACCGTTCGTATCTGTCAACAAGGTTGTTGAAGTTTGACACAGTTTGGTTGTGTTCGTGGAAAATGTCTTCTAAGATAATGAACTTTTCAAGAACCGAAATCGGGGTTGAGCAAAGCTCCCGAGTCTCGGCTTGTGGTAGATTGAACAGGTCCCATGCTTTGCTCAAGAAAAAATTATAGCTCTGGCGTTCACTGATGGTGAGTAATTGGCAAAGAAACATCTTTCTCAACTTGTGAAATTTGTCAAGTTTTGAACGTAGCGTATCAATGGTAAGTTCAGTTTCATCTAAGCTTTTACCGAGGATGTCGATGTTTATGTTATTGATGTGGCAATACTGCTCAAAAGTAGGTCCATTCAAAAACGGTAGTAGGCGTACAATTGATGATTTCAAATTGAAAATTAGAAAGGAAAGGGTCTCATCTAGGGTTTTCATTAGACTTGTGGGATCATTGGAGCCACTTGAAGACAAACTCGTTCCGGTGAAAATGGCCATCTCTTTTGCTCGTATCATGTGGGATATTAGTTTTTTGTTGATCTTGTAGTTGAGCTTCAAGAATTCTTCGGTATAGTTGAGTATTTTGTTTGCTTTTATTCGTAATCCAATACGTTTAAATTGAATCATACGAGTGCTGACAACAAGAAGTATTCGGAATAATTTATGCTTGCTATGCGACAGCAAATGGGAATCTTCCTTCAAGCTTTGTTTGATCAAGAAGATGATTAGGTGGATCACTTGAAGGACCATCTGGGTATTATAATACTTTTCAGGGAACCGAATCAGGTAATACTTTTTGACAACAAAGAGCTCAGTTCCATCAAAGTTAAGCAGTCTGGTAAGCCTTGTTGCGGTTGGTTCTTTCGTATTTGCCATTAAAGTGTTCAAAGCTTGTTCATTTTTAGATAGGATCAACGAATCATCCATTAAGTTCGACAAGATCAATTGGTATTTGAACCGCTCCCAAAATTCTCCTGTCAAATTATGAGTGGACAAATACTTTTTGATAAATCGTGAAAACAATTCTGTTGATGGTGAGACATCTACTTGGTTGTAGCGGTGGAAATAGTACTTGAAATCATGTTTTTGATGAGGGGGGAAGTAGCCAGAAACGCCTCCTGGTCCATGTATATAAGGGGAGTTATATTTTGTAGCCGACGATGTGGTTGACAACGCATCATCTATTCCCCACGACCCAATATCTGGGTATTTTAGATGGTGGGCCATGGCATCGATTTCCCCTCAAATTGAGTATTAACCTTAAGAGGTCGCATATGTTTTTTATTTGTTTTGATCGAGCGAGCTATATACAGTACCAGATAACGGTTCCCAAAACCTGGGGTAAACTTCAAGAAGGAAGACTAGGACCAGAACCCATGTTATGTAGCCAGTCGTCCATGAAAACCAACGGGGGTTCAGACTGGTGTAGTTGTTGTGGATTCCTTAAAATTTGTTGTCGTACAGCTTCACGTTCTTGAATAAATCTTGAACGATCGATTTCAAATTGCTGATAAAGATTGGCATGCAGAAGCTGCTGAGTCTGGAGAGGATGTTGGTATTGGTGTGGCTTTTTCCGTTCTCTCTGTACATTTGCGGCTTCCGGATGGACCAGTAATTGACTTATACTCACCAAATGATCATAGACTGGATGTGTCGGTGCCGATTGTGGCATTAGAGTCCAAAGAAGAAGCCACCAATCCCACAATAAATTTTCACTTGTGTGTGATGGAGGGAGGTTTGAGGTAAACTCATGGAATTCGGGATCTCGTGGAACGGGAGATTCGTTGAATAGTTGCATGGCAGAACCCCGAAGATTGTTCTCTACCATATAAGTGTACAAGTGAGCCAAAAAGAGCTGATGGCTATCCTGGGAATAAAGGTCGTTTACTCCTGTCATCTGTGGCAAATCAGGTTAACAGAGACAAATTTTTAAGGAAAAAGTTTGAGACTTTAATGAAATTTCAGTGAGTGATAAACTGAGGCAATACTTCAATAACTGTTGATGGACCTTATTAATCAATATCTGGAGAAGCACGATGTCCAGTGACAGAGTGGTGTTGGTGGGGCTTGTGGAACTTTTACCAAACTTTCGATGAGTTTATTTTTTAGGCGTTAAAAATATTCGTCAAGCCGCAGTCACGCTGTGAAAGGATTTCAATCGAATTTACTTTTGAGTATCAAATGTAGCTTATATATGCAATCTCTGGATTATTGCTCTGATACCAGTGTCCGTTTCTCAGTCTAGTTGAGATGGACTTATTTAATTTTTGGGGTTTGCGCTACCCAGAGATGCCCGGGCTCAGGGGCCGGGATTCATGAGGGAATTCCGAAACCGAAATCTGGGGTCGGCACGTGCTCTATAAACTTTGAAACGACCTAAATGGCCAACTAAAATGTTGGTGAAAGTGTTTTAGGCATATGTATCATCTGCTAGATTGTCTAATCCGTTATCTAAATTTGCCGAAAGGAAGGTCGGGCACCGTATTGCCAACGTGGTTCGCTTCCTGCAAAAACTGCGGAGGGTATCGTTCATCATCAAACACAGGCACAAAACGGCAACAATTTCGCTCGTAGTGTATTCCTTGGATCATAAGCTTGTCTATATTTCGAAACACCCGAGCCAAAAAACCGACAATTGGTCGCAATTGATGTATAAGATAAACAATAACGAGATTATCGATATTATTAGGATCTTCGGCTCGAGGGTCATTGTCAATGTTACACTCACATTGAGTATCGGTATGAAAGTGGTGATGTAAAGCATGGGGTTGTCCACGATGCATGGGGTATCTATTGTAGTTGTAAGTGCGTTGCTTGATGGGAATACACACTTCCCTATCGGTTTGCAACTTGCTAAGAATATACCCCAAGATAACATAGTAAGCACTAAAATCATCGTGGTTTGGTAAAGGGAAAAACAAGTCCCTAAGCCTTTCTAGCACATGATTGCATCCCCAGCAAGTACATGTATGCAACAAGGACTCATAGAATTCTGGCTTGTAATAAATGAAAGAAGTCACAAAGTCAGGAAGTTGAAGCACTCGTAATGGATTGTTCTTCTGCTGGCCAGTATAGATACTCAATATGAATGATTCGAGCAATTGCTCATTCATCTTGTTGAGAGTGGTACTGGATAAGTCGAGAGCTCCGTCAAAAATCTTGAATCCGGGCGATGTCAAGTCGAGCGAGAGTCGTGATACCAGACTCAAGGTTCGAATAAACCGACCTACAGGGCGGATGATGCCCTCCAACAACTGCTGAGGACGTAACCATTCATAGTTGGGAAATAACTCCACCTCGAGACTGGTCAAATTGGGAAGTCCTTGGTGGTCTATCAGGTATGATGCAAAATCGTTGAAAAATCGAGGAAAGCAATCACAGCTCCGGTTTCGGTGTTCAACACAATCAACCTTGAGAAATAAATGAGACAACCGAGTGAGATCGATCTTGCTATCAATAACATCGAATCGAAGTGTCTTTTCCATCGCCTGGATGTAGTCATTATCATCAATTTCTGTGATAGGGGTCCTCTGACCTGGAAGAATTAAAGGTATTATATCGGTAGCCACTCGCTTGTTGTGGCAGTGGTATAAGCTGAAGCCCTTGAGCTGAAGTTTTAATCGTGAATCATTATTATTGGGAAGCTTTAATAAGCGGATCACCTCAAGTCCAAGGTGACGATTTGTACGACACGTCAAGGTGAAGAGGGAATTAATGCAACTGAACTCGGGGGAATCTAGATCGATTGTTTTAACACGTTCGAGCTCGTATTCATCGAGCATCATGAAAAGGTTGGTGATGCCTGGAGGCACTTTCGGAGTATGCAAATTTGTGAGATTTGTGATAAAGAGTTTGAAGATTTGATTGCGGATATTGGGATGGTGAAGAAACTCGGTCAATTGACGCATTCCATTGGAAAAGTCAATAAATGTAATGTGCAAGAAATTGAGCTTGGTTGACTGGTTTGCGAAATGCGTCATCAATTGAACCTGAAGTGTATGAAGATCCAAATCAAATCCTGCCAACACATCGGACGAGCACTTGTCAAACACAAAAAACTTGATTCTTTGTACCATTTGAGGATTCCGCATCATTTCAAGGTAAAACTTGATGAATGATGATGGTTTTAAAATGAGGGCAGAATCCATGTACTTGATACCATTGTCACGTATAAACAATTCCGTACTCTGACGGTATTTCACCGGAACCTGAGGGTTTAAAACCACCGTTACCCTTCGGTAAAGTCGGTCTATGGCTAGAGGGTATAACAGTGAACATGATAGAGCCAAATTGACCAATTCGAATTGTGAAACATGTTGTAGAATATCCATAATGATCTGAGGAGAAAGTCTTCTTACTAATGAGTTTTGTGGTTGAACCTCGTACCCATTGACACTAGTTCGGTTGCGAACACATGGAACTACTTCATCCTTCTTGTGATGGAAATTGCGGGGCACCGGTAATTTAGGCGAGCCTAGACGGTGATCGCGATTCATAAGACGAGGAACAGACAGCTGTGACATGTCAGAATGCACAATGGGTTGAAACCCGTAGTAGTTGTTTGATAATAGTGCAGGATCACTTGGGGTTTACTACCAGGACTAATTAATAAGCTTATATGGAACCACGATTACCTCAGCGCACCGGTAAGTTGGTCCCGGCTTGCCTGCAGTCTCGGACCGGATCCTGCGTCGGATATAACACCTGCGTCCGCGACAGCCGCGAACGGTCCAATTATTGTGTGCAGACCAGATTACCCAAGCCGTTTGGTGTCTGCACGCCGCGTGTTGTCGGCGCCAGCGTTATCGGTTATCGAGCCAATCACAATTCGAAATTCATCGCGATTATGCAGGCGGTAATATGCAGGTTGGGTCGCCTACCTAACTTTGACAGGGCAAAGCCAGTGTTTTGACGTATTAAACACGATTTGTTGGTGATGGATAAACACACCGCACAACGTCCGTCGCAGCTGTCGCGACGCACAGATGGTATAGGATTATCCAAATTTCTGTTCAATTTGGATGCTGATTCTAGCCCGATTTCCATGAGCGATATTATGAAAGATGACACAACCTCGGCCGAAGGATTGTGGAAAATGTACCACCGAGCCAAGGAGTCGCTCCCGTACAAGCTGCGCATAGAGAATCTCGCGTGGCGAATGATGCATGCTCGAGGATCAGAATCTCCAGAACAAAGTATACTGAGTCTGTCACCCGCGGCCGATTATGATTCCAATCCTCAAATGGGACCATCTGAACTGACTTCGGCTTCGGCGGTTGATGATTTTGATTACGTGGCGCACATTCGTAAGATGGGCCAGGAAGAAGAAGAGATGTCTCGAAAGCGGCCGGCTCCGTTTTCACCACAGATCGTGGCCCACACGCCTCAGAGTAATCATAGCATCCACCCAGCCCAGGCACACCAGCCCACCATCCATTCCAACTTGTCGGCGGCGCTCCGAGACCAACCAGTGACCCACCAAGATGACCTTGGCGCTTCTGCGTTTAGCTTTTCTCTCGATCCACTCGCATTCGAAGGTCCTGGAGTCCAGGATTCCGACTTCGACTCGGTCCACCCACATTCGCTTCCCGCTACGGCACCACCATCGCACTTTATGTCGTCGTCGTTCACCATGGGCCCATCTTCAATGCTTAATAATTGGGACAATCCTTCTCAGCAGCATCCTCACTTGGTGCGCCAGGATAATTCACTAATGAGTCTTCCAGACCACTTTGACCGATCTCATTCCAACACCCCGGTTTCAATGCCTCAATCGTACGCTTCGTCGCTCGCATCGGATATCACCGCACAAACTTCCCTTCCGTACCAGATCCAGCATGCTAATTCTTTCACATCACCAACATCGGCTCGAAAAGGTTTTGACACCGTAGGTCCTGTGTCTTCGTCACTTGCAGGATACTTCGACAGCTGGTCCGGTTCTGTGTCTGGTTCTGTACCAGGTTCCATATCGGGTTCCATATCTGGTTCCATGCAACCGATTAATACCTCCCAAACCACTCGTAGCAATAACGTTACCCCAACCGACCAAACCTCGAGTCTTCCTTCCATGAGTCCCTACGATACCAATGCCAAAAGCAAGAAAAAACCACCCAAGAAAAAGCAAGCCGTTTCCACTAATCCTTCATCCCCGGCTGTGTCAGGTAAACCGGGTCTGGATTCGGTATCTTGCACCAATTGTCATACTCGAACAACTCCACTTTGGCGGCGTAATCCTCAAGGACAACCCTTGTGCAATGCGTGTGGTCTCTTTCTCAAATTACATGGCGTTGTACGTCCTTTAAGTCTTAAAACTGATGTTATCAAAAAACGTCAACGAGGACTGGGATCTACCACCAAAAAACCCACATCTACACCATCGAAAGATGGCGATGATTTAAACCCAACCTCACATGTGAAGGATGAACGCAGGAAGTCTAATGCCAGAAGCATGCTGAAACCCATTAGTACTGAAAAATCGGTTCCTTCACCATTTCCTCTCAACTCACACGAACTCGATCCCATAGAAGAAGTTGAGAAAGACAAATCATTCCAGCCTCATCTTGTACACGATGACTTGATGAATGGCCAAGACGATCGGAACGGTAACAATGGCAATTGGGACTGGCTCCGATTGACGTTGTGATAGAGTAGTGTACAAAACAGTTTATATATACGCCCTAAATAATATTAGAAATCTTGAATGGCAAAAGTAATTATTCAATTTTGTTCCAAGTGCAAATGGCACAACCGTGCCGTATGGTACCTCCAGGAAATTATGCAAACATTTGGTGAAGGTGAACGATTCATTTCAGAAATTTCAATTCAGCCTAAAATTGATGAACCTGGACTTTTTCAGGTACTCGTTCAAGCTGATGAGGGAGAACCAAAAATCATATACAAGAGAAAGTTCAAGAAGGATAATGGTCCTCAGGATGCTCCATACTACTATGATGGGTTTCCTGATAGTAAATTACTCAAAACGCTAATTCGAGATGAACTTTTTCCAAGTGAAAAATTGGGCCATGTAGATGGGCATGCAACATTGACTTGTGAAAAATGTGAAAAGGAATAGAGAAGGAAACAGAATTCTGAGAAAACTGAACGAAAACTGAACGAAAACTGAAGAAAATGAGCTAAACTGAAAAACTGAATGAACTGAACGAACCAAATGAAACTGAGAATGATTTTGTAACCGAATACTCAAGACTATAGTACACTGCTATTTTCTGTTAATCTACATTGGGTATATCGTCCCACCCGTTTGGTGCCACCACATATGGTAACGAAGATCCAAGGGTTCCGAAATGCACAGCATGGTTGGGTAACCCAAGCATGGCTTGATATTGTTTCATGACAAATGTTGGTGATACGTTCTTCATACCAGTAGACGAGTTTGAGGCGCCAGCACCCTCATCATTCTCGGATTTCGGCCCTGGGTGTCGGCCACCTTCATAAGTGGTTTCGTATCGGCGTATCAGGGACCTACTATTTATCTCTTTTGTCACCTGTTTCCATTTATATTTCTCTCCATTGACAAGAAATTCCCTTAACAACCGAATATCGTCGTCGGAAAACTTGCTATTATAACTAAGATTAGGGGCTTCAGTGGGAATTGTCAGTGGAAATCCCAGTATGGTTGGAGTATCAGTAGGATCTTCAGAGTTATTAGTTTTATTCCAATTTTTGTACATATCCAGCGTTGTTGTCACTTTAGTCTCGACATACAACATTCCCAGTTCTTTGTTATGTATTCGCTGTTCCGGTTTATTGTCACAAATATGATTTTTGCTGATTCCAGATGACCCGCCTCAAGCCGCTGTGCGGGACAAACGCACGAAATGCCTGCAGGATGCGTCGTACTTTGACAATTCACCATCGACCCGAAACCCTAAAAATTTTAAGGTTTAAAGTCATGTTTTCCCCGGTACCTCATCACCTCGAGTTTAACGGGTTCAATATATTACTTATAGTTTTTTAAATGGCTCTTTTGTTAACAAAACTATATTACTGGCCGCTCGTATTTTTTAAGCGCTCTCCAAGATTCATGCAGGGTCTCGTATATGCAGTTGCGAGGTTAAAATTACTTATTGTTATTATATATGTCTTCACACGGCTGGTTTAGCCGAATTATTTAACAATATAAAGACAACGTATTTTATAGTGCTCACGTACAGCGAAAACCATATGTACAGCGGCTAAAATTAAAGCAACTGAAACAGAAAAACATTATTTTTTTGCATTTGTTGTCTCTGTTACCCCTTTGTGTTGACCCTGGCTCCATTGCAATTGGAAAGCAATTGAAATGAATTGGAAATGTTTTGAGCGATGTGGAATCAACCGTGGTTGAAATTTGTCGTTATTATTTAAAATAATCACAGCCACCAATGTTTTCCTGCACCACCAACCACCGCAATTTTATCCTGCACCCCACAAAGTTAACTTGCTAACCTTAACCATGTCACAATTTTACGCAAAAAGAACGTTTTTCAGCTGGTTTGCCGGCCGCAAGGCCATCTATCCACCCTCACCATCACAAATATCAACTTCAAACCGTCTTTTTCCAACTTATATTACCAGAACGGGCGAACTCCATGACCACCTTCTTGCCAAAGAACCACTTTTGGTCAATTTCACCATCATGGCAGACCCACAATGTAACAAACTCACCCAATCGCTCTTCGACGTACTCAGTAGTAGCAAACTTTATCCCAATGACTTTGCCGTCAACTTGATCAACGTATCGGCTGACGACCTCGAGGCTCGTGACATGATGCTTACCTATGGTATCAGCCACCTTCCGCTGGTTGTATGTTTGAAAAAGCAGTTATTACATAGCAAGTACGTTCCAAGTGATCTCAATCGACCACTAAACCAAGAGGTTATTGATTGGTTAAGTACACTCAAATAGGTATATACAGGTAATGTCTAATGGCACCAAGTCAAATAATTTGGTTCTAATTGTCCCAGCCATCCTTCCACCGTTGCTTCCACAAATTGCAGTCAAATTCAGGCTTTCCTAGCTTCTTGTTCACATCATTGTGTGCACGACAAAGCCATTTTCCGAACGAGTCCAGGTCGGTGACTTCTGGTTTGTTCTTCTCGACATATTTGTTAAAGTCCTCGGCACAAAACCAGCATGGGTAGAATTTTCCAAACAACGTGACAAACTGTTTCATGTCGTTTTGAGTGGTATCATCAGGTTTGTCTGGATAAGAAGCGGCAATTGAATGAAGTAAAGTCCATGAAGATCTTCCAAGTTGTTCTACATCTGGAGGATCCACTCGTTGCAGCTTAGTTTCTGGTTCTGGTTCTGGTTGTGGTTGTGGTTGTGATTTTGCCGGCTTTCCCATCACAGATTGGAAGTCTAAAAGTGTATTACAGGTGCGACATCTAGGTTAGTGGCAATAGCTATATCTATTTTTTCAATTACTTACGGCTTGCCATCTTTATCATAGACGATACGCCGCCCAGAAGCACCGAAAACTGGTTTGTCGCTGGTGGTCTCAGCTTCGTTTGTCATGGGCTGACAAATTAAGTTCGCATTGCAAAAACGTCAAACCAATGGTATATGCGCGGTGCACCGGATGCATCTACGAGAAGAACTGAGTTCTTTGACGAATCACTTCATCACACAATTCGCCAATTTCTGCCGTCACAATGCCGTCACGAGACTTGTAGAACTCGCTGAGGTCGTATTTGGCACCATACTCTTGCTCGTAGTCCCATGCTTGTTGGATCATTTCATACTTATCGATATCCTTCACATACCGGGCTTCTATGCATCGAATCTCTTCATAATCCATCCAAAGCTCGACCATTTCCTTGGCAAACTGCTCATTATACGGCGTGATAATGGAGGCCAAATATTGGATGGTGGCGAGTTCACGACGATGTTTTTCCTGTTTGGGCACCCCACCAAATGGAGTAATATCTCCCACCAATGATTCGGCAATGTCATGAATAAGGGCTATTTTGACACATTTGTCCAAATTGATGTCCCTATTAGGCACCATCATGGCAATAATTGACATACGATACATGTGATCACTGATGGTTTCCGCTTTGGGTTCGGGAATATTACGATCTACCCAACCAGTACGTTTTTGGGTTTTTAAAAGTCGAATTATTTGCACAAATGCCAATGCATAGTTAACTGGAGCATTTTTGGGCACCAAAAGTGCCTTTATATGCTGTGGCACAACATCTTCTGGTTGCCAGGACATGTAAACAAGAAGAGATTAAGTAATGCGATGTGAAAAATTGGTAAGCTCGACACGAAGGAAACAAAAATCAAACTGAAACCATATATATATTTTGGTTCTACCAACCATTTTGTCGGTTTTCACTCGTCTTCCACTTCTTCCATTCTCTTTCTACATTCTACATCCATTTTTTCACTCGTTTATTATTACACCTAGGCAACCAACTCAACGACTCCGCCAACGGCTCTGATCTTTTCTTCGGCCAATTTGGACACAAATCTAGCCTTAACAATGACTGGAACTTGTGGCAATCTACCCTTACCCAAGACCTTTCCGTAACCGTGGGCCAAGGTGTCAATGACTGGGGCAGCAGATGAAGAAGCAGACTTCAAGTATTCGTCCTTCTTCTCAGCATCAACCAAACTCCACAATTTGTCCAAGTTAATCTCGGGTCTCCAGAAGTGGACTTTTTGTCTGTGAAAATATCTCATTCCGACCTTACCAAAGTAACCAGGGTGGTACTTGTCCAAGTTGGTTCTGTGGTGGTGTTGACCACCGGCCATACCACGACCACCGGGATGCTTTTCTGTGCTTTCCGATTCTACCGTAACCGGCAGAAACGTGTCCTCTGTGCTTTCTGGTCTTGGTCAATCTAGTTGGCATTGTTAAAGACTTAAGACTTTAAAGTGAATATAAAAATCTTTTCAGAGTGCGAGCGAGCAAGACGCGCACACGTGCAAGGGCTGTACCCTGGGACCGGTGCCACATGCAGGCCGCGTGGTTCCTGACCACCGAGCACCAAGCAGCGAGAATAGCGAGCCGCACGGAACCGTTGCAACCAGTCATCACCAGATGTTCTACAAGATATTCGAAAAGATTCGAAAAGGTTTAAAGATTCACTGAAGGTTTTGTTCATTTCGTTGTTCTCTTCCTACATTTGTCTGCCTTTCCACACCTCGTCGTAACTACTGGTTCCTTTAGTTTCAGGCACATATTTCTTCACAAACAAAAATGCCACCACACACATGAACGTAAAGATAAAGTATACTCCTCCACCGATCCACGAACTTTTCAACAATGGGAACAAAAATCCAACCACAAAAGTAGCAAGCCAATTCATCGTCATACCCCAGCTCTGCGCCAGCGCCTTTGCTGTAGGTTGTGTCACTTCACTAACAATGAGAAATGGAATTGGTCCTAATCCAAGGGCAAAGAACGTAATGTACGCAAAAGTTCCCACGATAGACAAGACAGAATTGGTTCCAATAATACCAAAACCCATCAATACCGTCAGTACAGCCATGGCACTTACCGACGTTAACAACAACGGTTTGCGGCCCAAACGATCCACCAAAGGAGCAGCAATAAACGTCACCACCACATTGACCACTGAAATGAGACAATTGATCATAATGGCATAATTGGGAAAGATAGATACAAGTACGGACACTCCATAGAAAATGATGGAGTTTATACCACAAAATTGCTGAAGAACCAAGATCCCCGTACCAACAACTTTGGAATTGTTGTACTCTCTGCTGGTAAGGTAGTTTTTCAATGGAACTTGAGTCAGTGACTGTACTGAATTTTCCAGTTCTGTCAATGGTACTGCCTCGTCTTCGTCACCATTTGCACCGGGCAATCTCCAGCTCTTCACCTCATTTCGAGCCAGTGTATAGTCGCCGCCACGAAGTTTGTGGATGATTGTGAACGCTTCGTTGGTATGACCATTATTTGCAAGCCACATGGGCGATTCGTCAATGATCAAAAGAACAGCCACAAAATCCACTAAACCGACAACAGAGCCCATAAGTAACAACTTTCGCCATTGGTTATTGTCACACCATGCCAACGCCAACACCTGGGTGAACAAAAATGCCCAAATTGACCGATGCCTGGTTCATTGCTCCCATTGCACCTTTGTAGTTTGTTGGAGCAATTTCGTTGATAAAGATTGATGTGATGACCAATGCCGCGCCAGCACCAAGCCCAGCAATAAACCGACCCAAAACAATGGTCCAGTAGCCATTGGCGGTTCCATTCATAGTTGAGCCAATGAGATAGAGAAGACAATGAACCAAGGATGCTCGCTTTCGACCATATTTATCGGAAACCGATCCAATATAAAGTGAACCTACCAAACCCCCAATGCCAAATATCGATGTGACCATACCAACTTGCAGAGTTGTTAATGGAATACATCTGGAAAACCCCCTACTTCCAAACCAAGATTCTTCATATGGAATTCGACCAGGTTTTGAAACTTCGCACGAAAGAATTGACTCAGGCAGGTTCAATTCGGCCATATGGTACCCAAACTGGAACGATCCGAGACATATCACCGATATGGTGGCTACAAGCTTCGAAGTGATCATTAGGTTGGTGATATTCTATACGCGGGGTCGCACCTATGCAGTGGGTGCAGGACATGAAGGTCTATATGGTAATTTGGGGCTGGTTATATTGGCAAAAAATTGCCAATTATCATCATTGGAATGCCGAAAACGTCTCTTTTGAGGGTCCAGATGCAGCTGGTTCGAATCTTGACGTCGGGCTTGGATGTCAAAAGCGTACACTCAGTCATGGTGGCTCCGAGAAAATCTCCAAATGCAATTTTCAGAAAGAGTTCAAAATACTCCACCACTGACTTGTCGTCCAAAAGCTCAACAATTAGTCGTTTTTTCTGGGTGATAAGTTCGGCTTTGGGCCATCCTGTCAAAACACAAAATTCGTCACCAACATAAGCTATTTCGCCGGTCCGTCTCCACACTATGGTAGGAGTTCCGCTGAGCTTGATAAAATTGTCATATGTGAGCAATGTTCTCTGGAAACACTGTTCCATAAAGATCAAGTCATCCTCTTTGAGCGCATTGGTACATGCTATGAACGACGGTCTGTACGCAGCCATCGATTCGGCCATCTTGACCAACATCTGCTTGGGGAATCGCGACCGCAAATACGCTATCAACGCATGGTATCCTGGCGTGTACGAGTATGGTTTGCGCACCTTGGCGTATATATCCTCTGGTTCAGCATAAACCAGAGCATAGTCTCCTCCGGGCAACGAAACGTGCGGGTTTCCATCTGGCATGAAGCCCATGGCATAAGACACTGTCAGCCGAGTATTTCGCTCGTGAATCACAGAAGGATGGGTATTTTTGAGTGTTTCGATCGCCATAACCACGTCGGGGTATAGCAGGATTCCAGTGGTTGTTGGTCCTAATACATATTGATTAAGAGCATTGTCACAAGCAATGTCTGTAGGAGCAGTATATGTTGTGGAGGTGCGACCGCCTGTTCCAGGGGATAAAGCAGGCGAGAGGGTGATGCTGTTGGGGGTACCTTCGTTGGAAGTGGATGGGTTGGGGAAAGGATGGACGTTTTCCAGAAGAATGTTCGACAAGGTAGAGTATTCCATATCGGCCGCCGATGAAAGAAAATTTGATTTCCGTTGTATTTGTTGCCCTGGGAGTGGGAGAAGTGTATTCATGGGATATTCTGGTTTGATTTCTGGTGACTGGTACCTTTGCTTTTGCATGGAATCTGGAGGGACATCCAAGAGATACTTTTTACGTTTTCTAGGAGCATCTTGGCATGTTGCCTGGAGTCCTTTCTGGACACATCGGGCACAAGGACGGTTTTCGTCGCAGAGTAAATGGGCTCGGTGACAATGTGTGCAAGCTCTAATGGTTTTTTTTCGTTTCTGTTTGTTAGTAAACATTAAAAAGAGCGGATTTTTTAAGAGGAAAATTATACGAAAAACGATGAGGGAGTTCAACGCTCCATAAGCACTAACTTTGTTGAGTTTGAAGCGAAAAACCGGGGTACTTACTGGTCTCTGTCCCGCCTCGGCGGGAGCGCTCATGGTGATCGATTTGATTTTTCGCGCGATAAGCTAAAGCGAGAGAGTGAGAGAGAAGTGGAGTAATGAGAGAGTGTAATTTGTGAAAAAATGAAGATTAAGGGTGATATGAGACAAATTGGTATTCTCAATCGATAATTTGGGAAGAGTTTTCAATTCTTCTTTGGAAATTCATTTTGGTGTATGAAAAATGATTTATAGTTTTGAAAATACAGAAATTTGCAAAAATATGCAACTTTTATTAATGTCAGTTTTTTTCAATTCTAGGCAAATGATTTTCTTATTACTCCAATTGACTCCTTCAAATTGACTTTTTCCAGTAGACTAAAGACTTCAATGTATTCTCTCTCTTTAACCATCCACCTCTTTTCTCTCTTCCTGCACAGACCCTACATATTTTCTCGCATCGTCGTTTGGCTTCACCATGACTGATTTACAATCCTACAAACCCGTTTCACTCTCCGACATCGATTCGGCGCCTGAAACTCAGTTTCCTGAGCTCAACGATGAACAAAAAGCATTAGCTGCTCAGTATGAGACCATTTCTGGTCGTCTTGACGAGAAGGAATCATTGACCTTGTTGAACGATGGATTACGAACCTCCACTTTTTTGACTGGAAATCAGCCCAGCAAGGCGGATTTGGTTGTTTTCAAGGCTGTTCTCCCTGTAGCAGCGCAATGGAAAGATACTGACAAAATTGCCGCTTACAGACACATCATTAGATGGGCCGATTTGGTGCAAAACACCTTGGTTTCGGTTCCAGATGCCAACAAATTGGTAGTAGACCACAATGTGGAGCTCCCCAGAGAAGTCAAGGAGAAGAAGAAAGACAAGAAGGACGACAAAAAAGAGGACAAAAAAGATGACAAGAAGGAGGAAACCAAGGCTAAAGAAGAGAAAAAAGCCGGTGGGGAACTCACTGAAGAAGAAAAGAAAGCTCGTGCTGAAGCTGCCAAAGCTAAGAAAGCCGCCAAGGCCAAGGCCAAAGCTGAGCTCAATGCTAAACAAGCTGCCACTCAAGCTCCTCCCAACCCAGCAATGGTGGATTTCAGAGTTGGTTTCATTCAAAAAGCCGTCAAGCATCCTGATGCCGATTCATTATACATGTCTACCATTGAAATGGGAGACGAAGATGGTCCTCGTACTATCTGTTCTGGTTTGGTGAAGCATGTGGCTCTTGAAGACATGCAAGAAAGATACGTGGTGGTTATTGCCAACTTGAAACCGGTGACCATGAGAGGTGTCAAGTCTTGCGGAATGGTGCTTTGTGCCTCTAAAGATGGTAAAGTTGAATTTGTTAATCCTCCACCAGGATCGAAGGCGGGTGACAAGTTGTTTTTTGAGGACTTTAACGGCACTCCCGAAAAGCAATTGAATCCCAAAAAGAAGATTTGGGAAGCGGTTCAGCCCAAATTCACCACTACAGAGTCGTTTGAGATCACCTACACAGAAGAGGGTAAGGAGCCCAAAAAGTTGGTCAATGAAAAGGGTGAGCCATGTAAAAACCTGACTTTGGTTGCCGCCAATGTCAGCTAATTTATAGACCCTAGTAATACAATGTAGGTTATTGGCTCTCGCGGAGTCGCTGATTAGCATGTCGCATCGCATCGCAATTCTACACTAATTCTACACTAATACTAGCAAGTCGCATAGTTTCTATTTTCATGAAGCTTGTTAAGCAATCGTTCGAGAAGGATTCGAGTGGCTTCATCACCATAGTCCCCCAGGATAAAGAAGATCTTTGGCAGATATACAATCTCATCCAAAAAAATGACGAGGTGAAACTTTCTACTCACAGAAATGTGAAAAAAGGGTCTGGCAATAAAGTGGAAAGAAAAGTAATGACGCTTCGACTTCTGGTAGAAGACATAGAGTACACTCCCTCAGATGAGGTGATGAGAATTAGGGGCAAGTCTATGGAGCCAAACGAATATGTTCCATTGCTGAGTTACCATACGGCTGAGGTTCAATTGAACAAATCTTTCACATTGTATAAACCAGAATGGGACGAGATCAGTTATGGAATCGTGGTAAAATCTTGCTCCATCGACGAAAAAGCCGAGGTTGGAGCGGTGGTTCTCGAAGAAGGAGTTGCACATCTTTGTCTTGTAGCCGATAACATGACAGTGCTTCGAAACAAAATAGAGAAACTGATTCCTCGAAAACGAAGAGGAGAAGATGGAGGAGGAAACCACGACAAGGCATTGGACAAGTTTTTTGACATGGTTGTTAAAACAATCTTGAGGAATTTTGACCTTGATAGACTCAAGGCGGTGATCTTTGCTTCGCCTGGATTCACTGCTCAGCTCTTGTTTGACAAGCTTATGGCCACAGCGGTCCGTGAAGAGAACAAGACGGTGATCCAGAACAAGTCCAAGTTTATAATTGCACATTCCCTGACGGGATATCTTCAAGGATTAGAGGAGGTTTTGCGAGATGGTAAAGTGCAGAGCAAATTGCTGGACACCAAGTTTGCACGAGAAGCAATGGTTTTCGAAGAGTTTCAGCGAGTACTCAACGAGGATGATGGTAGAGCATGGTATGGGCCCGAGGAGTGTGCCAAGGCGGTGGAAATGGGCGCTGTGCGTTATTTATTACTCACCGATACATTGTTTCGAAGTGATGATATTAATACTCGAAAACATTACATCAAAATGTCCGAAGATGTCAGAGCCACCGGTGGTGAACCATTGATATTTAGCAGCTTGCACGAGCTGGGAAAGCAACTCGACATGTTGACAGGAGAGGCTGTTCTCTTGAACTATCCAGTGGACTTGGAGTAGTAGCATACGAACATTCTTATAATTTGAATATTCATTCCCTTTCTTCTTTCTTCTTTCTTCCCTCCTTCTCTCATAACCTATTTACAATTTGCGGGTTAATTACACCCAATTTGTCCATATACCAGATATGTCCTCCACGGCGCCAGATGATCAAATCCTGAGTCACACCCAAACTTAGTCCCAAAAAAGCTCCCTTCTTTAAATAATTGGCACTCTGGACCCTGGAAAGCTGGTTATACCAAGCATAAGTTCCGGCAGTGATAGCAGCAGCTGCAGTAGTACTGGCAAAGTCGATGGTTCCTCGTACATAATCTATGATAGCCTCAGTGCCAAAAAGTCCCGTCACAGCTCCAGAATACTTGGCTCCTTGTACTAGAGCAAGCTTACACCCTCCTACAATCATAACGTAGTTTTTTTTCTTGTGGTAAAAATACCATCCTCCAACGGTTCGAGGAAGACGATGACTATTTTCGATCAAGTAGCGTAACGAGCCGATCTTTATACCTTCATAGAACCCCGAGAAGGCCCCTATCAATCCACCCACACTTGCAACGGCCCCTAGACGCTGGTAAGGAAAAAGATGGAATCGTTCATTTATGGCAGGATCCATTGATGAAGAAACAATCGAAAGCGCGAAACATTTGCCAATGAACCTAGGCCTATATATTTACTGATCTAAAATACTCTTAACAAACTCCACATAGTCGACATTACCATCGGAGGTCACATTGACTCCTTTCAACAATTCGTCCACCTCTGAATCAGACAACTTTTCTCCAATCGATGTCAATATGTAACGCAATTCTCCTACACCAATGTATCCGGTTTTTTCCTTGTCAAACACCTGGAATCCCTTGATATACTCTTCAGGCAACCCCAATGGCTTGAAACCGTCGGGTCTGTTTATGATCTTCTCGTAAGTCTTGTAGTCAAAGTCATCACCAGGAAGTTCTCTTTGTAACTCAGCAACTTCAGCAAGGGTTGGGTTTTGGCCAACAGCACGCAACAAGTCACCCAAGTGCTCGGCGGGGATCTTTCCTGTACCTTTTTTGTCAAAAAGGGCAAAAGCGTCTTTATAAGTTTTGGTATTCTGAGACTAGGTTAGTCAAAATTCGGGAATAGGACTGGAAATTAAAGTTGGTGATTCCTAGCACAGATATGTACTCCTGGGCTTATTTTGGACCCACAACATGTTATGGGTGTAGTTTTCACTGATACATACCATCTTTATTGAACGTGTTTTGATCTCAAAAATGATAAACACCGGGTTACCCTGCGCGCGCCACAGAATAGACGATCTAAGAGTAGAGCGAAGAGAAGAGATGAACAAGAAAAAAAGTGTATTTATGTGTTGAAACAAGGGTTGAATAGACACATTAAATATATCAGAGTAATCTAAATCAACATTAAAAGGTTGTTCTTGCAAGATTTTCTTGCTACTTGAAAAATGATTAAACGGATTGTACAAATATGAATACTCTACTAAACTTTTCATACTCTTTCTTTTCGCTTCTGTAAATGTTGCTTGTACCTGTCATCTGCGCTCCACCATAATTTTTTTGTTCCCCTTCATCACTCTCTACTGGATCATCACCTCTGCCATCCAATGCACCAAATATACTTATCGCGTTGCAAGCACAACTATACAATTTATTTCCTAATACACTTCAGCCTTATATTAACCCCAATCTCAGCCATTTTCACCATTTGGCTTATGCATTTCCACCACCATGCACAAGCGTCAGAAAACTGAAAAGTTTCGACCGGGCTTCATTGTTTCTGTGAGAGTTACCAACTTTACAACCTACTCAAATGCAGAATTTCAGCTTTCTCCCACATTAAACATGATCATTGGGCCCAATGGTACGGGAAAATCAACCCTAGTGGCCGCAATCTGCCTTGGACTAGGCGGAAAAATCGAATTAATCCGCAGAAAGACATTGAAGTCGATGATAAAAACAGGATGCTCAGAAAGTACCATTGAAATTACCCTTAAGAATGCAGAAGATGCAAATCCCGAATATTTGGTTATAGAGAGAACATTTACTGCGACTGAGCTGAATTGGCTTGTAAATAATCGTGTCTCGGACGAACGTACGGTTCGTAATGTGTGTCGAAAACTCAATATTCAACTCGATAATTTGTGTCACTTTCTTCCTCAGGAACGGGTGGCGGAATTTGCTACTCTTACTCCTGAAAAACTACTTTTACAAACCGAGCGTACATTGGGAACGGGCCACCTTATCAGCCTTCACGAAGACCTCATACGTCTAGACTCCGAGCGAGAAACTGTGAAATCCGAACTTGAAAATAACAGTTCAAAGCTCGAACGGTTGAATGTAGAACGACAAGATCTAGAGGCAGAGGCGCAAAAATTCGAGGATTATCAAAAGAAATCCAGAGAGATAGAACTCCACAAGATGCTACTTCCGTACGCCCAATTACAGGACCTAAAAGAGAGACAAAAAGAACTTAAAAGGCAGCGAGATGAAGCAAAGAAAAAGTTACAAAACTTCAACCTTACGACCCAACCTTTAGAAAAGCAAATACGACAAACTGATGAACAAAGAAGAGATATACACGAACAACTCGACAAGCTCAAGCACCGCCATTCACTGTTAACCACCCAATACAAGCAACAAACTGCACAGGTTCGAGAAGCAACAGACAAGATCACTGAACTAAAAGCGTCTGTGGAATCTCTAGCGAACAAGTCTGAACGTCGAAAACAAGAGGCCGAGAAACTAAAACAAGAACGACAAGAATTGGAAGTCAAGCTTCGATCTGTACCTGAAGTAGACGAGGAGGCTTTAAAGGACGCAAAGAAGAACCGCGATGACGCTTTCAGAGAATTAAACGAACAAAAGAGCAAAACCCAGCAGCTTGAAGATACAATGGAGCCCAAAGTATCTCGAATTCGTAATCTTCAGGCTGACTTGAAACGTTACGAGGCCAAACTCACTTCCACTGACAAGTTGCTGGTGCTTGAAGCCAGAGGAAGACCGTATAATGAGTTGAGAGAGAATGCCCTTAAGGGTCATCTCTTACTTCGAGAAAATCCTCAGTTTCAGCTGCGATACTTTGAAGCTCCCATAGTATCTTGTGAGGTTACAGAAAAAGCTTATGCTCCTTTTATTGAAAAGGTGATTGACAATAATACTCTTCTCGCCATTACTGTTCCTGATCAAGAGAGTTACGATGAGGTTTCGAGACTTGTTTTCTCCAAATACAACGTCCCCATGAGACTCGCATTAGATGAGCCTGGTCGTTTACCAGTGCCACGTGAAAGGCTACACGAATACGGCTTCGATGGGTACCTTTCTGATTACATTAATGGACCACCAGTAGTGTTGAATATGCTCAAAGTTATCTCCAAGCTACACATGATTCCAGTAAGAAAGAATCCCATGTCTGACGAACAGTTTCAAAAACTTATTACTCCAAATGCTACTGGTCAGATTCCTTTCATGAAGTTTGTGGTTGCAGACGATTTTGTGAGTGTCTCACGATCAAGATACGGGTCCCGACAATTTTTCTACTCTACTGAAAAGGTGAGAAATGCCTCATTTTTCGTTACTGGCGGATTGTCTAGAGAGGCTCGCCTAGATATCAAAGAGAAAATTGCGTCAGTTTCTCAGGAGTATCAACAGTGTCGAGACGAAGTCAAGCAACTCCGTCAAACAGCAGACAAGAATAGACTAATTTACGAATCAGTGAGCAAAAAATTGAGCGCTGCCCGTGTTAAGGTGGAAGAGCTCCAGTCAGTCAGATCCAACAGGGCCAAATTGGTAGCCTATATATCTGCGAAAGCTGATAGAATCAAGAAGATGGAACATGATGCACAAAAGGATTATACCGAAAAAGTTCGACAAACCGAACAAAGGATCAACGATATGTTTCACACAAGAGCCACAAAACTGGCAGAAGCTGCTCAGACGCTATCTCAGTTAACCATGCTTTCTATCGACATGGACTGCAAGAACTTTAAAATTCTTCAGGAAAAGAACCGTATAACAACTCTTAAAAAGTTGATTCACAGTCTTGACGATTACAAAAAGACTCTTGTTGAAGAATACGAAGAATTGAAGCGTAAGTATGACGAAATCAAGAAGAGTGATGCTGCACGGAAAGTTCGACAGCAAAGTGAAAACTACACGGAAAACGACAGAACAGTACTTTCATCGCTCGCTGAATCTTATCTTCTGGAAAACAATTTGAGTGAGGCCTTTATTCAAGACAGGATTCATTTCTTAGAAGACGAGCGGTCGGTGATGGCTACAGCCGACCAGAGTGCCATAGCTACTTTGGGACAAAGATTGCAGGAGATCAAGCAACTCGAACAAAGAATACCTCACCTTGAAGAAGAAAAGCACAAATTGGACAAGCAAATTGACGACAAGCGAGCCAAATGGGAACCTGAGCTATCAAGCATTGTTCTAAAGATTTCTTCAGCATTTCAAAGCAAATTCACAGCAGTAGCTAGTGATGGGCAGGTGGAATTGGTGAAAGCTGAGAGGTTTAAAGATTACAAGTTGCAAATATTGGTCAAGTTTCGAGAAAATACCGACCTAAAAGTGTTGGACAATCATTCTCAATCTGGTGGGGAGAGGGTGGTGTCCACGATTTTTTTCATAATGTCACTCCAGGGATTGACGGAAGCACCCTTTCGAGTTGTTGATGAGATAAACCAGGGAATGGATCCTAAAAATGAAAAGATGGCACACAAGTATTTGGTTCAAACTGCCTGCGAAAATGATGCTTCTCAATACTTTTTGGTTACACCAAAGCTACTCACAGGTTTATATTACCACCCTGAAATGGCAGTTCATTGCATTTACACTGGGCCCTTTATAGAGAGCTCTGATAAATCTTTTCTTGACTTTAGGCAGCACACTGAAGTCAAATAATATATACAAGAATCTAAGCATTGACATACTTTTTCAATCTTTTGACAGCAGTATCGTCGCCTAGCACTTCGACTAGCACTGGAATTGTGAGACCAGGAGCACCCCCAGCCAAAGCATTGCGCAACGACTGAAAAACGTCCTTCTTTTTCACATTGAATTCCTCACAAATTTTTGTGGTTGATTCTGCAAAAGGTGATGCCCAGAGTTCCAAGAACCTTTGTACAATTTTCTTGAAGGTAGGTGTTCCTTTTGTAAAATCAATATCATCGTCTGTAAACAAGTATGCGTGGTTTGTTGTGATTTCGTTGAGGGATTGTAAACTGGGACCCAAAGCCACAAGTATTTTCTTGAGGTATGTGATGTCGAATTTATGGCCCGTGGCTGCGTCAAAGACTGGAAAATATTCAGCAGCCACCAGATCACAATCGGTCGATATTCTCTGCTGCAAATGCTGTTTGTTGAAAAAAATTAATTTAGACTCATTGACCTTGACATTTCCTTTCGTCAAATGGTTAAGAGAGAACTTTTCAACCAATTGAGAAAGATTCATGGTTTCGTCTACTGAAACGCCGGGAGTATCTCTTGGTGGAGACCAACCAAGAAGAGCAACAAAATTAATCAAAGCTTCTGGTAGAATTCCTCTTTCCTTATAGCTGAAAATACCAATATCCCCAGATCTTTTAGATAATTTTTTATCGGCCATTGAAGTCAAAAGCGGTATGTGGGTGAATTGTGGAGGTTCCCAACCGAAGGCACGATATAATGCAATATGCTTTGGAGTCGAAGGAAGCCACTCCTCGCCTCTAATGACATGGGTTATGCGCATAAGATGGTCGTCAACGACATTGGCAAAATGGTAAGTTGGAAGACCATCAGATTTGAGTATCACAAAATCATCGTAACGTCTATCGTCACTATTGTACTGTTGTTGCAAATTCAAATGCCCATGAAGTAGATCATCAAATGGCTCGTATACGGAAGGCGATTTGAACCGAATTATATCACCGGTTTCCAGTGGATTGTGCAAACACTTACGGTCATAAGTCACTGTAGTTGGCGGTTTCAAAGCGGCCGCCGAGTCTCTCAAAAACAAAAGACGTTCTTGCGAGCACGAACAGCGATAGGCATGGCCCAATTGAATCAATTCTTCGGCATATCGTTGATAAATAGAGGTTCTGTCGGACTGCCTATAAGGTCCATACGGCCCACCTTGCTGAGGCCCTTCATCCACTTCAATTCCACACCACTTTAAACTGCGATATATGTTTTCCTCCGCTCCCTCAACCAACCGCTTTTGATCTGTATCCTCCAACCGAAGCAAAAACTGGCCACCAGTATTTTTCGCTAACAAATAATTGTATAACGCTGTACGAAGACTTCCTAAATGTAGAAAGCCAGTAGGAGAAGGTGCAAATCTCGTCCTTGCAGCTACCGCAGGATGTACAGTTCCAGGGTTTGAACTTGGCACCGATCTTCGTAACTTGGTGCGGAGTGCCAGTTTACTGTACCATCGTAAGAGCATGTAGCTTGATTCGAGATGGTATACAGGAAACTGGTGAGATACGAGATGACGACTGTGTACAGGAGCGAAGCTAGACTGCCACAGTAGCCATTTATGAAGCAAAAGATCAAGTCACACAATCAAAAGATCAAAAACGAAGTAAATTTATAAGTGATCGTGCTGAACGTAAATTGAAACAATGTTTCTACTTGCTCAAAGTTTCATTTTCATTTATCAAGTGTCTTTTAATACTTAGTTTCGCATTGAGAACCAAAGAATTTCATTACAAGGAAGGAATTCCGTTAAAGTCTTCTCCCGTCTTCTCCCGGCACCCCCTGCCCCACCGTATTACGCCCTTGCAGCCTACCCAGTATTTGCCACCCTTCTGCTTACATAAGCAGGAGATATTAAAAGGTGTGATTCCCCCTCGCGGTGATCATTAACTTGCTGCAATGTGCAGATCCAAGAAAAACGATTCCAACTACAACGAAGACCTTGAAAAGGTTGTTTCCAATGTCAATGACCTCAAGACCAACTTGGGTTCTTTGGCGTCTTCTTTTTTTGCTGAAGATGGTCCTTTCACTGAATGGCAAGATCGGGCAAAATCGTTATCATCAGGTGTGATGGATGAAGCGTGGAAACTGGTCAATGAAGTCAAGGGCGAAGTACAGAGTCTCTTGGATGATGACGCGTTTTTCCCTAAGCCTTATCAGACAAGACTGGGAAAACAAGAAACAATTGATAGGGTGTCTAATAATGACTCTAGATGGGGTACATGGGGCGGCTGGCAATCGAGATGGCGCGGTCAAACCCCATTCGGGTTCTACTCGTATCAAGCTCCATCGTCCAGGTCCTACCACGAGTGTTTACAGAAGAATGGAGAAACGGTATGGGACTCCGAAGGGTATTGGAGGTGCTTGTTCCCCAATGCCGAAGTGCCTAATCTGATTCTTGCGAAGAAGGATTCTAATCAAATTTTGACCAAGGAAGACTTTAATAATGCTGCTGCACATGCCAACGTTCAGGATGGCGTGTATGATTTGGGTGCAAAAGGCACATACTTTAAGCAGTTTACAGACTACCTCAATTGGAAGGAAGCGATGTATGAGAATGTGAGACGAGAGAAAGAGAACCGGTGGAACAAGTTGAAGGACCTGAACCAGCTGTGGCACGAGCTGTGGCACGAGAAGCATCACAAACGCGATTTCTCTCATAAGCTGTTGCACGAACGGTGGCACGAGAAACATGATCTGCCTCAAGAGTCTCCAGAACAGGTGGAAAAATCTGAGCCACAAGATTTGGGAATCGTGTCGTACTCGGTTCTGAATGTTTTCAATTCCAGCAATGAAGGAAACTTCTTGTCGGAGACCCGTACTGAGCGTTTTAAGGACGGTTCCACTCGCACCACAACCACCACTAAGCGTAAGCCCGTGGATTCGCTGGACTGGATTACGGTAGAGGATAAGACCGATTTTAATGGAAACGATATGAACAGTCTCGCGGCTCAGAACGACAATCAAAGCAGAAACGGCTGGTTCTGGCGCAAGTGACTAAATAATAAAGTGATTGTACATAGATGAATGAATTATGAGAATCTGAATATCTGGTGCAGTGGGCCTCGAGAGTGCTTATTTCCAAGTCGGCTCGAAGTTGACATCGGTATCATGAACCCCTTAAACAAGATCATCTTTCTTTCGGCATTCCTTGCGTCGGGATTCTTGTTGATCTTGCTTTCCTGTGCATTATATAACAATTGGAAACCATTATGGGTCATTGTCATCTTTTTAGTGGCGCCTCTTCCCAATATCATAGCATCATCAATTGAGAATAATCGAGACGACTTTTTGACATTTAGTAACGATCATGGCAATAATCCTACTCCTGTTGAAGAGGCTGCCAAGTATATCACCGGATTTTTGATAATTAGTGGTATAGCATTACCGCTCACATTATATCATACCCATATAATCGAAGTGGGATCTACAATCATGAGTATAATCGGAGGACTAATAGTTTATGGAGATATCATTTTGTTCATCTGGTTTTTCAGTGATGAAGAGGAGGAAAATGACGACTTTAATTTCTAGATTATCTAATTAAGTACCACCAAAAGAAGTATCAAGATTACCGTCAACACCACTATGGTGACTAGGCTTCCATTTTCTCTACATGCTTGTCGAAACTTACGAAGCCGGTCAGTGGCTCGGCGGAGTCGAATTTGGGAAGCATCAACTCCCAGTTCCAAATCGTTGAGAAGAATTAAATGGTCGTCCACCTCGTCATTAATAGACACTCCCATGGCATGCTGGCGACGCACAGAGTCATGGATAGTATCGAGCTGCAGGTCCTGGTCGAGAATTTGCTGTTGATGCTGAGCGAAAAGTTGCTGGTTTGTATCGGGATCAAACGATCCTAAACTTGCCTCTTCATCGTCCCGATATGGTTTAAAGGCTTTGGTTCCCATAAGCTCGCTACGCATGGTATCAGGATCATCCTGGAACCGCACTGTCTTTGGTGTTGATGCTAATACTGCGGTAACCTCTGGAATTGGGTCAAAGTGTAAGGCATATTCAGAAACGTCGATATATGTATCGGATTGTAGGCGGTCGAAACAGCGCTGATATCGATCGAGTCGGGCCTGGAATTCCGTTATGGCTGCCTGGTTTGTTCCATTCACCAAGATGTCATGTAACAGGGACAACTGTTTTGCCAGGCGGGAAACATGGCTAATAATATCTAGATTATCGTTGGCAGATGGCTCCAAGCGAAGCACCAGAACAAGACGCAGCCGCTCATCGAGTTCCAGCTCCAACGCCCCTAACTGGGTGTCCACTTTTCTAAGTGCCTGGTTAAGCTCATTCATGATCTAAGAACGCAACCAGCAGACGATAAAGGGTGGCACCCAAACACCATTTATGTGCTGCCTGTGGCGTAATCATCGGCCCAAATTAGCGCCGATGCTGAGGGTAGACCGGAACCACATATGTATTGCTGGGCACACTGGCGTCTATGGTGGCAATAAATTGGCGTAATTGGCGTTCAATCTCTTCTGTTTCCGCCACAATCATATCTTCTATGCAGTCCAACATATTAGTGACATTATGAATGCTGGAATTACCGGTGGCGATTTGGGACTGAAAATGAGTATGATGATTTCTATTGGTTTTCCGCTCCGGGGTTGTAGGAATTGATGAAGCTACGGTTTCTGTAGTCATTGCTGACGCGAGACTATTTCGCGACGACCGGCGTGACGTAGACGATGACGATGATGGCGATTGAAAAGAGTATGCTTCCCACGAGTCGGCAATATCTTCTGGGATAAGGTTGTCTAGCTGGACGAGTAGGTTTTGGCGTCGTGACATTGGGTATTTTCAGAAGTTAATGGTAATATGTGGAATGTAGCCTGGGAATATGTGCTGGAAGTAATAACAAAGTGATAAAGTAGTTATTGAGTAGTTATTAAGTAGTAACTTGTTGATTTGTCTGAGTTTTGTAAGAGTGGACTGATTGCACTATTAATACTTTTTGCGCGTAAACCATTTGCAGTCGCGGTCCGCGTCGCGGCTGCAGGGTGTCGCCTGTTTTAAGGTACTTGACCCATTTGGACAAAAGGTTTTTGACGGTACAATCGCGAAGACGCATAAGGGAGCGTCAAAATTTGCGTAACAAGGGATGGATTCTGATGCAATTGCGGTTGTCAATAGTGGAGACAATAGCGATGCAGCATTCGGATGCATGGCGGCGCATGACATTGCATCCGATACTTATTGTTCGTGGGTGCTGCGTGCACCCATACACCCTGAAGTTGCAGCCAATGGTGCCAAAGGTGTCATCGAAGAAGAAGAGTGAAGAAGGAGATGATGAAATTTTAAATCAGTCTTCTTTCAGATCTCTTTGTTTTCTGGGTACGAATTACTTTTCTTTTTTTATTTGAATTTATCATTTCAAGCTTCCATTTGATTGCTCTTTCCACCATTATTGTCTCAACCATCTTGTCGTCTTCTACTTACCGTCTACTGCTTACCATCTTCTGCTTATCGTCTTCTCATCTTTTCATTTATCATCTGTTCGCAATGCTGTTTCTGCCGGTCTCTGCAGCAATGTCGCCGCGGCGCCCCGCGGCGTATGTCGCGCGCAACCGCCATTCAACTACTATAAGAAGAGGTCGCCACGTTTACTTCTCTATTATAGACAGCATTTAAAAGTTTAAAGTTCACAAAAGATTAATAATTAAAGCTCACAAAAAGTACTGACCATGACCTCTGCTAAACCATCAACTATAGTATGTGTTTTTTGCGGATCTTCGTTTGGTAATAAACCTGGTTATGCCAATGATGCCACCGAATTGGGACAAAAGTTGGCCCATAAAGGCTGGGGAGTCGTCTACGGAGGCGGAACTACCGGTGTCATGGGTGCAGTGGCCCGTGGATGCGCCACTAATGGAGGATATGTTCATGGAATAATTCCCGAGGCATTGATTTCGAGAGAAAGAACCGAAGAAAGTGCCGAGGATCTCAATCAAAAACTCAAGGAGTCAATTGACAATCACGATGGCAGTACACCTTTACCTGACTCGAAGGAATACGGAAAAACCACGTTGGTGAAAGACATGCATACTCGGAAACGGATGATGGGAGAAGAAGCCAATGCATTTGTAGCACTTCCTGGTGGATATGGCACTTTAGAAGAGCTTATGGAGGTGGTTACATGGTCACAGCTTAATATTCATAACAAGCCTATTGTATTGTACAATTTGGATGGATTTTATGACAACTTTCTCAAATTCATTAATGACGCAATCGAATCTGGATTCGTTTCGAAAAAGAACGGAGAGATCATCAAGGTGGCATCCACCGTAGACGAATTGATAAAAGCGATAGAGGAGTACGAGGCGCCCGAGGGAAAATTTAATTTAAAGTGGGATACCACCTAAATATCTATATAACGGATCTCACAAAAGTGTAAAGAATGTAGCCACTATAGTGCGTTCATCTAATGCATCAGAAAAGTATGGGTTGATGCTGTTAATGAGGGTTGATATCGTCCGACTCATCGTGCACGTGGAACAAGTCTTCAAACTCATCATCTGGAATTTCAAGCTCGTTCAAGTAGCCGGTGCTCACATCGTACATCATTCCCCACACCTCGATTTCGCCATTTTTAAGAGCCATCGAGGCAGATGGGTGACGCTTGAGCGCCATCACAGACAGCACCACATTAAGTTCTGCCAACTTACGAGCCTTCATTTTAGGATCATCATTGTACTCATTGAGGAGTTTCAAATTGGCAGCTCTAATGTGACGGATAGGATTGAGCCATAAATCAAGTACCCCACCAATCTTCTTGGACGAGAGCGATGCCCATACGCCTCCACAATCGGTGTGACCACAAACAATGATTTTTTTAACTTTGAGAACATCGATTGCAAATTGAATGATACCTTGTGAAGAAATATCACTAGCAGTGATAATGTTGGCAATGTTTCTATGGGTGAAAATCTCACCTGGAAGAGTAGCCAAACAGCTTTCTCCAGCACGAGAATCAGAGCATCCGATCCATAAAGTATGAGGAGATTGTCCTCTTCCATTAAGTTCAAATACCTCAGATGAATGGTTATGTTTGATGGAATCAACAAAGTAACGATTGTTATCCAAAAAATCCTTCTTGGTGGACTCCTTCAGCAACAGAAATGGAGTATGGGAGTGAGAACTAGCACGAGCTGAAGTCTTGAGATAATCGGCCAGCGCCAAGTCCGTCTCGTTGTCATGTTCTAATTGATATCTGAGAATATTTTCCCTACCCATGATGCGACTCAAGGTACCAAGTTGTCTATAGCTACGAAATAAAACCAGTGTGTGGTGAGAAAATTGTGGCGGCATCCATCCATTTATATCAATTTTTTTGTCATCTCAACATTCGGAACCCAACCGTAGTGACGTAGCCCATCTTGCATGGCCGTTAGCTAAGCGCTTACCCGCCAAAGATGAGACGATAACGATTCGGTTACGCCGGTGCAGGCTCCGCCGGCGCTCGCCACAACTCGCCGCACTCGCCGCGGTTGCGATGATTTCGCATTGCTAAATTCCCATCGCGATTCCAACGCGTCGATGACTACGGAAGATCTACGCCTGTTGGTGGAACCACAGGTTATATCCGAGGAGCAGCGTCAGTTCAACAAACTTTCCAAAGATAGAAAGTTGGATAGACTTAATACGCTTATTCTGAAGTCTCAAATTTATGCCAATATCATTGCTGATAATATCATTAATAACACCTCCAAAAAGAAACGCGCCAGAAATGAAAGTCCTCAACCTGTCAAAGCTCAGAAAACCGCCAGCGGGAAACGAGATATCATGTCAATGCTCACAAATCCCAAACCAGAAACAACCTATCAACCATCGTTGATTACTGGTGGAACCATGAAAGATTATCAACTCGATGGATTGGAATGGCTTCTGACATTATACGAGAACGGCCTCAATGGAATCTTGGCAGACGAAATGGGGCTTGGAAAGACTCTTCAATGCATTGCATTTCTTAGTTATTTGATTTCAAATGGAGTGACAGGACCATTTCTCGTCGTGGTTCCACTCTCCACTTTGAGTGGTTGGTTCAACGAAGTACAACGTTTCGCACCATCAATGAAGGTCCTCAAGTATACAGGAACCAAACAAGAAAGACAAAAGATAAGGCTCAAATCAGATTATAATCTTATACTCACATCTTATGAAATTTCCATTCGAGATTTCACCAAATTGAACTCGGTATCGTGGAAATACCTTATAGTTGATGAGGGCCATCGTCTCAAAAATAGCGAATGCCTACTTATCAAAGTACTAAAAAAACTTGATGTCCAAAATAGACTTCTCATAACAGGCACACCATTACAAAACAATTTAAATGAATTATGGTCATTGCTCAATTTCATTCTTCCCGATGTGTTCCATGACTTGGAATTATTTCAACAGTGGTTCAATTTCGACGAGCTCACAACCATGAAAGACGACGAAGACGACGATGAGACAAGAAGATTGATAGAACTTAACATTCAAGAAAACTTGATTCATAACCTTCACACCATCTTAAAGCCATTTATCCTTCGCAGAGTTAAGAAGGATGTCATAATGAACTTGCCTTCGAAAAAAGAGTATTTGATTCATATCCCCTTGACACTGCTTCAAAAGAAACTCTATAAAGATGGCTTGGATAATAATCTCCATAGAAGCATTGTCGAAGTGAATTTGAAAGAATATCTCTTTTATAACCACTCATCAACCTTCAAATACCCCAGAGACGAACCTGAAATTGACGCGTATTTACAAAAAGCCTACGATGATCAGAACCTAGAGGAGCGACAAAAAGACTATAGCTTCGTTGAAGAAGATAGCGACGACGAATTTGAAAGCAAGAGTCCACGAAAATCCAAACCAAAGACGGTCAGAATGACAAGAAAACAAAAAATCATTGATGAGTGCTTCCATAAGATAAGCAAGCATACGAGAAATCTCTCACTTCAAAATGCCGTGGTCCAATTGCGTTCGATATGTAACTCACCTTACACTTTTTACGAGCCATTTCCTCTCAATGATTCCAAAACCAGTATTTTCATGGAGGTGTTTTATAAAAACTCGGCAAAAATTCAGGTCTTGGACCAGCTAATTAATGAGCTCTTGCCAGATCATAAACTATTGATCTTTTCACAGTTTACCAAAATGTTGGATCTCCTTCATGATTGGTTAGATTTCAAAAATATAGGGTTCTGTCGTCTCGATGGATCAACATCTCATGAAGATCGGGATACTCAGATCGATCAATTCAACACTGACAAATCTAAAAAGGTCTTTTTGTTGTCAACCAGAGCAGGCGGGTTAGGAATTAATTTGACAGCTGCCGATACTGTGGTGATATTTGACAATGACTGGAACCCCCAGGTTGATTTGCAAGCGATTGACCGTGTGCATAGAATAGGACAAAAGAAGCCAGTCAAGATTTATCGCTTCCTCATCAAGAATTCAGTGGAGGAGATTCTCATTAGCAAGAGTTATTCTAAGCGGTTTTTAGAAAAACTTGTAATTCAAATGGGTCAGTTTGAGTTTAATAAGTTTCTGAAAATTCTTGATATTTCCAATGAAGAGGCTTCAAAACTATCATTAAAGAATCTTCTTGAAGTGTCGAAAAACTTTCAGTTCCTGGGCGAGACCGAAGAAGGATCTTTTCAAGTTTCTTACGATTTAGACGTGCAACCTGAACTGGCGGTTCTCACAGAGACAGAATTGTCTGAGTTGAACGACAGGTCCCTTGCATGTTATGAGACAGAAAAGGACTACCCCAACATCACGGTCTACGAGACTACTAATAACATGGATAATTCATCAATGCCGTCACATAAATAGTCATGATTCAATAATATTAACAGTCACGAATCCTCAATAAATAGTCATCATCAAATATAGCCTATGGCTTTCTTTCTCCATCTGATAGCATTCCACACAGCACCGTAGCTCCACGTCAAGTCTCGAGCGCCTTCCATGAGTCCGTTATATCGATTGAACTGTTCAGATATGTGTCCTTGGTCGTCCACATGGGCCTGAATAATTTGCAAGAATGAATCAGAGTAACTGAACATTCTGGAGGTGATCAATTTGAAATCGTCAGATCCATACGAAATCTTGTTTCCTAGACGTTGGGGAAAAAATTGCTTGAAGAATTCTCGATTACATTCATCAATGATAATGTCTTGACGATTGTGATTCAATTTGTACACCAATTTGTAAACGGCTTCGGCTGCAGATGCAGTGCAGAGAAACCACGGGTTGCCCTCAGAAGTTCCGACTCCATTATAAATGTCTTCCGGATAACGTCCGAGAGCGGCACCAATACCCTCCCCACTCAAGTTTCTGTTCAAGTGATAAAGTTGCTTCATTTGGTCGACAAATGCATGTAATGTTTGTAGAACCTTGCTATCGTCGATGTCAAAGGGTATACTAGTATGGTTTCCAGCTTCCAAATTATGGGAGTGGAGAGCTGCGAGAATGATTGCTGAATCAAGGCCTCCTCTTTTACCCGACATCACCAAACTTGGGGTTTCTAGAAGGTGATTTTCACCCACAAACCCAGCCTCAGACAATATAAATTTCTTAACGCTTTCGAAAGTTGACGTCAAATTTTGAACAAACTCAAAGTCGCCAAACGCTCGTGCTATGTCGATGCCATCGACTAATGACCGAAGATGTGCCATGGAAGTGTATAAGTGAACCCCATGTATCTCCTCCCACAAATCAAATGTCTGCATCTCCCAGTTGGCAACGACAAACTCAAGATCCGGTTTGACTATTTCATGGTAAACGTAGTATGGAGACTCAAGATCGGGATTCTCAAATTTTGCCTTATGTGCCAAGAGCAAATTGAGGTACTGGATAATAGTAGACAGTCTCAACGCCGGACCGTCGCTCTGTGGACGACCCCATGCCCCGTTAAACGGTGTAGAGTTCAAGTAAAACTTTGGCTCGCCCAAACCAGAGCGTTTCTCGTCGTCAAATTTTCCGCTCAAATTGTCAAGTCGTTGAAGAGTATGACAGTTAGAAATATAAAGCTCAACTAAACGCTTCGTTTTGGAATCTCCCAAGTTCGTGTCATACAAATGTTCCATGAGCATTCTTACCGTGAGAGCAGCATCTCTGGTCCACTGATAGTAATAATCCGGGTTCTTACTTGAAGGAGAAGCCAACACAGCACCAGGCTTCACATCATGCAAATTTGTCTTTGAACCACCAACATTGGCAAGAATGCCCCTGAATGCTATGGAAGATTGTTGCGAGAGCCATGCTTCAAAAATCTGTTCTGGAAATCAAGTCTTTATCAAGAGAAAAAAATGCTTGAAGATGCAAGGCAAAACAAAACTGGAATTGAAAGTAGGATACCAAATCTCATCGTGAAGTCCTAATGCTGAGATGAAAATGTGAGGTGAACAAGATCAAATGGACCGCAATTTGTGGGGTAACCCAGAAGTAAAAATTGTAGAAGTTTGGCCTTTAATAACGCTCAAGATTGATAATACTGAAATGAAACAAGTATGAGGAACTGAGTAGAGCGAATCCAAAAGTTCTTAGATCAATATCTAAATTTTCTTCTTGCAACTAGCTTGCTTTCTGTTATCTGTTTTGTTATCTTACGTTTGTGTCTTCTCGTGCACCGGTGCACCAGTCTCAGCACTCTTACCGCAGCGATGAAATTGTTCAGGTCGAAATCGCATTCATGTTCTACATTATCGGAGCATTGTTATTGCTCCATGCCACATATTCCTCATTTGAGTTGCACCAGGTACTCAAAATATCACATTTAAATTCTGCATCGGTACCTTTGGACATAATTGTGGAAGTGGGAATAGGGTTAGTTTTAATATTAGCAGGCGCCATCAAGTCGATAGAAAACCCATCAGTTCTTGATGTCCAGAATAAGGTTCAAACACCTAAACATAGATTCCTAAAGGACATTGAAATGAGAAAAGCGACCGTAGAGCTTGAAGCCACAGGTTTTAGCGAATATCAGTATTTGGAACTGAGAGTAGATTTTATCGACATTGTGGAAAAACGCCGGCAGCATGCCGCTTGGATCGAAAAGTAATGAATATAAGAACCTACAGGAGTTGTCAATGTTTCGTTTTATTACGTGATCGTTCATATAATACTGTTTCCTTTTTATTAGTGCTCTATTAAATCTGCTTCTTCTGTGCCATCTCCGCTCTCAGCTTCATCTTTTGTTCACGCTTGGCCTTTCCAGCAGGACCGGCCTCGGTGTTCAACACTGCATCCCACCATCTGAAAGAAGAACTGTAACTTCCAATAAAGTAATGATGGTGCTCGTCGTGATGATCTGCGCCAGCCCAGAATGGCAAAAAGTGGTGTAAAGACCATGGAAATTCGTAACCCGAATGAGAATCCACAGCTTGGAACAATCTCAAGGTGATCCAGAGACAAACAGTGAAAAGATGCAAGCTACCAGTCAACATACACCATACAATTGGAATACCAACGGTACCAAAACCAAGAAGCATCACCTCAATTGGGTGGGCGTACTCGGCAGTCAAGCCAAAAGGCGCAGCATACCGGTGATGTTGCTTGTGAATGTATTTGTAGAAAACACCATAGTGTAATCCACGATGGAACCAGTAATGCCATGCGTCTTCCAACACGAAAAATACCGCCAAATGGAAACAAATGGTGGTCCACGAGGGGAATGGAACTTCAAAGCTGATTCCCAACTTTTTGCAAACTGGATGGAAAAACCAACATGGAAAAGCTTCCACCAAAAAATGCGATGTTAAAACAGACTTGAGACATTCCCATTGTTCCTGATTAGAAGGAAGTTTGGTTTCCTGGATCTTGTACTTGTTGAAGTAAGGGATACGGTCAATTATGGCCCATGGTAAGCACCGGAAAAAGTACATGAATTCATGAACGGAAAAGAAAAGAAGACCAGTTGCAAACACATCATTTCCCATATAATAATAGTAAGCACCCCAAATTTTTTCCAAAACGTTCAACTGAGGAAGCTGAGCAAAATTGGAGTATGCATCAGCAAAAGTTGTCCCGTTAGTGAACAGGCTGTAATCATGGTATACTGAAGACAAACTCATGCTTGATGGGCTGAGACGAAAACGCGGGCTTATATGGTGGAAAAAAGAAACGCGCACAGGAACGAGAGGGAACGAGATAAACGAGCATGACAGAATCCAAAACCAAAAACCAGAGGGCGCGCGCAGCACGTGACGAGATCTCTTTGTGGGCCGTGGCGGACCGAGTGCCGGTGCGTTGCGTTCCAAATGAGGATGACAAACGAGTCTTCGGAGAATTGTGCAGTTTACCGACATATTTCGAAATAAATGAAAACAAAAAGCACAATTGCATTAGCAAACTACGACAATGACTTCAATGTCAACAATGGCCACCCTTTGCAAATTTATTCACCTATCTCTCTTCATCTGTCATATGCACGAACGGCGCGCGCTCGCAACCTAAGGATAAGGCGCACCGTTTGATTTTCAAGTACAAACGTAATTTAGCGCCATGAGTAATAATCAAAACAAAGATAATGATTCGCTCCAGCGGTCTCTGCTGAAAGAATCACTTGCATCCTCGTTATCCTCTAACCTACTGGAGGAACATGTACCGATTCCCTTACATGATACTGATAATGGAACTTCCACTTTTGGGCGAAGAAGTTCTGGAGTTTCTTCACCATCAGAGCAAAATGGACTACGCAAAGAAAGGTCCTATTCGTCTGCGGTGGCGGTAGCAGGGCAGGCAATACAGAATATTAGAAGATCTATGAGTATGTCAGCTACTGCTTCTATTGATTCCAATGGAACAGACCCTCTTCAAAGAGTTCCTACCGGGTACACTGTACGAGATATATATGGTGATATGGACGAAAATGATATCAACCTTCAACGAACACTCACTCGGTCTACCATATTGACCACATTGTCTCATCGAGTGCAACCTCTGCGATATAGAACTGCTCTGAGAGCTCCTACGACAAAGGAGGAAGAAGCAGAAAGTGATGAATACAAACAAGTTTACGAAGGGGTGCCCGATATTTCTGTACCGACCAAAGAATTTGGAGCGGAATTTGCAGATATAGATCCTGAACTTGTAACCTGGGATGGTGATGATGATCCGCATTATCCACGAAACTGGTCTCGAGCACAAAAAGTATTTCAAACTATGATTGTGGCATTGTACACTCTCATTTCTCCTATGTCGTCGTCAATTTTATCGCCGGCAATGGAGGATATTGCTGCGAGTCTTCATATGAATTCTAACTTTATAATGTCGTTTTCAGTATCGGTGATGGTGTTGGCGTGGGCTCTCGGACCGTTAATAATTGCACCTATTTCCGAGCTGGATGCATGTGGACGCCGTCCCGTACTTAATATCTCAATCTGGGTGATTTTCGTCTTCAATTTGGCATGTGGTTTTGCAAAGACAACCACTCAACTCTGTGTGTTTCGTTTCTTGGGCGGCCTAGGAGGATGTGCCGCTCTTAATGTGGGAGCTGGAACCCTTGCTGACTTGTGGAGTGACTCTGAGCGACAAATGGCTATGGCAGCGTACTCTATATGTCCCTCTTTGGGACCTATTCTTTCTCCAGTAATTGCAAGTTTCATCATCCAAGCCAAGGACTGGCCATGGGTATTTTATGTGTTGGCTATATTCAACGGAGCGGTGGCTATCTTTGGAACCATTTTCTTCCGGGAAACTTACTCACCTCGGCTTCTCAAAGACAAGGCTAATCGTATCAGAAAAGCTACCGGCAACAGCCATATTCATACGATTTTCGAGGTTGCAGATGGACTGACAAAATGGGAAAAAATCGTGCTCACGTCCACAAGACCACTCAAGTTGTTGTTTACTCACCCTATGATTATTGGATTGGGTTCATTCATGGCATTTGTATACGGTTTCATGTACTTGATGATCGTAACGTTTCCATCTGTATGGAAAGGCACCTATGGATTCAAGACCGGAGTGGCAGGGTTATTGTATCTTCCAATGGGAATTGGATTCATGCTAGGAACCGTGTTTTGGAGTTACGCAATCGACCACATTTACCATAAGCTTACGGCGAGGAACAATGGGGTACCTAAACCAGAGTACCGTCTTCCTTGTTTGCTCTTTTCAGGAATCGGTATACCAGTTGGGCTTATTTGGTATGGATGGAGTGCTGAGAAGCAATTGCATTGGATTATGCCCTCGATAGGATCAGCGATCTTTGCGTTTGCATTTATTGCCGTATTTCAAACCATCCAAAATTACCTTATCGATATGAATAACCGATTTGCAGCCTCGTCTGTGGCAGCTGCAGCCGTGTTCAGATCACTTTTTGGGTTTCTGTTCCCCTTATTTGCGAACAAAATGTACGAAAGGCTCAATTACGGGTGGGGCAATACAATGTGTGGACTCATTGCTTTGGCATTGGGTCTTCCGTTCCCAATCATATGCTTCTATTATGGTGAAAGAATGAGAAATTGGGCGAACAATAGAATGGATAGAGAACAAGCACAAAGAGACGCCCGAAACTTGGAACGGTTACGGAAACAGGAAGTAAAATAATATTCCAGAACGTGCTTTTTGTTGCAACTTTGCCCGGAGTTGTCTTTATCTGGTGACGCCATAGGCTGCAATCTTGCATATCATTGTACAGGATTACTGCAGGTGGTCGATGAGGCGGCTAAGAACTTGGGCGTACTTTGCTGTGGCTAAGGCGGGGTGGCGGAGCAAATTTTGTAGTGAGTTGACACCAAAGTCAGTGTAATAGCTCCAGAAAACCTTGTAGTTCCCTGGATACTCTTATTCATGGAAATTGCAACTTCGTAGTTGCCCTTGCTTTGCAGGAGCCAAAGTGCAGTCCCGGGGTCGTGGGCCTGCAAAACGGCCCTTCAACGTCATAGCCTTACCGGAGAATGTGCCGTCTGCAGGTCCGAGGCGACAGGAGGTCGGCTGAACCACATGGTCCGCCGAGGTTGGGCGAGGGACTAATTTCGAGGAAAGAGACATAATTTGAGGAAACTTTCAATGTGGGGAATTGACTGGAGTATGTATAGATTCAGCATATCTTCAATTCCCCATAAACTTTCCCCGTTCCTGTTCTATTCCAGGTAACTGGTGCGATCCAGGCATGGTTAGTGTACTGCAGATAGGCCCACAGTTAGGCCGGGAGTTTTCGCGGAGTCTATTTCGGTCATCGTTTCTTTTTGCGCGGCCAGATAATCCGGGGTATTTAAAGCCAGCCTAGCGTGCTCTGCTGCACTGGTTTACAATTTTTTTTTGAAGACTAGTGAACTTAAATCTGCCACATAAAACTATAACGGAACAGACTTGTTGATCTTTTCCTACAGTCAAATAAACTCATCACGAAGAAAAATTTTTTTGACAACAAATCATCATAAACAATGGATTACTCCTACGACAACGTTGTACCAAACTTTAGATTGGATGGAAGACTCGCTATCGTCACTGGCGGTTCTGGTGGACTTGCCTCTGTGATTTCAAGAGCTCTTCTTGCTCAAGGTGCCGATGTTGCCTTGATTGATATGAACCTCGAGAGAACCAATGTCGCTGCAAAAGAGCTTCTCAAGTGGGGAGAAGACACCTTGAAGGGTGCTCACGAGTCTGCTATTGGCCAAGTGTCTGCCTGGTCGTGTGACATTGGTGATGCTGGATCTGTTGAGCAAACTTTTGTCGCCATTAACGAAAAACATGGCAAGATCGCTGACTTGTTGATCAACTCTGCTGGTTACTGTGAGAATTTCCCTGCCGAGGAATACCCAGCTCGAAATGCTGAGGGTATCATGAAAGTTAACGGTTTGGGTGCATTCTACGTTTCTCAGTCGTTTGCCCGTCCTTTGATCCAAAACAACTTGAGAGGTTCCATCATTCTTATTGGTTCGATGTCAGGAACTATAGTCAACGACCCTCAACCACAAGCTATGTACAACATGTCCAAGGCAGGTGTTATCCACTTGGTCAGATCGTTGGCGTGTGAATGGGCCAAGTACAACATCAGAGTCAACACATTGAGTCCTGGATACATCTTGACTCCATTGACCAAGAATGTCATTGCTGGACACTCTGAGATGAAGGACGCCTGGGAATCTAAGATCCCTATGAAGAGAATGGCAGAGCCAAAGGAATTTGTTGGCTCTATTTTGTACTTGGCAAGTGAATCTGCCTCCAGTTACACTACCGGCCACAACTTGGTGGTAGATGGTGGCTACGAATGCTGGTGATGACCTATATGTAAGCTTTTATTGCATGTGTACACTAATGACTTATTTCAATGTTTGAAACTTTTATAGACCTAAATTAAAACAATACTTAGTTTGACCCTAACATTTCTTGTAAGAACGCATCTGAATTAGGTTCTCTGCCCAACACTTCTTTTAATCCAATCATGATATCCCTCGAATCTCCAGGACGCAAGACCGAATCACGGTACTTGAGCCCGCTTTCAACGCTCATTGGGTCTTTCTTGAAAAGGGTGTAATAAATGTCATTGGCAAATACTTGCGAATACAAGTATCCATAGTACCCAGATTCATAACCTCCAGCGAGATGCCCAAAGGTGGAGTAACCGTGAGTTTTGATTCCATCGGTTTGTAAGAGCGAAATACTTTCTCTGTAGCCATTCCACAACTTGGCCAAGTCAAGAGTTTCCAAATCTTTTTCGTTGTCGACGGTATGGAGAGCCATATCGAAGAGTCCTAATTGTAACTGTCTCAAATTCAATAAACCAGTGTTTACGTGCTTAGATTTAATCAACAGATCAATAAGGTCGTCACTGATAGGCTCACCTGTTTCGTAATGTGCCGTCAACTTCTTGAGCTCGTTCTTAGACCAAGTCCAAAACTCAAGCATTTGCGACGGGGTTTCAACAAAGTCCCTTGGTACAGCGGTACCGTGGAATCTTGAATACTTGGTCTGTGACAAGATGTTGTGGATTCCGTGTCCCAACTCGTGGAAGAAGGTAGTAACTTCGCTATGTTGCAAAAGCGATGGTTTGGTTTTGGTAGGCTTTGTAAAGTTGCAAACCAAAGCGGTGACAGGAGTCATACGACCACCATCAGACAACTGGTAACCACCACCAAGAGGAAAATTGGCAGCATGGGTGTATTTTCCTTCTCTAGGATGCAAGTCAATGTATAACCATCCCATGAATTGGTTCTTTGGAGACCCATGAGTAATGTTTTGGTAGACAGCAAGAAGCTTGGCATCTGGATGCCACAAGGTTTTTGGGTCTGGGTTCTCAATCTGGTGTAACTTTATATCAAATATGGTTTCGTAGAATGAGAACATTTGCTTTTATAGTATTATCAAGTGGAAAATATTTGGAGATCTTTTGGTGATCAACTTGGTATTCCTTCTCCAAAAGCAAATTGCTGTAGTAAGAGTGATCCCAGGCGTAGTATACGTCTTGGGGAGGTAAGTTTCTAGACTTCAATTCGTTATTCTTGAACTCCTTTAAGCGCTCAAGTTCATCTTTCCCCAATGGAGTAAGCTTATCACGAAGATCAGTGAGGAAGTCCATTACAGTTGACTTGGTCTTTGCCAAGCGATCTTCCAAAACGTAGTCTGAGTAGGTATCGTAGCCCAAAAGCTTGGCGATTTTGAACCGAAGCTTAGCAACTTTCAACAAAATTTCAGAGTTTGCCATTAACTTGTTCTCATTGGCAATGTAAGATTTCTTACGAATCTCTTGCTTTTTGGCATACTTGATCACAGGCAACACATCAGGGTACTTGAAAGTCATCTTGTAACCACCTTCAACTTTTTCAAACTGGTCAAGATTATCTTGAGGTACACCTTCAAGATCTTCAGCCGTGTACACAATGAACCCTTTTTCTTCATTCATGTTTTTGTGAAAGTCGTTACAGAGGTTCGAAACCTCCACCTTGAGTCTTTTCACCTCTTCGCGCTTGTCTTCTGGGAGATCTAAACCATTACGCTTATAAGAAATATAGGTCTTTTCTAACCATCTGTAGGTTTCTGGGTCCATTTCGTCCTCCTTAGCAGACTCATACAATTTCTTGTAAACACGGTAGACATCAACCCTTGAATTTTGTTCAATTGCAACCTCCAGCATTTTGCGCAGAGCCTCCGACGAAGCGTCTCTCAATTCTTTGTTGGCAGATACATTTTCGTAAAAAGTGATCATATTCTCGCGCAAGTAGCTCTCGTTCTCATAGTTGATAACGGGAAAAACAACATTTTCAATGGTGGGGTTTTCAAGAGACACGATATGATCGTTCAATTTGATCAAATCCTCACCCGCCTTTTTGGCAAGTTCCTCAACTTGTTGTGGAGTATGGGGTCCATTGTGGAGGAGGATACGCTGGCGTGAAGAATGAAGAATTGGAAGTGGACATGATATAAGCACCAATTATTGCTAGTATTGGCCCAAACAGCTCGCTTAAGTAGGTTGCGACTACGTGCCATGCGCGGCACCATTTTATTAAAGTGTACGTATTCTCGCGCCGCACAGGCAGTCGCATACCAAAAAAGTCTCTATTATTAGCGGTTTAATCGAGCACCGTCCCACATTTTCATGAGCGACTTTTTGAACTGGTTGACATTGTAATCGATGATGGCCAACGAGCCATCAAGTTTATCTTCTTCGTAGCGGACTAGCGCTACCAATGCTAATCCTCGTATCATTTGCCCAAGGTATAAAAGCGAGCCATTCGAGAGGTGGCTCACCGATTTCAACGGCTTAGTAGTCCGAGTCAAATCTTTAGCACTTTCGTCCACGTACAAGTCATTCAAGTCAATGGTGATGTCTATAAACTCGCCGCACACCTCGTAGGTCTGAATGTCCACCGGGGACGAGTCGGTGGCCACGTAAATTTTGGAATTGACATCGAAAAGGAACACTTTTTCAATGGCTGAATGTTGGACCAAATTGTCTAGCATGTTCTCCAACGAGGGGAGTTCAGGAATAAGTTTCTGTACAATGCGCGAGAACGCTTCGTAGATGGAATGGTCAAAAATACTCGTCAAGTAGAAAGAGACTTGTACTCCTTCCAACCCCAAATCCAAGAGCTCGTCGCCAGTTCGTTGCATGATATCCCGCTGAGCATCTAGACGGTAATCCTCAGAGAGGCCGTCTATCTTGTGGATAAGAACCTCGATATTGATGCGTGGGTTCACCAGATACGCATATTCAATGATCATGGAGAGATTGGTCAATGCATTGAGGTACTCGTCCTGCGAGTCTATGACATATACCAATGCTCCCACGCTCGAGAAAAGTCGCTCGGAATCGTATGTGGGCTCGAAATAGTTGAGCTGGCCCGGAAGTTCCATAACAGAAAGGTCTATCAACGACAGAAATTGTTCCGTGGTGGGCTTCGAGGTACTCTCCAAATAAAGCGTATCTAGAGGCTGCATATTGTGAAAGACAACTTTGCAAATAGACGACTTGCCGCCACGACGAAGCCCCATAAGGAGAATCGTGGCGGATCTATCGCGAGGATCCTGCATTACCGTAGCCTCCATGTCTAATGTTATTTGAAATTCGTGGGCTTATATTTCGCGATGTATATACTGCATACGGGCTCGCGGGTTTCATGGCCGGAGTCTCTTGGGGTCTCTGGGGAAGAGAGATGCACGACGAATATTCTTCAAATCCAAGTAGAACATTAACACTCTTTCCAATCCAATACCTCCACCGGCGTGTGGGGGACATCCGTAAGTGAACGCATCGATGTAATCAGAAAGCCCTGGTGCATTGGGGTCGATGTCAAGGTCGATCATTCTCTTCTTCAACAATTCGGGATCGTGGATACGCTGGGCTCCCGACATGATTTCCTCTCCACGCATGAAGAAATCGTACGAGTTGGAGTAACGAGGGTCTTCAGGGTCGGGCATGGTGTAGGCTGGTCTGATAGCCAATGGGAATTTGTCCAAGATGTAGAAATCGGTGTCGTATTTCTCTCTCACCAATTTTCCAAGCAACTTTTCATTCTCAGTCGACAAGTCGTCAAAGTCTCCAACGTCCTTGCCTGCTTCTCTCAACATAGCCACACCTTCTTTGAACTCGATTCTCACCATCTTTCCGTCCTTGGGAAGCTTGAACTCTTCCATGGGGTATTGTCTTCTGACGGTAGCAATTTCCTTAGCATATCTTGACTTCAATTCGGAGAAAATGTACACGAACAAGTCAGCCAAGTTGTCCAAAACCTCGTGGTAATGCTCTTCAAACGTCATTTCCAAATCCATTCCCATAAATTCAGTCATGTGTCTGTGTGTGTTAGAGTTCTCGGCACGGAACACTGGTGCAACTTCGTAGACTTTTTCGAAATCAGCTGCGATCAATTGTTGCTTGTAGAATTGAGGAGACTGTGCCAAGTAGGCCAGGCTCTTAAAGTAGGTGACTTCAAACACATTGGCACCACCTTCCGTCGCAGCACCCAAAAGCTTTGGGGTGTGGATTTCCACGAAACCTTTCTTGTCTAAAAATTCACGGAACAATTTACCAACGCCAGCTTGAATTTTAAAGATGGCTTGGTTAGTGGTGGTTCTTAAATCGATTACACGAGCATCCAATCTGGTATCAAGATTGACGACAGGTAAACCAGCAGCCTCGGCTTCTGCATCGGATCTCGAGGCATCTTCTATAAGAATAGGCAATTGTTCTGGAGCCGCTGAAATAACATAGATCTTGCTCACATGAATCTCTGCATCCTGAACGGTGGCAGACTTGATGGGTTCCTCAACTTTGCGGACTTCTCCGTGGACAACTACAATCGATTCCAAGTTGATGGAGCCGGCAAACTTGACCATTTGCTTCAGCACTTGTTCACCATCTGCTTTTATCAAGCACTGAATCAACTCAGATTGCTGTCTCAACGTCAAAAATGCCATGGTGGCTCCTTGTTGACGAGAATTGTGCACTCTAGCTCTGATGATGACAGACTTTCCATCGTCGGCGGCCGACAAATTCTCAATCTTGGATCTCTTTTCGCCAGTCACAACCGAAGAGTTGATCAATGGCGACTTACCATAGTTGTCCTTAGCAGGGTCGTTGGCGGCTTTTGGCTTCTTCCTTTCGGCGTTTTTCCTTTGCCCAAATTGTGCTTCTACTCTCAGCCTTTCTTCTTGGCACTTTTCCTTCTCTTTCTCTAATTTTTTGAGTGCCTTTTTGGACAAAGAGCGTGGCCATCAGGACCGAGTACCACTTCTCCGGCTGGTTCCTCTTTGTTTTCCAGGATCTTAAGCTTTTCAATTTCGGTCGAATCTGCCATAATTACTATGCTCTGAGAATGTCAAAAGAATTGAAAAATTGTCGCATCCGGCATGCTATACAGACACACTACTGTTGACTCATATACAGTTGCAAAATGCACCAAATGGGTCTATGATGGTCTATAACTTTTTGGGAGGTACTTTATTGGTCTATGCTATTCACTTGGTCAATTTGCTCCATACTTGCAGAGTTGAGTTTTTATCGTCGTTTTCTCTTTTTAACCGTTGTCTTTCCAAACCTTCTTTTCGTTTCCGTTCTCGCCTCTCCTCCTTAGTCTCTATATGGCTGGAAGCCTCAGCGCTAAGGACACGAAGGCTTTCCATGGACCTCTCTAATTGCTGGAGTTTTCGAAAGTTTTCCGCAAATCGATCCTCTGCCAATTTCGTTGCCAATTGCAAGTATTCTTCAGAAACCATAATCTTGAAAATTTGGTTGTCAAAGTAGCCAATTGGAATATCAAGCTTGATGGAAATACGGATCCCCACTATGTCGTTCGTTCCTATTCCTGATTCTCGAAATCCACAGGCCATCGCTGCCTGATATACTCGATTGGCCATTATTGTGTTTCTGCATTTAACATGGAGGATAAGCGGCTCAAACTTGAATAGTATGTACCTCGTGCTTGCTCCAATTTGAAAACCTGAAGAAACATATTCGAAATTCATTCGGTTATACCATCCTGAAAGTTCCTTCGGATCATGTGATACAAATAACCACCTCCCTTCGTGACCCTTGGCTCCAATGCTCCTATTCACCGCGTCTGATTGCTTAACACCCTCTAAGAATACCGAAACTCTCCCTGAACAAGAAGAAGTGGTCACCATATCGGGGTGTGAATTTATGGTTTGTATTATAGGCCAGCATGGTTCATCGATTGTACCTTTTGGAGATGCATCGAGTACACTAGAAGCTATTTCCTGAAGTATGTAGCTTTTTTTCTGGTCAAATGGATCTTGCATATTGGTTGTCGGTTAATCTATTGACTCGAATCTAACCCGATCTCTAATTCGCGATGCTCATCACCAACCATACAGTACACTGGCTCATTTCAACGCTACCAAAAACTTTTGTTCATCTTCTGGAGATAGATCGAATAACGTTTTGACCACAGGAAGCAACTGGTCTCTCTGTTCCTTGTGCTCAAAGAAACCTAGTAAAACGTTTTTGAGGTATGCAATATTGGTCGAAGAATTAGGCTTTGATTCCTCTTCAGAAATCCTACTTGACCGCCGCGAATCTACCGAAGTTCGAGCACTTTCGGGCTCTGTAGCGGCGGAGTTTGCTCGAGACCGCATATTGTTCTCTTTCAAGGTACGATATTGCTGTGTGAGCAACTTGTAACTCTTCAGCAACCGTTCAAACTTGAGGTTGGACTCTTCATTGAGTTTTTTCAAGATGCTGTTCACGTTTTCATAATCTTTAATCTTCTTGGACGAGTCTCGTAACGAAGTGCGAAGTATTTCAATCGTCTCGAGAACTTCTTCTGAATCTTCATTTGCCTCATTTGTATTTCCTCCTTTGCTGGCCGCAAGATCATCATACTTTGTCTTTAATTGGTTGTATCTCGCCTCCAATTCTTGAAGCTTGGTCAAGTAATTGTCGGTGATCGACTTCATCTCATCAATTTCTCGTTGCTTCTTTTTGCTGGCACTCATCCACTCGGCCTCGACACGCTCCTTATCCTCTTTCAACGACTGGATTTCTGCCATTAATTCGCCGTCTTTCGCTTTGAGAGATTCCTCGGCATCCATGAGCAATCTTCGAATTGTGTTCGACTCTCTCGTACGCTCCAGTAGCATGTTCCGTGCCTCTGAAAGCTCATCTTGCATGCTATCAACTTTGTCTTGAGCTTCTTTTGACTTCATATAAAGCTCTTCATACCTCTGCTTGAAGGTCAGTAACTCAGAAGCAACATGCTGTTTATCTCGTGCAACGTTTTCATGCTTTCTGTTTAATGCCTCTAATTCTGTTGACAACGATTGTTTTTCAGCTTGCAACTTGAAAAGCTGCTGCTCCATAGATTTACCCTTCTCGAACAGCAACTCCTGTTTTGTTATCAACTCGTTTTTATCACTCACCAATGATTTGTTGTTGGCCTCAAGTTCCATTTTTTGCCTCTTGGTTAGCGCTAAAGAATCCGCGAGCTCCTTCTCTCGCAAAGTTAGCTTTTCCACCTCTTTCCTAAGTTCCTTGATCAGTTGCTCCTTATGATCTAAAGAAACTTGCAATGTTGAAACTTCAAGCTTGAGAGAAGTGTCTGAACTTTTGTATTTGGCGAGTTCAGAAAGTCGCTTGTTTAACTCTTCCTTTTCGGACGTAATGCTTCCCACTTCTCTCTTCAGTCGCTCTAGCTCAGCTTTGACTTCATCTAGTTTCTTCTGAAGCTCTTTGACAGAGGCTGACAATTTGTTATTTTCGTTTCTCAATTCCTCTGAGTTGTCAGTTACATCTTTCTGTTTGGAAGTTTGCGTGGCTCTTTCCTGTTCAAGATCTTTAATGGTCGCTTCGAATTGAAGTATTTTGGATTCAAGTGCGTTCTTATCGACCTTTAATTGAGCAAGTTCCTTTTCCATATCAGAATATTGCCCATCCGCCTTACCGTTTTCCAGGGCTTGAGCATTAAGCTCTTTTATTCGATCTTTGGCTTGCACCAATTCATCGCCGACATCTCGTAACAGGTCTCTCAATTCCTCAAGATCCTCGGATTGAAGCTGGCATTTCTCTCTCAATTCTTTGACTTCATTTGACTTGTTGACGTTTGCTATTTCCTGTTCCTTTTCACTTAATTGTCCCTCCAACTCTGCAATGCGTTCCTTCAATTTTTTGATTTGAAGATCGGTTGGACCTTCTGATGCTACGTTTGTTGATGCAGACTTGTTGTTCTTCTTGTTCTTGTTTTTCTTCTTCTTATTACCCGACGGTTGAGCATCAACCGAAGCATCTGGTTTACTGAGGCTAGATGAGCTGCTTTCCAAGGACGCTAATTTTAGCTCCAATCCATCCTTCTCTTTCCTTAACAGCTCAGCTTTGGCTTCGAGCTCTTTCGTTTTTGATTCAAGCTCCGAGCGGGCTTGTTCAGACTCCGATTTGAGACTCGTTAACTGCTCTTCGTCACGAGCTTTCAGTTCACGAAGCAGTTCATTTTCTTGAGAAAGAGTTGAAGAGCTCTCTTCTAATTGAGTGAGAGAAACTCTAAGCTCATCAATCTCAGATTTACGGCTCGCCAAGTCATTTTCTGTTGTCTTCAACTGCAGCTTGAGCGCTTCTATCTCAGAAGAAGCACTCAGGTCGTTGACGGTTAGGTCCGAAGCACTTGGATTCAGCTCAAGTTCATTGATTTTTGCTTCGTATTCTTTAATCTTTTGGTTGATATCTGAAACCGTATTTTCCAAGTCCGTTTTCGATTTTGCAAGGTTTGTCTTTTCTCGAGATAGACGACGCATTTCCACATTAAGCATGGTGGTCTTTTCGTTGAGGCCCTTAAGGTAGTCGATTAAGACGCCTGCGTCCGAGATACTGGATATAGGAGTGTTCTCACTCAAAAGTTTCTCAAACATATCGATCAACTCGCTTTTCCTCTTCTCAGTCTTATATGCCTCGAGAAGTAACGGATACTTCTCTTCGTACTTTGCAAACTTCTTCATCTTGGCCCGGACTTGTGGAGTCAAAGTCTCGAGATCAATTCCCGAAATCACGTTTGGAGTTGAAGGCTTGTCTATTCTTGGGGCAACCGGGTTAGTTTCAATTGTCTTTTCATGTTTCGCATCCAGGTCAATGTTAGTCTGCTCCTTTTGCTCTGAAGTTTTCAGAGACTCTTCATGCTCCATCGGCATTTCTGCCTCGTCTTGTGGTTGCGATAAATCGTTAGGATCTGGCGTCTTTGTATGGAGAATTTTGTTTCCGCTTTGTAGTTCTTTGACAGGATTCTTTCTCTGCTCCTCGGCACTAAACTCATTCAAGCTCTTAGCTACGTCCTCAGAGAAGTTTCGTAGCTTGGAAAACATCTGGTGCAACAGGAACGCCTACCGTTGGTATTGAATCGCACACAAGAAGGCTAAGTAAAGGTGATGAAGTTATATACAGGAGCAATATAAAGATCATGATGATGAAACCAAGTTGGAATTAAAAGTTTGTACTATTCAAATATACGAATATAACACCTATTTTTAGCGTGGAGACATACCGGCTGTCACTCACAGTTTATTGAAGACAAAGTTTCCCAACAGTGATTTCTGGTTCCGCGGACCACTGCTACCACCCTGGCTCGACTCTCGTGGTTCAAGGTTCAAAGATAATTGATACTGCTCGTCTATGCTTGGACATTTGTCGAACCAAGAATCCAAGTATGCTTGAATTTCGCTTACTTCTTGGAGGTTGTAGGCTGTAGTTTTGAACCGGTCTATTCCAGACACAATTTCAGTAGTCTTGGAACGTTTTGCAAAGTTGATCATTCTGGTTCGATTCAATAGGTAGTCGGGATTTCCGTGATACACGAACGTGAGATCACTAAGATAGACACCAAAGAAAGGAACACAAGGTTCTGAACCAATAAATTTAAGCACATCTCTGTATTCGTTAAAGTTTCGAGACGAGTTCATTAGACGGTTCATGCTCTGAAGATGCATCGCAGTCTCTGGTGAAACATATCTCCAAGTTTTCTTTAAACGATGCACCGACGACGAGTATAATGCCGATATAATAGCCGTCATAGACGAGAAATTGTTGTACTGACGACACTTCTCTGCCACTTGCACAAAATATCTGATCACCTGGACTCTCTTTTTCACATCAGGTTTCCTAAGAATCATGTAAGCAACAAAGTTAGTTAGTTGATTCGAAGCCTTAATGAAGTGGGTAATCAGCTCAGTGCTTTCTGATAAACCGGACTTGCGGCCCCAGACCTTGGCAATACATGCATGCTTGGTGATCTTGGAGTATAACTTGAACTCTCGTATGGTCAATTGTCTCGCGAGCTCGACATAGTCAATATCAAGAAGCTTGAATTTCTTTGAACCTCTTGTAAGTGGAGCAGGAGGACGCCCTGATACCACGCTTGGTTCTCTTTCAAAGCAGATCTTTTCTCCATCTAACACTCTTTGGATATCTGCAGACAAAATCTTACCGCCTGAAAGCGATTGAACCGCCGGACTCTGAGCGAATGCCAACCACCGCTCCAAGATCTGTTCCTGATAGTACGAGTCTACCCAATACTTTTCCAATAACAACCTCATCACCAGAATGACCTTGAGTCGAATTGGTGCTTGCTTCTGAGAAATCCAGGTATTATACTCTTCAAAGCTCAATCCTTCTGGGGCTTCAATATTGAAGCGATTGATCATGAGAGTGAGGAGTTCACCCAAAGTAGTAACAGTAGAAAAGGAAAACAAAAAGGATGAGGTAAATGAGCTGTCAGTCTGGTCGTGGTGGGTGAGATGAGCCACAAGCGCTTCCTTAGTACCTCCTTTAATGTTTCCCTTCAAGTCAAGTAACAAGTCGAATTCTTCGTCACCTTCAAGATACCACGGTACATTCGTTGTTTGCTTTTTGCTTCCATAAAACGAATGGCCCTCTTCAGCTTTCTCGGATAAGCTAGTGTTGTTTCGCTCAATAACCAAGAGCTGCATATTCACATCATCATGCATCACTCTGGTGGCATAGTTTAAGATTGTTTCTCTCTCCTCAATCAAGTGTTGAACTATATCCAGCATGGAATCTAACAATTTCAAACCTCCATGAAGAGTCTTCGTCATTGTGGTGTCAGGGTTGAGAGACATAGACTCTCCCTTTTCCTTTTCGATTTTTTCAGTCATGAGTCGAGCCAACATTCTTGATGCTCTTTCCGTTGGCATTTTGATTACGTCGCGATCGTAAAGTAGATCATCGTCCTCTTTGACAGCTCTGAACACATCGGGATCTTCCAATGTTAAAGCCTGTGTCGTCATGACAACTTTGGAAACATGATCGTGGAACTGCTGCTTGAATTGAAAGAAGTCCAAAACCACGGGATAATCAAATGTTAGTCCGCTACGCTCATACTCACCAACCCCATCTTTCAAAGACTCTTCACTGGGTGCATCTTTGAGCCCCTTGTCTGACCTTTCCTCCTGCTCGCCTGGTGAAGAGCTGGTGTCCCATTTGCGAATTAAACAGAAAATGGTGAAATCGAACGACTCAAGAACGTCCATGATGAGTCCCGCATGGAATAAGTACTTGTAAGCCAGACGAAGAATCTCTGTATTCCGTTCCTTGACAAGGGCTTTGTTGTAGTACATATGCTGGTTTGCAGGGTCCAATACTTCGAGCAATGAGTTAGCGATTTTCTCTGCTTCTGTCTTTTGAGTGACAACTTTTTCATGAGCATCACGGTCAATCAATACCTTCAGATGATGTCTGTTCTTGAGATCATTACCACTTGCGTTGAGCACTGGATTGCTGGTAGCAAAGAACGGATTGCACCAGTTCCCACCATTGAACTCATCGGTCAAAAACCGAGGATACAATTGTGGTAATATATCGTAGCGCTCTTCACCATCATCGTCTGAAACATCTGAGCCATCGTAATCGGATTTTTTGACTCTTTTGTCTTTTGTGATTTTCATAAAGATCTTTACAAAATTGTCGAGGTTGTAGCGAAGTGTTTCAACTTCGAGCACTATCTGCTGGATATAAGTCTTGCCAGTTATTGTGCTTACGCTGGGGTTACGGAGTGGGAATGTTCCCTCCTCGTTGTTTCCGATTGTCGACAATGAAGATTTACAGCTGTCGTTTGCATCTGATCGATTTAGAGCATTGATATCGTTGCTGAAAAGTTGCGAGTCAGATATATGTGGCGAGTGGTGCATAACATTCAAATGAAGAGCACCATTGATGTAAATCTGGGCGTACGAACTCACAATTCGACGAAGTTTTCTCTTGAGCGACAATTCATATTTGGTGGATAAGAAATCGTTTTGTTGTAATCTGGCTGCCGAAGCAAGTAAGGAAACGAGTTTGTTTAACATCGAGAAATGAGCATTAAAAAGTTGTTTGCTATAGTCCTTTAGTGCCTTCAAGCATAGTTCTAAAATATAATGAATTTGTGCTCGAAGTTCAGACCATTGTGTCAAGTCTGTAGGGTGCTTGTAGAACAAATCGCTCATAGCAAAAAATGGCTGCTTGAAATGATGGTAATGGGTTGTCGATTGGGAAGATGCCATGGACGGCGTAGCTGAATCTCGTTTCAAGGACTCCTGCAGAGCATTCCTATGAAACTTATGGCCAGAGGCATCACCATAATCTGCGTTGAGCAACTGGTTGGTATTGCTGGTGTTGTTATTTGATGAAGATGACGTTGAGTGGAGGACAACCGTAGATGCATTTTCAAGCACTTCAGGTGGGGGAACTGAAAATGTTTCAAAATTCAAATTATCATTGTTGTACTGAGTAAGGGGCATGATCTCACAGTATATGTCAAGCTGATGCGAGTAAAAGATTAAGTCACCACCCGTCGTAGATTTTGGATGCCAAACAACGTTTTCGTGGTGTTCAGAGCAGTACTTTTCAGCCATACTTTCTGCTTCTTCTACCAGAACCACATTAATGGGAGGTATACTAGGTTCTTGGTCCATAGACACCGACCCTCCGTAGGCGTGAATACTATCCAGTTGAGTCAGAATCGAACCCTTGTGTTCTGTCTCGGGTTCCTGGAAAGTTTGAAGCAGAATATTGGGGTCGTCTTCTGCAATTAAAGGTTCATCGTCTTGATGTACCTTCAGAGGCCTACGTTCCTGTTTTCCATCGGAGTGTAAGCTTGTTTCCGAGCTTGCAAAACTAACAACAGAGTTTTTTCTGGTGCTGTTATTTGGGGTGTTTTTTTCCGAGTCACCAAGGAGGTTCTTTTGGAGGAGGGAAGTGAATGATGGAATGAGCACGTTGGCAGCAGTGTTGGCAGCGGTAATTGAGTCAATTTCCTTGTTAGACTGGAGCTTGTTGAGCACCGGCTGGACATAATTTACCGACCTGACGTAATTGTGAGGAAACCATCCCCTTTGTAAATCAGCGTTATTTCCCACAATCACTCCGTCCCACCAACCGGTATCGGATTTCGAGAGCACATTGACACTGTCACCAAGGCGCAATGGCAAATGTGACGGCTGGGTTCCGGGAAAATCGTATAATGCAATCACAGTATCTAGCTGCTTCAAATGTTGCACTTTAGTTTCTTGAGGTTGAACCTCATCGGGAGGTACTTCATCATAGGCCATTGTGAAATGATTGGCCAAAGTTTTTGAGTCGAATAAATGCCGCGGCTAAGTAATATACAAGTACTTGCTCCACCGGGATCGAGGGTAACCAATCACCGACCAGACTTTGTAAGGAAGATGAAGTGCAATGATACGACAAAAATAATACAAACAGCTGTCGAGACACCTATCGCAAAAAGTTTCCGTTCATAAACCAACGTCAGAAACTATAAACGACTGAAGTGAGCGATTGGCCAACAGGTGCTGTAAATTTGGTGAACTCTTTGATGCCGCGGACCTGTATATGGGCGGGACCAAGGTGATGGGGTGCAGATGAGCGGGGCGAGGCAGTAGAAAATGGAAGGAAAATAGAAAGTGTAATGTTGAAATGGTGATAGATTAGAGAGAGATAGCAATTTTTACTGGAATTGGCGATTTCAATGTTTCTTGTGTTTTGCCATTCTTCATCAAAAATTTCAGATTTGTCTTTCTCGCAGAAACTCAGCTTTATTTCACAGAAACGATTAAAATTTCGTAAACTAAGGAGAATATTTCCGGAGATTGCATCGCATAAACCAGCCTAGACTGCGCTTCGTTGCTTTACTAAACGCTTATATGCACGGATATTATATGGGGAAGTCAGATCCGAACCTGAAATTGGCGTGCTAAGGCATATGTGCGCCGCAATGCCAGATCTTTTGCGGTAACTATTTTGGGCCATTTTTTGGTGCGCTGGGGGTATCGTTTCATCAATGCACCAGCCGCGGGAACCGTCTCCAGGCCACATATCTTGTATACCATCTGCTACAGGCTAGCTTAGAAAGCATATTCAAGGGCTCACGAACACAAAAACATCCACCCTACCCCTCGAAGAATCACCAGCTATGTCTCTTTTCTTTCGGGCGCCTTTGGAAATCGACATTCGTTTCGATAGCGAGGAAAGCCGAAAGTATGTTGATGTCAAAACCACACAAGGAAGGCTAGAAAAGCTTCCTATATACAAGGACGGTGAAACTGTTAAGGGAAATGTCACGATACGTACGAAAGATGGACGAAAAGTTGATCATTTTGGTGTCAAAGTCCAACTATTAGGAGTGATCGAAACCAACTCTGATGGTCTACAAGTCAGTGAGTTTCTTTCTTTGGCTACAGAACTCGCAGCTCCATCACAAATCTCGCGGCCGGAAACATATCCCTTTGAATTCAAGAATGTCGAAAAACAGTACGAAAGTTATCGTGGTAAAAATGCCCGTTTACGATACTACGTGAAGGTGGTGGTTTCACGCAAGTCTGCATCAGAAATAACCAGAGAGAAGGAAATGTGGGTGTACCATGACACATCAGAAGCAGAGGGTAATGGCACAAGTAGTTTGGTCGCCAACAAGGATAAACCCAAATCTACGGTGAAAATGGACGTGGGAATCGAGGACTGTCTTCACATAGAGTTCGAGTACCTGAAATCGAGATTCTCCCTTAAAGATGTGATCGTTGGACGAATCTACTTTCTTCTCGTGAGACTCAAAATCAAGCATATGGAACTCCTGTTGATACGGCGAGAAACGGTGGGTGCCCCACCCAATGCCATCACCGATAGTGAAACGTTGGTGCGGTTTGAAATTATGGACGGTGCTCCAGTAAAGGGAGAAACTATACCCATTCGGCTCTTTTTGGGAGGATTTGATTTGACCCCAACTTACCGAGATGTTAACAAAAAGTTTTCTACCCGCACATATCTCTCACTCGTGCTCATTGACGAAGATGCCCGGCGCTACTTTAAACAGAGCGAGATCATTTTGTATAGATAACCATGGGCTGGCCATAAGTTTGCACCCATCGATAGCGAAGTCTCATCCACACACCCACACATAGAGCATCTTCGCACCAAAGTTGGTACAAGCTACTGTAGTTTTCACAGCCACATCTTCCTCACAGTAGTCTATGTCTTCGTGGCCTGAAGCTGCTGGGGGCAGAAACGGACACGAGGCGCTCGTGACAAATACTGAACCGTCTATAACGCGACATAGTTTGCAACTAAATTCTGAGGAAAATGGGACTCAATTGGGTGGCACGAATCCTGGCTTTATGTCCACAAATAACCAAAAAGTGTCCTTGTCAACGGCAGGTATCCGAGCGCTTATTTACCAGCTTCAAACTCTTTATATGAGAACTCCAGTCAAACTTTTCAGGCCATCTCGTTTCGACTATATGGCCTATGTTAGACAAGTGGCCGATAAGCACGATAATATATCCCAAAAACCATATCGTTTCAGGACCCATTCCACCATAGGAATGCTAGTTAATGTGGTTCGAAAAGAAGGTTGGAAGTTCATTCCCGACCAAGTGCTTCCTCCTCTTTTAGCAAATTCCGCTACTGGTCTTATTCTCTATGGAACATATTTGACGGCCCTAGATTCGTTTGCCGATAAAAGTCAGAAACCCACTTCACAATTCACTGCTTTAGATACGTGGAGAGCCGGGTTCATAGCTGGTGCTGCCCAATCTCTTGCTGCTGCCCCGGTGGACGCTATTTACGCCCGACTGTCGGCCGCAGAAATGCTCAATGGATCTCATCAAAACTTGTGGCAGTATGGGCTTTTCAAACTACGAGAAGTTGGTCTTGTGGGAGTGTTTGCTGGCTACGGGTTCTCACTCGTAAAAGAGAGTATTGGTTTTGCATTTTACTTTTCCACCTTCGAAGTGGTCAAGACTCAAGGTTACAATTTAACCTATAGAATGATTTCAAATTATAGACGAACGAAGCAGTATCTCAGCAGCAGGCTCTCGTTTTTTACAGGAGGAGAACAAAAGGAAATTGACGAAGACCTCGTCAGACTCGAACGTACTAGGCTGACGAAAATCCTCAAGTCTTCTTTTGTGCTTTTAGCTGGAGCATCGGCAGCATTTTCCCTTTTGGCTGTCCAGTATCCCTTAAGCAAGATCCAAAGTGTACATCTATCACGTTTGGAGGCTCTCGACGTCTACAATGCCTCACGAAAATCTAATCGACCATTCATAACCCTCTACTACAACTCATATATCGATACCTATCATCAGGTGGTCAAGATAAAGAAAAAGTCCAAAATGACGTGGATGCAGCTTGGATACCGAGGATTCATTCGCAATGCATTAACCACTATACCTGCTACCTCGGTGGGTCTTCTCGTATTTGAGATAATGCGAACTAAATTGGGTGACGATATGATGGTACTTGGCCCCGAGTGACACTGTGAATCTGGCGACTTAGTTCTAATGTACTTTGGGCTTTTTTTCTTGAGGGGTCCAACCTTATACTCATAGCATCTTGTATATACCTTATTTATTATGGAAATATCTATTCTTTGGTCCGGCTCTGGTATGCTTTCCATCCCGCATCTCTATATCTCTTTCCTTCAACTTCAGGGTCTCTTCCCTTTCCAAAGAGCCCCCTGCCCACAATGATGATGTCTGTTCCAGTGGACACTACTTCGTCTACCGTTCTATATTGTTGACCAAGTCCATCTCCTTTGTCATCCAAACCAACTCCTGGAGTCATTATGAGCCAATCATACCCTTCATCGGCACCACCCATTTCTCTTTGGGCAATAAAACCAATAACAAATTCCTTGTCTGATTTGGCAATTTCCACTGTCTTTTCGGTATATTCTCCATATGCTAATGAACCTTTAGATGATAATTCAGCAAGCATTAAAAGTCCTCTAGGTTCTTCAGTAACTTCCTTGGCACCTTCTTTCAATCCCTGTACAACTCCAGCACCGGTTATCCCATGCGCATTGGTAATATCGGCCCATTGAGCTATCTTATAAACACCACCTTTGTACTGAGATTTCACAGTATTTCCTATATCAGCAAACTTTCTATCTTCAAAAATCATAAAATTGTGCTTTTTGGAAAGTTCAAGGAGTGGAACGATCGTGCCTTCATAAGAGAAATCATCAATGATATCTATATGGGTTTTTACCAAACAAATGTAGGGTCCTAATTTGTCGATTAACGATAAAAATTCGCTCGAAGTCTGAACATCTACCAGGGCACAGAGGTTCGTTTTCTTCTGGTCCATGAGACGCAAAAGCTTCTGCGCAACTGGCGAGCCATGCTTGTCCGCTCTACTGGTATAGCTCTCACTAGTTACCATTTATTAGCCGTGTCTAAAATGTGAAAAATTGAAATCGCAAACTTGATGTTTGGATGTATGGATCTAAGAAGAATGATGATGATCCTACTCTGTGGGGGCAGAGGTGACCCCATCTTCTTTTGCCGGAGCTGGTTCGCTTGTCTCTATTTTCTCTGTCACCTCCGGAGTTTTTACTTCTTCACGAAGCTCAGGGAATATACCGTCGATTTTGGACCAGGTTTCGTTCCAAAGGGCTTCATTTCTTGGAACCAATACATCTGCACTGTTGAGAACCAACACCATATTCTTCAAAACCTCCGAGCCTGATTCCCTTAAGGGCTCCTTGTTTTTAGAAAACTTACTTTCAAGATTCTGCAATGCAATGAACCCATCCAAAATCCTGAGCCAAACCTTTTCGAGTTCTTCGCCAGAGAAAGTGTTGTAATACTTTAGGAAAACCTTCCCCACTAACGAAAGTACTTCTGCGTGAGTTCTCAGGAATCCATTAGGGTCTGTTTGCAAGACTTCTGGCTTGGAAAGTTCGGTCAAAAGCGGGAAAAGTCCAAACTCAAATACACCAAGTGGAGTTATACCGTCATAAGCAGACTCTGCGGTCATAATTATAGGTTGCGATGTGGTAAGTGCGTAGGATCTTATCTCTCGGCATGGGTTGAAGCATTGATGAGCGAGGGCTTGAATCAATGAATAACCAAATTCTTTGTTCTTGAGTTCCTTTTCGGTGATGGACTTTATAGATGCCAATTCAGCAGTAAGTGAAATGGACTTCTTGGAAACCTCCAAAATCTCTAATACCAACTCACTCTCCTTTTCTGTTTCTTCCCCTGCCTTTACGCGCCTTTCATTTTCTTGCTCGAGCCTTGAACCCGCAGCCCCTAGAGATGATAGTTCGTCTAGAAGAGCCAAAAAGGGCATGTAGTTCTTCGAATTGACACCAGAGATGTTCAGTTTAACAAGTGACAGCGCATATTCAAATACCTCTTTAGAATGAACAGGAATCGAACCGTATGATCTCAATAGCTTCCAGAAATCTTCATCGCCCATTAAGCTGTCTTTGAACATTGTATCGTCATCCACAAGCGAAAGAAGTGGCTTTAACGCTTGGGATCCATGTTTGCTGATCGTTTCCTTTTCCAAACTGAGCATCTTTTGGATCGTTGATGTCAAGATAGGTGAAGAGTCAAGATTGTTGCTTTTGCGCAAAAGCAAAAATGTGTAGCTGCAGAGTCTTAAAACACCCTTTTTGCTGAATTCTTTAAAGTCCTTCATCTCGCTCACCTGTGAAAGTACATCATTGATAACTTCTTGATCATCCAGCAATAACAGGAAACACACCGAAATTTCGAAAATGAACAAAACTTCTGGCTCGTAATAACGCTTTGACTCCGAATCAAAGTCAGGAATATTATCAAGGCAAAAGTACACAAGCTTTTTGAGATCTTCGATGTCCCCCTTTGCAACAGTCTCAAGAACTGCTGGTATGTTAAGAGAATTAATGCAATCAATGGTCGAAAGGGTCGATTCGATCTCTTGATCACTTGGTTCTGGCGGATCATCTGAGTACCCTTTCAAAAACGATGAAAATGTGGAGAAAATACCCGAGTTATTCAAAGGCTTTACCCGATTAATGATGTATTTCGGCTTAACCTTAGGCAAAGGTGTCAAATTAACCTTGCGTTGGAAGTCAACAAATAAATTAGGGTCAAGCAAACAATTTTCAAGAATCGTGAGTATCACTTTGACAACCTTTGTCCATGAATCAGTCACTTTGCAACCAGTCTTCTTGACCAATCTGAACAAGACAACGGTGGAAATTTGGGCCTTAAAGTCTCTTCCAAAGAAAACAGCCATCTCGCTGACAGTGATGGGGTTGTCTTTTTTGTCAATCTTTAGTTGTGTGATCGGAATATCTTCTCTCATGTTTTCGTCCAAATTTCCGATACGATACTGCTTTTTTGTAAGAAGCGTCAGCTCTGCCAACAAACCAATCAATGTATCGATAGCCTCAGTGTGATCACTATACATACAGATATTGGCACATTTATCAATTGATGCCATGAGCCGGGTGATAACATGATCATCGGAAGCACTGTTGAAAACACTCACGAGAGTGTGAATAATCTTTTCCATCGCATTTTGAAATAAGTATTGATCAAATTGACAAATTTGAAGGAGATCATATTTGTTGGAAGAGCCAACCGTATTCTCTCCAGATTGATTTGAATGTTGGATATCCAATGAAGCCGATGGTCTTGCCTGAGTTGCAATCATATTATTCCACGCATCGTCAAACCACTTGTCGGTTCCATGATGTTCTTCAGGCATGATGATTTCCCTGTCTTTGATAGAGTTGTAAATCTTTGATAAATACCAAGGAGGAAAGTTTCCACCATAATAAAAACCACGCAAATTAGTCTTGTAGGCATCAAAGTCCATTTGCTTCTTGATCTTTGAGCTGTGAAGGTCTGTGTTCAATAAAATGATAGAGAAAGAAAGAATGAAGACTGCATCTCTTGTGGGGTAAACAGGTTCCTCTTCATCACTCAATGCGATATCTTTACCTTCTTCCTTTTCATCTTTGCCGTACTTTTCGTTTCGTTGTTCGCATTCGGCTTCCAAGCATGACACATATCTATCAGCAAAGCACTCGACTACCCGGTCAATTTGCTGTGCTTCACCTGGAAGTCTGAAAGCTTTCAATAACATACGCAATGCTTCATCCGGTCTTGATCCACTGAAATCAAAACGATTTATGAATGCCTTCAACACTTCTATGTTCTCTGGTTTGGCGAGATATTCGCCCAACGTTTTTTTGTTAAGCCTTCCAGATCTTTCAAAGAAAAAGGCAGCTAAGGAATCAGGATCGTTGGCGTCCTTGATAAAGCCCTTCTCGGCCAATTGCTTAATACCTTCTTTTGGTTTCACATTGAATTTATCAGTGCACTTTATAAAAGATGTTTTCATCTCTTTGTTTTTGATAAAGTCATGAATAGGAAGGTTGTCCAAATCTTGCCCATCTGGAAGCTGTTTTATTCTCTCGTTCACGCCTCCGATAAAAGTCAAGATTCCTTCCAAACAGAGCGGAGGTACATTATCTGTCGTAGCAATTGCAGATTCAGGAAGCGACAAGTTGCATAAAAAGTTCAAAAACAGCAAGGCCAAATCGGAGCGTTCAAAGTTACAGTCAAAGTCGATGAACAAATTCGTGAAAAACAAAGGTGATCTCGTCCACAAAAGGGAAAGAGATTCAACAAGTCTTTCTTTGGATGCTGCTGAACGCGAAGTGATAGATGAATCATTTGATTTGACCACACTCAGGTTAGATTGATTGCTCTTCTGTTTCTCTGGAATCGATTTCGTTTCGGCTTCTGGAAGTATAGTACGGAACAAAAGTGTAAGTGTAAGTTCTAGCTGTGCCTTCAAATGGTCACCCAAAACGATGGCCATTGTTGTGAAAAGTTGCAAAGCGGCCTCTAATAATGGTGGAGACTCGGTAGTGGTGATGATCTGTAAAACGTGCTTAGCTACCGAGTCGGAAACAAGCACCATCAATGGCGAGTGACGAGGGATATCTCTTCCGGATACCTCAATGGCATTGTTAATGAGAACGAGCGCAAATACTCGAGTAGACTCCATATGCTGATATTGATTAGATGGAGCAATCATAGAGATCAAGATTGACATGAGCTCAGTAATACAATGGAGGCCAAATGGTTCCACTGATTCTGCCTCTACCTCTGTACCAGTCTTTGGAGGCTCCTTGTTCTCTGGGATTTCGGCTGAATTTTCGTGTTCCTTGGCATCACTTTCAGGTTCTTCTTTGGAATCTTTTGTACTCAAAGCTGGGGTTTGCTCTCTTGTTGAAGGTCCACCCGCACCAATGACATCCTCGGGCAATTTTGTTGCGTCAAAAGAGCTAGGGATCTCGTCTTCAGTTTGATGTTTTGGAGGCTCGATGATCCTCAACTGGCTAAAAATACGCAAAGTCATCAGTGCCATGGTCATCTCCGCCGCTCTTCGCAAGACCTCACTTCTCTTTTTATTACATGCTAGGGACAAGCAAGTCTGTACCACTTCCGATACTATTTCGTTGGGAAGTAAATTGGACAATGGCGATTCCAAGATCAGTTCAAGAAGACGAAGTACCTTGAGGAGGACTGCATCATCTGAGTTTTGATCCGCGGCTTCAAATCGACAATGGGTTAACGATGTCACTATCTGAACCATGGCATTTTGGACATTTTTCAGGTGAATATTGATGATATCGTAGCGAATAAATTTTTGGAGCGAGCTGAGCGCCAATGCAGTTATACGTCCAGATGTTGAAGAGGACTTGATCACCATGAGGAACGGTTGAAGAAGGGTCAAACTGTCGAGTTTGCACACATCCTGAGAGTCTGTGAGCATGGAACGAAGCTGAATAAACGACGATAAGAGGGGATTGTCATTGGACACCGCATGTCTCGAACCAGAAGAGCCAAATCCAATTCCTCTGGTTATGGCTTCATCGTCAACAAAAAGATCGCCAGCTCCCAAGATGGCGGCCATTCCTGTCTGGGACCACAAGGATACCTTTCTCATGGCCAGGGAAATCGTCATACACTCACTGATCATGAGTGTTACTGGGTCTACTGACGACGATAGAACACTCATTGTCGTTTATGAGGAATTTCTAGGCAACAAAAACGGGCAGCTGTAGTGGATTGGGGCGTGAAGGGCTGTAATCAGGGAATATATCGAGTGAAACTAGGATAAATACTATTGGAAAACGTCACCACGATAAGGTGTTGTTGAAGAAGGCACGACTGAGATCGCGTTGTTGACAGGGAGTGCACACAAGACAATGACTTCGATGGGTAGTGGTCAGATGGTTGATTGATCTGCGAACAAAAACCATATGGAATGAATGAATGTCTTTTTAAATGAAGGTATTTACATGCTATATACATCATATTCTGCGCTGGTAGTAATTGCGGAACGAGGTCCATGCCAATCTCCATTCTTTCTGATTGAACTTTGGGTGCAAAATATCAAAATCAAATCGTTCAAGTTTTCGCAAGTATAAAGATGTGGGCACAGCCACCATGAACGGGGTGAAAATTGCATCTGGGACGTTTTTTCTCCAATTTCTGGAGTGGCGCTGAAGAAGTTCGTCGTCACTTTGACTGCGAACAGTTTCGACAATACCCTCTTTCAAGTTTTTCAATTTGGTTCTGGCGGTGATCATATGGTCGTTAGCGGTAATTGCTGTTTCGTAAACCACATTTTTGAGCTGTTCGCGAAGCTCTTGAGTGTTTTCGGTGTGACCGTTCATCAATCTTAGCACAGACTCCTGTGAAAGATCAAATTTGGTCATTATGTCCACCGGCAAAGTCACCAAGTTTTTCGTCTTTGAGTAGTATTCGAGCCCCAAGATCATTGAGCTCACTGCAGTGGCCTGGCCTATATGGGCAGCAATGTCACTCACGGTAGTTTGTAAGTCTGGTGAGTTCTCGAGAAGCCTTATGGATGAGGGAGATATTGAAGGCGAGAGAAGAAGTCCTTGGGTTGCGTAGTTCAATTGTGAGTATGTTCCCTCTCCATAGGAGCATATAGCATCAACTGTCTGGAACTGTCTGTCATTGAGAAACTGACGTCTGGTTTGCATGATTCGGTGAAAGTAAGAGATGTCCAAGTTCATGTCGTTGCGGACTGCTTCCCTCAATAATGTGCAGATGGGTTCACCAATATCTCTAGTTGAATCGGGCTGGGTGAATGCTCTGGTGAGCATATCAGTCCAAAAGCGAAACTTGATGTCAGAAGTTGTGATTCCCATAGAGTTGGAAAGTTGTGATGAAGCACGCGAGCTCACTGATTCGGGGTTGTTTCCGCCGTCGTGGATCTTGTTAATTTCAACATTGAATGCTCGGATCGCCAAAAATGCATCTCTAGCTGGCTCTGGAATATAGTGTCCAAGAATATAGGAGGACCTATCATAAGTTTCTAGCATTCGATTGACATCTTTACGAGCTGCCAAGATGGCGTCAGTGCCACTGGCTAGTGTTCGTACCTGCCGGAACATGAATATTAGCTGAGAAGCAAATTAACTTGAAGTGAGCGAGCCCCACAAATCGCAGTGGGTGCAGGCTGCGATGCTCATCTCATGAAGGTCGAGGCAGTGAACCCTAGTGTATTTCTAGACATCAAAATAGGTGCTAGGGATGTGGGGAGAGTGGTGATTGAACTCTATGAGCAACAGGCTCCACTTACATCCTCTTGGTTCCAATCGCGTATCAACCAACATGTATTTGATGGGGTCAAATTTGGCCGAGCTATCAAGAACTTTATGGTGCAAACAGCTGTAGAAGAAGGTCAAGAAGCTGAAGTTCCCGCTTTAGAAAATTTGGGAGGTTCTTTGGATACTCCATTTCAAGTCTGTACTGTCAATGATGCTTCAGGCAACTTTTTCATCACCACTTTTCCACAACCGCATCTTCAAGGTCAACAGACGGTTTTTGGTCAAGTGACCCACGGCAAGTTCGTTGTACGACAAATGGAACAAGTCAAAGCATCTTCGAGTGGTGTTCCGGAAGAAACGATACAAATTACCAATACTGGAATCTGGACAGAAGGTATGGATGTTCCTGTTACTGATGCAAGCTACGATACTCGAGGCGGAGATATTTACGAAGAATATCCAGACGATGATACCCATATCGACAAAGAATCCTCTGAGCTGGTCTACGATGCCGCCTGTGCCATAAAAGAAAGTGGAACCTTGCTTTATAAAGCTGGGGATGTGCAACTGGCATTTTTCAAGTACAGAAAATGTTTGCGATATGTGATGGAATTTATTCCGGACATTGACCAGGAACCAGAGTGGTATAAGAAGTATTCTGACTTAAAAATCAAGCTATATCTCAACCTATCGCTCACTGCCATGCACTTGAAAAATTGGCAAAAAACGATAGACTACGCTACTTATATTATCGAGCTGGCCGGGGTCGAAAAGCAAACTCAAGCAAAGGCATATTTTCGCCGAGGAAAGGCTTTGGTGGGTTCCAAGAAGTATGATGAAGCCATTTCAGACCTCAAAGAGGCACAAAAACTCGTTCCTGACGATAAGGCAATTGCGTCTGAATTGGCTTCGACAGAGGAAATTCTTCAACAACGCAAGGCTCACGAAAAAGCAAAGTACGCCAAATTTTTCAAGTAGAAGTTAGCCAAGCTCTTCAAGTAGTCAAATTAGCCAAATTCTCAAGAATTTAAAGGTATCATGGTATTCTATATAGATATGCTACTCCTCCGCATGTCTCTCCTCCGTATGTCTCTCCTCTGTATGTCCCTCCTCTGTATGTCCCTCCTCTTGTTCATTCTCTTGCTCGTTTTCTTCATTTTGGTTCTGTTCAGCTTGCCTGGTAAGGTCTCCCAAATTCATATAGTCAACAACATCACTTGTCGTCTCCACGCCTGTTTCCGTCCTTCTACTGGAGACTCCTTGAGGAAACAAAGACTCTCGTGGTCCACGGAGATATGATAAAATATTGGAGAGAACTCCTCCCTCGCGGCCAGGATTGGTATTGTCTTGAGAGTTCTGAAGCGAGTCCAAAGACGAGTTAAGAGCACGCCCTCCATTGAGAAACACTATTGGAGTTGTACCTCCATTGGGTGAGTTTGCTGGGCTAATGGTGGCTGGCGCCGTGTCCTCTTCGACCTTTTGTCTGCACAAAGGACAAGTGGTATTCGTTTTGAGCCATTCGTTAAGACACGATCTACCGAAAACATGGCCACAGGGCAACTCCGCAGGAAGATGTTTGTAAACGGTGGTGTCGTCGGACAAGTATTTCGGAGCACGAGAAGATGTTTCTTCAGTGGTGTCTACGGGTGGCAGTGGTGACTGAGGGAGCAGTGGAGCATCGATATTTGGCGAAGCCTGGTAGTTGACATCATCTCCAGATAAAGGATCTGGTGAATTGAGACGACGTCTCTTGCAATGTCCCTCTTCTCTATTTTCTTCCCCTTCGCTAGCGCTCTCGTATTCTTCGAAACAAATGGAGCATACGCTTCCCTCGTCTTGATGTTTGATTGGGAACGAATTGAACTTTTCCACGGTTGTTCCAACCTTTTTATGAAGTCCGCTCACAATAGTTCGGTATGCCATCAGCGTAGCATACCTAACAAGTTCTTGCATGATTCGGGGTTGTCTGTTGGACGCATTGTCAGGAAATGTCATTACTAACGAACCCAGTCTATTAGGGTTCTGTGGATTATTGTTGTCTGAAAACACATAGTTGACGGTGATGAGTATGGTGCCACTAGAATCTCCATCGTTGGAGGATCCGTCCAGAGAACGAGGAATGGGAAAGAAATGGAAGTGTCTGTGCGGAGGGTTCGACTGGGTTGTCGGAGGAGCATCTTGGGAGTCTTGGGATTCAGATTCATGCTGCGAGTTTGATGGAACCGAAGGTTCAGAGTCGTTGGTTGTTTCTTGAGCAGTGTAAGCACTGGCACCGCTGGACCCTGATGAATGCGGTATTTCTATGTATCCACTCGGTCTTTCCAGAGACGAACTTGTGTCTTCCAGTGCTTCGGATTGTTCCACTGACGCCGCAGATTCCACTCCAGTGCTTTCCATACCAACGTTTTCCCGCTCCGTGACTTCCGGTTCTTCAAGAGCGTCCGTCATCGTTTGCTCTTGGGTGTCACCGTCGAGCGGAGCCGAGTCGGTTTGCTGCTCTTTTTGTGCTCTTTCCCTTCTGCGCTGGGCTCTCCTCGAGTTGGACGAGCCCGAGTCTCGTAATATGGTGTCCAATATGCGGTCAAATACGTTCAAAGACCGCCGCTGGTCTGGTCGAGAGTTGCGGGGCATTGTGACTAGGGACCAAATTCCGGGTTAAATTTTTGAATTATGCCACTTTGAAGGTCTACTTGTGATCTAGGCGTTGGAATATAGTGGATTTGGCTGTCTAACAGACAAAGAAAGTACCCGCTGTGTATGGATCAAAAACCACTAGTGTTGCCTTAGTAATGATTCGTGCGACACAAATGTGGTTACGATTGGTGTTGGGGTTTGACGTCATGGAGATAAGTCGTATAGCTTTAATGTATTCTATATAAACTGCGATGCTTAGCAAACCACAAACAATGACCCAATTGCCACAAATGCCATAACGAGCGGCACACTGAGGATAGAACCTCCACTTTTCAGATGACCGCTACTGCTGCTGCTACTACCGGTACCGAGATTGGCACTTCCAGATATAATAGATTCACCTTCGTTGGAAGCGATGCTTGTCAGTGAATAGTTTGGAGCCTTCAGTGCCAGAGGAATTGACGAGGTTACCACCTCAACGTTTTCGTCGTTGGTGAATTTGACCTGGGCGAACGAAACCTCGTAATCATCCAAATCGTAGACAATGTACATGTGACGCAAGATGTTGTCACCGAACAAAACGTAACGAGAGTCGCTGCTTTGGGGGAGCAATGTCAAGAAACAGGTGTTTCCGTTGCTCAGAGCAGGTGCTTGAATTGCAGAAAGAGGAATCTCGAGTTTGTTACCGCTGAAATCCAACGTGATTTTGGCATTGTCGTCGTCTATGCAACTCATGACGTATGCTCCTGCTGAACTGGAATATCTGGCACCCACGGTATTTGCAACGTTTTCGAGCATGTCTTCAAAAATGTACGAGTAGGTGGATCCAGTGTCCAATACCACTGCATGTGCCTTGGAAGAAATGGTATAATTTTTCGAACCGGACTCGATTTGCATGGCGTTGAGAGCCACCTCTATACGGATGGGAGTGTCGGTATATTGTGAGTAGGAGTTGACCATGGGGACAGTTTGAAGAGTTCCACTGTACTTTGCCGAGTCCACAGCACCAAATAAAATCAGCCCCAGACTGTCAGATTCCTCACCGAGATAAAGTGAAAAAACATTCTTGTGGATGATCCCGTCATCCTTGAGTTTCAATGGAAGATTCAGGTAAGTGTAACCTCCACTCTGGCCGCTACTGCCCGTGAAAGAGCTGGTGACTTCAAGACCAATAAGACCAATACCCAACACTCCCACATTAGAACTGGTTTCGTTGGCCACTGCAAAGCTCAATGATTTCACGGTGGTGTTGCCGATAATGACATCATCGTGGCCCCAAACTCCATTGGCATCGGTACCATCGGCATACAGAATGGAGAATGCAGGAGCCGACAGATTACGTTTGAACGAGTCCGAGTTGGCGGTAGCAAACGATCCGTGGCCCGTGCAAGTATTGGTTTCGTGGGCGTACGAAGCGGTAGCATAATCACCGCCTTCGGTGAGTTCTATGGTGGTGTAAAAACCTGCCTTTTCATGGCCAACTTCCTTGTGAGCACCCTTGCTGGAACCCTTTTTGGTTTCGTCTTCGGGCAACGTAATCAAGCGTTCCCGCTTCCGTTTGGCAGACTGCAGCACTGCTTCACACCGTAAGTCATGCGACATGATCCACAAATCGGAAGACCCGGTATCCACCAATACACCCACCTTGTTTTCATTGGAACCAAATTTGAGCTCAGCAAGGTAGAAAGTATTCTCGTTTTTAATCTCCATATCCAACAGACCATCACGCTTGACTAGTTCTCCTCGCTTATGTCGAGCCATATCCCATGTTGAAGAACCTCGATGGATTTCAAAATCGATTTTGAAAGGTGTATTTCCAGCATTTTCGGTATCGGAGACAGCAGCTGCTGATACAGCACACACAGCAGCGTATGCTAGCGAGGCAACAGATAAGAAGGGCCTCATGAAATTATAGCAACGGCAAAAACGTTATTGCTATTTATAGTGAATCAGAACACGATGCCAAGGTGAGAGAGAGCACTGCCCACATTGGCCTGCATGAAAATAGTGTGGAAACCAGTTTTAAATCGGGATAATTAGCGTCACTTGCCGAGACGACACGGGGCTGAAGATGGGGCTGAATGCAGGCTACGTGAGAAAGAACAAGGATTCATAGGACGTTGTAGTAGCTAGATGGTGGTATAGAACCGCCCTTCCTCTATATGTGGTGATGGCCGCGCGGCCCACAAACCAGTGAACCACTCGAGCTGAATGTGCAGGCGACGGAGAACCCAACCACCGGCCCGCGTGGCTGAGACGTCACTTGCTGCAAATAAATGTGTGAACTAAGCGGATACGTGAGCGGGGTTCTGCATCGGCAACAATACGAGCGGTGTTCGTAATTGGTAAATTAATGCAACGTCACATATCGTAGTTTACGAGCAGGTAAGGCTGAACGTAGTTGACTGTAGATAAGATCTGAGTCAATGGCTAATGCTGAAGTTAATGCTGAAGTACCTTCAATCTAGACTTGACCAACAATTTCAATTGTAGACTGAACTTCATTGTAAGCTGAGAACTTCGATTGTAAACTGAATTTTCGTGAGCATACAGAATCAGACTGATATCAATGTAGACTTTCGAATGTAGCTTGCTATCATTGTAGACTGCTATTCCGTCTCGTACGATGGTCGCGAATGCTGCTCCACAAAACTATCCACAATTTCTGGAGTTAATGGGATGCCTCGGGATCGTCCGTGGTTATTCTCTAGTAACTGCTGACTGAATTCAAGCAGTCGAGTGATGGGAATGGACTTGGTTGCATTGTTCTCAATGTATTCAAAGAGATCCCATAGCTTTTCCACATATTCTACAAACACCAATTCCGACCCAAAAAATGCTCGATGAAGGTGCTGCCACACCTCGGTATTGTCCATGCTTTCGTCTATGTAGGTGACGAGCTGGGTGAAACTATCTCTTGGTGCTTGCAATAATTCGTCCACTAAAGACCGAATAGTGGTGATGACTTGCCAGGTGGTTTGAAATTCTGATGTGCAGCCTAGAGGTAATGGGCATTGCTTCAGCGCTTTCCATAACCTTAGGGTGATTTCATTGTAGCTGGTGTAACACTCATCGAAAACCCATTGGTAATCAATAGCTGTGATTGAAATATCAATACCTAAATGTTCCGCAGGTAAAAAATTGACGAGAACCAACAACAACATTCCATGACATACAAGACAATGGTAAAAAATTCTGATGTAGTAAAGTGACCCATTCATTAAACCCTCAAAAAATGTACGGGTTCCATCACTGGTCGCTTGTAGTTGATTGTCGAAACGCAATGCCAAATCAAATAGATTGATTTGTGATGTCAAATATGAAGCATAACGAAGTGAAGGAAAGTACCGAGTCTCCATACGAATGAAACTAAGCCATCTGACAAAAAATGACAAAGTTAATTGGTTTTTGATCACCAATGCACCGTCGCCCGGTTGCTCGACATAATTGTTGGCGGCTAACCGCGAATCTAGGTCGTTCAATTCTTCATTCAACATCATGTATGCGTCGGTATAAAGCAAATGGTAAGACCTAATCAAGTCAATTATTGTCTTGGCCTTGCGGGTTCGCTTATAGTAGTATGATGCAAGCTTCATGATAAACTCTTGATTGATAACATACGAATAAGGGTACCGGAAAATTGCTTTCCGCCGCCTCCTTATGAGGAACAATTGATGTCAGTAACAACTTGAACGAATCGGATACCTGCCACCGCTGTATTCTAGGTACTTCTAGCTCAACCAAGCGAAAAAGTAACCAAAGTCGTCCAATTATATGAAATTCGGTGGTATCTGGGTACACCATATTTTCATCCCGTTCACGAACGAGGTCAGCAAAATCTTTATTTTCATAAAGAAAAACCACAATGTCTTGTTGCAATTCACAAAGTGCATCATAGTCTTTGTTTGCCAACAAATACACATGACGAACCAATACCCACGTTATGTTGTATAAGGCGTCGGTAAGTTTGAGGTTCTTACGGAGTTTGGCATGGATACTCAACAACAATGAATTCCATTCTACCAACACCTCCGCTTTGCTCGATACCAATTCGGGAGAGTCATTGATATACAAGAGCCCATTGATCATGATGCTAATGCCTAGAGAAACCATTCGAAGAGTATCCACATTGGTGTAAAACTCGGTATCATTGTTGATGCTAATGTCCCGAAGAAAGTCTACGAACATCACGATAGCCCGTGCCGTTGGCAAAACCGCTTCTACAAAGTCTTTTGAAGCTTGCCTGTGATTTAAATATAGCTGGTTGAAGAACTCATTCGAATAAGCAAACTTGGCTCGAAATTGAGCTGTTTCTTCCTCCAGTAGGGCAATAAGGGTTTGGCGATCCTCGTGTTCCTCAATGTCAATTTGGGAGGGTCCTCTTGGGGTGCACGCTTCGAAAGGTGGAGGAGCGATGGGCTGAGGATATTGAAGTTGAGCAAGTTGTTGGTGGTATATTGTCTCTGGGACCTGGTCTTTAAACTGGATGCTTATTTGTCTGTCGATATGATTAATGTTCGGAGTTTCCAAGTCTGGTTCTTGTTTTATTGGTGGGTCCAAATGTTCATTTATGTGAGTCGAACCATTAGAATACTGGCTGGGAAGAATGGGTACGACACCAAGCGGAATGCTTCCCGGAAATGGAAACGGTGGTGGTGAGACTCCAGGAAGAGGAAATGCAGTGTAAAATGGCGTTGGAGCTGGTGGTGCTGGTGCTGGTGGTGCTGGTGCTGATGGAGCTGGTGGAGCTGATGGGGCTGATGGAGCAGCTTCAGGTTGCCATGCTGAATTGTGGGTGGTATGAAGACTTTGAGGCGGCACGTATTTGGAATGAAGCGGACTGGAAGTTTCCATTGGTGGGTGAGAAGTGTCGATGACTATTGATACTTCCGTCTCGGAAATCGCCGAGTTTCTCTGTTTCCATTGGGTTTTCTTGCGTCTACGGTTGGCGATCCGTTCTAGTTCCTCCTCAGAAGGTGGTTGTGGTGGATCTTCAAGGCACTTGTCGGCTCTCCTTGATCTTTCACAAGAACGACAAGGGATCTGAAGGTCACATTTTAACTTTAGTTTTTTGCAAGGGCCACAGCTGTATGAACGCCGCTTACGTCGTTGGTTGGTTGACATGGGGATGATGAAGGTAGAAGTGGGTTTTAGGATTGAAATTTACAATCGAAATCCATACAAGCAGGTTGATTCAGCAAACTTTTATGTTATTCGGAAGTTGAGAAAGTGTGCAACAAACACTTGGAAGCGGGATCAGTGGACAGAAAAGCAAAGGGAAAAATTGCGCAAACTCTGATCCAAGCTTGCTGTTGCCACTGTTAACTTTCTGCTTTAAAGTGAACACTGTTTTCTGCGGGGCCAATGCTTTTGTGCAGCCAGTGCATGCATATATTAGGTTATCTGCAGTCTACGAATACGGGAAATTATGGTTAAATGTACGATCTAAGTGGGGAACGACAGATCTTCATACATGAGAAAATTATAATATGGTGAAGAAATGGTAAAGTGGAAAAAAAATTCGTTGCTAAGATCTCGTTTGACACTTCACCATTGTTCTTTGGTCCGGACTATTCCCTAAATCTGCACGACATGCGCGAAATATTATTAAGTCGATGGAATTTGCCGCATTAATTTACGGTGCGAACTAAAATGGTAGATGAAGTATTGTGCGAGAGGCTCACCATGCGCCACTTGATTACGATAGAAAAGATGAACAAATATACTTCTTTTTCTCTTCCAAACTTCTTTTTTTCGTTGTTCGGTCACTTCCGATTTCGCGTCCTGACATACGCTGGGCGGCTATTCGTTGTCCAATTCGCCACACCGCGCCGAGTTCGCATGTCCAACTCTAGTTACCAATACGGTTGTTGGTGCGGATTATGTAAGCGACCGATCATTGAACCGACCGTGGCACCGTAAACGCCCTTACCTAATCTCAGTCTCTCGCTTACTACGCCGTCCGACCAATCGAACCGCGAACATTCAAAATTATCATCACTTGCAATGTTAGCGACTAGGACCGTCGGTCGTACTGCATCCCGCTGCATGTCTAGGGTCGTAAGACCCGGTGCTGTGAGGTCCTTCTCCGTTTCTCGTGTTTCCCGTAACGAAGAATTCGTGGATCTTAGTAAACTTCCTCGTCCAAAACCGCAAACTCCAGTGGTGCCATTACAAAATCCGGCTGAAAAATACAAAGAAGTCAATGAAGAGCTCCATAAGTTTGGCAGGTACATTATGGGGTGCATGCCCAAATATATCCAGCAGTTCTCGGTGTGGAAGGACGAATTGGTGTTGTATGTTGCTCCTTCAGCTTTGAGACCAACCATGCTTTTTTTAAAGCATCACACTCCAGCTGATTTCAAGTCGGTGATGGATGTTACTGCCGCAGACTACCCTTCTAGAACCAACCGGTTCGATGTGGTTTACAACTTGTTGTCTGTCCGTCATAATTCGAGAATTAGAGTGAAAACTTACGCTAGTGAAACTACTGCCGTTCCCTCGGTGGTTCCTCTTTTTGAAGGAGCCAATTGGTTCGAAAGAGAGACCTACGATTTGTTCGGTATTTTCTTTGAAGGTCATCCAGATTTGAGAAGAATTATGACCGATTACGGTTTTGAAGGCCACCCATTGAGAAAGGACTTCCCCACCACCGGTTACACCGAGATCAGATACGACGAGGAAAAAAAGAGAGTGGTATACGAGCCATTAGAATTGACCCAGGCATTCAGAAACTTCTCTGTGGGGTCTTCTGTGTGGGAACCTGTTGGTGATGGTAAGGACTTTACTCCTGAGTCTTTCAAGTTGCCAACTCCTGAAGCAGAACCAGAAGCCGAAGGCCAGGAGAAGAAGTAGTTGCATAGAGACATCATAGTAACGTAGTAATCTAGTTAAACCTAACTGAGATGTTATTTTTTAACTGAGTTGTGTAATTTTAACTGAGTTGTGCTATTTCTTGGTCCAACTGTTGTAGTTCTGCCTGTTTGCGAGCATAATACTGCTCGAGTTCTCGTACTTGGCCTTCGATCAACTCAATATCGTTCTTTACATCGGTCAAGTTCTTGTCGGGCTTAACCTTGAGTTGCTCTTCCTTGTACTTCAACAATTGCTCATATTCGTGCTTGGTAACTCCCAATTCATTGGTTTGTGTGGTGGATGATTCTTTTGATGTTTTATTCAAAAGATCTTCCAAATTGGCAAGCTCACGTCTCAAACGTACCTCTTCCCAGTCGGTACCCTCTGTAGCAGAAAAGTCTGTTCCTCTTTCATTGGTGGTGCTACGGCCAACTTTTTGCAAGTAACTCTCACCAAAAGCCTTTTTATTGTTTGCACTTGTAGGTGAAGAGACTTGAGGTACCGACTCAGAAAGGTCATATGATGGAGTTTCCTTAGAAAAAGTGGCACGGAGCGAAGCAGGGACTCCATGGGGTACTCGTTTACCATTTTCGCGCTGGTTAAGAATATGAAGAAATACCAACGTTTGGTCTTTATCAATGGTTTCAAACGACTTTGGATTCACCAAGTTCCATGCTGAAGAAATGCTTTCTTTAGGCACTTTGGTCAATGTCTGATACAACCCTTCAAGACTTTGAAATCGAACTCGTCCATACGAATCACTGTTGGAATTGTATATCGACTCATAAGTGGCTTTGTCCGTGGGAGAAATATACCAATCAAAGTCATCAGAGAGCAATTCTTCGTCTTCTTCGTCATCATTGCTGCTTCTTCCACCATCATATTGATTATTTCCCGTTGCTACCGCCCGATTAGCTTGTATCAAATACGCTTTAGAAGCTGGAATGAGCCATCCGGGAAGCTCCGCGGGAACGTCCAGCTGGCTCCCGTTAACTATATCAAAGATAAGCCTCATAGCTATGCAAAACTCTTCAAAATCCAAATTTCCATCGCTATCAATGTCCGAAAGCTCCCAAATCTTTGATAATTTATCTTGAGGAAGTTGTGAATTTTTTAACACGGGTGACACTTTCGACCCACTGAGCTTGTTATCTTGTGGCTTGAGACCCTGGAAGATCTCCCAGTACTTTTTGATTTCCCATTCTTCGAGTTGTGGCATGCTAGTTTGGGTGAAAGGTGAAGTTGGTGAGCGTGAGATAGCGCGGGCTTATATGCCGTACCATGGTAAAATAAGTGAATTGTTTTCTATGTGAAAGAGAAGTTACTAGCATCACAAGCAAGATCACCGTACTCTCTACAGAAACTATAACTTGAGGTCATTTAATTGGGGTTATGCCTACTGTACCTATTAGTACCTGATAATTGCCAAACACATCAAGGTGTACGGGCGGTTGGTGTAGTGGTTAACACATCTGCCTTCCAAGCAGGTGTCACGGGTTCGATTCCCGTACCGCTCATTCTTTTTTCACTAAACCATTTTAATACAAAGAGACCTCATTAGGTTTCTTTTTACATTTCATTTTTTACATTTTCTCATATCTAATGCCTATATTTACAAGTGTCTCTCTACTCTATTCAAGCGACGAGCCGTAGATGAGTTATTTCTCGTTCTTTGACCACGAACCGGTAAACCAGATGCATGTCTCAGACCAGCATAAGATCCAATCGAACGTTTCAATTTGATGTCGTCTAAGATCTTCTGTTTCAAGTGTCCCTCCACTGATATATCAGACAATTCTTTATTTATGGCCATGATTTGTGGTTCGGTAAGTTGGTTCATTCTCATCTTGGGATAGATGCCGACCTTGGCACATATTCTCTCGGCGGTATTGTAACCCACACCAAAAATGGTCTTTGCCAAACCAATCTTTTGTTAGTTTCTTGGTATTTTAGTGGATAAAAATTGACTGGACGAAGGTTAAAACTATGCGAACCCTATGTGCTTTATGGAAATTTTTGAGGAGAGAGTTGGCTTAAAATTACCCACATAAATCCTCTATGTCCACTCTTTTTATACATACCTTGACCAAAGCATTATGCTTGATGGATTTACCAAATATATGGACGCCCATGGTTCGAAGATGTCGAAGTCAACTTTTCGCAGAATTGATTAGTGTGCATTTATGCAGTACCATCAGATGGAGCGGTTACTATATACTATTAAGCCATTCGTGGTGTAGCGGAACAAGGGTTACGGCATCACCGTTCGCTCCTCGACGTCGAGTCGAAGGATGAGCAACGATTGTAATAAAATGATCATGGTTATGAAACTGGCAAGTCCAACAGGTACCACCGCAAATACTGCAATGTTGTAAAAGTCAAAGAATCTAGCTCTGGACTTGCCTCGAAGATCGAGGTTCAGGGTAATAAAGTTCTGGGCAAAGTACAGTACCGTTAAACAGCAACTGATGAGAATCCATATGTGTAGTCCATATTTGTAGCCATCTGCGGAGAATGCCGATAGAAGATATTGCTCGATGGTTATAATGATAGTTGACATTGAGAGCATACGCACTATAGCAGCTGAGGTGGAATAGGTAACTATCCAACGAATCATAAGTCCATCGAGGAGAGCAAACGTGAGGTAGCCTGCGACTATACACCATACTCCGGTCAAAAAATGTTCTGACATTCGAGCGCTGGTGATGGAAGTTTGTAGTGGTTGACCTGCTAATTCTTCAACAGCATATCCAGCGAAAACTCGGCTCCACGACTGAAAAAGTCCCACGATGCAAGGAATGAGAGATACATCTCTACTACATGCCAAAGCAAAATGTTGTCTAGCATTTAGGAGTCGCAACCCTACCAGTTTGAGAGTATTTTTAGGTTCTTTTTTGCGACCTTCTGTAAGTCCCGATCTGGTTCTGAGTAAAGGAGGTGTAAGTATTCGTTGTTGTTGCTCGTGGAGTCGTTGTGATACTTCGTAGGATGGTACTTCTAAGTCTTCATGGTTCATTGATACTGGGGTTGCTGAAATGGGCGATGCTGCAGTGGTAGCAATTGGTGACGGTGTATGACTTTCGAGGGCTGGATGATGTCGATTTAAATGTCTCATGTTAGATTCAGAGGTATTTATTGCCATTTTGTATTAAGATGACCCCGTGATTACTTTAAACAATTTTGAAACAAATGTGATGAAATTAGCTTGGTGGGGAACTTCGATAAAAGTGCATCAATTACGCAGACCAACGACGGTTCTGGTATCCACAATGGTTCTTTAGATCTATTAACAATAGCAAGACGATAGATTCTCGTTCAATGACCACTAGCCACAAGCCACAAATGTTAGATAACGCACATAAATGTTGCACAAGATGACATGACGGTGCATGGATGTGAACACGCCGAGAGCATATGATTAACAGATGAGGTACTACGCCGATTAGGTTGTGATGGTTATTGTTGTGCAGTGATCCACCTTCATAGTCTAACATATATAAAGGTAATCCTAAATAGCTTCCAATTGTTGACTGATCTCGTCCAACTCCGCCTTGGCGGCAGCATGCTGGCCAGTCAAATCTTCGTACTTGCGCTCCCATTCTTCCTTCTCTGCCTCCAATGATGCTACCTTTCTCTCCAATTGCTCGGCCTTGATATCGGTTTCTCTCAATTTGGCGGTGGTTTCACGCAAATTCTTGTCTGCCTCTTCCAATTCCTCTTCCAATACTTGATTCTTCTTGGTGTAGTTTTCGTTGGAAGTCTTCAAGGAGTGCGACTCGTCGGCGGTCTTCTTGATACCATCAATGTCGGTTTCCAACTTCTCAACCTGCTCTTCCAAAACGTGGTTCTTTCTCGTCAACGCTTGAATTTGATGCTCCTTGTCAAGGTTATCCTGCTCCAACTCCTTGATCTTCTGGGCCAACTCATCCGACTTTTCTTGCCATTTCTCGGCGTCTAACTTCAAGTTGTTGATTTTCTGGGTTAGTTTGATTCGCTAATAATTGTGGTATTTTTAGTACTAGCAGAAAAAAAGAAATTCTAGTGTAAACCACTGAGTCTACTGCAATTCCTGTGACCGAGATCACACCTCAATCGCTTCAAAAACTTACTTCCTTGAGTTTATCCATTTTGTCGTTGTGCAAATCACCGCCTCCGTGATTTTTTGTTTGTTGTCCCGTCTGCTGACTACGCCGTTACGTAAGTGCGTGGTTCGTCGTCTAACAACAATTGCGCGCCGCGCCACCTGTGGCACGGATCACTGCATCGGGCTCAAACAGCCAGCAGCCAGCCATCTACCCTGATCTAAGATGAGTTCTAAGAAGATATCTACAACTACTGGTGAGTCGTAGAATACCCAATGCTGTATTCCCGCTCGACTCTGGAGTCATTTTATACGGTTCCAGAACCTAACTCAAACCCCATTTCCAATACCACCTCTTCCGATTCCAAGAGGTTTTCACCTGGAAACAGCCATGAACAACTATTGCCCCCTAACACACATCGCCGGGTGATTTCAAACCCATTCGAGATCATTTATGATCCAGAAGTAGCATCTGTTGGTGCCCAATTGCCAACTGATACGAGGTCTCTTGAACGTCTCAAATCACCAGGATACTTGGATATAGAAAGAACAATTGACCAAGGCCATGCTCACCGACGAAATCGAAGTAGTCAGATATTTTCGGCTGAACCATCCCCAAAAAGCAAGACATATAATGGAGAAGAAACGCTTACTCCTACCACCAGAATACAGTCGACTCTGCCAGGTTCCAGGATCCAAGAACACCCAGAAATTCCACCAGTGGTCACGATTATCGGCGACCAGTCTATCTTAAGACGAGGCAACTCTGTAATCTCGTCTGGGGCTTCTTTAAGACACCGCAATAGCATTCGAAACCGTTCAAAAATGGTTAAGAAAACCGATTTGCAGCCAGTTGCTGCCGTTGATATCTCTCCACAAACTTCTCCCAAGAGACCAACGAGAAAACTTCGGTTCACCTTCCCTGTAAGACGCCAGAGATCCTTGAAACGTAACCCCAATTATCAACCACTTTCAACTGCCGCTTCAAAATTTGAAACTGCTCATGATTTGTACAGTTACTATTTCAATAACGATGGCCCACGAATGATCAGAGAGCTTTTGCCACCATCCATGCTTAGCTTTGCATACTCCAAATTTGCCAGCATAAATCCTACCCTTCATCTGAGTTTGCGTCGAACCAAAATGGACAATACTTTCACTTCCATATTCATCGACGCAAACGACAAAACCCAAATCTCGGCGCCTATAGAAGGCACATTCAAGAAAAACGATATCCCAATTATTAACGATCCTGAAGTACATTATGACTTGTCTAGAGCAATCTTTGACAAATACAGAAATGCAGTTTTTGCCAACAAGGTGAAAAATCCAGCAACATTTTATGATATCTTTCCTGAGGAGGTTGAAAACTCATTGGTGACTCCTGAGGATGCAGAGTTCTTTACCACAAAACTATATCTCGAAGTTCTTTTGAGGAGAACCGTTGCTGCTAAGATAAACTATAGGTTGAAAGGAACCCGGATGCGCAACTTCAACACTTCATCAGATTCAGCATTTTCACAAGATTCAGACTCAAATGGCGATGGGGGCAATTTGAACAAACACGAATCGCTTCCCAAGCTCAGCTCTGATTCTGGAAATTCTGATTCTGAGTCGGTGAACACGGATGACTTGATGCAGCAGAATGCCTCGTTGTATTCTGGCCTTCTTCCTTCTCCGCAAATCAGTTATTCCAGTAATATTTTTGGCAGTGATTTTGACTTGGCTCCAGCTCTTGAAAAGAGGAGCACTACCGCAAGTCCAAGAGCTATACACAATTTTGGGCACAATGATGAAATACCGGATAGAAACTTGTTCCAACAAGATTCCTACAGACTCCAGCCTATGAATCGGTCAATGGCAACACTCACTTCTACAGATGATTCTGTGACACCAGTTGACATTGCAAGCACTGATAAACTTCTGACCATAGATTCGGAAGTACGCAATAGTTCTTCATCTAAAGAAGGCTCTTCAAGAGAATTATCCTCTGAGGAAAAGCGGCGTAAATCACTGTCGACAGCTCGCTTGTCTTTATTGAACGACCTTGATGGTCTTACGAGTGAGCTTTCATCTTTTATCAACGAAGAAGCTCTGGAACTTGGTCAATCACCAGATGACGATCAGCTTCCCCCGATCAAAACCAACCAGCGTATACCACAAGTAAGCACAAAACATGTGGATGTAACTTCACAAAAGGCATCTATCTACGCTGCTTCTACATGTACAAGTCCATCCAAGAACCATCATGAATCGGATATGGACTCTCAGTTCCTTGTTGCCAGGCGTGAAGATAGCATCTCCACAAGGTCAGCAGTAAGTACAGTCAAGCATAATTAATATAACATCTATTGATATACCAAGGGTAGCATGTAAGTCCTTACCCTAGAGGCCACTATGTCGTCTGGTTCATCCTTGGACTGGCTAGCTTCGCCATATGATGCGTCTAATATATTAAGCATGAACAAGGGAACCTTGCCGTCTCGAACTCCAATGCTAACGGCCAACACTTCGTCAGAGGTAATGTACTTCTTTTCGTGGAGGGCTATGAGCCTACTGAACCATTTTCTATCTTTCACGTAGACGGGGTAATCTTCATTTGCTATAATCACCGAAGGTGAATTAACTGCAGCAATCGCTGCTGATACCATTGTGCTTTCAAGCGTTAGATTCCCACCCGACTTATCGCTGATGGTATCCATGAACCCTATTTCGTCTTCAAGCCCAGGACTTTCAAAGTGAACACCTTGGAAATTTTTGAGAAGTATCGCATTATAATCTTCGATATCGGCGTAACGAGAATCCACTTCTATCAAATAGGGTACGACAACACTGTGATATAGAGACATGTATCTCAAGTTATCGGTGAGAAACATCTCGTTCACGATAACCAAACCTTTACTGAATTGAGATAACGATGGAAGCGGCAAGGCTTGTCGGTATAGTATATCCTTTAAAGCATTTTCGTCGTTGATTTTTGTTTGGGTTGTCTCATTTATCAATTCCATCTTGCCCAATTCGCTATTCCACGTATAGGAGAAAGCGTTAGCCTTATCTTGATGAACCATAAGTGCATACCATATTTTGTAGCGATGGTGAATAACATGAAATAAGTGCTGTTGGCACGAATACTTGGTATAGGTTGAATACACAGTTTGAGGATTGACTGCTCTTAACCCATTGGTGACATGTGCCCACACTTTCTTGTCATTTTTGTCCTTAACTCGGCCTATGGCATCAGCTAAAAGTTTAACAAGGTAGTGATCCATTTTGGGCGACCATCTCTTATACTTGGCATCTTTGCTTTTTAGATCAAACACACTAAGTTGCGGAAATTTTGGTCCTGGAGACATAGTATTAATGACATTTGGTTAGACGGACTGTGAGCCCATGTGAGATTTTACCCCGGATTTCTGTTTGACAGGTCGGTATGCAGTCCGTTCACCTTAATCGTGATAGTGGGTTCGAATTCCGTTCTTGCTTGTCTGGAGTGGATGAAAAGTAGTCTTTTGAGTCTTGGTTCCATCTGGGAATGGTATGGGAAGAGCTCATGGATCTTACATCGGCCGAGGCGTCCTTGAAAATGGAATGAGTTTCTTGAGTTTTTGTGAACCTGTCTAACATTTCGTAGGTTCTCTTTCGGCGGAGTGACAACTGATTTGTAAGAGGAGTCGTTGTTGAATTTCCTGGAGTCGATACGGCGGCGGGAACTGGATCTGGAGTACTGAGATGTAAACTCGTTAGGTTAGTTATCGTGGCCAACCTGTTCCGTAAAGTATTGAAAGTACTCGATTGAGGAAGAATCATCAAAAGTCCGTAAAGAGTTTTGTACAAATACGGGTACGATTCGGGTTCTAGGAGCTGCAATCTTAGTTTGAGGAATATTGGCGACTCCAAGAGTTGTACCAATACATCAAGTTGAGTTAAAAGTTGCAAATTGACTTCGCTCTCGGAAAGGTTTTTGATGATAAGAAATCCCAACTCATACTGGGATGTGAGTAGACACAACGACAAGGCACATGCCGGGTTGTGGCACCAACTCTTGAAAAGCGTTGCAAATAAATTCCAATCGTCCAGTCCCAAATTTTTCAATTTGTTACGAAATACCGTTAGTTCTCGTGATGTCAAGAGAATGTTATTTAAAACAAGCACCATCAAATTCAAAAACTCCAAGTTTTCATATTCCTGTGAATATAACACTTCAGAAAGCGTTCGATAAATCTTTTCTGAGTCGAGAGTCACACAGAGTTTCCTGATGACAAACTCAATACGTTCACGAGAGGTCGATTCTCCCTGAGCTTCACGAACATAAAACTTTTCAACCAGTAAGTTTTTCATCTCTCGTTCACAAAAGGTGATTAACTTAGCCATGAATGTGGTGAAGAATTCATGGTTCGATTCGGATATTTTAGAAAGAAATTGCAAAACTTTGAACACCACTTCGTTGCTCGCATCATTGGCAGATCTAAGCAAAATTGTGAAATCAAAATTTTCTGGTCCATCTCCAACTACTGAACCTGAAAAGCTTGTAGGATTTGTCGAGTAAAGAAATATGAGCCAGTCCAACAGGGTTATTCTTGCAAGTTCGTTGGAAGAATTGGTGCAAACTTTGATGAAGCGATCCAACATTGGATGAAAATAGAGTTCATGGAACTCATCATAAACTTCTTTGTTCAACCCAAGAATAGAATTTTGGGATGGTTCACTTTCTTCTAAAACTTTGTCAGCATCGTTTTCTGCCTCATTCAAACTCATCAATACATTTTGAAGAGCCGAATTGAACTTGAGGAATTCAATTCTTAATTCTTCATCATCGGGCTTGTTTGTAATTGCCAAATTTTGTGTAATAATGTTGACACAATCGGGAAAAAACTTGACAAAGCTAGTAGGCGAAAACTTTATAATTTCTTGAAGCCATTTGAGTGATATTGTTTGAATCTCGTAGTATGTCTCACGACTCTCTCCACGAAGGTCGTTTACTTTCAAATCTTGCTTGGCAGTCGTGTTAGGGTCTCTAAGGAACGAGAGCAAAATGGAGATTATCATAGGGTAGTCGATGAAAATATCTTGTCCCTTTAAAAAAATGTCACCGTCAGTATCAGAATTATCTTTCAATGATAAGCTGCTTAAATCTTTTTCACCTTCGTCCACGCTTTCACTTGCCTGTTCTTTCTTGGCTAATTGCTTACGCTTGATCTCATATCTTATCTTACTAATCGCTTTTATCTCTTTGAGAAAGGTGGTAAGCAACTTTTGAGTTTCTATGCGTACATCGGACGGAGCATTATTCATCAAAAACTTTATGAGTGGCTCTAAGAAGTTGGGAAGATAGGTAATGAGCTCCAATGATGGAATATCATCAAAAAGTTCAAGCCAGCTCAAAAGAAATTTCTTTGCAAATGGGTCAATGATATACATTCTTTCCAATAATGTGGGGATGAATTTTGGAAGCGAAAATGCTTTTTGTGCATCCTGAGGAATGTTTACTTGGATAGCCACTCCATTAGAATCTACCACATGAGACAATATCTCGTTTCTTCGGTTCTGAAACTCTTCTTGTTGAACAATTGACACATAATTTGTCGACTTGGCACTCACAATATCCTTAATGAGTCTATCCAAAATGTCGGCTGCGTTCTTTACCGACGACTCAGTATCAGTCACCAATATACAGAGGATATCAAAGACCTGGTTGAAGTACACTAGGATCTCTCCACGAGCAATTTTGGCAATATTGTAAAGCGATTCACATGCGTAGTATCGGACGCGAGCATCAGTATCACGAAAAGTAGCAAAGATGGGCTTGATGATATCTTCTAGAAAGTAAGCAATTGCAAAAGAGCCAAGGGCTACAGAAACACTTCCCAATGCAGTGATAGCTCCCATTTTGGCAGAATTAGTACCGCTTCGAACCAAATCGGCCAATTCTTTGATGATCAGATAAATGGTTTGCGAGTCATTTTTGGTGAGTGCTGCCTTGGTCAAATTCTCTATTTGGAACGCTGTTGCTTTTCTCTTTTCATATATGTGATTGGAGAGATCTTTGACAATGGACAGATCCAAGGCGTTGTTCATGGTGAGGAAACTACGATTTCGATCGCGCAGATAAAGTGGTGTTGCAGATAAGACAATTTTTCACCTTACTTACTCAATAGGAGTTGTTACTGAATTTGATATGAAATTGTTACTGCTTTATTCTATATAGTACAGTGGTTAAGAGAGGCCCGACCGTGGCCGTTTTGTTCCCATGGGTGCCTTGTGTTTTGGTGTCGTGGGTTGGTTGTATGATGGGAGATTGCTCAAATACGCATGCAACGTTGGCTTCTGTGCTCTGCTATCCTCCGGAGCCTCGTGCAGAGTCTCAGACGGAAGGATGTTCAGGAGCATTTTCAAGTCGTCGATGGAAAACAGGGTTGTTTCTGGAAGTCTTACATCAAACTTGATGAAGAGGTTCCCTCGTTGGTAATGAGATAAGTCGAAGACTGCCAGCGAAAACTCCTCAACCTCATCGGGGTTTTGGTAGTAGGTGCCATCTATCACATCATTGATAGGCATTCCTAACTCTGTAACCAACTTGGGGGTTCCTGAATTGATGGTTCCCACAATTTCACCATCCTTTACATGTTCATTGATGTCGTCGTTAATGCCTGTGCGTCCGTGGACATTCACAAACAATCTCAAGGGTTGTATAAAGTTGTCGACCTTGACAGTGCCGCCCAAAAGAGCAGTTTTCAAGTCTATCGGCTGTTCCAAGTATAAGTCATTATTGCGTCGAACTATCGATGAATGAGGAAGTTCGCGGAGTTGAATGATAACGTCTCCAGGTAAAGTATTGCGTCCCTCGTCAGCTTGGCCTTGGAGTATAATTTTGTCGCCACCCTTGGATCCGGGAAGAATATTGGCTTTAAGGAGCTTCTTTTCTCGAACGTACCCTCGGTTGCAATGAGGACATTGATCATTAGGGCTTACGACAGTACCTGTACCATCACAGGCTCGACACAGGCTCACTTCTTGCGACCTGCAGAACTTGTTAGCCATGGTCATCATGACTCTTCCACTGCCTTCACAGGAAGGACACAGTTTAGGGTTAGCACCACCGATGCCATGACAGTGCTTACATTTGGATATTCGAGGCAATTGAAGTTTGGCAACTTTACCAAAATATAGGTCTTCAAGCGTAACGTCATAAGTGTGGTAGATATCTGCGCCATGACGCAATTTATGGGGATCGGTCATGGATTGTACGTGATGCTCAAATTGATCTGATGCCAAATTACCAAAGGCAAAGTTGTTCATATCGTTTGATTTGAGCATATCGTTCAAGTTGCTGAACATCTGGGTGAATATATTGGCTGTGAATGGACCAGGAGAGTTGAAAGCACATCCACTACGGCTCTTCTTTTGAGCCTCTGCTGCCGTACCATCAAGGCCAGCCTCGCCATAATGATCGTACACCGACCGAGCCTTTTCATCTCGTAGCACCTCATATGCCCTGGTGATCTCTTTAAAGTGTTCAGTCAGCTGAGGATCGTGTTTATTCTTATCAGGATGATATTTAAGCGCCAATTTTTTGTACGCTCGTGATATCTCTTCGGTCGAAGCCGAATGAGCCACGGTTAAAATATCATATAAATGAGTATCTGATACCATGCCATATGATTGAATGGGTAATAGCTAGTGAAAAGCTGGAAAATGTGGGGTAGAAACCAAGAAATAAATGAATATTCTTCAATCATGGACCGAAGCTTCGATTGGTTTCCATCCTGCATGACTCGCGGTGGTGCTGTGGGTGTCGAGAATTGGTCCGCCGTTGACTAAGCGATAACGATAAGGATGCGAGCGAAAGATTAATTGGTTCAGTACTTAAATGGGAGGTGAATAAATAGTATAGTATAGAAACATGAAAATGTTCTAATTTCTCTCATTTCGTGTTCAAAGTTTCAAATTTCTTCTTTTTTTCATTTTTTATTTTTTTGTCAAAATCTCAGATTTTTGCAATCTACTTACCATTACCTAGTGTCCCCAAAATTTCATCTCTATAATGAGGTTGGTGGTTGATACGTGCTGGTTTGTGGCGTCTCTCATACATGTTGCGTTGTTTCCGTTCAAGCACCTGTACTTGTTGCTGCTGCTTAACCACTTCTCGCAGCGTTACACCAGGTGCAAACCGTCGGTCCACCATAGCCAATGTCTTTTGTGGTTCGGCAAGCTCTCGAGTCTCTGGGATATTCTGTCTATAATAGCGCATCATCGAGCGATGTCCAATACGAGAACCTGTGGGAAGGGTCAATTCGACCCCGGTAGGATCAATCTTGACGGTGGTGTAATTGGAGTTGATTTCATCCGACAGTATTTCTACCGGCGAATCGTCAAACTTTACCTTTGATGGAGACTCATGGGGTGTTTCTGGCTCCTCACTTAGAGTGAAATCATAGAAATGTGCAAGTAACAGACGTTCTTCTTTGGTCTCATAAGGTATTCTGCAATGGCCCTTACTATTGACATGCTGACGAATACTTTCAAGGTTTTTGCCCTGGAATCCACATACCATGCATATTTTCTCGCCCACAATCATTTCCCCGAGATAGTTCAATAAACTTTCCAAATCAACGAGAAACAGCCGTTCAGGTACGTACAATCCATGCTTGCTGAACATATGCCTCACATTACTTTCCACATCGTGATTGTTCACCCCACAATATACACAGTGGGTCGTGGGAAGGAGCTCATCCAAATCCTCCATCTGGTCAATATCGCTGTCTTCAAAGTGTTCATCTTCGACCAAAAGAACATCTGAACGAGTATCCACTTCAGAAGCTGATGCATCGGTATCGTTGAATTCCGAACCAGTCTCAAACGCAATATCTGTGCTTCCCAAAGAGAACTGCGAGTGCCCACTACGAATAGACGCAGGACTTCCCACTCTAACAAGCGGTTCCATTGGAGTTTCTTGGAGTTGTCTGCCTCTGTGAATTTGCTGTCGCAACGACTTTTTGGTCATTTGTGGTCCATTTTTGCTCCGTCTTCGATGATTTATGTGAAATCCATACTCATCTTCATCTGCTTGTTCAGATTCCTGCGTCGACTGCAGTTCCAAGACCTTTTCGGCAAAAACATCCGACGAAATCGATGGCAATTGAGCGACTCTACGCTTCAAATTGTACCTATGCCAGTCAGTTTTCATGTGCTGCCTCTGTAGGTCAGCAGTTACAAACTTGACCGAACACGTATTACATGTGAATGATGACGTGCTCGGATTCGAACCCTGTGGTAAAAAACTCATAAAGAAGTATAGACAATTTGTCTCCCTGCTATATGTGCTGTGGTGTATTGGATGCACGTCTGTTCGTCATTATGGCAAACTCCGCATCATTCCGCCTGCATGTGCGGTAGTGTACATAAACTATTTTGGGTGCAAATTACTTCCATGCCTCACTCACCAGAGGCCACACTCTCTTATACATGCTCATAGCAATTGTATCCTGAGCATTCAACTTGCCGTCAAAGCGTGCCTTGAAATACCCGTGTGTTCCCAAACTTTCCTTAATAAATCCACTACGACCCATTTTGGTGAATAATGGAATGGCTTTGAAGAAATTGACATCTTGAGAATTGAAGAACATGTATCTCACCGTCACCACCGTCTTGTGAATCTTGACAGGGTGTCCAGTCAATACCGCACGCTCAGCAACGATTCTGGTGTGGTCACAATTGAGGAATGTACCTTTACCAACAAATTTGAGCAGACCATCTGGTTGAGGCTTAAAGTAAAGTGTTGGTGAGTTGGTGAACAGAACAGGACTGATGGCACTAGCAATTGTCAACGAGCCATGGTGAGCAAACCGTTCCGACTTGTGGACATTGTTTGAGTTGTTGGAGGCTTGGTTGAAAAGTGGCTTGATCACTTGTCTTCGGTAACCATATTGAACAACGAGTTCCTCTCCACTAGGAATTGGATCAACGTAGTCTTCCCAGGACTCAAATGACCAATTGACCAAACCCAACTTGTGTTCGTGCTCGAGCATTCCATAAACCACAAATGGACGCTGGCTGGCATCACTTTGGATATCGGTGGGTGCTCGAATAGTGAGCCTGACTTTGGTTCCAGCTTCCACTTGTGCCTCTCTCGAAGCTTGCTTGGCAATTCTGTTCCGGGTCGCTTTATAGTTGGAGATCCGGAGCAACCGTTTCCATATGCTGGGTCTATTTTCGTCAGCTTCATCTACTTGCCAGTCACAATTACCAAGTGATTTGATTCCACGATACGATGCAAGTCTCTCTCTAGCAGATTCCGATGGATCAAGTTCCAACTCATCTGGGAACTCAAGGTCGTCTTTTTCCAAAGCGCGGAACTCTTGTAACTGTCTTTCTTCTTCTTCTGGTGAGAGCTCCATATATTGAACATCTTCGTCCTGGTCCACAATGTTATCTGCCTCATCCATTTCTTCCATTTCCACAATTTCATCTATTTCCTCATTTTCATCGTCTTCCAAGTCGGATGCATCTTCGAGAACATCGTCTATAAGCCATTTTCTTTGGTACTCAGAGGTACCTTTTGGAACTGGTTTTCTGGAACTATTATCGTCATCGGTTGCAAAATATTTGTACCCGTCCATCTTCACTCCGTCTTCATAGACATCTTCTATCTCGTCTTCCATCTCCAACTCTTCAGGCAAAAGTTCATTTAGATCTTCTTGATCTTGGGTTGGAATTATTACTTGGGTCTCTGAAGAACGCTCAACCATGGTCTCAATGCCTTCTAGCTGATAGTCTCCCAGACCAGGAATGTGCACAAGTCTATTAACATTGAATCCAACACCACGAACAGTTCCAATTACTGTCATCAATGGTGCACCATTTGCACCTTGAATCCACGAAACTTCGTCAGCAACGAGGTATCCTCGAGCATCTCTCCACGAAACCGATTTGGGCATCTTCTGTGACATTAATCTTATGCAATTGATACATTCTGAGGCAGTTTCCAAGGCGTATAATTTGTCCACATCTGGGAAGAAATGGGTAAAATAAGATTGAAGAGACTGCCTTATATCGAGCTGTAAGTTTCGTTTAGGATACGCTGAAACAAGATTGGGCAACACACCAATCACAGAAGCAATGCCCTGTGCTATAATTGACCGCAACAATTGTTCACCATAAGTGGGATCCACTTCTTGTTGCGCAGATATTCCAAATACAACATAGTCAGAAATCTTTGTGGCATCGAGAATAGCCAAAAAATCATTTTGGTCTGGGATTATGATCTTGAAGTTGGCCTTGTATTGGCGTATTCGGATGCTACTGACACTGGGGTATTCGAATGTGAATTTTTCACCGGTTCCACTGAATAAGGAAGAGGCTACATCGGCTGGAGAAATATCATTGGTGAGCGAGATTACAGTCACAATTTTCTCAGCACCCAAACTATCGAAAAGCTTCCTCGTATTCTTACTTTCAAGAATCTTTTGCTCCTTCAATTGCTTAGCGACGTTTTTCCGTTCTGTCTTGGACATTACTCGGATCGCTTTAGACCCAGAAGCACCCTTTTCGACTTTTCCCTTAAACCGGTTTTTGATCTGGCCCTTGGTGGCATGCTTGGATTTGAACGACTTATGGTCGTTCTTGAGGGTAGATCGATGTGAATGGCCCATGGCACTGAGTTTGATTCGGCTGCACCTTGTAGGTGCGATGAGGTTGATGCGTGAGATGGCTATCACGCGCAAGTCATGTGTACGCATATAGGGTTACACACGTGATACCACGACCGCACCTTTTCGATTTTGTGTCACGTTCCCTGGTCTGGCACGACCGCCGCGAGTCCAGTGTGAAAAAATTGAACAGTATTGGATAACAGACAGATACAGCAAAGAGTATGTTATAACGAGACTGGGGTCCTAAGGAGGGAAAATACTGTTCATTGCGTGGAGAATGTAGAGTCAGTTTGCTATTAGAGAATTTGTTGGATCGACAAGCGAAAGTGGAGACACAGAGAATACGAAATTTAATCATTCATCTCCAAAGACTTTGAAACGTCAAACGGAAAGTACAATTGAACCCACAATACACTGGAAGAACTTTCGACAGTCTGGAACAAGAAATATCCCTAAAAGACCCTTCAATCACCTTGAACTAATACTAACTACAGAATATGGCTCACGAATCAGTTTGGTTTTCACACCCAAGAAACTTTGGTAAAGGTTCTAGACAATGCCGTGTGTGCTCTTCGCACTCCGGTTTGATCAGAAAGTACGGATTGAACATCTGCCGTCAATGCTTCAGAGAGAGAGCTACTGACATTGGCTTCAACAAGTACCGTTAAGCTTACACACTTGCATAGATAGTTGTGGATATCATGTATAATTAATACGCTGATAAGAGAATGTAGAAAATGTGGACGAATCATGAAGTGACCATCGACCATTCTTAAACGTACTTTTACTCAGTGACGATGCTTTGAGCGCACCATACCTAATGATCCTCTATCATTTGGTCAATTATTTAGAAGCAAAGTATAGCTAATACTTGACTGTCTACCTCTCCTGACTGTCCACTCACCTCTCTTACTCTCTACATTACTACTGAAATATATCCCATTATCGACATTCAGAACCATCGCCGCACTGAAGCGACCCAACGATTGCCAAACTTCCTACAGGGATTATTGATCTGGGGAGTTGAATATTAAATATGGCAACAATCATAACTTGTCTATTTACGTTAGATTGTCGTGGCAAATACTCCCAGTATTATTATACTTTTTGATTAACTGAATTTTCAACTTTTCGATGCTTTATAGTGCGGTTACCCGGCCACCAGTGTCCTATGCAGACGAATGATGGACCTCAGGTATCAATGTCTAATTCCGGAGTAAAAGCACTTACAATCTTGTTTGTGGGTGGACTAAGTTGGTATGCTGGACTTAAATTCTGGCAGCCGTTGATAATGTAAGAATCAATACATATATTGTAAAAATCATGGCTAACAAAGCGAACAATTACAAAAAGATGGTAATTTAAGAGACGACGTTTATGTTCCTGATACTTCAGACCAGCCTAAATCATGGCAGGATCTCAAGACAAAGGTAAGAACGACATTGCATCCTGATTTGGAAAAGGAAGGAGAAAGCAAAAATGTTGATGAATTTGGCAAATGAGAAAAGGACTAGAATTGGATGAGACACTATGAAGATCGATAAGGTACTCAATGGTACTAGCAATGGTACTGAACGAATGGACTGACCCAATGGACTGAAATAAAGGACTGAACTGGTACTGAATTGACCATTTGCCGGACTCTACTACGCAACTTATGTTCAGGCAATTAAAATTTCAATTGAAAGTCATTGAACTCATGATTCTTGTATCATGATCTATATCATAAACATTTCATGAACCTATATCATGATCTTATTTCATGAACCCTATATATCTAGGAGAGCATTGTATATACTGTACCCACTATCTTCACCACTCTGCGCTCATCGCGAAAAATTATTGAGACAATTCACTACGATGGGCAAGCTCAAGAAGTCCAAAAGAAACCAGAACAGAACCAACCCGCTAGCTCGGGGACGCAAACTGTCCAATGAAACAAAATCAGAAGAATCAGCAAGAAGAAGAGCACTTCCATTAATTGAAAAATTGACATCTACCAGTGCCAATGATAGAGCCATGGCTCTCGCTGCTATTACCGTGCTTTGTGAAGACGAGAACACTCGAAAGGTTCTTTTAAAGGAAAGAATCATAACCATTATTATGGAGCAATGCCTTACAGATTCAGATGATGAGATCGTAGTGGAAGCTTTTGGGGTGTTGCGCAATATAGCAGTGGAGGAAGGTTACGATGTTATTCAACATATATGGAGACAAAATATCTGGACAGCTATCGAGGGAGCACTTGTCAAGATCCAAAAGTCATTTGAATACTTGGGTTCGGGGAAAACATCAACCATTGGAAATAAAAAAGCTGATGAGAAAGCCCGTCTACAATTACTATACGATTATACTGAGAATGTTATAATGCTTGTGGTGGTGATTGCCAGTGGTTCTTCAAAACTATTCGAGTCTGTGTTTGCCAAGATCGATCCAATTTTGTCGTTGGTAATTAGCATAATCAACTGGAATACCCCAGTGGTGCAAACCTCACTCAAATTGCACCATGCATTGCTTGATTTTGTGTATGAATTTGCTTCCGAATCACAGGAGTTTATTGGAAAACTTGCCAATTTTGACTTGGAAATTCAAAATGAAAAGAGTCTGATATTGACTCAGATATATGCAAATGCCATCAAGTTTCATATTATTGAGGATGGGATATCCATCCAAGACATTGACAATATTCTCAACCGCATGTTCAGCACACTAGTTACCATCAATTTGGATGAGGTCAAGCTGAACCTAACCGTGACCGACAATGCACAGCATCCTATCCAGAAAAAACCAGAAACAATGCAAGATATTGACCAGCCTTTGGGTGGTGAGCTGGTAGAAACATGGCAAGCAAAATGTAACGTTCAAGCCATGGAAATAGCCATTGACGTCACCACGTCAATTTGGGAACTCCTAGCTACCGGACCCTTCAATGCCTCGGATATAATGCCCACTGTGTTTCAGGTGGTTTATCCTAGTTTAATGGAGCTTCTCAAATTTGAATCGTCGAGTAATTTGGGATTTGCTGAGCGGTTATTGCAATGTCTCAATAATTTGTGCTGGCTAATGCTAATGGTGGATCCTATTCCTACTCTGTGGCACCAATGTTGTTTACAAATGTGGGACGCGTGTTCTATTTTCGGCACCACCAATGACATTGCCATCAAAACGCATTGTCTAAATGCATGTTGGGCTATCTGCAAAGCAATTGGCCCTGAAATAACATCGAAAATAAATCCTGCAGCGATTAACGGTACAGTGGAAACAAGCAGAAGCGCATTATACCAGTTACAGGCTGGAACAGGAGACCCAGACCTCCTTACTGAGTGGTTGGTTACTGCGGCTGGATTTCTTGCCTCGGCCGTGGTACCAGCAGCACATGATTCAGACTATGTTCCCGCGGTGAAGGAGGTTGGTTCGTTATTGGTGGACTGCATTCTGTGGCTGGTAAACGGTGGTAGTGGTGGTGTCATGGTGGAATGTCTTAATTCGTTGTATGATATTTTTGGCGACGCCGATTATGTTTACGATGAACCCGTGTTTGTGCAAGAGCAATATTTACTTGTTCTACAGGAGTTGGAGCCGAAAGTGAAAGATGCGTCCAAACGCATCGACAAACATCTTCATGCGGAGACAAGGGCTAGGGCTGAAGAGGCTTGCAATAATTTGACGCGATTTTTGCAATACAAAGTTTCCGAAAAACAATAATTGTGCGGCTTGACCTCGTGCGGGTGGGCGAAACAGCCGGGTCGCATTAACGACGTGCATGGAACGCATTTCTTGGTGTAATTACAGGATATGACTTGGTATGAGTTTTGGTGGTATTTTAATCTGAAAAGTCGCTACAGGTGAGTTGTGGCTTCCATTTACTTAGGTGGTGATATAGAAAATAATGAAAAATGGTAACCGTTCGAATTTGGTTGGTGTGCACGGCGGCTACTTGCAATTGGGATTCGATGCATCGTGACGCATGGGGAAAGTGTGCCGCAAAAAAAATATGCCGTATACAGGCAACCAGGGTCCAGCAGTTTCACATCTTCTATTTTTAGATTTCACACCACGGTGCAGAATGTACGATGGGTTATTGGCTGCTAGAACAAGGAAATGTTGGTAATTTTTTAGCCCTCAATGCGCGGCGTACCGGCTTAGTATCGCGTTCTCACATGATTATTCACCATATAAATACGCACTCGCACCTCTTTTCTCATTACAAATTTATTTGCACACTAATTCACTCGCTATGAAATACTCCACCACTGCTTTTGCCCTTACCGCTCTCGTTGCTACCGTATCTGCTGACTCGGCTCCTGTTGCCCCAACCGTCAACGGTAAGCCATTCTTTGCTGGTCCTGACTTTGTTGGTTCCGACTCCACCACCCAGCCAATTCCTACTACCGTCAACGGTAGACCATTTTTCGCTGGACCTGACTTTGTTGGTTCTGACTCTGTCAACTACAATGCTACCACCCACACTGGTATTACCGTTACTGGATACACCACCTACTGTCCAGCGGCTACTACTGTGACCATTACCACCTGTAAGGAACACAAGTGTGCCCCAACTCACATTACCGTTGCTGGTCCAACCACCATTACCGTTACTGAAGAATGTGTGGTGCCATCTACTGCTCCTCCAAAGACTGTTGCTCCAGCTACTACTGCTCCTCCTGCCAAGAGTAGTCCTACCACTGTTGCTGCTCAATCTTCCAAGCCACCAAAGGTCTCCACCTTGACTGGTGGAGCTCCTCAAAATGCTGTTGCTGGAGGTTTGATTGCCGCCGTTGCTGCTGCCGTTGCCATGGTTTAAACCAGAATTGTATACTTATACATCTGTTTAAGGTTGTGTTTTCTTTCTTTTTAGCTGTTACTTCGTCCTAATACTTCAAAAAGGTTTACTGTAGACAAGACGCTGACTCATTCGCACAACTAACTCTCCTCACAACTAGCTTATCTTCAATCAACTAAGTTTCCCACTTCTGCTTCCTTTATTTCCATTCTCTTTTTCATTTTCTCTTTCCTTTTCTCTTCCCACCTCCTTCCCAATGGGGAACTGAAACAGAAGGATATTTATAGATTAGAGTTGGCCGAACGGGCTGCCGAACGGGCTCTTCTCGGTTGCCCGCTCGGCTATATAAACAGCAGTATGCTCGGCATCTATGATTCCATTCCACTCGCTATGAAATATTCCACCATCGCCTTTACTGCTCTCTTTGCTTCCGTCTTTGCTGACGAGCTGGCTCCCGTTGCACCCACTGTTAATGGTGCACCTTTTTTCGCAGGACCCAGTTTTGTGCCCTCCGAGACCACCACCCAGCCAATTCCTTCTACCGTTAATGGTGCACCATTCTTTGCTGGACCTGACTTTGTTGGCTCCGAAACCACCACTAAACCAATTCCTCCAACTATCAACAGTATTCCATTTTTTGCCGGTCCAAGCTTTGTCGGTTCCGACTCGGTTAATTACTGGTATCACCGTTACTGGATACACCACTTATTGTCCAGAAGCCACTACTGTGACCATTACCACTTGTAGTGAACACAAGTGTGCTCCTACCGAAATCACCGTAACTGGTCCAAGTACCGTTACCGTATCTGAAGAATGTGTGGTTCCTTCTACCGTTGCGGCTGAGTCCACCCAACCAGCTGTGAGCACCTTAGTTGGCGCGGCTCCAAGAAATGTTGCCGGAGGTTTGTTAGCAGCCGTTGCCGTTGCCGTTGTACTTTAGATTAGATAATTGATTTCTTTCTTACTTGTCTATCTTTCTACTGGTTTGTCTTTCTGCTTTATTGTCCCTTCTGTCTTTCTGTCTTTTTTCTTCTTTATTCGCCGGTACCTGGCGTATATGCGGTACCTTACCGTATATGCGGATGACGTAGTACCTGAGCCGTAGTGCCGTGCGGTATTAACATTGGTTTCCACACGTGGTTGCATTCTGTCAATTTAGGCTCTGTGGGGTAGTACCCCTGCATACTGACGTCATGGCCATCGACATCGGGTGAGGAGATACGGCTGCAAAGAGGGTAATCTACTACCATAAAGTTGGCGCCAAGAACCACACATGAATACTATATTGCAAAGTGCTGTAAAGTGTTGCAAACGGCTCTTCCTTTTGGTTTTTTTTAGTCTTTTTAGTCTTCTCTTCCGTGCATTGACATCGAACGATCTGCTCGCCGCACGATATAAATAGATCTGCTTGTCACATTTGTTTGTCATTATGCGGCACTAAAATTAACTACTGAACTCACTATAAAACGGCCCTCCTGCTGCATTTTTCAGTATCCACTTTCAATCGCTTCGCTATGAAATTTACTCTCGCTATCTTGTCAACCCTCGCTACCGTTCTCGCTGCTGACTACGACCTTCACCTCTCGTCGGACAATTCCGACTTGAACAACCAAGGTTTAGGAGGCATGCACGAGGGTGCTGGTATCAATTACATTGCCGTTCGTGGAAGTCCTCTTCGTGTTTCTTGGGACAGGTACAACAGAACTTTTACTAGTCACAACCAAGGCGATTTGACAACTACCTTGTCTGTCAACGAAGGTAACTTTTTGCAAGACAGTGTCACGGAACCAGGAGCATTTGATCTTATCAACTATAACGTTATCTATGATGGATCAGACACCTTCTACGCTTGTAAGAACGTCAATGACCCATACAACTATTCCAAGGAAACTTATCTCATCTTGAGCTCCAACAGTGTTGGAGACTGTGAGGCAGTCAAGATTGTTGCCGAGGCTGTTGAATCGTCTTCGTCTTCTGCTCCTTCGTCTGCTCCTTCGGCTTCAGCTTCATCAGCTCCTTCGTCCTTTTCTTCAGGTCCTTGGTCGAACACAACCACCACCGACATCACTGTTACAGACTACACCACATACTGTCCTAACCCGACCACCATTACCATTACCACTTGTACCCAGGACAGATGTGCTCCTCATCCTATCACCATTACTGAGCCAACTACTGTAACTGTTACTGGTGAGTGTGTGGTCCCATCGACCCAAGCACCACCACCTCAGGAAACCACTCCATCCACCACTGTTGCTGGTGAATCTTCTGTTCCTAGTGTTACTTCAGCTGAGAACGGTGTGGGCAAAAACATTGCCAACTATGGTGCTGCTGCCGTTGCCATTGCTGCCGTGTTGATCTAAACATTTTTTCTTTTCGCACCCATTTTTTCGTTATATGTATTGAATGAACAGTATGAGTTCTAAATAGTAAAGCGTAATGAAATCATTGAGAGGTTTTTACCAATTTAAAATGTGTTGAATCTCCATAGTTTGTTGGTGACTCAAGCTGTATGTATCATAAATTGAGGAATGAGGTGATGGTGATCTTTAACTGTATTGAGCCCTAGCTCCGTTAAAGTCCTTCTCGTAAGTTTTGTTGAGTGGGTTCACTCATCGTCCTTGTTCTTTGTTCATATTGTCATAATTTTCACTCTCTCCATATTAGTCCACGTCAAATGGCGTAGACACCTCATCCTCACTCTCACTGTCACTATCCATTTCGCCCTCAGTATTGTGCTCGCTCTCGTACCGGTACACATCCTTCTCCGGCACTCCAACAACTCCCCATTTTATACTAGTGACTTCCTCCAACCGCAGCAAAATCTCGTTCATAGGTGTAAAAAGTCCAAATTGCTTATACTCTCCGTCATAAGAATGTAACATGCCAACAACCCCAAGTCCCTTGTTCTCGGAGACTGTTTCACAATCTTCAAGCTTCGTCAAAATCCACGCACCACTGTCACCGCCAGCGGCAAAAGCAGTATTGTTCTCGGTGGAGTTTATGACAAATTCAGAAGAATGAATGGCCCCATCTAACCAGTAGACTAGCTTAATTCCATTGAGAGTTCCTTTTGTAAACTTGGTAGTAGATCCATATTTGAACACTTGAAGGCCATCCGTCGAAGCCTCAGACACAGAATCAACCTCATCAATATTCAAGTTCATTGGCTTGGCCGCACGTTGAAGATTCACCACGGCTCTTACGTACATGTTATCAAACATCAAAGCTGGATCAAACTCATTGAACGCTATATCATCGCCGAGATAGTTTTGTTCACAGTTGAGATGCTTATTCACTTTGATAATGGCAAGATCAGAAAGTCTCTTTTGGCTACTTTCCTTCACCTTGATCAAGTTTCTCTCACCCCATATGATCTGACCGAATCTATGCACTGGCAAATTGCGATACTCGTATTCTGGTTGTTTCTGCTTGGGATTGGTGACAAAGCTTTTTACCCTTTTGGGAGGAAAAATTACATCCAATTGCTTGAGCACAGCACCATATGCCACTTTTGCCTCAGCCATACTGGAGTCGTTGGTCGCCAGCGATGCCTTGACATATTGTCCATACAATGCTTGCTTGTACAACGAAATGAGAACCGAAGAAGGTGATGAAACATAGGGATAATCCATATTGTTTTCAAAGTTATTCAAGCAAACATGCCCACATGAAAGAGCAAATTTGGCTCTAGTATAAGACTCCAAATGTGGCTGCTTCTTCACATCAATAATCGGGTATATAAATCCACCCATAGTTCCTGAAGTGCGAGGGGAATTCTCCACTGAAAGTGAGAGCGACATTGGTTGGATGTTTTTTTCGTTAGGTACGCGGAATGGTAACTTGAATTTTTGCAATACCTGAGGGTTGAGAGGAGGAGAGCTTGGTCCTGCTGGTATGGGAGCGGCACGATGCAGACTCACCGACGCCACATCTATACGATTTTTCACTACCATCACATGGATATCATCGTATAAATCCCTAATACTTTGAGTGAGTTTAAAATGATGATCTGTGGGACTTGGGTAACCAAAGTACAAGCAAAGAATACTGAACTCTTTGGAAAGCCCTCGCGTGATAGGAGCAATGAAGGAGCCGTTCTGCTCTTTGAGCAGCATTGCTGAGTTGGCAATACGATCAATAATGTTAGAAAGTACCAGAGCATTTGGTAACGTTTGACCTTCATAAGCATCCACGGAAAAGTTCTGTGGTTTAAGTAAAGTTGTCAGGTCAGAGCCGGATCCAGATTTGAGGACGGCAGCAAATTCATTGATGCGTTTCGTGAGCAAAAGTCGCAATTTGATATAGACATCGTCATTGAGCAAGTTGTCATAAAAGTCAAGAAACACTCGAAGAATTTTGCGAACATCATCATTATTGAACGTGTTGTAATTGTAGTAGCCATGACCCGCCAGACGATACTCGTTGGCAAACACCAAGAACGATTTGAACCGATCGATACAATTCATGACTGCGGCCGTAAGTGTAACCTGAGAATTTGAATATTGATTGGCAGCATAAACGATGTCATGAGCCAAGTCGGTCAACCTTTCCTCGAACGAAACCACATTTTTCGCGGTGTTATCTTCCCCGATAAAGGATATCTGCAACGGCTGACCATATTCAACGCTATAAGATCCCTTCAGTTGCAGTGATTGCACAGATGACTGCTTTGTTGAAAAACTCGCTTTGCTTCTAGAAAACACAGACTTCGATCTGGCCTCGGATTCGATCGAGGGAACCAGCTTGGTGTTGGATATGGACGGATTTAGGTCCAAGGTGGTATCATGGTTGGATTCAAAAAAAACTGGAAGCTCGCGGATGGAATCGAGAGATTCGCCAGCTTCACTCGTTGCCGACTTTATTGTGCTAAGAGAAGTCCTCTCTACTTCCGGAGACTCCCTCAGGTCACGCAGGTCGCCGCTTCCACGGCGGGAAAGAAAACGCTTCATATTGAGAGAAAGCGACAGTGAAGACTCACGCACAATTTTGTCATTTTGATGAGAGGCTTACTCCGCACAAAGCTGGTGTTTGGGTGCAGTTGTCATCGGCACGCTACCATTAGCAAAGTAGGGTCATAAACTCGATGATGTACCGCCAAGTTTCAATTGGTACAATTGAAGTCTCAAACGGTCCTTGCCCGTTTTTCGTGACCGGGAATGTACGTTAACACTTCCGAATAATCCTCCATGATTGCCCCACACTGTGCTTACCTGCAGGCTGGACCCCGATATTCTTTTCACACCACAAAAGTGAACGACGCTTGTTGGCATTATTGATTTTGACGGCAAAGCTACCAAAATCATTTTGGCGACTTTTCGCAGGATCTTTAAGCTACATAAGCAGTAGCCACTAACAAGTTTAAGGCTCTTTTCAATCAGAAATAACCACAAACTAAATCCGAAGTCATGCCGGTGTATTCGATTTCACACGTTGAAAATGTCCGTATTTGTGTGGTGATGGTGGGCCTTCCGGCCAGAGGCAAATCATTGATAGCCCAGAAAATTGTCAGGTACCTTTCTTGGCTATCGATCAAAGCCAAATGTTTCAATGTTGGTTCTTATCGCCGGAATCTTGCTGGTGACCGACCTGTAGATGCTTCATTTTTTGACCCTAAGAACAAGGATGGCCTTGAGGTGCGCCAGGAAGCGGTCAATAGTGCTATTCGAGACATGATGTCTTGGTTTATGGACGAAAATGGAGTGGTTGGAATTTTTGATGCGACCAATTCAACACGGCAAAGAAGAGAACAAATCTTGCGATTGTGTCGAGAGAACGGCATAGAGCCCATGTTCTTGGAAAGCTGGTGTGACGACCAGGAACTTATTCTTCAAAACATAGCCGATGTGAAAACTACGTCGCCAGATTATACCAACCGCAATTCCGAGCTTGCTACCGACGATTTTTTGAAACGAATTGCATTCTACGAACAAGGTTACGAGACCATGGATAAAGACGTGGACAACTCGTTGACATTTATCAAGCTTGTCAACGTCAACTCACAGATAATCTTAAACCGTATAGAGAGCTACTTGGAAAGTAGAATTGTCTATTACGTGATGAATCTTCATATCAAACCAAGAAGTATCTGGCTCTCAAGGCACGGAGAGTCGCAGTATAACCTCACGGGCCAGATTGGAGGCGATGCAGACCTTTCGGAACGGGGAATGAGGTATGCGAAACGGCTTCCTGAACTCGTACTCAAATCATTGGGAGAAGAAAATAAGCACACCAATCTTACGGTTTGGACTTCAACTATGAAACGAACCCAGCAAACCGCCTCGTTTTTACCATATAAGAAGAAGCTTCAGTGGAAAGCTTTGGATGAGTTGGATGCTGGTGAATGTGATGGGATGACATATGAAGAAATTGAACAAAAATTTCCCGAAGACTTCAAAGCTCGTGATGATAACAAGTACGAGTATCGATACCGTGGAGGAGAATCGTATCGTGACATTGTCATAAGGCTTGAACCTATTATCATGGAGTTGGAGAGACAAGAAAATATCTTAATTATAACCCATCAAGCCGTGTTGCGATGCTTGTATGCGTATTTCATGAATGTTCCCCAAGAAGAATCGCCTTGGATGTCGATACCATTGCACACACTCATCAAGTTGGAACCAAGAGCCTACCTGACGTTAGTGACGAGTATAAAAGCCGATATTCCTGCCGTTAGTACCTATAAGGAAAAGGGCACATCGCAGCTTGGAGAAACCGAAACCATGACCAGTAAGAGCCGTGATATCATTCGCAACTCCAAGGACCTGGCTTAGATTGACACCGCAAATCAAGGTTGTCTTCCTAGGTTGCTTCCTAGGTTGCTTCCTAGATTGTCTTGATCGTATACCTTTATTATTATTATCTATTCTACAAGATTACCCAGTGGCATATCTCTTTGCCTGCTCGCGCACCTTCTTCTCGTAAGTCACTCTATCCTTACTGTATGCCTTCCACGCTGGCTCCTGAGCCGGGGAGTCGGGATTGGGAGAGTCCAAGAGTTCTTGAACTCCCATGACTATTTGCTTGAGAGTGATGGCAGGTCGCCAATCTTGCTCCTCGTTCAAGATCGAAAGACATACGGTTCCACTGGGATAAACGTTAGGATGATAGAAACCACTTGGAAATTTCACCTTGGGAGGTTTGGAAGGATATTCTTCGGGAAATGTGATGGTTATGGGAAAACTGGCATCAGCCCAAAGAGTTCCAGGTCGTCCAGGTATGCCAGCAGTCCACTGAGTTAAGTCAAGAGACCCATCTGGGGCCTTATTAGGCTTTGCGTAGAATCCAAACGGATGGTCTTTTCTCCACTGCTTTCTCTCCTCCTGCAACCTAGTCTTACAAAGCGACATTGTCGATGCTACGATAAAGCTCGTTTTTCTTTTCGCGCGGAATATTCTACAAATTCACTTTCAGGATTAAGCAAATAATATTTGATGCAGTCTCCAGCATAAAACTGGCTTACTGAAATGAGTGGAGATGAGAAGCTATTTGAGGATAGTTGAGACTGTGAAACTGGATGAAACTGGATGAAACTATCTGACCTTTCATCTTGATTTCTGATGTCTCAGCAGGGTGTTATCATCGAGAATTGAAGCGATACAATTACAAATCGCAGCACTGCTCTGAGCCCTTTCATACGTGATAGTTGGCAACAAAAGGTTAAACACAGCTTCATGATATGGTTATCAATTCGGTAAAATTCATACCATAATTCTGATGGCTTATCTATATTCAAAGTGGAAACCTTGGTGCAAGTTTGCATGATTAGTGGAAATAGATTTAGACTTCAAAACGGGAGTTACTTTTGTTGTTATGGTCATCACAATCAAGGAATTTCAGGAAAGATAAAGATAACAATTTTGCTGTATGACAATCATTATGTGGAAACTTGGCTGACTTGCAATGGCAGTTTACGTCAAACAGTAAAACGAAACAAGATTTTCCGTTATTCTAATCTACTTTCAACAGTTAGAAGCATTAGGATATGTTAAGTCTTACTTCCCGAAGGCAGTTTATGAACTACAATTGCAGATATCTAAACACTTTAGAAGTGTGAAAGTTTTTTGCCATTTTGCAGTGGCTTATCAGTTTGTTACAATTGACCTAAAAGACTTCCAAACACTTATCGTAGACCATGCTCTATATCTGAACTACTCTCTATGGCATCGCACCGTATGGCCCTCGGGCTGCAATTTGCGAGGTGGGGAAGCCCTGCATACACACTTTCTCCACATGATCGTCCTTCCATAAGAAAATCCAAAGTGATTGTGGAAAATAAAATGTCCGAATTGGAAAAGAAACCACCCACGGAAGATGATCTTGATGACTTGGATGACTTGTTGGACGATTTTGCCAACGATGTCTTGAGTAAACCTCCTGGTGGTACTACGGCGTCAGTAGCCAATACCACCAGTGGAGATGGTTCAGGTGAGCCCGACCAGCCATTGAAGAATGAAATTGACCAAGGAATTGAAGAATTGATCAAGGATTTGAAGATTGAAGATCCTGAGACCAAAGCACAATTTGAAACTCTTGTAAAGCAATTTGAAGAGGATCGTAAAGATGAACTGAAAGACCCCAAGAAATTCGAAAATGTCATGGAGGAAGCTATGCAGAGATTAAGGGACTCTGGTAAGAATATTGATGAACAGATCAAGAACGACCAGTCGTCATCAAATCCTGAAGATGTTCTCACTCAGATGCTTGCTGGACTCGGTGGAGGTGATGGAGATATGGATATGTCCAAGATGCTTGTAGACATGTTAGAGCAACTATCATCCAAGGAAGTACTTTATGAACCCATCAAGGACTTAAATACCAAGTTTCCTGATTATCTCAAGGAAAAGAAGGGAGTTATAACCGATGCAGAATATGATAATTATTCAAAGCAGTATGAAATCACCACCTCCATAGTGACCATATTCGAAAACGCCAATTATTCGGACGAAGACAAGGTGAAGCGAGACGAAGTCAATTCTTTGCTTGAAAAATTGCAAGAGTTGGGTCAACCTCCAACAGAACTTGTAGGAGATGCTAGTACATTTCCAGGGTTCGGTGGTGGACTAGGCGGTGATGGAGTTCCTGGAGGATTGGACTTTAATGATAAAGACTTGCCTCCCGACTTGGAAAAGCAGCTTGAGGAAGGATGCAAGCAGACATAGTACATATTACTGTCATTAGAGTATACATTATGATACATTCGTTAGAGTACAATCTTTGTCAACCACAAGTCTTATAGCTTTTTCTTCTGATTTTTCATATATTGAGACCGCCTCTGGCTGCAAACTCTCTATAATAATCGAGCATGTCTTCTGTTATACCACGAGAAACACCCTTCAATGCATGGTCGAAATGACGCTTTTCTACTCGGGTAGCTCTCTTATTTTCCATGACAGCTGCAAGCCCTGCTTCCTGACTGACAAGTGCCACTTCGGCTCCAGAACAGCCTTCGGTAAGCTCAGCAATTTCTGCCAATGATACCGACTCTGGAAGATTAAATTTGGCAGTTCTTGTTTGCAAGATCTGTAATCTCGCTTCGAAATCGGGAGGAGCAACGTAGATATGGCGATCTAATCTTCCTGGACGAAGTAAGGCAGGGTCAATTTCGGTGGGCCGATTAGTAGCAGCGACAATGACAACTCCATTTAATTCTTCCACACCGTCAATTTCGTTTAACAAAGTTGTTAATACTTGCAGAGCTGCTGAGGTACTTGCTGAATCCCGGTCCCCAGATATGGCATCGATTTCGTCGAAAAATATAATCGAAGGAGAAGCAGCTCTCGCTTTGCGAAAGATTTCTCGAATTGTACGCTCTGATTCACCCACATACTTGTTGAATATTTCTGGTCCTTTCACTGCCAAGAAGTTGAGACCCAGCTCTGTTGCAAGTGCCTTCGCCGTGAGCGTTTTGGAGCATCCTGGAGGTCCATATAAGAGCACTCCTCTGGGAGCCAGAACTCCCAAGTTTGCAAATGTGGAGGTAGCTTCCAACGGCAATTGCACAACTTCAACTAGTTTCCTCTTGAGCTCTTCTTGTCCGCCTATATCTGACCAGTAAACTTTGGGCATCTCAAGGAAGATTTCTCGCATTGCTGATGGTCTGATCTCTAGTAACGCTTCTTCAACATCGTCAATGTAAAGCTTGATGTCGCCTTGAGGTGTATCAGTCTTCTTTCCTCTATTGATTGCTTTCATCACAGACTCACGACAAAGCGCAGTGAGATCTGCACCGACATATCCATGGGTTTTTAAAGCCACAGCACTGATATCTTTTGCTTCTAAGCAGCATTTTTCCTTTGACATTTTTCCAAATTGCTTGGAAAGAATATCCAATCTTGCATTAACATCTGGAATCCCAATTTCCACTTCTTGGTCAAACCTTCCAGGTCTTCTTAAAGCTGGGTCCAAGGAATTGGGTCTGTTTGTAGCACCAATCACGACCACTCTTCCTGACTCGCCCATTCCGTCCATCATAGTCAACAAGGTAGCTACAACTCTCGACTCTGTTTCACCACTATCATCAGAATTTCGGTTTGGAGCTAGCGAGTCAATTTCGTCCATGAAGATAATGGACGGCTGGTACTGGCGAGCTTCCAGAAATATTTCTCGTAATGCGTTCTCGGTTTCTCCAAGGTATTTTGATACAATCGAAGGTCCATTCACCGCCAACACATGAGCGTCAACTTCGTTAGCCACGGACCTCAATAGCATGGTTTTTCCAGTTCCAGGAGGTCCATGAAGAAGGACACCTCTGGGAGGAGCTATGCCAAACTCTGCAAACAAACCGGGGTTGTTTAACGGCACTTCGATTATGGACCGAAGCAAAGAGATTTCTTTATCAAGACCTCCTATATTCAGAAACCCCGTTGGCTGCGGCAAGTAAGGGTACTTTGCTTTGGAAAAAGTGGCAGTGGAAGCTTGAATAATGTCTGTTTTACCCTTGGCATAGATGAATGGAGGAGACACAGTTAACGAGTTGGAAGTTTTTGAGTCGAGAGAAAGACCCTCTAGTCTCTCTTGAACGTCGGTGGATATGTCAGTAATAGAAAATTGGGTGGTGGTACCATCTAAGGTCGCCAGAAAGGCCATACCTGGGCAAATGAGGCCTATGTCATCGAGAGTCTTCTGGATTGGTTTTCTCCATATTTCAAGGTCAATTTCTGTACTTTGCTCAATTGCCGCAATATGAACGTCCAGAGCATAGCTTGGCTGTTTTCCAAATGGACCAAACACAACTCTGTCGCCTAGAAGAAACGCACCAAGCTTGCGTAAATTAGAGCTCATTAATAACTCTGTTTTGTCACATTCCTTCGACTCAAACACTCGAGCAACAACTCCAGGACTACTGGATTCAGCATTGCGGATCAAAACCACCGAACCACTCGTTATTTCCATTCCGATGAGAATATCATTATTTACCCACACTTTTGATATACTTTTATTCAGACTATTTTCGGGGTCATTGGGTCTCAAAATGTACGATTTAGGGAGCTTAACCTTCTTGGACGTCGAGTCGGCGTCCCCTGCCTTCGCTTTGGACGCAGAACTTTTCTTTTTCTCCATCAACTATAAGTAAATAATTTGGGGTTCATCTCTTCGCATTATGTAATGAAATGAGACAAAAAACGCTTCGGTTCCTACAAGCGATTACTTGTTGCATATATATGACTGGCAAGAAACCACATTTGAGATAACATCGACCATGTTTCAGCATATAGCGAGACCCTCCTTCCGACTATCTTGTCGAACGTTCGTCAGGACCTATATAAAGTTATCGGGAATCGACCCATCTTTGATTCTGCCGAGCGATTTGGACCATGGCATTAAACCTTTCGAACCAAGTGATAAAGTCGGCCCTATACCCACTAACTTTGTAACTGCTCTGAGTTATTTCGATCATTTTGAGCGACTTTACAGTGAAGAAAAATTGGAAAGTAACCATAGACTGGTTTCCTCAATGCCGTTAATCAAGAAACTAGAACTCGATCCTTGGTACAAACTGTTTCTAGAACCACGCATGCAAAAGATACGCCGGTTTGTATCGCTGAATTTCACTCTACTGAATAGAGAATGTCTAGCCATCATGTGTGGACATTCTCCGGTAGATGTACAATTAGACACTCATAATCCACAAGCATTAAATCAAGAACAAGCGGCAGGAATCAATTCCAAATCAAACACAACCTCCACAACTTACTCGTCCGAAAAATTACATGCACTAGGCATCGCCGTCATGGAAAGTTATTTGACTTTGACCACCCTATTCACTGATGAGTCTTATCTTTCTCTTCTGTCAGATGACTTACAACCTATATACGACCTATTCTGTGACAGACAGATCATTCCAGAGTTCATGAGCCGTCATAGTCTTTATGACTGTGTGGTTCCGTACAGAGGAGCCGCGAGAAGCGGCAGGATAGATACACTAGAGGGGTATCAGGCAGAAAAAACCAAGATTATGAATGCAACTTCAGCTGCGAGTTTCTACACCCTAATTGGTCTCCTCTGCGTCAAATATGACCAGCGACAGGTTGCCCAGTCGTTCATACTACCCATCGTCCTCTATGGTCCTCGAGGCCTCATCCAGCTTGCTACTGAAAAAGTTACAAAATAGTAGAAATATGTACATAAATCATAAGTATAACGAAGCACAGAATACTATATCACGCTTGATTCTCTCCTGAGCCTCGGACATCTTGGAATGCAATGTCGAATCTCCAACAATCAAGGCAGCACTCTTCACTTGTCGACAAATTTCGTCTAATCTTGTGATTACCCGTACAATGGTTCCCTCAGCTTCGGTACTCATTTGCATTATCTCATTAAAAGATAAGCCTCGTGCCCACTCATAAACCACATTCATCAATGCAAATCTCTTGCGCTCCAAAAATTCGGTTTCTTCAGATGTAAGTGCAATTTGATTGTCAGAACAAACGTCCAAAACATGCTTACTGATATCCATGATTTTCTGCTTTCCTCTTTCAAGTCTTGGAGTCAACGGAGGATCTTCCTCGTCGTTAGTTTTTCCCTCATAGACGAAACACGAGAGCAAGGCCACTATCTCTTCTGGTTCAAAGTCACCCAAAAAATTGTCTAAAATCAACTCTGTTATCGCCAATTCCCATCCAGAATTAATTTCACATCCTACTCTTCCCTTTAGTCCAACATTATGGTTAGCATCAATGAATCCCAAGGTTTCCAATACACGTAATCTCTGCTCGTAGTCAGGAAGTAATTCCAAATTTTCATCTGAAATCAATCTTTGGAGAGAGCTAATTTGTGTTTTGAGTTCGTCTTGTTGGCTGAGTTGCTTATAATGAAGTGCAAAGTTAGGACACTCATAACTTCGGAGTATGCTGATTTTCTCCACAATCTCACGTTTCCTGACAAGAAGTTCGTGTAGCGAGATTTGGACTGCCAGATCAAAGCTAAGTTCACGCCAGGCGGTTTGGAACCTAAGAAGTGTCTTCACTTGAGCCGAGGCATGTGCAATCTCATTCTTATTTCCATGAATCAAGTCTTTCATATAGATCTTCACCATCTTCTGTCCAATGAAATTAACCTTGTCAATTGGAACTGCAACCACTTTGAACGAACCGTTGAACGTTATTTGTCCGAAATAATGCTGGAGGTAGTCTTTAGTAGCAATATAAGGCAATTTAGAGACATCATCTTGGTTATCTCCAGGATCAAAGGTCAAAAGTAGAACAGAATCATTATCCATGGAAACTCTGACCAAGAAACCAACTCGTTGTCTCGTCTCTTCATCGCGGAAACAGAAAAGTCGACCAGCACGAAGATAGTTATTCTTGAGAAGTGGCAGCTGTTGAACGTTTCTGAGAATCTCACCGTATACATGTTCGTACTCTTTCATTAGATCGTAGGTTTCCTCTGTGAACTCAAGGTTACAAACAGAACATGGTTCAAGATGAACTGTCTGCAACTCCTTGCTGAGCTTCTCGACCGTCTTTTGGTGTTCAGGAAGGAGAGATTGAGTAGAGTTCTCACTGAACGAATGCTTAATCATTTCCTCAACTCTCAAAGCCTCAATTCGTAAGAGATTCAAAATCATATTGTAGGTCAATCTGAACTGAGACAGAAGCTTTGTAGGAACTCCTAGAGCCACCTCTTTAAAGTCCATCGGGGAGAGAGGTTCATTGTATGACATTACGATAACGGTACCGGTATCATCAAGACCTCTTCTACCAGCACGTCCGGACATTTGAGTGAATTCACCAGGCAACAAATTCCGGAAACCTCGACCGTCGTGCTTGCGAAGTTGGTTGAAAACAACTGTTCTCGTAGGCAAGTTTAGTCCCATTGCAAACGTCTCAGTTGCAAATAAAACCTTCACAAGAGTTCTCGAGAACAAAATTTCAATACACTCTTTGACAATTGGCAACAATCCACCATGATGTACCGCTATTCCACGACTTAACAAGTCTCTAATTTTAAGGATCTGAGGAAGTTCTCTGTCCTCCTTCTTCAATCTGGATACAGCTCTATCCACAAACATATGAATTTCTGATTTTTCTTTCGCTGTGCAAAAATCGACACTGCTCAAAGTGTCCGCATATTCCTCACAACGCTTCTTTGAAAAGACGAACACAACTGCTGGTAGTAAATTGTGCTGTTTGAGATACTGAACAAGTTGCAACCAGGTATTCTTGTTGGGTCCATCTCTGCTGAATCCAGCTCGGCCCGATGGTCTAGTGCTTACTTGACCACCATTGGAGCCACCACGACCAGAACCACCTCCACCTCTCCCTCCGCCTCTGTTGCCTCCTCTTGCCGTACCACCTCTCCCTCCACGGCTGCCTGGTCCTAAAACCACGTTAGGACGGCCCTTGTTCTTTCCACTTTCAAGGGCTTCTTTGTGCTTTCTGAACTCTAGGTCGCTGAAATTTCGTTGTGCATCCACAACCTTGTACAAATGCTGTTTTGCCCAAATCAGAATTTCCAAAGGAACAGGTCTCTTTGGTGTCGATATGACATATATATCCTTCTGCTTGGTACGACCCACCCAGTTTGCAAACTCAAAAGTGTTTGGAACCGTGGCAGAAAGCAAAATGTACTTGACATGGTCGGGAAGCATGATGATCACTTCTTCCCAAACAACACCACGGTCGATATCGTTCACGTAATGAACCTCGTCGAAAATCACAAATTCGACATCTCTTATCAAGTCGGCTCCTCGATACAACATGGACCGAAGAATCTCGGTTGTCATAATCAAACAATTCGCATCGGGATTGATCTGAACATCACCAGTAATGAGACCAACATCGATATCTTTGAACGTTTCTTTGAAGTCACGAAACTTCTGATTAGACAATGCTTTGATGGGAGAGGTGTAGATGGCTTTCGTCATGTTTCGGGTGGCCATCGCTATGGCGTACTCAGCTACCACAGTCTTACCGGCTGAAGTGTGGGCAGCAACAAATACTGAATCGCCCTGTTCAAGATGATAAACTGCTTCCTGCTGAAACGTGTCTAGTTCGAAAGGCCATTCTCGTGCCATATTGGGGACCACATCCTTGAAATTATCAACACGATGACTGAGATCAACCACATGTGCCCAAGTCTTTTTTCGTTCACTCTCATTTTTCATCTTCTCTCTGATGGCAGAGTAGTTCATAGGAATGATATCATCTATATCATCGAGATCTTCGTCTTCTCTGGGGATGACTTCCTCTACTTCTCCCTCTTCCTCTACTATCAATTTTGTTCCGCCCGCTGATGGTTCCTCGTCGTCTTTACCATGAATGTCTTCGTTCGACTTGTCATCCAATTCCTGTAATTGTGCGCTTACTTCCTTCTTGTCAGACTCGCCTGCTATGACCAAACCACGTTCAAATCCTTGAGGAATGTCAAACAATCCAAGATCGTTTCTATGCAAAAATGCAGACTCATCCTTTGCAGCCGTTTGAGTCATAAGCCCTCCTGGTTGGAAAGGAAGAAACGTGGTTTTGCCTTTCAAGGAGTCATTCTTGGAGGTGTACTTTCTTGTTATAGATAGAGAATTGCCTGAATTTGCATTGTCGATATCTGAACGTTTGGTTTCTTCTTTGTACCCGGTGATGGAACCACTAATTCCATGACGTTTGAACCTAAAACTGGTCCTTCCAGCACTTTTCGGTATGGTTACCAAGTTTTGGCTTAGTTTTGTCACGTCCACATCGGGTGTAACCTGCATCAAGTCGAGTAAATCCCATGATAGTTGCGATGATGGTGTAAGAAACTCAGTCTTAAGGCTCGTTTCTGCATCAATTTCATCTTCTGGAAGCTCAAGCTGGAAACTTGGATCAAGACCTGTCCCAGGAAGGGCTGTGTTGTTTTTAATGGAGACAGCAGTTTCCCCTGATGCCTCTGCAACCATGAGTACAGATAGTATAGTCGGTGATCGCAGCGACAAGTTATACCGTTTAGGTGTTTGGATGTGGTATAGCGAACCAATATAATCTACAATGCTTCAGGTAATTCTATTTTAAAGCTTAGGTTTAGAGGCATCTACGCCGCCAGCAGTGGCCTCCATGTTTGTCGCCAACTTTCCTTCTTCGTTGGGACCATTGGGTTGCGTGCCGAAGAAGACCACGGTGACAGTCAAATCATCTCTGTACCGACGAGAGATTGGATTTGGAATCGAAATCAACATTGATAGCTGCTCCTTGAAGCCTCCATTTGAAAGGGCGTTCCGAATAAGATGCGTGGATACGTTTTTGTCTTCAAGCAAATATCCGTCGGTGATGCTAGTATTCTTTGCCTTTCTGTTTGGCCGTTTCGAGCTCTTGTCGTTCGTGACATCTGCCACTTCAGGAAGCTTACTCTCCGACAGACCAAAGTAGTTCCAAAACGTTTTTTGAGGTTTAATCATCTTCTCCTTTTCCATCCATTTGACTACAAGACCCACGATTTCTTCGTTGGTCAACATCTCGTACAAGCCATCACTGGCCATCACCAAGAAGTCGTTATTCTCGGGGCTCATTTTCGTTGTGGTGATGACAGGTTCTGCCGTAACGTATGGTGGAGAGGTCAAGTTGTTTGGAAGTCGTTTGCCAAAGAATTGTTTGTAAATTCTCTCCTGGATACTGGCGGGAAGCTTGTAACGACAGTCACCAAACGCTCTGGTTGGTTCTAACGTTCCAAGAACACGGCCATTACGAACCACATTTGGTTCATCTGGATGTTCCGAGATTATTCGGGCAACTTCTGTTGGACTGGACCCCGTTTGATCTATACTCAACTGGCGTACTGTCCACTTGTTGTCTCTGAAAGACCCCAAGATGGCCCTGGAGTCACCAGTGACGGCCACTTTAAGCAACTTTGAGTTGGTATCGTAGAAGGAAAGAAGTGCACATGAGCCCGATAATGCGGGCATCAACAACTCTGCTGCCTTTGCCTTGCTGTTGTCGGTCAACAAGCGCTCTATGCTCTTGTGGACGATTTCATGGTCAAGCTTCAAAAAGCCGTTTTTGATTGCTTGGTCAATGCTGGCACTATTGGGCACGTAACGCAAGCTGGGGTCCTCATTGGTAGGACGGAAGATAGTGCCGAGTTCGTGGATCACATAAGAAATGAGCTGGTCGCGCAACTTGCTGCTGGTAGTCCAACCGCCATGGCCATCAAACACTCCAAAGAACATCCAGTCCGTGGATGCCTTGACATTGTTATCTTGAAGAATGGGCACCTGAACAATCTCCTCGGCGCGATCATCCTCGATGGGCAGATTCGAGGGCAACTGACAGATATCATATCTAGTAACACCCTTGCCGCGCTCGACATGATAGCTTTCTTCAAACTGACGCAACTTGTTACTTACCTGTTCTTCATTGAGCAAGAATACTCCCTCTTTATGCTGCTGGTGACCAATGCCATCTTTGTTCTTTATCGACGATGTAGATGTAGAAAAAAGCCGCTGGCCTCCGTCGTCGGCTAAATTCGATGAGCCGGTAACCCCAGACAACATTCTATTGCGGAAACTAGCCGGCGAAGGAACACCGGATCCAATTCCTGAACCGGACCCAGACGATGGAACCGAGTCGAGACTAAAGTAGTTTGATTGGTTGAAACTGATATAAGATCCCACAATTATAACTCCAGAAACAAGGGCAACCGCATGTTTACGTGCTGGTTTTGGAGAGGTTCCATTTCGGATCAAACGCCCTGGAGCTCCATTCTTCAAGAGTCTGGAAGCATGGTTCATAAACGGACGCTTTCGCGTGATCAGACGTGCGTTGACGTACACTAGCCGTGGACGAACCGCTAGCACATACATGAAATGAGGGATAATTTTGGAGCAAGATCAGTATCAGGCCCAGACACCAACGAATGCAGGAAGAAAGAAGTTCAGAGACCTTCAATCAGATAAAGTAAAGATTTAGTCGTCTTGTGTTCTCGTCCTTTATCCTTCGTCCCTCTTTTGGTTTTCTCTTATCCTTTCCTTTTCCTTTTCTTTCTTCTTCTACACTTTCTATTCACATCTTTTATTACTACTGACCCGCACCAAATCCTGATAGCTAACACCGCAACGTCTGTGCAATATTATATACACGGCACGCCTAGAGCACTTGGATACGATACATGTCTTACGACCGGCTTAAGCAGCAATGGTGACTTCCACATCCACACCTGGTTCGATGGTGATTTGAGTGATTCTCTTGACAATAGAAGCAGGAGCTTGCAAGTCAATGACACGCTTGTGGATTCTCATCTCGTAGGTGTCCCAGGTCTTGGAACCCTCACCGTTTGGTGCCTTTCTGGTGGTGATCTTCAAAACCTTGGTTGGCATTCTAACGGGACCCTTCTTGACAATGTCACTTTGAGTAGCATTGGCAATGATGTTAGAAGAGACCTTCTCCAATTGCTTGACCTTGGTGGAGGTCAAGGTGATTCTGATCTTGTGGATCTCTTGTTCTTGTTCCTGAACCTTTTCCTTGTTGATTGGGGCAGACATGTTGGATAGATGTTTGAGTAATGAAAAATTTCTCAAAAGTGCGACTCGTGGGGGCCGAGCCCTGTATGTGATCACGTGCGTTACGAGGTTGGAGAAGAAGATGATGGCTCATAGCTGGTGGACTATGTTATTGGTGCCGTGGCACTCTCTACTCACTCTCTACTGTGGCTACTGTGACTCTAATGGAGCTTAGGATTTTTCTTTCGAAAAATTCCGATTCTTGATTCTACACTATTTTCATCTGGGTTAGTATTCAGAAATCAATTATTAGTTTTCTCCATCTTGAAGTTTTGAATGGTGTCAGAGAGATTCCCAATTGAAGATTCATCATTGTACATACTTGTTGTTACTGATCTTACTTGAACTTCCTAAAAATGTAAAACGCTGCAAATTGATGCTGATGGTGTTGGTGTGAACACGACCTCTTCATGCAGTACGCCGACATTTTGGAACCGAAAAGTGTTGATTGTTAATTGACACATGAAATTACTCTATTCCACTATATAGGACCGTCATAGTACTCTCCCTCGCAGTCTTTTAAAAGTGGCTCAACTCGGGCTGCCCAATTTTTGTTTGCGTAATTTTCGTCACATCCGTCACTCTGACATTTCCGAAGTTTACGGTGAAAATGACTCGAACATAAGCAGTTTCTGATGCCCTCAATCTCCTGACATCCTTTGGCGAAAAGGACTGCTTCGTTGCATTCTTTGTCGCACCAAAATGCTGGCCATGTATCAGCCGCGAAAGCCGTGGCTGCGAAAAGTAGAATGGAAAACTTCATAATTAATGGCTGAACAAAGGTAGGATACGCTAGTGCTCTTATAAGTTATTAATGATCCGTGGTTAAAACTTTCCACCTTCTTGATTTTATTTTTCTTTTTTTGCATATTCACGAAATTAAGTAAACTCTCACTTATTGGCAACTATAAAATGAGATTATACTTACCAGCCCAATACTTTTATTCATTTTACTTCCCGTCGCATCGTCTATTTACACTATTGTGACAACAGGGCGTATTCCTTCTCCAATCCCTTTAAACATTTCCACATCAACTCCACTTCACTATCATTGGCACTGCCACTAGTTGCCCATCTAATGCGCCCCTGGTGGTCCACCAAGTAGATGTAGCCGGAACAGGTATTATCACAGAGCATTTTTTGCTTGATGTCGTACGGAAACAATGACTCAGATACAATATAATAAAGATTGTGTCTCTCATTTGGTAGTTGTGCTCTGAGATTACTTTCAGCAAGCTTAACAAACAACCCTTTTACAAAACTCTGAGGAATATTGATATCAATGATCTGAGAATGAGGATATCTCTGCACCATCTCAGCATAATCCTGTTTCAAGTAGTTTTTTCCATCTCTATCGAAATACGAGTCTGCACATTTCTCACCAGAAACCGTGGAGTAGATCCGCACAAAACTGATTTTGTTTTGGAGAAGCTCGTAAAACAGTTGTGATTTCTTTGTTAATGTAGACGAGGAAAAGTCAGGAAAATATTTGGACTTGTCACTTCTGAAAAATGATATTGGTGGAGTGAAAATCTTACCTTTGGTATTGTTGAAAGATTTGGACTCGTAGAAAGGACTGTGTGCTATATCATGATCCAATCGTTTTTGCCGACGCTCTTTGGCCTCAGAACTAAACAATTCGTGTGTCAAGCCTCCAAAACCACTGGATTTATGGTTCAAGACTGTTCCTCTTTCCACGCCAAATGGCTTCGAAACTTTTATAGATTCCGTCAATGGTGGCTTGCTCGCCTCCTTTATGGTCTCTGCAAACCTAAGACTCTTCAAATGCGCCACAGAAGTGGAAAAAGTCCGATATCGATACACGGCCATCATTTCACTAGCGGCTCCGATTCACTGAACTCATCCGCACCATAACCGCACCCGTGCACCCACAATTCGAGCGTTGTCACCAACAAGCGATTTCTGTAGTATATGCAAAAGCACCAATAAAATGTCTTTACAGTTGAGTGACGGGTTGGCCAACCAACCACTAGACTTGGTGCTAGAGGATTTATTAGTGAGGTTTCTTGCGAATGTTCCTGATGAGGATTTGTCATCTATCGAGCGAGTGTTGTTTCAAGTCGAAGAAGCTCAATGGTTTTACACCGACTTTTTACGACAAAAGAGCCCATATTTACCCCAATTGAAGATGAAGGGGTTTGCTGCTCAACTTTTAGAGAAGTGTCCGTTGATCTGGAAATGGGGTAACCCTTCTGATGCCCTTGGAAAATTCGGCCGTTACAAGTCGACAATTCCTGTTCGTGGAGTTGCATTATTCAATAAAGATCTCACCAAAATGGTTTTGGTCAAGGGAACCGAATCCAATTCTTGGTCGTTCCCTCGTGGAAAAATCTCAAAGGATGAAGCAGATACGGTATGTGCTGCTCGTGAATGTTACGAGGAAACCAGCTATGATGTAAAAGACGCCATTTCGGAAGATAATTGCATCGAAAGAACAATTAGAGGTAAAAACTACAAGATCTATTTGGTCAAAAATGTACCTGAAGACTTTGATTTCCAACCAATAGTTCGTGGTGAAATCGCCAAGATTCAATGGCATGATATCAAAACCACCGGAAAAAAAGTGAAATCCAACCCTAATCAGTATTTCATCGTTTCTGCGATCTGGAAACCTTTGACCCGCTGGGTCAATAAGAATAGAGGTGTTTCAAACGAAGAGGAACTCTTGGTGAAGGCTGAGTTCAGATTGAAGGAATACTTGGGAATTCTGCCCAAGGCTCAAGAAAATGTTGATGCTGGTAGAGAACTTTTGAATATTCTTCAAGGATCGTCCAAAGAAACCTCCAATAATTTACAGGCTGCTAGTCAAAATCAAGTCAGTCTGTACCAGCAATTTATCCACAGCAGCCTTCCACAGCATCTTCACAACCTGCTTCCATTTTTTCCTTATGCGCCAGCACCACCCATGCCCATGTATTATCCTTCGTTCATTCCTCCTCAGAGCTTATCACAACCTCCAGCACCCCAACCTCAGTCTGTACCGTCAGTTGATGCTCAGCCCAATCCATCAACTCTACAGAAACCTGCCATGAGCTCTGTTGCACCTAACTCAAAAGAGTTTTTATCTATTTTGTCCCAGCCTAAGAAGTCAACAGCACCAACACCAGAAGAATTGCCAAAGAAGTCAACCCTTGAAAGTAATAGATCAAAAGCTCAGCAACTTATGAGTCTTTTCAAGAAGGCGGAACCTGCTAAGGAGCCTACTTCTGAACCTGTTAAGGAGCCTACTTCAACTGAACCTAAAGAATCCGCGCCAGCTTCAATTGAAGCCGCAAAACCAGAGCCTTCTCCACGTGTATCTCAATTTGACATTGAGAATTCCCTGCCTAATCTTGGTGTTCTTGGTGTTCAACAAGCTTCCAATGAACTTGAAGAGTCACTTCGCTCGTCGCATCCTGGAAGTGGAAATAATTCTCGTCCTTCAACTCCAGCGGGCAAACTCAAAATCTTGAAAAGACCCACTGCCTCTGGAGATAAGCAAAATGCATCAAGTGAACTTCTCAGCTTGCTTAAGCCAAAACAAACACCTAAAAGCACCGAAGAGAACCCCCAGCTGCCCAAAGTGCAAGAAAAAATTAATGGCAATTCCAAAGCGTCTTCTGATCTTTTGAGTTTATTGAAAAAACCCAGAAGTCCAGAGCAACCCACAGTGAACACACCTGAAGTAGTGTACGATTCGACCAAGTCCAAACAAGAAGAGTCTAATAGCGAAGAATTCCAGGACTTTGAGGATTTTGAAGATTTTGATGCATTAGACCAATCTTTTGGTGCACCACCAACCAACTTTCACCAGCATTTCGATATCGATAGCGACGATGAGCATGAAGAAGAAGAGCAAGTTGAACCTGTACCAGTGATGCCACCCAAAATACAAGTCCTCAAGAGAAACCAGGAAAATCTGGATGAGGGAGCAGGAAAATCGTTATTGCATCTCCTCAATGGGAAAACAAAAGATGTGAGTCCAAAGACGGATTTCAGCAGCATTTACGGAACGGATTCCGCTCAGGGATCAGAAGAGCCCCAATTTGTACCACCCGTTACTTCGCCATCTCAGGCTGCATCGAGCTCCTTTTTGAGTATATTGACCAGACCCACGGAAAGTAATCCTCAGGTGTCATCTCCTCCAGCCCAAAAGAACGCAAATTCACCGGCGAAAAATATACTTGATATTTTACATGGAAGAGCAAAATGATCGTTTAGTACGAGAGGACTATAATCAAAAAGCTATAAATCAAAGAAACTTTTCACATCAGACTTGATTCTGTTTCTTTGTATTTTCGGCACATGTCGAGACAGCGATGGACGAGCTAGTTGCGACAAAGGTTCAGACTTTACTCTCGTCCTATTATCTACCACATATGTGAAACATGGCTTTGAATTGTGATTTGCATTTTTACGCTTCGTCCAGCCACTAACCATGGCGTCAGTATTGAACTGACTATCCAACGCAACATCAACATACGAAAGGTCCAAAAGGATGAAATCCTTCGACCACAGTAGGTACACTGGGTTTGTAGTGATGTCCTTCGACGAAGATTCCGCGAGGATGTGAGGACCATAGTTCTTGAATAAATATTGTAACTTTAAGGTTAGAGGAAGCGAAGACATATGGTTGTCCGATGTGACAAACCAGTTGTCATGGACGTATGACGAATTGTCCTTGTTGAGTTCCAAGTCCAGTTCGATGCAACTTAGGGAAAACGAGGCCCTGTTCTTGATATTCATCAAACTTTTGATTCCATCAATGGTGACATTTTTACAATTGACCAAACGAATGATAGTCAATTTTGAGAGCTTTCCTTCTCGAAGTATGCTTGAAGCAAGGCTGTATACAAAAGAATCATCTATGGCGCTGTAAGACAAATCCAAGCATACCAAGTTTTGAAAATTAAGCACCAGTAACATATCGTCTTTTGATGCTTTGAAAGAAGTTAGGTCTAAGATAATCCACGAGCAAGTCTCTAGCTTAAAACTGTAGCTCACTGTGTCTCTTATTCGCACGTTCAGATAGACGATTTCTATGCGATGTTTTCTGGAATTAGGTAGTTTGTGGTACTCGATAGCCTCATGTCGTATTTTTGCAACTTCGTTATTCAGTTTGAGTTTTTGATTGTGACATTTAAAATCTTTTTGCTTATAAAACTTCTGAGCAAACATTGAAAAAACTCTTGGTGAATCAGTATTGAGCTTGAGACATTGTTTCCATACTTCACTAAGAGCACTCCAAGGTATTTCATGAATGCTCAGTGATGCGATGAACTCGATATTTCTCGCTACTTTGTTTGCACAAATAGCCTTAAGAGACTTTAAAGAAACTAATTTCGGTTCAAGGACCCCGCAGGGGCCACGATAGTCATACAGTGTAGGTGCTAAACGTGGCCAATCGAAAGTTGCAATTTCACTTGAATCTTGAAATAATCCGTTAGAACCCTGAACGGCTGCCAAATTGGGAACAATTGGACTTTTGCGATCTATTCTCGATTTTGTTGGTCTGAAATTCTTCGGGATGCGTCGAAAACGCTTTCTCATGAATCCCCGTGGCCGTCCCCCCATACTTATCAATACACGGTTCCCCAGTCAATCCTACATGCGGTTCCTGCATGGGGGTGCGTCCTCATCGCAGATGTCAAGACGCATCCTGCAAACCTTTGGAACTCACCATGAAGCTTGACACCTCCAAGATGCGGTACTTGACCGCCGACGACTTCCGGGTCCTCCAGGCGGTCGAGTTAGGTTCCAGGAACCACGAACTTGTGCCCACGCAAATGATCCATTCTATTAGCGGACTCAAGTCTCCTAGTGGGACAAACCGAGCTATAGGCGATCTTGCAAAGCTCAAGCTTGTTGCACGACTCAGGAATGCAAAATACGATGGATTTCGGTTGACGTATAACGGTTATGACTACCTTGCCATAAAGTCGATGTTGAAACGTGACACTCTCTATTCTGTTGGTAACACCATTGGAGTTGGAAAAGAGTCAGATATCTACGCTGTAGGTGATCCCAAGGGAGACCAAAAGGTTCTCAAGATCCATCGACTTGGCAGAACCTCGTTCAAGACGGTGAAGAATAACCGTGATTACTTGAAAAATAGACAATCATCCAATTGGATGTACTTGAGCAGATTAGCCGCTGAAAAAGAGTACCAATTCATGGTTATTTTTCATGAGAATGGATTGCCAGTACCTCGTCCATACGACCATTCGCGCCATTGTGTGTTGATGGAATGGATAGACGGCATACCCATGAAGCATTTACGGAAACATGCTGACTATAAGAAACTTTACTCTGATCTCATGAAATTCATTGTCAATTTGGCCAATAATGGTATTATCCACTGTGACTTTAACGAGTTTAACATTATAGTCAAAGACCCTTCCAAGACCAAACAGCCATCTTGTTTCCAGGACTCCGAGTTTGTGGTTATCGATTTTCCTCAATGTGTGTCTATTGACCATGTAGATGCCGAAACATACTTCAATCGAGACGTTGCTGGAATACGAGCATTTTTCGAGAAAAAATTTCGTTATGTTCCAGAAAACGATCCTATTATGCTTGACACCGACGGATATGGTGAAGGCTACAAACATGCATACCCCAGCTTTACCAGAGACGTGAAAAGGATTAATAGTTTAGACCTTGAAGTCAAGGCATCAGGCTATGCCAAGGCGAATCTGAAGGAAAGCAAAGATTTGGAATTTGCTGTTGAGAGTATGAGAATGCTAGATGAGGATCGCTTTGAAGAAGATGAGTCTGAAGATGGATATGGCAGTACTACTGAGAGCGAAGACGATTACGACGGTTATGAGTTGGAGAGTGACGATGCTGAGTTTGAACAAGAAGAAGAAAAGTTGAAGGAAGAAAACGAGAAAATCGTCGATGCATTATCACTGGGAGTCAAGGAACTTAAAATGGACAAGCTCGGAAACTATATACTTGACTAACAGGTCGATCTACAATAAATCTACGAAACGTATTTTATACAGAATTAATGTGACCTAACTATACCTTAACGGGTGGACATACCTCTGGTGACGGCACGCTTCAATGCCAACTCAGCCTTTCTGTAGTCATCAGCAGAAGAGTCTTCGATCTCCAAAGCTTGCATGGCATCAGACAAAGCAGCCTCGATCTTGTCCTTGGCAGACTTCTTCAACTTAGCAGACAAGACTGGGTCGGTGACAGTGGACTCAACCGAGGCAACGTAAGCCTCCAACTTTTGCTTGTGCTCGTGTCTCTTGGCGAAAGCATCGTCAGACGATTTGAACTTCTCGGCGTCCTCAATCATCTTCTCAATCTCATCGGAAGACAATCTACCAATGGAGTTAGAGATGGTGATGTTAGCGGAACGACCGGTGGACTTCTCAACAGCAGTCACCTTCAAGATACCGTTGGCATCGACTTCGAAAATAGACTCCAAAACTGGTTCACCAGCTTGCATAGGAGGAATGTTCTTCAAGTCGAACTCACCCAACAAGGTGTTTTCGGAACAGTTGACACGCTCACCTTGGTAAACTGGGAACTGCACGGTGGTTTGGTGGTCAGCAACAGTGGTGAAAGTTCTTCTCTTGATGGTAGGAACAGTGGTGTTTCTTGGCACAACAGGAGCGAAAACATTACCTTGCATAGCAACACCCAATGACAATGGAATAACATCCAACAACAACAAGTCCTTGGTGTCTTCAGAGGTGGATTGACCGGTCAAGATAGCACCTTGGACGGCAGCACCGTAAGCAACAGCCTCATCAGGGTTGATGGACTTTTCCAATTGCTTACCATCGAAGAAGTCAGACAACAATTTTTGCACCTTTGGAATTCTGGTGGAACCACCAACCAACACAACCTCATCGACAGCGGACTTGCTGACCTTGGCATCCTTCAACACTTGTTCAACTGGCTCCAAAGTGGACTTGAACAAAGCAGAGTTGATGTCTTCGAATCTAGCTCTGGTGATGTTAGCGGAGAAGTCTTCACCCTCACTAAGAGAGTCGACCTCAACGGTGGTTTGAGTGACAGATGACAAAGTTCTCTTGGCACGCTCACAAGCAGTTCTCAATCTTCTGATAGCTCTGGCATCGTTGGTGATGTCCAAACCGGTCTTCTTCTTGAAGTCAGCCTTGAAGTGATCCAACAAGTTGGTGTCGAAATCTTGACCACCCAAATGAGTGTCACCAGCGGTAGCCTTGACGGTGAAAACACCACCAGTAATGTTCAAAAGAGAAACATCGAAAGTACCACCACCCAAGTCGAAAATCAAAACGTTTCTCTCCTTCTCGGACTTACCAGCACCCAAACCGTAGGCAATGGCAGCAGCAGTAGGCTCGTTAATGATACGCAAAACGTTCAATCCTGCAATGGCACCGGCATCCTTGGTAGCTTGACGTTGAGCATCGTTAAAGTAAGCTGGAACGGTGACAACAGCCTTTTCAACCTTCTTACCGATCTTGGCCTCGGCAATCTCCTTCATCTTGGTCAAAACCATAGAGGAGATTTCTTGAGGAGAGAAAGACTTGGTCTCACCCAAGTACTCAACCTCAATTTGAGGGTTACCACTAGAGTTGACAACCTTGAATGGCCAACTCTTGATATCCTTTTGAACGGATTCGTCATCGAAAGCACGACCAATCAAACGCTTAGCATCGAACACAGTGTTTCTTGGGTTCAAAGCAGCCTGGTTCTTAGCAGCATCACCAATCAATCTCTCTTCTGGAGTGAAAGCGACGAAAGAAGGAGTAACTCTGTTACCCTGTTCGTTGGCAATGATCTCCACAGCAGAGTCATAGGTTGCCACACACGAGTAGGTAGTACCCAAATCGATACCGATTGCACCTTGGAAAACACCGTCAGCCATTTTTAATTATTGGGTGAACTAGTCAGGAAGATGGTCTGAAAAATTTTCAGAAAAAAAATGCACCTGCAGGGCTGAAGTGTGGCCTGGGAGTTACGCAGGCCGGGAGGAGAAGTGCGCACCCCCAGTTAGTGCGCGCGAAAGGCTCACAGCCGTAAAATGAGCTGAAGAGCTGAATGTAGGAAATGTCAGAATTTTATAGGATCTGCTCCACCATGAGCTTGACCGTATCGTAGAGAAATTCATACTGATGCAGCGTCTGGACCATCATCATTCGTTGCTGGCGCAATTTTGTAACGGTGTCGAGGATGGGATCTCGGTCGTTTTCGGGGTTGATAACCGATTGGACATGGTGCAACAAGTGATCCACCGTGATATAGGTGCCGGTTCTGCCCACTCCAGCGGAGCAATGTATGATGGGAATTGGTCGATTGGGGACCGTGGACTGTAAAAGGCGGATTCTACGCGAAAGCGTCACCAAGGGCCTTGCTGACGGTGGACTTCGAGAGTCTACCCATTTGGAGTAGTAGTAATGGTGCACCGTTTTTGACTTTTGTGGTGTCAGTAATGTAAATTTGGACACGAGGAAACCTCCTTCGTCGTCCCAGGACAGTGAATTGTATTCGAGAGTCAATTTTTCTGTGAATCCATCGCGGTGGAGATCGTTGGTCAAGTACATAATTGGTTCGTGTTCATCGGGCCAATATTTGCAACATTTAGTCATACCATTTTCCACGAGCGGAGTCACCATAGCGACGATGATGGTGTCGTTGTGCTGTAGTTCTGACTGCTGGAAGCACATGGCCCAGAAATGGTGGATAGTTGCTGGCATTGGACCCTGGCTAGCAATGTAACGGCTGCTGGAATCGATCTCTATGTGAGAAGCATTGATGTAATCCGAGTAATTAGGGAGAACCTTGAGATGAACACGATTGAAATTCCATGGAAACACGTTTATATATCTGTTTCTGCTAGCATTGCGTGGTGCTGAAGCGTCGCTAATAGACCAAGATGACATATCAGGCACCGCCATGGCTTCCTCGATTCTTCCCAACTCTTGTACTTGCAACTGGGAAAAGAGCGACTTTCGAGCCGACGCCAGCTGTCGGAGGTAGGGTGGAAATTGCATGTATGGTGATGAGAGGTGGTGATTCGCGATCAGAGTTGATAAAGAAGAGTGCGGCTGCGCATAAAAACTCGGAATGCAAAATGTGGGCGGAGGCACAACTGTTATAGGTCATAACAAATAGTCGTCCTTATACAGTTGTCCTTATACAGTGTCCTTGTACAATTGTACTTGGATAATCGTAATTATATAATCTATTTCTGTATATTCAGAATTTTCAGGTGAGACATCGAGTTCTTGAGCCCTTTGGGTTGCCCAAGGCCGCTCGCTTCACTTCGCGGCATAGTTCGCCTCGACCCCACTCCTCAACCTCAGATTTATCTCCTCGCTGCTGTCGGTAAGCACCCCAGCAGTCTGGAGCACCAGGGCTGTCTTTGTAACCACCCGGTCCCAGTCGAGCTTTTGAGAGCCCAAACCGCTGTTGAACCGAACCGTGGTGAGCCATTTGCGGGCGTCTTCCTCAGAATAGTCCAAATTGCTTCCAATATAAGTTACGGCTTCGTCGTGGTGGTTGTTAAAGTAGTCGATTCCACGAGCCACACTGGACACAAACAGACCCAATTGAGTGCTGTCGACGTCCCGGCGAGCCGTTATCACCCACAGCGGCCACGGAGTGTAAATCTCACCAATTTGTTTGAGCTCCTTGTTGTCGTAGTACTTTTTGGTGGTGAAGTATTCCCACATAAATGCATCACTAGTACCCTCATTGACAGACTGGCGAAGGTTTGCAAAGTTGGAAAGCACAGGGAAGTCACTGAAAAACGGTTTACTAGCATTGTGCTCAAGTCCCAACACAAAACTCATGATATACGACCCAGATCCGATTCTTGAAACGCCAATTTTTTTTCCAAGGACATCTTTTGTCGAAGTAATTTCGGTTCTGGAAGCTCCAGTGCTCACAGCCCAACACAATGGTGATTCCACATACGTTCCCACCACCTTGTAGGCGTCATTTCCCTTTGCCACATCAGCAATAAATCCTTCTGTCAAACCTATGGCAATATCCACTTCGCCATCAGAAAGCAAACGAACCAACCTACCGGTTCCTTCAATGACAGGAATAAACTTGACGTCGATGCCAGCATCAGCATAGTAGTTTTGCTGCTGGGCAAAGAACAATGGTGTAGAAAAATGTTCTGGGACGTAGGCCACACGAAGCATTAAAGAAGGTGCGAATAAAACCAGAGAGACTACAAGGTGCGAAAACGAGACTTAAATTGCGAGAGACTTCTACAAATTGCGAAAGGAGACTTCAAAGAGCAGAGACACTAGTAAAATCATGGTTATTAGTTTGGAATGAGATTGCTAAGGTAGTTGACCGTAACTTATTGTATCCATTGAGTACTCTAGTGTACTACATCCGCATCTTAGCGGCTACCACAGCAGACATCGCATCAGAGCAGACGCTCTCCGTTGCTCTCTTCTCTCTTCTCTCTTCTCTCTTCAACTTCTCCCTAGCACGCACATCCGTCCGCTGCGGGTGCCGTTCCCGTACTGAGATCAATGCGTCCGTCCGTAGCCTGCGGCTGTTGTGGTTTCAGCAGCGGAGCCTCAGGGATCTTTGACCCTATACCCACAAAGACTTCATTGACATTGTACGCCGTTTTGGCACTGGTCTCGAAGAAAAGAAGACCCTCCTCGTCCGCAAGCTTTTGACCCTCTTCGATGCTGACTTTGCGAAGCGAACTGTCGTCGCCGTCATTATCGTCTTCCACCAAATCGTGCTTGTTTCCCACTAACGCTATGGTGATATCCTTCGAAGCCTGTTCGTGCAACTCCTTGACCCAATGACGAGCCTTGATAAACGACGCTGGCTTGGTAATATCATAAACCACCAACGCCGCCTGGGCATTCCGGTAGTACATTGGAGCCAACGAGGCAAACCTCTCCTGGCCAGCGGTGTCCCATATTTCGTACTTGATGGTGCGCTCGCCAATGGTGCACTTTTGTGTCAAAAACGCTGCTCCAATGGTTGGTTCTTTGTTTTCTTGAAAATCATTGCTAACGAACCGAAGCACCAAAGATGATTTTCCCACTGCTGCTTCACCAAGAAGCACAAGTTTCACAGATGTGGTAGGTGGTGCGAAACTCATTCGATATTTGTCGTATGATTTGAGTTCTTTGATGCAATACGGTGTAAGACCACTAGTCGGATAATCCGTGATTTGTGCGTACCCATTTTCGCTTATCGGTGATGGCGGTGGCGGCACGACGGGCTGTGCGCAGGGAAGAAAGGGACATGGGAAAGGAGAAAGAAAAAGATAGAGAGAAAAAAGATAGAGAGAACAGAATGATGTAATGAATTGGCTCTGTTCAGTTCAGAGCTGTGTATCAACTTCTATTCAATTTTCAATGTCCATTCATTTATCAATGTCTACTCGTTTCTCAATCTTTTATAATTCCTCACTAGTTCTTTTATGGCAGTTGCTTCTTCTGTCTGTTCCTATTCTTTCTGTCCTATTCTGTCTTTTCCTCCACCCTCGCAACCCAGTACTCACACTCATACACATAGCCTCCCATTGCTCTGGGGTCCCCACTATATGTAGTCTTGATGCCGCTCTCATGCTTGTCAAGAGTAAATCCCATATTTTTCATAAGTTGCAAGAGATCTTCGAGTGAGAGTTCCATTCCCTTTCGAGTCGTAGCAACTTTTCGAGGCTCGTCACCTTCCTTGAGAACCAAAGATTTATACTCCACATTAGCATCATCTTCAAAGTGCCACAATAAGGGTCCAAAGTTGATCCATATTCCACTGGTTTTCTTCAAACAATGACGAATAGTCTTCAAGTAGTCCACGATGTTAGAGGCAGTATCGAGGAAGAAACAAGTACACAAAATATCAAAAGTTCCTTGTACCAGTTGGCGAAATTGTATGGCATCGTCCAGCTGTACTTCTTCCACAGGCTGTATTTCCTCAGGTCCATAGAGTTCAGTAAACGAGCCCGCTGCCATCGACATGAGTTCACTTATGTCGACGTTTGGAAGGTGTGCTTGTAAATCGTGAATGTCTCGAGCACTCACATCGGGGACAGTAACCGGCCGCAATTGCAAGCTCCGTTTTTGAACATGCGATGCTTTGTAGATATAGGGCAAGATGGAGTGTTCATTGGCAAATTGACAGTTGTTCAAAATGTAATTTGATGTCAAAAGCATATGGTAACTAAACTCATTTCCTTGACACTTGAATCCATGGTGAACAAATTCATACACCAATCTTCCAAGACCACATCCAGGAACAAGAACATTGACCTCGGGCCTATGGGTGACTTCAGGGTACCGCTCAAGAGCCTCGTTGAGAATTCTTCCAAAAGATACTTCTCTTTCCTTGACTCCGTCACTGCTCCATTCACGACAAAGTTGGAGCAACGTTGACCTTACTTTATCAAAATCCAGTCCACTGGGTTCTGCCCAGACGGTCGGGTCAGCCCCTACACCCCACTGGCTAGCCGCTACACCAGCAAGACCACTGCAAAAATGGGAATTGAGTTGTACCGCTTCGGCCAAATCGGAAGTGTGTTTACTGTACCAAGACAAAAGGTTTTTTTCCAGTTCTTTCATGGATGCTTCTCTAATGCGACGAGGTTTCACCACCTCCTCGTACAGCCACCGGTGGAAGTTGTGGAATGCTGCTAGGGTGCCCAGAAGGGCGTTCCATTCTTCATCAGCCATCGCAACGATAAGGTTTGAAGCTGCGAAGAGTGCAGGAGCGAGTGAGCGAGCGGAGCCAGTGCGAGCGGAGCCAGTGCGAAGCCGATTCCACTAGGTTAGAGCAAGTCGGTCGTGTCATATATGTAATAAATAGTTACTGTAAAAATGGGTCAAAGTCAGCATCAAGTAAACAGTTCGGTTTCAATGTAAGAAAGTCAACTTCATCATAAGTGTGCTCCGGTTGCAATTGTTCCGCTGACCTGCGCGGGTAGTGGTGGGGCTTGAGAAGGGTAGTTGTAAACGAAGTTACCGGAACTTCCAGCAAGCTTAGAGCCGCGGCAAAGTCGCTCCTCACACGGGATATATCTGTTATCAGCGCTCGCCACTTACGAACGTCTGTGATGGGGAACAATTTTTTAGAGTCTTCTTGCACTGCCATACGGTAGATGATCATTATACGTTTTTGAAGAAACGTCACCAACCGAATTAGGTAGCCAGAAAGGCTTTTGAGTTCGTGTTTGTGCACGTCGTACAAGTCAGGATTGCAGCAAAGATTCAGTGGCTGGTCGATTTCTGACTTGAAAATTTCGAAATCGCTACGAGTGATAACCACATCCAACATGAGTGGACTATCAAAATCTCTCAAAAAAAAGTATTTGACCTGTGGGAATATCGAGTAGAGTGCTTTCTTGAACACTTTGTAGAATAACGCCAAAATTTTCTCGAGCGGGTCCGATGAAGCATTGACCACCAGGAACCTAATGGGGTAACTTATTGCCCATTTTTGCATAAGTTTGAATAAAATCTTTTGCTGGTGCTCCACATTGTCGTATGAGCCAGAAATTTCCTCTATAATGTTGTCTATCACAAGATTGAGAAAGCTGTAGAGCTCGTTATACTTTGAGGTGAGCATTTGGGTGAGCGAAGTGTTGGAATTGACACTTCGTAAAATCTCTCCAAACCGAATATATTTTTCACGGAACTCGTTTAAAAACGTCGGATCGTAGCTCGGATGGTACACAGACCGCTCGATATTGATCATGAGTTGCATATGTGCTGGAATTAACGTCGGTGCTTTGGCGCCGTTTTTAGCAGCAAGATTCAAGTTGTATGAAAGTACACTGAAAAGACCATCCCGAAAACAATTTATCGAGTTGAGAGTCGCTTCTGGATCGTAGATCGACATCAAACTGAGAATATACGACACAGTGGAACAAGTTTCAGGATCTTCATTTTTGTTCAAAAAGTCTCGCAAGTCCTTGATTACCTTGGCATAGTGCTTAATAGACACAATGATGAGAGCATTATTCTGCTTTGTTCGGTCCACAAGCTCAGTAAAGCCCGCGACTGTGCGCTGGTTGGGGTTGAGACAGTTGGAAATAAGGTAGTTTGTCGTCAAGTTGAGAAGACAGCTGAACATCATTTCGGATCTGATCAGCATCGATATAAAGTAATTGAGCCATAAGTGGAACAAGTGTCGTATATCGGGGAGCGGACAGGTGCCATTAGCTATGGAAGCACCGACACTGAATAAAAATGTGTAAAGTCCCTTTTCGTAGTCTACCCTTGTGCGAGGTTTCTTCTCAAACGAGACTGGATGAATCATTGCATTGGGAAGTTTATCATAGGTATCGAGCTCCATAGTATCGTATCCTGAATCGTTTACAAAGGAAGAAGACTCGTACCCGAGAGCTGATAGATTGAAAATGTCTCTTGTGGGACGAAACGAGCTATTCGCGGGAGTCGATGACAGATCTCGTGAGATTCCGGCGCTGTTGTGGATCGAGTAAACCGGGTATATGATGGGCTGGCCTTCGAAATTCTCGGCACTCATGATATTGTCAAAGTCCTGGGTAACATGCTGGGCCTGGAAATTGAATACATCGTTCACGCCCGAGTCGAGAGTGTAATTTTTTGCCGACAAAAAATGAGTTTGGTCAAAATCTTGGTCCAAATCCATAACGGAGCCGTTACCAATCTCTTCAACAGGATGGTCTTGAGGAGGGCTTGGTTCTTGGTCCGGTTCATTGGCGGCCGGATTGGAGTCGAAAGAATCGCCAGAGCCGGAATTAGCAGGTGAATCTACCTTGATTGCTGGAGGCGACACCTTAGACAGCGCATAAGACCCTCGGGACTCATGGCGAGACAAAGTAAGTTGTTTGAGGTCGATTTCGGCCAATTCCGATTTGGAGCCTGTGGAGGTGGAAGTGGCCGAAGCCACTAAGCTGGCCTTGGCAGCACGAAGTTCGTCTAGTTGTTCCTCTGTGTAGTCTAGGTAGCCACAGCGAGTCTTATGCTTGATACAATTAAGACACGACGGAAGATCTTCGGAACATTTGACTCGTCTTTTTTTGCAATTGGGGCACCCGAATTTGGAGTTTTTATGTCTGCGTCTTTTGGTGGCTTTTTCTTGAGCCTTCAGCATTTCCAATGCGTTCACAACAAAGAATTATGCGGAAAAGGGCTCGAAGATTCAGAATATTGCGTGGGTCTGCCGCGTGGGAACCGTGGCCAATTCTATGGTGTAGATGTGGTTCACAACTAAGGAGCGATGATGGTTAAGATCGATGCTTGTAATGCTACGATTCACATACCACGTTTTGATGTTGATGCCACGATTTTGCAAAGAAGGCACTTTAGATTGAAGAAATGGTGAATGACTATTTTTATGATTTATGAGTTAATTCTATTATTTCGGGGACAAAAGGCTGATACTTGGCGTGCATACAGATCGGTAACTGCATACACAATCTGTAAACCGGCGAAAGGGTAAAGGTTGTTTTTTGTTTCGCGAAACGGTTTTGGTGGGGAAAATCGCCTGATTTGGCGGTTTCCGGCTGCAAGTTAGTTGGTGCTCACCGAAAACTAGGAAATTGGTCGTTGAAGGCCAATTGAGTTTTCATGGTACGGCCGTGGCCTTGCATGATTTCAGTCCCAATTAGGAAGGTCTTCTCGGTCCCAGATGCGCGCTGCAGGTCGATGGCATACACCGTGCAGAGAAAAATGCGTCATAAAGTCATCAATTTGCGTGCGCCTCTGTCATGATTTTATGCATAAACGATAAATGGTGGAAATGAGGTGAAAGGTGCATATGATTCACCCCTGTTTCTGCATGGCAGTGTATATATGCGCCAAGTATGGTATGCGGCCGGAGGAGGCCGATGTCAGAAAAGGAAACCTTTCCGTTCGTAATACATTCAATCCTATACATAATTCTGCTCCGCTCTATAGAATTTGTCACTCATAACATTGTAGAATTGACTGTCCTTTTCGTCATCGTCTGCGGCTCTGGTAAGCATGTTTTTCCTCATCTCCATCGTTTGCGGCACAACTTGAAATACCGATTCCGGCCACTGGATGGGCGAGCTAACTCCGACCAAAATCGACTGCAAGGCTGCTTCGGAAATTAACGAAAACGGTTCGGAATCGTCCATGTAAAGACCGGTACGCCAGTCGAGTTTCGTGGTGTCTCGTGGAACCGGGAAACCTTTTTTGAATAGTTCGGAATATTCTTTGTTTAAACGTACCAAATAATGTTCAACTTCGTCTTCTGAAAGCCATAATTTGTAGTCGAGTGGTTGGGAATCGTCATCTTGTAATTTGTAGTCGGTGGTGTTACTCAAATGGAAACGGAGAAGAGGATCGCTCGTCTGGAACCCTTTGGTGCTGTCAGTCATATACGCTTTTAACAATTCGAAATGCTCACGATTATATGGGTAGGGATTACCCATTCTCTGTAAGTTGTGAAGCATGTCTGGGGTGGCAGTTGGTTTTGATTTCAGTGGTAAGTGGATGAAATTGTAAAGGCGAATCAGTGAATTGGCGAAATCACGAATCATTATCTCGTTAATATCTGACCTCACGTCCATCGGAGTTATACCCTTCCCGCCAATCAGGGGCCCGAATATCATCGCTAGTTGATTGTTTCTTATTTTGAAAAACGAGTTAACACGGAAGCAGTACCTTTCAATACTCTGCAATATGTTACAAGTCAAGTCTGTTTCTTTGGGAATGGTGTGATGAGTGTCGTACCACAATGTGAGACCGCCATTGAAGCCCAGCAAGTACATGAACATGGCACTTGGGAACACATTGTTAAGAATTGACGTGAGGGTTTTGTACATTAACATCAATACCCGTTCCATGGGATGGCCGAGAGATGTTAATATGTGCATCTTGGGAGGCATCATAAGAAGCCATCGACGCAACAACTTGTAGATGAGTTGGGAATCTTTTTTGAGTAATTCGATATCCTTATTGGCAGTTATTTGTATGACATCTTTGACGTAGTACCATATCTGATTGAAATGCTGGACAATCCAATCGCTGGATATTTCTTGCACGGTGACAAACTGTGAGTAGCGTTTGAGATAGCTCTGAAATTCCACAAGCACTTGGGGTGTGTAGCATGGGAAATGGATCAGTTGCGACACCAAATTCATGTAGCTAAACATGTGACGAACCTGGTGGTCAAGGTGTTCATATCTGCCCAAAGCATCGCAAAAGATGGAAAGCATACCCTGGCCGAAAGTGATGGAATGGAGAGAATTCTCAAACTCATAAATGGAGCATTTGTTGAGTAACGCCAGTGCTTTTAATGCCACTATAACGTCGTAATCTGACAGCACCGAGATATGCATTCGAAGGGCGGTGATGGCTTTGCTATAATGGCGGTTTGCAAACGCACAAAACTTCCTTCGAAGCGCCGATTCTCGCATCTTGTTCATGTTGGCAAACGACTTTAGCGCATTATTTCCAAGATACGATGCAAAAAGCAGGATCAACACCTCGTACACCAACGGCAGTCTGATATTCAACACGTCATTGCCTACACTTTGGTGATGAAGCCACTCATTCAGGGCGTACGATGGAGCGTTCATGAAATGGACCGGTTCACGGTGCAACGGAAAAGACACATATTTGGTATAAGCTCCTGGCAAAGCTCTCCCCGAATCACCGGGAGAAGTAAAGCCAGTCAGAAGCGTTTCTTCCATTTCCAGAAGTTGACCTTCACTGGAAAGCAAGTCATCATTAATTGGCAAACCGCATTGAAGACACATGGAAAATTCGTTGTTGGAGGTTCTTTCTAGAGATCCACAAGCACACATACGAGGGGATTCTGGTTGATGGCCCCGAACTAGACGCCAGGGGTCATTCAAATTTAGCGCACTACTAACACTCATGAATTCAAGTTTCAAAAAAGATCACGATTTTGGGGGTATGTTCACCTTACGTAAGGTTATGCAAGTTGCGGGGGGTAGGCTCGTAATTACATTATTCGGTTGCGAATTTAAGCAGCATGACAGGAGGTAAGAATTGGCGGCAGACTTGAAAATTCCAATTATTATACTAGTACATACTTTTGGCTGAATTCCAGCCTTTGTTTTGTTGTTTGTTCTTAAAATGGTGGTAGCTTTGGCATCCTGGCCCTTGCATTTCATCTTTTTTATTTTTTCAAAATAGGGTATTAAACGTCCTGCATCGCGCATTTTTGCAGATACGATAAAGGTTAAAATGTTAATGGCCGCAAAATCTCAAGCACCAGAAGTGGCTATTTCTCTTCGTGACATCTCAATGCAATACATGCGCTTGCGCCACTCCTCAATGGACGGTGTGGATAATCTCCAAACTTTTTCTTGGCGTAAAGCAAATCGTTGGATGAGGTCTCTTGGATCAAAATCGTACATTCCCAAACCCAGTGAAAAGTTTATTTGAGGAGGCTTGTGCATTGAATTTGTTTGGGTAAGTTGGCTTTGGTGGATCACTTGCTGGTATCCTTGGTCGTATGCGAAAAATGGAAGACGAGGATAATTATCATAGTTGATGATTGTGTCCACATCAAACAGGCTCACAAATTGTTCTTCTATATCCATCTTTGACGGAATAATTTCGAGTATCCCGGTAGGAACTGATGTGTTACTTAGAACAGGCTGGGTGAATTTTTGATCGAGAACAGTGGTGGTTGAAAGAAGATGCGAATAGAACATGGTGCGGTAGGTGAAAAAACTGTTGATTCGCATGAGTCTGGCCTGGATTCGAGTCAAGGCAATGATCTGGGATTCACCCATATTGGACGGGTACTTGAATGCATATAACGAGGGATCCATGTCGGAACGTGCACATATAATGTTGCACATATCGATCATCCAGATGGACCGAATTGGAGAGAGAACATTTTGCAATGCTTTACCAGTAGCTGTGTAGAACAAGCAAAACATCTTTGTCATAAAACCACATTTTGCACTGAGTCCCATGACTTCGGAGGGAAAGATACGGAACCAGCGTACTATCAATTCACAAAGACTGTTGGTTTGGACGAAATGAATATTGTGCGTACCTTCATTTCTGGTTTGGTTGATTTGCTGAATGTTGGGATAGCATTCGTTGATTAGTTTTTTCAAAAATCCATGTAACCCAATCAAGCGGTATGCAGTTACTCGGTCGCAAATAGGGTCTCTATCGTTTCCTGGTCCTTCAGATATTCCAAACTGGTCCATAAATTGTTCGAGGTCGTTGAAAATTTCATTCATCACGCTAAAGCGATAATCAGGAACCAAACAGAAGCTCAGATGAAGATTCACGAGATCCAAAACTACTCGTATAGTGGGGGTGATATCAGCGGTCGATTGTGCATCGTTGCAAATTTTGGAAAGTAACGAAGCAGTGCCGGTATAAATCAAGCTCACCGTTTCCATAGACGCATGAACATGAAGGAACGACGACCATCCTGCGAAAAGCGAGATTTTGGCCAGATATTCTATATGGATCCGCGAAAGCGATTCACGCAAGTTTCTGATCAACTCTCCATAAATCATATACGACTTTTTCGTCAACACGGCCAAGTCTTCATAATTGTAACAGGCATCTGAATTCGATGCCACAGAAGACGTGGGAGAGTCATTGTATGGTGAAGTGGAAGTGGAGCTTGGAGAATCGCCCCCCATGCTCAAATAATCATTGCAAGATTTGAGAAGAATGTTGAGCGATCTGTCGACAAAAAATGAAAAATAGACATCAAGGATGACTGCCTGGTTATAAATACTAGCCCAGAATGCAGCGGATTGCAGTGCGTTCCATACTGGAGCATAAGAAAACATGAATTTGTCGTTTATCATCCGCTTTAGGTCGCCTCCACACTTTTTGTAAAGAAGGGAAATGAAGGTGTTTTTGAGTCGTTCCTCCCGAGCCATCAACTTGAACAGCCGCTTTTGAATGTATGCCTCTGGCAATGGTTTCGGGTCTCCTGGCGTAATCAATGGGAACGAGAGATCATGCGAGTTTCGTCGGTCAAGAAAGTCTTCGCCGAAAAACCCAGCTTTCGAGCCCTCAAACTCGTCGGCTGTTGGTTGCTGGATAAACTGCCCCGAGTCGTCGTTGGAATTGACCACCCGCACAAAGGAATCTCGATATAATTGGTATCTTAAAGAATCTTTCTTTTTGAAAAAATGGTTTGTGCTAGCCAGTTCAGACTTATCCGAAGCATTATTCGTTTCTCGAGAATGCATTATATCGTGGGCCAGCATATCATCATGGAAAGCTCGGCCTTGTTTTTTTCTTTCGTTTTTGAGGCGAATTTGCTCCAATCGTTCTGGTGGGAAATCCAAGTAACCACAACGGTACTCTTTTTTGATACAATTTTGACATGCTGGTAGGTCTTCCGAACACTTGATACGCTTTGCTTTGCAGTTGGGACAGCCATCTCTGGAGTTTTTATGAGTCCGTCTGCTTTTGCGTTCCTTTTTCAATACAGACTTTTTGTCAATAGAAGACATTACCACCACTGGACATATGATCGAAATGAAGGTTAGTAGCTAATCTCAACCAAGTGAATGTAAGATTTACACGTAGTGAACATGCAAATAAGGAGGAAAGGTGACAGTTGTGGTGACTATTAAAGTCAGTTGGTGGAAATTATGAATGTGTTTAAAGGAAACAGTTCACTTTTTCAACGTGTAGGACGGGTCGTCACTAGTTCACTTTTTCAACGTGTAGGACGGGTCGTCACTAGTTCACTGAATGGGTAGCAACGCCTAGGAGTCAAATGGCAGCCTGGAAGCAAATAAATGTGGAAGATAACCTAGTTTAAAATCGACAACACCGTCACAAGGTAGATAGACTTTTGTGTAACAATGGAAAAGCCTCACCGTTTCCGGCATGGAATTCGGCGAACAACAAAGTGGACCAAATTTGTGCATTTTAGTCTACAAATACAATAGCGATAGAGAAAATGCAGCGATCTATAATATTTATCCAATACGATATGATTTGGTCGTTGGTTGCTATACCAAAAATAAAATATATTATTATTTGTGACGGCTTTAAAAATTTGGAACCCGCCCACTTGGGACCCTGTAATGCAGGGCTGCGACCGACACCACCGATCGCAAATCGTGCCGGTTGAATTCCACGGCAAATTCCACGGCAAATTTCACAACCCGCCATGCATGTGATGTTTTCACGTCATGTTCGGTGCATCGCACAACGTACCTAATGCAGCAGATACTGCAGCAGACGTGGGGCGGTGCGGCGCAGGAACGTGCCTTGGGTGCAAATTGTTTAAGCGAGGGTGTCAAGGGTCCAGCAAGAAGTCTATTTTGAAGACTTCTAATGTACTCTGACGGAGTTTAGTGCAAATGGTAGTCTTTGGTGAATGTATGCCACTCGTTGAGTTCGGTAAGATGTCGCATCGTGGGTCGCCCATGAGGACAGTTCCATGGTTTGTCCAAGTGGCTTAGATTATGAACAACTTTTTTCATTGTAGACGTAGAAAGTGGCTGCCCTATCATGATACTCGAACGACAAGATCTCAGAGCCAAAATCGTACGGATTTTGGAGCACTTGACATGCTTATTATTGATTGAGCCTGCTTGATTGGTAAGGTGAATTAGCTCATGAAAATCTGATTCGTCAAAAACGGTGGTTCGCAGCACAGGTAAACTTGTTAGCTTCACGCGGTGCCCAGGAGCTTCATCTTCATCCACCTTTAGTCCAAATCCGTTGGTTTTGAAAACTTCAAGATTCGCAAGAACTGTCATTTCATCGAGCGCATTGAGCTCCATATTTCGTGGAACCACAAGCAGCTGCGAGTGGAACATAGTCGTGGAGTTGGCGAGCCTTTCAAAATTGTACTTTTCATCTGAAGCGTGCTGATCAACAATGAAAAGATTGTTTCCGCCATTCAATGTGACTAAAATAAACCCCAAATTGAACTGGCCAACAACTTGCATTTTCGTAAAATCTTTCTTGGAAATCAGGTACACCAATTTTTTTTCAGCTTCTTCTCTCGCCTCAATGTTGTCGATATGTATCTTCTTTCCAGCTTGCAGCGAGTTCTGGTGATCATTGTTAAGAATGTTGGACCCAATACCGTTGATATCAAACGACAAAACTTTGCGCACATCATGAACATTATTCTTTTTCTTTGGTGACTGTTTCTTTGGGCTTTCCAAAAAGTTGCGATTTCCAATACTAATGGAAATATTATCGTCAAGCTCCTTTTCTGAATCTGAAGCAACAACTTCTGAAGTACCATCAGAATGTACAAAATCAGATAGTTTGACGACTCGGACTTCCCTAGGATCCTCAGTAACTTGGTCAGCAGTAACTTGGTCAGCGACCTCTTGCTCAGCGGTAGCTTCTTGCTCAGCAGTAAAGTTGTCATCATCGTCCACAAAAAGCGTTGTAGGTTTGTCATCTGTAGCTCTCGTTATGTTTGGATGTGGACTATCGTGATCAGATATTTGTATCTCGTTCTCGTCAACATTATAAGTATCTTCAATCATTTCTTTTTCATTAATTGAATCCTCTTCATGACTCTCGTTATTCTCCATCTCGTCAACATTATTAGTATTTTCAATCATTTCTCTGTCATTAACTGAATCTTCTTCATAGCTCTCGTCATGCTCCATCTGGTCTTCTTCCTGACTTTTGTGTTCTTCAACATTCTCACCAATATCATTCAATTCGTTTTCTGTATTCCTAGTATCATCAGCATCAAGCTCTTCGTCCTCAGCTAAATGGTATCTTTTCAAACTTGACGGTTGCTCATAGTCCTCTTTACGTTTTGCTCTGTCAATGCTTTGAGAAGGCAGTTCCCAGCTGTCACTATTTACAGGAATTTGGGTGTCTTCTGACTCGTAAAACTTGGTGAGTTCGTGACGAAGAACATCGTTCAACACATCTTCATTGTGTATCATGACCGTGCGCTTATCTGGAGTCACGTTGATATCAAGAAAGTCTCCATCAAGAACAATGTTAAGTACAACGACAGGAAATTGGACTGTGTTGAAAGATCTGTACACTTCATTGACAGTTTTGATGAACCGCCTGGACTCAACCGGGCGCTTATTGAGGTAGATGTACTGTCTGTCCCCAGCCGAACGACCCATGCCAAAGGAGCAATTGGAAATCATACCCTCAAATTTAATATCTAGTCTTTTCAAAACGGGCAAATCTCCAGCATTTAACTTGAATTTTACTTCTAGTTCCTTCGCTTCTAGAGAAACCAGTTCGAGTCCGTAGGTTCCATTGGACCCATATACATTGAGAAGACACAGCTTTATATCTGCTTTGGAACCACCTTGAGTTCCTAGCATCATTTGCTTCTTTTTCGCAGCTGTAATGTTGTATACGGTGAACCGTATTTCCGGATGAATAAGGATGTAGCAGATCAAATTGTTAACTGCCTTTTGGAACTCCCTTTTGATATTCTTTTCCAAGGTTTTGCGTCGAACCGGCAACGCATTAAACAAAGAAGTTACAGTAACCACAGTGCCTCGAAGACCACCCACAGACTTTTCTGTTCCTGTCAAACGTCCCATATTGTCAAATGTCAATTGGGATATACGAGGGTAATTTTGTTTCGTACAAGTGCTAATTGTTAGATTTGCAACAGAACAAATGGAGCTCATAGCTTCACCTCGAAATCCCAAAGTAGATACTTGTGCTAAACCTTCAAACAGAACCAACTTGGAAGTATGGTGGCGCAAGCACACATATTCAAAATCTTCCTCTTCAATTCCACTGCCATCGTCCTCAATTTTAATATAGTCTAGTCCACTATCGGAGAACGTGACATCGATTTTTGTGCTTCCTGAATCTATGGCATTTTCCACCAATTCTTTCACGACCGAGACGAGATCGACGATCACCTGGCCGGAGGTTATTCGCTGCACTTCGGTAGAATCAATGTTCTTTATTGGCATGAGAAAATAAAACAAGACTTATAGTAAGGTGATCAACGGAGTCAAGAAGTAGATGAACAAAAGTGTATAGGCAGAAAAATGTTATTTGACTGAAAGTTTCAGCAATTAGATGGGTCAGCAGTATACTTCTTTCTTTTCTGAGGTGTCTTCTCTAAATTTTTTGTTCTAGTTTTTAGACTCTTGTAAGTCTTATCTCTAGTTCTCTCTTCTCGCGTTCGCGTTCGCGAACTGATTTCGCGAACTATTCCGCGAAGATCTCGCTTCACTTTATGGATGATGTCCCATTTACCGTCCCCAACGTAATATTAACCCTCAAGGAGTTCCTCATCGTGTGGTTGAACCAAGTTCTCTACACAAGCAATATATACCCTACAGAATCATACACGAAACGAAAATCGTTCGATGTCATAGTTCACATAACTCGAAGTCCATCGCTACAAAAATATTTGGAAGACTTTGTTGACGAATTCCTAAATGTTTTGGTTAGCGATGAGCCATCCAGCAAGTCAGGAAATGTCTGCCTGCTCATAATTGTTCTTTTCGAACAAGCAAACAACAAAGTTAAAGAGAAATATTGTGTTAAAATGGACCATTTTGTTAGTCTTGGAGATTTGAATGTTGATGTTTCCACCATCAAAACTCGTCTGTTTGAAGCTGAAACTCAAAAAATTAACATTGTGGGATTCGACTGGAATACGGTGTATTCTGACCTTCGTTCTTTGTTGTCTCAGCATGTTCAGGAATTACTGCGTAGACAATCAAATCGACTTCCATTCAACGACATTTTTTTCAAGGCTGTTATCGACACTTCAGAACATGTAAACTTGTCAGCATCGGAGAAATGGGTCAAGGTTGGAGACACAAGGCTGCCAGCAACTCAATTGCCCAAGGTGGTACCTATTGGCCAAGTAAGCACTGGGTTTTTACAGTTTGGGTGTGTGAACGAGTATGCGAAATAACTCAAATTTGAATGCTCTTCTTTATTGTCGCATATGCTATATACATCTATTTCACTGTGTTGGTCAACCCCATGATTGTCTTTAGGTTTTCGTAGACAAAGTAACTAATCGACACCGCCGGTGCAACCTTTGCAAGATTGGGCACCAATCCCTTGAACAACCCAGGAACACCTTCTCGAGCCAATGTCTGTTTCAATACATCCGAAAAACCATTATAGGTATACGGATGAGCGTATGTTCCTTGTGCTTGTAAACGAGTTCTCAATAAGTTAATAGGGTACACCACCGTAGCACCAAAAGATCCAGAGAGAGCACCGAGGGTCAAGACTTCAATATTTGGAAGCTTCACTTCGTCTTCAGGTAATCCTGTTTTCTTGGCCTGCCTTTTAATTAATATGTGTTTGATAGTTGTGAAAGTTCCAAGATCCAAAGCAGCGTAGGGGAATATACCACTGACTCCTACAAACCAACCACGATAAAAGCCTGCAATACCATTTGATTGGAAAATTCTTCTTGCTGTGTCAAATAAAAGAGCATTTCCTTTCAAAGACGAGTCCAAATTGGAGCATTGAAGCCTAAATTTAAGGGTATCGATAGGATATACCGCCAATTGAGCAACTACACCTCCCATACCACCAGAGAGGTAGGTGGATACCTTGGAAAGTTTGGTTGGATCGCTAACACCTTCGACACGACAAAAGAATCTTTTGGCTGCTTCAAAAGAGCCGAATTTTATAGCAGATTCCGGCAACACTTTAATCACATTCAATCCGTTTCCAACGTAAAATGCTCTGAAACCACCTTGTTTCCACAAAGTTCTTGCGGCCTGTATAATGGGGGACCTAATTGTCTTTGGATGATCAGGGTGGGCCACAGCATCGGCGGCAGCTTTTTCAGCCACGGCGAGACGTCTTCGAGCCTCATCTATTACATGCTGTGCTGCTCCATCGCTAATTTTCTTTGCAATATCCTTCTTGGAGTGAAGAACCGTTGACGAAAGGTCGGTTCTGGCAATTAAAAATACCTTGATTCTGTCGAATGGAGCGGTACATGTTCTGGAAATTACGCCAGCAATGCCACCAGCAAAGAAGAATCCAAGCCCGTTCAAAAACTGGTTAATCAAAGTGACATCTCCATCACTGGAAAGATCCAATTCCTCAATGAGAAAGCCGTAGGCAGTCCTTATTCGAGATCCATGTAATCGAGGCATAAGGAGAAGAAATTGCCTAAACTCGTCATAAGTGATATAGCCATCGCTCTTATAATCTATCTGTTTGAACAACATATCCACATCGTAGTCTCGGGGACTCAAATTGAGCGACTTTTTCAAGTATTTCACAAAGTCTGTTTTGTTTAATTTCCCATCATGGTCCTCGTCAATTTTGTTAAATCCTTGAAGAATCTGGTCGTCAGTCGATGTCAAGTATAATTTGAAGTCATTAAAGTCAATAACTTCATCGTTATTGGCATCAAATGAGTGGAATATTTTTTCGGTAAGTTCCGGGTTGTTCTTAATGGGATGATCAAGATCCACCAAAGCGCGTCTGAAATCCTCAAGAGTGATCTCTCCATTATGCTGGACATCAAGCTGTTTGAATAGGTGCTGATAATCATCAGGATGCAGAAGTTCTTTGAACTTTTTATCGTAGAAACTCAAATTCGGGTCGTCTTCTTTCGACATGGTTCAGTGAGTCAGTGAGTGTGTAGGTTATGTGTGGTCAGCTATGTGTGGTGGGTTGCGTGCACTATGCTAGAACGAATTCAGGTGTGTATGATTGAATTAAACTTTCCCACAAACTTGTCGTGTCATACGAGGTGTAGAGTAAGCGAATTTTGACAAAGTTTCATTGGTTGTCACGTGATACAAGTAGGAAGCAGCGACAAAAAAAAACTAGCTAAAAAACGTGAAGAGAAGCTACAAAGAGAATCAGGACCCAGAAGAAAGCTAATTGATCTCTATATGTCCTATATATACCCAATTGAATTCTTCCCTTACTTTTTCTTCTTCACATTTCCTTCGATCGTGTCTCGCACGACCCTTCTTATTTCTGCGATTCTCCGGCAAACTTCACCATCATGTCGGTACAGATTTTGGGAGACCAAGCCACTGAAGAGAGGGGCGAAAATGCCCGGATGTCGGCATTTGTAGGTGCCATTGCCGTAGGGGACCTTGTAAAGTCAACTTTGGGACCCAAAGGAATGGATAAACTTTTGCAAAGTTCATCGGACATGGACAAGTCTTTGATCACCAACGATGGAGCCACGATTTTAAAGTCGATTCCGTTCGATAATCCGGCAGCAAAGGTTCTCGTGAACATTTCCAAGGTCCAGGATGATGTAGTGGGAGACGGAACCACTTCGGTGACTGTTTTGAGTGCTGAGCTTTTGAGAGAGGCAGAAAAATTAATTGAGAAAAAGATTCATCCACAAACTATCATCGAGGGTTACAGAATAGCGTGTGCTAAGGCTTTGGAGGCGTTGGACAAAGTTTCTGTGAACAACGCTGATGATAAAGAAAAGTTTCGTAGCGATTTGATCAACATCGCCAAGACTACTTTATCTTCCAAGATCTTGTCACAGGACAAGGACCAGTTTGCCGAGTTGGCTGTTAGTGCTGTTCTTCGTCTCAAGGGCTCCACGAACTTGGACCATATTCAAATTATCAAGCGTGTGGGTGGAAAGTTGTCAGATTCATTTCTCGATGAAGGGTTCATTTTAGATAAGAGATTTGGAATCAGTCAACCCAGAAAACTTAAAGACGCCAAAATCTTGATTGCAAATACATCTATGGATACCGATAAAGTCAAGGTGTTTGGAGCAAAGTTCAAGGTGGACTCTACATCTAAATTAGCCGAATTGGAGAAGGCAGAAAAGGCTAAAATGAAGAACAAGGTTGAAAAAATCAAAAAGTTTGGAATTAATTGTTTTATCAACCGTCAATTAATCTATGACTATCCCGAGCTGTTGTTCACGGATAGCAAGATTAACAGTATCGAGCACGCTGATTTTGATGGTGTGGAAAGATTAGCATTGGTTACAGGTGCCGAAGTTGTATCTACATTCGACAATCCGGAAAAGGTCAAATTGGGACACTGTGAGTCGATCGAGGAAATCTTAATAGGAGAAGACGTTATGACGAAATTTTCAGGTGTGGCAGCAGGAGAAGCATGTACAATTGTGTTGAGAGGAGCCACCGAACAAGTGTTGGATGAAGCTGAAAGATCGATCCACGATGCATTATCGGTCCTCTCACAAACCACCAGAGAAACGAAAACCTGTCTTGGAGGAGGCTCTGCCGAAATGAACATGTCTAAAGCCGTGGACCAAGCGGCTGCAAATATCACTGGCAAAAAGTCTTTAGCTGTGGAATCATTTGCCCATGCATTGAGGCAATTACCGCTGATTTTGGCCGACAATGCTGGTTATGATTCATCGGAGCTCGTTTCCAAGCTCCGGTCTGCCATCTACAACGGAATGTCGACATCGGGCTTAGACTTGAATCGGGGCGTTGTAGCCGATATGCGTGAGTTAGGAATTGTTGAAAGTTACAAATTGAAACATGCTGTGGTGGCCTCAGCCACTGAGGCTGCGGAGGTATTGTTAAGAGTGGACAATATTTTGCGTGCTAAGCCCAGAACCGCCGACAGGAACCACTAATCCGACGTCGCTATTGTATAATGACCGGCATGCGTGCATACAGCCCGGGTGCGCGTGCGTGTCGAAGCAGGGGACTGCGGCAACGTGCGTGGCGCCTATGGCGTCTATGGCGCGCGGTCACCCGGGCACTACCCCACAAGTCAAATAGTTAGGTATGAGGTTGCAAACCAGGATGTAGAATCAACATAGGTAGAGCATGTGCCATGTGTAATTTGGGAGTCAATTGGTTTTTTATTGCCAATTTGGTTGGGGTTTAGTCCAACCGCAGCAAAGATGAAATGCGGGGCCCACAACGTGCATGAATCGCATTCTTCTCTTGCAGGCTGCAATTTCAGTTAGATCCACACCACATAGGGGGTAGCAAGAATTGGGAGTATAAAAGGGGACCAGGAAACTCAATTGAATTAGTGAAAAATGGTATTTGGATTTGGAAGTGACGACGACAAGAAACAACGCAGAGACGATGATCGTCAGGGACTGAGAGACGATAGCTATGGATCTGGAAGAGACAACTCCGACAGCTATGGTTCAGGAAGAGACAATTCCGACTCTTATGGTTCCAGTAAGACTGATTCTTATGGTTCAGGAAGAGAAAATTCTGACTCTTACGGCTCAAGCAAGTCCGACTCTTATGGATCTAGCAAGACTGACTCTTACGGTTCAAGCAACACCGACTCATATGGATCTGGAAGAGACAATTCCGACTCTTATGGTTCCAATAAAGGAGACCAATCTTATGGTTCTGGAAGAGGAAGTGACTCCTATGGTTCTTCTAGAGACGACTCCTATGGCTCTTCAGGAAGAGGCGACTCTTACGGTTCTTCTGACAAGTACGGTTCTTCTGGAAGAGACACTTCAGACTCTTATGGTTCCAGTAAGGGAGACCAATCCTATGGCTCTTCTGGAAGAGGCGGAGACAGCTACGGCTCCTCGAATAGGGATGATGATGACTCCTATGGTTCTTCCGGTAGAGGTGGAGACAGCTATGGTTCTTCCGGCAGAGGTGGAGACAACTATGGTTCATCGAGAAACGACGACTACTAAGTATGAAATTGAGAATTATCTTCTGCTAAGTTGTAATTGGACAGTGTCTCAACTAATAAGTTGTAATCGAACAATATTTCTACTAAGTTGTACTTCAACATTAGTTCCACTCAGTGTACTTCAACATAATTTCTACTAAGTTGTAATTGAACATTCTCAACTACCAAATTGTAATACAAGAGTTATCTTCTACGATTAAAATGTACTTCAACATTTTACCAAGTATGTAATTGAACATATTTTCAACTACCAAGTTGTAATTCAAGATTCATATCCCACTATTAAGTATGTACTTCAACATCACTTTCTACTATTGAGTATGTACTTTAACTTTATCTTCTACGATCAAGTATGTCATTCAAGAACTATTCTCTACCAAGTGTACTTCAGCATTAAGTGTATGTCAACATTATCTTACCAAGTATGTAATTGAATCCTAATCTCAACTACTAAGTTGTAATACAAGAGTTATACTCTGTTATCAAGTATGTAATTTAAGAATTATCTTCTACTATTAAGTATGTACTCCGAAATATTTACTAAGTTGTAATTGAGCATTCTCTTCAACTATTAAGTATGTACTAGTGTACTTCCTTATCTTCTACAAGTATCAACATTTGTATGTTCAACATTTTCTCATCTATTCATGCTTCTAGTTATTGCTGCAACGGTGCGTACAACACCTGAGTAACATACTTACGTTTGTAACGTATAATGCTGGCGACCGCCAAAGTACCATGTTTTATGCTGGTGGTGGCTAAATGATTCAACACAACGTGGTTGGGTATAGGTAAGGCACCGGCGTTGTTATCTTTGTCCATGGCACTTTGACTGTTAAGATTAACATTCTCCAAATGTGGGGGAAGCTGTGGTGGATGAAGCCATGCTTGTTGTTGACCTCCTTGATTCTTCGACTGCTTGTCAATTGCAATGTAATATTGTTCCATGACTTTTGGATCGGTGAAAATCGGTGGAATCTCATTGATATATTCAAATTCTGGTGCATTGAAATTGCCATCTTCATCATGGTATCGTGAGTACCCATCTCCCATATCATCATCATCTCCTGTTAGTCTCCATGCCGAATTGCTGCGTCCCCTTGCTACAGATCTACGCCTTTGTGGTGCAGGATGAGATGGAACAGAATCTTTTGATTTTGTTTTCGTTTCCTCTTGACTTTCCATATACTGTTGAACATGTTCCTGGGTAACTTCCACATAGTTGACAAAGTTTCCCATCTGGTCGGTTGCAGCTGGAAGATTATCGGAAAACCGGAGTTCGTTATCCACCACAAACCGGAACCGATGGGTGCCCATTGGAAGCCCAAGGGTAATGCTAAAGTTGTTATCTGGTTGTTTGACGAGCCCTATCATTTTTCTCCATTGGGTAAAAGATCCCGTCACATACACCTTTTCTCCTCCTTGAACCCACTTTATGTCCACAGGAACGGTCACATTGGGGTCCGGAACCGGTGTTTGTTCTGTGCTGGGCGCTACTGACTCCGGTTGGGGTGAGTTGTGGCCGGTGCTATGGCTATCCAACTCCATCTTATCAGCATTGTCCCTCTTCTCGTTGTCTTCATCGCGTAAAATTAACGTAGATTTACGTCTTCCAAGACCACCCGAACCCGCGTGTGGGTCGTTTGAACCGATTCTGGCATCGGCCGCAGTCATCTCCCGATCTTCATTGGCTTCCGAAACATCCACCATCGACACCTCTCTATTTTCTGGGCCCGGATTATGGTCCTCCGGGGTAGACATGGCCAAGTACTTGCTACGTTGGGTTCAGACCACCGCGGAATTGGGAATTTAAGCGGACGTGGTCGGTGGTTGTGTCGTCGATTGTAAAAGGCGGGACTGCGAATTCGGGTGAGCGCGGGTCACGTGACAGTTCCAGGAACATAGGAGGTGGGGAATAATGGGCAGAAGGAAGTTGTGGGTGGACACTGTGGAGCGGTTATGTGTAGTTGGAAGGTTGGTGTGTGATATCCGATAAGCTTTGAATGTCCATTTTTCCTTTTGCGTTTCTATTACTTACCACCACCAATTTCCATTGCAGCGTCCCAATGCGGAATATTTCGATGCCGGAGGTACATGAAGTTGCATGAAGAGTTGCAGCATCGGTTTTGGGATACCATTTATAAATGAGCCAAACTTTGAAACTGTATCAATTTTAACGATGGACGTGAGTTTTATTGACGCGGACGTCAACCCTGATAACATTTTGTTGAATTTCACAATTCCAGGGTACCAAAATGGGTTTTCGGTTCCTATGGTGGTAATTAATGAGTTGCAAAAATCCCAAATGAAATATGCCATAGTTTATGGATGTGGTGTTGGGGCATCTTTGATCTTGTTGTTTGTGGTTTGGATCTTGTGTTCGAGAAAAACTCCACTTTTCATCATGAATAATATCCCTTTGGTGTTGTATGTGATAAGCTCAAGTTTGAATCTTGCTTATATTACTGGACCCTTGCTGTCGGTTTCAGTGTTTCTTACGGGAATTCTCACCTCCCATGATGCGATTAATGTGGTATATGCTTCGAATGCCTTGCAAATGTTACTTATTTTTCTGATACAACTGACCATGGCTTACCATGTGTATGTCATGTTCAAGTCACCACAAATCAAGTATTTGCGGTATATGCTCGTTGGGTTTCTTGGATGCTTGCAAATCGTCACCACTTGCTTGTACATCAACTATAATGTGCTCTATTCTCGGAGAATGCACAAGTTGTATGAAACAGGTCAAACTTATCAAGACGGTACGGTTATGACTTTCGTACCATTTATTCTTTTCCAATGCTCAGTCAACTTCTCCAGTATTTTCTTGGTGCTCAAGTTGATTATGGCGATCAGAACCCGTCGATACCTTGGTTTGAGACAGTTTGGTGGGTTCCATATTCTCATGATAGTGAGTCTTCAAACCATGCTTGTTCCCTCAATTTTGGTTTTGGTGAACTATGCTGCCCACAAGGCAGTTCCACTGAATCTTTTGTCGTCTGTCAGTATGATGATAATTGTCTTGTCACTTCCAGCATCATCAATGTGGGCAGCGGCTGCAAATGCTTCTTCGGCACCATCTTCAGCTGCTTCCAGTCTTTTCAGATATACCACTTCTGACAGTGATAGGACTTTGGAGACGAAAAGTGATCACTTTATAATGAAGCACGAGAGCCATAACCTGTCTCCAAACTCACTGCCTTTGACTTTGGTGCAAAAAAGGATATCTGATGCAACACTCGAACTTCCAAAAGAACTCGAGGACTTGATTGATAGTACCAGTATTTGATAGTATCTACCAGCATCTACTAGTATCCAGCGGGCTAGAAAGAAGTTTGAGCGATATAAGGAAATAATATTTTAAATTGCAACCACTAATTGTAGTGAATCTCAGAATAAAATCTCCATTTTCACATTGGCTGCAAGTCCGGCATAAATCTCACTGCGATTATCACTGCGATCATTTTATCTCCTCTAGTGGCAATCATGGTGGCTGAACCCGTTCTGGCTACTGTGGAAATGCTAAATTTAGCCTACTCCAAGGTCTCGGACTTCATCTCGTCCCTGACTAATGCTACCTACAATACTAATATTTACGATAAAAGTTTCGAAATTTAATCCATTTACTGAAGACCATCATTTTCAACCTACAAAAAGTTTGTGGGGAAAAAGTTGAAGATCACATAGTGGAACACAGATTGGCCTACATATCAGTTCTTTCCGTTGGTATAGGGTTGGGTGGCTACTTTCAGTACAAATCTAAAGCATCAGAACCCAAAATATGGTCTTCGAAGAAGGGTCCCGTAAACTTCCTAATGGAGCACGAAGAGATGCTGTGTTGTTGGTGGGTTCTCCAACTGAGCCATTGACTCGTCTTATGGGCGCTAGACTTGGAAAAACGTGGATTTTATTTGTGTACTTGACAATTCTCGGATGAGAATAGACGAAAAGTACGTGTGAGGGCCAATTCTAATCATGGAAGATCTCGACTACCTTTAATTTGTCCCGATTTCTTACTCGTTTGACTATGCACTTTGTCGAAATTTTAAGGAAACTTTTACACAATAGCCAGATGGGTTCCTTTTTGTGGGGTGCTGAACCACATACTCTCAATCTCTTTGGGAATAGTTTTAGCTCCACCTGGCTATATTTCCCCATTGTGACCCATGCTGAGAATTATTACTGTTGACATCCTGGCTCATAAAGTGAATGAAAGGCTTAACGTTTACCTCAAATTATTGTCATCAGGATTGGTGTCAATGGCACGCGAACACAAGAGTAAACTTATTGTGGTTTACCCCAATGTTGTACGCAATTTGACCCATTCCATACCACGCTCCTGAAGCCGTGTTTCAGTCCAGTGTTCACAGCTTGTTCACCGCATTATCTCGAGAACTCTACACCCAAAACATCCCTGTAACTCACATAAGGATGGGTAATTTGAATGTTTCCAGCCATGACAAAAGCTATGACAAATCGAAAATATCAAGCTTGGTTGCTTCAGAAATGAAGGGGTGGAACGAAGACGTCAAGTCCATCTACGCAGACCGATTTGCTAAAGCGGAATACAGAGCTAACCCAATACGATCTACTGGAAAGGGCACAAGCTTACGAGATTTTTACCATACAATTTTTGATGTTTTGTACTCAAAAAACCCTCCAAAAGTCATCTACTGCGGTACAGGAGCTCGTACCTACGAATGGATCCTGAGATTCCTACCACAATCATTTCTTGACTTGGTTTTAAGGTGATGGTTGTCGGTATACCGGCCTGTACATAGTGCTGGTTTTCGCACGCCGCCTATATATAATGAAAATTTTCAGCTTTTCTTCTTTACGTTCATGGCCAAAGATTTGTTTTCGAAGCTTACAAAAGGACTTTCGGGTCGTCAGTGCTTTGGGGAAAGTCTCCTGCCTAAACGCGGAAACGCAATGGTCCCATCAGACCATTTGAACCATTCAGAATTTTAGAGGCGGACAACCCTTTACAACATTTTGGCAAATACTAACGATTTCGTTGTGTCTATTTTTAAAATAGCTCTGGTATTGGCCATTTTGTATGGTATTGGACTCTGTTGTTTGGTAAAGCTCTTTAATTTTGGCTGGTTCACATCCCATTTATGGTGTACATTCGGCAATGGGACGGTGAATCCTAAACGATAGTTATAACAAATGATCTACGATCAACCCAATGGAGCTCACTCTTGGACCATGAACGTCATTTCTCTTCGAGCCTAGTGCTGGAATTGGACAATAATTTTGTCCAATTTTGAGCCGCATAGTCAAATGTGCCGGGCTATATTTTTTTATGTCAGTCTTCAGGTGAGGACCATTATCATTTGTAGCTGTTAAATGATGAGATATTAAGCAAACATAGAGTCAAGCTCAGAGAATATTCAAAGACGAGAGTTGCAAAAATTTCTGAAAACAGTAAATGGTGATGCCGACATTAAAATTAACGATTATATAGTACACTACTCAACTTTCCAGTGACTGGTTAGAGCATTCCCTCCCGATGGTGATGTGTTCCCCAGAAGCTCGGCGGTGTAGAGCAACAATGTAGTAGCCATATTGATCCAGTTCCAGAACTGCCAAGGATGCACGATGACGGTGAAGTCTGACGACTCCCAAAACCCCCATAATTTGAGTTCAGTGCCCAATTGACCCGAATATTGCATCATCAAGTGGGTGTAGGCAAAGATGATGAAGCAAGGGGAATATGCGTAGATTAGCTTGAGGATGGTAGCTTTTGGTTGACGGGTGCGAATTTTTTTCTGTGGAGGTTTAGAGATTGTGCTTTCTTGAAATAATGACGAAGACGAGCTTTGTCTCGACTTGGACGCTGGTGTTCGTGGAGGGGAGAACGTGGGGTACATGGATCCGTAGTAAAGGGAGGGAATGATTTTCGTTGCCGCGTAGAAAACCGAAAGACGATAAGCCAAGCTGAGGAGGAGTGGAATCGTTAGTTTCTGTAAGGAAATCACCAAAAAGTGCCAGATTGTTTTCATTGTCATTGGCAAATTAGAGGCTAAAAAGGGAACCGCATTCAGTACGGTATCGATAATTGTTGGAGGAAGTAGCGGGATTTGATTCTTTAATGTTGTAGTCGTTTGAGCAAACAACGATGCTAATGCCTCAGAAGCGTTCTCAGAAAGGTCTGGGAAGGTTTCGTAGATGCACCGAACGATATATGCAAGAAGCAATGAGGATTCGATCATACTTCCACGACCAGACACAATTCCAAAAGCTCCAATTCCAATGGTGAGGGTAAGCGACGACCCGAGTAAAGAAGCATTGACCATATCGATGGTAAAGTTCAAGGTGTAGATACGGTACAAGAAGTAGCAAGCAGTCGTTGTGGTCAATCCGCTACCCACCAATGACACAATTAACCAGTTATCCGAGCGGTGTATGGTGAACCAGTTGAGGGTTTGGCCCACGGCTTGAATGAGAAGAAGAGAGCAAAACCCCTCCATGATGGTGATGATTGGAGTCGAATTTACCACGCAAAACTTCCAAACGTCAACTGGATTGAGTCGAGGTGATGGTTGTTTAGTGGAGTAATACGACAAGAAAAATGTGAGCAAGCTCGGTATAACAAAATGCTGGGTATAGTAAAGAAGCGACACCCACCTGAACCAACGAGACTTCTTTGTGATCATTCTGACTGTGGTAAGAACGAAATAAATACTGAAAAGCGTAAATGAGTAGCTTAACCCACAAGGTATTCCGCCCACATCAAAAGCTAAGGGTACAGTTAAAATCACGAGAGCCAAGTAGGCAAACGAAAAAAGTGCCTGGAGTGCACGCAGGGCACGCAGGGCCGTCATATTGTATTGGTGATTGGAAATTTCGATTTGTTCTTTTGCTTAAAAAGGTTTAAAATCACCCAGAAAAAATTGGGCAGAAACGCAAAGATTCAAAGAGTGCGCTTGGCGCTGTGAAGAAAAGCTGTGTGCGGAATCAGCACCTTCTATGATTGGTGGTAGAAGAATTAAATGAAGAATAAATAATCACCGAAACTCCTTGACGAGGATGTTTTTGCACACGACAGATGCAGGAGAGTGGCGCGTGCAGGAAAAAACCAGCGATGCCATCGCGAAATGCAGGATCTCATCTTGTCGTTATGAAGCGGATCCAGCGTAATGGTGACGGCGCCATGAAACGGCAGAAGCACGGCCGAAGAGAGTTGCGTGAAGTGAAGCGTACGCTGAGGCGTCTGGCAAAATCAGAGGATTTTAGCGGTGCTGAGGATGAAAATAATGGTGAAAACGAAACAGAGGTGGCCGTAAATAATTCTGAAAGTGGAGAACAAGAGGGCGTTGACGATACTGGAATGGCCTATAATGCATTATTGACGCTTTTGGGATCGGAGAAGCCCGAAAAACCAACTAAAAGACGTAAAAATGACGAAGCTGGTGTTGAGGAAATCAACGAGGATGACTTGGAAATTCACTTAACAAAGTCAGATGACGAGTCAGATGAAGAAAATGAACCCGAAGTAGCCAGCGATGACGAAGAGTCGGACGAAAAGTTCAATGCTTTCGATTTTCATTTCAATCAACCATCTGAAGACTACATGGAAAAGGCATCGCAGAGTGTAACCAGCAAATGGAATAACACTACAAAAGAAACAATTGACGAGTATGTTGTATCTACAAGCACCCCACTGTGTATGAACAAGGAATCCGTGAAACTTGGCATTTCCCTGATAAAAAAACGAGTTCGAGATGTCTATTCGGAGAAACACCCATCAAAGATTTCGGGCATTGATGCTTCACTTTTAGACTCAATGTTAAACTATAAGAGTGTTCTCTACCCCTACAAGCATTACAACAATACTTTCTACCGTGAGCTCTACTCTATGCATGCTATTAACCATGTTTTCAAGACAAGAGACAACATTTTGAAGAACACTGAAAAGATTAAACATGCCCAAGAAATGGCTCTTGAAGGTAAATCCCACGAAGACAAAGAATATAGAGACCAGGGGTTTACACGTCCAAAGGTTTTGATACTTTTACCAACGAGAAATGCTGCCTATGAAGTGGTTGAGAACATTTTAAAGTACTCTGGAAGCGAGCAACAAGAGAACAAAAAGAAGTTCAAAGCACAATTTAACAGTAATGATGTACCTCCAGAAACGAAACCTCAGGACTTTAGAGATGCTTTCAAAGGGAACAATAATGATTTCTTCTGTCTTGGAATGAAATTCACCAGAAAATCTGCAAAGTTGTACTCTTCGTTTTATTCATCTGACATTATAATTGCATCACCTCTTGGTCTTTCTATGATCTTGGAGAATCCTGACAAGAAAAAACGACAATACGACTTTCTTTCTTCGATTGAGGTATTTATCGTCGACAGAGCAACTCAAATCGAAGCACAAAATTGGGCTCATGTCAATCTTGTTCTCAAATATTTGAACAAAGTGCCCAAGGAATTCCATGATGCCGACTTCTCCAGAATCCGTATGTGGTACATTAATGACCAGGCACCATTGGTTCGGCAAACTTTGGTGTTCTGCGAGTATACCACTCCACCAATTACCAGTTTGGTGAGCTCCAAGAGTGTCAATATTGGAGGAAGAGTGCGGTACAAACCGATCTACACCTCGAAAAACTGTATTATGAACTCAATTGGTCTCCGTCTTAAACAAATATTTCAACGATTCAGCAGCTCATCACCAATGGAAGACTCCGAAAATCGGTTTAAATTCTTCATCAATTCGATGCTTCCATCACTCCTCAGTTCTACATCTTACAGTGATGGAATCCTAGTATACATCCCGTCATACTTTGATTATGTCCGCATAAAAAATTACATGAGAAATTCGACCAAATTCACGTTTGAAGGTATCGACGAATATTCTACCCAATCCAAACTCACCCGATACCGCCAGCAATTTATTAGCGGCAAGGTCAAGATTCTCTTGTATACCGAGAGACTCCACTATTTCCGAAGATTTGAAATTAATGGTGTAAAGACACTATTGATGTATGGAGTTCCTTCTAACCCACTATTTTACAAGGAGCTTGTAAGATGCATTGGAAAATCCGTTTTCAAGGAGGTGGCCGACATTGACCTTTCTTTCGTCAAGGTAATGTACTCTCAGTGGGATGCCATTGCTTTGGAAAGAATCGTAGGAGGAGACCGGGCACCGGTGTTGTGTAGCGGCACCAATGAGATGTATGAGTTTAGATAGACAACAAGGAATAGCACAGTAAATGGCAATAAAAGTATCGTTTAAGAATCATCTTGAATGGCTCTGCCTGTTTGAACTTTTCCCCATTTGTAGGCATTTTTCTTGTCTTTTCTGTTCAAGCTCGAAGATTATTGATCGCCATAATAAAGCATCCAATCGACATATAAGGGCTCAATCTTTCACCAATACGAGCAAACTTCCAAAAAACGCCGAGAGCTCCCGATTTATTGCGGTCGAGAAGCGAAGGATAAGTAGCATGGATATAGGTGCAAGTGCAAATGAGTAACAAAATGACTTGTAAAAGTGACTGAAAGTTGAAGAGTGCGGACTGGGTTAGATCTGAACAAGAAAAAAGGTTTCTTAAGGAGCTGCGTGGGCTGAAAAGTACTTACCATTATTAGTGTTGGTGGTATATAGTTGTCAGGATTCGCACTCATTTTGAGTTGTGGTGCACGGGTGTGATTCCGGGAATTTTGGAGGCTTGTTGTGAGTTTCTGGTCGAGGAGTATGGCAGATTATGACGACGAACCGTTCCAAATGGACGAAGAAGTGGATCTAGGAAGTCCGGAGCGGGAATTGAGTCTCACTGAAGAGTATTTTTCCCGAGATGGAACGTATATGGAAGAAAATGATATTCGACTAGCTTCGAAACCGGAACCTAAAGGCGCCAATTCCGGGCTGTATAAAGTGAGTGAAAGTGTGAATGATAATCCAGAGGAGTTGGCTCGTTTGCTTGCAGAGCGGCTTGGAAAAAATCCAGAAAAAAATGGTGAGGAAAGCACCGAATATGATGAAGATGCGGATGATAAACTCGATATTCAGAAACAAAAAGCTCTTGAAAATGAGTTTCGTGAAAAGAATATAGATTTACGGGCGCAAGAGGTGACTCCGCCAGAGAATTTTGCCCCGGTTATCAACAATATTTACCGATCTTCGTTTCCTCAGATTCACAGTTTTTCATTTCTTCGAACGTTAAAATTGAAGTCAATTCTTTGTTTGATCCCTGAAGAATACCCACAAATGCACAAAGATTTTTTTGAAGAGGAAGGAATCAAGCTTTTTCAAATGGGAATGTCAGGAAACAAAGAACCGTTTGTAAAAATTCCACCAGATTTGGTGACGGAAGCCGTCAAGGTGGTGCTTGATCCACGCAACCAACCCATACTAATTCACTGCAATCGAGGGAAGCATAGAACCGGGTGTTTGGTGGGGGTTATACGACGATTGCAACGGTGGCTGTTGACGATTATTTTTGACGAATATCGTAAATTTGCAGCTCCTAAGGAACGACCAATGGACCAACAGTTTATTGAATTGTACAATGAAACCGAGATTGAGAGATACGCACATGAACACGGGTTGCTTCCGCTTCAGTGGGATGATGAGGCTGGGCTCTAATCGGTATTGGGAGACTAATCGATAGACTGATCGGCTGGATATTGCATTCTACATGAACACTAATCTACTTCTAAACATTCTCCATATTTTTGACCTACGACTGTTTGGTCATATTTATATACTAGAAACTAAGCATCATGAATATTACTTATTCAATACTCCACTAAAATTTTGTCTCCTTTCTTGAACACCAGTCTTTATCTGTCCGTCGAATAGTAATCACTACCTTATATCAGCAAGTTATTTTAATAGTCTATTCAGCACTTTGATCTACGTCTTTTGCCCCAATGGCTCAATTTTAGACCAGTTCTCTACTTTTTCTACTCATAAACCATTTCCATTTAATTCTTTTTCTTTTCATTTTTTTTCTTTCCATTGTTTTATGGCCAGAAAAACTTGCGCCCATAGATCCCAGCATTTCCGGTCGCAAGCACCGCCAACGCTAATGGCGAAAAATGGCCTCGGAATACACTTTTGAGCGACGACCGGCCGTTGACAAGAACGTACAATGTCGACCATGCAAATGAAAAACCAGCACCATTGGTGATGTCTCCGTCGTAGGTTATGTAACCACCAAGCAAGTGAGCAGCCCCAAATGTCAAACATGTGGCTCTAGAAGGCTTTTCGAGCGCCATAGCTACGCTGGTTTTGTAAGAACCTCCAGATCCGAGGTTCAGAGGAAGTGGCTTAGAGCCACCAATGCTCTTTGCAAGTAATGCACCGGAAAGCAACCATGCTGGAAACGGCGACTCGCCCTGGCGGTTAATGGTGTCGGCGTTGGGAATTGGAAGGGAAATCATTTGTTGCTGGAGGTGGTGCAATTTGGTGAAATTTGTTATGAAGTGGAGTGCACACAAGCCCTACGAAAGTTGCTGTTCTTAAATCAATTTACTAATATACACCTAATACCACATATAATCTCTAAGATCTCTCACCTCTCAATCTTCTGGCCAATTGGATGTCCTTCTTTTGGATAGTGACTCTCTTGGCGTGGATAGCACACAAGTTGGTGTCTTCAAACAAGGAGACCAAGTAAGCTTCGACGGATTCTTGCAAAGCACCGATAGCAGAAGATTGGAATCTCAAATCGGTCTTGAAGTCTTGAGCGATTTCTCTAACCAATCTTTGGAATGGCAACTTTCTGATCAAAAGTTCAGTGGACTTTTGGAATCTTCTAATTTCTCTCAAGGCAACGGTACCTGGCTTATATCTGTGGGGCTTCTTGACACCTCCAGTAGATGGAGCGGACTTTCTGGCAGCCTTAGAAGCTAATTGCTTTCTTGGGGCCTTACCACCAGTAGACTTTCTTGCTGTTTGCTTAGTTCTAGCCATGATAAACTGATAACTAAAAAAAATGCGAGGGGTGTAAGTGGTGTTTTTATAATCAAGGTGTGTTTATTTTTCTTGCAGTATGTCACGGTACCAATATCGCGCCCACAACAACGCTTCCGTTACCGCGCGCAGCCTAAAACTGGAGAGAAGCCAGCTTGTGTGCCGTCCGCGCGCCTCAATCTGGCGTCTCGCGGGGTGAAAAGTGCCTGGTTGTGGTGCTGCGATTTACCGGACCTCGCGCACGTTTCAGCACGGCTTTGCGAACGCTTCGCGATCGCTTCGCGGACAGTTCGCGGTGCAGCGGTAGGTGGTGCGGCTCTCGCCAGGTTGCAAACAAACAACACCAAAAATCTCTATATAAAGAGGCAGCCGGTGCGCTTTTTCAGTATTCACACAAATATGTCTGGAAGAGGAAAAGGCGGAAAAGGATTAGGAAAGGGTGGCGCTAAGCGTCACAGAAAGATCTTGAGAGATAACATTCAAGGTATCACCAAACCAGCTATCAGAAGATTGGCTAGAAGAGGTGGTGTTAAGCGTATTTCTGCTTTGATTTACGAAGAAGTCAGAGGAGTTCTTAAGACTTTCTTGGAGAATGTTATCAGAGATGCTGTTACTTACACTGAGCACGCCAAGAGAAAGACTGTTACTTCTTTGGATGTTGTTTACGCTTTGAAGAGACAAGGTAGAACCTTGTACGGTTTCGGAGGTTAGTATTGTACTACTAGTGTATATTAGAATATATTTGGAGAGAAGAAAGTGTAAATCGAGCTCGAGCTGTGTCAACAGCTCGATGATCGATGGCAGTCTATTATTTGATTTATATTACTATTGATCGCTAGTCTATTCTGTGGATCATACTACAGTGGATTGATCGCTATAGTTAATATTATTACAGGCGATATTGCGACTTATACATTTGATGAGCATGCTTTCTTTAGCAACTTCCTTCGCGTTGCTCAGGAAGTTGAACCCGTGGCCGCTCGCAACAATTCCAAATCATCATTAAGCTCCTCCGGCTTGAGTCCCTGCGGCCCCACAAACTGCTTATGTGCAGCGCGCGAACTCACTTTGGCCGGTTCCGGGTGGTCCAACATTACCAACGAGGCACCGCCATCGTCATTGTTCATGATAAGTTTATTGAGTGTGTCGTAGTCCTTGTCGCTCAAATTGCTATCGTTCCCACTGCTGGCGGCTACAGCATTAGTTTTTCCTCCTGCCGCAGAAGTCATTCCAGAAGACTCATCATTGGAAGAATAACGAGTAGCATAATGCCGTCGCCTTTTGCCGGAAGCAGAGATGTAACCAGCCGCCGCCGAGGTGCCGCCACTTCCACCGTCGCTGAGATATTCTGCCTCGCCAGCGGTAAATTTCGACGACAATTCGCGCTTTCGGAGCAGTCGCCGATCGCCGATGGTAGCGGCCGCCGCCGTGAGAGCAGCGGTTGTGGCAGCCAGTTCGGCATTCTGTGTGGACCACGAGCTGGCATTGACGAGATTGAGAAGAAGTTTTTCCTCTTTAAGCTGCTTGATTTGCCGTTGCATTTTATCGTAAAGTTTCTCTTTGATTAATCTGATCATATTGTCTCGATTGGTGTTGGCTCGTATTACGTCGTTTTGGTACTCTTGTTCCACCATTTTCACCTGGTACTCTTCCCAGAGCCGTAACCGAAGAAGCTCGTAGTCTCTCTGTTCTCCAAATGCTGTCCATTCCACTTGGAGATCGGCATCGGTGCCTTGTTGAAGAGTGGCAAGTTTTGTCTGAAGATTATGAAGCAACCCTCGGTAATAACTGTCGCTTTCGGCCTCGAAAAGGTACTCTAGCTTATGGAGGCGCGAGCTGATTTGGTGCTTTCGTTTGTCACGTTTGCTGAGATCTGTGTTAGGGATGAAGAAGATGGGGAATTGAACACAGCCTAAAAAGAAGGATTGGAGTCTCGGGAAAGAGTATGTTGTTCTTTGGGACGTGGGGATGCTGTGGGTTCAGTTTGTGGAAGGGAGACGTGGTATTACTTACTTTCGGCATTGCCGTTACGCTTGTAGTCTTCCATGAAGATGAAAGAGATGCGCGAATGTCGTGAATGGGAAGAGCGAGCAAGAGGTGTAGGGAGTGCGAATGGGAGAATAGCGAAAATAGCGAGCGGTGTCGGGGAGTGCGATTAGTGCGATTAGGGAGGAATAGCGAGCGGTGTTAGGGAGTGCGAATGGGATGGTTCGGGAAGCGGTACCCGATAGCGAGGAATAGCGAGAGGTGTTGGGAAGTGGCACCGCTGCGGCTCCCTATTTATTCGCACCCATTCTTTCTTCTTCTTCATCTTCATGGACTACTCTTCCCTCCCATTCGCTGACGGCGACTTGCCAACACAAATTACCGAGCCAATATGCTTCCAGCTCAAAAAGGATGGCCGTTCCGTTACGCTTCTTCCCGTACATGACCCCAAAGTGGTTCCAAATGGTCTCATCGAGACTCTTCGCGATGAGTTCAATTACATTATAGAAGAAGGATTAACGTACCCATACCACCAAAAAATGGACCACGACAAGTTTGTGAGCTACTGGTTTCAAAGTTTCGCTGCAATTCTTCTAGAGGGAACTTATAGTAGTTGGAAAGATGTTCCCAACGGAAATTGGAGTGAACTCTTTTTGGGCACCTTTTATGTGAAACCCAATTATTTGGGTAGATGCTCTCATGTATGTAATGCTGGTTTTGTAGTGGCCCATGCTAAGCGAGGACTTGGATTAGGAAGGGAATTGGGAGCCAAGTATCTTGTTTGGGGACCTCAATTGGGTTATGCGTACTCAGTATTCAATCTTGTTTTCGAGACCAATGTTGCAAGTATGCGAATTTGGGACTCGCTTGGATTTGAGAAGATTGGGTATGTGAAGAATGTAGCAGCACTCAAGGGAGTTAAGGGATTGGTGGGAGCGTACATGTATGGAAAGAGTTTCCAGGGTGAAGACGAAGAGACAAAATAGGGAGAGATAGAATAGATTAATAGACTTGGGCTTGTAGCAAAAAAGTAAGCTAGATGGTAAGTGAATTGTGACTCAGTGTCGGGTCCAGTAGAATTGGGTCTTTGTAGGGACTGCGTTTGTAGCGACTGAGTATTTAGGGACTGGGTATTTAGAGACTGAGTAATTACTGGAATAGTAATTATTGGAATAGTAATTACTGGAATAGTAATTACTGGAACAGTAACTACTGGAACAGTCTGCGAAATTCATTTACTCTAGCATGAACAACAGCCACTATGAGACTGGCTACATTAGCTTGTTTGACTGGTGACTACTAGAGACCAGTAACACTAGAGACCAGTGATTAAAGACTAGTGATTAAAGACTAGTGACTGGGTCACTAAGGATAGGTGGCAACTGTTAGTAACTATTCTTACTACTGATTCCATTTTTACCCAGTCTAGGTGGCAGTGACTTGAAATCATTGACTTCTACTAGAAGTACGGTGACTACTCGTGACTGCTAGTGGCCAGTGACCACTAATCCAATGGTTACTATTGACTATCCAATACTTTAAGTCACTCTAGGTACTTTGGTACTTTATGTACTTTATGTACTTTGGTACTTTGGTACTTCTGTACTTCTGTACTGATGGCATTCTGCTATTTTATCGAGTCACTTGGTTCTCTCACTTGGTTCACTCGATGGCTCGCTGCGCTCGCCGCGCTCGCCAAGTAAGTTCGCACGCCTGTTTTCATTCCACGATATACTCATTCCCCTATCTACATGGCAGCCGAGTACGACGAAGACCTTCCTGCGAACCAGTTCCGCCACCTAGAATACCCGCCGTCCATCATCGACAGGTATACGGTACTCCTAAAAGATGGTGAAACCACCGCTACCATTTATCCTATTCATTCTCCAACAGATCTTCCACCAGGACTTTTGGCATTTCTTTGTGATGAATTCAATATGGAAATCGAACGAGGTGACACGTCTCCGTTCTTCGATACGCTCGACATGAACCAGTTCCAGCAATACTGGTTTGGTTCTTTTGGTGCCGTGATGATTTTGGGCGATGCGCCCGCATTGGAAGGGCCTCGCCAGTGGGAAAAAGAGTGCTTGGGAACGTTTCTGGTGAAACCAAACTATCCGGGCCGGTGCTCCCATATATGTACTGGGTCGTTTTTGGTAAACGCAGGAATCCGTGGTAAGGGAATTGGACGTACTTTGACCGATTGCTTTCTCCAATGGGCTCCGCGTTTGGGGTACACTTATACGATTTTCAACCTTGTATTTGAAACGAATGTGCCTGCTCGTCGCATATGGGAGCTGTTCAACTTTAAACGGATCGGTCGTATCAAACTGGCGGGAATTTTGAAAGGACATGAACAGGCAGTCGATGCCATAATGTATGGGCGCGAACTTATCACCAATTCGGATCCGGCCGTTGGGGCTTACCGGTTCGACAAAATCAAATTTTACTTGGAAACAGGCCGGTACCCTGCCATGGCTGATCGCCAGGAAAAGAGCAGGTTGCGACTGCTGGCTCTGCATTATCGATTGGAAAATGGAAAGTTGATGCTTAAAGGCCGAGAGGTGATTCTGGACCCAGAGCGCCAGTTGCAAATTTGCACCGATGTCCACATGACCAACCACGGTGGAATTAACAAGACTACGTCGGTGGTGGCCGAAAAATATCATTGGACTCGTATCAAGGACACCGTAGCTGCCGCCATCAAAAACTGTCCTGAGTGCCGTGATATCGGCAAGGACCCTCAAATTGTCAAACGTCAACCTCCACGCAAACCAGCAAATCATCCTCTCTCCCGTAAAGGCATCAAAATGCTTCTGACCCAGCCCAATAATCCCAATGCTCGTCATATGCTTCGTCGCCGTGATGACGTCGATATGTCACTTCCTGGAAACGAAGCACTTTTGTCCCACGACTTGCTGGGATTGGATGACAACATCATGGCTGCCGTGGAAGCTGCACAGAGATCGCATCATAATGGCCAAAATTCAAATTCTCACCCATCGTACGCAGCAGCTGCTGCTTCTGCTGTTTCTGGAGATTCCGATTACCACCAGTATCTGCACGATTATCTGGCCGAGTACCAAACTGATGGTCGCCTGGACAAGGACAGAAACCCCAATATACCTGTGGACCCTGAAGTGAGCGCCTTTGATCATGTCGATAGCGGAGGAGACGAGATTGAAATTGCCCGTGCGTTGATCCAAGCCAATGAGGATGTGCCAGAAAAGAGAGAGGGATGGGACTGATGTAAAATAATGTATAATAGGAATGTAGTTGAGCTAAGTGGAAGTAAAGACTGTTGAACTCAAACGTTATTGTAGTATTTCAATTACTAAATGAATCTTGATTAAATTATCATATAATCACTAAATGAATCTTGATGAAGTTATCATTGATTAACTAGATGAATCTTGATGAAGTATCATTGATTAACTAGATGAATCTTCGAATGATTAACTGCTAATCGATTATGGATTAGATTATTTTTTAGTTTATGAATGAATCGATTAAATCATCTTATAACAAAATGAATCGATTACATTATTACTATATGAAACTTTGATTAAATTATCTTTATGATTAACTTTATGAATCTGGATTAAACTAATATGATTATCATTTTATAATTACTTAACGAATCTTGAATTAAATATAATAAGTAAATGAGTATTTGATTAAATTATTTCATGATCAACTAAATGAATATTTGATTAAATCCTCATGATTAACTAAATGAATCTTGATTGAATTATCTTATAAACTCTAAATGAATGTTTGATGAAATGTATTTTTCAATTGAATAAATCTTTGATAAATCTTCTTGTAATTAATAAATGATTCTCTGATTGAACTATCCTATAAACGCTAAATGATCTTGATTAAATCATTTAAAGTTACTAACTGAATCTTGATTAAACCATTCACAATTACTAAATGAATCTTATTAAATATCTTATGATTATCTTTTACTAAATGAATTTTAAATGAATCTTTAAATGAATAATGTATCGGTCAATTCACTTTCGGTATCTCCCCAAACACCTCAAGCTAAAAATCAACTCCGATAACCATGGCCAAGAGAGCCATTCTAACAAACAATCCATGGCGCATTTGTCTAAAGTAGGCTGCACGCTGGTCGAAATCAACTTCTTCGCTGATCTCGTTGGTTCTTGGCAATGGGTGCATCACACACATGTGCTGCTTGGCGTAAGAAAGAATCTTGTTGTTGACAATGTAGGTATCTTTCAACCGGTGGTACTGTTCTTTGTCAGCAAAACGTTCTTCCTGAACTCTAGTACAGTACAAAACATCGGAACGAGCTATCAAGTCTTCGGTAAGAGCTTCGGACTCAGACACCAACATGCCGTTTTCAACCAACATATCCTTGATTCCCTTGGGCAAAGATAACTCTTTAGGAGAAACCAATTGCACTCTCACCTGGTAGTGACGCAACAAATGGCACAAGGAATGGACTGGACGACCGTATTTCAAGTCTCCCATGAAAGTGACAGTGATTCCATTGACGGTTCCCAACTCTTCACGAATGGTGAAAAGGTCAAGCAAGGCTTGGGTAGGATGTTCTCTCGAGCCGTTTCCACCATTGATGATAGGAACTGGTGAGTATTTTGCAGCAATAGAAGCTGAAGACTCTTCTGGGTGTCTCAATACAATGGCATCAGAATAGCAAGCCAAGGTTCTGATGGTATCTTGAAGAGTTTCGCCCTTTTTGATGGACGAAGAGCCAGCGGAAACCGCCAAAACTCTTCCTCCTAATCTTTGCATGGCAGCATCGAATGAAGATGAGGTTCTGGTGGAAGGTTCGTAGAACATGGTAGCCAACAATCTGCCCTTTAAGAGGTCCAACACACCCTGTCTCTTGACGGCAGATCTCATTTCTTGGGCCACAGTGAACAAACTGTGTAAGTCTGATCTGGAAAAGTCACTGACAGACAACACCGAGTTGCGCAAGAAACTGTTGTGGTTTCGAATATAATCGGCTAAAGCATTAAATTCACCCAACGAGCCGGCTGGGGGTTGCGATACAAGTTCTGAGCCCAACTTTTCAAATTCAGACTCGTTGGAGTCCTTGTAAACCGAAGGTCTTCTGGTATCAAATGACATTCTAGCCTTTCTGTTTAAAGCTGGAGAAGCTGGAGTGGTGGTGGTGGCTGTGAAACGGGCTCTTGGGGTAACCTCGTTCTTTCCAAGAGCATGTTGAACAACAGAAGCTCCGTCCAAGCAAACTGTTTGGTTGTGAACCGAAACTCTCTCGACAAAACCAACCAATTTGCGGTTGGTGAGAGCATTTTCCACCTTCACAACTCTGTCCAAATCGAGCTCCACAGTTGCATCTTGCTTTGGAATGTTGAAAATCTTTACTGGATTGTCGTGGAAACGAGAAACAATGTCCTCCAACTTGAGACGCTTTTCCTTGACGGCGGAAAGCAACAAAGGAAGAACCTCCGAAATTCCCAAGCCAGCAGTGATGGAACGGTTAGCTGCCTTGTTGATAACATATGGTAAAACTCCAATGGAGAAACAGTCCACATCCACCAAATTCTGCCATAAAGCATCCTGGTCGTTCTTGGTGGGCAAGAAGCTGTACTGTGGGTACTCTTCACGGTTCATGAACAACGAGTGAACAGCAACGTCGCAGGTGACCTGAAGCTTCTTTTCCTTGGCCATTCTGATCAAGTTCAAGTCCTCTTGCGAAGAAACTCCGGTGATGTGGATTGAGCGGGTATGCAATGAAGCCAACAACAAGACTGAAGCCAAATCGGTGGCCTTGGCATCGGTGATAATTGGCTTGGACTCGGGCCATGAGGCAAAGTGCGACGAAATAGCCGACACTTTGGAGTTGGCAAAGTCGTTAAATGGCAAGAACAAAGCACCGGCATTTTGTTCTGCTTGAGATGCTTCTTCGGAATTGCTTTCTGAGCCAGCAATGGACATTGAAAAGTCGGTGAATGCATTTTCTGAAGCACTTTCTATAGCCTCGAGCAAAGATTCGGAATCCACAATGGTGGAGCCCTCGATGGTTTGCGGCAAAAACGCATTGTGGGTGAATCCTGCCGCCAAAGAAGCCTTGGTAGTGGCTTCAAAGTCTTCAAAAGAAGGCACAAAAGACGTAATGTTGACCAAACCAGGAATAACCGCCGTGTTGTGTGAGGTTTGAGCATCGTTGTTGGAGACGTCCAAAGTGATGTTTCTAGCAAGTGCCTCAATCAACAACTTGGCACACTTGACATTGGTCACCAAAGGAATCGAGTAGTCAATGGCCATACGACGAGACTCGTATCCCTTCGACATGTACGAAGCGGGTCTTCTGAATCTGTTGGAAGAAGGCAAGTTGATGTACAAATCGATCAAGTTGTTGGCAAGATGCTGGGTCAACGAGTATTCGGATTTCTGGTCATCTTGGGATCCAAGAACTTCCAAGTAGTGGACAGGGACGCCGTGCTCTTTGATAAAGTCAGCGGTACCAGAAGTAGCAAATAACTTGTAGCCCAACTCGTGAAGTTTTTGAATCGAAGGTAACAATTCTTGCTTTTCTTTGTAGGAACCAATGGAGAAAAGAATGTTCTTTTTGGGCAATTTGAACCCGGTGGAAATCAACGACTTCAAGTAGGCTTCGTACTTGTTGTGACCAAACGTAGCCACTTCACCAGTAGAAGCCATTTCCACACCCAAAACAGGATCGGCACCAGCCAATCTTGAAAATGAAAATTGTGGAACTTTAACGGCACAGTAATCGCTGGGCAATTTTTCTCCAGGGTATGGAGTAACTGGCATGTCCATGATAGCCTTGGTAGCCAACTCAATCAAATCTGTTCCCACAACCTTGGAAATGAATGGGAACGAACGAGAAGCACGAACATTACATTCAATCACCTTGATCTCATTATCCTTGGCAATAAACTGGATGTTATAAGGTCCAGTGATATCAAGAGCTTTACCAATTCTGGCGGTCGCTTCCACAATTCTTTCAACAGTAGCTGGGTCCAAGTCTTGAGGTGGAACAATCAAAGTAGCGTCACCAGAATGAACACCAGCGTTCTCCACATGCTCGGAAACAACGTGCATTATCATCTTACCGTCCTTAGCCACGGCGTCCATTTCAATCTCTTTGGCGTTCTCAATGTACTTGGTGATCACCACAGGATAGTCGGGAGAAACGTCCACGGCTTGGGTCAAGTACGAAGCCAAATCGTCACGAGAGTAAACTGTGTTCATGGCAGCTCCAGACAAGACATATGAAGGACGAACAAGAACTGGATAGGTGACCTTTTCGGCAAACTCCTCGGCTTCTTCGATCGAAGTAAGTTCTTTCCATGCTGGTTGGTCGACGCCAATCTTGTCCAACATTCTCGAGAACTTGTATCTGTTTTCAGCCGAGTCAATCATCTCTGGAGAAGTACCCAAAATCTTGACGTTTTGGCGATGCAATGGCAAGGCAATATTGTTACTTGTTTGTCCACCCATGGAAATAATCACACCAGAAGACTGTTCCAAGTCGTAGATATCCAAAACTCTCTCCAAATTGATGGTTTCAAAGTACAATCTGTCGGCTTCGTCGTAGTCTGTCGAAACGGTTTCTGGGTTGTAGTTGATCATAATGGTCTTGGTGCCGTTTTCACGCAAGGTTCTGATGGCTCTAACGGCACACCAGTCGAATTCCACCGACGATCCAATACGGTAGACTCCAGAACCCAAAACAATTACTCCGTGCTCGTCGAAAGTCACATCTGAAGAGTCGGCGTTGTAGGTGATGTACAAGTAGTTGGTGAAGGCAGGGAACTCGGCAGCAACCGTATCGATTTGCTTGACGAAAGGCACCACACCAGCTTCCTTTCTCACTCTTCTGACAGCGACTTCATTGGAGTTCAAAAACTTGGCAATTTGTCTGTCTTCGAAACCCAACTGCTTGGCTTGTCTCATGATGGTAACTGGTAAAGCGTCGGTAGATCCATAGGAAGCAATCAAGTTTCCAAATTCAATCAAACCGTTCAATTTGTTCAAAAACCACTTGTCGATGTTGGTGAGTTTCCAAACCTTGTCGACGGTGTATCCATCAGATAAAGCATTGGCAATTGCAAACAAACGCTGGTCCGAAGGGGTCTGCAATTCGGTGTCTATGTCGATCGACATCAACGCAGAAGTCTTGTTGAAACCCAAATTGTGGTAATCTGTGGATCTAATAGCCTTTTGAATGGCTTCTTCGAATGTTCTACCAATAGCCATCACTTCTCCCACCGACTTCATCGACGACGACAACAACGACGACACTCTGGTGAACTTCTTCAAGTCCCATCTGGGGATCTTGACCACCACGTAGTCCAAAGAAGGCTCGAAACAAGCACAGGTGGACCTGGTGACGGAGTTGCGAATTTCGTTCAATGGAATGTTCAAACCCAACTTGGCCGCAGTGTAAGCCAATGGGTAACCGGTGGCCTTGGAAGCCAAAGCAGAAGAACGAGACAATCTAGCATTGACCTCGATAATACAATAATCCTTGGAAAATGGGTTCAAGGCGTACTGGATGTTACACTCACCAACAACCCCCAAGTGTCTGATGACATTGACAGCGGTGGTTCTCAACATGTTGTAGTCCTCGTCAGACAAAGTTTGCGAAGGTGCAACCACAATCGAGTCACCGGTGTGGATCCCCAAGGGATCAAAGTTCTCCATGTTACAAACGGTGATACAGTTGTCGAAAGCATCACGAACAACTTCATATTCAACTTCTTTCCATCCTTTCATGGATCTTTCCACCAAAACTTGCGGAGAAGTAGCAAATGCCTTGTTACAAAGAGCCACCAATTCTTCTTCGTTGTCAGCGAATCCGGATCCCAAACCACCCAAAGCATAAGCAGCTCTGACGATCAATGGGTAGCCGATTTCATTGGCGGCTCTGATAGCTTCGGACACGCTTTCAACAGCTTCAGAACGAGCACATTTTTCGCCGATTTCTTCCATGGCTTGAGCGAACAATTCTCTGTCTTCGGTGGTAATAACAGTGTCGATAGGAGTACCCAAAACCTTGACTCCCAAACCTTCAAATTCCTCCTTCAATTTGATACCGACGTTCAACGCAGTTTGTCCACCAAAAGTACAGTAGATACCATCGGGACGCTCGTGTTGGATAACCTTTCTCACGAATTCGGGAGTCACTGGCAAGAAATAAACCTTGTCTGCCAACCCGCGAGAAGTCTGAATGGTTGCAATGTTGGGGTTAATCAAAACGGTGTAGATTCCTTCTTCTTTCAACGCCTTGATAGCCTGCGAACCCGAGTAATCGAACTCTCCAGCTTGACCAATCGACAAACCACCAGAACCCAAAACCAACACTTTTTTGACTTCAACCTTAGGATGGGCTGCTCTGTTGGTAGCCAAGTCTCCACCAGGAAACTCCACTGCCTTGTGGACCCCGGACTTGGTGAAGTCTACCACCGACTGGATGAAAACATCAAACAAAAATTCGGTGTCTCTTGGACCTGGGGTGGATTCAGGGTGGAATTGCACCGAGAAGTATGGCTTGGTTTCGTGGTAAATACCTTCGTTGGAGCCGTCGTTGGCGTTGACAAACAACTCTTTCCATTGAGGAGCCAAAGTGTTGGAATCGACGGCATAACCGTGGTTCTGAGATGTGATGTAACATCTGCCCGAAATTCTCGAAGTACATGGAATATTGTGACCACGGTTACCAAACTTCAACTTCAAAGTAGAGGCACCAGTGGCACGGGCGAGCAACTGATGTCCCAAACAGATACCAAACACTGGAGTTTTTCCTTCTTGAAGCACTTTTTTCAAGTGAGAAACGGTTTTGGTCATCACGGCTGGATCACCAGGACCGTTGGAAACGAACAAACCATCGTACTTTTCGTTGGTAAAGTCGTAGTCCCAGGGAACAACCTTCAACTCGACACCTCTTCTCACGAAACATCTAATTTGGTTGAATTTCAAACCCACATCCACGGCTAAAATTCTAATTGGTTTTCCATCTTTGCCAAGTTTGACCTCCGACAAAGGTGATGGAGCATAGGTAACGGGTTCCTTGGTAGACACCTCAGCCACCAAGTTTTTGACGTTGGGATCGTCCCATTCTGGAACTGAAAAGTTGGTTTTCCAGTCACCAGAGTAGGCCAAAACTTCAGTGGAAGAAATGGAGTCGTTTTGCAAAGCCAATCTTCCCAAAGTTGAACCTTTTTCTCTCAATCTTTTGGTCAACGAACGAGTATCCACACCGTAAATGGCAGGAACTCCTTGCTCTTTCAACCATTGACCCAAAGACGATTTAGCAAGCCAATGAGAATACTCTTCAGTATAGTGCGCAACCACCAAACCAGCAATATGAATTCTAGACAGCTCAAAATACTTGGGGAGTTGAGGAACATCTTCATCCTTCAAATTGCGGTCGGGAACACCATAATTACCAACCAACGGATAGGTGATAACCAAAATTTGACCCTCATAAGATGGGTCAGTGATGGACTCAGGGTAGCCCACCATACCAGTTTGGAACACCACTTCACCAGCAGCGGTCACGGGAGCACCAAATGAGTAACCCTGCAAGGCAATTCCATCGTGGGTCTCCAAAGTCATCAAGCGGTCACCGCAAGCTTCCTTCATGGGGGGAGTAATTGGAGCTGAAAGCGACATGATGTATGACCTGTAATGTAGTACTTTATCTAAGGGGAGTATCGATGGGGAGATTCAATACTATGAGTAATAAAGACCAACTACTGCCTGCTGTTAGTTACTGAGAAATGGAAATTCGCACTGCGAATGCTATGAGCAGAATCGAAATCATGAGCACAAATGAGCACAAAGTGATGCAAAAGTGATGAGCACACGAGATGAAAATTGCCAAAAAGTAAAGTGGCAAAATGTACTAGAAGGTTCAGAGAGTTATAGAGCACTACACTCTCTCACCAACACTTACTTTTTGATCACCGGGAAGTGGCTGAAAATGTTGATGAGAGAGAAGAGAGAAGAGAGAGAAAAAGAATCCGCGCCGAAATCACAAGTTTAAATAGATGGCAGAATTTTTTCGCGATGAGACTACGTCAGTGATGGTGCATGTGGTGTCTGGGTGGGTGCACTGGGTGCCATCTCAAGGCAAGGGAAAAGAAAAGAAAATGAAATAAACAGGTTCTGAAGTGCTGTGCGTAATCTGTTTGGTGAATTGCAATTGAGCAATACTATATTTTCACAAATTTTCATCTCTCATTTCTCATTTTTCAATTTTTCATTTTTCCAAAAATATCAATTTTCAAAAATATGCAATTGGTTGAATTAGCGTATAAATTCTCCAGACTCTCCTACTTCAGCTGCTCATACTCCTTTTATCTTTTCATTTCTCTTCTCTCTACTTCTCTTTTCTCTTTTCTTCTTTCCCCACTTCTCTTCCGGCTCCGAAAAGGCCGAGATCCGGCCCTCCGCACTTCAGCCGCACGCCAATGTGTCATATCTACTCCGATATATATAAATGCCGGCCCCGCGATTTGCTACAAAACTACATATGGTTGTCTCATAGATTCTTTCATTACTTTTTATTTCTTGATGACCACTCATTCGTTGTCATCTTTAGAGTCCGATGACATCTCTCACCCCAACTACCACGAGGCTATTCCCATAGAACTCAGTAATGTGGCAGATGAAGCGGTATCTCGACAAATCTCGAGAATCCAGTCACGACGGTCTTCGGCTTCAAAAATAAGTGAGGTTTCGGAAGAACATTCGGAACCACCATATGCATCACAATCTGCACAAAAATCGGATGATCTCGAAAATGCTGCAGGAGTTGATGCTGCAAAGACAAAGACTCGAGAGTCGATTTCTAACAACGCCAACTTTACTCGGTTTTCCGAGTCCAAGAAAAACTTGTGTGTTGTTATCGCGGCGTCATCAGGGTTTCTTTCTCCTCTTTCCGGGTTGGCATTTTTACCAGCAGTGCCAGAAATTGCTGCAAGATTCAATACCACCGGAGAAGTTATCAATATTTCCAGTGCAGTATATTGCGTTTTCATGTCACTTTCACCATGCATTTTCTCTCCTATCTCCGATATTTACGGCCGGAGAATTACGTTTTTGGTATGTGCTTTCTTGTTTTCGGTATGCACGATTTTGGTGGCCGTTTCGGTGAATCTCACCATGTTTTACATTTTTAGATCGTTGACAGCACTTTTTGGAACTTCCTTTTTTAGCATTGGGGGCCATATTGTTGGAGACTTGTATCCTCCGGTTCGTCGGGGAACTTATATGGCATGGATTATTTCCGGAGCACAACTAGGAACCGCATTTGGTAGTGTTGGCGGAGGAATTATTGTCAATTATACGTCGTGGAGAATTATTTTTTGGGTCCTTGCAGGCATAGGATTCGGAGTATTTGTTCCAGCATTCATATTTTTGCCGGAAACTCTGGCACAAACCCGGCATCAATTGGTTCTTGAAGAAATTCATAAAGATAATCCGGGGAAAAAATTTGTTTGGATTCCTATTAATCCTTTCAGCGTTATGGGAGCACTCAAGTATCCCAATTTGGCCATTGACGGCTATATCACCATTACAATTTTGTTTACAATGTACTCGCTTCTCACACCTATTCGGTATGTGGTGGATCCTCGGTTTCATTTGGAGAAACCTATCTATAGTGGGCTATTCTATTTGGCTCCAGGGATGGGGTTTCTTGTTGGAAGCTTTTTTGGAGGAAAATGGGCCGACTCGGTGGTGAAAAAATGGATTGCTAAAAGAGGAAAACGGGTTCCGGAAGATCGAATTCGGCAGGTGATTATTCCGCTCGGAATAGTTTATCCGGTATCGATATTAATCTATGGCTGGTCCATTGAAAAGGCTAAGGGAGGCATGGCGGTGCCAATAATCTTTATGTTTCTATGTGGAGCTGCGCAGGTGTGTATTTTTCCGGCAATTAATGTGTACTGCGTCGATTCTATGCCGCAAATTGGTGGTCTGGCCATCGCCAGCAGCTATTTTACCCGATATTTGGCGGCAGCAGTTGCGTCTGCAACTTGTTTGAGGAGCGTAGAACGCATAGGAGTCGGATGGACATGCACAATTAGCGCATTTGTGCTCTGGAGTGGACTTGGGTGCGCATTGGTGCTCATTTATTATGGTGAAAGTATGCGAGAAAAAGCTGTAAAGAAGCAGGAGAGAAAGAAGTCCAAAACCAACAGTAGCTAAATTCAAATAACACAATAATCAAGAACAAATATACAAAAACTCAATTTTTCAGCGCCCGTTGGGCGCATCGTGGCTGGGCACCCAAACACCGCGGCTGTTGAAGTTTGAGTAGCTTTGCTTCAGAAATATTTTACTCCCCATTTCCCGGCCTAATACCCACTTCTAGTCGCCATGGCTTGGTTTCCAAGCAGACTCCGAGTCCACCAGCCGGAAACACCATTAGGAATGGCAGTGCGTAACTTTATAAGCAAGGTGGCTCTGGCTCTTTACCCATACGTTTCATTCGTGATTCCCAATTTCAAAGCTGCTCACTACACGTATATCATATTCTGGGTGTTTTTGGGGCTGGTGTTGATGTACCCGGTCCACAACATGCGGTATATTGACGTTTTGTTCTTGAGTGGAGGAGCTTCGACCCAGGCTGGTCTCAACACTGTTGACATCAATAACATCAAATTGTACCAGCAAATCATAGCGTATCTCGTGACGATGGTGACGACGCCCATCTTTATCCACGGTTCGTTGTTGTTCTGGCGGCTTTTCTTTTTTGAGCGGTATTTTGACGGAATAAAAGAACGGCTGAAACTCGACTTTAAGATGCGACGAAATGCCACTTTGGCGGCCCGGACCCGCACAAACGAGTCCACAAGAAATACCGGCACCGACTCGTCTCGAAACGCTGGTACTACAAGAGTGAATACTCCTATTACGAGTGTTGATCCTACGGAAAAATCTGCTCATGAACCGAACCACGGAGAAACTTCGTTGCCTTCTTCTGAGTCCACCGGAAACGCAGAGCACTACAGTGAGCCCAGTGACGACGACGAAAACCACCCCGAAACGTCGGCTGGAATCCGGTTTGGAAATCTTCCGCAACCTCGAAAAGTGGCCGTGGAGCCGTCCGACATGTACCGGTCGATTGCCATGCTTCAAAATAACCACCACGACGGAGGTGATGGTGGAGGAGACGACGACGACGTGCTCATCATCAAGTCGCCCGGAGAAATCGAAAACGACGCTGCTAACCCGATTTACACCAAGCGGCTGCAAATCCAGTTCAACGTTAACAAATCTCCCATCAAGGATTGGAAGCGCAAAAGACGGAGATCGCAGTGGCTGATGCTCCGCAAGACGTTCAGCAACTCGGGAAGTCCCCGGCACCGTCGGCGCATGCTGGCGCTGCTGATAGCGCTGGAGGAAAATGACGAAAATGACGAAAATGACGACGACGAAAGTATTGATTCCGAGGACGAAACTGGCCATCATCTGGACTACGCCGTGACGGACGACGACGCCAGCGAGCGGGATTTGGGCATAGACGAGAGAATGGAGGCGGGCGAAGCCCATAACGACCACCGACGACGATTCAGAAAACAGTTGCGTCGACTCACGTCGTCCGGAATGGTTCGAAATTTCACCAACGCCAGCACAAGACCCGAGTCCGAGTCCGAGTCCGACGACGAGTTCGGTTTGGGGCGAACCATGAGCACCAACTACTTGTCGTGGGTTCCCACGGTGGGCCGGAATTCGACTTTTGTGCATTTGACCGACGAACAAAAAGATGAGCTTGGAGGAGTGGAGTACCGGGCAGTCAAGCTTCTCATCAAGATTATTGTCGTTTACTACGTTGGGTACCATTTGATCGCACTTGCAATGATGTGGATCTATATTTCCAAGAGACCCAACTACCAAGAAATTCTTCGAGCCCAGGGAATCAACCCAACTTGGTGGGCTATATTCACAGCACAATCTGCCTTCAACGATTTGGGTCTTACGCTCACAGCAAACTCAATGGCAAGCTTTGACCGGTCGTTGTTCGTGTTGATCGTTATGAGTTTTTTCATCGTGATTGGAAATACTGGGTTCCCGGTGCTTTTACGGTTCATCATTTGGATCATGTTCAAGTTTGCCAAACCGCTCTCGTTGTACAAGGAGTCGCTAGGGTTTCTTCTCGACCATCCTCGTCGTTGTTTCACGCTTTTATTTCCTTCGGTACCAACTTGGTGGTTGTTTTTTATCCTTGTGGTTCTCAACGCCGTGGACTTGATTTTGTTCGTGGTGCTCGATTTGCACAATAAGTACTTGAGCTCGTACCCAGTGGGGTACCGGGTGATGGACGGGCTTTTCCAGGCTTTCAGTACGAGAACCGCTGGGTTTTCCGTGCTAGATCTCTCCAAACTTCACTCGGCAGTCCAGGTCAGTTACATGTTGATGATGTACATCTCGGTGTTACCGTTGGCCATTTCTATCAGAAGAACTAATGTCTACGAAGAGCAGTCGTTGGGAGTGTACTTGCGAGACGAAAACCACGAAGAAGCCAATGACGACTCACCGCAAAACTTTGTTGGGGCCCATTTGCGAAACCAATTGTCGTTTGATTTGTGGTTTATTTTCTTGGGTTTGTTCATTATCTGCATTGCCGAAGGCGGAAAACTCGACAACGACGATTTCCGGTTCTCGGTGTTCTCGGTTCTCTTTGAAGTCATCAGTGCCTATGGAACCGTGGGTATGTCGTTGGGTTATCCGGACGTAAATACCTCGTTGTCCGGCAAATTTACCACACTTTCCAAACTCGTTATCATCGCTATGATGATCCGAGGTCGTCACAGAGGCCTCCCGTACTCCTTGGATCGTGCCATTATGCTTCCAGATAAGCAAATGGAAAGAAGAGACCGAGTACAAGAGAGCCATGCTCTTCGCCGTGAGCAAACTTTGGAGCGTTCAGCTACCATTGCAGACAATCCTTTCACACGGATATTCACTCGCCGTGGCTCCAATACCTCAGGCTTGCGTAGACGTCGCTCACGCAACAGTACCACGGGATACGAGATGGAAGACATGTCTTGAAGTTGAAATTGCAGCATTGACACCTGCATATAACCCACATATCGGATTATTGTGCGCGACATGCGACATGTATCTCATCGCATCTTACATATTTGTGCATCTGTGCAGCAGACGGAAATGATCAGAAAACAGGCCCGAGAAAGAAGAGAGTTTCTCTACCGCAAGTCGGTACAGCTCCAGGAATCGAAGCTCGCCGAGAAACGCCGGCAGTTGAAGGCAGCTTTGGCTTCAGGAAAACCGCTTTCGAAAGATTTGGCCGAAGATGAACAGCTTCGAAAAGATTTCATTTTCGATGAAAGTGAGCAGGTGAATGTCGATGACGAGTATTCTGCGCTCAGCGGCATTGCGGAGCCCAAGGTGATTGTGACAACGTCGAGAAGTCCATCGGTAAAACTTCTTCAGTTCGCCAAAGAGATGAAACTATTTTTTCCGCAATCGGTGAAACTCAACCGGGGAAACTACATTGTTCCAGAACTCGTGGAGTCTTGCAAAAAAGTCAATATGACTGACATGGTGGTGCTTCACGAGCACCGAGGGGTTCCCACGTCGCTCACAATCTCGCATTTTCCCCATGGACCAACCGCCATGTTCTCATTGCACAATGTCAAACTTCGTCATGATTTGCCCAATCTTGGTAATATTTCCGAGGCATATCCACATTTAATTTTTGAAAACTTTACCACGCCGCTCGGACAGAGAGTGGTACAAATTCTCAAGCATTTGTTTCCGCCTGGAGCTAAAAAAGATAGTTCCAGAGTTATCACATTTGTCAATAATGACGACTTTATAACCGTGAGACACCATGTATATGTACGAACAAAAGACAGTGTTGAGCTCAGTGAAGTGGGACCACGATTTGAAATGAAGCTTTATGAGGTTCGGTTGGGGTTGATCGACAACAAGGATAGCGATATCGAGTGGCAGGCCAAGCGGTTTATCAGGACTGCCAACCGGAAGAATTATTTGTAAAGAAGGTTAACGAAGACTGAATGCCAGACTTTGAAATTAGTCGCTGAATGCTTCAACAAGTTAAGGAAAAACAGCGATATGAACCCAAGTGTTTGTAAACTAGATAAAATACATAGTGGAAGGAAGTTGGTAGTGACAGAGGTGTAGTGGAAAAGATGGAAAAAGTTGGAGTGTCTGGAAGAGAAAGTACGCTGCAGAGGCAGCAGTATGAGGCCGGTTTTTGGGGGTTGGTTTTCGGCTTTGGTTTTCGGATTGGAGGTGGTTTTCGGTGGTGGTTAGTTGCCGTTGATCTCGGTGGTGGTGCGCCGGAGACAATCACCAATAGTACTTGAAACCAAGCTTTCGTTATCGGAAGAAACAGACTTGCGGTGGAGGACGTCTTCCGAGTCGGACGAGTCGGGCGAAATCAAGTAATTATTCAAGTTGCTTTGGGGCCGGTCCTTGATGGACATATGGCGCACGGGAGCAGACTTGAGAGAGGTCATGGTAGGCACTCGACTAGTCAGGGCCAATTTTTTCGTGGTGGGCACCATCGAATGCGACACCAGTTGTCTGAAACCAGGGCGCCCTGGCGGCGATTTCCATGTTTCGTCGTTATTGACCATATCGGCATACGAGTAGAAGCTCAACGACGACCGGGACTGGTTGAGGCGTGGGGGAGAAACCGGGGAGTCGAGAGTCAGTGGCAGAAACTGCAGTTGGCTGTGGATGGAAAGCGCCGAGTTTTTCCGAGACGGGGCAAAGGGGCGGCCGAGAGCAGCATTGAGTCCCACTACCAGCGAGTTTCGCCGGTTGGAATACACCATTTCCACGTCGTCGAGATTGGTGTTTTTGTTGGAGAGGATCTGGGTGGAGGCATCCAACGCCGGAGGAATACAGTCCTCGTTTTTGAAAAACTGACCCAGCAACGAGATCGACGAGTTGTGAGTACAGCTACGAGACCGATTGACATTACAACGGCTACACCGTGGTTGTTCTGTGACTTCCGGAGCCGGCTGAACATTTTGAACCGACCGCTCAAAAATCGGTTCTGCCGAGTCCTCGGAAGCGGGAAACTGCTCCTGGGCCACTTCCGACACTGGGCAGATTCATCGGAGACGATAACTGGCCATTTATGTTGGAAACCTGTTTTGGGCCGACGGCCGAAACCAACGATTCGGCATCGTCTTCACCTCGAGGCAAAGCAAGTCCCAAGGAAAAGAGCGATAGTCTGTTCTTGGTGGCCATGCCGTTAAATTTTGGGCAACACAGTCGAGTTTTCGATAAACAAGAACTATTTAATTACGCAAGGATCGCCTGGCTGAGATAAGTGCCGGACGGCGCCGTGGATGCAGGCCGGTCACAAGTCGTGCGCGGGCCATGCGATAAGTGGGGGGGGGACGGGGAAGTGCCGTGCGAGGGAGGGGGCGGAAGTGTAGGGGAAGTGGGGGGGGGGTGGCGCGGAGCAGCAGCGAAGGAAGAGTGGATTGGGTTGCGTGATGGTTGCGTGATGGTTGGGGGTTGGGGGAGGAGGGTGCATGTGCGCCACGACGTCGCCCAATCAGGAGCCGCATATTGAGATGCATGGAGTGCAGATGCAGACAGATGGGCTGCATACAAACAGATCGTGGAGTGTGATGGAAAACGTACTGCAGGTAAGAGCTCTTGACAGTTTGAGATAATGTCGTCATCGTTGTTGTGTCGTGGTTTTTGTCGTGTCGTCGTGTCGCCCCTGCATACCACCCGCATACACCGCTTTATGCTGCACCAATATAACTTATGCGATCCCGGTCCCAATCTTGGTCGGTAATTCCGACCCAAAGTACCCCCGGAATCACCCGCAACCACTCCTTCTCCATCAACAAACCCCGTGGTGCGTCCGGCCTTGCATCCCCCTCCGCCATCCACCCGGCATCCCGAGATCCGTCCTTTTCTGCAGCAGACCGGAATCGAAGCGCCACCCTTAATTCCATCGACAGCCTCAATATAAATAGCATCGATTCCATAAAATTCAACAATTCTTCCCACGACTTTGATGCCGCCATTTCCGATAGTCCGCCCCATGAAAGTCCCACCTGGATCCTTAGCGACCTTCTACAGTCATTTGCATTTATTAAAGACCTGACAGATTCACTTTCAATAGTCACCAAAGGTAACGATCTCATACTACTTCTTCGTCAATATCCCGGTTTAAAAGAAGACATCGTCATGAAACATTTACTCACGCGAATCCAGTTCATGTTCTACCATCTGGTCCTGGAGGTGCGAGCTACAGGCTACCGAATCTTACGCTACTCTATCATCGATAACGACGGACTTTCGTTGGTGGTGCAATTCAAGATTCTCATCTTCATCATCATTACCATGTCAACGTCAAACACGCTCGTGGAAAAAGAACAAGCTCTAAAACTCGTGCGCGAGTTCACCACCATCCCCCGGGGCATCGATAACCTCTCCATTGGAGTGGTGAAGAGCATTATTGCCGTGGTGGAACTGGGCGATGAACAGGACGTTTCGTCTTCGTTCATGTTTGCCGGCGTCGAAACCGTCTGCGAATTGGCGCTCGCCAAACCAGAACTCGTGTTCCATGCCGGTGGATTCCAGTTCATGATCCAAACCATGCTCGATGGAGAAACTGAGGCCGCTTGCATGTGTATAATGGTGCTTCTTAAAACGTTAGACTGCGCCGAATCCCGAAAATACTTGCGAGGGGGGCAGGACCTTACCTCGTTGCTTTCGTTTATGAGCCCAATCGACTCAGGCGCAGACGACCGCCGAATCCCCACCGCAAAGCTTCAAAAAATTGCATTTTTAATCACCGTTCTCCTCAAAAATTGGACTGGACTTTTGAGTGTTTCACATCATAACTTTCGTTTCATTGGGGACTTGGTCCATAACCTCCAGAAACGAAGCCCCAAACTTCGGGGCGTCATAATGGACATTATATTTGATGTCCTTCGCATTCGAGCACTACCTTGGCTTGAATCGTCGTCGGTCGGTTCGGTTCTCAACGTTATGCACACAAAACTTCGAACCGGATCTTCTCGCTTTGCGTATACGGAATTGGAGCCCACAAGCTTACAGCATGGTTTTGTTAATCACTATTTGGGTTTGCTTGTAATGATCTTTGTTCGTTGTGGTATCATGCCTCTTCTAGCTGACCTTGTAGCAGCCAGAGACAAAACTTCGGAAAAAGCTTCGTTACTTCTTTATCATATTTACCACATGGCAACAACCTTGATTCCAACAGATATTCTAAATGGATACGATCTTCTTCCAGCCAACCCAGAGCTCACGGCTACCGTGATGATTGAAAAAAGGGCTCGCAAGCAAGTTACCCGTAAACTGCAAGATGTCAAACCATATGTGAAAGCCATTGATAACGAGGCATGTTATAATCTAGACGACTCCGAGTTCAAGTTGATGGTTACGAATACACGGGTTTTGACCGTCAAGGAATACGAAGAGTGGAACTGGACTTTGCTCTCCACCATGATTAAAGGATGTTTGCGCAATCCAAAACGGTTTGATGACATTGAAAAGAGCCCCAGGTTTTTGAAACGGGTGTTTTCGTTTTATCGTCCCTTCAAATATCGGTTTTGCGGTGTGCCAACGACCGCCAAAAATGCCAAAAGATATGTAACTGTGGGATGTCAGTTGCTTGAGGTTCTCCTCAGCTTTGATGCGGGAATTCGCTACTTGGCAAGCAGCAAGCTCCTACCACAATTGGCTGAAGCGCTCGCTCAGGTGGACCAGTACAGTGGAATCAATGCCAAAGAACCCATTCTTCTGCGTAAGCGTCTTGAAACCACCCTCAGTTTCGGATACTTGCGTTTCATAGGCGTCTTGTCGGACAATCCGTTTGGAGTACGTATTCTTGAGCAGTGGCAGATCTTCAATATCTTGCAAAATATCGTCGATGGCAGCGTCTCAGACGAGTCCAACAACTATCTTCTTGTTAATTTGTTATCAAGGCTCAATTATAGACTTGACAGTCAAGCGAGAATTCTTTTGATCAAGAGTGTCTCTATCTCCAATAACAAGGTCCGCATGTACTTGATGGAAAATGTGGTTCCGGGTTTATTGAAAGCAGAAGAATGTGAAGATTTGAGTATACGAATTCTAGTGGACAAGGTTTACGATTTCAACAAGGATATTTCAAACCACGCTATCGAATGGTTGTATCGGTTTTCACAAGAAAACGAGTATCTGAAGCTCGATCGAATCATCGAATATCGACCATCAGTGAGAATTCTCCAAACTCACGAGTTCGGCCGCAAGCTCTTGATTCATTTCTTGAACACTCCGAACGGGTTCCGTTATCTCCACGACGATGGATATGTGGACAGAGAACTACAGAACACACTCAAGGCAATCGACTCCAATCATCTCGACAAAATTGAAGAAATCTTGTGGGGCTGTTTCTTTCCGTTCAGTCATACTGTTCTGCACGATGTCATTCCTCACCATTTTTTGACCGATTTGTTGCAGACTGAAGATGGCCTCCATTACTTTCAGAACGGGCCCGCAAAAATGTACCTTGAAAGAATACTCCAGGAAACAAAAATAATGGCACGATCGTTGATCGAAGGTGGTCACTTTGACAACACTGCGTTGAGGAAATTAAAACAAAATCTTTGGATAATTGGTGACATTTCTCTGTCTGAGTACGGGATTCAGCTTTTTGATCTGTGTGAAAATAGTAGCATTGACAAGACGATTATTTCTGTGATTCTCGAGCTATTTGAAAAATCTCCCGTGTGGCAGATTCGAGGAATCGTGTTTTTGCAGCTCGGGAGGATCGCATCCACGGTTGAAGGTATTGAGATTCTTGACGAGAACAAATGGGTATCTACGATTGACTCACACAATCGTCCTCAGAGCTTGTGCTTTCCGTTGGACATTAGCGTCATGAAGGTGGATATTGAAAATCCGTATCGCGATGCCAACTACTACGCACTATACAGTGGAGGACAAGAAAGTTTGGAGTTTGTAGACAACGATGAATATGCTGATTTTGAGCATGTCAAACAGAAGGTTTTGGTGCTCATTAGCAACTTGGGTTCGCTTCTCGGCCGTATAGAGAGAAGAGCACGCAAGGAGTTGATGCTCATCAAGACAGGACCTACCGGGCGAGTATTTGGAGATATCAGCTTGTTCTTAGAGGTTATCAAGCTTATCGACAAGAGCAAGTTTGCACTTCCAACAAGAAAGTTTGTTTTTGAACTTTTTCTTGATACAAAAGTGTTGGAGAGTTTGGTGAAAAGAGAGCGGAAAAATTCTGGATTGAAGTAAACATACTATTTATGTGCGTTGTGTGCAATGAACCGTTTGCGATACCGCGAGTTGGTTAGATGAGGCATGTGACGGCACGCCCAAGGTTCGAGATCCTGGGGATTTCGTTCGTAATTTTCGAGGCCTTCGTTGGGTATTTCCAGTATTCCTTCATGTATGAACATATTGATTTTGTGAGCATGTTTGAGCGGAACGTCTTCTTTCATGAGAGGCTCAAGTACCAGGCTCAATGCTGGATTCATCTGAGCCATATTTTCAATCCGGTTTTTCGTCAATTCCAAGATGTTGGTATCGGGCTCAGACTCTATATTAGATAACAATTCCAATAGCGCATTATTGCGACGTTGATAAAAGTTCATGGTTTGTCGCTGGGCCTGCTCAGCTTCAAATAGTTCGACCGACACATTGTAGGATTCATTAAATTGTTTTTGAAGGTTTTCGAGGAGGGCATAGTAATCGGAGGTGTCTCCCTCTTGATGCCCCTCCTCTACATCTTGACGTTCTGCGTCCTGTTCATGCACCTGCGGCATTCCTTGCATTTCATTCTTGGGAATATGCACATCTTGATGCAGTGGTAATACCTGCAGTGGTAACACCAGCAGTGCATGCATATGCATGTCTCTTTGGACTTTTGGCAACCCTGGCTGCATAGATTGATTTATCTCCGTGTTCGATTGCAGATATAGGTCGGAAGTCAAGTTTTGCGTGACCCCGTGCCGCTGGTCCTCCATATTTAAAGGCGGCGTCTGCCCAATTCCAGGCTGGTCTCCCATTTTCCTGTAGTTGAGATTTTTGAGATTTGGTGAAATAATTGGCAACACTTATGTAATTCCACCGCGCGTCTTTAACCAAGTTGTAACCTTTACCAATGTCCATCGTATCCCTACTTGGAGTAGAAGTGTTGAATAACCCGGCCAAGTTTTCTGATCCATATGAGTTTGAGATAACGTTTGAGTGCTTGGAACCTTTGAAGGAGGATTTGGAATGGAAACTCACGTACGTGGGGTCGTCGCGTTCTTTGGATCACGACCAGGAATTGGACCTGATTCTTGTTGGACCAGTGCCAGTTGGTGTGAACAAGTTTTTGTTCCAAGCAGATCCACCATCGCCAGATCTTATTCCAGCAAGTGAATTGGTGAGTGTCACTGTGATTCTTTTGAGTTGTTCATACGCAGACCGTGAATTTGTACGAGTGGGATACTATGTAAACAACGAATATGACCTGGAGGAATTGCGAGAGAACCCACCAGCCAAGGTCCAGGTGGAGCACGTTGTGCGTAATATTTTAGCGGAAAAACCAAGAGTCACCAGATTTAATATAGTGTGGGATAATGAGGGTGGTGAAGAGTATCCGCCAGAACAGCCTGAGGTTGAGGAAGAGGAGGAGGAAGATGAAGACGAAGAGGAAGATGTGGAAGATGGCGAACAGGAAAATGAAGTAGAAGAAGAAGAGGCTGAAGAAGCAGAAGAGGACATAGAAGAAGAGGAGGGTGATGAAGACGATGCCAATGGGGCAGAGACTCCCAAGGACACGGTACAGAGTTGATCGATAGATACGAGTCTTTAATATAATTACTGTCATCTGATGGTATTGTGGTGATGTCTATCCAGTGTTGGTCAGCGGTCCTGTTGCTTTGCTAGTTCTTGGACCATGGCATTGAGCGTCAGACTAAGGGCGGTGATTACGTGTAGGTTGTTCTTCAGGCCGCTCCATTTATCTGGGTGCCAACGAACACGTTCTGTTTTAAGGAGCGAAAGCAACAGCTCATCGTCTTCGAGGATTGCAGAGTAAAAGTGGTGAACGAGGCTCGAGTCCTGACATTCCTTATATGCTGTATCCGGGGTTATGGAGCCGTTATTGTAGTGAGAAAAGAGAGGGTATCGGATTTCATTGGTGTGTTCAAAGTACCAGTCTCGAATTGTGTTTTCGTTTGTTTCCAAGTACGGGTCGCCAATTCGTTGGTCTCCAACGTGAGTGTCTGACTCATCCATCAACCCTGCTGCCAGCACTGGAACTTCACCAAGAATGGTGTAATTGTTCAGAACATAGCCGTTCTTCAAAGTTTGCGATGGAGTTTGTGTGGGAGTCTTGTAGGTGTAATAATTGTGTTTTGGAGCCACGCCGACAAAAGCGTAGCCGTTGATTGCGGGACCAAATTCTGTAAATGAAGCGACTGTTGGAGGGCTTGGTTGGCGCGAGCTGGTGGGCGTGGACTGCGATATGGGTGTCTGCAATGGGATGTCGTTATTTTCGTGTTCGTGGTCGTGGTCGTTATCGTGATCTTTATCGTCCTCGTCATCAGAGTCCTTTTCGTTATGGTCACCATAGTCCTTTTCGTTCTCGTTTTCCTTTTCGTTTTCGTTCTTTTCGGTCTCATTTTCGATCTCGGCGAGGATTCGAACTTGCAGAAGATTAAGCAATTTGGGTCGTGCTGATGGGGTTCCTTCGTCTTTGAATTTGAGCCGTTTTCGGTAATGAGGAGGACAAGGTGTGGAGTCGCTGTTGGAAACGGTCAGAGGAAGCGAGGTGGAGCAAATGGACATGTGCGATGGGGTGACGAAATTGGCAATTTCGGGTGACTCGAGTTGTCTTTTTCGGGATATTCGGTCAGATTCAGTGTTCATTTGAGGCAATTTGGACCGTTTCACAAAAACAGGTGCCTCGCTGAATACGTTTGTGTCATCACTTTCCGAGTTGGAAAGTTCCATAGTTCGATCCGCGGCTGTGTGTTCGTCTTCCAAAGGTTTCATGGCGCCAAAACCAAGATTTCTTTTGTTGTTGACGTCGTTATTTGCATTTTGAAAGATTGTCTTTTCGCTACTTTGGGCCCCGTTTGTCCGTTCTGGCTCCAAAAAGCCGTCCGGGTCATCTTGTCGTCGATTGGGACCCGTGCCGTGCTTCTGAGGGGTGCTGGCGTCGTCCTGGAGGTGTAAATTGTCAAGTTTTTTCATTGGCGAAGAGCAGAAAAACGAGGTTTCTGTTGTTTTGAGCGGCGTAGAAGCGCTGGCAGCCTCCAAATCAAAAGAGGAGCTCGTGGCATCGTCCGCATCCGAGTCGTCCGGCGTCTGGCCAAACCATCGCTCGGGACCACGCAGGCGTGACACACGAGAATTCATTGTTATGGTGTTTATGGTGGTCGGGTGTTGAGAATTGGGGAAGGGTGTGCATACAGGACAAAAATGAGAAGAGAAAAGAGAGAGAAGCGAGAGACAAAAGAGAAAGAAGTAAGTGAGCAGAGTTTGAAAAAATGCTTACACAATTGAACTGAATTTTTGTTATAGACAAACTTTTTGAACCAATGTATTAAAAATTTCATGGTTGCTTTACCATTAGTGTTGATGTTCAGAATTGCCTTAATAGTAGTAATTGCAGCCAATTCCACATTCAATTTGTTTCATTTCATTTCATTTTTTACGTTGCCGTTTTCTTATCTGCAGTGCGTCTCCGATTTTATTCCGACCCACGTGCGTGGCTGAAGCCAGATCTTCTTTGCAACGGCGCGTGACTGTTGCGCATGCAGCAAATTTCACCCTGCGTTTTTCTTACTTTAAGCTTGGTTTGCTGCGGTTTCTAAGCTGCATTTGGCTTGGCGTCATTTCTCCTTTTCCTCCGAGCCTGCAGCTCGTTCGCGATAAGCAATCAATTGGGTGCAAGATACGCAGGAGTGCACACCACACGCGGGTGTGTATAAAGCAGGGCAGTGGCTCAGATAGAGGGAGGCGTCAAATTCACTCATCTTTTCAACAACAGGGCTTTTTCTCGAGGATATTTTCTCGTTGTTTCTTGCCACTGGACACTGACTTAATACAAAACCTGGTCGTTGGTCTCACCAACTTACCAAATTTCAACTTTTATTGATTTTTGAAACCGTTTTTTAAACCGTTTTTAAACCAAATTCAAAAACTTTAAAAACTCGGTTCATGGCCACAAATCCCGATCTATCGTTTCTATCGATAGCATTCCTCACGTTCGAAGCCGTTCTCGAGGTTGTGTTAATATGTTTTGCCGGATTCATTGCTGCTCGTGTTGGGCTTCTTAATGTGGCGGCACAAAAGGTCATTTCACTGCTTAATGTCGACCTTTTCACGCCATGTTTGGTGTTTTCCAAGTTGGCGCCATCGCTCTCGTTCCAACGAATGGCTGATATCATCATAATACCCATTTTCTACGCCGTTAGTACCGGCATTTCGTTTGCTTGCTCTCGCGTGGTGTCTCGATTTTTGCATTTGAACGAACCGGAAGGAGACTTTGTCACTGCCATGGCAGTGTTTGGCAATTCCAACTCGTTGCCGGTGTCGCTCACTTTGTCGTTGGCTTACACCCTCCCGGATTTGCTCTGGGAAGACATTGATAACGACAATTCCGACCAGGTTGCCAGTAGAGGTATCCTCTATTTGCTCATTTTCCAGCAGTTGGGCCAGATACTAAGATGGTCCTGGGGCTACAACAAGCTCTTGCGACTGCGGTCGCAGTTGGAGCTTAATTCCATGCCGGGAAGCGTCTTTCACGATGAAGAACAAGAACCACCAAATAGTCCTGCGCCGGAATCAAATGACGCCATGGCATCGCTTTTGAATCATTCCCAGCCGACCAGCAACTATACTGCCACACCAGGTGAATCGTCGCTGGATGCGTCGCTGGAAGTTGAACCCAAACTCTCGGCGTTTCTCTCGCGACCTTTTACATTCATTCGTCATTACTGGCGAATGTTTGCTGCTTTGCCAGGCGTACGCCTGTTTCTCGCGTTCATGAACCCACCCTTATATGCCATGTTCATCTCCATCTTGGTGGCCTCAGTTCCAGCAATTCAAAAGGCATTTTTCGGTGATACTTTCTTGCACAATACGCTTACCGAAGCTGTCACTCAACTAGGATCGGTATCGATTCCACTTATTCTTATCGTGTTGGGCCTGAACCTCCACCCTTCAAACGACCTTCCAGCTCCTGCCAAAAACCATACCAAAATCGTCATGGGGTCTTTGATTTCTCGTATGATCATTCCACCCATAATCCTCCTTCCCACCATTGCACTCTGTGTGAAATACATCAATGTTTCAATCTTGGACGACCCGATCTTCCTCATTGTGGCATTTATTCTTTCCATTTCACCACCTGCTATCCAGCTTTCACAGATTGTGCAACTCAACAACATCTACCAACAAGAAATGGGGTCTGTTCTTTTCTGGGGCTATGTCGTTTTGACACTCCCAACCACCATTTTTATTGTTGTCACCAGCTTGGAAGTGATCAAGTGGACCGCTTAGTCTTAATGCTACCTGCTATCTACTGCTAACTACTGCTATCTATTACTGATATCTACTATTGCTAACTTTTGCTACACTTTTGCTATCTACTATTTGGTATTGCCATTTGCTATCTCTACTATCACTTGAGGTTACCCTTCAGAATCCTCTTAGTCTCTACGCTTTGCTATACTTTTCTACCCTTCGCTACTTTGCTATCTTTATCTCCTGTATCTCTCGGACTTCCCTACTTCCTATCGCAGTTGTCACGGGACGGAAAATTTCTTTGCTCAAACCCCAGAAACTTACATGCCATGGCCAAAGCACGCAAATTAGCGGTGGTAGGGTCCCGGAGTGTCGGGAAATCCAGCATGACGGTCCGGTTCGTTGAAGACCATTTCGTGGAGTCGTATTACCCCACCATCGAGAACCAGTTTTCCAAAACCATAGAGTTCAAAAACCAAGAATATGCTATCGAAATCCTTGATACTGCGGGCCAGGACGAATTTTCCATGATGAGTGAAAAGCACTTGATCGGGGTCCATGGATACTTGCTAGTCTACTCGGTTTCATCCCGCCAGTCGTTTGAAATGGTGGAAGTTATTCGCGACAAGATCTTGAATGCCATTGGAAACGACAATATTCCGCTTGTTCTTGTGGGTAACAAATCAGATTTGGAGTACCAGCGCCAGGTAGAGCATTCAGATGGTTTGAAGCTTGCCGAGCGTTTTGGATGTCCTTTCATGGAACTGTCTGTGAAGGAAAATATCAACGTTAACTCGGTGTTTGAAACCCTCATCGATCGGGTGGAATCAGTACAGAACCCCAAGTCCAAGCCAGAGGAGAAATGTGTCATAATGTAGAGACGAGCTTGCACCAATCACCGCTACGAAATCTTGCTAACTTTTTTCAACACTGCTATTACTATATATTGCTATTTTTTTGCTAAATATTTCCAGTCTCGACTCTCAATCCGCGAACCATGAAGTCCCCTCAGCCGGGCCCAGTTTACCTGGAAGACAATATCCCCTACGATTACATCGTGATCATAGACTCAGGCTCCAGTGGGTCAAGGGTCTATGTCTACAACTGGCTCAACCCGCTTGCGGTGCTCAACAAGTCCGGCGACTTTACCGAGATGCCCAAGCCTAACGTACGTCTTGTTCACAGAGAAGATGTAAAAAACACAGAAGAAGGCGAAAAGACAGAAGAAGCCTCTAATCCGGATTCACAGCTGGACAAATCGACTCGAAAATTGCGGGTTCCCAAAGTCCAAACCCGCCATAAATGGAACAAAAAGATCAAACCCGGTCTCTCCACTTTCAGTTCCAGTCCCCAGAAGGTCGGGAAACACCACTTGCGGTATCTTCTTCAACTAGCGAGCTATGTCGTTCCCAAATCGCAGCATCATCGAACACCCATTTTTCTACATTCCACGGCTGGAATGAGACTTTTGGACTTGAAGGATCAACGAGTCATCTTGGATACCATCTGCGACTACTTGACTCGAAACTCGGACTTTTATCTCCCAGAATGCCCAAATCACGTCAACGTTATCGACGGAGATGTCGAAGGTCTTTACGGCTGGTTGGCTGTCAATTACCTCCAAGGTTCTATGGACCACCCGGAAGAACACCAGCACGGCAAGGGTCACACAACCTATGGTCTTTTGGACATGGGGGGAGCATCGACCCAGGTTGTTTTCCAGCCAAATTCAACAGAAATTGAAGAACACAAAAATAATCTCTTCCGCATAAATCTCTACGAGTTGCCGACAAAAATGGACAATTCGTACCAAAAACCAGAGCCTTTAGAGTACAATGTATACTCGGATTCCTTTCTTGGTTTTGGAATGTATCAGGCTCATACCAGATACCTCAAGAAGCTCACTGAGGCATTTGCCAAAGAACATAATGTTGAGCCCAAGTTTCTTTCCATGCCTGTTCCTGATCCCTGTGTTCCAAAGGGATATACTTACCCGGCTACTTTGAACGAAGGCTCTTTTGATCTCATTGGTTCGAGTGATTTCCAGGGCTGTCTTAAAGCGATCTTTTCTGTCATTTCTGACAAAGACTACACTCCAAAAGTGGGAAATGCAAACTGTGAACAACTTAGTGAGAGCAGCATGGTCAGCTCGTGTCTACTCAACGACCTTATCCCAGCTTTTGACTTCGATGTAAACCACTTTGTTGGAGTTTCTGGTTACTGGGACGCAATCAACAGTTTATATTCCTACGAGAAAGAAAAGCGCCTGGGGCTCAAGTACGACTACAGGCGAATCTACAAGCAGACGTCTACGTTGTGCTCACTGACGTTTGCAGACTTGAAACTTAGAAGCAAAACGAAAGGAAAGGGCCAATTAGACGAAAGCGACTTGGCAAATCTCTGTTTCAAGTCGTCGTGGATTTTGAACTTTCTCCATCAAAGTCTTGGGTTTCCACGCTTTGGTATTGATTCGGAGCCCAAGAAGCCAGACAGGTTCCAGTCGTTGCAGTTGGTGGACAAGGTGGGTGGACTGCCTTTTTCGTGGACGCTAGGAAGAGCCATTTTGTATGCGAACGACGAGTACGTTCAAGCTTACAACAACTTTACACTTTCTCGACTTGGGACAGAAGAAACCTCTCTATTAAAACGACCTGGCTTTTACCACTCTGTATCGCCAAATGCTTACAATTATGGAGGAGAACAAAAGGGCGTAATTCCTCGACTGCAGTTTCAGGAACCGGATCCCAATGCCAAGTACCATCATTATGACTACGAGACGAGTCTCAACGCTGGCATTGGAGAACTGAAATGGCATGTCCAGCCACATAGGTGGTATGGTGCGCTTATCTTTATGAGCTTGGTTTTGTTCATCATTTGGCTCATGATGGGTCGCAATGTAAGAAGTGATTTGAAGCAAAAAGTGTCTAAGAAATTGAAAAGTTTGGCATTTTGGAGAAAGATAGATGACGGGAATTACTCTCGTGTGAACCAAGAGGAGGTTGCTGGATTCGAACTTAGGGACTTGGAGGACGAGGTATGATTATAGAATATTGCAAAAGTGGCTAATAAAATAAAAAAGCAAAAAACAAGAAACAAGAAAAAAGAAAAGGATAGAAGGATAAAAGGATGAAAGAGCATTATCTTAAAAAAAACAACTCTCGTTTCTCTCCCAGTTCAGCTGTCTTGACCATCTCCATCATGTATGTTGCAACCATATTTAGCGACATTTTTATCTGCAGTCCGTTTCTCAAAAGTGGTGCCGATAAGAATGATCTGTAATCAGACTTCCGATCATTCTCCATAAATTTCTACACATTTTCAAGTTTGCAAGCGCTCAATTATTAGTTACACGTTATAAAGAGTCAAACTGATACATTAGACTCATAAACGTTTCTGTCAAACCATCAAAATATGAGTGAGGCCACCCTTAACTTCCATATTCAAGCTCGTCTGGAGCAGTTCCGAGTGCCCACGGAGCTTATTCGAGCCAATTTCAAGTCGATCCAGAGACTCATAGAGAAACAGAAGAAGTCCATGAGTGACGATATTGGAAAAATCAAGAAGAATCCGAAACTTCCGCCGGCTATAAAATTAGAAATGGTCCGCAAACTTATCAAGGGTTTTGAGCTATTTGAAAAGAGATTGCAGGCATTTATCAACAAAGACGAGGATTACCAGTCACGTATTGAAGCGCGGTTTGATAATCTCAACGAAATAAAGGATTTTACGGTGTTCAAACCGGTTCAATCAGACCCAGAAAATAAGGATCAGAATGCGGAAATTTCTTCCAACGACATGTTTCTTGATCTCCACAACAACAACCTCTTGAACTGGTACCGTGACCAAACCAACCTTCTACTCGTGGACTATCTCACAAAGACAAACACAAGAAGTGACGGCAACATAGGCATTATGCTCCTCCAAAGTCTCGCAGCTCAAAATCCCCGACTTTTGAAGTTGGTCGATTACGACTTGTTTGACAACTTCAACAAGGTGTACTCGCTGATTGTACGCAACCATGATCTTGCGCCGATCGTAGGGTGGTTCAACGAGAATAGAAATGCATTGAAGAAGATTAACTCGAATCTTGAGTTCGAGATCAACTACTGCAAGTTTCTCTCTCTCATAGAGAACGAGGAAATCAACGAGGCAATCAAGTTTTCCCAGGAAAATTTGTCGTTGTATGGAAATGAAGAAAAGTACCAAGTCATTGACCAAGTCAACCGAAAGAGCAATCTCACTAAACTCAAGGAAATTGGAGGTCTATTGATCTATGTTGCTATCAATGGCACCACATCCGGCTCGTTTCTGCTTCCTGGAGCCCTGTTTTTTTCCAGCAGCTTGATGACGAACACTCCTCGTTACAGTGAGTACCGTAAGTTACTCTCTGCTGAGCGATGGGAGAATTTAGGACGGTGTTTCATTGAGAATTTCACCCAGCTATACGGAATATCTCAAAACTTTCCGTTATTTGTCTACTTGCTGGCGGGTATGGCAAGTTTAAAGACAAAATCGTGCTATTGCAATCTTAGCAACTCGATCTTTTATGATGTACCAAAGGAGACTGATAGCAGAACTTTCGATCCAGAGTCTCTTCAGTATCGTGGACCAAACCACTATTATGACTTGCTAGGCAAGATCAATCATTGCCCCGTGTGCTCTCCCGAACTTTTCCAGCTCGCAAGAAATCTTCCCTATGCCGAGTTGATCACCAACATCTTCAACAATCCGTTCATGTTGCCGAATGGTAATATTTATCCTTTTGAAAAGTTGGCTAGTGGGCTCCGCTACGGCGACAGTCTGTCAGTAGGTCTCATAGTGGACCCGTTGACGAACCAGGAGTTTCAAGTGGACCAGTGCCACAGGGTGTATCCTGCTTAGTTAGATCACGTTGGATTATGGTTTTGGATAATGGCTATTGGATTATAGCGTATATACTGATTATTCTCTGAATACGAGTAAATATTAAGTTTGCTTAGATATGCGTACATTTTATTACCTCCCTTTTTTAGTTTACTCCCTTTTTTATTACTGCGTTTTGTCGAGCGGTTCCTCGAGTCTTCTCTCAAAGACGTAGATTCTAGCATCTCTGACACTGGCTTCCTTGGTGGTGTCCTTCATGCTATTTGTGCGACGATGATGGTATTCTGGAAAAAGATCCCAATCAAAACGACCCGACCTTTGGACCTTCCAGTCTTCGCTTCTTGCAATAGCCTTTATACCCCAAGAAACGTAAGGTTCACCTTCAAAAGTTGACAAAATTATTCGTTCATCATTAGCCTTCGAATAGCCAGAAAATGCAGCGTCAAGTGACCGTTCATTGACGATAGGAAACAATTCGTTACAATTTTGAAAGTATTGCAAGACTAGCTTCTGGTGGTCTCGTACGTTTCGATCCATATCTTTTATACCCTTGCCTGTGTGAGGAAAGTTGAATAGAATTACATCCAACTTCTGGCTAGCAGAGAAGAGCGTCAGCTTATTTTTCTTTGAGCTCAAGCCCAAAGTTTGTGGTAGCTTTGTAGCATCGATTTCAAACAAGACTTTCACTCCACGGCTTTCAAGGTACTCCAAATTGTTGGCTGCGGTGGTATATTTTTCAGTTGCAATCTCGCGGCGATCGTAGCTTGTGGCCACTAAATTAGTTGGAAGAACATGATTATTTTTGACAACCGAAACGGCGAAAGAAAAATCTCCTTCGCCTACTAAAAGGACTGTGTTTTCGGTATTAAAAGGTACAAAGCCTTTCTGATTTGACTGGGCTTTTCCACCACCACTTATAGACTTTTTTTTCTGAGCTTCAAATTTTTTCTGAGACGCCAATTGATGTTCCCGCTTCTTCTTGAGCTTCTCGGCTTCTTCGAATCGTCGCAATGAGGCCTTGAGCCCCTTGGACGCCTTTCCTTTCTTGGCCATCGAGAAGGCCATCTCGTGAAATTTTATCGAAAAACCGGGGTACGGCTATCTGCAGGAGCAAACCAAACTCGAAAATTTCACATATGGAACGCTCTTTCTTCCCCATTGGTGTATTCCAAGTCTTCGGTGGCTGCTGTGCTGGGCGCATTAACTACACCACTTTCCATCGAGACATCGTCCTCGACAAGGGAATCCGACTTGTCGTTTTCGTACAAATCGTCGTCTTCGTCTTCGGCGCGGAAACTAGGTCCGGATGGCTGCAAATTGCGGCTGTTATTCGAGTCTGAAACCTCCCTTTCCATCTCGAGATCCGACTCTGTGAGTTCCTGGAGCGACTCCGTTTCATTATCGTTGTACTCGAAGAAAAGCATGAATGTTCCTTGAGAGTTCAAAGCTTCGTGCTCAGTCACAGCGTACACCGATTCGTCGCTGATTCTCCACCACGTACCTCTGTGTTTTCTGTAGCAGATGTAGTGGCCGTAGTTATGGGTTCCGTAATGTGCAATGACGGCTTTGAGCTGGTACTGAAGCTCGGGATTCTTGGGGATGTGTGTGTTTCCATTGGCCTGGCCGTCTTCGTCTTCGTCTCCTTTTGGCTCTTCAAGCGGAGCATCTCCACGCCTGAACGGCATTCTGGCATCAAGATCAACATCTTGAGGCTCCACCACATACGGCGACAAATCTAACACTGCCGGAAATTCAACATTGCTGGAATTTTTCACCACCATATAGGTTCTGGGATCGAAAACCGACCGGTTGATATGGAGCGAAAGAAGTGCTGGGGGACGACTCATGTATATCTGCTTGGATTTTTTGGTTTTGCGGATCATCTGCTTGATGCTCAACTTCTCAAATACTTCGTCGGTGATATGGGGCTGTTTGAGTTCTGCTTCAATTTCAGCAAGACGGGATTTAAACAGCTGAGCAACTTTTTCGTTGGTACCTTCGGTGATTTTCTCTTGTAAAAACTGTTTTGTCTGCTCCAATCCGCATCGATTACAGTTGACATCTTCTATGATCTCAGGATTAATCCACTCGTCCAATAATTCTTGCAACGAAACGCTCGAGTAGTACGATTCTTTGCGAGGCAAGTTCAAACTAATACCACTCATTACCGAGTACCTGATACCTCCAACCTCTCCACACACCAAACACCCAATACGCTCAGCAGATACTCCATCGACTGGAGTAATCAAGTTCATTTTGAATGCTTTGTGTTCTGCATCTTCGATATTTGGATCCACATGAGTCGCCGGAACGTATACTGGAAGAGTCTTTCCTAGTTGGTCGCAGCCAGTCACATAGTTGGCCACCGAGGAGATGTCTATGAATTTGGATCCCTTCTCGTCAATTTGCTTGGGAATATTACTGGCTTTTTTGTATTCAGATTCCACCAAATTCATCACCAACTGATAAAATTCCTGAGCATCTTCCTGGTTGTATCCTGTGAAAAAGTTCTGTTTGGGACCATTAGGCATCTTGTTGAGAAGCGGCTTGGCGCTGAATTCCTTACCTCGAGTACCATAGCAGCCATTTACGTTTTCTATGAGTTTGCGAAGAGCCGCTGTGAACACCAAATCCGAACGAGGAACCACCGATTTGACCGGTTGCAGGTTTTCAACCTCGATGTCTGGGTACAAGTAGGAGTCGATGAACCGGAGTAGTTCCTTGGAAGAAGCCAAAGACTGTATTACCGAGTTCATAAAACAGGTGTTTCCATCATTGGATATTCCGCCGATTTCACCGCCATTTTTGAGAGCAAACCGGGTTTCTTTTGTGGTTCTTCCTGAAGCGCCCGAAAGATTGGACCGGGTCATAAAGCCGTAAGAGGTCATGGACGCCAACAAGTCTGATATTGGTGGCGGAACAAGGTATGGCAATAAGTATTTGTATCTTTTGCCGACGAGAAAAGTAGCAAAAATGACAGCTGCGGTGACAGAAAGCTTTCTTGGAGTTGTGGAAGGCCTTTTCAATGAACGTGGTAGCACTAACGCTGTTGGCAGATGCCCAAATAAACGATTTATAAGGCAACAAAACTTGATAGATGAGGTAGAAAAGTGGAGAGATCGCAATCAATACTAATAGAAACACCGGAAATAGGATGAACGGGACCCTTGTATCAAACATATGTTTCAAAAAAACCTAACAGTTCAAGATCACTGGGGACCACGAACGCTGTATTTCTATGTCAAGTTTGTTCTGGCAAAAATTCACCGAGATCACGAAAACGAATTCATCGGCGCATGTGCAGGACGCCATGAACCGTTTTTGAATGCATAGGTATTACGTCTATTTATATGGTTCCGGCCCCGTATCTGAAGCCTTGGTAAGGTGCAATTGGTCGGTCTCGTCCCCATCCGCATTTGAGTGGGCGGCCATTAACGGAATAGCCCGCTAGTTGGACAATTGCCAAAGCGGCCCGTTCGTGGGAATCGTATTTGACGAAAGCACAGCCTTTGCTGGGGTGAAATTTGAAGTCGACGATAAAACCAAAGTTCTGGAGGAGGGGTATGAGGTCCGACAGGTGGGTGAAGTGGGCTATATTACCCAAATAAACCGTGGTTTGCCAATTTGGAGCCTGGCGCAAAACCACTTCAAATGACTTGGGCGCTTGTGGCTGAGGGTTGCGCCCGCCATTGTTGGTGTCTATAGGGTAGCCTTGGGCGGTGTAGGGCAGTGGGGGAGTTGTGGCGCCGGCCGATGCTGATCTTTTGGGAGGTGGTCGGGTATTTTTCTTTTGGTACATGTGTCGATGAGATGCCCAATTACAGCGGATGGCTCTGCCACCTATAAACAGGCCCGGCATCGTTACCAATGCGTTTTCTGCCTCGGCAGGGTCTGCAAAACTGACAAATCCGTATCCTCGAGATCGCGAAGTTTGCATGTCCCACATCACATGGGCCTGTTTTCGGCTCGGGAATTGGTCGAATGCCTTGCCTAGCGTCTCGTCATCAACCTCCGCCGACAAGTCGCCCACAAAAATGGTATAGAGAGGCAGTTCTGGGCTTGAGGATGTACTGATGGTTGACAGTTGGTACGCCCAGTTTATTTTAATGGAACTTCCGCCAACTTCGGAACCATTGAATGCTGTAAGAACACTCTCGGCGTCTTCCCGGGTGTCGAATTCCACAAATGCATAGTTAAAACCGGGTTTGTTCTTGTCATGGAGAAGTTTGACCGACTTGGTCTTGTCAAAGAGCTCATGAAGATACTGCTCGTTAACAGTTTTTGGGATGTTTCCCACATACAAAACGGTGTTGGAAATCTCCCTGCCGCCGTTCACGGCACTGGCAACCGCAACTTCACCTCCATTATGGGCAATTGTCATGTTTCCAAGTTTTTCGACAATTTCATCGCCCCCATTTGCACTCTGATCCGCCGTTGATGCTGTGGTCAAAGGCAGCATTTTAGTATCGCTGGGCAGTGTAGTCGCTTCTCCGCTGGACCTGGAGTCACTTCCGGCTCCAATTGAACCCTCCTGAGACATTTATGATGAATTCAAGACGGAGACCTTTGTAGTTTTTGCTGTCAAAATCGGTATAGCAGGAGTCTTTGACCACTGAAATTCGAGCACACGATTCCTCCAGGCGTCCGCACTAACAAAATGCCTCAATCTTCCTCAATCGTCACTGTTGATCCGTAGTGATACTCCACCACACACGCTGATCTCACGAGTTCGCAGTTCGACGATACCCACCACGTCGTGCGCGTACCGGAAACTTTCGTGGGGTCTGGTGTACTGGAAGTCATCGCGATGGGTTTCCACCATGTTGGCGGTGATTGTCGATGACCAGCGTGACATCAGCACGGTGAAGCAGCGGCTAGGGACCATCGTCAGCAAACGCAGAAAGGTCGAGAACCACAACGGAGAATTTTGGATTTATTGCAAAACCGATAATACCCTCGATATTACCCTCGGATCTTTAACGACCGGGTGTCGAGGTAGTGTGAGATTTGGAACTTATGAAGAAGACGAGTTTGCCCATTTGCAGCCATTGCAGCGGCTTTTAAAGAAATTTTTGCGCTCCAGAGGTTCAATTGTGTCTGCAGAACCACAACTAATAGAAACCTGTCCCAAAACATGGACTTTATACAAGCCAATGGTTCTCTTTGGAGCCAACAGTTTTGGGTGCAAATTATGGAATGAATTTTTGTCGGAATATGGACCGGATTTCTTCAAGTATATCTTGCAAGATGAGCTTTTTGCAAAATATACCCATATAGCCATCAACAAACCAATTCAAAACGATGACGTCATGCGGCGGCCGTTTTCTATCACACCTGTTTTTGGCGATTTTGGACCGGAACCCAATGACAAAATTTTCAACGAGCCTACAAAAAAGGATTTCGACCAAGCGTTCTGGTGCTCTGCTGTCCAGAATGGAATCTACCAGGAATGGGCACCTCGGTTTACCATGTTTTCTCGAGGCAATATTAAGGAAAAAAAACGAGTGTTGCAATTTGGCTGCGAAAAAGACGATTTTGTCATTGATATGTATGCTGGAATTGGGTACTTTGCTTTGTCTTATTTGCACAATGGGGCAACTGTGTTTTGCTGGGAACTCAATCCGTGGTCCATTGAGGGTCTCAAGAGGGGTTTGAGTGCTAATGGTCACAACCTAAGAATTTTTCAGTCTCAAGATGAATTTACTTTGGATCGTTTTAACCAGCTCAGAAAAGAAGGAGTCACTGCATTTGTATTTGCTGAGAGCAATATACACGCCGTGGACCGACTAAGCGTTTTGAACAATCCGAAAATTCGCCATATCAATCTTGGCTTGCTTCCCTCATCGCGAGATTCGTGGAGCGCAGCGAAAAATTTGGCTGCGAAATCTTCAATTTCTACAACTATCCATGTCCACGAAAACGTACATATAGGGGAGATTGACACATTTGCCAAACAGATGGGGGTCCAGTTTGGCACTGTGGAACATGTGGAAAAGGTGAAGACATTTGCCCCGGATATTTGGCACATAGTTGTGGATGTAAAAGCGAAGAAAAATGAGAATTGAGAAAAAAGACGGAAAGAGAAAATTAAGAGAAGAGACAGAAGAAGTGTAGACACAAGTGAATAATAGATGTGAAGAGGCAGACTTGGAGAAATGAAAAATCTCAAAAAAGAAGACTGAAATATGTCTACCACCAAAAAAAAATAAGAAAAGATGAAAGAGGAAAGAATAGACGGGATTGAGGACGGAAGTACCAAACCGATTTCATAAATTACAGAATCAACTTGAACCAATTCTCAAATACTTGAAATCAGTTATTTGGTAATTGTATGCCAAGTTAATTTGCAAGGCATCTCCTCACGTCAAAGTTGCGTCAAGCACGTCAATCTTGCATCAGTTTCACTGCATCCATCAATGACCAGGCTCAGCCCGTATTTTTGCGTATCGGAAGCAGGTCCGCACCCGATCGAGCATCCGGCCCACAGTAAATCCCATCATGCATATACACCCAAACACCAAGGCAAATCCATCACAACTCTAAATCTCCCCTTTTCTGCTCGTTTTGCCCTCCCCCGACCCTAATACCCGCCATCCTCCCACCATAAACCCCGCTCGTAACTCGGTCTGCTTTCTCATCCGCCGAATTTTTTTCAGCCGTTCCTGCAGACAAGCACGTCAGCGTGACTGCGCCGCCTTTAAACCAAACTATTTCAGAAACAAGTAATTAGCATTCGCGTGGCTTTCACGTTTTATTTGATATAAAGATCCCAGAGTTGGCACATACGTTCTTCTCAGCACGCACAACAACTGAGCAGCTTTTGGAGCCGGAAATAACCGGGAAAGATTTCCGTTTGGAATAATAATAATTCAGTCCACACGGCTTTGCACCAAAAAAGCCGGTAAATACGTCCGTGACTAGCGATCAAATTTCAAAGCCCGGCCGTCCGTGACTAGCAACAATGGCTGACGAAGACTTTTATGATATGCTTGACTTGTCGCCGCCGGGAATACCGAAACAAGATCCCAACTACCCTTTTCAAGATGGATTTCTGCAGTATGGCAATTCGTTTCGGTACTCCGACCAACAGACACCTGACGGTAACACTCCTCCGCCTCCCCCCACGTCAAACAACCGACAAACGCTTCCGGAATTACCATCTAATCTGCGACCAACCCAACCGGGACCACTCGGGCCGGGGTTCATGCCCGAATACTACGGCGCCGGCTTGAGCACCGGAAACAGCCAAAGTGTTTCGATGGGCTTGAATACGAATCTGTTTTCCAATCTGGTTTCAAATCTGATCCCGAATCTGATCTCGAATCTGAATTCCAATCTGATTTCGAATCACTCCAATCTGCTCCATCCCGCAACCCAGTCGCAGTTTCTCCAACCAAAGTCGCCCAGTGCCTACTCATCGCATTCTTTATACAGCGATGCGTCGCTGAACCCGGGAAGTCCGTATATGGACGCAGTATCGCAGTTCAGTCACACCTACTCTGACGCCGGAGGAGGTGGTGATTTTAGCGGTTTCGACACAGAAATTGCTCTTGGAGGCTCCATTTCCACCACCAACCTTGCCGGTCTCAATCAAAGCCAGTTTTTTAACGACAGACAATACTTTCCCCAGCAGCCGGCCGTACTCCAGCAAAACTACAATGCTCGAGACCACTACCAAAGCATGCCGTACGCCGGATTTGACTACCTTTCGAGCCCGCCGTCTGCCAGCCAAACCATAGATACCCGCTACAACGGAAGTTCGACTTCCGCGACAGCAGAAGCGCCGTCTTCGTCCATCGACAATTCTCACAGTGGTCCATTGACGGAAAATAACCTCCAGTACAACGAGTTGCAGCAGGTAAAGATCTCGGTGCAAAAGGCACCCGAACAAGTGGCGGCTCGAACCCCTTCGCTCTTCAGCAACTCGTCGCATTCACTGTACAATTCCACCAAAAGCCCCAACGAAAGCCTGAAAAATCACAACCATCTCCAAAATCCCTCACCCATATCTCCCTCGGTTTCCGATACTGCTTCTGATGCGTTGTTGCGTCCCGATGAATTCCAGTCTATGAAGCGGGGCCGCCGACATGCTCATCATTTACGGCTGGAACTGCGCCTGAGACTGCGTCTGCAACTGCGCCAGCTGCAACCGAATCTGCGCCTGTCGCTGCGGCTGCCTTCTGTCTACGACGAAGACGACTACTCGGAAAACGACGGCGATCGCGACGACTACGAATCTCCGTACGAGAGTATTCGGGGAGAAGATGGTGAAATGAAGGTTCCTTCACGCACAAAAATGCTCGAATTAGCACTGCAGAACCTGGCTCCACGAAGAGTGCAAAAACACCCGTCGTTGTTCTCGTGCCATTTGTGCGATAAGCGGTTTACCAGACCATATAATCTCAAGTCTCATCTTCGCACCCACACCAACGAGCGGCCCTTTGTTTGCAGCGTTTGCGGCAAGGCATTTGCTCGACAGCACGATCGAAAGCGCCATGAGGATTTACATACGGGAGAAAAAAAGTTTCTGTGCCGCGGGTTTCTTCGAGACGGTACACCCTACGGCTGTGGTCGTAAATTTGCCCGAGCCGACGCTTTACGGCGCCATTTCCAAACCGAGGCTGGCCGAGACTGTATCAAGGCGCTTTTGGAAGAGGACGATCGAGACCGAAAGAACGGTATAGAAGGGGGCAGCGAACTCCCGGGGGGATTGAAGCGTGAAACCATCATGTTTGCAGGCTCGGTGCCGCTGGTGGCTATATCGCCGCCGGATTAGACGTTTAGAGACAACTGCAGAAAGTAAAGAGGTGCAAAATGGAATACCAGGGAATACAAAGGAATACTTAATATCTGAGGAATATTCCAAGAATACACAAGGATGCTGAAATAGTGATCAAGAAACACCCCAGGAATATTCAAGGAATACTCGAACAATAATCAAGCTACCCTATATATGGAGATTACACTTGGTGGAGCACATGCTATTCTTGAGAATGTGATATCCCTTTCAGTAACATTTTGAATGCTAGTGAAAGAGATATTCAGAAGGAGAATGCTACATTTGCTTTGCCAAAATTGGTTTGTGAGCTCTGAGACTAGCCTGTTTGTCGGCTCCGAATGGAGCGCTGTCAAGAATTCGCCAGCTGAATATCCAAGGATACTCAAAGAAATACCCTATGAATACTCAAAGAATATTCAAAAAAATACCCTATGAATACTTCAAGAATACCCAAGAGATATTTAGGATCCAAAGGGTTGACAAGAACACAAGAACACCAAGGAATCAAAGTTCCAAGTATCAGTACTGATGTATATCAAGAATTATAGAGTACCGGACCGATGTAGTAATGCAGATATTCTTTTGGTAGACTTCTGTTGCGGTGTATGGATCCGCACCCATCTCAACTTTCGAACTTTATTCTCTTTATGGACCACGACAATTTGGCCGATCGTCTAACCGGCACGCCACAAGTTCTGCAGCAGTCTGAGTTGGAGCTGCTTTTGCAGAGGAAGCAGCAAATACTCCAAAACCAAAGCCACGCGACAATAGAAGCAATATTGAAAGAAAATGCCACGGCTCCAATTCACGTTTCTAATGCCCAAGTCACCAATGGTCAAGCATTTCGGGACTCTTTTCTCCAAGCACAACTCAAGCCGCTTTTGAAATCGGATCTTACCACGTTACACAAACTATCTCTCGGAATAGACGAGGTGAGTCGAAATTTCACCAACGCTGGAGCGGTGAAATCCATCGCCGTTTCGTTGTCTTCTCCCCATTCGAATTCGCCCTTTTTGCAGCGCAGAAGACGACCGGGGTATGAGATCGTGCCTGTGTTCCACATAGACCCCGTTTCGAAGTTTTACGCCAAAACAGGAACAAATATAGGCAATGGTGAAGGCGACACATACATCCAATTTCAGCTCCGGAACATTTTTGGCGGCGGAGAAAGTTTGGTCATGGACGCCGTTAAGGGAACTCGTACGCCATCGCTGTATCTCGTCAACTACTCACAGCCAATATGGAACAATCCCGACTACATGAGCGACACTCAGGCGTATATTCATACTAGAACCATGGACTGGATAGGTGCCAGCACCAAGGTTAGAGGCATCACCACCAAGATTTATACTCAGTTTTTGAAGAGTAATCACGAATTGGTGCTAGAAAACTGCTGGAGGTCGCTTTCCAACCAAACTTCCAAGTCGCTAGAAGTTTTGGCCCAGCTGGGTGAAGACTTTAAGACATCTCTAATTTACAACTGGAAATACGATACCAGGAACAACTTGCATCTTCCCACCAGTGGACACTACTACCGTCTTGGCTTGGAATACAGTGGCATCCTTGCTGTAAATAATGTTCGGTACAGCAAAATTGTCGCCGAGACTCAACATGCTGTGGAACTCAACGACTCACATTCAATAATTGGAACACTAAAATCTGGCTTTATAGCCTCCCGTGGCTCTACAAGCAGCATATTGGACCGGTTTTACATGGGGGGTCCTAATGATGTTCGATCGTTTGTCCACAATGGCTTGGGTCCCAAACTGTTCGGCTCTAGCATTGGTGGAGATTTTTTTGTCAGTGGAGGGTTTTCCTTGGTTTCTCGATTACCGGCAAAAGCACGAGACAGCAACTTTCGGCTTCATAGTTTTGTGAATGCTGGTCACTTGGCACTGAATTTAAAAACGCTCAATTGGTTGCAACCGTCGGTTGGTTGCGGAATCGGTATACTATACAACCATCCCATGGCTCGGTTTGAGCTTAATGTGGTGGTTCCTTTGACGGCACACGAGCGGGATGGACTCCGAAAGGGGATCCAGTATGGAATCGGAATCTCGTTTTTGTAAGAAGGAACAATTGAAACATTTGGTTTCTGCTGAAAATGTTAGAGAAAAATGATAGAACTGCTCGTCAACTGAAGATTTAGCAGTGAAGAAAAGAGAGATTTGAATTAGCATTTATTCTGAAAGGATCAGCAAGGTCGTCTTGAAGAGAACAAATAAGAAGAGTTGGTTGCTCGACATGAAGCTTATAAGCTTTTCGAAGGTTACCATACTAAACTCTCAGGAAGTTTAGAGCCAAAAATGGCTCGTCTAAATTTCACGAAAATCACCTAAGTCATTCTTATCATACAATTTTTTGGTGCTTTCATTGCTTGTATATATTGCATTGATCTACTTTAGATTCTAAGCTGATAATCTACTCTTTTCTCTTACTCTCAATCCACTTATGGTGCCTTTCGATCACCGCCGGCACAATCAAACTTTCAATTTCCACTCCATTTTTCTCCTCCTGCTCCGACAACCGAACCCACTCAGTCTTTTCGTCGGGTGTTACCAAAACAACTTCTTTTTTTCTCGTTTGGAGCAAATTTCCAATCACCAATTGATGCTGGTAACGAGATAAAGCCGTCAAAGATTTTTGTAAAAGAATTGAATTATCAGTTTCCAATTTGAACGATACAATCATGGCAGATGGTGCCCAACTGTCCACTAAACGACGTAAGAATTTAGGTACTTGTTCAAGGTCAATTACCAATTTTCCACTTGGCTGCGACTGGATTTTATGTTGCGGCATTCTGGACTGAGGAAGAAAAAAATCAGAAACTGCTGCTGCCAAGTAGAACAAGGCTCCGCTGTCCAATCTGCTCATTATGGTGGAAGCAGATTTCAATGTGTACAAATATTGGTTCACTGTGGTATATGGAATGAGAAGAAGCAGATTCGACTCGGTCGCATTTTTATACTTGCGAAGCACCACCAACATTTCATCAGCAAAATCAGGGTTTATTTGAACCTTGTTGTCGATTTCGGTCATATAGTCCAAAAAGCAATTGGTAGTATGGGAATAATGGCGAGAATATGGAAGAAGCGAATACTCTCGATGAAGAAATATTACTGCGTAATCATTTTCCAAAAAATATTCGGCAGAAGTAGCTCCTCTGGTTCCTGCACTGAAATTGTCAATGAATCTTACTGTGTTATTTTCAAGCGGAACCGTAGTTCCTCCAGAAGTCACTAAAACCACATTTTTTTTCCCGGCGTGAAACTCTATGAATTTAGTCATTTGTTCTTCAAGCTCAGGAAGGTACGCCGGCGGTTTGTGCAGGGAAAAGTAGCGGTCTTCGTCCAAGACCTCAGCTACTGGAGGATCCGCATGAGTACGGTCGATTGCGGTTTGCGGTTCAGGATGCGCGGTTCCATAGGAACGGTGTTTTGACATATGCACAGAAGGTTAGCAAATCGACATATGTACAGAAATCACAGCGCAACCTGCATAATGCCCCGCCATATACGACCAGACCCCAGATCCCGCATCGCACCAGCCTGCATCAGTGTCACCAATATCTGCACCAGCAACTGCACTAACATCTGCACAATATCTGCACCAATCTGCACCGTTGCGTTACATCGATGTCCGCAAACTACTGGTCGTCATCGCAACGCAACGTTTGGCAGCACACCCGCCAATCGTTAGCCGAATGTCGCCGCCGGCTTCAAGTGCTCGAAAAAAAAATGATTCAAAATGGCTTTATTAAAGACTACCCGCATATCACTTACCAACCCCATGTCCGGATCTATTTGCATAATTGTATGTATGCCCTCGGAACCACCCGGTTGTCCCTGCTACTAACCCCAGTGCTATGCAAGCTTGGCCGCCGCTTGAATATAAGACAGGTGGCCCTCGCTTCTGCCGAAGTTTTTCTTACTCGTTTTCTCATCAGAGTTCTGCTAAAAGAGATAAATATTTACCTTTTGGCCACTACTTGCTTGTACGTTGCTTGCAAATCAGAAGAATGTCCTCAACACATTCGGCTTATAATATCCGAAGCTCGAAATTTATGGCCAGAATATATCCCCCACGACGTGACAAAACTCGCCGAATTCGAGTTTTACTTAATCGAGGAAATGGACCTGTATCTCGTTCTCCATCACCCCTACAAATCACTCCTTCAAATCCAACAATACCTCAGCGATAATTTTGCAACCTACAAATTTGCCCTCACAGAACAAGATCTTCAACACGCGTGGTCTATAGTCAACGATAGCTACGTGACCGACGTCCACCTCGTGTATCCCCCACACATCGTGGCGGTAGCGTGTATTTACATCACGGTGGCTTTAAGGCGCCACGCATCAACGGGCGATTCTACTGGCGCAGGCGACTTGACTTCGATGCACATCGACGATTTAGCCGATATGTCGGTAGTGGCTAGCAGCGGCGACAATTTTTCGTTCGATCACGACGTCAATAGAGCTGCAAAACTCACCAATTTTATCAACCATTCTCATATGAATCTTGAAGAAATTGTTGATGTAGTCGAAGACATTCTCAACTTGTACGTTCTCTGGAACCGGTACAATGAAGCCAATTGGAAGAAGGCGTTTCAAGATATGTTATTGGGGCAGGTACCCCGCTAATCAGCCTCGAACCCTGGTTCATACCCTGTTGCCGCATTGGGGCATCAGGCACCGCACGTGACGCGAAATTTTTTTTCAACCGGTGTCAAACACGTCGTTGGTATTTGATGGCTTCTCCCAATACTAAGGGAATGGCAGTGGCAGAGGCAGTGCCTGGAAAAGTCACGACAAGTCGCCTGAAACCGTCCAAAATGTCACGAAAGGGACCGTATCACACGTCATTTGTGGCGACAGTTGAACGTAATCAGATCCCAATTTCCCAGGTTTTGCTTGCATGCTTGTACATGCTTCATATCTTCTACCCCAAACTCTTACCCATCACCACAAAGTTCATCCATCTCCAATACAAGATCGGAACGGGGTCCGACGGCGCTCCGCTCTACGATATTGGCATCGACGACGCCTACTATGTGGCTCATTGGGTGATCACCCTCACATTTTTACGAGCCTTCTTGATGCAATGGGTATTTGGACCATTTGCTAGTATGTCCAACAAGATCAAAACCAAGGGAGCCCGCACGAGGTTCTGTGAACAGAGTTGGTTGGTTACCTATTATACGTTTTCGTTCGCATATGGCATCTATTTGTATGTCCACTCGCCATACTACATGAATATCGATCACCTTTATCTTCATTGGCCCAACCACAATATGACTGCGGGATTCAAAAAATACTACCTCATCTCCATGGGGTTCTGGTTCCAACAGGTATTTGTTCTTCACATCGAAAAACGCAGAAAAGATCACTATCAAATGTTAAGCCATCACATCATAACTTGTTGCCTTATGGTCGGCTCCTATAATTACTACTACTTCCGTATCGGCCACATAATTCTCATGATCATGGATTCAGTCGATATTCTCTTCTCGGGAGCCAAAATCTTACGGTACCTCGGCTACTCCAAGCTTTGTGACTTGATGTTCTTCTGTTTCCTTATGTCGTGGATCATCTTGCGGCACGGCTTGTACAACTATCTTTACTATCACGCATGGACAAAGGCTTCATCGCTCATGCCCGACGCCAAATGCATCCCTGGAGTGTTGCAAAGGCGGTGTTGGACCAATACTGTGATCAACACGTTTTTGGGCCTTTTGGGAGGGCTTCAGATCATCACCATTGTTTGGATGTATTTAATCGCAAAGGTCGCCTATAGAGTAGTTACTGGCCAGGGTGCAGAAGACGTCCGTAGTGATGAGTCTGATGAAGAGTAGCATAGCATTAATTCAGGATTAGATACTTTTAACCGCATTAATTCACGACATCATTCTATCGCAAACTAACGTACAAGCACACCACCATCACCACAACACCCCAAACCACAAGAAGAAGCGATAAGGTTTTCAACAATTTCTCATATCGACTTATAATTGCCAGCTCCGATCCGATAAGCTTGTAGCCGAAAAGTCCTGGAAGAATGAACGAAATTGCAGTGGATCCTGTTGCGCCCACAACCGCCAAAACTAGGGCAAAAGACTTGACGCTTACAGCCAATATGTAGCCCACGACGAGGAGAATCACCGTCAAAGGAACAAACGTTTTTTTTATGGGAGGCGAGGGAGCTTGCGATTCCAAAAGTGGAGTCTCGTCGTCGATTTCAACACTCGATTCTTTAGGCAGTATGAGCCATTGGTATATGTTGTTGACGCTGATTCTCGCAGGGTGGAGCATCAAGGGAAAGCTGAACAAAACCATGAAAACAATACAAAGTTTTCCAATCGTGGCAGACAAAGAATGCGAATACAGCAAGATGATGTTTCCCGAAACCAAATCGCCAAAAGTCAAATATCCAGCAAGCCCAACAGCCACGAAAAGACCTGAAGATGCTAAGATGGCGGTTGTGATGAGCGAAGTTAGGCCTTGAAGCGACCGATCTGACGCTTCATTGATAATTGAGAACATATTCTGGTGGCCAGTGAAAGCGAAAACGATGATAGAAAATGTGGAAAAAACGCCCCACGCACTCTGTGGCACCAAATGGCGCTCTCCTGGAACATAGGCGTCACCTAGAAAGAAATGGAAAATCACCAAAATCGACATATACGCAATAGCGGCAAGACCCAAAATGGAACTGTATTTCAACGAGTCCAAATTCCGTAGAAACGAAAGCGGAACGCACACAAAGGTACTCGCCAAAATCCAGAACACTTTGGGCAGCCAGAACGGTGACCCAAAGATCGTTGGCATGATATCTCCGACCAATACTAGGTACAGAATCGCGCACCCAAAACACTGGATTGCAATTGCCAAGTCAAAAACAACGGAAAGTGACTTGTAAGTGAGCGAGCTCAATGCAAAGAACGTGGCGTGTCCAGGAGACGTATATCGAGACACGTAAGCCTGAAGAAAGAGCCCATAACCAGAAGTGATTGCTGCGACAAGAATAATAATCACTCCAACCACAATTCCGTCGGTAGAAAACGCAAGGGGCATGGAGAGCAAGCCAGCACCAATGATGGTCTTCGTGAGCGAGATCGCTGACGACGTCCTAGATGCCATTTCACGGGATTTGGTTGATAAATATACAGTCACGTGACGTGGCACGTGATAGTGAAATTGGGCAGAATCGGATTTTTGGAGGTTTTTTGGACGTTAATGTCGTATTAGTGACGCGATGCAGTCGCCGAGGAACTTCCAGCACCGGTTTTTCAAATTGTCAGTTTTGGCAAACAGCAATAGAAAGAGAGCCACAAAGCGCGACACAAACTGTGGAGTGGCGGCGCCTGCATGTAGAACTGTGGCCACCTGTATATACGACGCGATGTGATTTGGTGTAGTGATGTCACTGTTTACGTCTGTGTTATGAAGAACGGCATCCATGAGCTGTCGATTTCGGTGGCGGTCCGTGTGCGGCCGTTTACCGAGGCCGAGCTCCGGCGGCTATCTGAGTATATTCCGGGGCCACGACCGGTGGACAATGCGCAGTTGGCGTCGTCTGCGCCGCCGGTGGTGACGCCAGCAGCAATCCGACGAGTACTCCGGGTTGTTGATGAAAAGATGTTGGTGTTTGATCCGGCCGACGAGGGCGGCGGACGACATTGCAGCCTGGCCAATCCGAGGGCACGCGAACATCGGTTTGTTTTTGACCGGTTATTGGACGAGACCGCGGGGCAGGTGCATACATATGAGGCCACCGCCCGGCCACTTATAGACAGTGTACTTGACGGGTATAATTCGACGGTGTTTGCATACGGAGCCACCGGATGTGGCAAAACGCATACCATTGTAGGACCGGAACTGGATCCGGGGGTGGTTTTTTTGGCAACACGCGAGCTTTACGACCGGCTCGAGGCCCGCACCGATAAACCGTCGGTCACGATGTCGTACCTCGAGATCTACAACGAAACGGTTCGAGATCTACTTAATCCGACCACCACATCCAACCGGTTGGTTATTCGAGAAAATGCCGGGGGCAAAATGACGGTTGCAAATCTTGCATCTCATGCCCCCGGAAATGTTGATGAGGTGATGCAACTCATAGCCATTGGCAACCAAAACCGAACCTGCGCTGCCACCGACGCCAATGCGGTATCGTCGCGATCACACGCGGTGCTCCAGCTCACCGTTACCACCGGAACTCCCGAAGACACCACCGACGCCAACCTGTTCCACGTCACCTCGGCCACATTCACGTTTGTCGACTTGGCCGGAAGTGAACGCGCCGCCGCGTCGTCCAACCGAGGCACCCGACTCCACGAGGGCGCCAACATCAACCGGTCGCTCCTTGCATTGGGAAACTGCATCAACGCCCTCTGCGATCCGCGCCGCCATAAACATGTTCCTTACCGCGACTCAAAACTAACACGTCTTCTTAAATTTTCTCTTGGAGGAAATTGTCGAACCGTGATGATTGCTTGTGTATCGCCGCTGTCGCACCATTATGATGAAACATTAAACACTCTCAAATATGCTGACCGGGCAAAACACATTTCTACAAAAGTAGTGAGAAATCGCCACACTGTTGACCGCCATGTTGGCACGCTTCGGGCCACCGTGATGGCTCAGCAGCGGGAAATCAACCGGCTACGACTCCAGCTTGGCCAGCTTGAAACTTCTGGCAAAAATCCGCTGGCAAAAAGGAGCTCTCTGGCGATTTTGGCCCTGGTTGACCATGAACACACGTCGCAAACATTAAAGAATCTATGGTCCCAAATCAACTCGCTGGTGGAGTCTCGTCGTCGGAAATGTACGTTGTTGGCCCAAAGACTGATCTTGTTTCGCCACCGATTGCAGGCATCTTTTTTGGCGGAAAAAATTCAGCATTTGCCCGACAAATCCGTACTCATTTCGCTCGTGGCAACCATAGACAAAACTATCGCCATGTTGGAGTCACAGTATAACACACCCGACGAAACAGACGAGTTGTTCGCAGTGGCGTCGCAGGTCGATCCCACAGCAGACTCAAGTCCTCACTGGCACGAATTCCATCGGTCGGTGGTGCAACTCGCACACCAAAATTACAGTGGAATTGTCGTCCAAAAAGCTTCTGTTTTCCTTGAAAGCTTGCTCTGTGCTGCGCCTCACCTCGTGTGTAGCCACGCCGACACCGACTTTGCCACTGAGTTCATCAACACCGTTTCTGACTTTGTTGGAGGAAAGCACGATCATGTTATTAAAAACCACGCACAGTGGTTTTTCAGCCAGCTGCAACACCAGACGGTCCAGCCGCCTGTACCTCCTCAAAAACCTTTGTCGCGTCGCCGCAAATCTATCAGAATGCTGCTGGCAGAAAAACGGGTCCGATGGGAGTTTCCCGACCAGTCGGACAGACAGATGGACAAATCCATAGACAAGTCGATGGATCCCAGCGACTTTAGTCCCGACGGGTCCGAGGTGGGGTCGCCAAAAGCGCCGTTTGATGAGCTCGACTTGTCGTTCGACCCTTCTCTCAGTCTGCCTCCGCTATCGGCGGTGCTTCCAGAACAGTTGAACAAGACTCTCGCCGTGAACAAGGTGAGGAAACCCGGCCGAATACCACTCACGGCTCGAAAACTACCTACTAGCGACACAATTCAGGAAAATTCAGACTCAATTGAAGAAGCGGTTAGTCTGACTCCGGTCCATAGTCCTGGCTCTCCGCGATTGGGACCACCAACAAGAGCGATTGATCGTTGAGGACAGAACAAAGCACAGCATTTTGATGAGTTGAAAAGTCAAAGTTTACAACCTCTAGAGATCAGTTCTTATTGTTAATTCTGATCTACGTATATTCTGGATAAGTCAGGTCAGAAAATTGCATTTTATATTGAATATCAACATACTTTTGAGTCTGGAGTTTGCACCGAATACAGCCTTACTGATATCCAATACAAAGCGGTATTGTTCAAAGTATTCAAAAATTTACCCTGTGGATACTCAATGTATACTATTTCATCAAGATACGTAGAAGTAGTTTTAAGATTTCAAGGTTGTAGAAAATGAGTACTCATTGCAAAATAGAACAAGACAAACGATTTTTTATTTATCAATGAAAAACTAGTACCTGTCGTTTCTTCCGTAATTGTCACCTCTGCCGTAGTCATCTCTACGTCCACCATAATCATCTCTACGTCCACCAAAGTCATCTCTTCTTCCACCAAAGTCATCTCTTCCACCAAAGTCTCCGCCATGTCTTCCCTCGTGTCTTCCTTCGTTTCTGCCGTAATCATTACGACCGTAGTCATTTCTACCATAATCGTTTCCGCCTCCGTAATTGTCATTTCTTCCGTAATCGTTTCTTCCACCATAATTGTCGTTTCTTCCTCCATAGTTATCGTTTCTTCCATAGTCGTTTCTTCCCTCATGTTTGCCCTCGTGGCCTCCCAACAATCCACTCACCATTCCACCGAGACCGCCCTGGCCATGACTCTGGTTCTGGCCCTGGTAACCCTGGTTCTGGTTGTGACGACCCTCGAACGCATCCTCAAGCTTGTTGGCTCCAATTGCGCCCACTAAAGCTCCACCAATTTTTCCGAGCGTCGAGTGTTCTTGGCCGCCCATTTTTCCGCCGCCATAACCGCCAGCAACTCCACCAATAACAGTTGATAAAAGTCCTCTATCGCCCTCCTGTCCCTCGCCTCCTTGTGGGCGTTGTTGTTGGGACTCTGGACGTTGGTAAGATCCCTGATCTCCTTGGGAGTAAAATTCGTTGGCAGACATTTGTGGGAATCGAGGGGAAACGTTCCTTATATAGGGGCCCTGGATCTGATGACGTCATGGATGCAGGGGACACGCAAGAGAACGCGTCGACAGAAGTCGGATTTCGAATACGGAGGTGAAACGGAGATGAAACGGAAATGATAGAAACGATTTACTTACATGATGACGCAGTCCTTTTCGGCCAGGCCGGAACTCTTTTTAATCTTCTTTTGGAGTTTTGCCGCCACTTGCTTGTCGTGAATTCGCGACACCGCTTTGGCTTCGCCATGTTCAGCCGCACGCAAGTACCATGTCTGAGCCTCAGCGTCATTTTTTATGCACCCGATCCCCTTGTCGTAAAAATTAGCCATTGCAAACTCTGCTTTAGGTAGCCCACATGCAGCTGCACGCTTAACCCATTCGAATGCTTCACTTTCATCTTTGGGGAGATACGGATCACTTCCGACCAAGTACCATGCACCCATAGCGAGCATACTGGCCGGATCTCCACCCAATGCCGCTTGGGTATAATAATGGATCGACAAGTTTGCATCCTGTGGAACCGTGTCGCCAACCTCGTAAAAATGGCCGAGGGCTGCTGCCAGTTGTATGTGGCCAAATGCAGCCGCCTGCGAATAAAGTTCCAATGCATACTTTCGGTCAACAATGACAATATCTTTGAACCCTTCCAAATATATTTTTCCAAGTTCATAAGGTGCTGCCGCAGTCAATTCTGTGGCAGCAGTAGCTGCACGTGTAAGCCACTTGATTCCCATTTTTTTGGTGTTGTCATCTTGTCCGAGACCCATGCGACCATGAAACATGTACACTCCCAATTTATACATTGCAGCTGTATGATTACGAGATGCAGCCATTTTGAGGTAATCCAATGCCTTACGTGCATCACGTCCAGTACCCAATCCCTCCTCGTAGCAATGTGATGTCCGGTACGCCGATTCTACATGTCCCTTTTTTGCAGCCGACTGGAAAAGACTGAATGCTTCTTTGTTTTCCGGCTTGCCAAATGCACCGGAACTGAATGCATCTGCAAGCAAGTATTGCGCCTCGGCGTATCCCTTGTCGGCAAGCTTTTTAAGGTAAAAGTGGGCCTCACGAAGGATGGCGCGGCGCATCTTTTTCTCATCAACAACACCGGAATCGGAATTGGCCTTGGTGAGGTCGGATGAGAGTGACCTGGTTTTGCTATGATTGAGGCGAAACCGCGATTCCGATTCGGTTGCAGCAGCAGGACCGCGGTAAGGCGAAGTTTCACCCGACTGCGACGGGGTCACCCCCGGAGAATTTGCACCGGCATTGCTTTCCATCATCAATGCGGTCTGGAGCATATACTGTGCATATTGGAACAATACCGTCGGATCGTTGGTTTTTTTCGCGTTTTGCCGGTACAATTCGATGGTTTTAAATCTTGGAACCAACGAACTATTGTTATTTCCGAGGTATTGACGAATCAAATTGTTATCCAAATCGACCACACTCAAGTTTTCCCGGTCATAAAAAAACGACGAAGTGGAAGAAACCGACCGGTTATGGCCCCACCTCGGACTTGGTGACGGCACAAGATTGCTTTCCGACTCTGTCAACCTAGGGGGTGTCACAGCCGGGCGGTCGGAGGCATTTGGGTTCGGATTGAGCGCCAAATTTGTGAGCGACGACGTGGCCGAAAGTGGGGTTTGTGACAGGTCCATTCCGGCGGCAGCGGCCGTCGTTGGTGATGCAAATATCGGAGGAGGGGATGCAGGCGTATGTGACGGGTATCCTGGAGAATTTGACGCTTGCTCGAGAGGAGTTGCATAACCCTCGGAATTGGGGTTTTGGATGGGGGATTCCGGCTCGATGTCATCGACGGGATACGGCGCCGTGGCGGCTTTCTGGCGGTAGGGATGAGAAGCCATCGAGAGGATCAGTGAGAAACACGAACCACGAAACTGGTAGGGGTGCTGACGTCAGCGGAATGCATAGAAAAATATAAGAACAAAAAATAAGAGATGAAACGTAAATTACTTACAGAACAATAACAAGACAATAGCTAACTTACTAATGATTAGGATTTGAAGAGGTCTCCAGTCTAAATTTATCTATCAATTCGTTCATTTTCTTGATTATCTACATTGATCATCTATCCTACATTCTCATTCCTCTCTTCCTTCTTCTCTCTTCTCGCTCCTTTCTGCTTTCACTCGTTCACTCGCTTCAGTTTCTCAGCTATTTCCCTTCTTGCATTTCTTAGCTTTCTTAGCTTTCTCAGCATTTCTCGCTAAGCTTTATCAGGTATTCGTAGTTTGCTTTCGCTCAGCTTAGCTTCGCTAAGCTTCGTTTACTCGTTCAGCTCTTGAACACATGCACAACCACCGCCACCGTCGCGGCAGCCATAATACAAATCAACGACAACACCCGCAGTCCCCCACCATTTTCCTCCACGAGCAACCGCGCGCGGTCTTCCGAGTCGAGGGTGCTGAAATCTGGCGGCACAAATGGCTTTTCCCCACCACTCGCACCGCCACCCGCCGCCATTTTTGCTGCTTTTTCTGCCGCCAATGCCGCGGCCTCAGCGTCTGCTTTTTGTTTGGCGGCAATTTCCTCCCTATTTTTCCTCGCCACCTCGGGGAAATGCTTAATGAATCGCAGATCTTCCGTCGAGTTCCATTGCTTACTCTCGCGCGCAAACCGTCGCTTGACACTATCGCTGGTCACTATCGACCCGGTAGTGGCCTCGTCGCTGGTCATAAAACTTAAAAGTCCCGTCAAAATCGTCGCCACACTCCAGGCTGGATTCCACGTGTCAGGGTGGTAGTCACTCATGGAAAGACAAAGTCGAGTATTGCAAGTAAAACGGCCATTAGGCGTGACCATCGAAATCGAAGGTGGTTTGAACGGATAATCGCCGGGAAATCGTAAAATTCCGTGGTACTGACCGTCTTCAAATGGAGTACCAGGAGGGCCGGTAATGATATAGTGCCATTCTAGAATGTCTTGATCGTTTGGCTTGGCTTCTATGAACGGAGGAGGGTTCGTCGCGATGGCGCGGTACTCCTTGTTGAGTCGTTTTTGTGCTTGTCTTGAAGCCATTAATGGGTGGTTATGGAAATAGCGCAGATAAGTCGGTGTGCGCGATACACTACTGCATCCAAACACCTCACACAAGCAGATACCAAGCATATACCAAGCTTAGCCGGACAGGTGATCCGAATATTGGAAACAGCAATTCCTTAATTTCTCATTCGATCATGAGAAAACAACCATTGTTGTATTGCTGGTTTCTATTCTCGATCACCACGGTTTTCAGATTTTGGGTAGGCATGCCGGTATAATTTGCAGCCATTTTCTCAGCCAAAAATCAAAAACTCAACTGCGTTTTTTTCTCCTTTTAGGCTTCTACAACCAGAAAACTTTAGCAGATCATGCTTTTGACATCCATGGTCTACTAACAACTTTCAATATCAGCTCAAAAACAAAACTATTTTCATTCCGACTTCACCACATGAACAACGTTATTGTACTTGTCAGTACATCATTATCATGAATAATTGAGCAATTGCATTTTGAGCTTTGCTATCCTCACTTTGCTTGAAAGCAAGTTACTACAGGTTCCATTGACTTGCAGCGACAGGCTGCAATATTCAACGAAAAAGTTAAGAGATATCAACCTGAATATCATTGACAAAATCCATTCCACGTCATAACTCAAAGGTTTACTCAACAATTCACTATACTAACGACCGACGTATCACTAGTCACTACGGAAAGATTTCTGGAATTTTTCACCACTTCGGATTTTATTCACTAGAAACATCACATCATACTTTTCACTTCGATTATTGGAGAGATCACTGCAAACTTTTCACTTCAGATTTATTCGACTCCAACTTTTTCACTCCGGCCGACGTCCAATGGCCACCATGATCTTCCACTCCACCACACAAGTTTCAACACCGTCATTAATTCCAGTTCTCATTTCACCAGCTTCCAACTTTTTGGCTTCCACAGGCAGATTTGCTACAAAATTTTGTGGAACCCATGCTTTCGTTGATAATTCCACCGCACTCGTATTCTTCTCCAAGCCGGCAAATTCAAGAGCTTCGTTCAAACTTTCGGGACTTATCACGCTGTGACGTACACCCTTAAAGTCCTTCAGTACTTCTGCTCCGGCGATTTCTCGGTAAAAATCGACAATGTAGAGCCATCCACCCGGTTTAAGAAACGATGCCAACTTTTTTGTCATGGCTCCAAAATCGTGGAAATGGTGGTACGCCAACGAACAAACGATCACATCGGCCGAGGATTCAAGAGGACGGATATCTGCCTCGGCTTCGTCACTCAAAATGTCAGCTTTGACAATTTTGGTCCATATTGAAGAGTCTTTGGTAATCACATCCAACTGTGATTTGAACCTGTTCAAAAATCCCTCGTTAATATCTACCCCCACAATTTTGGAAGCCTTGTCTTTTGCCTCCAAGTAAGGTACAAAAATTCTATCTAAAATTCCAGGTCCACAGGCAAAATCCAATATGGTTGCACCTGGTTTGATAGGACAGTTTGGAAAGTTTGAATTGAAATTCTTCACCGAGGGTAAAATACTTTCATTAAAACCACCATCCTCGGCGTCTGGATTTCCAACAGTCTTTGGAGAATTTGTGGAATTGTTTCGAGTCGCCAATGGATCTAATTCTAGTACAGCTTTTGCAATCAGATAAGCAAAGGCTCTGCTACCAGGAAGGTTTTCATAGTGTTCTCCCAACGAGCTGAATTGCTCCAAATTGTCTTGTACTGCTTGTTTGTGGTGGTCCATAAAAATCATCTGGAAAGGAAAACAGGTGACTTTTATAGGTCGCAACCACCAAGTGCTTGCCTAATGGGACCAGTTAGGTCTATGAGCAATATTCGTGCATAGGCACATTGGATCTGTTAAATCCTGTTAAATCCGTGAGGGTCGAGCATTTTTTCCTGCATGGCTCACAGCCAAAATAATTTGTGTTCCTGCATATATACTGCTGGGATCTGTTAAATCCGTGTGGGTGTTTTGATCTAATCGGGTATCGAGTGTCAATTCCTGCAGACAACTCCCCATCGTCAAGAAGGTCTTCTATCGATTCTGGAACCTGGTAATGATACCAGGTATGGTATTCGGATCCGCCGCTCCGAGTAAACATGCAAGAATGTCAGTTTGAATCCATGAACCATCTCGTCATTTGCGGCAGATTTTGACACAAATTCAGCACTAAATTTAAGGTTTATCTCAACCTCCAAATGTCAACTGAAGCCCGAAACTTTGCCTTATAAAATCAACGGTGATCCTGCAGATAGGCCTGTCATCCTGAAAGTTCGGGATTCTATGCACGAAATAGGCAAGTGAAGCGCGGCGCGATAAGGCGTGCATGATTATGCTTTGTGTTACCTAGAGGGTTCAGATCTAACGGTTGGTTGCTCCATAAAGGGGGAACAAAAGGGGGCGCAAAAGTATATAAGAAGTCGGTTGCCCGAGCATCTGTGTGATTTTTTATCGCGTGAGATATTACTTAACGGCTGATTATAGAATTTGCAGCAACTGAAAATGGCAACGGCAGAATTACTTCTGGCTATCAAGGCGGGAAATGGCTACAAGGGTTTCTCCGAGGAATTCTACGACTCGCTGGTGCTTGGTGAGACCTATGCCCAGCTCAAAAAGTATGAAAGTGTCAAGTTTGATCCAATGGTGCATTTGAAGTTTTATTCAGAAGACCCCATTCACAAGTTTAATTTCAACAATACCAGAAGATTGACGATGGAAGAGTTGGGTCTTACTAGCAAAAAGCAAATCTCACATATTGGGGTTCTGGACCCGTTTCCTTTGTTCACTACGGAAGCTATCGAAATCATGAAACAGGAATTATTGCAAAAAGACTTGTTTTTAAAATATGCCCGTTTGTCCTACAATTCCACTTCGGGCACAGACTGTGTTGTTCGAGGCTACGCAGTCGACAATGGAATCGTTAACACACCATTTATCCATGCGGCATGGACTCATCCCAAGACCATGGAATTGGTTTCTCTCATGGCGGGAGTGGAATTGGAAATTGTTTTCGACTACGAAATTGCCCATACCAACATTGCCATGACAGATGAAGAAACAGCTCTGAAGGAAAAGGAGTCTGCGCTTGCCAGAAGTGTTCCTCAAGACGTTGAAAATATTCCTGCTGTTGTTGGATGGCATCGTGATAGCTACCCATTTGTATGTGTGTTGATGATGAGCGATACCACCAATATGGTTGGTGGAGAAACTGCCTTGAGAATGGGTGATGTTACAGGCAACAAATTTGCCGTGGTTCCTTCTCCACAGTCAGGACATGCTTGTGTGTTGCAAGGTGGACTCATTGAACATATTGCTCAAAAGCCTGCTGGAATGACTGAGAGAATTACCATGGTTACTTCTTACCGTCCCAAAGATCCTCTCAAGTACGACAGTTCTAACCTTAAAACTGTGAGACCAGAGATCAATTTTGGGTCGATATACAACACATTTTACCCTCAATGGGTAAAGTACCGGTGCCAAGTTGCAATCAAAAGACTCGAAAATGTCGTGGAAAATATGACTGATGAAGCCGGTAACTTTGATAAGGATTCTGTTACCGATTTGTTGTCTAACGTTGAAGAATATGTCAAAGACTCTTACGAGGAAATGAAAGTGAGCCCTCTGGAATGGGAAAAGCTTCGCAAAAAGGTTGGTATGTGACTGAAGGTGAGAGAAGAAGAGAGTGAAAGAAGTTATGAATTGGAATAAATGTTTACTGGAATAGAGAGGATATTGAACTGTAAGACTGGTATATGAAGCAGACTGATGATTTGAGTCAGAAAAAATTGATTGAATATCTTTTGTGAAATATTTCAGTAATCTGTAAGTGAGACAATATTTTTTCACCTTCGAATTCAAAGAGCTGAGCATTTAGTAGATCTAAACGGCAACATAATAATATATTTTTATTGAATTCCAATTTGCAAGAAACCAGAACCTAATTGTGACTCAATTCTTAAACTAATTATTGGTGAGAATCTTCTAAAAAAAACTAGCAGCTAATCTAAAAGACATTTGCATCGTATTCGCTTCTAGCCTTTTCTCTCTTCTCATACATGTCTAATCTCAACATATTCTGGCTTTCACCGAACTGAATTACTGGCAACACAACTTGTTCCAAAAGGTTTTTTCCTCATGATCATTGACCTGCTGTTGCTCGTATTGGTTGGCATGGTGACCAGGAGAACTATCGTAATTGTTAGCCAATCCGTTGTTCTTGGCCATCATATCTGGAACGGGACCCAGCTCCTGCTTGATAGGAGGAAGAGGACGGTTGACCAAATGCTGCAACTTTTGTTGGTGAAGCTGAGCTGCTGACAATTGCTGCTGTTGAGCTGGTGATTGCTGGCCCAGGCTGGTTTGGTGATGTGCGCGCAGCCGCCGCTGGTCTCTGTGTCTTCTATCTCTATCGTTGGGGGGATTAGGATGGCCATACCCGTGCAAATTGGGCTTTTTGTTGATGGTGGCATCCCATCCTTTCCCGCCGTTAAGATGCAACCAATCAAAGTCCCCGTCACAAGATTGTCCCAAGTCGTCTAATATCGACAAAAAGAGCATTCTGTACTCTTCGTACGCCGGCTCGGCATCGAAAGGAAGCGACCGCACCAGGTCCAAGTACTCGGCAAACTGGCGAGGCAATCCGTCGCACAAGGTGACGGCAGGAGTGGTACGTTTTTTGTCACCAATTTTCTCGTACTTTTGCTTATTAGTGGGTGCCTTCAATCCTTGCCATGGCAATTGTCCTCTCAAAAAATAGAAAAATACATGGCCCAATGCTTCAAGGTCATCACGTCTCAGCTGTTCTCTGCCCAAATGAGTGTTGATGGACATGTAACGAGCAGTGCCGCTCAACGACTTCTTCTCGCGGTACGGAATGTGCTGCTTTGTACGAGGGTCCCGGTACTGTTTAGCCATTCCAAAATCAATGAGATGAACTGCATTTTCATCGGGCATTTGTGGACGGCCTATCAAAAAATTATCCGGCTTGATATCACGGTAAATCAAGTCATGGCGATGTACTTCCTCGACCAAATTCAACATTTGCACGGCAATTTGCACCACCGTCTTCACGCTGAACCGACGACCACACCAATCGAAAAGATCCTCCAACGACGGTCCGAGCAAATCGATAACCAAAATGTTGTGCAAGCCTTCCTGGCCAAAGTAGTAGGCATTAGGAACGCCCTCGCACCCTTGCAAATGCTTGTAGGTGCGGTACTCGTCACGCAATTGAGGAGCCTCCGTCTTGCGGGGCTCAAACTTGATGGCGACCGGCACGCCGTTGATGATATTTGTTCCTTCGAAAATCACCCCAAACGACCCTTCGCCAATCTTCTTCCCGATCTTGTAGTGGAGCCCCACCACCGAGTTGTTGGAAGATGGTTGTGAGGCTGTGGCAGCAGCGATGGCAGCAGGATTAGTTTGTCTGCTCATCAGGGGAAAATCAAACTGAGCCTTCAATAATTTTCAGGTTAAGATTTGTGTGTTGGCGATGCAAAAGAACGAGTCTTGTATGTGGATGGTGTTGCTTGTGTGTGGTATGCTACCGCCCCGCTACACCTCAACCAGATCCAACAAAGTGATTGAGATAATCAAGTGCCGTTTACAAAATTCCTTTTGCTCGACAATGTTACACAAATACACCAGGGTGGGCGGGGGTGCGGATCCGAGCAGGGAGGGAGACGACGACAGAAAAGAAGGAAGAATTCAAATAATTCTTGATTCCTGAAGCAGAGCTAACTGTATGCTCTCTTGTTTTCTTTTCTCAAGTTTTGTTTTCTCAATTCTTTTCTTTCTTCTTTTTTTCTTCATCCGCCTCTCACCAAATACACCGTGTCGCCGTCTTGGAACCTACTGCATCTTTCGCTAGCCGCCACGAGTTGCGGCTGGTCCTGGGCCATGGTGAACATCGCTAGCCGCTGTAGCCCGTCGCTGGTGCTGTTGTTGACATTTTTGACCCGTAAACTCTCCGCCAAAGCATCAATGGCTCTTCCCACCGGCCACTGTTTCGAGAACCAAATCGCTTGTCGTTGCTTTTCCACGTCAATTTTCTTGGTTGTTTCGATATCGCCGTGGGCATCAACATACAAACACCACACGTGCACACGGTCCACTGGCTTTACTTTGGGATCTCCATGAGCAGCTTTACGTAGTTGTAGAATTTCCACCGTTCGAGACCGTTTTGCAGCCGATTTCTTTTTCTCTTTCTGGGCTCCAAATAGAACCTTGAGCTTGCTGAAAGCATTGTTGGTGGTCGCCGCCACGTCCCCTACGCGAAACTGTGTCTCTTTTATAGTGGTGGGCTTCTTTGGTGCGCTCAACGATTTTTCAAGTTTTTCACGATCTTGGCTCCGGTCCGGAAAAAGGGCCGAAACCAGCCCTTTGGTTCGCTCCAGCGATGAAGAAACTGGCGGACTTGGCAGCTTGTCCAAGAGAACCGGACAATGGTGTTGCAATTGGGTTCTATGAGACGCACAGAATACCTTTTTGCAGCCGTCACACGCAAAAGGAAGAAAGTCCAACTGGCGACAGTAGGCACAGTGCTCGCCTATATCCATGATTCCTGACATTCTTGGAAAATAAATGGAAAAATGATGAAAATGGTGGATGGTGATAATTTGCAATCGAGCTTAATTGTTATAATTTGTTGGAAAATTGAACTTCAAGTACACGTCTCTTCAGTATTTGTCGTCTGTGGTTTCGTTTTCTCGGCGTAAACTCGTAATTAGTAAAACAACGTCGTAAACACAAAATTGATAATTTTTGATTCTTTGTCAAATGGCAATTATCGCTCTTATTTCAGTAGAAAGAAGCGCTAAAATCTCCTTAATTTGTACTTGTGTTGTGCTGGACTCCAGGTATACTCTAGTGCTTTCAAATTTCCATAAAATCGCCGGCTTTATATACTTTGGTGGCGGTGGCGATGATGCGGGTGTCTGGCTGACTTTTTGGTTTTTGAGAAATTCTCAAAAGTTCAACTTACTTCTTCAGAGAGCGAAAAATAAACTCGTGCAACTGCGTCACCACGGCCTTTACAGAGCCAAAAACGTGTCTATATCATCTTCTTCAGACGACCAACACTATAGACTTGTTGTTGACTAATTATAATTAATACTGGCAGAAGTATTTACAATACCGCGTCTAGCCATAAAACACATCATCCATACATTTCCCTCCCAGCGCTTTTAGACCATTTATTTTAGGCGGTTTTATGTCCAAATACGACCTTAATGTTCCCTGGCCCGTTCTAGGCTACGGCAAGGCTTCTCCCGCCCAAATTGCATCGTTGAAAGCAACCATAAGCACCGCATTTGCCCTCGATTATACTCATATTGCCATAAATTTCACTGTTCCCGAAGGCACACGGCTCCCAGTCCATGATGCGGCCTCGATAAACCCCATTCCAATGGCGGAGTTGTCAAAACACTTTGAAAAATCGTTTCCTAAGGCTCGTCTATTTTCTCGGTTGACGCTTATGGTGGCCGATCCCGCCCAAATTCAGGGCTTAGCGAAAATTCAGAACCATTTCGATATACTAGCAGTGCAGCCGACCACGGAAAAGGCATTGCAACTCGCCGTTTCCAATCTTGACATCGATATAGTGTCGCTCAATCTTTCACAAAGACTTCCATTTTACCTAAAACACAAGACAGTTTGCAGCGGAGTTGACCGTGGCGTGCACTTTGAAATCAGCTATGCGACTCTCATTGGTGGTCCCGCCGGCTATACCAACAATGGCTCAGAAATGGTGCTTTCAACCACCGCCCTGGCGGCTCGAAAAAACTTCTTTTCCAACGCTCTTCAGTTGATACGAGCGTCTCGGTCGCGTGGTCTTGTGGTTTCAAGTGGTGCCACTCACCCACTTCAGTTGCGGAACAGTTCCGATATTCTTACGGTACTTAAGACTATTGGATTGGAATCGGGAAGAACAAAGCATTGCGTCACTACGAGTCCAGAACGGGCCTTGGTTTCTGGACGACTTCGTATAAAATCTTACAAGCAGACGGTGATTGCTGGAAATGAAGAAGAAAGAGATGTTTTGTGGAATAATGAATCGGAAGACCCACAAAAAAAGTTGGATTCGACCGGCTACAAAAAACGAGCAGCGGAAGCAGCGGGGGGACTCTTGAAGAAGCACAGGAAGAAGGCATAGCATATAGAGATAATGGAACAAAGAAGAGAAAGTAGCAAAAAAGAAAAACCAAGTAAACTGACTATATATGATTTTGTTTAGTCTTTGGTTTGATTTGGGTGCAAAAAAATTAGCCCGACGCGGGGGTCGAACCCGCAGCCTTTTGATCGCTTCTCTTGTATAAGAGTCAAACGCTCTACCGATTGAGCTAGCCAGGCCAATCGTGGTGGAGAGTGGAATGTAATGGTATATAGTCTAACATTGCCAAATTTGCAACCGAAGTTCATATATACATTATTTATTAAATATGGTCGAGCGAATGGCCTGCACTTCACTAGGCTCAGGGTTGGATTTTGAGGTGTGTTTTTCCGTTTTCGGTGGTGGTCGCGATGGCCTTTTTGGGCGAGACAAGAATATACTTGGAGGGCGGCGTTTTCGAGGTGATGCAGTTGGTTCTAAATTTTGTGGTTTGGGTATGTCATTTTGTGTGGATGTTGTAGGTGGGGCATTAGAGGAGGTTTCTGTAATCTTGATAGGTTTCGGTGCATGAAGAGGTGCAGATGCACCCACATGTGCTGCAGCGGGCCGCATGACAGGTTGCTTTTTTGGCTGCACTAAATACTTCGAAAACGAGTCCTTGGGAGCGTTCTTTTGAAAAAGTCTCAGTCGCTCCTGGGTTTCACGACGAGCTCGCTGGATAATGGAAAGTGAAGAAAGCGGAGGAGACGATTTCAGGACCGGTCTTCGGCGAATAGTCGGATCTCGAAGTAGATGTTTTACCGGTGTTATGGCGTTTTTTGACTTTTCCTGGCGAAGACGTTGTGTCATTGACCGTAATCTCTGAGCCGAATCTCGTTGCAATGCTTCTCTTTCTGACAAGTATTTGAAATAAAGCGCTTTATGCGGCATGGGCGTATCCACAAGCAGTCTCGATGCAAGTGGCCGATTTGGGAAATCTCTACTTATGAGATTCGGCCATAGTTGGTCGGAATAAGGTATGATTTGGCTGCTTTTTGACTCGATTTGATCCAATTGGCGTGCACTCATTCGGCACAAAATTGGCTTTAATATGTGGTAAGGAGTATCGCCGACATCATGGAGAAGTGCCACGTTCAGAACGCACTTTTGTGCAGCTAGATCTCGAAGACGCTGAATCGGCATAGGACGGAAGTGACAGCGTAAATCGACGGACGGAAATCAGGAACGGAAGTGCAGAGGCAAGTGGTGCAGAGCGGTGCAGAGCGCAAAGTGCATCGTGATGATGAGTCAACACTTACGTAATCTATCGCTCACATAAGCCACCATTCCATCGTTTAACTCACCTGCAGGACGCCACCCGCGTCGGAAAGCACCTGGTTCCGGCCGGGATATCATGTTTGACAAACTACGGTCCAAAGAAAAGGCCAAAGTTGCCGAGGTCAAAGACGAGGAGTTGCGGGAGGTGGCGCTTCCCATTCCGGAGCCCGGACCTCAGTCGGTAATACCTCCGGAAAAGCCGTTGGACGAAAGTCAAAAACTGAAATATTTGAAAGTTTTGAACCATTTTTCCGATCCAGATTTAAAGGCTCCCGCCACAGAAGACGACCACAAACACAAGCGCCATGACCTGTATGTGGCGCTCAACGACTATGAGCGTGCGTGGTTAACCAGAGAGTGTTTTTTGAGGTATCTTCGTGCAACCAAGTGGGACCAAGCCGAGGCCATCAGCAGAATAGAGTTGACATTGGCTTGGAGACGGGAGTTTGGGGTTGTGGGACGTGACGAGAGCGAGTTGGAGGTCAACGGAGAGTTGTGTTCTGTGGAAAATGAGACGGGAAAAGAGGTAATTTTGGGTTTTGATAACGATGCTCGGCCTTGTCTTTACTTGAAACCAGGACGCCAGAACACAAAGACGTCTCTTCGTCAGGTCCAGCAGCTCGTGTACATGTTGGAACGGGTCATTGACTTTATGCCTTCTGGACAAGATTCGTTGGCACTTTTGATCGATTTTAAGCAGTCTCCAGTGGGGATCCAACAGGGTAAAATTCCTCCTGTGGGAACAGGCCGTCAGGTACTTCATATTTTGCAGACCCACTACCCTGAGAGGTTGGGTAAGGCGCTTTTGACCAACATTCCGTGGCTCGGATGGACGTTTCTCAAGATTATACACCCATTTATCGATCCTCTCACCAGAGAAAAATTGGTGTTTGACCAGCCATTTCCCAACTATGTGCCTCGCGAACACTTGGACAAGGACTTTGGGGGTACACTTGACTTTGAGTATAACCACGAAAAATACTGGCCGGCATTGGTCAAAATGGCCGAGGAAAAGAGGCAACGTTATTTTAAGAGATTTGAGAAGTTTGGCAGTAAAGTGGGTTTGTCCGAGGTGGACTTACGAGGCGACCACGACGAGTTGAGGTACCCTGTGGAGTAGGCTCTATCTGAGCAGGCTCATTATCCTTTGGGCTATTTGCTCTATATCCTTTGGGCTGCATTTGGCTCTCTATGTATTAATTAGACTTAAACGGCTTTGCGCACTTTCGCTTTTCGATCCGGCCGGTGGTCGAGTCCACCATTGTCTCCCAATCCAAGGGATACAAAATGCCTCCTGCTCCGCCTTCACCACGAGCGAATACCACTCCCAAATCGTTGCGAGCAGTAGTCAAGTAGTAATTGGAACCGTCTCCCAACGAGGAAATCATCCCGCGAACAATATCGCCAGGCCGGAAACAGTCCACTATTTGCACCCTGTCTCTGTCCGTCAACCGCACATCCTGCGTACGTATTATGCCCTTGAATGTCTCGCCCAAATCGGCCGCTACAGCTTTGCCGAGAGTGGATTGAAACGATGCAACTGCTGCCTGGCTTGTCAATGCCGAAGCTCCGCCGCTCACAGCAACAGACTGGTGTGCTGTAGTGCCCACAGCGCCAATCCCGGAGTCCAGGAGAACATTTTTGTTGTCTTCTACCGACAAGATCTCACAAAATGCCTGCTTTTGATTCAACCTTGTTATACGAACGAGGACCACATCGCCCTGTTTGGGAAGCACCAGCGGCAATTCTTTGCGCGGGGCAACGGAGATGACATATGCGGGTGACTTCTGCTCATCAGTGTCGTCTTTTGGCTCATTTTCGTCGCGAACCACTTTTACACTTCCAACCAAAGTGGCAGAGATCACCAGAATTGCCTGGTCTTCCACCTCAACTTTGGTGATTGTTGTGCCTGGACCCAGTATATAATGGCCCTGTGGGTCGCGGAGTGGTGCAAGATACTGCCCAGGGACCACCGATGCTCCGTCTGAAACTATGGCCATGCGATGAGATTATTTCAAAACGAAAAGTTCGAATTTGAAAAGTTCGCGAAGTCGCGAATTTGAAAAATCGACCAGAAATAAGCTTGTTAGCTGCCTCGATGTCGTATCCTCCTTTCGTCAACGGCAATCCCCCGGTTCTCCGTCTTTCCGAGTACGACGGTGCAGAGTGGGCTTCAACAACCTGTCTTGACCACAGAAATAACAAGTACGTAGTGGTCATCATGGAGCAGCCAGAAACCATAGTGGCCGAAATCGATCCACATGACCATGCCACATTGGATGCCATCTTCCGCAGTGCCCACGCCCAGCACGCACAACAGAAGTAGTCGGAATATATATTGCCCTAGAAAAAATGGGTGTAGCATCGCAGATCCTCATGCACCTCCATCTCGCTCTTCACCTGGTTGAGCTCTTCCTTGATCATCTGAGCAAGTGCCGGGGTCAATTGGTTACATGTGGCGGTGTCGGGATGCCTGTCGTAGTCGTCGCCGTTGTAGGTATCGTAGAGAATAATTCGGGAAGAAAACCGAACTCCGGCCGGAGACTGAGGTACGGCATTATTAACCTTGGGAGACCTTTTGAATGTGCGGGTGATGAACGAATTCATAGACGAAGGACTGGACTGTGAGTCTGTGGTGCCCCACAGCGATATTTTCTTGTGGATGAACAGAGGCTTGGGGGGTACAGCCAGAACAAGCGGAATATTCTCTTTATCATTTTCAAGTTCCAGTTCCAGCTCCAGCTCCAGTTCGTCGGAAGAGCCTCCAAACCCGTCGCCCACTCCAGACTCGTTCGAGTCGTCGCCAAACGAAATGTTGAACAGTTGGTGAGACTCGCTTGATCTGACTTCGTGCATCGTGAGTTTCTCGCCAAAATTGGGACCTCGAAGTCCACGAAACGACATGGAAATAGGACGAGCTCCCGATGGCTTGTCGTTGGTTCTTGGCACTACGGCCACTTCCTCGGGCAGAGCCGTTGGCGACGGCAATTTGAACGAGTCAATGGTCTCGAGATTGGGCGTAAGAGGACCGTTGTACTCTTCCTCCACATGATCTGAAACCACAATAGCAGCTGGTTTGAGCTGTTTTGGTTCTGGTTCTGGTTCTGGTTCAGCTGGTGTAACGACAACCGAAACAGGCTTTGGAATCTCTGCAAGTGACTCCACCGATGCCGATGACGAGATGATAATAGGCGAAGCTTGAAGTGATGCTTGATGCGAAACTTGACGAGGAGAAGCTTGGGGCGAAGCTTGACGAACTGGTGTCTCTGCTGCGGGAGGTGTAGGCGATGGCTGGTAACTCGAGTTTCGACTTGGTGAAAGCTGGAAATCCAATTTGTCAAAGTCGATATAGTCCGAAAACTCAATGAAATTATTCAAGTCGGATGTTCCCTCGGGAGTCAACGACGGAGACTTGGCTTTTTTGGGAGATGGAGTCGAAAGGTGTTGCTCTTTGGCCCGCTTTAATATGCTCTCGGAACGAGTCATGCCCGAATTGGGGACAGAAATCGCCCCAGTGTATTGTATAATATTGTCGTCACTTCCATTGTAGTTTGCAAACGAATTGTGCTTCGAACGAACCGAGCGAATTGACCTAGACCGTTCCAACGAAACGATACTTTGAACTTCCTGTGCACTGAGCGACTTTGGAAAGAGTGCTTCGCCAAGAAGTTGGTCACTTGGGTCGTTGGGGTCAAGATCATTGGCTTCCACAGGTTCTGTAGATTCTTTGGAATCATTGACTTCGTTGAGCTGGTGCTCTTTTTTCGCTTCGTCTTCTACTTGCTGAGGAGACTTGTATTCCACTTGAAAAGGCGACCCGAATCCGGCGTCAAGCTTCATTTCTTGGTCGAACCGACCGGGGTTATATGGAGTGGCAGGATCACTGCTGAGATTGTGCCTATCGTATTCGTCTTCAGGCTCAGAATTCGCGTACGTATCGTTCAAATCGTAGTCACTAACTTCCCTTATTAGCCCTTGCTTTGGAGGAGGATTGAAAAACTGAGGCTTGTTCATCTCTGACAGTTGCAATTGGTTGATATTCTGTGGTTGTTTGATATTGGAAATGTCTGTCAATTTCTTTACTGGAGCAGCTGGAGCTGACACATTTGTCTTGGTTTCCTCTGTATTGCGCCTACGAAGCTGCTCACGAGCCACGTTTTGTTCATCCAAATGGCTCAATGTGTCGGTTGACTTGCTCTTCTTGAACATACTTTTCCCGGAAGATTGAGATCCAGGATTGGGCTTTGCCAAAGCCGGAGAAGACGCCGAAGTGGGGATGGTAGCAGGCTCCTTTTTCTTGAACAACGCTCTAAACGAGAACTTTTTCTTTGTGGGTTCGGGTCTCGAAGTGGTGGGTTTTGGTTTCGCTTTCGTCTTCTCTTCTTCAGGCTTTGAATTGATAAACTTTGACGTCAAGTCGCTGAACGTACTGCTTCGTCTCTGTCTGCCGGGAATGGGCGGCTGGTCTTTGTTTTTGTTGAAAGACAACGAAAACGACGAATTGGAGCGAGTGTGAGTTGGGAAATCTTGAGGTGGATTTTGAGCAAGCTGTGGTAATGTGGCCGATGCGGTGAGTTTTCTGGGATTAGCGTCGGCTGGATGCATTGCCTCGAGCTCTGGTTTTTGCTCGGATGGTTTTGGCTCAGTAAGCTTTTTTGGCTCGGTTGGCTTGGCGGCCATTGTTGCCAAGATCGTCTTTGATTTCGACTCCGAATCAAGTATATCGTCGGGAATCATCAGTCTCGAAGCTGGTTGAGAGAGAGAAGGCGCTTCTTTTTGTTCTGCTTCAATCAATGTTTCATCATGATCGGAATAGGCAGATTCTCTTCTTTCTTGGAATGCAGAAATGACCCGAATAGACGGTGAAAAGTCCTTGGTGGTTTGCTTGATGGTGTGGAACTGAGCCGGTTGGATCAACTCGGGCGTCTCGTCATAAGTGCTGGAACCGGTTCCATCGGTTCGGGCAGACTTGGAGGTGTTTTTAGACGGAGACATGTCGACGGAAGTAGCCGTTTGAAACGATTGCACCGAGGATGATTCGCCGCCGTGCAAGCTGGGGGTGCTATGAGAGACCAAAGGAGCTTTTTCTTGGATTTTATCGAGTTTGGGTTTATGAACACGAACATCGTGAGGTTCATTCTGCTCATTCAGTTCGTTCATTTTGTTCGATTCGTTTGGTTCATTTGGTTGGTTTTGCTCATTCAGCTCGCTGGGCTCCTCTACAATAGCTTCGTTGATTTCCTCACCATTTTTAGGCTTCTTCTTGTTGGCCAACATCGACTCCAATGCCTTCATTGACGGCGAGTTTTTCATGTACGATGTCTTTTCATTTTCCAACGAATGATGAATAGACGATGACGACATGGAATGGGGCACCAGCACCGACTGGCGGATATTGGCAACGTGTTTCAGGATGGGGCCCGAGTAAAAATTGGCATCTAAGTCGGGAATCGACATCTGGGATTTGATGGTTTTTACCGTGAAATTAGGTTTTTTAGCGTTTAGCCTTCTTCAGCTTGGTAGCGACTTCCTAGCAGCTCGTTATCAGCTGGTGGCAGCTCGTAGAAGCTCGTCTTTTTCGTGAAAGACGGTTTTTGTTAATCAGAATTAGATTGAAATCAAAAATTCCAAAATAACGTGTTGATTATTTTCAACTATGCAATCGTTATGATGGTCCCTAGCAGCGTACACACGAAATTGTGAGTTTACTAGACGAGAATCTGGCTCTGGGTGCAGAATCCGTGACTATCCTTGAACTGGAACCAAGAAGGGCGTGGAAATTTTCGCGCCCGAAAAGGACAAATGGGGCTGGGGCGCCTATGCGGTGCACAGGCGTAGGAGGCAGAGTAGTGGGGGAGGAAATGACAGTGGGGGATAAGAGAGAACAAATTCAAATTATCGATGTAATTTGGAATGTGAGATTAGTAGTAGTTTATGATGGGGTGATTGATAGTAATTACGGTAGTACTGGTTTGGATATAAATAGAAGTTGAGAATTAAAAATTATAGAAGTAGATTCAGGAAGTTTCAGTTTAAAGTGAAATTGATTTTCCTTTTTATGGTTATTATCTCTGAGTCTACTGAGATTGCTGGTTCGCAACGGTTGGGAATTTAGACAAACGCGTCTCGCGCGCGTCGTGGAACCGATCCGTGTTGGGTGCAGGTAACAGGGCTCCGTCTAACCCAAAAGCAGATTGTGTGCAGGTCTGGAAGTTGCAACCGATAATTGAGTGCGGTGGATAACGATTTACAAAGTTTGGAAAAGTTGAATAGACAAAAGTTGGTTGGATCGTACTTTTGTCTCTACATCAGAAGACTGTGTTCATTGATCAATGAGATCGTCACAGGCTAGAGAGAGGCTGCAAGAAAGATCTGAAAATTCACTAATGGAATATGGATCATCCTCAGTATCACAAAGTACAATGTCTCAAGATCCAACTTCGAACTTTCCCAATTGGCACAAAACATCTGGAATCTGTCGCTATATAACACAATGACTCAAAAGTAATATTGAGTCGGTTTCCAACAAATAAGGGGCCATATTTGAAATTTGTTCGATTGTCTATTTCTCAATCTCCATAAACGAGGTTGTTCTTTTTTCAGCTTATTGTAAACCAGATAAGTCTGATTGGTCGACAAATCTTCTCAGCTTACTTGAGAGAAACGATAAAAAGGTTGAAATGGACAGAAATAGTGCAAACCGTATACTAAAATCTAATTCAGTTGGCTTCTGTTGAATCTTATTACAGTTGACGCACTGCAAATGGCTGCAAATTTTCCGATAAACCGTCAATTACGTTGGTTTGCTTCATAAATTGAATGATCCGATTTACTAATAGCACCAAAAAATCACTAAATCAAGAGCTAAATTGAAAATAGCTCAACACAATAAAATGAGCATCATTATTTTAAATATATTTTTTATGCTAAATTTAGGTTTTCATGCTATGTCCGTAACCCATCAACGGCCGAATTGACCAACTCACTATAAATAACTGCCCTCAGCATTCAATATAAATGAACTTGAGAACCAGGTTATTGCACCCGTGCACCCATTTTGCAACATTTGCAACTGCAACTTTTTCTGCAACTACATAACAACACAGTTGTCTTTTTTCTTCTTTATACTGGCCCGAACCGACTTTTTTGGTGCTGCTGACACCGAAGGTTTCCTTGCGGCATCCACAGATCCCATGGCAGAATCTTGCGCCGAGGTTACGGCCGTAGACACACTTCCTCGTTTTCCTTCAAAAACACTAGAAGTTTCAAAATTACTATTATTGTTGCTGGTGGAGTTGCTGGTTGTGTTGTAGAGCAGCAGCTGGTACACCTGGTTTGAGGAAAACACCGAGGCATTGCTATCATCGTTTAATCTTAATACTGGATCGATTCCAAATTGAAGAATCGAATTGGCCAAATAAAGGTACACTTTAATCCACAAGATTTCGAGTTCATGAGAAAACCTGTTTCCAAACCGCTCGTGGAACGTCTGTACCAAAGCTTCACCCATGAGCTCGAAGCTGGCGGGCTCAATACCCAAAATACGTGAGTGCCGTTTGCCCAATGACATCAAATAGTCGTCCAAAGTGGAGAGATTTTCAAGCTGGGAAACCGCAAACGAGAGCACGCCAGAAAATGCCACTGCCTGGTGCCGAATCAGCGGAAATAAGCTCTCGAGATTGGGATCCATGCTTAAAAGATTCGCATAAAGTTGACGACAAAAGAGTGACGAAGCCACTCTCGCTGCACTTGTTCTTGTGACTCCAGGCATTCCCGAGGTTCCATTTCCATTTCCAGAATTGTTTCCGTTTCCAGAAGTTCCAGAACTATTTCCAGAATTACTTGCCTTTCCAAATACTGGAAATGCTCCCGGAATATTCGTTGGCTTTGCTTTTTTCGTCACCCCCGGCTGGTCCATGAGCATCTCGTGCCACGAGTACCGGATCAACTCGATCTCCCGTTTGCTGAGCGTAAGACTTACTCGGAATTGCAGCTGGAGTGAAAAATGCGAGTCAATTGATCTCTCGGTTTCGATCCTTACAAGGTTATAGTTTTGATCCGAAGAAGAAAATGGCATCGATGGCAGGCTTGCGGGCATCACAGGTGCCACCATCAGCGAAACTTCTCGACGTGGCTTGGTTCTCATGGGATTGAGGTTGGAAAGTCTGCCTCGAGCTTGCCTAACATTCAAGGCGTTTGGGTCTTGTACTCCCATGGCATGCATCGGGATCATGAATAGAGGTCTTTTTTCAGATAAGGGGGTCTCAATGAGTTTTATTTGGCCGTGAATACTTGCTTAAAAATGCCTATTGTTCTTGAAAATTAAAAAAAAAAAATGGCGGGACGATCTTGTAAACTTTTCTGCTGAAAGAAGAGTTAGTGAAACAAAACGCGTTTCTGGATGAATCTCACAACTCAATGCACCTTCTAGTAACTTCTTTTCGCCAAAATGTGAGGTTTTAGTGTCAAACCAACGGCCCTTAAACTTTAATGCAACTAGAGATCGTGCATTGGATCATGCAACCTATATACCCAAAATGGAAAAATACATCGGCAACCGCCATGACGTGCCCGAAATCTTGCATACAAACCGCGATTGTTGGGTCCGCCCACGACATATCAGCCCACAGTAACTCCACGACTATGATCCAGCCTTCTTGGCGGGACAATGTCGGCATTTAGACACTGTTATTGTTCAGATTGTACTAGCTCACAAAGATAGTCCCTGCACGATGCTGTACGGCAAGATTCATGCACATTCTGCACACTCGTGCCATCTCCTAACACCTAGATTCCCAATCGGTCAGCGTGCATATATCGATTCGACGTACTCCAGAAAAGAATGCGCCTCCTTGCACCGGAGAAATCCGAAAAAGGCGTGCGCCTACCTAAATACGTGCCGCGGCAAACCGCTGCGTAGAGACCCTGGCGCGCCGCTCACGAGTTTGGTGCCGTTCCTATGCGCAATGCAAAGCCCGATTCTGGTCGCGGCGTGCGCGGGTTCGGTTAATGTTGCCGAGGGCAAAACGTTCTTAGCATATTGTTCATAATAGCGATATTGCAGGTGCCGCATTAAAGCTTTTTGTTTCTGCGCGGTTAGCAACTATTGAAGCAGTCCAAGAAATGCAAGATGTATACATATCGGGCACATTCCCGACGTTTATGTCTCTAATGCATGCACATGCTTGGCAAACGGAATATTATTTCGCGACGTGATGCAATTTTATCCAATTTTGTATACGGATTCAAACCTTATACTTAAAATTACACCGTTATTTACTTACGAACGCATGCGCCTGCACGCATCACTATGTTGCTTTAGGGGTCGAATTCCCCTCATCAAGGCTTGTCGGCAATGTCTCCTTGGCATATGCTGCTCCACCATGGAAAAATACCCTGATGCAGGGTTATGTACAAGGAAGCCCGAGCGTGCGTCGTGCTTAGGTACTGTACATGGCGGTTCTTCCGAAATGATCTCATCGGTGCCGCGGCAATGCCACTTAAGTAAATGAGCCCTGCATTCGGCTGTATGACATGCTATTGTTCTAATACAATGAAGAATAACCCGCCAAAATACGCCATAACTTCGGGGTAAAGTGCGCCTTGGCAATTGCCTTATATTAAAGTACCAAGGTTATGCCGCTCCAACCCGAGCTGCAGCCTTCTGCCTGCAGATCTCCAAATGCGTCGTGCCGACATCGACAAGTGTCGGACCTATCAATTACTTTCAGTGTCAATTTTGTCAGCACCGGTGAGTTCAACGTAGTAGCTTTGAAGTGCCCGTTTAAGCGCTGGAATTAATTTATCCCACCTCAAAATTCGAACTTCTTTATCAAATCCGCGCGGCCGACGAATGTCATAAGACATGATTCTCTTGGCCAATTCATATCGAAGGTCCTTATTATTAGTGTGTCCCGAGTTTCTTCCCTCTTGTATTCTCAGACTAACTGGTTTTTTCAGCCAAAACGGTACCAAATTAGACCGGATTCTTCCTCGTTCTTTTCTTCTTTCTTGTGGTTCCGCCAACTGAGTCCCAATAAGTAACTCCACAATTCCCACCACTTCCACCGATGTAATGTAGTACTCGTAGCCGGTGTGGTACCTGCCCCCATAGCCCGAATATATGGACAGCGACAGAAGTGGCAGTTGAGTATCGTCAGAGCCATTAGTATCTTCTTCGTCATTATTTTCCATCACCTCACATTGCAAGCACAGCACCTCAATAACGTCGGTATCGGGTCCTCCTGGAAGAGGGACCGGGTTCTCGTTGGCACATCCCACAATGGAAAATTTTGCATGCAAATTGGGACCTTCTTGAGTCCTCTCTATTCGGACAATTCGACGGCCATCTTCCAACTCTCCAGCACCCCACATTGGAAAACATATATCGGGCAACTCGGCGCCATCCAAATGCAATTGAACAGGTACAAACTCGGCAGAACTATATTGGTTTTCCTTGGGCGGTTTACTGGAAGATCCACCGGCCGAAACTCCACGAAGAACTCGATATCGTTTTTTCGACGATTTTTTGGGTTCAATTGAAGTTTTGGATTTTTGCATGGCATCCAGCAATTTTTGAAAGTAGGCATTGGGGTCGTAATCTGTGCCCAACATGGGCTGTTTTGGTTCTTCTTTGACGGGAAACAGCGGTGCTGGTCGGGGAACTCCGGAGCCGAAAACCGGCTCTTTCAAGTCGCCTATTTCCGTCAGCGATGCGCTGGAGTTGAACAGGAGCTGGCCGGGGTAAATGGGGTACTCCATAAAGTCGGAGCTGTGATTAGGGAGCTGGTGATGCAAGTGCTGGATGGGCTGGTTTATGTGGTTTGCCTCGTTCAAATGCGGAAGCAGAAGATGATGCAGAAGCGGGTTCTGATGCATGGGTTGATGCAAGGGTTGATGCAAGTTTGAATGCGATTGGGACGGCTGGGACAGGTTTTGGTTTTGGTTGTGGTTTTGGAGGTTCTGATTCTGACCGTTCGTATTAAGGTTTTGGTGGTCTTCGATGTTCTGGTTCTGATTGTTTTGGTTAGGCTGATTGTTTTGACTGGTATTATTTTGATTTTGACTTGGTTTCGAAAAACTCATGGGGTCCATCACCAGCGACGACGACGAATAGTATGGCGTCATTGGCGCCTCGAACCCCATCGGCAACGACAGCGTCGATACGTCGGGAACCAGTCCGTACGCCCCTAATGCGCCATAAGGTGCAGAAAGAGGCGCCGGTGACTGCATCGCAGGTGCCGAAGTGGACACTGCTGCCGCTACCGCTGCAGGAGAGAGGTACGGGTCCATGTTATTGGCGGCAAACGGAAATTCTGGGTCAGGCACCGGGTCAGTGGCAAACGGAAAGTCGAGGAACGAATTATCTGGGTCTATCATCAACGACTGGTGGAACATTATCTATTAAGAAATCGTAAAAAACCCAGAAACCTGGAAATTGTTTGTGGCACAACGAAGTAACCACAGGGGCGATTGTGGGTAACCAGATATATTGCAAGGGACTCAAATAACCGGAATCTATGACCCTATGATAGCGAAGTATTAATTGGTGTGAAAAAAAACTTAAAGGCGGCGTCTCCTCCTTTTATCTGGTGAGGCTGCATTTGGTCTCCGCCATCAAATCACCGACGTCATTAGACAAAAACAAAAAATTAAAAAATGAAAAAACAATTGCTGCAGGACCGCACGAAGGAACATTGAATCGCTTCTTCGCCACATGCATAGATCACATGAAAATGATGGAAAATAACCGGTCAACTATGCCGTCGTCACGCCGTCGGAAAAACTCTAAGCCTGCAATGACGAAGAAACACCGTAATACGACCGCGATTTTTACTATAACATTTTTGTAAACGGCATTTTGTCAACAACACAACCGCGCACCCTATACCCTATACTCCCCCACTCCTTACCGGGTATCTGCGTGCGTCGCCCGATGCCGATTGTTCCTGCACCCTCAGGCCTTTTTTGTCAAAAGACTGCATCATGCTCGTGACGGACTTTAACACCTGTGGCTCGCATCACCTTTAGACGCATCGAACTACAGGGTCTCACTCTATTGCGTTGAGAATGAACCATTCAATTGCTCACATTACTTGGCTCAAAATCACCATCATTCGCAGCAAATCTCCACATCATGACATCATCGCCGGTAAATGTATTCACGGTTTCAAAAATGCATTCATCAGCACGACTGCTTGTTTTGGCGATTGCCGGAACATAAGCTAGATCTGATTGGATGGCGCGTTACCGAGGCATTGTCCCAATTGGGATGCATCACCGTGCGAACATTGAAAAATAAATTTAACAATGCGCAAAAATAAAAAAAGTTCATGCAGGGAACTAAAGCTTGCTGTCGGTGCACAGCCCGATTCATCGTATAATGTCGATGCAATTAGAGAATCGGTTAAGTTTAGCATTCCTGAGATTGCGGAAACGAGTAAAATAATGCACACTTTTATTTAACTTCGTCAAGAACCAATTGAATCATGAACGAGTTAGCCTGTATTGGTGTCAACCCAGAGGAGAACTTATTACGATTAGCGTAGAGATCGTCAACTAGAAGCGGAACGGGCTATATGCAGAAGCGCATATGCAAGGTTGAGGCATCATCGATCAAGTATAAGCAGTAGATCTTAAAACGTTACCGTAGACGGTGACGACATTGTTTCTGCAGGAAAGGACCAAGCCGCCGCGTGCATAGCGTCGCATTGTTACATTATGGAGATTGGTGTGTTGATGTATTGCATGCAATGCACCAAAAGGGTCACGAAATATGTAACAATGATGCAATGGAACCGCAATTCGATGCATGGAAAAAGTTGATGACTGCGACGAACTGCGGCTGTTTTCGAAGAATCCGAAAAAGTAAGTGAAGGAGCTAAAATTGAAAAGAAGTAAAGTATACGAATTTTTATTTGGGAATGGAAATGAATTACGAAAGTGAGAATTAGCATTAAAATTTTAAAATTTGAGAATATTGAAAGATTGAAAATATTTGGAAATTTTCAGAATACGAAAATAATATGAAGTAGATAAAAAGAATCTAAATAATAATTGACTAGTCATTGCTCAAATCTAAATTGGTCACGATGAAAATAGATTCAATTTAATACTGTTGGCTCGCAATTACCCCATATTATGTAAGTAGACCCTAGATAGTGCGATGGTCACAGTTAACACTACTAGTCACTATTCAATCACTATTTAATGCACTCAGCCTACTCCACTCAGTAAACTGAAAGCAGTAGTCTCTACACCCTCTCAAATGACCTGTATTCTACTTGCGGTATTGCGGATAATACGTTCTAAACAACACAACATCCAACGCAACCAATCCTGTGATAATTGCCCCGTGTGTTGCAACCACCAACCGGTTTTCTGACCGGATACGATGTCTCTCCAAATACCCAATGTACCCAGCAACGGCACCTCCAATTCCTGCCAATACCTGTGCCACAACAACAGGATTTTGCAATTCATATTTGGCCCTGGTCACGTAGGCATCGTTGTTGACCCGATCAGCAGTTCTGGTCACAGATGATACCACACGGTTCCACAATTCCACCAAGAAGTTTTTGCCCCTTTCCTCGGCTTCATGAACCTCCTTCTTGAAGTCTTCCACCTGAGCGTCGGTGGGTTTGGCTTCATTTACCTTCTTCTTAATCTGATTGAATTTATCCTCGGCAACCGTTTCAACGTTACCATGAGGTTTACCAGTAGTCTTGACTTCCTGGGGCTTTGAAAGTGGGTCAGGGTGGCCGGTAGGACCAGAAGATGAAGCAGCGTTAGCGTAAGACATATTTAGTGAAGAAAATACTGGTTAATTGATTGCCCCCGGGTAGATTGCTGCGCGGTCGTGTGCGCCTGCATAGGGAGTAATCCCGGATTGCTATTGGTGTCGGGTTAAAGGCGCTGAGCGCTGAAGCCGTAGGCGGAAGCTCGTCACGTGCACACAGATAGAACTGGGTCACGAGAAGTATACATACAACCAAAAGTATATCACGTGATACTCCTACCGCCGTCACGCGCACGTGCGCGCGCCTTCTGCGAGCCCTCGCGAAAATCTAATTTTTCACCATTTTTCTTCATTGTCGATCGAAATCCACTCCCCCGGTTTTCCACGTAATATTCCGACATGTCTGCTCCTACTGAAGCCCCAAAGAGATCCTTCGGCCGCAACAACAAGCGTGGCGGCCCAAAGAGAGGAAGAAGAGATGAAGAGAAAGGCTGGACTCCTGTCACCAAATTAGGTAGATTGGTAAAGGCTGGTAAAATCACTTCGATTGAAGAGATTTACTTGCACTCTTTGCCTGTCAAGGAGTACCAAATCATCGACCAATTGTTGCCTGAGTTGAAGGATGAGGTCATGAAGATCAGATCTGTTCAAAAGCAAACCAGAGCTGGTCAAAGAACCAGAATGAAGGCTGTGGTTGTTATTGGTGACTCCAACGGTCACGTTGGTTTGGGTATCAAGACCGCCAAGGAAGTTGCTTCTGCTATTAAGGCTGCCATCATCATTGCTAAGTTGGCTATCATTCCTATTAGAAGAGGTTACTGGGGTACCAATTTGGGTGCTCCTCACTCTTTGCCAACCAAGGTGACTGGTAAGTGTGGATCTGTTCTTGTTAGATTGATTCCTGCTCCAAGAGGTAAGGGTATTGTTGCCTCTCCTGTTGTGAGAAAATTGATCCAATTGGCTGGTGTTGAAGATGTTTACACTACTTCTAATGGTTCTACCAGAACCACCGAGAACACCTTGAAGGCTACTTTTGCTGCCATTGGTAACACTTACGCTTTCTTGACTCCTAACTTGTGGGCTCAAACTCCTTTGGCTCCATCTCCTTTGGAGGTTTACGCCGAGGAAGCTTCCGGTTCTAAGAGAAGATACTAGATAATGTATAATACTCTTTCGAGATGTAGAAATGGAGGCTAAATTCCAAATTGTGGAATATACTCTTTCGAAATGTAGAAAATGGAGGCTAGATTTTCACAAATGGTGGATATAATTCAATATTCAATTTGAGTCTTTGGTTGGTTCTTCTTTTTACAGTTTTTCTCTACATCGTGATTTTTCATTACCATTTGTCTTCGTTCATTACTCCTCACGGTTCTTTGCTCATTAACTTGTCTCATTATTCGTATCGTCTCTCATTACCATCACCCTTATTCTTCTCTACATTCTTCTTTATTTTTCTTTTCTTCTTTTTTTTTCTTATTTTCTTATTTTTCTTTAATATACATGGCCTACTCTTGTACGGCCTGTTCCATCACCTGATCATCGGCAACAGCAAATGCCCGCTGGCTGGTTCCATCTTCCTTGGTCCATGTGTTGGACTGCACTTGACGTCCATCTGGATGTCTATACATACAATACTTGTTGGTGCATCCAGTTCCAAATCGACAATCCTCGTCAATTGGGTGCGAAAAGTAGCAGTACGGCTTGGTACAAGAAGCCCCATCACGACAAGGAACGACTGATGTTGCGTGTCGACGTGGACAGTTGGCCTTTGTACAGTTGGCACCATACTTGCACTGCTCCAACAGAAGCTCCTTCGAAACCGGTGGAGGTCTTTGCTTGGGTTGAGGAGGAGGAGCTTGATAGTTTGGCGATGGATGTGCCTTGGCACACAGAGGATCCTGGCACCCTTTACCGGCTGGGCACCATTCGAGAACCATAACCTTGGCCTCTTGATTGGCTGGGGTTGGATGGCCGAAAGGACACAATTCCTTGGAGCAAAGTATACCGAATTTGCAGATTCCAAGGGTGCCTGCCTTCTCCACAGGACGACTCTTGCGTTCCAAGTATTCTTTACGACTCTCGTCCAATTTAGCCATCAATTCGTCGTCCTCACCTGGATGCAAATAATTACATGTTCCTGGTGGATTTTTGCAATTTGGAAAAGAAAAGCAGATTTTTGTAGGATGGGCATAAGGGCAGTTTTTGTTTGAACAGTTGGGGAAATCCTTGCATCTTCCAAGCGCAGGTTTTTGTATAAACTGTTTCAAGTTCACATTAGCGTTACTTAAAGCCATTGCTTTTTCAAAATTGGCGGCATTCTGCGTGGCAAACGACCGCTTTGTGCCCTGGTGGGCTCCACGGCCCTTTCCAACGCCACCAACGCCACCACGGCCACGTCCGCGAATATTTTTCATACCTCGAGGGCCAGTTGGGAGTGAAGGGGCCATGTCCATGTCATCAAACTGCGCTCTTTCCAGCTCGTTCATCGGCTGTGATGCCTGTGGTTGATCCTGGGGCGGTTGCTGGGGTTGTTGCGGTTGCATCTGAGGCTGTTGTTGTATTTGAACCTGTTTTACTGGCTGCTGAGGTTGTTGATTTTGTGCTTGTTGCTGTTCTTGTTGTATCAACCGTTGTATCTCCATAAAGATGGTGTTAACAAACGCTTCATCGATTCCAATATCCACTATTTCTTTCACTTCCGACACAATCTCGGTGGCCGTTTTATGACTGCCGATCAACACTATAATATAATCTGCCACATCTTCAGCATCGTCGGTCAACCCATACTTGTTGCCCAACTCCACTATTAAAGAAGCCTTCAACTGCTGGCCAACGGCACTTTCGGCGTCAAACGATGGCATATTGCTAGAAGAGTTTGGCCACAGGAAAAAATCTAATCAGATATCACGTGCGGTGGCTGGGTGTAAACAGATGCAGTACCTCAACTAATCTGCAACATTTGCAACATTTGCAGCTCACACCAACTGGAGCACTTCGTCGGTGATGGTCTGGCCCACCAATTGTTGCACGAGAACAATGATATTGTCTAGTTCCATGGTGATAGTCGAGGCCACCAAAATGTAAGAATACAAAAGAACATAGTCACTATTCTTGAGTTTGAGCTGCGAATCTGATAACGAATTTATTCGAATTTCGCTGAGTTTGTGAAGCATGCGGTCGTGTGCGTGTTCTGTGGACGCTGGTTTGGACGGTGGTGGAAGCCCGAGCTTGATGGAGCTGGCAAGCATGAAAAAAATCAAGTAGATTCGATGTTGAAGTTCTTGCAATTCTTGCTGGATATAATCCAAAACGTACACTTCATTTTCTGTGGGTTGTGGTTCTGCCATTATCATGATATGGATGTTCTCAAACGCGTTCAAGATTGAAGATGTATGGCGAAGAAGACCCTCGTATGTTTGCTTGGGAAATGTGCCTTTAAGTCTGAATTCGATGGGCGCTTGTTTGAGTAGCGTCTCACATTCTCCAAGCAATTTGGCCATACCCTTTATATCCTTGAGTCCCACTAGTGTCCGCAGACACACCCCATTGGTCACTTCTTCCGTCAATCCTAGCGGACCACAGTCCCACATTATTCCCATTCTGAGCCAAAGTAAGGTGATTGCAGACTTTAATCGAGAACGAGCGCTATTGGGCAAGAAGCAAGAAGCCATTATTAGTGCCCAAAGCACTCCTCCAGATACAGAAATGAATCTGTGGAAGGCTATTTCTCCCACAATGGGATCTTCTCCACCTTCTTGACCGTCTTCGGAATCATGTTGCAACATTCCGTATGAGTACAATGCAGTTAAATTGTACGTTAAGAGAATAAACCGTCCAAACGGATTGTTCTTTTTCCAGAACTGGATGATATAGAAGCTTGGAAGAGAGATCAAAAACCCAATAAATGCTAGCGCATAACCATTGGCTTCGGAAATCATCCACACGAGATACGCAGAACATGCGCCCAAAAATGTTCCAATAAACCTCCATTTAACAGTCATGGTTGTTCCTCCCAAAGACTTGTTCATCATAATGCAATATATCGTCAAAGACCATTCTCCCCGCCAGTTTATGAACTTTTGTTTCGTTGGAGGATAAAATGCTAAAAGCGAGAGAACAAACGCACCAAGTCCTACCCGAATTCCAAACTGAACCTCGACTCGTTTAAACGCTCGAAACCAGCTCCAGAAGTAGTATCCCCATCTACTTTCATTTTCCTCACCAGCAGGAACGCTGTAGTTCAACCGCTGTTCTAGAACATCCATGAACGATACCGTACTATTTCCACCTTTTTCCAAGCTCCACAGCTGTCTAATCCAGCTCCAGCTTCGAGGTCCCGTTCTTGACTCTTCGTAGGTCTGCGTCACCACCAAAAAGTCCTGAAGTTCCCGGGCAAATAATGTCAAAATCGAAGCAAAATTTCCACAGCACGCCGTCACTTCTTCAACGTTGGTCCTGAAAAGATAACTTTGAGACGACTTGAACACATCCTGCGAGTATATACGCTCAAAAGATGCTTGCTGCTTGTCCTCGAACAAGGCAACGGCGCTGCGAAGCGAGTGCTGGTAGTTGACGGTATTGGTGAATCTTGTGTCTGTATCTTCATGAAAATCCTCGAAAGGAACCTCGCTCAAAATGCTTTTGATGGTGAAAAGAAACGACTTTGTAGATGGTGCCAAAGTATGAACAAAAAGCTCAAATAATTGGGTTGAGTCCATCACTTCGTCGGTCGAGGTTCCCCCAGATTTCGATGGCATTTCCGAGATTCTGTAGCTTGTCAAACTTGCGACCGCCAGCGGCTGGTTGGAGTCGTGAAGGAGCTCCCATTGCATTTCGTTGGAGCTTCGCAAAGCCTGCAAATGACGGGCCAAAGCTATGGTTTTGGTGACTAGCTGGTTGAGCACTTTCCATTCTAATTCTCTTCCCAATGCGAAAAGCTCGTACCTGCTTTCTTCTAGTGAGGTGTTGAGCAGGGAAATGTTCTTCTTGAGCAAATCAAACATATCGGAGTCTTTTTTGGTGAATTTTCCACACGACAAAAACCGATTGGTGACTATTGAAAGAAGCGACGACATGATATTGTACGAGTCGTTGAGGTGCGAACGAAGCTCGTCTGTGGCACTCACGGGCCAGATGATATAGCAAACAAGAACTGATATGGCACATCCTACGAGAACGACTCGAAGGGTGGAAGTGAGTCTCTCAATGGGGATATTTGCAGCATTCATACTTCCTTCCTTCACGATACAAGCAACAATTGCAATTGAGGCGAGGGAGCAAGCCGTGTTGAACGTCTGTTTGTTCACCTTTTGTTTCATATAGGCCACTATACCCAAAGATACCGAGCTCACCACCAAGTCAATGGAGTATGAAACTTCATCTTGGCCCGAATTAAAGAAACTATGGGACACCATACGGCATGCAAAGGATACCAGAAAGCTAAATAGCAACGAAACAACCACAAATAAGAGGGTTTGGTGCATCGAACCCTTGGATCTCAGCGGATGGAAGTAGACTGCGACAGTAGCAACGAGATGTTTGGAGTCTGATTTTCCAAGGATCAGATCAAAACGGCCCCAGTACACGGCTAGAGACGCTATGGTATATGCTATTGAGCATTTAAGCACTTTTCGGCACATTTCGTTGTCATAGTATGTCTTTATTTGCTGGGTATACGTGCTCCACGAAGAGTTTTGTTCATTTCCGTCAGCCAAAAACAGCTCTTCACCATTCATATTGAAACTTTGGAAGTTGGAGTTGGTAAACGACATCGACCGCTGGACTCGTTCTCCGGTTTCGGGAAGAATGACCGAATTGTGTCGCTGAAAAGTCCAGTTTCTTTTATTGAGAGGCGTATTTTCGTCACTTGTAGAAACGTCATCGTCCCCTAAAGGTTCATAGAGATTACTCGGGCTGCCAGGAACATCATTGGATGACGAATGAGCCTCGGAAGGCGTTGGCGGCTCGACACTGTGTTCCAGCATATAACCCTTCTGGTTATCACGAAAAGCGATGCAGGAAAGTTCACGGCCTGCAGATAAGAGAGAAGATAAGAGTCGAATTGAAGAAGCAAGAACTAGTTTTATATAAAAATGTATTTTGGAAAATTTGTACCCAGTTGTCAATTCCATTCCTCGAATCATTTTCTTGAAATTAATTTGCAACTTTTACTTCATTCTGCTCATTTTACTCATTCTATTTTGTATTCCATCACTATTCATTGTAGTCGTATTCCATACCTATTATCTATTGTCGTATTCTATTAGTGGTCGTGAACTACCTTATTCGTAGCCAATTATGTCGCGGAACAAGTCCTCGCATGGAACTGTTGCTTGCAAACGAGCACAGAGCAAAAATACTCCACTCAACTTGCGGTGCAATGAGTATGTTTCCTCGGGAGGAGGTGTAAGTCTGTCGCTCAACATCACGCCGATGTTGTCCTTGACTCTGTCGGTGATGGTTTGTTTGCTGAAATCGAATGGTTGGCCCTTGTTGTTAACTGGTGAGAAAGCTTCTCCAAGTACCATAACCGAGTCAATATGAGCATTTGTCATTTGCGGCGATTCGAGTCCTGTCAAGTATCCGAGCTCTTTCGAATAGTGTTGTACAGAATCACGATCCTTGCGTACGGCAGCACGCAAAACCTGGACATAGTCTTCCACGAACTTGGAGCTAAAGTCTCTAGCAGCTCCCAAATCCAAAAGCTCAATCTTGCCAGTCTCATCGTTGTACAAGAAATTGGCCCAGTTGGGGTCGGTTTGCATAAACTTGTACTCCTTGATTTCAAGCAAACACAATCTCATGATGTTCAGGGCGATCCAGTTGCGAGTTTCCTGGTCCCAATTGCCCTTGACAATCTCTGTTCCTGTCATTCTTTCCATGGTCAAAACGTGCTCTCCACAAAGTTCATGGAGCACTTTTGGAACCGCAAACACCTCGTCATCCGAAAGAATATCACGGTACCGGATCAAATTCTGAGCTTCCCGAATATAATCGCATTCCCATTTGAGCTCAGTTCTGGCATTGGCTATGGTCTTGTCCAAGAACAACCCAGCTGGAAGAATGGAGGAGGCCGTCAACAACATGAGCAAGTTATTGAGATCGCTATCAATACTAGTAGCCACACCAGGATACTGTACCTTCACCACCACTGGAGTAAGATCTTTTGTGACTGCTGTGTGCACCTGGCCGATCGAAGCAGCTGCAATGGGAACATCATCAAAAGAAGCAAAAAGACGCAGTCTCCAATTATCACCCAAATCCCGCAGCATTACTCTCTCAAGTTGGCCCGGAGGCATGTAATGAGCCAGGTTTTGCACACGCAAAAGAACCTGTTGGATCTCAGCAGGTAGTATCAGCAGGTCCTGGAACGATAACATTTGACCTACTTTCAACGCAGCACCACGCATTTTGGAGAATTTGGTAGCCATTCGTTCGATATTTTGTGGAGAAAGCAAGAGTGATTTCACACTCAACGACGATTTGTTTCCGGAAGCATAATGTTTGAGACCCTGGGTGGCGGCTCCTAATCCCATTCCTGCCGCTAGCGAGCCGTAATGAAAAATTCTCGCTAATCTGGTGCTGGGTACTTCACTGCTGGAAAGTGGATTTGTGGGTTTTTCCTTGGTTCCAACCACTTTTGATTCTTCTGGTCCTTCAACATACCCCGACGACGAGGTGAAGGATTTGGTTGAGTAGTGGCGCTTTTGAGTTTTCTGGGTTGATTTAGGTTTTTTGGGACGACCAGCAACCGCATTTTGGCGAGCTTGCGCCAGCTTTTCTTGAGCTTCAGACCACATTGAAGCTGACAGGTCACAAAATTGTACAACTTGCGACACGTTTCTCGAAGCTAGCACCCTCGACAAGTCGCGCAGCATGACTTCGGCGGTTTTGCTGGCGACAGTACATGCTGACGATGCAATGACAGCAAGTTGGTACGCAACAGACATACTCAGTTTGAACTATTGTACCTGTACTTTTGAAGAATCTTGTAGTATCCTTGTAGTATCCCTTGTACTGTAACTTTACTATTCCTGTAACTTTTAGCACGATATGTATACCAAACAAGAAAAGCAACTAAACAGCAACAACGTGTAGAAAAAGTAAACTTAATCAGATGCAACGAGCAAGTGGATTTTGCGAAGACCCGAGCGGTTGTATGCAGTACCCAGAAATTCCAGGGTAAAAACTACTGTAGAAATGAATACTTTTGGAGCAGAATTAGATTCCAGCTTGAACTGGGTACCATGTATCTTTTTTTGTTCTAGGGTGTGCACTTTTTCGCTGGTGAGCACTGGCCAGTGCCATTTGTCCGAAGAACCGCCCGTGGCTGCGCACGCGGTGTGTGGGTGTGAAATATGCAACCGCGCTCGAGACTCGAAGCCAGCGTGAGACTCTTCTCCTGCAGGAAGCTTCAGTATTCTCATTCAGCCATCTCATCGCATCACTTATGCATTCTCACAAACGGCAAAAAACCGATAGCGAAGCGGAGAAGGTGGCGGAGGCGGCCGAAGAGAGTCTCAAGCAGCATCCTCACGCGAGCCAAAATACACCCATGAAAGTGCACGATGAAGGTGAGTTTGCTGGTTTAAAGAGACATGGCACCACGGCAGAGCAAGCCCAGAAATTGGAATCTGGTTCCACTAATCCTTTTTCCGGGGCCAAGTTCTCGCAAAAGTACTTTGATATACTTGAGGTGCGCCGGAATCTTCCGGTGCATGCGCAGCGAGACCAATTCCTCGAGATTTTCCATTCCACACAAATCATGGTTTTCGTTGGTGAGACCGGATCTGGTAAAACCACCCAAATACCTCAATTCGTCTTGTACGACGAAATGCCCCATCTTGTGGGGTCCCAGGTGGCGTGTACACAGCCGCGGAGAGTGGCAGCGATGTCGGTTGCAAAGAGAGTTGCCGACGAAATGGATGTAGAATTGGGCCAAGAGGTTGGTTATAGTATTCGTTTTGAGAACAAGACATCTCCCAAGACAATTCTCAAGTATATGACTGATGGTATGTTGCTTCGTGAGGCCATGGAAGACCACGACTTGAGTCGGTACTCGTGTATCATTTTGGATGAGGCCCACGAAAGAACATTGGCTACTGATATTCTCATGGGATTGATCAAACAAGTGAGTGTCCGTCGCCCAGATTTGAAAATTATCATCATGTCGGCCACATTAGACGCCGAAAAGTTCCAAACATACTTCAACGATGCTCCATTGTTGGCTGTACCTGGTCGTACTCATCCCGTCGAAATTTACTATACGCCCGAGTTCCAGCGGGACTACCTCGATGCAGCTATTCGAACGGTTTTGCAGATTCATGCCACGGAAGACGACGGAGACATTCTTCTCTTCCTTACAGGAGAAGAAGAAATCGAAGACGCTTGTCGTAGAATAGCCTTGGAGGGTGATGAACTCGTTCGTGAACAAAACTGTGGCCCTCTCAAAGTATATCCATTGTACGGTTCACTTCCACCACACCAGCAGCAAAAGATCTTTGAGCCAGCACCTGAAAAACTCACCCCCAATGGCCGTGCTGGAAGAAAAGTCATTGTTTCTACCAATATCGCCGAGACTTCGTTGACTATCGACGGTATCGTTTATGTGGTGGATCCAGGATTTTCCAAGCAGAAAGTGTACAATCCTCGTATAAGAGTGGAATCCTTGTTAGTATCTCCAATTTCTAAAGCTTCAGCCCAGCAACGTGCCGGACGTGCTGGACGTACTCGTCCCGGAAAATGTTTCCGTTTATACACCGAAGAAGCGTTTCAAAAAGAGCTTGTTGAGCAGTCATATCCCGAGATTTTGCGCAGTAATTTGGCGTCGACAGTGTTGGAATTGAAAAAATTGGGAATCGACGATTTGGTACATTTTGACTTTATGGATCCTCCGGCGCCGGAAACCATGATGAGAGCATTGGAGGAGTTGAATTACTTGCAGTGTCTTTCTGACGAAGGAGATTTGACGGCATTGGGACGGTTAGCGTCGCAGTTTCCCTTGGACCCCATGCTTGCTGTGATGTTAATTGGATCCCCAGCGTTCAAATGTTCGGAGGAAATACTCACCATCGTTGCGTTATTATCTGTTCCCAATGTATTTGTGCGGCCCGCTTCCGCCAGAAAACGAGCCGATGAGGCCAAAATGGCATTTGCTCATCCTGACGGAGACCATCTTACATTGTTGAATGTTTATGATGGGTTCAATTCTGACGAAGCCCACTCGGTAGGGTTGCATCAATGGTGTCGCGACAACTTTTTGTCGTATCGTTCATTGTCTTCTGGGCAAAATGTCCGGTCCCAATTGCGCCGAATCATGGTTTCTCACGACTTGGAGTTGATTTCTCCTGGAGAGAGCCGCAATTACCACAATTATGTCCGCAAAGCATTGGCGGCTGGATTTTTCATGCAAGCAGCTAAAAAGCGCAGTGGTAGCAAAGGATACATTACTGTCAAAGATAACCAAGATGTGTTGATCCACCCATCCACAGTGTTGGCGGTGGAGCCTGAATGGGTGATATACAACGAATTTGTGCTCACCTCCAAGAATTATATTCGTACAGTGACCACAGTGAATCCCGAATGGCTTGTGGAATTTGCACCCAAGTATTTCGACTTGAAGCACTTTACCAATGGAGACGTCAAGTTGTCACTTGAGCGTGTAGTGGACAAGGTGAAAAGTGACAAGAAGAGAAAAAAGAGGAGTGGATAATGGCTGCAAATTTTATCAGTAGTGAGCAGCATCAGCGTGCGCGCCGCACTGGTGGTTGGCTGGGTCGCGCACGCTCGTACGCGATTCAAATTAGACGGTAAGTGAATCTCAACAAGAATGGGACTTTTGGTGGTAAGTTGACAACATATGTAGCATGGCAATGTATACTAATCCAGTCGAAAATCTTCAAGAACCGCGAAATGCGGATATTGATGTTGGGGCTTGACAATGCTGGTAAAACCACCATTTTGTACAAGTTGAAACTTGGAAAGACATCCAAAACCGTTCCTACGGTTGGATTTAATGTGGAAACCGTCAAGCACAAAAACGTATCGTTTGCGGTGTGGGATTGTGGAGGACAAGAAAGAATTCGCCCATTATGGAGACATTATTTCACAGGGACAAATGCTCTTATTTATGTGGTGGATAGTTCAGATCATGGGCGGTTGGAAGAATCACGAAGTGAACTTATGAGGGTGATTTCCGACAAGGAATTGGCCAATTGTCTTCTCATAGTGTTGGCTAACAAACAGGATATGTCTGGGGCCATCAAGCCCAAGGAACTTATTGAAAAGTTTGAGCTTAATAAACTTTCAGGAAACCACACCTGGTCTGTGATTCCCACGGTCGCAATCGACGGAACTGGGTTGGTGGAGACGTTGAACTGGATATCTAGTCATAGCAAGAAGTAATGTATAATACCGACGACAGAACAGAGAGTAAATGAGAGAACAAAAGAGACTAAGTGATAGAGGAGAAAAGGACTAAATTAGAAGAAAAGAGTGAATTATACGAGTCCGTGACCATTATGTCCGTGACCATTATATTCGTGAAATCACTTACCTCTCCAGATCTAATAATTCACTTCTGCCCCACCTCATCGCCCCCGCATTCGCACTAAATTCATATCTTTAAAGTTCACTATCCATCTTATCTGAATTTCTTCTACTTCTTTTTACCTCAGCTGCTCGCTCACCTCGCCGCTCTCATCCCCAAAGTACGCCGTATGAGCCATATCCACAAATAACCCCGTTTCCACAACCCCCACCAAAAGCTTGATTTGCTGGTGGAGGCTTCCAGGGTCAGAAATCGAGCCAAAATCAGCATCTATAAGAAAATTATTGTTGTCAGTAACCACCGGTCCCGCTTTGGCTCCTCCTCCTTGGCGGAGCACCACGGATTTTGCACCCAATTCCTTGAGTTGTCTGGTCACCACAGCATACGAATTGGGCACCACTTCAATTGGTACCCCCTTACGCCACGCAATCCCCAAATCGCTGGGTGACTTTTTTCTGGTGTCTGCAACCACAATGAATTTGTCAGCCGAACTTGCAACTAACTTTTCTTGAAATAAACAGGCGCCACCTCCCTTAATGAGATTGAGGTTTGTGTCCACTTCGTCGGCGCCATCAAAGGCAATGTCCACCTTGGGAAACTGCTCAATGGCCCCCAAAGTCAACCCATTATCTATAATGAGTTGTTTTGATTGAAATCCAGTGGAAATACATACAAAATCATGCTTATTTTTCAACTGGCCAATTCGCTCAGCAACATAAACCACAGTGGATCCCGAGCCAATTCCTACAACCTTGGCATGGGGAGGAAAGTTGGCGTCCACTGCTTTATACGCAGCCATACGTTTAGCATGCTCAATTCCGGAACTCATGATGCGGGAGAAGCGGACAAATGTGGGGAGCATGAACCGCGATGAGTCCTGCAGGGAGCCACCTCTTCCAGTGTGGTGGTGGGTGTGCTTACTGCATATTGTTTATGGGTATAGGTCTCTCGAAAGCAGTCACGCGCACGTGCACCAACTCTTTTCTCACCGCTGCGAAAAATTTCCATTCATTCGTTCATCACTAACATCATGTCTGCTAGCAACAAGATTCTTTCTGAGAAGCCATCCGAGTTGGAATTGCAGGTGGCCCAGGCCTTCGTTGACCTTGAACAACAGTCCGACCTCAAGGCTGAGTTGAGACCTTTGCAATTCAAGTCCGTCAGAGAAGTCGAAGTTAACGGTGGAAAAAAGGCTTTGGCCATCTTTGTGCCATGCCCATCTTTGATTGCCTACAGAAAGGTGCAAACTAGATTAACCAGAGAGTTGGAGAAGAAGTTCCCCGACCGTCACGTTGTGTTCTTGGCCGAGAGAAGAATCTTGCCAAAGCCTTCCAGAACATCGAGACAATTGCAAAAGAGACCAAGATCCAGAACTTTGACTGCTGTCCACGACAAGCTCTTGGAGGACTTGGTTTTCCCTACTGAGATTGTTGGTAAGAGAGTCAGATACTTGGTTGGTGGTAACAAGATCCACAAGGTGTTGTTGGACTCCAAGGACTCCACTGCCGTCGACTACAAGTTGGACTCCTTTGCACAATTATACACCAAATTGACTGGTAAGCAGGTTGTTTTTGAAATCCCCGGTGAAGTTTACTAAACTCTGTGAATTAGTCCTAATAGCTGAATACATCATACGAATACTGATTTGTACTGGTCTCTATATTTTCTTTACATAGCTCGTTGGAAACATTCCTCGTTCTCCATTGATTTCTCCTTCAGTCCATCCACTTCCGTCTGTATCGTCCTGGATCACTGCGATACGATCTCCAGCTCGAATACTGATTTCATCATCTCCATCAGCTTGGTAGTCGTAAAGAGCTTCGACATATTGAACTCGCTTAGCTCCTCTCTTTGGCGGTACCGATGGACCTTTCTTCTTCCCTCCATCATCCAAAATTTCAAGGTATGAAGTAGGTACTAGACCCTGACCACCGCTCAGCTTAACACTCGTCCATCCTGAACCGTCGTCAAACTCCAATATTTCCATCACTTCTCCACTCACCATACCGGTCTCGTCATCTCCAGCTGCCTCGTATGGATACAACGCTTTAGCCGTAGGTCCTGAAGACGACATTGAAGACTTGGTTTTGTTTCTTCGTAAATTGAGGAACCCTGATTTGTCGTGACTTCCTACCGACTTGACCGTGTGGATCGAGGTGACATCGGAACCTCCATTTCCTTGTTGTTTTCCTCCTTTGAGAAATCCAAACCGAGACTTCTTCTTCTTGGTTTCCTCATAATGAGATAAGTCCTTATCTCCAGCGTAGTTTTGAATCACTTCTATCTCTACTTCACTCTTCACTCGCTGGGTATCGTCCTTCATGAATCGCTGAAGAATGCTCAAACTGGTGGAGAATGAGCCATCAAATTTCAACGTTATACTCTCCTGATCTTTATGGCGCTGGATAGTGGCTTCCTCTAATTTTTGCTTGGTATCCAACGCCAAAGATTCGTACTTGGAAAACTCAGACGAGCTATGATTCAAGATCCTTTTCAACTCCGTCAATTCAGGTTCTTTTGTCACTAGACTCTCGTCGTCGTGCCATATATCACTAGGAATAAAGTAGTTATCCTCGGGTTCTTTCCAGTCAAAACTGTTGTGCTTCACGAACATGGCGGTGTCGAGGGTGGGGTTGTTCTGGTCCACAGTCTTATCTATTAAATGAAGTTTCTCTTTGATTCTATCGTGCGAGTTGCGTTCAACAATCGATGCGTTCTTGATAAGCTTGTTGAGAATGGCCACCCGGGCCTCGTTGACCTCTTGAAAGTAGTCCAAGAGCTCGGGGAGATCCTGGTAATAGTATTTGTCCTTGAGGCGGTTAGCCACATTGATTTTGAGAAGATACTGGTTTTTGGCAATGTTCATATCGACCTCTTTCTCCAGTAATTTACGCTGATACTTGTCACTGGACGATTTTTCTGTTTTCTGTCGTACGTTTTCTGTGCTTTGGCATACAGAGTAGTAATTTTTACGAGCCTTCAGAAGCTCTTCCTCGGTGGATGTCTTTTCGTTGGTCAAGTATTCGTCAATAGATTCAATGTGACGCGAGAGTTTTGCACATTTCCCCTTCAACAGCACCACATTGTCTCCAATCTTGACGTTTAACTCTCGGTGCAAGGTCAATTTCTCGTCGGCAATGGCTTCCGTTTGCGTCAACACATCGGTCCAAAGAACCATCGACGCACTTTCCAATGATCCCGGTGTCACTTTTGGTTCTTTTCCCACAGAAAGTTCGGTGGCTATCTTCGATTTCTTCTCAAAGTGCCGCTTACAAAGATCTTTGAGCTTCGCAGCGTATTCCTTTTCAATGGTGGCTCTTTCCCGGTAGAATTCCTCGACATCCGAAAGCCAATCAATGCCTCCATTGACCCATTTCAACGTTGGTTTGAACGAGTCCTTGAGCTCGTCTCCTATCAGGACAGATGCCATATTGGAGAGATTAGGTGAATTAACTCGGCTAAAGCTTGGAAACTTGGTGGATCAAGTTACTCCTAAAGTGCGACACCTCGAATGTCGCGAATGTGGGGTGTTCCGCTATACAAGCCAAGTCCGAGTGGAACCGAACGAATCCGCGATTGGATGCCGGGAGTCTGTTTTGAGAGACACGTAAAGCATAGTTGGGATGGTATAGGTTGTTATATCAAATTCATAAATTTTGAACAATTTGAAAATTTTGAAATTCAATTGAAATTTCGTTTGAACTTTGCAAAGTAACTTCAAACTTTTATCCTTTATCACACTTTATCACCTATCACCAACTAAAAGTATCCAATCCATTTCACCTTTCACAGAAGCTTACGCCAAACAAATCTCCCTTTCCTTCATTCGTATCCAATTTGCAGCCGTCACGTGACACGACCACTCTCGTTCTCAACTTCTCTTGGTTGCCGTGCCACCAACTTTATTTAAATTGAGTCGAAAACGCTCCAAACTCGTTAATTTTCTCTCTTCCGTGCTCTTCAGGAAACTAATCCCGCGTACAAACCGCCATATCAAGAAACCATCTCGAGTCCGTGCACTAGTCGATTTTTACAAAGAATACGGAGCACTAAAGCGCCGGTATCCCGCCAGGGAAGGTCTCTGGAGACGAAAGTTTATCATGTCAGAAACCCCCGCGAAGCAGGAGACTCCCCAGAGCCGCCGCCTGCGTTTTTTGGGGTTGGCTCGTGCCACAAGAGACACCTATATTCCTCGACTTGCCGAGTCCGTCACCCTGTTGACCGGATTATCCAGAGGACCTAACGATGCATTCGATGATTCCGGGCGCCTAATAGTCCCAAAAGATGCCACGATTACGCTTTTTCCATCATATACTCGAAAGATAGACGATGAGTACTTGGTTGATGTGAGAGGATGGCTCTGGTGTCCCGGACTTATGACCAGAAAAAACCGACTAATACTATCGTTAGCCAAGCAATTGACTCGTTCCAGTAACCCGGCACGCCAGGAGCAGGTGGTGGGTAAACTTGAAGACGAACATCTCTCGCAAGATGTCTACAATCCTGACGATAGCTCAGAGCTGTCAGTTGAATCGGACCTCACCTCGATTTCTACCACTGACACACGCCGAGATACAACTGCGGAACTACAGTCGCTGTCATCGAACTCGTCGTCTGATGGTCTTCTTAAGCAGCGTATGGGTTCATTCATAGCACGGTCTTTGCCCAACATAGAAATTCGCATTATCGTGGGATCTGAGGAGGTTTACCCTACAGACGTACTAAAACAAGCGCTATTGACCACTGACGTCAATGGTCACTTCGAAACCACCATAAGGGTCAAGTATAAGCCATCGGTTGTTCAGGTGCAACCGCTCCAGAATGAAACTATTTTCGCAATGCAAGACGTGATGATTTACTCCAGCAATGGCTTGGCAATTATAAGCGATATAGACGATACCATCAAGCTTACGGGTGTATGCGGCGACAAGAGAGATCTTATGCGAAAATTGCTCCTTAGTGATATCAATAGTTGGAACATCCCCAACATCGTGGCTTGGTATATTGATTTCTACAAGTCCCACAACGTTTCGTTTCATTATGTGTCGAACTCCCCATGGCAGCTCTACTCTGTCATTAACGAGTATTTCAAAACTGTCAAACTTCCATTGGGCTCCATCCACTTAAAGCAGTATTCAGGTAACATCATCACCAACCTTATGGAACCTTCTTCGTCTCGAAAGAAAAAATCTCTCTACAAAATCGTTGAAGATTTCCCAAACAAAAGTTTCATATGCGTTGGAGATTCTGGAGAGCAGGATTTGGAGGCATATGTCGACCTCGCGGTGAAATATCCAAAGAATATCAAAGCTATTTTTATTCGTTATGTCACTGATTCACTATCTGATGTTGACGATATGAAAATAATGAAGCGGTTGATGCGCATTCAAACAATGGCAGAAGCTCGGGTGAAAAAAGCTAATGCCGATTCTGATGTCAACTTGATTGATCTCGCTTCAAATCCTGCTTCGCCAGAAGAACGAAAAGCCAAACTTCCCCCAATGGTTCCTAAAAAACCTTCGAATCTTAAGGGCAAGAACTTGACACGGAAACCTCCTCCCGTGACACCGCCCCAACGTGTACATACAGATTCTGATCTTTCCGATCTCAAGACCCAAGATATTCCGCCTCCCTTACCTTCACGTTCGGCGACAAATGTGGACGTTGGTAGACCATGGAGTCCTCCCCCAAAGCTTCTACTGGATCTTCAAACAATATATCATTTTCATGACTTTGAGGAACTTGAAGACATAGATAGTAAGGGCGCTGCATGGATCAGGAGACTCATCAGCGCAATCTACAGATTGGAAGGTACAGATACCCAGATCAAAATATTTACGGATGAAGACGAAGATTTCTTCAAGACAAGTTTAGAAATAGCTCAAAAACAAGTCCAGCTGTGAATTACTTATACAGGTCAGATGAATTCTGACTTTTGGTCCTATATAGACCGTCTGTGACATTGTTATGCCATGCAAATATCTAGTATCAGCCTAGCTAGTTCCATTAATCGAACTTGCGCCATTGACGCCGTGTCCATCACCATAATCTTTAATGTTCGTTTCATCTTCAGGCAAGTTTTTGCGGAACTCGGACAAATCCCACTCATCTCCATTATCATTGTCCTCCTCATAGTATTTATCAGCAAACTTCTCCAAGATAATCTCTCTTCCAGTCTTGGGGCGCTTACCCAGTTTTTGTTCTTTCAACCTATCGTCCTCACGTTTGGCCTGAATTTTCTTTTTCCATTCTGCAAATGACTCGAGCGTAATCGGCGTAAAGCTGCTCCGATCCAATTTGCCCCTCTCCAATTCTATAAACTCTTCGAGTGTGATCTTTGGAGCGGATTCTGATGCTATTTTTTCAAGACGCTTTTGTTCTTTGGTCTTCAAAACGAATCCTGGTGGTAACGAATGTCTATATTTACATTCATTGCCTCCGTTGGGACACACCCAAAACCATCCATATTTCCCGTTCTCCACTGCATCAATGAAGTATTTACATACAATGTCGGTGGTGGTCTTGGGGTTTCCGTGTTTGGACAAAATCACGCTTCTCAACTTAGCTTCGTCCCAATTGTCCATGGTATCTTGTTCTTTCTCCTCTCTAGCGTCTGTGTACAAATCTTTCTTTGCGTCCTTTCTTCCAATGTTTATGTCGTGTGAGAATTTACATTTGTTTCCCTTATTACAGACACCTTTCTTGAAGAATTCACAGAGAATCGATTTCGGATCCACTCCAAAAGGCACTTTCTGTTGGACAATTCCGAACAACGCGGCTGCCTCCTTCTTAGCTTCTTCAGCTGCCTTTTTCTCCTCGGCTCTTCGCTTGGCTTCGGCCTCCTTCTTACGAGCTAGACCTCCATCGGCACCTGCTTTAACTTGGTCGATTTGTGCCTGAACCTTCTTGGACTTGTTTTTATTCTTGAGCCCAAAGGTCTTGTCTTCTGCTGCCTTGGCCTTGGCCTTGGCTCTATTCTTGTCGGATGGCTGTGGCTGCTTCTTCTTGGGTGGCATATGTTCCTGTACGGGTGCTCAGTGAAAATTCTTATTGCGATCAAAGAACCGTCACGTGAGAACTAAGCGGTCCAGGTGCAGGAACATATAGCGATATAACTCCAGTGACTAGGTACTAGTATTTCTCGCCCAATGACCCTTTGCTTGTAAATCAGGGCTATTATTAGGGCTACCAGGCGACCCTTTTGGTGGTCTCTTGGACCGGATTTTTCCATGAAGAAGTCCTTCGAACTTTTTTTCGTGGCTTGCATTCTCCAGTGCATTAGCCACAGAGAGTGTTGGCGAAGTTGTAGACGGACTAGTTTTTTCTCGAGAGTAAGGCGAGGACCTGTAATTCGCACCAATCTCAAACGTAGTAGGAGCTGGTACGAGGGGAGATGTGAAACCTCCTTCGTTTTTGTTCATACTTGGGGTATTGTGTCGGCTACTTCTGAATGGAATGTACGACCGGCGTGCAACGTTACTTGGAGAAGAAACGTAGTTGGTGTTCCCTATGGAGTCAGCAAGACTTGTTTTGAACGAGGAATTCGATTGGGTTCTTGCTAAGCTTCGGTTGAGAATCACAGATGCCTTATTATCATACACCAATGGCACTGAATCCATAGGAGTGATTGGATCGCTGGAGTTACTATGTCCAGTTTCTTGCGATATGTTTCGATTGTGTCTACCGTTGTCTCTTCTTTTGCTAGCAAATGTCATTGGGTTGGGAATACCGTTGCCATGGCCACCATTTTCTTTGGTGAAGAACGAATCAAAGTCGTCCAAGGCAGCCCACACATTGCTTAAAGTTGCATCATGGTCGTCGACATTCACAGAGATCGTGTCGCCGTAGTCTCCAGTGTAATCTTCGCGATGAAATTGAATATCTTCGTCATCGAGGGCTTCTGGACCTTCATTTTCGTCGCCAACTGGCGCAACAACACAAGTTGAGAACACAGCGTGAACATTATTTCGGGTCCGGCCGGCCGTGACGGCGGGCATTGGTACACCCCATCCATTTTCATCGGGGATGCCGAACAAGGTTGCTGTTTTCTCATACTCTTTCTTCAATGTGGAGTTGCCTAAACTCATTCTTAACATGTCTTTGTCGAGCTGTGATCCAGAAATCACTACTGCCTCGTCAAGAACTTCCAACGCTTGCTCTGCAAAATCAGTAAGCAACAACCGTAACAACGGCGAGATGAGGTCTGCACCTACACCGACAAATTCGTCACGTTGGAGATTTACCGCCGGGAGAATTTGAGATAAGAGCCCCATAGTTTCTTGCTTGATCCATGGTATCTTGTTTGACAAGAAGCTCAATAATGTCACCAAAGTTTGGGCCTCGAAGTCTGGGAAGAAATCGGTCCTAATCGTGGAAACTGTCTGGGTCAAAAAATCCTTTTTGGACCGAAATCGGTTTTTGGACATTGAAACCAAGATTCGAGACAATGATGTAAGACTATTTGCGTCGGCCATTTTACTCAAGGTCATCGCCGAGGTCTCAATGTCGGGAGTGATGTCTTTCAACTCAAGGGCATGAAGATAGCGAGGGAGATTGGCAAGTAATGATAACAACAAGCGTGATTTCCCAGAGCCAAGAATATCGCTATCATTCAACTTGTTGAGCTTTTCCAAAAATTTGATAGATGGTTCCCAAGAAGTAGACGACCTGAGTCCAACCATGACGACCTGATGGAGACCTTCAAATTTCCCTTCCCATTTACGTGGAAATGTCGATATGAGACAAGAGACCGTATCAGGAGCATCAAGATCAATCTTGGAGATGAACTTGGACATCGTAGAAAGTACTTCAATGAACTCTTGTTCGTGTATCGTACTGAGACATGCAACACTAGACCAGAACAACTGCGGGAAGTCGATCAATTTGGCAGAGTCAAGTTCAGCAGTAATAGCATTTAAAGTCATGAGAATTTGCAATGCAAATCCCTGAATATCTGCTGTGTCATCGGAGACTGTATTGGAGAGTCTGTGTAGCATATCGCGCAACATACCCTGATCAAGAAATGAAAACAAGGAACGGAATATCTGAAATGAACGACATGCAATATGGCGAACAGCACATGTAGTTGCCCAATTTAATGAGACCCTACTCCAGTCATATTGAAGTGTCGGTAAAAGAGGAGTAAATAGGTGGAAAACCTTTCTAACAAGCAAATCCATGTTTTTAGGGGTCTGAGCACCTCTTTTGTCGTTACTCAAATCGTCGTAGAACCATAAATTCTTTGAATCTTTGTTTCTCAAGCTTCGAATCAAATCTTGACCCTGTTGAACTTCGGGAACTAGTGCGTGGATAAGGTGGATCAAGATCGTCGTTGCTTGTTCTTGAACGACTGGAAGATAGTGGTCGAACAACGAGAATGTGACATGGAGCAAAAGTGGTAAGTGTTCAACCATCTGATCATGGCGATTGACAAATATGTCCCTAAGGAAGATAAACGACAATTGACCCAAGGAAAAGGCAGTGTCTTTCTCGCTGGAAGGCACAATCTCCCAAAGGTTGGCCTCGTAGGGGAAATGCGTTTCACCTTGGTCGTTTGAAGACTGGCCCTTCATCTGCGTAGGGACCATATTCCGCGCCTGCAAGTTGGATATGAGTTTCACAATCAAGTGGCTTTGATCTGATTGCGAGAATGCCAAATAGTTAATGACTTGAAGGGCGTACTGAACAAATCGGGAGTTTCTTCTCTCTAAACAATTGTTTATCAAGAAATCTACCACCATGTCAAAATGTTCTGGCTTAGCCGCCAACGCTACCCAAAGTGCTTCGACTTCGTTTGGAATCTTTGAACTGAAATTAACCGTAATTTCGAACAAGTTATTGAGAACCATAGTCGACAGCCCATTGAGTTTCCTCGTGCGTGGTTTCTCTGTCTGTGTGGAGATAGCTTTCTCGGATTCGTACTCGAGGCTGATGGTCAGCACCCACGGCAACAAGCAAGAGAGTATATCTCTTCTGGAGCTGCTATCAACAACGTTAAAGTATCTTGTCAAGTAGCTGATCCTGATGAAGGATCCTGTAGGACCCAGAAGTGCGAGACTTGCTGAGATATCGTACAACGCTTTCTTGTACACCACCTTTGATTTACTGTGCACACTTTCAACGAATTTGTCAACTGAGTGGTTCTGGAAATGTTTGGCCTCAAGGTAGTTTAACAATTCCACTGCAACACTCCGAACATTATAGCTTTCATTGCCCACCAAGTATGTCGAGAGGCAAAGCACTTCATACGGCTTTTCCTGGTCTTCAGCTATACTACGTTTCATGTAGTTTTCTGCAAACACAACAAAATAGCATCCAGTAGCTCCAGATCTCTTTTGAGATGTGTAGCATTGGCGAACAACTTCCTGGTATATCTCTTTCACGTGAAAGTTCTGCGCTAAAAGATTGCTTAACGCAGACTTACCAATGTCGTGCAAGTGTACCTGGTCAGAGCTGAATAACGAATGTATCCATGCCATAACTCCAGGAATGTCAAACGACATCACGGCCACCTGGCCAGGCAACTCTATTTCTTGCTTCACTGGACCTGAACAGAGAACTGCCATACAGCTTAAGGAAGCGTGCTGGAATGCCTTCTTTTCAATCTCAATAGTAGCAGCAGTGACTTCCTTTTGGTTGGCTTTGTTCACCATGGTTCTGTATCGATCTTCAGCAATATCCTCAAATTCACCAACTAGACTCCATTCTTTGAGGTAGTTAAAGCAACCTATTCTCGCTTCGAAGGGAAACCATTGGTCAATATTGGTATTCTTTTGTAATCCAATAAAAGTATGTTCCAAGTATATGCAGAAAAAACGACGAAGCTTTTGAAACTCTGCATTAGTTTGAATTGATGGGTCTGAAAGAAATGTTTTGAGATGCTTAATCATGGCCACGAGATTTTTCACAATCCACTCATCTTTGTAGATTGCCTCAGTAGGTCCTAGACGTTTCGTTAGGTTAGACAAAACATGTATGACCTCAATTCTCAATCGATCCTCAGCAGCATCCCTACGTGACGACTGTGTATTCCAGTCATTCAAAGTCTCAGGAATGTTCTCAAGGAACGTTCTGAATGTGTTCACGTTCACACAGCTTAAGCCAGATATCACAGCATCTCGAATGATTGTTCGTTGAGTTTTGAGTAGCGGGAGTACCATTCTAAAGACTGACTTGGCACTGGTTATTTTCTGATGCTGGATAAAGAGTTGCATCGATTTCTTTCTTCCATGCGTTGGTTGAGATGGGAAGGAGATTTTTTGCTCGTTCGTGGAGGTCAAAGAGCAACACGCAAATATCAAATAAAGCCTCCATTGAGAGACCAAAACCTCTGGAGGACAATCAGTGCTCTTTGAAAAAAACGAGTTGGTAAATGAGTTATAACTCTCAGAGAACTCATATACCAACTCATGCATCTGAACAATTCTAATACAGATTATCAGTCTGCACATCGCAACAGGCATGGGACAACGCTCAAAGAAGATTTCCAACATTTTGGGGTATACTCGAAACCACAAAGTGGTGTCAATACCGTGATCAGATTCAGCAAGCTTGATCAATGTGTTGGACTTGTTCTTCCACTTAGCAAGTCGGGAAGTTTCTGCCAGACTCAATTCATTCTTCATTGGTCGAATCAAGCCGAAGAAGTCTATGTTTTCCATTACATCGATAAGACGAGTTCCGATATCTGCAGCAAACTTAGAGGCGCTTCGTGAGTGAGATGGTCTCTTAGTAGTCAGACTCACCTCATTCTCGTCCGTGATTTTATAAATAACCTGGTCAAACAGCTCAACAAGTTTGAGAATGGAGATTCCATAATGCCTGATTTTCGCATCCAGAGAGCAGATAAAATAAAGAGCATTACCCTCAATCTCTTCAATTGCTGTAATGATGTTCTTCCATTCAAAATCGTCATTTGTCCGTTGCGAAGTCTCCGTATTCAAGGGAATATCGTCTGTTTTATAGTTGATTTGGTATAGGTCATTGAGTACATCACGATTCATCATTTCGTCATCTTGTGCCAAAGGATTCTTTTTCTCCTTGGTTTCGGATAAGGTTTCTTTGAATTGTACTAGCCAGCAGTTTAAGAGCCCCACGTACACCTTGCAAAGTTTGAGGTACTCGTTCGAGTTGAAGTAGTTTGAGCTGTAAGATGGACCAGGTTTTTCGCTGAATTGAAACGCAATTTTAGCGAAGATCGAGAGAAGTATGTTGGCGTTCTTTTTCGATGCAAGATTATGGAGCGCCTGGACTGACGCCTTGCTAACACGAGGGTTTGAGTGTACTGCATTTCTTGTTAGCAAGTCAACTATTGCCTTGAATGAAAGGCCCGATGCAGATGGCTTTTCCGACTGCGAGATCATGGTCCACGGAATGGCATCAATGAGAGTTGCAAAAAGTTCAATATCAACGTCTTGGACTTGTTGGAATGCATTCTCGATCCCGAAATTAAAGGCAGAGAATGGAGACAATGACTTCGACATGTTTCCGGATTGCTCTGGTGGTACTATTACACAACCCAACTTTTCGTCTAATGTCTTTAAGAATATACCAAGGGTACGACAAATTTCGTCGTGAGAAGCAGCATTGTTTGAGTTTCGTGCTTTGAACAAGAAATCGTTAATAGTAACATTTTTCTTGCGAGATTGTTCTTCCTTTCCCTTCGGAGCATTTTGCTTTGTATTAACACTGAAATCCTCAACCAATATTCTGGAGCTGAACACCTTATCAGTAGGAAATACGGGCTTGTTCCCCATTTCATGGTCTTCGACTATCAATAGGTAACTTTTGAGGACAAAAAGCAGTCTTTCCGATCCCAACGAGGGTGATTTCAATAATTTCAAGAGAACATTATCAAGCACAAAGTTCAAATGCTGATAACCAACAATTCTGATCAACTGTACAAGGGCATTGATCAAGTAGTAGTCCGATGTGAGCCAATGCTGCTTCTTGTTATAGTTCGAGGAATTAAAGAAAAGTATATCGAATAAGCTCTCCAATCGCTTGACTGTATTGTTCAACGATTCTGGCAATCTATAGAGATATACCCATATCAAGCGAGCAATGCAAATGATAAAGGTTGCTTTTTCTTCGGGGTCAACTTTCGCTTTTAGCTTGTATGTGTTGCCTTCGATGATTTGAAACCAAACTTTGGAGAAATGTTCGTTGCGTGATACTGATAATGCCGATGTCATCAAATACATGGAAAGTGCCCAGCTATTATTAGCGTACATCGAAGGATGCATGGACAAGCCATTGCTTGGATTGACAAGTGAAACGTTTTGGGAAGACAGGGTCGACTTTGCTATGTTATACCATAGTCTGTACCCAGTATCAAATATGCGTTCTACGGCCTCCAGCCATGTTGGATGGTTAACTTCTGCAGTCAAAGTATTGGCCAAGGGTATCATGAGGCAACTCAAAACTTCACAATAGGCAAATATAAGACATTCATTTCGGGTTTTTGCGAAAAACTTTGAAAGTGAATGCAAAAAGTCTGCACTTTCTTCAAAATTTTCCAATGGGTAATTGGTCAATTTGAGGTAACGCATGCCATGGATCAAAAGATGGAGCCTTGGTTCGTCTTCTTGATTGACCACCAGGGGAATAGTCTCCAAGTCAGCAATAAACCTGTCACTAACGCTCATAAAACGTTTTTCAGACATTATTCCCAATAGCTCTGAGAAAAGGTTCCAATTTGCCGACCTGACGAGAGACTGACTCGTTGCAACTGGATCAGTCGACTTCAACTGTGTGTACACAATCTCTTCCAATTTGTCACCCAAATCATCGTTATCGAAAGACGTTTGCTTCACCACTTCTATGAGTACTCTGCAAAGAATAAATATCAGCGCAAGCGATTTACGGCTGGCCTGAATGGCAGTTTCTCGAGTCAGAGAAATACTCTCTTCCAAGCTATCTCGTTTTTTATCGAGCAGAACTCTAGTCAATTCTTCGGAGGTCTTCAGTGGAGCAGGAGGCATCGACGAAGATGACTGGTTGCGGCGGTGTGCACCAGTCATTCTGTAGATGCTCTTGGATTTCATCAAACTCAAGCTTCTTTTAGCCCTTGGTTTCGGTTGTTCGGTACTGTTTTGAGCCATTTGTTGCGGATCCTTGGTGGATTGCTCATTTACAAGACGTCCTACTTCATTAGCTGCCAAGGCTGCCACTTCGTTCTTTGATTTTCCGCCAGAACATTACACTATCAATGACTGGCCTTGGGTTTCCTTCTGGCAATGTAGCCCAAGTTGGCGATAATCTTATCGAACTGCGGATCGGCCCCTTCACCGAGTATATCTATGATGGGATGCTCGGCATTTTCAGGGAACTCGAGACACATGTTGAGTTTTCGCTCGGCATGGCGAACAAACTGGGTGAATATGATATGCAAAGTGTACTCAGCCGGAGTCTTGGTTTCAGTCACCAAATTCTTGCGTAACGTGGCAACTTCATCATTTGCAATGTGTTTCAAGCTGTTGGACGATGCTGGAGGTGGAAGCTGTGGTGAAGGTTCATGATTTCCCATCACACTATGAGGTGATTGTAAAGGAAGACTATTTTTGGTAATTGAAAATGGTGAGGTTACATGCATATCGAAGCCGTCGTTTTCTTCTTCGCCGTAGTCGATCGACTGGATTCCCAAACCCCTATCTATAACTGGGGCCTCTTGAAGAGAAAACTGGCGTGCAGGCGATGGAATTTGAATCTTACGGGGACTTTCATCGTTGGATATCTCCACAGTTCCGGCCTGTATTGGATTTTCCACATAAGAGGACCTATCAGAGTACAAATTCGAGCCCAAGTCCACGACTTGGTGTCTTTGCAAAGTGGGATAGTCTCCAGGTTGGCCGTCTAGATCAAATTGGGATGGAAGAAGCTGGCCTTCTTGACCTGATTTGGTATGAAGAATATCGTCTCTGTCAGTTTCGGCCATCTTTAGCATGTAAATAGCAAAATCTGTCCTTTTTCTCGGTTTAGTATCGTCAATCAAGAGTGGGATGACTTTCTTGGCTTTTGTTTGAGATTCTATTGTTTGTTTATAAGCGCTTTGCGCCACTATCGAAGGTTTCAAACTTAAATTAGGAGACTTTAACGGTTACTTTTTGAGAAAATTACCCGATTTGACGTCAATCCAAGATTCACACTCTAGATCTCCTTCGTGTATAATTCCGTTACTAAACAAGTTCGGTCTCTCGATCTATTGTTGGTCCTGCACCGTGCGCGCACGTCGGAGACGCTGAGAAACCAAGTGGTTAACCAATTTAGTCTGTACAAAATCGCACTCAAAGAGGCTAAAATGAGTCAAAGTACTCAGCTTTCGACGACGATATCCCAGTATATTGCATCAACAGATGAGGAAGACGGGAGACCTTTTAGTCGTTCTTTGGCATCGATATTGTCGCTGAGATCATCGACTTTGCTTCAATTTATTCAAGGTTTGGGGCCCATATTGACGTCTGAGTCGGAGCTTGCTCGTTCTAAAGCACTAGAGTGCCTTGCCACCACGTTGGAGGAAGTGGATCCGGCGGTGATCTCGAAACAGGATGTTTCGGTGCTCATTGATTTCCTCATCGCCAAACTCGATGACACTACTTGTGTGTTATATGTCTTGAGAGCACTAATTACCATTATCAAGTTGAGCTCGTTCAAGCCCAGCGTAAACGGAAACCTAGAAAAGGTAATAGCTGCTTTGTCTACAAAGTACGATCCAAGAAAGCACCTTGCCAAAGTCAGGTACCACTCGTTCAATCTCATTCAAACTGCACTCGAGACACATTACCCTTATATTCACACCCACCAGACGGAAATTGCCCAAAAGATTGTCGAAGCGTTCATTCACATTGCCAGTGGTGAGAAGGATCCCCGGAATCTTCTCATCTCGTTTGCTATCAATACAAAGTTGAACACCATGTTTGACTTTGATCCAACCACTCACAAACAGCTCATAAACGATCTCTTTGACGTCTGCTTCTGCTACTTCCCCATAACATTCACCCCGCCACCTAATGATCCGTACAAAATCAAAGCCGAGGATTTGAAGGGCTCTTTGGAATCCACAATTGCATCTCAGTCTCTTTTCGCAAGTGACGCTTTCAGTGGCTTGCTCGAAAAGTTGACGTCGACAAACCCAGTAGTGCGCAATGATGTGCTAAGAACCCTTTACTTGTGCGTTGCCAACTACCAGTCTGATGTCGTTTTGGCTCACTGGTTGAGTATCTGGAGCGCATTAAAGTTTGAAATTCTACATAATGACGTTTCAATCTTCCAATCCACTGCTACCGAAATTATACCTGAAGGATACGAGCTTATCGACGACACGGACGATAGCAAAGTCCTCATCCAGACATTGGCGGTTATCAGAGAACTCCAGAGACAAATCATCAAACAAGATGTATCCCAGCATAAGCACGTTGAAAATGGCGAGCATGATTTCAATTATACCAACAAGTTCTTAAAGTCTGTTACTGCTGACTTGAAGGAGTCTGTGGCTACTGTAAGCAAGTCATTCAAGCAAGCTGTCATCATTTTAGCACTTCTTGGTGCTGAGTCGCCTGAACTGTTTTCTGTCATAGTTGGCTTCCAATTCTCTCCAGAAATATGGGGCAAGTACATTGGAGGTGACGAGCGCCAACCGGATGTAGAAATGGATATCAACGAACTGGCAATCTTGAATGTTTCCAAGCAACGTGAATTGATAGACTGCCTTGGATTTGTCTTGATCTCATTTAGACTCTTGACTTCAGCCGGTGTATCAGAAGAGTTCATGGAGAACAACAAGCTTTTAGCTTACAAAGACCATTTGCTCTTATTCCTCGGTCAATTACTACAGACAACCTCCAATATCGAAAAGACTTTAAAGTGCAAAATTGTTCAACAATTGATAGCATTAATACAATTACCTGGCTTATTGACGGTTCAAGAGGTAACGTTAATATTTGGTTACTTCAAAGATATATTGTCTCAGTTAGAAAGAGAAAACCATGATTCTTGGGATGAAGATATTGTGGTGAAGGAGATTATTAAAGGATCCGTAAGCGTTGTGGAGGATACTACCCCAGCAAACGCACCAAAGAAAACTGTGGTTACGGAAACCTTGCTACCATTTTTGATGGACCTAATTGTTCCCGAGGCTAGTTCCAATGCTATTGGCAAAGCACTTGGGGTCATCAAGAGCTTGTCAATACACCACCAATTCTTGGAGGTGGTTTCAATCCGCCTTTTAAATAAGATCACACATTTCTTACAACTGAGCATCTCAATTGAAACAAAGGCCGATGCTTTCAAGGAAATCTGCCAGACATTGCTGGAATCGATAATGAATACGCAAGCGATTTTCCAGTTTCTGACAAATTCGTGGTATAAAAATTTTGTTCCACGCTTCCTCAGAAGTTTCTTCGACTTATGGTCACAGAATCAGCAACCCGATGTCGCTGCTGTGGAGGCAGCTGGCAATTTGGTGGGAGTAATTGTCAGATTTCTCGATAAAAGCAAGCACCAAACTTCATTGAATGAATTAACTACATTATTCTTACTTCCGCAAAACAGCTTCCAACTTCCAGCTGCTCAGATTTCAGTCTCTAGTTCTCCGTTGGTTGGTCTTTTCAACCAGATTATAGCAAATGTCGATAAATCTGTATCGTTCGAAGAAGCTGCTTCACCAATAGTGGTATCTGAGTTGATCAACGACATCACTTGTCGATGCCAAGATTCCGAAATAGACAATGGGTATACTCGTTTATGTTACTTGCAAATGTTGGCAATTTTGTCCAACAAGTTGGTAAAGGATGCTACCTTGTTTGACCCCTACCTTCAACCAACATACGACGATATTTCCACTGAGACTGGAAAGTTACCTTTGAACAAGGTTCAAAAATTCGAAGTCCTCGTTTGGATTACAAAAGGGCTTGTGATGAAGTTAGACCAGAAGGGTATGGAACTCACACAAAAACTTGTGAGTCTTTTGTCAAATGCCAATAATGAGGTTCAACAATTGACATCGAGATGCTTGGGAATTCTTGTGTGTGATCTTCCCATCTTCACGATATCGAGTACATCAAAGAAGCAAGTGAAGCTTGGCTCTGGGGTGACTCCTACAAACGTCCGTTTGTTGTACAAACAAAGATTATTCGACACATTGCTTCCATTGCTAATGGAAGGTTACCAGAACACCAAAGATGAAGTCTACCTCGTTTCATTGTCAATCTTGGTTGAAAATGTTCTGTCTTCTTTGTTGAAGGGCCACTTGGATGAACTTTCTTCGATGGTGACAAACAGTTTACCCATTAATAATCCTGTGATTGTCGGTTCCGCTCTCAAAACTTTGAAGATTCTTATAGACGAAGCACCCGAATTGGTGAAACCTCATCTCAACACCATTATCGAGAGATTAATAGCTCTTGTCGTTCAGAAGATTGTTGCTGGAAAGAGATTAGTAAATGCTGAAAACGTTCGATGTGAAGCATTGGTATGTTTGTTAAAAATTTTCCAAAACCTTGAGTTGGAATACACCGTTCCATATCAAAAGGGAACGATCAAAAAGCTCGAGCCAGCCTTGGACGATAAAAAGCGGCTGGTGCGTAAATACTGTTGCGACTTAAGGCAAGTTCTTTACGAGCTAGGCAGATAAAGGTTAATAGATATAGATATTGCAACCCTAAAATGTAACTATATGCAATTGTGCTAATCACTGTCTTCGTCGTCGTCGTCCAAGCCAACCGGAGCCAATCCCGGTGTCAAACCAGGATACGATATTTTTCCACGTTTCAATTTTTCATTGAAGTCCTTCTTCAGTTTTTGCTTTGTTTTCTTGTTGGATTTTCGTTGTGCTGCCAAGATTTCTTCTTGTAGAGATTCGAGCTCGGATTTGAGTTCGTAGTCTTCGATTTCCGAAAGACGTGAAAGTGAATTTGCGTTCCGCTTAACGATCTTGTTCAAGTACTTTTCTTCCTCTACCGTTAATTCATTATTCTCTTTATGCGATTTGATGATCTGATGCTTAGCCAACTTATTGACCTTCTTGGCTTCTTCCTGCTGTTTCTTCAATTTGCGTTGTTGCTTCAACTTGGCCTTCTTTTGGAGCCTTCTGACTTCATCGGCCGAAAGTGCTCTGGTCTTTAGTTGATTATTCACGGACTGAGCTTTTGATTGGGAGCGTGCTTTTCCAGCTTGCACCGCCTCGACGGGCACTATCCCCAGAAGGAACTTTTGTAGCGTCGACTCCGCCAGCGACTTGGAACTTTGTGACGAAAACGACATACCCTCGTTCCACATCTTGAATCTCAATTTGTGCGATGAGATGTCCTGCAGGTAAGGCGCGTCGATTTGAATATGGGGAAACCGCATTCACCTGTCAAAGTAGGTAGCCGATGAAAGTTGTGAAAGCCTCGGCCAAGCACCATTTTGGGCCACATTCGAGTCTGCGCATGTTGACCCCATTTTGATGTCCTCGGACTAGTGTGCAAAATGCAGGAACAACGGCTGGAAACGTCGGTGAAGTTCGCTCATGTGACGTGAAATCCCCAGCCGAGTGCGAAGTAATCTTGTGCGAATAGGCTTCCTTCCGTTCGGGGTAATTTTGCGAGATGCGAGTCGCGGGTCTGGTTTACGGATGTGCGGCGATAACCGATGTTGGCAAAGATGTCGATGTTTTGTTGGAGTAGATACCATCTTAGCTTCTGATTCAAAAATTCAATTTTGCAATTTTTGTCATTCTACCCCATATTCCAATCTCACCTCGTCCCTCGCTCCACATGCCCGCCAAACCCCACTGCAGCATTGCGGTTCGTGTGCAGGTCACCCCTCTCTTTGACCGCGGGTAGTATTTTCACATGGCTCTGTGCGCCGGACTATCCTGGGGTATAAAGGTTGCTGAAGTCGCATAAGATTCATAATTAGTATTTATTATGTCTGACGTCACCGCTGAAGGATTCGAGTGTTCCCCCATCTTCGAGCTTTTGAATGAAGCTTTGAAAGACGAAAGTCTCAAGAAAAAGGCCATTGCTGGTGCCAAGTGCGTTTTGGTCATCTCGTTGAAAAACAAGGAAGGCAAGGACCAAAGCTGGCTTTTGGACTTGAAAAAGGAAGGTTCCGTCAAGAAGGTTGACTCTGTGCCAAAGAGTGATGTCCAATTGATCTTGAAGGATGGTGACTTCCTCAAGTTGGCCGAGGGTACTGCCAACGGTCAAAAGTTGTTCATGAACGGAAAGTTGAAGATCAAGGGTAACATGATGAAGGCCACTGCCATCGAGGGTGTGTTCAAGCAACTCGACCCAAGATCCAAGTTGTAAGTGTTTATAAATAAGATATGACATCATCAGAACCAGTAGATCTAAGTCTCAGCCATCCCAAAAACCGCTACCCCGGATTTGTCAGAGACGAAGAGATGGGCACCGTTATAGGAGAAGCTTGTAGCGGTGAAAAGCTCAGGCACACCCACCATGTAGGTTATGGAGTGAGTGCCATTCTCGACGTCAATGTTCACTTTTAGGATCAAATCGGCCCCATTCGTCACCAATACTTGGAGCTGATGCTCGCTTTCATTTAAAACGGTGAGATGAGCAATTCTGTGGGGTGACAAAGAAACGTCAATTTTCTTAGTTTCTTGCTCCCAAACTAGAATGTGACCATTCCCGTATCCAGCAATAATATACTTGCCAGAAATCACCATCGAGGTGACTGCTACACCTTCAAACCCTACTAGTCGCTTGCGAAGCTGCGAATGGTACCCCACATCGAAACTCTGAATAATGCCACTTTCGTACCCAACATACAATTCCCGGCCAACGGTGTCGAACTCCTTGTCTGTGAGAGGCTCTTTGATGCTCCAGGGCTTGGGGAGCTCGACGGTGGCTATGCAATTGACAGGGTCTTGCAAATTATCAATGCGACGAAACGAGTACACTAAAGAGCCCGATCCACACTCCCATAAATTGACCGCTCCATCAAGGGACCCCGTCAAGTAGTTGCGGCCGTTACCTATGAACTCAATTGACGTAATTCCCAGAGTATGTCCCTTCAAAACTTTAGCAGGAATTTGTGAGTCGTTTTCAAGCAGCCATATTTTCATCTGGAGATCCAATCCCACTGTCAAAATCACCTGCTGCGACGGGAAAACTCGAATATGCTCTATATTAGCCGCATGGGCACCCTTAACCTCCTTCACAATCTTTTTCTCCTTCAAATCATAAACTATATATGTTCCTTGGATAGTTCCCATGATGAGCTTGTTGCTTGTGGATGCAAGAGACATCACAGAATCGAAAGTGTGCCACGACTCCGCAGCCTGTAGGACATAACTATCGTCTCCGATCTTCAACTTGAACCTTCGGCGATTTTTCAGTGAAAATTGAATAAATACAACTCCTTCCAGGTTGGTGAACTTTACCTGGTTGTCCTCTTTTGCCACATTTATGTAGAATAATTCCTGTTCTGATTCCTCTGAGGTTCTACGAGATACCCAAAAGCTTTCCTGCTCCACTGTGCCGTCTTCGACATCTTGAATGACATCTACAAAGGTGTCTTGCACAGTTATGAATTGCATCTTTCTTTCAAATCTAAAATCGCGAACTTTGAATATTTCGCGAGCTTCTTCTTATCACCATGTCCACGTTTGCAATGTTCCACGACCAGGACTTTGATCCTGCGTCCTACGTCGACGCTCTAGTGCTGTCCATGGCACAAAAAGACCCTTATTCAAAGAAAAGTCTACTGGAAATCAACAATAAATGCTCCAATTTGGTGGCCCATCTAGACTACTATACCGGCCAACTATCACGAGAAGTCATAGAAAAAACTGAAACCTTGAAGAAATCATCGTCAGCATTGGTTTCTCACGACACAAACGACTCCTACGACCAAATATCACGCCTCCAATACTACATAAATTCGGTTTCAAATGCCGTTATCGCACTCAAGGCAGACGTCGAAGTGGTGAATACGCAATTGGAATCTGCTTCGGATGCAGATCACGAGAAGATCCAGAGCTTGATCAAACTCAAGGAGTGTCGTAGTAACCTCCTTCTGGTGCTCTCGATTTTCGAGAAAATTGACGTTGTTACTCGCGATAGAGCCGACCAGGTGTCCACCATAACTGTCACTGATTTTGCCAAGGCTCTTTCACTTCTCCACACCACAATCACAGCCCAATTATCCAATCCCGCTACACGCACTGAATCCTTGAAGCAGAACATAGAAGATTTGATCCAACTCCTACCAGTATTCCACAACATGCATCGCTTCTACCCTATATATAAAGATTTTGTGGGGAAGCTCTCCGGTGAAAGACAAAACTACCCAGAAATGAACTAGATGCTCAATTCTAAAACCAAGTAAATTTTAGTGTCTAATATAATACAAATGCTAATTAATTCTCGCTCATGATTGTGCGGACAAGTCCGACATCTTAGTGTCATTAAGGTCATCGTGTTCAGCTTTCTCAAGATCCTCCTTCTTCTTACGTTTCAAAAACAGAAACCCAGCGTAATAAATAAAGATCTTGAAGGCTCTGGTTGGGAAAATGGCCACCACCCAGTGATCAGGGATTATTCTTATGACCAATCCGACGGGAATCGATATAAATCCACAGATGATTGCAGTAGCCCATTGACCAGGGGTCTGTCTAACAACGCTGAATGCAGCACCACCGACGAACATAATCAATACTTGCATTGCGCCGATGAGAAGAGCAATTCCCAAAAAGTACCAATTGCGGAACAAGTGTTGAAAAAAGTTCAAGTTGTTGGCCGTGAGTCTGTCCCGAACCTTTCGAATGCCATCTGCTTCGTCCAACTTTCTCGTGACGACCAATTTCCAGAACTGCAACCACACAAATGTGTTAAAAGTCATGGCGTCCAATTGCTTGTTCTGATGGTTGTCGATGTGATTATTGCCATGGAAAAATCTTCTGCCACAGAAATGAAGAATGAACGTGATAACCAACTGAGTGACTGACTGTCCAAGTATCATCTTCCACATCGAAACCGAAATCAAAGGAGCAGTACGACCAGCAGGCTTTTTCTTCAAAAACGAGTCGTCTGGCTTATCGGTCGCCAACGCCAACGCCGCTAAAGTGTCCATGATAAGATTCACCCACAACAACTGCACAGCAGTCAACACCGACTGGCCATTGGAAGATGCCACAGCGGACACAAACGTCAAGATACAGGCAGTAATATTGACGGTCAACTGAAACTGGATGAATTTCTTGATCGAAGTCGAAACAGTTCTTCCCCATTTGATGGCCTGGACAATATCGGTGAAATCGTCTGTCATCAAGATAATATCAGAGGCTTCTCTGGCCACTTCAGTACCAGCAATTCCCATAGAAAATCCCACGTCTGCCAACTTTAAGGCAGGAGCATCGTTTGTACCGTCACCCGTGACAGCAACAACCTCTCCTGCTTTCTTCAATGTTTCCACAAGAACCCGTTTATCTTCTGGAGAAGATCTCGCCAATACTTTCAAACGAGGCGCAATCCGCGTTCTTTCCGCATCCGTCAACTTGCGGAAGGTTGGTCCTTCCATGTATGCGTAGTCATTCGAAAGATCATCAGGAGTAAGAATATGGCATGCTCTGGAGATGGATTTTGCAGTATTCAAGTTGTCTCCGGTAACCATTCTAACAGTGACACCAGCTTCCTTACACTGAAGAACTGCTTGTGCCACACCGTCTTTCAACGGATCTTGAATACCTGCAATTCCATCCAAAACCAAGTGTCTTTGGTCTTCTGGAATAGTGGATCCTACAGCAAGAAGTTTCTTAGGGTCGGCTTGTTTGGAGTTTTCCTCTAAAAGTTCTGGTGGAGGCCAGTTGGAAATTCCAATGAAGTCGCGGTGAGCAAGTGCAATGGCTCTCAAAGCATCATTGGCATACTCATCAATCTTGCTGAAAGCGTCGTCTCTCTGTGACCGATCCATGGACACCGTAGTACCATCGACATTGGTTAGGTACCCACAATTCTTGAAAACAATTTCAGCCGCTCCCTTAGCGTAAAGACGGAACCCATTGTCTATCTTCATTACTATTCCAGCCCATTTTCTCGAACTTTCAAACTGGATGATCTGTACTATCTTGTCGTGGTTGGCGCTCCGCTGGGTCTCCAAGTTGTCTGTTGCAAACTGATTGAAAACTTTGTTAGCAAGGATCAACAAGGCAGATTCCGTCTTGTTTCCCAAATAAGGTTCGGTTACCACTCCAAGCTCAACCTGTCGTTCTTGTTGTTTCTTTCCGGGGTTTTGCATCAATTGGCGGATAAATGACTTTCTCTGTGGTTTTTGTCTTGCCATAAGAGCTTTCTTCTCGTCGTAGTCGGTGTTCTCAAATGCAGTGGAATTTAAAGTGATGTTGGTACAAAGAAAGACCTTAAGTTCTTCTGAAAGTTCATTCACCACTTCTGAAGACAATGGACCATGGCCACCAGAAGTATCGTCAAACTCGGACAGTCCAAAATATGCTCTCACGACTCTCATACGATTTTCAGTCAAAGTTCCGGTTTTGTCAGAGCACACAGCGGTAGCACCACCCATGGTCTCACATGACTTCAACACACGGACCAAATTACCGTTCTGAGCCATTCTAGTAGTGGCGAAAGCCAACGCTAAAGTCACTGCCAATGGCAAACCTTCGGGAACCGCAACGACAATAATTGTTATAGCAGTAATCAAAATGTCCAAGAACTTCTTTCCCTTTTGCGGACCAGGAATATCGTTGAATTTTCCTCCTGGAGCAATATTGACACAATAGCGGATGAACAAAACGATGAAAAGGACCAATGCGGCCAAAAAACCGTACTTGGAGATTCCCTCGGCAAGGTTGTCGAGTCTAACTTGCATGGGGGTTGTTTCTGCGTCGGTGTGAAGACTCATCATTGTTCTTCCATGAATGGAATTGGGGCCAACTGCAGTGACCATTCCATATCCCAAACCTTCGAGCACCTTTGCACCAGAAATAAGATAAGGGTCCTTGAACTTGATGGTAGACGAGCCCAAATCTTCATCTGTTGGAAGCTGTGCCTCATAGAAATCCATAGCCTCGCCAGCGGGTTTCTTCTTAATGGTATGAGATTCACCAGTGAGAGCAGATTCGTCACATTCAACGTCTCCCAGTATCAAGATGGCATCAGCAGGAACAACATCACCTGTTTGCAAGTTGATGATATCACCGACCAAAAGGTCGTAAATGGAGATCATTTTCTGGGCTCCGTCTCTTACCACGATCAACTCGCGGTCTTCTTTCTTGGCATTCAAACGAGCAAACTGTCGTTCTTTTTGATAATCATTGGCTGCACCAACCACCACCACAATTACAACGGCAGTAATAATGGCCACGCCTTCCACCCAGTCCACCTTGGGCAAAACTTTGCCCTCATCGTCCCTCAAAGGACCTTCACCAAAGGTCTCATATAAGCCCAATGCTAAGGATATAACCGCAGCCACAGTCAACATGATCAACACCTTGTCTTTCATGGCATCGTAACATAGACGAAAGAAGTTTTTCTGGGCTTTCACCGGTATTCTATTTTCTCCGAACAATTCTTCTCTATGTTTAAGATCTCTATGGGTATCGATTCCACTCAGCAAATTAGTCTCAAGACCATACAGTAACAGTTTGATCCCACCAAGTTCATGCAATTTGCGAAGCGATTTGGGATCGTGAAGTTCCGTTAACACTTCTGGAGTTAATCCTGAATTATCTGTGAGAGGTGTGGCTGATGAAACACTGATATTGTCTTCATTATCCGAGGTAGATCCGGGTAGTTGTAAATGTTTGGACGCTGTTTGCGCCCTTTCTATTGGATTCTGTGGAGCCATTCTGTTTAGTTGAAGGTTGCAATAAGCCAACTATAAGCCAGGTTGCAACAACCTCGCACGGCCCTAAGCCTTTGGAAATTTTCAGGCTTTGCTTAAAGCAAATGATTCGATGTCAAGTATCAACACTTAACAAATAATATAGCCACCTATTTGGATTTTGGTAACGAGAAAGTGTAAACTTATTGTTTACAAAGGTGCAGAGGTAGAATTGATGCTCCCTTCCACTTATTATATGATAAGATTGCAACTAGGTGCCTCGCAAAGAGGCTGTGCTGATGCTGATGTCAGCAACATTATCGAGACTAAAGCAACGCGCCGCAACCGACGAAAATGCGAAAATGCCGGGTGTCTGGTTGCGGTTTCGGTGTTCTCCATGACCTTTAGCAGTGCCCAGTGGTTCGGAGAGTGACAATTCTTTGGTTTCCGCAGCGATTTCAGGCTGCGTTACCACCCAACATGGGGGCGTGCCAAGGAGTCGAGTTTTGCATGAAGGCTAATTTTTGGGTTGCGTGCCGCAACCTTCACTGGCAGCCATGCCTCAGGGTTTCGCGAGCGCCAATATGTATGTAATTTCCGCATGTGGCAGCGGTGATGAGGACGATTAAGGTTGTGGATCGGGAGTCGCGGAAGAGAAAATGAAGAAGAATATAGTCATTGTAGAAGATGGTCTAATAATTGTTTTACAGTTGTAGTCTGTAGTCTGTAGTTTGTAGTCTGTAGTCTAGTCTAGTCTAGTCTAGTGTAGTTGTCGCGGTGCGATGCCGTCTGACACGCGGCCCCCAGTCTCAGTTTTCCGATACTTGCGTCGCAATTCCGCTTCGCAGAAAACCTCTTGGCACACCGAAAATGACACTTTTGGCAGGCGGAGCCGTATTGTTTCAAATCTTAATTGTTCGTGATCGAGATCGATGACAACCAGAATATGAAACAAAACACTTTAACGTATCAATGCATAGACATGTCAGGGACGTACCCTTCAAAGCCATCAAGCCAAAGCCACCACTTGATGACAGCTACATATCCGGTACCCGGCGCTTTCTCTGGGAAAATGCCCTGCTGGCCAAACGGTTAAGGCATCCGCCTCCTAAGTGGAAGACTCCGGGTTCGAGTCCCGGGTAGGGTTTGACCTATGAAGTTTAATTTTTTTTTCCTGCACTGCGCCCAAATGTGCCAAGATGGTAATTGGACCTTGGCAACTTGGCAGCATAGCCTCGATGTAAATGGTACTATCATTACACATATTTAAAATCCAAAATCAAACGCGCTCATATCGGGCTCCTCAAAAGCTGTGGGCGGGGGTGGAGGCTGTGCTTTTGCATCGTTCCGCCCCGAGTCTTCAAACGATTGTAACATCGATCTTATTGTTCCTTTTCCATTTTCTAACTGGTTTGTAGATTTTTCTGCCTTGGTTTTCTTCATGATTCCCTTATGCTCGTCGTATTCGATAAATGTCCATAATCGAACGAGTAGTATCGCAAGGTAGTCGCACCCCATTCGAGTATAAAGGCTGCAAATTTTCACAGTGAAATCAAATTCCTCATTTAAAGGCACCATCAAGTAGCCTCGTAAATACCGTACACTCTTTTGGCGCAAGCTATCAAACAACAATCCCAAAACAGGATCGTCTTGAAGATAACTTTTGCTCTGGGAAGTTAGTTCGCTTCCTTCAATATGGAATTTGTAGCATCGGTCAGAGAATAATTGGCCATTCTCTTTAAAAATGGCAATTGGTGGTTTTACAAGCGCCTGGATTGCAAGCTCCTTCTCGTTTAGCTCCCAAAACGTCCAGCTACTCAACCATCGGTTGCCTGTTTGCACAGCTTCAGGAACCACAAAATCTTCAATAATGTATCGTTCTGCATCACTTACAGGCTCATCAGAATTGACTGAATCTTTGCTTGTATAAACCTTGGCGATTGCAATAGCCAATGGAACATCTCTCAATTTGAAAGCTATCGTCTGGCAAGCGTCTTTGACAGAATCTCCAAGCAAGAAAAACGAAGCAGCATCGACGTAACGATGTTTTCCCAAAAGTACAAATGCATTCTTCAATGCTGCTTTCCGCCATCTATCTTCCGAAAAGTTGTTGTTCATGAAAGCTAACATCTTTTGCTTTTCTGGATGGCTGACGGTTCGCCATAATCCAGTTAAAACATGTTTCTTTCGAATGGCCAAATAAAACAAGGTGATGCGGCCGGAGGGGTCCCTAGAATCTCCAAACTCATTTCTAGCACAGGACTCCAAAACACTGGAAAGTCGGGACGTTTCCAACCAATATGGTATACCGGTTTGCGTAATATGCTCCCAGCGTAGTCTGTTCTTGTAATGGTTATGAATCATAGTGAGAATCACCTCTTTATTGTCACTATGAAGGGCCCAATTAATGTCTCTCATAGTCAATCGACTTTGCTTTGATGAGGTTTGGAAAAGCTTGAATCCAATGAAAAATCTTAAACCATTATCATCAAGTGATTCGTGGTAAACTTGTAGTTCACGAACGATGTTAATCACGGATATAAGCGTGATTTGCTGGTGACGAGTTAAAAGTGGAAGTGAAGACTTGGAGAGTCTTTCAACGAGAAGATGTGCAACTTGATCATTGAACTCACTAAACACATCGAGGTCGCCATTCGTAGAATTGTCTTGACCATTGAACAATTCATGGACATCAGGTGTAGCTGCTCGGCTTTCTCTTCGGGATGGGTGTTCACTGACAATTACTTCGTCTAAGCTGAGACCCAAATCCCATTCAATCATCTTGCCAACTCGTAGAATTTTGAATAATTGAAACAAGATACTCTTGACGAGAGAGGTGTGTAAGAAGAACAAACTCTGAATGAGAAATTGTGGGTGGTAGAGTGGAAGTGGTCCATTCAAAATCTTGACCAAGTGATCGATGTCAAGCCGAAAAGAATTGGCTCTTTTGCCAACATCTTCGTTGCCAATATATCCCACCATTAATTGTCTCAATGTCTGGTCAACGAAACTTTCCGACGACCCCAAGTCAACGTATTTGTCGTCAATGAAAAACTGGTTTCCGCTCGCTATTACCAAGTACCCGTTTGCAAGCCAGATCAGATCGCCTATTTCATGAGTAGTAAAGTCTGAGATGTCTATCTTTTTCAACACTGCAAAAGGAGGGATTTTGTTGGTGTAGTCGTAACGGAGCTGAGTATACAAAAGAACATGTCTTCTGAAACCCACAGACAAAATGGCGTTTGGTACGGAAGAACTTCTCGCATCATGCTGAAGGTTATTTGCACCTTCGTTGAACCCCACATATGTCCAATCGAGATCTCTCACTTCATCCTCAAAAGATTCTTCGTATTCTAAAACACCATTCTTGGTATCCCAAATACTCAATTGCGTGCCTGTGCTATCGATGACTGCAAACCGGCTGACTCTAGCGGCTCCATGTATTTTACCAGCTTTTTCAATGTTCGTATGAACCATTGCAGTCTCGGTCCAGCCTAGCTTCTTGCTGGCTATGTCCTTTAAATCGAGTCCGTATATCAGCAATCTTCCCCCAGTATCAATTGCAGAAACCAAGCTTTCATTCATATCAAGGTAATCAGAGTCTATGCTTGCTACCAAGTGTAAGTCCTCCTTAGGAAACCTGTCAATTTCAACTTTCTCCATTTCCACTGGATCGGTATTTAATGTCCATGCAAGAGTTTCTGAAGTGTCAAATATGGCGATGACACCAAACCTCTTTTCTCCCTTCTCTGTATCAGGAAGTTTGAACAGAAGCACAGAAAATGGCTCACTTTTTTTGGTTTTGTCGTCTTGTGAAATCGGGAATCTAACTGCTAGTGTTGCTACTCTGTCAGCATTACAACTGACACAATTCCAAACACTAACGAAACCACACTTTTCAAATACAACAATTAAATGCCGTCTATCCTCGGTTTCAGCGTTGACGTCGTTGACGATGAGTGCACTCCAAGCACCTTTGATTTTCTCGTTTGCTTGACATTCTTCAAGTCCAAGTCGAGTTCTTTTGGTTATGGATAAGCGGCAGGTAGGTTGAGATTCGAGTATCAACGGTTCCCAAATATAATTGTGTTCGGCGAAATTCAGAATAGAAAGTAGTACCTCGGGTTTCCCGTTATTGAAGCTTGACTTGAACAACTTTCGAATGGATTTGGTATGTCCTTGGTAGCGCTCTACAAGCCGGGCTCCGATGCCGCCTGTGTTACCTCTGAGCAATCTTGCAAAGTCAAGCTCTAGTAATCTGAGGGTGTTATTGAAGCGATCGTGTATCATTACAGCCACCTTTGGACTCACATCTCCCTCAACAGTGGTGCAAATTTTGGAAATAACCAAGTTTTTCTGGCTGATTCTGAACTGTAAGGATTGGATTGTATCAACGTTGATAGGCTCCACATTGGGTACATTTAAGTAGGTTGGGAAGCAATGGTCGTCCAATCTCATATCCATAGCATCTATTCGGTCAAAACGAATAGAGTTTGGAGGATCTTGACCAGCGTTCACCATTGCAAATATGACAATGTTCCCTTTCGTTCCAATCGCTAATAGTAGGTCCAATGTCTTGAGATCCTGGCTTTGGAGGTAGCGAGTAATGTTCGACTCTTCCTTAGTAGCATTCAACGCTGGAACTACGGTTCGCTGAAGGTGATAATTGTCGATGATGATAGAGCCAAGAAGTTTCTTATCCTCAAAGCAGTCCCCCAAATCAATATGGGACCACGCTTTGATGTGGCTGTGGTCACTGTACTCGTATGAAGCCCACACGGTTAGTCGTCCTTCGTTGGTAATGGTGTATAAAGTGTCACAATCATCTGACAGGTTGTCAATATAGTCTCGTATGTTTTTGATGTTTGCCATTGACTTGTCGGTGACTTTGGTTATTGAGTTCGAAGGGATTTTGTATCGCCATTGCACTTCAACGGCGTAGGTTCCTGGAGGATGAGGAAGATACGAGACATCGAATTGTGTCGTTTCGTCGCCATAATTGGCACGCGACCACACTTTAAGCAAGTTGTCGTAGTGGTTGCTAACAGACACGATCTTGTTGGCATTGGCAGTGATCTTAACCTTGGTAACTGAGCTAGGCTGGGGACAGTACCATCGTCTTCGATGACAAGTTTCGCCAAAGTTGTCGAAAATATAATGTAATGATATCGATTTTGCCGTGCCCACGCAAAGTTCCAGCTCTATAGTGGCCCAATCCATACAATTGACGTTGGAATTGTCGTCCTCGTTGATTATAGTGGTTCCTTGCGTCCATCGTGGACGACTCAGAAACTCGTTTTCTGGTTTAAAAATGATAATTGTGCTTTTTACTGAAACCGCAATGTACCCTGTAGTTCCGTCAATGACCACACACCCCAAATCCCCCAGTAAATATATCGTTTGAAGGTTATCGAGTCGTTGGAGCAGGTCCAGTTTACTTCGCCGATCGGGTTTCAAGGTCGATGAGATGATCAAATTGTTTCCCAGACCATATGCTACTAGATAATGAGACTTCCATAGTGCGTGCAGACTGGAGTTTGGTTCCTTTATTGACTTCCCCCGGTATGAAAGTGATGGTCATCACCGGTAGTATATGTAGAATGATTTGTGCGGTTGCGAAAAATGAGAGTGAGAACATAAGAGAGTGAGACGAACGAGAACAGAATAATGAGTATGAGAAAAGGAAGTCATTTTATAAATAGAATCTCGATTAAATATACTGATTACATGTAGAATTAAACAACATCCTCGTGCATCGAGACCGCCGTGGAGTGAACCACCGACTTGACCGACTTCAATTCATCAGCAGCGACAACCTCCTGCAAGCCATCTTCCTCAACAGTAGTGTGGTCAGAGACTCTGAACAAGAGGAGTGGTGCAGCGATGAGCAATGAACCATGGACCAATCCCCATGAACTGGCAAACATGGCCATGTATGGCTTCTGGAGAGCATCCAATCTCCATGCGATGGCAGCTGCCGCAGACTGAATACCCTTGTAGAATCCCAGCATACAAGGACACCGTCTTGGGGTTATTGGACATGGTTCCCAACGACCAGAAAATGAAGGTTTGGAACATGGCATCGTACATTCCGTAGAAAATGTACAAGAACATGGGTCCAATATAGGAACCATCTTTATAGTCAATTGGAGTCAATTTGGGTTTAGTTGGATCAGCAGTTTCTCTGGTGAATCCTTGTTGGAACTTAAGACCTCCTCCCCAGATTGCCATACCTGTAATGAACAAAATACCCCATCCAATTCTTGACCGAGTGACTCTTCTGAATCTGTTCATATCCAATACAGTACCAATAATGATGGCTCCAACCATTTGTGCAAGCCAGTAAAGCAACGAGTTTAAAGAACGAGTTCTCAAGTCAAACCTTCCCAAGTTGAAATCGTTGAATTGGTAGGTGTAAAACCAGTTGGAAGCGAAAAACATGGGGAACATGAAAAAAATTGATGGCTTGTCCTTCAAGAGTCTAGCCATACGAATGAGTTCATCTTTCCAGTGAGGGTGCTTCTGGGTGAGAACACGAGTATTATCGGCCTTCCACACCTTTGACATGGGGAGCATAAAGCATGCAATGATGGAACCACAGCACATCAAAATGATGAAAGCAATAAATGTACCATCGTTAGCACTTGAAGACTTATTGTTCATATTATTGGCAAGAGGAATAATCGAACCAATCACGGCACCCAAATTGAAAATGATCCAGAAAACCATAATGGCTCTTCCCTTGGTGTTTTCGGTGGGGTAAGACATGATAATTGTACCTTGAGCAGCCCAAAGACATGAAGCGCAAATACCCAAAAATGCCCCTGAAAAAATCACAAATCCCTTATTTTCAGTATGTTGGAAACACAAGAGAGACCCAGAGTAAAGAGCATATCCGAAACCTCCAAAGATCAAACAAGCTCTGGGACCAATCATATTACAGATGGTTCCACCGAAAAACCCAATACTGGCAAATGTCGAGTACAACGCAACAGTAGCATTATTACTGGTGGTAACGTCAGAGATGGAAGCACCAATACCAGTCAACGCATTGTACATACCTGGGGTCATAAACACCACAAAAGCAAGCATGACAATTTGGATCATGGCATGCGAGTATTGAGGAAGTCCTGGGACAAGTTTCCTATCGTACCATTTTCCCAGCGATAATATTTCTTCTGTGGAGTGTCTTTGGAGCTCCAAATGAGTTTCCTCGTGCCCGTAGGTATCGGGACTGCTGTTCACGTTGATATCTGTTCCTGATTTTTCCATGATTTTCGTTCGACGTCAAAGGTTAATTCAAAGTGAAATTAGACAACAAATATGTTGGTTCCAAAGCAACTGATAAAGTTTCAACCACGATGCTGAGTGCCACTAGATGTTGCTTGGTACTTTGCGTGAACTTGATATATCTGGTCAACAGATATGTTCATATTATATACCCTAGCTTCTCAGTATCTGGCGCACAGCGCGAGCCGCACGCCAGGTTACATTTGCAAGAACACCAGAAACACTAGCATTTGAACGAGGGTAGGTGAAAAGTGGTCCAAATGAGCCGAAAACAAGTCAAGATGAAGTACACAAAGTATAGTCCATTCTGGCCACTCAACTTTTAATTTCGTCTTGTTTTGACAAATCTACCATCATTATGGTCCCAATCGCACCCCGAGATCCGCACCTCAAGCCGTACAATGTAACCTCCAAAACGCCATTTGGGACCCCGCTTATCAGGTGCACCGGGTGTTGCATTGTCTGTGTGCAGGCAATTGGGTAGGAGCCAGATAAGACAAGCTACGCCGTCACGTTGTAAATAGATGGATCATGGAGATGTTGCGAAAATATCGTGTTGACGAAATGAGTTGTTACATCGTGTAACCATGAATGTTGCAATCAGTAATTTCGATCAGCGACAAACACAACAAACGAATGTGTATAAGCTCTGAATCTCATCAGATGGTGTTGTTGCATACTACATCTTACCGCTTTTGTAAATAAGTTTCTTGTGTGGTTTCGTTGTGGTATTACTTGGATACGCTCTTGTGCCCGCTTGTGTGCACTCCCGGAGATATCCGGTGCAACGTTACCTACGATGCAACGCTCGCTTGGAGTATACACGCCGCATCACCATGCATTGCAACGAACTATTCTCCCCATGGGGATCCTCGTAAACGAGTGCAACAATGATTCCGTTTGACAAATGAGGCAGAAATTACAGATACAATGTCATGAATATTCGGTTTTCTATTCTAGTCCCTGACTTCATCATTCTACTCTCCATTTTTATTCTTTTTGTCCATAATCCTGTCCGATTTCAACTATACTCTTCACCAAATCGGCCACCACCTTGTCGGTCAATATTGGTGAGTTGAATACAACTCTGAAAAACTCCCCTTTTTTTTCTTGACCTGGTTGAGGATTGGGTGAAAAATCCACCAAATACTTTCCTTGCTTGTGTAGTTCCCGGGAAATGTACCTGGTGACTTCGCTATGGTCCTCGTTCGTCCAGTGTGAAGGCCGGAAGTAGAAGCATACCTGGAGACATGGAGGAGGATTTTCAGGGCTTCCCAACACTAGTTCAAACCGCTTATCAGCGCTGATTAAATCAACGAACCTTTTGGCTATGTCGAACGCATGGTCAACCCTCTTGGCAAACCCGTTCTGACCAAAGTAAATCCACGCCATGTAGAACTTGAACGAATCGGCTCTGCGACCACAACCCATGGTTCCATCTGCCAAGTCAAAGTTCTCTTCCAGTTCATTCTCTCTTCCATGGAACAAGTATGGAGCAGAAAGAGACATGGCGTTCTGGAAATCCACCACATGAGGCACCAATAAGAACGAACAAGTGGTAGGAACCCCAAGCATCTTGTGAGGGTTGACAGTTATTGAGTCTGCGAGTTCGCTTCCCTTCAACTTTGCACTATGAGTAGGTGAAAAAATCACGTTTCCACCCCAAGATCCGTCGATATGGAACCACAAATTGTGCTCCTTCGCAACGGCTGCAATTTCCCCAAACGGATCGTACGATCCAAAAACCGTGGTTCCAGCTGTCGCGTTGACATATAATGGAATGTAACCTTCCAGTTTCGACTTTTTGATGGCTTGCTTCAAACTAGCCACATCCATGGTTCCATCTTCCAATATGTCCACTTTGAAAAGTGAACCCGAACCCAATCCAAGCAAAATAGCTGCCTTTTCCACCGAATAATGGCAGTGCTTTGACGAGTAAATTGCAAATCTTCTTCCATTGTTTCCTTCAATCTTCGTGTCAGGGTACTTCATGGCGCGGGCCATCTGGAGAGACGTGATATTAGACCATGATCCGCCGGAAAACGTGAGTCCTCCACAAGTTTCTTGGTGGTCTTTGAAGAAAAGTCCAGCATACTTTTTTCCAATATAATTTTCCAACACTGACAATACCGGTGAAACCGTGTATACGTGTGAGTTTGTGTTTAAGACCGACAAAATGATGTCAGAAACCACTCCTATAGGATTATTAGATGCATATAATTTATCCAAAAAACCAGGATTCCATGTATTTACAGAGTACTCAAGCACTTTGTCAATCACCTCAAAAACTTCCTGGGGGTGTTTCCTGATCCCACTTTGCAACTTGGCATCGTCAGTAAACTCCTTTTTGAGAAATTGAGGACTATGGTAACGTCCAAGTGAGTCCTCTTGGTACTCGTCCCGGCTCGGATCCGCTTTGGATATGTAGTCCAAAATTCTAGGCTGGAGTTGTTTGAGCAAAGAATCGAGTTCTTCTGTTCTGTACGACTCCAAATCGCATTCTATCGTTTCGTTGGTCATTTTACTGAAATAGTATATAATTGTAAATTTTGAAAAATTCACGTTTTGCGCACATGCCACAGTGCTAGCTATATACAATATTGTGGGTCCAGACTGAGTGACGGAAAAGGGGACGGAACTAAAAAAGCAACAAGACAATAGAAATAATGGGAAAGCAATAAAAACCGATTGTAGGAATCTTGGGAATCTTCACATCAACTGTAATCCATGTAGATCCAAGCTCGAAACTGCCTTTATCAATTCCTTCATTTTTCCTTCAAAATTCCCTTTTCACTATTTTCCTTCATTTTTTTCACTATTTCTCCTCCTTTCTTGTCAAATTACGGTTCATCACCTCCAATTTTCTCATCTCCTCGTGAGGATCAAAGTTTCCACTGGACAATTTATCATAAGTATCATCATATTTGCCCGTAGACAATGGAGCATTTCCTCTCATACGTTTCCGCATATCGAAAAAACCATTTTTACATTCTAGGAACGCCTGAAGATTAGCCACACACAACTCAGGCAAATCCTTCTTCAATTCTGGTTTTGTTAAACAATCCAGAGGAGTGTTACGTTCTATGAGAACACACGGAGACCTCTGAAGACATATTGCAAGAGCACGCTTCTGATCTTTGCAACTGGTGTTAGTATACAGACAGGTTTCTTTAAAAGATATTTGCGTATAAACTTACCTTGCACCCATATCAAACCAGTTTGATTTCTCTAATTTGGAGAGGACCCGCTGCCCAAATACAGGACACAGCTCATCGGTGCGACTAAGGCTGCGATACATACTGCAATTCTAGTCCCCATTCACAATGCTAATAGAAGACGACTCGCTACATCTATACCACCTAACGCTAACGAAGCCCACAGCAGCTATCAAGTCGATTTTGGGACAGTTTTTGGACAATAAAAAATCTCAAGAACTCGTTCTTGCAACGTCCACCTCCATCGAACTATGGCAATTTCACCTGGAATCGGGCAAGATCAAGCAAATATGCCACCAGCAGGTTATAGGAGTGATCCAGAACATCGATCGTATAAGAAAAGGAGGATCAAATCTCGATCTACTTGTAATTACAAGTGATTCTGGTCGATTATCAATACTCGAGTTCGACAAAGATGAGCTTAAATTCTTCCCCGTGGTCCAGGAACCACACTCAAAAAATGGAATGAATAGAACTACTCCCGGCGAGTACCTCTGTGTGGATCCCCAGGATAGAACCATCACCATAGGTGCAATTGAGCGTGACAAGTTGATGTACAAGGCTCAAACCAACAACAACAAACTCGAACTTCTGTCGCCACTAGAATCAGTATCGAAAAACACCTTGACCATACAAATGGTGTCTTTGGATACAGGTTATGAAAACCCTATGCTTGCTGCAATTGAGTGTAATTATGCTCATTATGATGCTAGCCTAAAATACGATCCCCAATCTTCCAACCTTACCCTTCAGTATTACGAATTCGAACAAGGTCTAAACTACGTCGCCAGACGAAAAGATACCCTAGAAATACCCTCTTCTTCAACTACGTTAGTACCATTGCCGACTCCCATAGGTGGAGTTATTGTTGCCGGTTCCTCATTTATCTTTTATCATAACCCTACAATTGACCAGCAATTATACTTGCCGATTCCACTGAGAGCAGGCTCATCTCCAGTACCAATAGTCTGCTATGCGGTACACAAATTGAAGAAGAACAATTTCTTTATTTTATTGCATAATGAATTGGGCGACTGTTTCAGAGTTCTAATAGACTACGATGATGATTCTGAAAAGGTTACTGAACTCAGCGTGGGGTATTTTGACACAATCTCTCCTAGTACCAGTATTAATGTGTTTAAAAAGGGCTATCTTTTTGCCAATGTGACGAATAACGATAAAATGCTATACCAAATTGAAGATCTTGGGGATAATGATTCATATATAAGCTCGAGCCAGTTTTCTTCGCTTGAAGATGTTTTTGATGGTAACAAGAAACATGAGTTTAAGCCTCGGGGGCTCAGAAATCTTGCCTTGGTGCAAATCATCGACTCATCAAACCCATGTTTTGGAGGTGCTTTAGTCAAGACCAGTGAAAGCAAAGAGTCCAGGATAGCTATGATCACGGGCCACTCACATTTAAAGCTCAAGACCCATGGAATTCCGATCTCGACTCTTGTCTCGTCTCCATTACCAATGATTGCAACATCTGTCTTCACCACCCGGTTGTCAGCTGAGTCCAAGAACGACGAATATATGGTGATTTCATCGTCAGCATCGTCTAAAACTCTCGTTCTCGCAATTGGAGAGGTAGTAGAAGAGGTCCAAGACTCATCATTTGTGACAGACCAACCAACAATTGGAGTTCAGCAAGTGGGTCTTAAATCACTCATCCAAATATATTCCAATGGTATCAGGCACATACGACAAACTGAGACCGAAGGAAAGATTACCAAAAAAACTTTCGACTGGTATCCTCCTGCTGGTATCACCATTATCAGCGCAAGTACAAACCAGGAACAAGTGTTGATTGGTTTGTCGAACAGAGAACTCTGCTACTTTGAAATTGATCCTACCGATGACCAGCTCATTGAGTATCAAGAACGAATTGAGATGTCAGGCGGACAGATTTGTGCCTTAGCATTAGCGTCTTCCTTCGTTAATAAGTCACAGCGGAAAAGTCCCTTTGCTTTGGTCGCCTGTACGGACGAGACAGTTCAGGTAATCTCTTTACAGCAGCATAATTGTCTAGAGACGTTGACGTTTCAGGCACTCTCAGCTAATTGCACATCTGCTGTCATAATATCAAACGAAACTTCTCTCGTTGCCCATCTCGGCCTTGAGAATGGACTATATGTCAGAAGTACTCTTGAGTCCATTACTGGAAAGTTTAGTGACACAAGAGTCAAATATCTAGGAGCCGATAGTGTAAAACTATCTGCTATTTCACTTCGACAACTGCAACAAGTTGGCGTTCTTGCTGTATCCACTTATCCATGGTTATGCTACAGATCCAAAAATAAGACCAGAATTACCCCGTTAATGGGAGCTAACATCAAATGTGGTACTTCGTTCTACTCTGAGGAAATTGGCGAGGGTATAGTTGGAGCTTCTGCCAGCGAGTTGACTATCTTCACAATTGGCGAAGACGAAGATAATTCTGAAATGAGCATAGAGGATGAGTTGGCGATAGAGGACATCAGACTTCGTTACTCTCCCACCAAGATGATACTTGAAGACCAAACCGCTTTTGTTATTGAGTCAGAATATGGTGTGGTCCTGCCATATCAGAGTGGTGAAGAAGTCGATTCAGACTATTACAGTGCTTTTGGCTATCTGAGAAAGGATGAATCATGGGCTTCGTGTGTGCAAATCCTTGATCTTGAGTCCAAAAAGATAACTTTCAGCACTGAACTTGAAGACAACCAAAAACCGCTTTCATTGTGCCGTATGAATTTCGGTAACCAAAAGTACCTTATGGTAGGTACAGCTAAAGATTTGACTTTTCAACTCAATAATAACCCAAAGTATAAAATAATTACATTTCTCATCAATGGCTCAGAATTAGAATTGTTGCATTACACAGAGGTAGACCATCCTCCTGCGGCGATGATTCCCTTTGAAGGTAAACTTCTCGTCGGCATGGGCAAATATTTACGCCTATATGAATTGGGCAAGAAACAACTCCTTCGAAAATCGTCTACATTAGTTGACTACCTTACTAAAATAGTACAGATTACCCACCAGGGCAAGCAAAGAATAGTGGTGGGCGATGGTAGCAACTCGACCACTTTTTTGAAATATGATAGCCTGGATAACATTTTTGTTTCCTTCGCCGACGACGTTATGAAGCGCCATATCACTGCATTAGAATGTTTGGATCATGATACTGTAATTGGTGGTGATAAGTTTGGGAACGTTTTCGTGAATCGCATACCTTTTACTTTGTCCAAGCAGGCCGACCAAGAATGGAGTTTGGTGAAGTATCAAGATCACTACCTTAATAGTGCAGGAAATCGCCTGAAGGGCCTATGTGAGTTCTTTCTTCAAGATATCCCAACGCTGTTTTTCAAGGGAACACTTGTCACTGGTGGTAAGGAGTCTATCTTCTACACCGGTTTATGTGGAAGTTTGGGATTTTTTGAACCTTTAATTTCGAAGCTGGAGGTAAGTTTCTTCACAGCATTGGAGAACTCTATACGAAAAGTTCTCGACCCAAACCTCGAGGAACACGATAAGAAAAGGCTTTATTGTCAGCTTCTTGGAAAAGATCAACTCAAGTTCCGCGGCTACTACAATCCAGTTAAAAATGTCATAGATGGAGATTTTGTTGAGTACTATTTTGAACTTGACCCCCGCACAAAGACCAAGATAGCCACAGAGCTAGATAGAACCCCTCGTGATATCGAACGAAAGATTGCCGACATCAGAAGCAGAGTGGCATTTTGATACTATATACTACTCATTAACTCAATATAATGCATTTGTTGAAGTGAACGATTTTCTATGTACTCAATTAGCTCCTTAGATGCTGATCTCTTTGGTTTTGGGCTCGTCATTGCCGTCCTTTAATGGCGAATCATCCTTGTCTTCGTTCGGCCCTTTTCTTCTACCAAGAGTTGGCGACGCTTGACTTGTTTCATCGCTGTTTTTCCTCATCGGCGAGGGACCATTGGGGGTACTGAATTGAACGAAGTTCCAGAACGCCGGGGAAGATTGGTTCGTGTTAGTACCATTGGGGACTCCAAGCCGGTGAGAGTTTGGTTTTGTTCCTCTTTCTGGAGTGAACGCCTCAAGAGGAGTAATCTTCTTTGGACTTGTGAAGCTCAAACCGAGATCTGAAGTATTTTGAGTGAGTGAAGCTGACATATGATTTGAATTTTGATTGGACTCATTGCTGGAGTTTGGGTAAGACTGATCTTGAATTCCATGATTATAGGAGTTCAGCCGCGAATGATGGGCTTGTGGGGCGGAAGATACCGCTCCAGTGGTGGAAGGTAACGGAGGAGGAAGATTAAACACGTTATTATTTCCTGCTCTTGGAGTGTTACCAAACTCCCCTAACTGCCTGATCGGTGACGATAATTCAGACTTCACACCGAAGTTTTGCTGGGAAGGAAAACTTTGATTTGTCGCACCATAGAACATCTGTTGTGACTGGTCAGGTTGGTAAGGAACCGCGTTGTTGTTTGTGTAGTTTGCTTGTTGTGGCATGTAATTATTACCACTCATTGAATACTGCATTGGTTGCCCCAATTTAGGAAGCATCTGTTTGCGGGCAAGATCGGTGTCCATTGACATTGACTTTTGATGTCTAAAAGTGTTATCCTTCAGGTGATACCTGTTTGATTCAGGTAATTGTTGATGGGTTGCAAGATGCAATTGTAACTGTCTCAGAACAGAGGATCCACGCCTCGATTTCAGAAGTGAGCCACTTTGCACTTTGTTCATGAACTCCTCTTTGTAGGATTCACTAATTTGCCATTTCATTCCTTTTCCTGGTTCATTAGGACGTCTGGGGACCTTCTCAAAAGCTTTATTCAACGAGAGGTTGTGTCTGATTGAGTTTTGCCAACCAGTTTTTGAGTATTTATAGTACGCGTAGTGAGAGGCAATCCAGTTGTATATCTCTGCCAATGACATGACTCCATCAGGATTGGACAATATCGCCTGGGTGATCATCGTGGCATAAGAATATGGGGGTTTCATATCTTTGGCCTCTTCTTTAGAAAGGTCCTGGTCGAGGTTGCTTTGAAGCGAGGTGGCAGAGAGTGCTGAGGGAGATTGAGTCAAATGGGCCTTGTCGAACATTTGAAAGCTTGGAGCTCTATGATTGACCACTGGAATGGTATGTTGCTGGGGGTAACCAGATTGGTTTGGCTTTGCAACTTTTGCTAAATTAGCCTTATATTTGGCCAAACAAATGCTTAACATTTTCTCGCTTATTGTTGGAGGTGAATCAGGTAAGATGAACATCATTTGTGTGCCACCAACATCGATAATGGCACCAGAATGCAAGGGAGTGGCGTGTGATTCTCCAACAGGGATCTTGGTACCGTCTATACGAGCACCATTGCGTCCTAATACCTTTAGTTCCCAGCACCTCAGTTCCAAATTATAGGTGATGTTCGCATGGTTTCGTGACACCACTTTTGCTGGACCTAAATCGATATCAATTGTCGACTGGTTGGTCGATGCACCCTCAGTATTTCTTCCTATGCTAACGGCTAAAGATTTAACATAGAATGTCCAATCACATCCTGCAATCTTTGCGTATGCTTGTACTTCCGTGGCGGTGTTTTTGACATTGGAATAGTTCTGCGAAACGTAGGTTTTTTCTTCAGGAGTTTGAAGAGTCGATATCACGGCATTGATCAAATCTGCTGGATCGTCGAATTGCGGTCTGTCATCGTTGGAACCTCTTTTTTCAGGAGAAGATGCTTCTGACATGACGGATGAAGATGGCGCCAATAATTGATCAGCTGTTTTTTTTAGATCCAAAAACTAGCAAGGGGTCCTCTTGTCCGAAAAGGCAACTAATTACAGTGTGTCAGAGCTATAATTGTTGCTTAAAGCCACTTTTTGGCTGCTAGAAGAGTAGCGAAAATTGACGGGAAAACTACTACTCGAGTATGTTACCTGAGAAGCAAATTTGATGTCCAAAAAGACACTTTATCAGTAGGAATACCTTTTAAAGTCCTCCACACTTCTTCCCTAATCTGTTAACCAGATCGATATTTAAGAACGTCTGTTTACGTATTTATGTTTTGGTTTCATTGCTCGAAATTTTTTGACGACTATGTGCAGGATAACACCGAGCTACGCATTTAGAATAGAGGATAGGAAAGGCTCTAGGGGTGAAAGAAGTGTTAAACCAGCTCATAATGAATAATTGTAGTTGTAGAGGTGACTGTGCTTTGTGCAAGCATTAATTTTTTATATTATTAAGGTGCTCGTATCACTCGGATGAAAATGCGGAGAATGCATGGAATCCTTATAGAAGCTAAAAAAAGCCTTATAGAAGCCTAAAGGAGCCCTATAGTTGGAATATATACAATTCGGCCCACTCTTGTTTGATGACCAAGATATCCTTAACGCAATTTCATGCTCCATATTTGCGTCTGTAATCGACGGGGATAACAAATGCCTCCTGTATCGTGAACCCACGGGCATCCACCAATTCCTTCAGCAAGACGTCGACTTGTAGATCTTCTTCCTGAAGCCTTTTCTTGTTGAGTAGATCGTCGTCGATGATATCGAACTCATCTTCTTTTTCTTCGTACTCGATGTTCTCTTCTATCTCCACGAAATCCGGTGCTAAAGCACTCCATTTCTGTGGGAATGGCACCAGCCACAAGTAGATAGTACCGCTATCAAGTCCCGTGGAACCAATTATACAGCGAGGGTAATTCCACTTGAGATCCACCAACTCTTCCGAACTCCCCTCCAAGATCTTAATGAGCGATCCGAGAGAAGTCTCCCAAACGTACAAGTCTTGGGACAGTTGACCGAATGTAGAAGCACATAAGAAGTCGCCGTTGTGGTTGAATGCCACAGTATTCCATTGGAGCCGATTGACTACATCCTGGTACTTGTGTTCAACCTCGAACTCCCATTCTTCTGGTGCCGTATTGATGAAATCGGAAAGGTTTATTTGGCGTATGATTCTGTCTGAAGCATTGACAGCGAGCTTGCGGCCGTTTGGTGATATAACGACGTTTTTGATATTAGCATTTGCAACCTTTACGGAGTGCACTTTGTTTAGGGTGGACAAGTCAAAAATGTTGATCCAGCCCTTTGACGTTCCTGCAAAGATATAAGACCCTTCTTCGTCTGGTGTAAATACCGAAGTGAGGGTCAAATGTTTGTCTTTTGAGTCTTCTTGTCCCTTAGGATGAGCAGATAAACGGGAGATCTTGATATCATCAGTCATGTCCACAACAGCAGCACTGTCTTCAAACAACGAAGCCACGAACAAAAACGGGTTTTTGGGATGAAGTACTGCACTCCACACGGGTCCATCGAACGTAACAGTTCTTATAACTGGATCAATGTCGTCACCTTGATTCACCATTGATAAGTCCCAGAGCTTGATTGTCCAATCTTGTGACGTTGACAACAAGTAGCGACCACAGCGAGACCAGCTGAGTGAGGTGATCGGTCGTAGATGGCCATTGCGATATAAATGTGTTATTATACCTCCGTTGCATACCAAGTCGTAAATCACGATCGAGCCATCGGCAAGCCCCAGAGCCAAATAGTCACCTTTGTGACTAAATTGAATCACTACAGAATGCCCATATGCCAAGGATTGTGTGAGTGATTCGGGGTACTCTTTCGCCACAGCAAAGGGGTCCAGAAGCGATAAGTTCATACGCTCTTTACTCTGCAAGAAATAATGTTTATCGGAGCGAGGACTTGTATGCACTACCACTCAAATCGAGACCTCACTTGACTTCAAGTGGACCCAGCAGCACTTGATGCTGATGACAATTGATATCAATCTTTCCAGCTTTTAGTACAATTCTTACCCCCCAGACTGTTTATATCTCACCAGGCTCCTTATAACTACAAGCAGTCTAACTTACAAGCTGCTTCAAACTACACATAGAGTAATCCAACTTACTACATTCAATTGGTGCTCCACATCGATTGTCTAAGCCCATGTTGAGTCGTCTGGAAACCCCCGTGTCTCGAATATCGGTAGATCTGCAGCAGGGGAGCATCATAAAGAAACATTTTGACGATCGGGCTCAAACTTGGCTCAGTATATCTAAAGTCCTCGACAAGGAAAGTTCAAGAAGTCAGCTACTGAATGCCATATTAACGTCTGGTGAGGAGGTTCCGTATGAAGTTGTATGGAAACAGTCCAAGGTCTCGGAAGCTCTACATTCAGATGAATTCAAGTCGAATTATGGCTCTGCAACTGTACTAGCAGCCACCAGCACCTTTATCGCAGTTGGAACTTCATCTGGAATTGTTGTGGGTTTCAATTACCACCAGGAAATATCATTTGTAACTGACTTGGCTACTAACTCTTCCACGACGAACTCAAATGTGCCCGACGTTTCTCCTATCACCTGCTTGGCGTTTTCTTCATCTTCGCTGTCAGTAGCTGCTGGCTATCAAAATGGAAGCATAAGAATATGGGAAATTCCCATTGCTGCCAGCGAAATAGACCCACTGCATCCAATTGAACTAATCCACATAATAAACCCAGTCTCCCTTGAAGATAGGTTCACCATGAACAGGCTGGGACACTTGAGTTTACCGATCACCTCGATTCTGTTTGTATCCACCCTGAACACCCAGTTGGTGGCTTCTGACGTATCTGGTCTCGTGTTTTATCACCATCTATTCAAAAGACTTATGAAACGAGGTGTGACATCTATAAAGCTCTTTGGGCGAAACGATGCAAATATCATATCTGAGAGTGGAAAATTCGTCATTTACGGCTGCGAACAACTTCCACTTGGCTCTGAATACCTGATAACCGATGACCTCGCCGTGTTTGCCGTCATAACATCATCAATGTTGGCTATTGTATCCATCTTGTCTTTAAACAATAGCTCAGACCTAAAAGTCAAGACTCATTACACCGTTGGTCGAGCCACCGAGGTAGTAAGAGCGGTGAATGGTAGTAATTCAAATGGTAACCATGAAAATGGCACCGATTCAAATTCTGGAATCACATCACCGACTCCCGTTCGAGAGTCTTCTGTAAGGCTGTCCTCGTTGAATTGGGTGCCTGGTCGTAAAGTAGCCAATGGTTCATGGGAAGGTGCCAAGTTAATTTACACATACAACCGAACCCTCACCATTCTTCAACTAGACACCACTAATTTGAAAGAAATGGCACTGGCACTTGCAAACGTCAAAGATAAGGACAAACTAATCCCATCTCTTCAATTTGAACGAGTGTGTCGATGGAAATATTCTGATGATATTTCTGCGGTGAGATGGCTCTCATCTGATGTTTTCATGTTATTTGCTCCTTCAAAGTTTTCTGTGTGTCACTATGATACGGTTCGAGGAAAGGTGACGGAGTTCTGTGGACTGCCACCACCTTTTGATGTACAACCTCTTGAACTTGTTCATTCTTCTCGTGACCAAGAATTTACAGCATCGACTATAGATTCCTCCATAGTCATGGTGAAGCGGACTATAATGGCACATTCAAGCCTGGGTATTTTCTTTGGCTCTCTACCAAGTTGGGCAGACACTCTTGTGGGACTTCTCTCCAAACATGCTTACCGCTCGGCATTGTCTGTAGCTTTAAAGTACTTTCTGACTAGTGATCCCAGTGAAATCTCCGTGGCTGGTTTACCTTCTGATCAGAAAGCTCGCAAGTCTTTGGTTCGGCCATACATGGTTCGAATACTCAAGGAAGTGGGACTCATTTTCGAAAGGGGCCATTTAAATTCACTCTCAGAAACAAAAGATGAAAGTGAACAAGATTTGGCTCTAACCATATTGGTTCTTTGCATACAAACGATAGCGCAATTGCAATATCAAAGCGAGGGTGAAGACGATTACTCTTCAATTCTCGATACTTTTTACACCTCATTCAACGATGATGCATTATTCTTTGAGACGATAATTCCCTATTGCTTGAATGGAATGATACTGTATCTTCCACCGTTAATCTTGAAACGTTTGGTCGAGTACGCAGTATCTATGAACAAAGGAGATACTTTGACTGAGGTTATTTGCTCTCTCAACATTCAATCTTTGGACATTGACTTAACTCTTCGCTTGTGTAACCAGCATGGGCTCCGCGACTGCACTATCTACATTTGGAGTTATGTCTTGCAAAATTATGTTTATCCACTTATTGAGTTCATCAACGAAATCATAAATGGAGAGACTGAACACTTGGACAAGGCTTTTGCGTACATGTCGTTCATTTTCACCGGCCGCCAATACCCCACAGATCGACCCATTGACTATGCGGTGGTTAGTGGTGCACAGGATAATATTGCAAGGTTTCTATTCAGCATCAACCAGCTTCCTGAAATGCCAGTTGACGATGATACTGTCTTTCCCTATCTCCATACTTTTCTCACATTTGATTCCTTCCAAATGCTATCATGTATCAACGAATTTTTTGAAAGCTCCTACTTGAATGAGGATAGCACAACTCATCTTACACGCCAGTACATCGTTGACTGTCTCTTGGATGTGTATCATAGTTCGTCGTCCACCTTCTCTAAACTAGACTGGACAAACTTGGCGATATTTGTTGCCAGAAACTATGCCAAGTACTCTCAGTTCATTCGCCTTTCTGAGTCTGTATTGGAAAAAGTTGTTGATGATTTGTGTAGCTTTTCTAATGACTCGCTGTCATACGACTGTGAATTAGCACTACAGAGCTTGTTACCACACTATGAGCCACCGAACGAGGCTATACTCTTGAGTAAGCTCAAAAGTGCAAAATTTCATAATGTGTTAATTGGGCTTTACAGAGTCAAAGGCGAGTACGCTCACGCCCTAAATGCTTGGTGTGAGAGCTGGGACCATTCGCAAGAAGATATGGGCCAGGGTTCTCTTGCAGCTAACTTGGAAACCGCTTATTTGAATTGCACAACCACGTCTGCGAGAATGGATCTAAAAGAAGTGATCAGAAAGCATTTTTCACAGTTTATTGAAATTGATAATGTTGAGTTTGTGAGGTTGAATTCCAAGTTTGAGCCGTCTCTACACGACGAATGTATGAAAATGGGTGATGGTTTAGCATACTCGTATCTTCGAGAACTCTTTGCTAACAATTGGGAAACACAAGATATTCCTGACATTGGAAAAATGATGACAAGATATACCACTCTATTATGCGACAGAGACCCAGACCATGTTCTCGTTTGGGTGAAACAAAATGGAAAATTGTTATTAAAGAAGGGCGAGGTTTCAAAGGTGAAAGGTATACTTAAACAGCGCAATCAGGTGATGGCACTAGTTGTGTTGCTTCAGAATAAAGAGGACTACAATAGCGCAGTCGACGAGCTTCTTTCGGCTTTCGAAACCGATATTGAGTCGCTTCGGCATCATAAATCGACTACGGAGAGCACCGAAGACCGCAAAGAAAAACTTCAACTATTGGCTGCTATCTGTGGTGAGAAAGAGGATCTTTGGCTTCTGGTTATTGAGCGCTTTATTTCACTCAGCAAGGACATGGCAGATGAATCTGATACAGCGTCTCGAGTGCTTCGTGAATGCATACTCTACTGCTTTAAGGAAGTAAGTGATGGATCCGTTACGAGAAGTGACGACTCGTTGATAATGAAGGTCTTGCATCGAATGATAGGCACCGAAAGTACTGTGATGTCTCAGTTTCGCAGTATACTTGGGGACGTTTTCATCTCTTATTCTTATGAGGGAACCATGTCTGAGATTGTGCTTCGAATTGTGAATCAGGATATAAAAAAGCTGATATTGATCATTCGTCTGAACAACCTTATGGGATGGTCAATAAACTCACGAAATTGTACTTCTTGCGGAAAAGTGCTATGTGGTGGGGTTGAACAAGGTAATTACGATGCCAATCGAGTACGAGAATATGAGAAATTATGGGGAGGACAAGAAGTCAATTCGTCTTTTTATGGCTTTACAATTGTGCTATTCAATTGTCAGCATAGCTACCATCTACGCTGTTTAGAAAAGCTTGGGTGGCATAGAAACGAGCCGTGTGTGATATGCAAGCCATGAAACCCTGGAGTATTTCACCACTAATTCACGATTATTTCGCAGCCAGAACCTAGTTAGGACCAAGCGAGGTGGTTATGCAGGAACAGCACTATCCACATGCGAAGAATAACCTATTTCAGGGCGCAGCATTTACATATAAACTTTGCAAATATTCAAAATTTGTACGTTTAGCATCATCATCACTGTTCAATCCGCAGTGTCTCTTCTATTTTTGTTTTCCCCTGCATCGCCAAAAGCCAGTTCGCTGCGGCGCGGAAGACTTTTTCTCAGATTTCCCGATTCGTCGATACAAAACATCTAAATTTGGAACACTGCTTCGCAATTGAAACGTTGAGGCAATACTTCCACCTATTTAATATCGCTTTCACCTAAGTTCAGTATCGACGTCAACCTATTACCATGAGTAAGTTGGACTTGTCGGACGACGATCTCTTTGAAAATGAGACCCCGAGGGCGTCGGCCACCGGTTCGAGAAACGGCTCTGGCGTAAATTCAAGACACCCTTCGTCAAACAACCCATTCTTTAATCCACAAATACCGCCGATCCCCATGTATGAATACAACCACGGCCACGGGTATCAGTCTAGTTCGGCATACTCGACTGTGGTAGACGACGACCACGACTGGATGGAAAAGGTTGAGGCACTTCCCAAGAGATCAAAGACAGTAGCCTTCAGGGAATCTGTTCCTGAGTTTCCTGCCCACGCCTACAGTCCTCGCAAGCACGGACCATACGATATGGAGAGGGTGGAAACCTATGAATTGGAAGGTCCCCAGCAATATATGCGTCCTTACTCTCTGGTATTGGCATATACTGGAGATGATTATGGAATCAATCCGCTTCAAGATGCTGACGACGACGACGATATGGATCCGTTTGGAGACGACGAGTCACTTTTCTCCGACACTGGCGAGGAATTTGTAAGAAGAGGAACCACAACTAAGCGAAGTGGTACCCGCAAGAAGAGCATGGACGCTGGCGAGTTTGACGAAGACGACTTCACTCCTCGGCTCAATTACACCAAAACCATAAAGCGGGCCAAGCTCGTCAATGGAAACTACGTCATAGATGCCCCAGTCCCCCAAAGCTTTGTTGGATACTCATGGCAAGAAGCATCAGTGAGGAAGGTCGATGAGATGTCCTTCATGAGATTACACCGCAGCTACCTGTGGACCTTCTCAACTTTCGGCGCCTTTCAACTATAACTTGAGACAGGCACTTTAATACCCCAAAGCGTGAAACCGAGATCATGGTATGTGTTACCATGTACAACGAAAACGAGATTCTACTTGCTCGTACCCTTAGAAGGTATATTTCGAGAACATCACCAACCTCACAAAGAGATCAGACCCTTGTTGGGGTGACGACTCGTGGAAAAAGGTGGTTATTTGCATAGTGAACGACGGAAGAAAAGAGTTGAATCCTCGTTCTCAAAAGTTCTTAGCTGCTCTCGGAGTGTACCAAGACGGCTATGCAAAGTCAAAAATTAATGAAAAAGCTGTCAAATCTCACATCTATGAATACACTACCCCTGTTGGTATTGACATGGTCACTGATAGGGTTTACTTGACTTCCAATTCGACTCCCGTTCAATTGCTCTTTTGTCTTAAGGAAAAAAATGCTAAGAAAATCAACTCTCATAGATGGTGTTTCCAATCATTTGCACCAATTTTAAACCCCAAGGTTATAATGTTACTTGATTGTGGTACCCGCCCAGCGAAGGATGCGTTTTACTATTTATGGAGGGCTTTCCGTGACCCCAATGTGGCTGGTGCTTGTGGAGAAATGAAAGCTGCTTTGGGTAAGGGCAGACGATTATTGCAAAATCCATTGGTGGCAGCTCAAAACTTTGAGTACAAGATTTCCAACATTCTTGACAAACCCATGGAATCGGTCTTTGGGTTTATTTCGGTGCTTCCTGGTGCCTTTTCAGCATATAGATGGGAAGCATTGCTCAATGTCGATGGAAAAGGGCCACTTGAAAAGTATTTTAAGGGAGAGTTCTTGCATCAGGATTCTCAAATTGAAGATGATGATGATGAAAAGTTATTGAAGGAAAAGAACTATCAAGAGGCAGGAATATTCACATCCAATATGTACTTGGCTGAAGACAGAATTTTGTGTTTCGAGCTTGTGGCTAAACGAAACCACAATTATATTTTGCGGTATGTCGAAGAAGCCAAAGCAGAAACAGATGTTCCTGAAAGAATTGATGAATTTGTGTTACAAAGAAGAAGATGGTTGAACGGTTCTCTTTTCGCTGCCGGTTATGCGGTGGTACACTGGACTAAAATCTGGAGATCTAATCACTCTTTGTTGCGGAAACTTTTCCTCCAACTTGAATTTTACTACCAATTGGTGACCTTGTTGGTTTCGTGGTTTTCGTTAGCATCATTCTTCTTGGTTTTCAGGATTTTGACTGCCAATCTCGGTGCGAAGGAAATGAACTTTGGCATTGGCAAGTATTTATCGGTGATTTTCTTGTGGTTATACGTTGGATCTGTTGTGTGTACGTTCGTGTTAGCGTTCGGAAATACCCCTCGAGGCACAAAGAAGTTTTACTCGGTAATTGCGGTGTTGTTTGCAATCATGATGTTGTATATGCTTTTCGCAGCTGTCTTCTTGGCAGTCCATACAGTTACATCAGTACTCAAGGCTCATAAGGACGATTTCAAACCAATGATGTTGTTCACAAATTCCAAATTCAGAGACTTGATTGTGTCTACTGGATCGACTTATGCACTTTACTTTATTGCTTCACTTCTTTATGGAGCACCAAGTTTCATGGTGACGTCTTTCGGCCAATATTTGTTATTATCTCCCACATATGTCAAAGTGTTGAACATCTATGCGTTCAGTAACATTGACGATGTTTCTTGGGGTACAAAAGGTGCACCCGAAGCCAAAAATTTAGGAACCGCAAGATCCACTGGAGCCAATAAAGACGATATTGTCATGGTGGTACCAGGAGTTGAAGAAGAGCTCAATGAATCCTATATGCAAACCTTGGAGTCTTTGAGAACAGTTCCTCCTCCAGAGGCAACAGATTAAGAAAGGTAAGGACGATTCTTACTATGCATTTATTAGAACCATTGACGGTTTTGGTGTGGATGATTACCAATGCTATTTTAATTGCTATTGTGCTCGAGGTTGGAGGAGTCAGTATTCTTTGACCTCCAACCAGTAAACCAGAAATGCTGATGGGTCTGTTGGAGAGTAATTCAGCAGATTTTTCTTAACGATTATCTTGTGGATTGTTGCCGGGATTAGCAGCCTACAGGTTTATTGGAAGTGTACTCTACTTTGTTACTTAAAACAGCCAGACCCTTAAAAGTGGAGAATCAAAGCGAGGAAACAACTCAAGAACGCAACTAGGGTAATGATAGAAATTTAACGTTTAACGACCAATTTTGCCAGTAGTTGCAAAAAATCAGAATTACTCAATTTGGGGTGAGTGTGGCTCGTGCACGTTATATTAGCCAGCCGGCAATTTCAGCCTCACAGACAAGATACAGGGTTTCGCACCAACGTTTTCCTGATAACCAGAGGTGTGGTTATGAGAAGTTCGCTTACGAAAGGTAAAAGCTTTTGTTGAAAGTTGCCCCAAGTAATTAATAAATATTTTAACGCTACATAAAATCAAACGCAAAACAAAACTCGCTTTGGTCCCACATTTTGCTCGAAAGATCCACAACGAAAAGCTCGCCTAATTTTTCTATTTTTCTGTTATCGAGGTGGCGTCGACGCACCTTCATCGGGGCCGGCTCGGAGATTGCGAAAAAATTTTTGTGCGTGCAAAAACCTTCATTGACACTTATTGTAGTTTCTGTTTTATGGTTGTGCCACGAGAACTCACGTTACTTGGCACAGATGTGCCCCACTTTTAGCGCGCGGAGAGCGTCGCTTCAGCGAGCGGGGATATTGAAAAATTTGGGTCAAATCAATGCATGTCTAAGCATCATTGATATTGCATTGTAGACTTTTAATATAGTGGAAAAAGGTAGAATAGAAGAGTAGAGGTCACATCGGATCATAGTGGAACACGTCGTCAAGAACAACCGGGTCTTGGTTGGCGATAACCGGTGACAGATTCGGCCACCTGCATGGCGCTCCGTCCGTGCATGAAAAAGAACACAGTCACGTGATCGGAAGACAAATTTCTTGCATGGCGTTATCTTTAAAATTGCTGGCGGGTTCGTACCTAAAAAGTCACCCTATCGGCAAAATTCCCCTGATATGGCATCGGAACGTAGCTTGGGGTAAATTTTCTACGAAGACAAATTTTGGACCAGCATTTCTTTAGAACGCTGGTCAACGGTTAGCACGGCTTCATGACGTAATATCCAAGATATGGCAGGGGTATGAGCAGGGCTCGCAGATGGTCGTGTAATGGGTATTCGGCACAAGCGATACCTTAATCAGCGAATCGGTGCGAATTATCGGGTAAATCGGCCCAGGATTTACGTCGGACTACTGAAAATTACCGAGTCGGCTGGTATCCGGCCGAACCCATACAAAGCTAAACGATGGAAAAAGAAATATATATGAATTGGAATTAAACGTTGGTTACGA